TCATCCTCGTACTCCGCACCATCCTCCTCCTCCTCCGCCTCCTCCTCCTCCTCCTCCTCCTCATCCCCTTCCACCGCCGCCGATAGCGCCCCCGCGTCTGTCTGCCTCTCCGCCGACAAGATCTGGTAGATGGCCAGATCATCCTCCGCCCGCTGCTGACGGCGGCGCTCCGCAGCGAGATCCGCACGCAGAGCATCAACCTCTCCAGCGTCGAAGTCCGAAAGATCCACCTCTCCGCCATCGAGCTCCCCCGACCTCACTGCACCCACTGCTGCGCTCGCATTGCGGAGCTTCGTTGGCAGGGGAAGGTCGGCGGCAGCAAGGAGACTCTTCTGCTGGGCGCGCAGCTTTGTGAGCTTCTCTTGTATGCTTTTGGGGGTCGGGCGCTCTGCAATTCGTACGTTAGCATGAGATTTGTTTGGATCTGGGAGAAGGGATGTACCGGGAAACTCGTCTGCGATTGCCTGGTATTCCTTTGAACCGATCTCCTTTCCGACACAGAAGAGCAGCAGCTTCTTGGTATTCGCCGGGTTCCACTTGATGCGTTTTGAGGGCGGGGTTGAGCGTGTGCGGCATTGAGTAAACCGCCGGCAGTGGTCGCTGGGGCGGCCATGTTGTGTTTGTAGTTGTGCGTATTGGTATGTATGGTATAGTTTTGTGGTTGTGGGGCGAGGAAGTTGAGATTGCGGTTGGGGTGATTTTTCGAGCAAGCAAGAAGAAATTGTGCGGAAGGTCATAGAAACATTGCAAGCGAATGGGGCTAATACAAACCGGGGCTAGCTTTGGACTAGCGCGGTGAATGTAAGAGTGGAAGTCGAAGGAAGTCGACCCTAAATATACTGAGATTTGGGTGTGGTACAAATGACACTTCTGAGTTTGGCAGCAGAGGCTTATATATCACTGACCTTTAGGCAGAACAGAATCGCTTTAGGCAGGGCGCGAAGTCTCGAATCAGCTCGCTAGCTCTTCTTCAGGGTCCTTCTGATTCCAGAAGAGTCTGAAGAGATGGTTTCTTTGGACAGGGCTTCTGCAGTTAGCCAGAACCTTTGCTTTGTCTCCGGATGGTTAAGTTTTGGGAAGTACCAGCAACAACTTCTCTTGAACAAGAAGAAGGGTTTTCCGTCCATTCAGAAGCAAGAGCGTGTGCTCTTGTATAGTTGAATGGGTGAAGTCCTTGCTGAGGACATCTGGAGGCGAGGGCCAGTACAACAAGCTCTAGACGGTCAAAGTCCGTGAATTCCTTGACCTTCAGAGTCACGGTCGTCTCCAAAACCAATATCCGATGTCCTGCCATTGTAGCTGAGGGGAAGGTGTACCATGTAGCGTGGAAGGGCCGGGGACAGCACCTCCTGCATGGCAGTCAAACAAGCGGCCACTGCAATGCCATTCGTAGATTCTTGAGGTGTGATGCGAGTGCGTAAAGTCCTGCATATTTTCATGGTCGCCCGCACGTATCACCATCCATCCTCCCTAATGTAGTTGGAGATGGAAGCAGAAAGTAGAGTGCAGAGTTGGCATGTGAAGTTGGCCTAAGAAACATGATTGGCTACCAGTGGAATGACGCTAGCGGACGTTCAAAAATCTATGCCGATCTGAGGCCGATGTCCTGCTCAAGCCCAGATTTTTTGGTTGCGAAGCGAAGACTGAGCTCTGATTGGCCACAGACCAGACCACGCTAGTGTATGTTCAATTTTCAAGGTGTTTTCCATGTCGACAAGAGGCACGTCGCTGCTTTGGATCTTCGAGAAGAGGCGGCGAGCGTCGATGACCATCCAGCTGCTGGCCCTGCGATCGAGGGCGAGCTGCCGGCCGTTGACGGCCATGTCATCTTCTCCGTCCATCTTGACTCTCCAGAACAGGTCTCCAGTCGCTGCAGTTGCACAAGATTGCTCGAGAAGCTCGAGAAGCAAGCAGCCGAGGCCTGGACTTCCAGAGCTTCGTCGATCTCCTCGTCCCTGCATCTTCATCTAGGAACACCATCTTGACTTCGACACAATCGAGGCAGTCTACGCAATTACAGCCATCTCCAATCTGCCCTCGTGCCCACCAGCTGCAATGCTACATTGTCTACCCCGCGGTGCGATAGCATCGTCGGCGGGCCCTGCCAATGGCGACCCTGTACGCCATCAATCCCACACCTTGGCCTCCTTGGCCTCTCTTGGAATTGCTTGCCTCCTGCTCTTTCAGGTACACATCCGTTCGTGATTGATACAAAAGCTGGCTGGGCGATTGCCATGTCGCACTTGAGCCTGGAGAAGCCGTTGCTGTTGGAGATAAGCCAACAGAGGAGGTAAGGTCAATCACAAGCTTGTTCTGTGCCTTGCTTGTGTTGCATCCTTAAGAAGCAGAGGTAGGCCGCTCAAGCCGCTCTCGTATTTATCCCCATCTATCTCTTTCTTCGTGAGTCGGGAGGATCATTGGCAACCATGCGTTCTACTCTTACCACCTGCGCCCTGCTATGCGCAGCAGCGGCCCCAGCAGTCTTCGCTGAAGATGCCACCAAAAAGCTTCCGCCAGTGAAGGCATTGGCTCTGCAGAAAGCCATCAGCAAAAAAGCTCTCTCCACCAAGGCACACGAGCTCGAAGATCTCGCCTACAGCACTCCGGGGCGCAACCGCGTGATGGGCTCGGAAGGCCACAATTCGACTGTCGCTTGGATAACGGGGTATCTCGATGAGATGAGCGACTTTTACACTTACGAAGTGCAACCCTTCATTGCGCTTTACTCGGACGCCAACGGCACCGCAACAGCCGATGGTGATGAATTGGAAGCCGAAGCTTTCGAGTACTCTCCAAGCGGTGACGTCGAGGCCGACATTGTTGCAGTCGACAACCTGGGCTGCGAAGCGAGTGACTACCCGGATGAAGTCGACGGCGCCATTGCTTTGATCTCCCGAGGCGAGTGCGAGTTTGGCCTGAAGACCGCTCTAGCAGGCGGCGCTGGAGCTGTCGCTGCCATCATCTACAACAATGAGCAAGGCCTGATCGGTGGTGGCACTCTTGGCCCACCTCCACGTCCAGAGGGAGAGTATGTTCCTGTTGTCGGGGTTGCAAGGAGGACTGGTAACCAGATCCTCAATGCTTTGGAGGACGGGGCTGTCACTGGCACGGTGACCACTGTGAGCGATATCCATAACGTCACTACGTGGGTTTCCACTATCAACATAGCTGCTGGCACTGTGAGCTGACCTTCTTCAGATACAACGTCATCGCTGAGACCATTTGCGGCGACCACGACAACGTCCTCACGCTGGGCGCCCACTCTGACTCCGTCATTGATGGACCTGGCCTCAACGACGACGGCAGCGGCACCATTGGCATTCTCGAAGCCGCTATTCAGCTTTCCAGCTACAGCACCAACAACGCCGTGCGCTTCTGCTGGTGGAGCGGGGAAGAATTCGGCCTGCTGGGCTCAACCCACTACGTCGAGACTCTGAACGATACCGCCGGCGCCCTCGACAAGATCAAGCTCTACCTCAACTTCGACATGCTCGCATCCCCCAACTACATCTTCGCCACCTTCGACGGTGACGGCAGCACATTCAACCTGACCGGCCCACCCGGCAGCGCCGAAGTCGAGACCTTCTATCGCCAATGGTTCAAACGCCGCGGCCTCAACATCACAGCGACCGCCTTTGACGGCCGCAGCGATTACCAAGCCTTCGCCGACAACGGCATCCCCTGCGGCGGCCTCTTCGCCGGCGCCGACGAGACCAAGACGCCCAGGCTGTTCAAAAAATTCGGCGGTGAGCAAGGCGAGACTTTGGATCCGAACTACCACAGCGCGTTGGATAATTATGACAACTTGAACTTTGACGCGTGGGTGCCGATTGAGAAGGCGTTGGTGGCGAGTATCGCGGAGTATGCAACGAGCTTTGATAGTCTGCCGTCGGCGAAGAAGGTTAGGGCGAGAGGAATTGAGGATGGGAAGCTGATGAGGAGGGCGCTGGAGGATAGGCCGTTTGTGAGAAGGGGGCACGCAAAGGTGTGGAAGGTGTGAGATGGCAACACCGCATTGTTGGTAGCTGTGTGTGATTTCGTACATAGTATTGCTATGCCACAGCTCTGAACAAGGACTCTCGAACTCTTTTTCTCACTCGTGCCGTCGAGGTCGAAGGCTTTCAAGGTATGTATAGAGCACGTGACGCCAAGGACGGCGTTTTTCAATCGCACCTCCGACCGCACGCTAGTGATTGAATTCGACCTCCAACTTTTGCTTGCGATCCAGCATCACGACAGCTTCGACAACAACACCGCAAACATGGCGAGAGGACCAAGGAAGCATCAAAAGCGTTTGGCAGCGCCATCTCACTGGCTGCTCGACAAGCTGAGCGGTGCGTATGCGCCAAAGGCCAGCCCGGGTCCGCACAAGTTGAGGGACTGCATGCCCTTGATTGTGTTCATCCGCAACCGGTACGAAAGGACACCACCACCGCCGCCATGATACGAAAGATGCTGACTGGTGATGTGACGACAGCCTCAAGTACGCCCTCAACTCGCGCGAAACCAAAGCGATCGTGATGCAGCGCCTCATCAAAGTCGACAACAAAGTGCGCACCGACCCCACCTACCCAGCCGGCTTCATGGACGTGATCGGCATCGAGAAGACGGGCGAGAACTTCCGCCTCGTCTACGACACCAAGGGCCGCTTCACCGTCCACCGCATCACGGAAGAGGAGGCGCAGTACAAGCTCGGCAAGGTCAAGAGGGTGCAGCTGGGCAAGGGCGGCATTCCGTTCCTGGTGACGCACGATGCTCGCACGTGAGTAGAGAGACATTCTTGGTTGCGCTGGCGCTCGAGAGAGCGCTTGTCAGACGCTGGCCAAGCTTTGGTGGAAATACAATGTGCTAAGAGGATAACAGTATTCGGTTCCCCGATCCCGCTATCAGGGTCAACGATACTGTGAAGATCAACCTCTCCACCGGTAAGAACCGCAGCGACATGGAAGCAGGCAGGCTCGTAGTGCTAATGTCTTGTACAGGCAAGATTGAAGACTTCATCCGCTTCGACACTGGTGTCATCGCCATGGCCACCGGCGGTCGCAACATGGGCCGTGTTGGTGTCATCACCCACCGTGAGCGCCACGACGGAGGCTTCAACATCGTGCATATCAAGGACGCCATCGACAACGAGTTCGCTACCCGTGAGACCAACGTCTTCGTGATCGGTCGTGAGAAGCCATGGATCAGTCTGCCAAAGGGCAAGGGTGTGAAGCTGTCGATTGCTGAGGAGAGGGATCGCAGACGGGCGTACGCTCTTGCTGGCCACTAAGCTGTGCAAACTGTGGATGCTGCGAAAATGGCGTGACGTCTGGAGAAGGGTCGTGGCTGCTTGACCAAGTCTATCGGCACCTTTCTGCGAGGACCTTCGTGCCTGCTTAGGAAGCCCGGGCATAGAAGGAAGTAGCAGACCACATCAAAACAGTTCAAATTGCTACTCTTCCCGCCCTTTTCTCTTCCTCCTCTCCTCTTCACCAACGCATCCGTCCACTGCACCGCAACTCTATCAAGCATACGGTTGTATCAATCCACTCCATCCTTACACCGCAAAACCATTCTGCTGCACCCCATCAAGTCTGCATCCTTGCCGCTCACACTTCCACCGCAACCCACACGACCATCAAACCGGTAAGTCTCGTCTGGACACCACTTCTTCACTCCCTGCTCAACAGCTGACGGTGACTGGCTCGATTCTCGCAGCGTCGTTGTCTCACCACGATCGCCCTTAAAACCTCACAAACTCAGGGACGCCCACCCTCACAGTTCAACCCGCACCTCAAACGCCACTATGGCCCCCAGCAAAGACTCCAACGCCGGTGGACGCGCCCTCTCCGATCAAGATCTGCGCGAGGTGAACGACACACTCACCAGGGACGGTTCTCGCTACTCGTGGCGCGATGAAGGAAACCGCGAAGGGCCGGCGAGCAACCGCCCGTCCTACGACGAAGAGATTCGACCCCGGCGTGAGGTCCGCTTCCAGAACCCGATGACTGGCCTGCCGATGCAGGACCAGATGATGCGCCAGCATGCCCGTGGGCAAAGAGAGGACGGGGAGCCATTGACGCCGATACAGAGCCTCGACATCAACGATTCTCGCTCCGCATATGATGGAGCTGCTGACACTGGCTACTTTGCGGGCCAGAACAATGAGACAGCTACACTCCCGACGTACAGCAGGCCGCCTTCGTATGCCACTGGAGCCGAGGACCGCGATCTGTCGCCTGCTGCCGCGAAGCGAGAGGCGTACCGTCGCAGCGGCTCCAGTCCCAAGTCCAAGAAGGAGAACAAACGCAACGACTCCGAGGAGGCATCACGCAAGCTCAGCCCCATGGAGAAGATCAAGCGCAAGCTCACGCCGTCGTCCAGAACGAAGGAGACCCGGGACGCAAGTACTGGGAGCCACGAGTCGCCGACCCCGACCCCAAGCCCGCCGGAGCAGCGCAAGACGAGCGCACCTCACCCCGTAGCCAGAGCCCGGACCCCCTCGCTCACCCAGTGGGATCGGCCGCCGTTGTTCAACGACGACGCGAATATGACGGGAACGAGGAGGGTGGACCAGAAGAGGCTGGGAAAGGAGGAGGCCGAGAATAAGTACAAGGGGGCGAAGCGGGAGTGGGAGTGGTCGAGGGGCATCTACCGGTACAACAGCGATGGCTCGAAAGTGCCCAAGGGCGGCGTGAGTGACATGAAGCCGTCGCCGCTGGGGAAGCAGGTGGAGTCGCAGGATGAGGTGAGTGGTGGTGATAAGAAGAAAGAGGCGGTCGAGAGTCAGCAAGAGATCAGGAAGGATTCAAGTGACGACGGCAGTGTCGAGGATGAGCAGGAGTGGCCTCTCTCGTCTGAGAAGCAGGTTGGTGATGCCGATGCCGTGAGTGAATTACCTTCATCGAGGACATCAAGGCGCTGACCCTCTATTTCTCTCCAGTCTGAGCAGCGCCATCAGCCTCCACCGTCTTAGACGTCGTCCGCCCTGATACTTGGGATGCTCGCGGCGGAAGAGTTGTGGTGGTTGAGATGAGGAGCTGTGGGACGGGGTGCATTGGGATGGCGATACACTGCCTTTCATTCTTCGACTCCATGGACAAGGCGTTGATGGGCTTTGCACTGTCGTTAGGATTCTGTTGATGGAGTACAAGTAGAGATGTAGTCGTCGTCGTTCAAAGCAAGTGCCAAGGCCTTCAACGTCAGCTCCCCAGCCTCGAATCGTATTGCCTGATTTCTTGTCCACCTTCAAGTTGAATGCGCCTCCACCACTGTCCTTCTCATACCACACATTCCCTTTCGATCGATCGCCCAAGATGGCCTTTCACCAAACGTCGCGCAACGTCGACTTGAGCAAATCGGAGACGGAGCTTGCGACGAACATCAAGAAGGCGACATCAATCGAAGAGACGGCGCCGAAGCGCAAGCATGTGCGAGCATGTATCGTCTACACCTGGGACCACAAGAGCAGCCAGAGCTTCTGGAATGGCATCAAAGTCCAGCCCATCATGGCCGACGAGGTCCAGACGTTCAAAGCACTCCAGACAATCCATAAAGTGCTGCAAGAGGGACACCCAGTTGCGCTGAAGGAAGCACAGTCGCACACATCATGGCTCGAGAGCCTGAACAGAGGGCTGGTCGGGGGCATCAGCGGCGGCGACGGCATGAGGGGATATGCGCCGTTGATCCAGGAATATATCCACTACCTGATCTCGAAGCTGCAGTTCCACCGCAACCACCCGGAGTTCAACGGCACGTTCGAGTACGAGGAGTACATCTCGCTGAAATCGATCAACGACCCGAACGAGGGCTACGAGACCATCTCCGACCTCATGACGCTGCAGGACCAGATCGACAGTTTTCAGAAGCTCATCTTTGCCCACTTCCGCAGCGGTTCGAACAACGAGTGCAGGATTAGTGCGTTGGTGCCGTTGGTCGCGGAGAGCTATGGGATCTACAAGTTCATTACGAGCATGCTGCGGGCTATGCATACCACACTGGGGGATGACGAGGCGCTGAGTCCGCTCAGAGGCAGATACGATGCGCAGCACTATCGTCTGGTCCGGTTTTACTACGAGTGCTCGAACTTGCGATATCTGACCTCTCTTATCACCGTGCCGAAGCTCCCGCAAGATCCTCCGAATCTCCTCGCCGACGATGAAACGGCCCCTGCGCTGCCTGCACGACCACGAAACGAACCAGCCACGAAACCTCGAGACACACCTCCACCGACGCAGAACACTGATCCCGAGCCGATCAATGAGTTCTGGAAGAACGAGCAGGCGCGGCAGCAGGAGGAGTATGCGGCTGAGCAGGCGAGATTACAAGCGCAATGGGAGCAGGAGAGGCAACGGCATGAACAGCAACAACTGCAAGCTCAGCGGGACTTCGAGGATCAACAGCGCATGCAGGCTGAGCAGCAAAGGTTACAATTGGAGCAGCTGCAACGGGACCAGTATGCTCAGCAGACGCAAGGTCGTATGGCTGAGCTGGAGCGGGAGAACCTGAATGCTCGTGCCCAGTATGAGCGGGACCAGCTTTTGTTGGAGCAGTATGACAGGCGATTGAAGGGTTTGGAGACAGATCTTGCGAATCTGCAGCAGAACTTCCAGCAGCAGACACAGAGCAAGGATGATCAGATTCGCGCGTTGCAAGAGCAGGTCAATACCTGGAGGACGAAGTACGAGGCTCTTGCGAAGCTGTACAGTCAGTTGCGGAGGGAGCATCTTGAGCTGTTGCAGAAGTTCAAGAACGTGCAGCTCAAGGCCAACTCGGCACAAGAGGCAATCGACAAGCGGGAGAAGCTGGAGCGCGAGCTGAAGACGAAGAACCTTGAGTTGGCAGACATGATCCGGGAGAGAGATCGTGCGTTGCATGACAAGGATCGCACGACTGGCGGGCATAAGGATGAAGTCGAGAAGCTCAAGCGAGAACTGCGGATGGCGCTCGATCGCGCTGACAATGCTGAGCGAGGCAAGGGCAATGAGCTTTCTGCTATGCTTTCGAGGCACAACCGCGAGATTGCCGATCTGGAGGAAGCGCTTCGCACCAAGACGCGCGCTCTCGATGACACTCAGATGAAGCTGGGTGAAGGTAGTTCTGATCTGGAACGCCAGCTACGTGAGAGAGAAGAGGAGCTCGAGATCTACAAGTCTGGCATGGACCAAGCACTTATTGAAGTGGAAGAGCTCCGAAACGGCAATGGTGCGACAGACAACGCGATGGACGAGCAGATCGATGTCATGCTGCTCGACAACATTCGCAAGATCAACGACATCATCGACTCCGTCTTGCAGTCTGGTGTCCAGCGGGTGGATGACGCGCTGTACGAGCTCGACAGCAGCATGCAGGCCGGTAATCAGAACGCGAGCGGACCATATGTGCTCTCGCAGATCGAGAAGGCGCAGAGCACAGCTATGGAGTTCAGCACTGCATACAACGCTTTCATCGCCGATGGTCCCAACGCTACGCAAGCCGATGTCATCCGCACCGTCCACACCTTCGCCAACGCCATCGCCGACGTCCTCTCCAACACGAAAGGTCTCACGCGCTTCGCCAGCGACGATAAAAAGGCCGATCAGCTCGTCGCCGCCGCCCGCCGCTCCGCCTCCAGCACGGTCGACTTCTTCCGGGGCATCATGTCCTACCGCCTCGACGGCCTCGAAGACCTGCAAAAGACCGACGTCGTCATCAACAAGAACAACGACGTTCAAGTCGCCCTCAACTCGCTCTCCAAGCTCGCGGATGCCCTCGCACCAAATACGAAACTGACCAACCAATCCGGCGACCTAGGCGAGCTCGTCGACCGCGAAATGACCAACGCCGCCAAAGCCATCGAAGACGCCTCCGCCCGCCTCACCAAACTGATGAACAAACCTCGCGACCAATACAGCACCTACGAGCTCAAGATCCACGACTCCATCCTCGAAGCCGCCATCGCCGTCACCAACGCCATCGCCCAGCTCATCCGCGCCGCCACCGCCAGCCAGGGCGAGATCGTCCAGCAAGGGCGCGGCAGCAGCATGTCCCGCGCGCAATTCTACAAGAAGAACAACCGCTGGACCGAAGGGCTCATCTCGGCCGCGAAAGCCGTCGCCAGATCGACAAACATGCTCATCGAGACCGCCGACGGCGTCATCTCCGGCCGTAATTCGCCGGAACAGCTAATTGTAGCCTCCAACGACGTCGCGGCCTCGACTGCGCAGCTCGTCGCTGCGTCGAGGGTGAAGGCGTCTTTCATGAGCAAGACGCAGGAACGGTTGGAGGAGTGTTCCCGCGCGGTGGGACAGGCTTGTCGGGGGTTGGTGAGGCAGGTGCAGGGGATTCTGGAGGGGAGGAGGAGGGATGCAGAGGAGGAGGTGGATTATGCCGGGTTGAGCGGGCATGATTTTAAGGTGCGGCAGATGGAGCAGCAGGTGAGTACACACCCGAAGAAGGAAGGGAAAGGGGTGGTTGGGTGTCGGTTGGTGCTAATGTGGGTGTGTGTGGCAGGTCGAGATCTTGCAGTTGGAGAATTCGCTGAGTGCGGCAAGGCATCGGTTGGGGGAGATGCGGAAGGTGAGCTATCAGGAGGAGGATTGAGTGCGGCAATCTGCTGGGTTACTATGATCATCAAGCGGGCGTACTATGTATGCTGTGTAAAGCGGGTACTGTTGATGAATATATCGAACATCAGCGTGCTGGGAGCTATCGGTTCCGTAAACGCGTCCAAGTCTCTTTGCGCGTTCCCTCACCCCACGGACGGATGGCACTCGTGTCCACGGTCCCCTTTCTCACTCCAACATCGCAGGACTTCAAGTGCTCACTGCGTACGTGGCGGGATCGTTCTGCGACCTTGATGTGGGAAATCTCGTGAGGAGGAAAGGCTTCCGGTGTACTTTGCTTGTGTTTACTTGGGAGTACAGTACTGGAAACGACCAAGATCCCACCGCCCTGGCTCCCTACACGCCCTGTGCTTGTAGAAGAGCATTTCGTGAGTTACTGAAGAACAATATCAGAGCGCTCTGTCTCCACCAGATGATATGAGCTTTGGGAGAAGATTCCCCTCGCGTCAGACGTATCGGGCAAGCACCGGGCTGGTGGAATACCTAAATGAACAACGTCCGTAGGCTGCGATCTGGGCGTATGGAGATGCTGTACCTAGGTAGTTTTGGGTCGCCCACGGTCCTTGTAGGCTTTCGCTTCTGCCTCCAGGTAGGATTTTGTTGTGGCGGTCTTCAGGCGTTGTAGCAGCTCGTATGACAGTCTCCGAGCAGCCGAGATGAAGACAAGTCTGCCACTGGCCTCGTCCATGGATTTCCTTCTCAGCTCATATCGGCAGTCGCTTTAAGGTTGCCAGGATTAGGTTCATCTTGATGTATTCTCGGGCAGAGAGCCGAAAGGTAGCAGGGCGGACAAACTGGGATCTGCAGCACTAGCCGCCACATCCGCGGCACCGGTCGTCTCGATCGAGCCGGGACCCCTGAGGGTGAAGCTGGGCGCTAACGTTTCAAGATCTGCTGCCATCCGGCGGCGGTGAAGGCTTCGATGATGTCTTGATTTTGGGGGAGGATGATAAGGAAGTGAACGAGAAGGGGTGGGAGGTGTTTCTGGGAGCGGTAGACCCAGTAGGCCTGAGGAGAGGTGAAGAGGTGCATCGAGTGGACGGGCGAGTGCTGGAGCAGACCTTATTAGTGTTGGAACTGCCGTGTTCGATCGTAGCGTGCAGGGCTGGGCAGCCAATGGGTGAGTGCGGAGAGGTGCAGGCACAGGTCGAGGTGTGAGGTGTGCGAAAGGAGGTTGTGTTAGCCTTGCAGTCGTGCAGCAGGCCCAGGTCGAGGCGCCGTGACCAGATTATTTTCCACGACTTCACTTCATCCTATCCCATACCACCAGCGCGGAGAAGAAGACGAAGAGGTGTCGTTGTTGTTTGCGGAAGAAAAGTAGGCAGTCGGAGAGGTCTGCGCTCGCCTCCAACAAGTCGGCGCTGCGAGTCCAACTTTATTCTCGACGCCCGGGATCCACCGCATTCCTCCTCCCCCGACTCCACCAGCCTCCCACACCACCCCCGAAACACCACCCCCTCACGACGGTCAGCCATTGAGCGCATACGATTGACGTGGCATGATCACAACGCACACCGCTCCCTCGCCGTCGCCCTCCCTGACCCCGCGCCGAGCGTGGCGCCAACCTCCCGACACGAATTAACTGTCTCACGATAACACCACGCGCACACTATGTCCTTCCTTTTCAAGAGCAAGCAGAAGAACGCCAACCCCAGCGCATTACCACCCGCCAGTCGAGATATCCGGTCCGCAGATGGGCCTGGCAGCGGCTCTGGCTCGCAGATCCCGACATTGAACGGTGCCATCAATGGCGCGGTCAAGCCTTCATCGCCCACGCCGGGCTCGAGCGTGAACAACAGCATCAACTCGCTGGCGGGGAATGAGCAGGTTACTGCGCGGCCGACTGGCGGGACCGGCAGCGTGAGGCATTCGGAGGAGAAGGTGCCGTTTGCGAGTGAGGATGCGAGGATCAATGGCGCTTCGCCGAGTCCGGAGCAGAAGAGCATACGGAGTTTGGGAGCTGATGTGGTGTGTATATTCAATGACTGCGGTTTTTGCGATTACTGACTTCGAGATAGCAACCTCGCCCACGACCCGCACAACCTCGCGCCACGGCCGACCCTTCACCATATCCATGGTCAATGCGCCAGCTGACCTTCACGACACCACACGCACATCCATTCCCGCGATATGGTGCAGCCGTGAATGCGACTTCGAGCAGAGATGGCTCGGTATACTTGATGGGCGGCCTTATCAACGGTAGCACCGTGAAAGGCGATCTCTGGATGGTAGAGGCCGGGCCAGGGAACATGACATGCTACCCTGTCGCGACAACATCAGAAGGGCCAGGGCCAAGAGTTGGACACGCCAGTCTGCTGGTCGGCAATGCGTTCATTGTGTTTGGTGGAGATACGAAGATGGATGAGGGAGACCAGCTGGATGATACGCTTTATTTGCTCAACACATGTGAGTGGAGAGTCTGTGGATATAACGGCAGGAGGACTGACACAATGCGCAGCAACGAAGCAGTGGTCCAGAGCTCTGCCTGCCGGACCTCGACCGCCAGGCCGATATGGCCACACACTCAACATCCTTGGCAGCAAGATCTACGTGTTCGGCGGTCAAGTGGAAGGATACTTTTTCAACGATCTTGTCGCGTTCGATCTTAATGCATTACAACAGGCCACTAACCGGTGGGAGATCTTGATTCAGAACACAATCGATGGAGGACCTCCACATGGCCAAATTCCACCGGCACGGACAAACCACACCATGATTACCTGGGGCGACAAGCTGTATCTGTTCGGCGGCACGGATGGAGTCCACTGGTATAATGATGTCTGGTCCTACTCGCCACAGACGAACTCCTGGACCCAGCTGGAATGCATCGGCTACATACCCTCCGCCCGCGAAGGCCATGCCGCTGCCCTGGTCGGAGACGTCATGTACATATTTGGTGGTCGGACAGAAGAAGGTACTGACTTGGGTGATCTCGCAGCTTTCCGCATCACCACCCGCAGATGGTACACCTTCCAGAACATGGGCCCGAGCCCCTCGCCCCGATCTGGTCATAGCATGACCACCATCGGAAAGCAGATTGTCGTTCTGGCCGGTGAGCCTAGTAGTGCGCCCCGAGATCCGGTTGAGCTTTCGCATGCGTATTTCTTGGACACGGGGAAGATAAGATATCCTCCGGACTCGGCTGCGCCGCAACAGAATCAACAGACGGTGCAGCATCGGAGGCCCAGTGGCGACAAGGCGGGTTTGCCCATTGGTGCGGGACGAGGGCACCCGCCTCCGCAAGGACGAGATATGGTGGAGTCGCCGCGGTCGGGCAGTGCTAATGACTTGAGGGGGAGGTCAGAGTCGCTTCGGTCAGACAGCAACGGCAGTTCGCGGTTGCCAATGGCGGCGAGGCCCCCACAAGCTCAATTGCCTGCACCCACGAGTCCGCCACCTCAAGTGCCTCCTCAGCAACCGCGCAGTGGCCCGCCATCTCGGCAGCCGAGCAGACCGGATCGAGCTATAAGTCCCACGGCCGACGCAGAGCGCATGCAGCCTCTCGACAGGAGTCTGATGTCCTCGCCTCAGCAGACACCTGGACCGATCACGCCACAGCCACCTGGAGCTTACGGGTTCCCCGAGCAAGCTACGCCGACATCGCCAAGCTTCACGCAGGAGAGATCATACTATGACCCGCACGACTCTGATCAGACGCGCTCGTTCAAGCCAGAGACATATCAGCCTTCCCAGGAGCAGGGCAGTGAAGAGAGGAGCTCGTCGCGGTTGCAACGGAGTGTCATTCCTGAAGTTGACGAATCAAGACCTTCTGCTGAGCTCCCTGAAGCGATGCCGAAGGTGCAGGAGTTGCGGGAAGATGATGGACCGCAGGATTCTGGTATTGGTTCTTCGCCTGCCTTGACCCAGCAGTACGACCACATGATCCGGGAACTCGAGCAGGTCAAGCAGCGCAATGCGTGGTATGCTTCAGAACTTGCGATGGCGAAGAAGGCCGGCTACAACACGCGATCGACGGAGTCGCCGGTCATGGACGAACGTGCTGCGGATGTCTTCGGCGACGACGACAAGCCTCTCATTGAAGCGCTGCTGAAGATGAAGGCGGAGTTGCTGAGAGTGCAGGAGACTATTGAAGAGCAGAGCAAGTCCGCTGCGGAGAAGATTGCTGAGATCGAGAAACAGCGCGATTCTGCTGTTAGCGAGGCGGTGTATGCGAAGACGAGATTGGCTGGTCACGGTGGCTCGCAAGCTGATAACGAAGACAAGCGGAGTCCGGATCAGGAGCGCAATGATATGGGTCGGAGGCTGGCTTCTTCACTGAATGAGAAGAGCGAGCTGTCAAGACGCATTGATGGTTTGATGCAAGAAGTCGAGGCCGAAAGGAAAGCAAGGCAGCTTGCGGACGAGACGGCGGATGCAGCCCAAAAGCGAGTCGCTGAATTGGACGGGCATCGCCAGGAGTACAGCTCAGAGCTGGAGAGTTTGCGGTCGGAACTGCATGAGGCGCAACGAGAAGCAAGGGAGGCGACTGCGAATCATGCGGAGATCAAGTCGCAGCATGACATACTTGCGCTCGACAAGCGGGAAGTGGACGGCAAGCTCGAAGGCGCTGTGGCGCAGACGCAGAACCATACTTCGATTCTGACATCGCTACGCTCCGCGGTCACGGCATCTCAGGAGAAAGCGGATATGTTGGAGCAGAAGCTTGAAGAGGAGCATGCGCGGCGAGACGAGATTGAGCAGAAGCTTCGGCAACTCAAGATCGAGCATGAGGAGCGCACGAATGAGTTGGAGGATACTTCACGCCGGCTGCGCGATGCAGAAGAGATGGCGGAGAAGCATGCGGAAGAAGCGCGGACGCATCGGGAGACCGTCGTTGCAGGGCTGGGCAAGATCAGCGATCGCGATATTGGCGCAGACTCAGTGTCTGACGAGCGTGTCGTCCTGCTACAATCGCAAGTCGAGCACGCAAACTCTATGGTTCGGCAGAATCAAGCCGCGGCAGACTCAGCAGCCGACAAGCTCAGGCGCGCTGAGGAGCGTATCGCAGGGCTCGAGGCGTTCCAGGAGCAAGCCAGCCGCGAGGGACTGTCGATCCGGAAGCAGCTGCAGGGTCTCACCAAAGACAACCAGAGCCTCAATTCCCAGAAGGCCGAGCTGGAGCAGAAGGTGCAGAGTCAGATGCTTGAGACGAATGCGCTTTCGGTGCAGCATGCTTCGCTCCGCGATATTCTGGGCGAACGCGGTATCAACGCCGCCGAAGTCCGGAGATCCCGCGCTTTGGACTCGCCATCCAGTCTCAGTCGTTTCTCGACGCCCGACCTCCAGCGCGTGCGTGAGTTGGAGCAGCAGCTTGAGAACAGCCTGAAGAGCCATGACGAGATGAAGCAGCAATTCGAGGAAGTCTCTGAGCGGGACGAGAAGATGAAGCGCGAGTACGAGGACAAGCTGACTGCCCTGGACAACGATCACCAAGCCGCGGTTAAGTACTTGCGAGGCACGGAGAAGATGCTGTCCAAGATGAAGCAAGAACTCCAACGCGTGAAGGACGAGAACCGCGAGATGAAGAAGCGGATAGAGAAAGTCAAGGAGGACGAAGGCAGCAGCAAGCGCGCCTCCCCAACCGGCGACTGGGAAGCCGAGCGCGAGGCCCTGAAGAAGGAAGTCAGCGACGTGCAAACCAACCTGCACACCTCCGTCTCCGAACTCGAGGCTCGCCTCGGCGCCCTGCAGCAGCAGCTCGAAGCCGCAGAAGGCGAATTGCACCACACGCGCATGGCCCACGCGACCTCGCAAGCCGACCTCTCGACCCTGCAGGCTACGCACACGCAGTCGCGAACCGACATCGAGCGCCTGCAAAAGGACAACGGCGTCCTGGAAGAACGCGCACGCGACGCGGAGAATAAAGTCCAACTCCTGCTCAACCAAGTCGAATCGAGCGTAGACAACTACCGCCGCCAATCCCGACTCGGTGACGGCGTGGCGATGATGAACGGCACATTCCACCCGCGCCCCCTGTCCGGGTTAAGTGAAGCGGGCACGGAGAAGACTGCTTCTGCCGGCGATGCCGCCCGGGGCCATGCGAGGGCGCAGAGCGATGGTGGACAGAGTGTGGTCAGTGAAGTCGAGGGCGCGAACGGACGGGATAGCTTCGCATTGGATTCGCTGGCGAGTGAGCTCGAGACTCTACGGAGTCATTGGGAGACGGCGAAGAATTCCTCCTCCCGCATGTCTGACCGCTTCGACTTCGAGGGCGCCGGCGAGTCGGGTTCTACTAACCACGGCGCTGGAGGCAGTGGCTATGGAGGATCGGGTGGTGGGTTTGCGGGGGACATGGATATGGCGTCCTGGCGCCGCGGGCTGGATCTTAGCGATGATGAGGGCGAGGGCGATACACCGAGTCGTCCGGGCACGAGCGAGGGGGAGCGGAGTCTGGATACTGTCCGCGGCGACGGGGACGAGGGGATGGCTGTGTCGACACCTACGCAGGCGAGTACTACCGGTACAGGGGGGAGGATGCTATGAGGGATAGGAACGTAATTCACCGGTGGTTTGGCTGGGCTGGATGCAAGATGCTGGATGAATCGAATGGAATGGATGAGTATTGGAGTTTCAGGCGCGCTATGCTGATAATATGGGAATGGATGGGAAGGGTAGCGATGGGGAGGGTAGATATACCCCCCTTCTGCTTGCTCTCTTGACGTGCCTGTGCGCTGGGGCGATGCGTTGAGCGCGGCTGGGGGTTTGGGAGTGGAACAGCATGTTGTATAGTATTGGCCAGATGTTGTAACTGAAGATTGTCTGAACTGTGGTGTGTGAGTACTTTTCTCTTCTCACGCTTTCTCCTTGATGCCTCGATTTATCAACATCTCTGCTGCCTCAGAGCTTCGTGGTGCTGCCCGTGGGTGCCGAGAAGCTCTGGTCTCTGTCATCATCTCACGTTCTTTCTTCTACCATTCGCTCGCTTCGCCGTCCTGGCTCGCATATACCGAAAGATCACCGCTCTGCGCTGGGTGAGAGAGGTCAGTACCGCCACCCTCACCACCACCACTACAACCTTGCCGGGCTTGCCACTTCTTCAATTCAGCGCACCCTGTACGAGACGACGCCCCCCCGGATCTTGCCATGCATCTCGACCTCCTTCGTCTGGTCCTCCATCTCGACGTCCTTCGCCGACTCACTTATCTTCATCTCACGGACCTCCCGTTCTTCCTTGTCGGACGCCGGAACCGGCGTGCCTGGCCGCTTAATCCCAACCTGGTCGAGGAAGAAGTTCGAGTCCGATTGGAGCTTGTCGAGACTTCTTTGACTTCTTCCGGCGTCGGCTTTTGGTCTGCATAACAAGGTCTGCACAGCCTCCGAAGACTGTAAGCGCTCTAGCTTCTCGATCAAGCGTCCCTGGGACAACTTCGCAGATTGCTTTGTACTCGTCCGCACCGCGGATTCTGTTGAACCCGCACATCAGGAGGCGGCGGTCGTCGAGGGCGGACCACTTCATCTTGGTTTCCGGTTCGACGTTCGTTTTCGAGGCCAAGAGCTCGTGTAGAGTTTGGAGGCTGTATCATCGTGTCGCGAGGGGCCTGCGAGGGGCGCGACCGCCAGTGCTCCTTCGCGTGGTGTTGTTGGTGACGGCCATTGTGGTTGTGTTGGTGGAATTGCTTGTGTGCTACTCGTCGGTAAGTCGATGGTACGGATTGGAGTTGGGAAGGGCGGTGATACTCACTACGGTCCCTTCGGCGAATTGGAAGGGTATGTGTGCCGTGACGGAACGGTTGAAGAAGAGGTGCGCCGTGTGGAAGTTGGCTGATGTGAAGAAGATTCAAGGAGGTAGGATGAATGTTTATACCACGCTTCACTAGCGTGTAGCTGAGGGCATACGACAAGTGAATGTAGGTGAAGTTTGAGTGTCATGTGAAAGTGTAGAATCAGCTGATCGTGTTACGCAGCTCGAGGTCGGTACGAACAGCGATGAATACGAGATTGGAGGTAGTAAACTTGAGAACAATGGAAACATTCACGTGGATCTGTCAAGGTCTCATTGTGCTGTGTCTTGCGCTACAGACCTGCCGCCTTCGCAGCCGTTCTCGTGCCCATAGACAACTGCTCAAGTCCTGGCCATGTGTAAGTCCTGGCCATGTTCCACCAGCCGCAGGGATATGCATTATACCGCCGAGAAGGCCTCGCCTGCATATCAGTCTTCAAGGCTATGCAATATCGCTGGCCCACCCTCTTCATTCCCCACGCAGGTTGACATGGCCATGTCCTCTTCTCTGACGGTACTTTGCCTTCTGGAGAATGTCAGTATCAAGCTTTCGTCGGGCTGCCTGCGTCGGTACTTACACGCCTTAGAACTCCTTCTGCGACGGAATGTTGACCCAATCCTCCTCGACGTCGTCTTGCTTGGCTCTCAACTTCTCGAGGAGGACTTCTTGATCCTTACGCACCTTCTCGAGGCGCGCGCTGATGTCTGCCGCATTGGTGTTGCAGACTGGCCTCTTTGGAGCGCTCAGCTTCGACCTCTCGGCGAAGACGGCTTGCTCCTTGCGCAACTCCTCGAGGCGGTCTCTAACGGCGCGTGGCGAGGGTTCTTGGTCTGTGGCGATCTATGTCAGCACCTTTGCCTCTCTTGAGTATTCTAGCGCTTTGCTTACCGGGGAAGAAGTCGGCGATCCTCTAATAGTCGCAGGCTTTGATGTCGTAGCTGAGGAGACAGAGGAGGAGAGTTCGATCCATAGCGGCGGTCCACTCCACCTTGATCGGGTTGACGTTCGTCCTGCGCTGAGCGGGACGCGCGGTGTGCTTGCTAGTGTTCGGATTGAGCAAGATGGTAGAGGACTCCATCGTAGTGGCGTGATCGTGGCTGTTTTTGAGGCTGGTACTTCGGCAATGTAAGCAAAAGCGCACAAAGCGAAGCGGTACCGCCAGCGATACTTACTACCGTTGTCGAGAAGATAGGTTGGAAGACGAAGGGTGTAGGAACGGTCGCCGAAAGGAGGATGTCGCGAGGTGGTCAAGGTGAAGAAATTCAAGAAGTGGGAGCCTTTTTTATACCACGCCTCACTAGCGCGGTGTCACAGCAGGGACGATTACGGACTAGCTTCCGGACTAGTAAGTGAATGTAAGTGAAGTTGAAAATGTGGGATTGGCTGATGACGGCAACTAGGGCTGACATTGATATACTGTGGCAGAGAACTGTCTAAGAAGACACAAGCAAATGGCAACAAAGAACGGATGTAGCACATTGCTATTATGGCAATGAATGGCTAGGTTGAATCACCTGTACTAGTGCTTTCCTGAAGCTTAACTTGCTTGCTCAAGCACTCTGCCCGCACAACCACGCGGCCATCTCGCTATCTCTATGCCCATTTCTGCGTCGACGAATATGCAATGTGACCCCGGGCAGCACATATCGCACTTCTGTCATGGAGAGATGAATATGAAAGGTCCGATTCAGCGAGGAGCCGCGAGCTTGTGCCAGGGCTAGCATCGTGTGCATTCGAACCTTCTCAGCGACCAGGTTCAGCGCTTCTTTTCCGCAATGATCGTGACGGACCCATCCTTGATGGCTTCGATCGCCTTCAAAGGTACATCAGCATCCATCTCCTCCGTCTTCTGTACTTCCATAGCCTCTTTCGCTTGCGCCATGGCCCCCTTCTCCTTCTTAGTAGCTGGATTGAGAGTGGACGTTTGACTCAGGCCGCAGAGCAGCGGCATTTGATCGTATTCTAGGCGCCGATGCATCGAAGCCTAGAATGTGGAGCCCACCACGATGCCTACGCCGCAGCTCACGGCCCCGAGATATGGTAGGTAGTTGTAGCGAGTCGGTTCGTGGAAAGATTACTCAAAGAGAGGTGTGAAAGGATGCGTCATCGCGGAGGCTTCGGTGAAAATTGGGCAAGACTTGTCTGTAGAAGTGTAAGTCAAAGAAGGACTGTAGGTGGCAGTGCGGTCGAGAATACTTACTATTGCTATGTTCGCAGACGAACCACAAGTGGTGCGGAACGGGTGATATGTGAGACTCAAAAAGGGTTTGAAGGAGGAAGCTTTGTTCATACTCGTGGCACAGCAAGACTAGGCGGCGGCCCGAGGAATGAATATAAGTGAAGTCATGTAACATGTGAAAAGGTGAGATTGGCAGGCTCAGAAACGAGGAGGTAGTACTTATAGCTGCCTGCCTCGAGCCTGCGTAGTCGCTTCTCCTACTCAACGACGAGCCCTCGCGTCCACATCAGGCTTCAAGGACATACCAGGCGTCTCAGAGAGGCCTTTCCTGTGCGCTTAGCGCTCTCGCACCGGAAGCACCATCTCCCACCCATCCTCCACCCCGTCGGTCTCCTCTGCAGCTTTTCTTGGTGGGACGTTGCCGGCAGAAGACCTCGCCATAAGCGCCATCGCCTCAAGCATCGCCGCCTGCTGGCGCTTCAGCTTGCACAGCCTCTCCTGCACAGCTCTCGCAGTTGCGCCTTTCACAGAATATACGTTAGCATGTTCATGACTCGCCTCTTGGAGAAGAGCGCTTACCTGGCCCGAACATCGCAGCAATTGCAGCATACTCAGAAGGGACGATGTCTCTGCCTAGACCGAGGAGTAGAAGCTGGCGGTCGGCTTCTGATGTCCACGTCATTTTTGGCGCACGCTTTTTGGTGGTGTGGAAGTCGTCGTTCGAGGTGCCGGGAGCGGTCGCCACTGCGAAGGTATACGCGAGCGCTGTAGTGTACTGCGGAAGTGTGAGTAGGGGTGTAGAAGCGCAAGCAATCTGGTAACACTTCCTAGAGAGGTCTTGTGTATAAGGGCGAGTATGGGCGCCAGATTGGCTGTGTCAGTGGTCGACAAAGTGGTGGTCGAGGTCGATAAAGGTGAAGAAGGAATCGAAGGTCGCAGAAATGTATTGAATGAGAGGAAATTAGTATTGCGTCACACCATGAACGGAAAGAGACTAGCCTGTCATCACGTGCGAAGTGCGGAACACGGGTGAGCACATGTGTGAGCATGATGGTTGGGATGAATGTGTTCTTATAGCAGAAGATCCAAAGGATAGTAGCAAACTTGCAAGAACAATACCTAATACGGTGGATGGAGAGCTCAACAATCAAATCGACGCTCAACATGGTAGAAGAAGCCGTCTGATTCCCGCTTTTACCTCAATCGAAGCACCAGGGACTGTCGTCCACTGTAATCAAAGAAGACTCCTACTCCTAAAGGCTAAAAGCTTTGAGGCATCCGTCGACAATGGTGCCGACCCTGGAATCTTTCGACCGGGGCAAACCATATTGCAGGTTTTCTCGGCGGAGAGGCAGACGAAGGCGGCGGCGCTGGCCAGCGAGGATGAGAATGAAGAGGTGAGCTGCAGAGTAGGAGGACAGGGAGAAGGATGGGGCCATAATGGAGGAGGGCAGGGAGGGCCAGTGGAGAAGATAGCAGGAGCAGCGAGCCTGATCAACTCTTCTCGAGTTGGGCGTAGTATCATGTCGTGTATCTCGAGACAGGTTTTCGGACATATCGTGCTGGCTGCTCAAAAGGCAAGAGGTGAGTGAGTGTGAGGATGGAGTCAGGTGGTCGGCGGGAGACCGTCGTATGAAGTCTTCGAAAACACGCTAGTAATATTACGCGCGCGACAACGTCACTACATTCGTGCTCCTTCGCGCCAGCTTCTCCTTCCGACACGCCTACCAGCAGACATCAAAGATCGCAGACACCAAGATGAAGACTGGCATCTGCTATCCATGTACCGTTGATGGCAATTACCAAGTAAGCAGATAACCTTTCCGTGCGCAATGAGAGATAGCAAAGCTGACCTACCTGCCAGTGTGACCTACTCAGCAATGGCGCTCCCTGCACGCAATACCGGGACAAAATCATCAATCGAGGAAAGTCGTGTATCTGTGTGGACACCACCAAAACCATCGAAGAATACCGGGCGGACGCCGAGCGGGATAGGCAGAACACTCTGGCCAAGTCAAATCAACAGAGAGAGGCCATGGTACTCTCTGCCCAGAATCAGCGTCAGCAAACAATCAATTCTCCTGCTTATGGCCAGCAATACCCGCCGCAGCAGCCTATGATCCAATACCCGGCTTACCAACAGCCGCCACAAACGCCTCCAGGAATGGTCATGGTCCCTGCTCAGTACGTCGTGCAGGCGCCTTATGGCCAGCCCAGTCAGTCATTCCATTTCGGCCACTACAATCCAAACGCGGGAATGCATCAGTTCACTGGTAGCGGGCCGGCACAGGGGCAAGTCCATATGTCGAAAGGCCAGAAGAGGGCCAAAAAGCAAAGGGCGGTCAAAAGACAAGGCGCTCTGCAGCAAAATCATCAGTTGCCTCCGCCGCGCAATTCTGACCCACCTCAGCCAGGGAATTTCCAGCAGCAGCTTCTGATGAATCAGGAATCCCAGCGCCAGGCTCAAATGAGCAACAATCGAGAGCGCGGAAGGGAACACGGCGACGATGCCGAGACTAGAGACCGCACGGATGAGGTCGCATCGCAAACCAGTGCGGCGCTCGAAGAAGCGCGGCTTGAATACCAACGGAGGTTAAAGATCAATCAGTGGACGGCAGAGAATCAGAAAGGGCCAAATAATGATAAAATTCATCGCCCGACAGTCCTCGCTGGCCAAGGCGGCCAGCATCTTCTTACGTTGCCTGGACTCCAGGCCATCCGGGATGGATCGAACACGGGCGGCGTCGGCGGAGTTCCAGCCGACGGCAGTCCTCGCAACAGGCCGCTCTGAGTTCGTACATCATCGGCCAGGAGCACGGCGAACCGGCCAATCTATGCAACGACCGGCACGGCCGGTTCAGATCCCAGTACGGTCTCGGCTGGCAGCAATGCTAGTGGCCGGCAGCAATCCTCTGAGACGACGCACCTTGCCAGCGCGATCTTGACCAACGCCAACACCAATCGTCAGGAGCTGATGTCTGGAGAGAAATCGCCGCGCAACACCAGCACTTCCCCAAATGAAACCAATCCGAATGGCCGATGATTGTAGAGGGCCTCGGAGGTGAACAACCATGCTGTTACTCTGTCGCCGCAACGAATGGCGCAGAACCGGTCTGGTCCGAAATGACGGCTGGGATTGGGAAGGGGTTTGTGTTCTCTTGTGCGGTGTCTTCTTCGTAGAGGACACTGCAAAACGGAACCAGGGAGATGAAACTTCCTTCTGCATAGCTTTCGGTCGCGCGACGAGTCATGCTAGCCGGAGCGTGCTTGGTATCTGGTCAAATGACTGATACTGACGCTACCTTGGGCGGAGGTTGCTGCGTGGTATCTGGTGCGAAGCACTGATATTAAGCACCTTGTCGCGGAGTTACGTCCTCTGCGACTTGATACTCGGTCCAAAGGACTGATGAGGGCTGCTGCTTGGAATCTTGTCGGAGGGACTGATACTGCCTTGAGTGGAGCAGTGGTGATGAATGCTGCTCTGCCAGGTCTGGTATCTGGTCCGAAAGACTGGCGCTGGCTTGAGCTGTAGGTCCATCTGGCATGGTATGGTCAAAAGACGCATACTAGCAGGACTGGACCACAGTATGAGTCTGCCTGATCTGGTATCTTGTCTTCTCGGAAGATGATACTGGCCACGGCGGACCTGTCAATGTAATATAGCAGATGTAATCAATGCCGTCCGCTCCATAAAGTATCCTCTTCTGCAGCTTTGCTGCTCGTCCATGTTGATGATGGAATGGCGTGGCCCAGAGGCGAGGAGACGAGATGAAGAGGAACGCGAAGTGGAATGCAGGTAGATTCTTGTGGAGAACAGTCACGTGACTTCGATTATCTGCTCTAAGCCGGCTAGAATTTCTGACGTTTGCTTGCCCTGGCTTTTTTCCTGTCCTCAAGCCCTTCGTGAGCGCTAGTCTGAACACCACCTTTGCGTTCCATCTGTCGCATCGAACTCTGCAGAACGTCGCGACCTCTTCCTCTTCACTCACCAGCGCCGTTTATCTCTTCGCGCTTCAGCATGTTGCCGCCCACTTAAGATCTGCCATTCGCTTTACCTCCTCAAGGTCCTGTCACCACCTCTTCCTCTTCACTTCATTGCCGTCATCGCACCACTCCCCCGCCTGCCCCCCTCTCTGACACTCCCCCACGCCCCCTCCTCTCTGCGAATACTTTTTCAACAGTCAGCAGGCCTCTTCCAGCACGGCTCACGAAAGCTCCAGCCCACCATCCCGCCGCATCTCACCATCGCTCAAGGTTTTGTGTTCCTTTCCGTCGTCTGATAAAGATCGATGACCGCTCATGTCTCTCAGAAAGGCTTGGCCTAAGCCAGGCAAGATTGTCACCCTCAAGTGAGCGCGTTCAGCGAACCGTCACGTCGCGTTGCCCAGTCAGATGAAGGTGACTTCAACAGCAGGCCAGTAGAATCGGGTCATTGATCCCGCCTTACACGTGCTCGGCGGAAACAGAGCATAGCAGGCTCCACAACGCATCGCACTACCAGAGGGTCGCATCGCGGTGTCTCCTCACTGTGCCTGTTATTGCTTCCTCCCTCCATGTCGCTACCACAGTCTCGCCTCATGCCGCCACCACGCTCTCGTTGAGAGCTCTTTTCGAGGCCGTCGTGAAGCTCGCTGGCCAGAGCACGTCTACTGCCCTGGCTCAAACGGTCGTCCTCCTACGATGCACCGACTTACGTTCCTGAGGCTCTCCAATCAGCCGCCCAAACAAACCATCTCCCCCTTCCATAGTGCATTGCGCTGGCTTCCAAGAATTTGCTATGCCGCCGACTTGCTTCGTTGCGTACGAGAGGGGTGATTGCAGCTCCCTATCAGCGCATCGACACAGGCTCTTGCTTCCGTCTCCAATGCAGAGCGAAGAGAAGAAGTGTTTGAGCCCAGTCCGCATCAGTCTTTCCCTTCCTCGTCCACGAAGCAGATCGCAGGGCGAAACATAGCCGCCAAAGCCGCCGTGGTCTCAAGACAAGCGCGGTTGAGGCAGCATCGTAGTGAATTTCATGGTCGAGACCCTTCGGCGCGTCCTGACCTTCAGCAAAGCTTCATCGAACGTGCAACCCACACCTCTTATACGCCGAGCGAGAGCTGGGCTTGCCCATTTCGACCATTCCCGCAGTCCAGTATTGATTTCACGTTCATCGATACGAGCTCGTGAAACAATTTGAGGACTCGCAACATCTCTTAAAGTGATCGGAAACACCGTCCCATTCATAGCCTACCACTTAATTTGAGCGCTTTCCACCAACAAACATCGTTCGAGGGACTGAGCTATACTGCCGGAGCCGAGAGGATGTGCTTGTAGGTAGCCTGCTATTTCAATTTGGTCGTTGTTCCTCTTACGTCGCTTCCGCAATCTGGAGTTCCATTTTTCCAACGTTGTGTCGTGATGCGAGTCTTGAGGAAGGCATTTGTGTCGCCAATGGTAGCAGGTAGCTCATTATGCACTTGGGAAGTTGTAGAATAGCTCTGCATACATGTCCAACGGTATGTTGCCCAATCGTATGTCGCAAGTAGACACAGGGCGAACAAGAAATGTGAGAAAAGTCGCGATGGAAAGATTTGCACACTCCTGGGAGGCAAGAGCGGCCGGGCGATCTCAAATTTGCTGTCCCGCACAGCCGTCGCGCCTGCCACCAAACAGAATCTCGAGGCGACGCGACGTCACACCAAATATAGTCGAGGATTCGCTCTACAACCAACACTGCACCAAGCGAAAGGTGTGAAGATTGTGAAGTCGCACTCGCAAAAGACACGCCCAATCACTGCAGTCGCTACAGGCGATTACATTTTTCGAATGTTATGTCACGTGGTTCCCGCTTTGAGTTGCGAATGAACATGAACATGAACCCTCCAAGAGGACAGCACGGCTTGCAACACCGGCAGACACCCGATCTTCAACTTTCTACGACGTTGTCGAAGCCAGTGTGCAGCTGCGGAGACTTCGACTCTTCACGACCGTTCAAATCCGGCCATTGGACTCGCGAGCACCGCTGAGCTCCCGCACTTCCTTCGCAAGCCCCCTCCGTATGCCTTTGTTCGCGAAGACACCCGCATGGTCCAGCTTCTCAAACCAGTGTACGCGCATCTGACCTTCCTCCCATTCACTATCCTTCACAACAGGCGCCGGCTCACCCGTCAAATACTCCCACACCTCCCGCGTTGGCACGATCAGATCCTGGCCGCTCAAGGTCACCGTCAAAGGCATGTCAGAAGGCAAGTCGTCCTTGAACAAGACCAACCGGTTCCAGAAGAAACGGCGGGCGAGCGTGTGGCTGACCATCATGTCCTGCGAGGCGAAGTAGTAGAGCATGTGCTCGTTGGCTTGTTGGGGGAGGCGGCGAGTCTGCGAAGATACACGGTCAGTCCTTGAAAGTTTGAGAGGTTGCTGACAGGCATACAAAGTTGTACGCGACGTCTGGCAAATGCAGCATAAAGCAGATCGGATCCATGAGCACCGTGGCCTTGATCCTCTTCGCCAAGGTCTCATCTCGCAGCATGGTGGCAGCGACGGCAGTTCCATATCTGTCTCCCGTCAGCGATGCAGAGCCACAGCAGCAAGAGTACTCACGAATGTCCAGCCAGCACAACCTCGTCCCAGCCGTGGCGATCTAGGATCTTCCCAATCTCATCTTTGACCTCGGCGGCAGATGGACCGGCTGCACATATCCTGCTGCTGATGGACGTGAGCTCGATTGCGATAATACCGATGGCTCCGTCGTCCGAATGGGTGGAGTTCAGCTCGGTGAGGAACGTGCAATAGGTGTAAAAGCCAATGCCGATTCCATGGACAAAGAGGACGGGTTTCTTGCTCTTCGAGGTATGCTCACGGTACCAGTAGCCGATGCGAGAGGACGCGCTGGTGTCTCGAGACAGAGAGTGGAGACCAAGCGGAAAGGTCAATCGTGTTCGTACCGCAGAACTTGTATAGAAGCGGAAGCCGTTGTATCTCAACTGGAGTGCACAACCGCTCTCGACTAGCAATACGATCTGAGAGAAGATTAGCACGAAGGAGATCGCGGCTGCACCAGGACACACATACCAGATACCAAACCAACGGCCGATGTTGCATTGGCACCGGATCGACGGTCGTCCTCAAGGGCTTCGCGCTCCCTTTCCCTCCTCCCAACGATCGACCCATCTTTCGTTCCAGCTGATCAATGTAGCCATCCAGCTCAGCGTCCTCGTCAGGGCTGACATCCTCATACCGCTTGTTCATGAACGACCATGCATAAAATTCCTTCACATTCTCCCGTTTGATCTCGGTGAGCGGCGCATTCAGGAACCACTTTGAAAGATAGTGCTCCGGATCCGAAAGGGCGCTGTGGCTCCTCTCAACCAGTTCCTCCCGCTTTTCCTTCGATGGCGGTGCGGGATGCGTTACTGGCTTTTGGAGAGCGAGCCGGCGGGGAACGTACACGGCCCAGAAGAAGCCCGCCTCTGCTATGAGCCATACCCCGACTGCCCAGAGCCATCGATGTTGCGTGACAGCCTGAGGCCGAGCAATGAGGATAACTGGACATGCTACAATGGCCAAAGGAGCGATGAGTCGAAGAGCAGGTATGGCCGTTCGGATGAGGAGGTACTCCGGTAGGGATTTGCCGATCAACATGGTCGAGGACGGAGAGGTTGAGTGAGTGAGAATGGAGAGTTTGAGAATGCAAGGGAAGAGTCTTGGATCCTACCTGTTTCACCTCAGAAAGTTGGACATTGTTGCCTGCTGACTCAGGAAGAAGATCTGGAAGGATTCGGCCTCGAAAGTGGCCTTATCTTGGAGTCTATCGGTGCCATGATGAGACGGTGTTGATGCGTTCTTCAACATCGCTTCAATGGGAACACGTGAAGCTGTCAGGTGAGATCAGTCGCGTCTAGAATTCTCGACGTCGACTTTCGCCTCGTCCTCTGCTTCCCCAACTTCACTCCGTCATCATCGAGCAAGATCCCAACCAGCTCAACAACCACCAAGACTTACGCGAACACGCGACCATCCTTGGCGCAGATCATATCGACAACAACCGCTCGTGAAGATGCTACGAATGCTACGGCGCAATAGCAAAGGGCCGACAGAGTTCATGGCCGCAAGGACAGCCAGCACGACAGCCATTGAGGAGCCTCAACCCTCTGACCGACTCACCTTCTTCCACCTCCCAGCCGAGCTACGCAACGAGATCTACGAGCATGTGATATCAGATGCGACGCTCTCACTTCCCGTCACTTCTTCCACAGGCACCATCTCGCAAATGGCCAAAGTCGCGTTGAGAAGACGCAAGCCGGCACCAGCGGCGAGCATCAATGGCTTACTACTAGCCTCGAAGCAATGCCGGCAGGAGTATCTGTCCGTCCTTCTCTCCACCATCAACGTCGTGGTAGAGATCAAGGACTTTGACTTTGAGAATCTCATGCGCGTATCATCTTCGCTAGGCGACGTCGAAACACGAGCCCTGCAGGCCAACCGCAACCTCTGCCTCCTCCTGGACACACGCAACTGCACCCAAAAGGACCTCGCAGGCATCCGCAGATGGCTAGACTTTCGAAAGGATGACAAGAAGCTCCTCCCCTGGAAGTACTCGTTCCCTCTGGACAAGCATCTGCCGCCGTCGACTGTTGGACGCGTGAGATTGATGAGGGAGCTGGAGTATTACGCTGACAACATCTCTACGCTGGCTGTTGATGTTGATGATGGGCAGAAGACGGAGCTGCGGGCAATTATTGACGCTTTTGAGGGTAGGGCGATGTCGTTAGAGGAGGATCTGGGGCGGGATGGGCAGAGGAGTAAGAGTCTGCCGAGGAATGTGAGGGGGCTTGCTGGGGGAGGGTTGATGTAGATGCTCTTCGGTAGCGGAGCGCCCGATCCGAATCGAACAGTTCGATGACGGCCGGCTGAGAGGGTCGCAGAAGAACGCATTCTGGACAGCATCCTGTCTCATTCTGGCCAATTATGGACCTGCCTCAGCAGCGCTGATACCTGTCTACGGCTTGCCATCCACAGGATACGGGAAGTTCCTCAGCGGATGAATGTTCTCGCCACTCGGGGGCGGATGCTGCTCCCTGGAGACCTCGTGTCCATGCGCGTCGAACAGGCCAACTCCGGCAGCCGTCTCCTCGACCCTGCAGACGTACTTCACTGCACTCGCGTGGCCGTCCCGCAGCTTTTGTAGTGCCTTGAGGACTCCGATCAGGCCTCCCGGAACCACTTCGTGCGGATGCGGCGACAATTTGCCCTCCTGGAGCAGCCTGCCGAGGTAGCGGAACCAGGTGTACCCAAAGTCCTTGTGCGTGAGATGGACGAAGACAACAGCGCTGTTGTACGCAATCACTCCGGGAGGATATGTGAAGTTCTCCGGATCCCGGGCGAAAAGCTTCGGCGGCAGCACAGTGCTCACAACCCCACCGTTAAGCTTGATAATCTTGAGAGTCGTCTCGAGCGTACCGCCTTCGCTGATGGCGTCGAAGATGTACGGGACCTTCTTGTCCAGCCCTTCCTTCGAGAGGATGTCTTCAACAGCTGCGATGAGCTTCTCCTCGCTCTGGCGGTAATCGACGACATGGTCAACGAGCGAGCTTGCGAAGTTCTTGGCTCGTCCGGCGGTACCGATAATGGGATGAACGCCACTCAACCGAGCAAGCTTCGCGGCGAACGCGCCCACCGCCGAAGTGACTCCGAAGATCAACAGCGGCCTCTTCTCCCTGGCCTCAGCATTCCCCATAAACGGCATGGGTAGCTTCATGTCCGCAAAGAGGGCCATGATGGCCGTTCCAGCAGCTACCGGTATTGTGACACCCTCTTCGAAGGACACATTATGCGGCAAGTGGGATGTGGTCCAATCCGGCGCCACGGCGTACTCTGCAAAGCTGCCGTTCTCTGTCGTCGGCTGGTGGAGGGCTGCCACTCTGTCGCCTGGTTTGAACTCGTATACGTCCTTGCCGACGGCGTGGACGAAGCCGGCTATGTCATCTCCGCTGTTGTGGGGCCATTGCTTCCACTACGACGTGTTAGCATGATTCACAGAAACATTTTCGGGTAGGAGATATTTACGAATGGATACTTCCAGTCTTTTGGGTTCGTTCCGGTGACGACAACTTTGATGACGACGTCTCTGTCTTGGGGGGCTGGGATGGGCGCCTCGATGATCTCTACCGCCTCAGTGGAGGGCTGGATGATGGCTTGTTTCGGCATTGCTACGATGGCGCTGGAACTCCTTGGTCAACTGAGTGATGGACTCTGGTGCTGTTGCTCTTGCTCCAAACTGGACAGACATTCTTTATGTACCGGTTCACTGCCATGTCCGAAAGTCCGACTTCCAGCTCTTACAACGGATATCCGTGGCTGCCTTCGCTCGCGACAGAATGGTTGATGTTTGAGCACCTCGATGTGCCGTGAGCTATTGATTAGTAATGCAGCTCACGTGCCCGGACATCCATGGATATCCGCTCATGGAATTCCGTCCTCTGCTTTCGAGAGCACCCACTTGAGCATCTTCAACTCACAGTATCACCATGTCAAAAAGAAGCAAGATCGGCCCGGAGGTCTTTTCGTGTGAGTCGTGCCGGACGAAGAAGCTGAAATGCAGCCGTGTTCATCCCTGCTCGAACTGTACGTCTCGAGGCATCACTTGCGGGTTCCTGACCTCTCCGGAGAAGCGGCAGACTACAGTCCATCGTGACGCTGATGAAGGTATTACGAGCCTCTTGCGCAGAGTCGAGCGATTGGAGAATGCGCTGTTACGGGATGGGACCACACCAGCGCTTCGGATCAACGACGAACTGCAGCATTCAACCTTAGACGGACCCGCTGCAACCAATTCAGGCACTGGCAAAACAGCGAGAGACGATGACCTGGACACTCTTGAGAATCTTGCTCCTGGCCACAACGTAGGTGTCCTTCCTTCGCTCCAGGTGGCGACAGAACTCAACCCAGCTCTGTTCTGACCTTCTTTCAGACCGCCCTCACTTTCGATTCACCCAGATATGAGATCAAAACGACCTATGAGATCCTTGGGAGCGTCTCTTCGCACGCTTCTTTCAGCCCCATAGCTCTCCCGCCATATCGAGCAGCAGTTTCACTTCTCGACTCATTCGAAGCAAACGTTGAGCCAGTGTGTCCAGTCATACACCGCGAATCTATACGATCCATGACGAAGACTGTCTACTTGGCCCTCGCCCAAAGACAACCGCTTGTACCCAGTCAGGCGGCATTACTCCTGGCCCTGTTCTCGCTGAGCGCTTTCTTCTACCGGCACCACAACTCCCCACAGGTTGCAAGTACCGATAACGAATGCGCGAGGCTCTCCGGGTATTGGGGACACTGTGCCTTGCAGGCCATCAATCACTCGCACCAAGCAGCGGCAGGCACCTTGGAAGACCTCCAAGCGCATATCCTGATGTCGTACGTCTCGTTTCATGTGGAAGGCTTCTCGGCAATACGCCATCGCCAGATCAATATGGCAGTCTTTCTTACGAGGTCCCTTCGTCTCCATCGGCTGGACAGCGAGCCCCATGGAGAACCATTGAAACCGCTCAACGTCTCCCAGCTAATCGAGCTCGAGACAAAGCGAAGGGCGTTCTGGCATGTCGCGGCAACAGAATGGTAGGCCCTAAGATCTGAGTCGTCAGGTTGCACTGACACTAAGCAGGCTGGAGTCGACCATGTCCGGCCCACAAGAAGGAATGTACTTCATTCACCCGAGCCATGTTCATGTCAACCTGCCTGGAGACTTCACTGGTTCAACGCATGAACCTGGGAGCCAGTCTGATCTGGCCGGCCCGCCCAACACTTCGACTTTCCTACTTGCGAAGATCCAACTCGCCCATCTCTGCCGTGAGACGACGGACTTGATACCTCTGGAGACGTGCAAGGTGATGCAGATGCCTTACGAGCATGTGATCGATCTGGATGGCAAGTTCAGAACCTACGTGGCAGATCTGCCGTTTTTCTTCCGTGCAGATGAGGCCAGTCGAGCACAAAGCAAGCCGCTCGAGATGGTGTACCCAGGCATTACAACCATGCGGTATTGGATCCAGACAGCTACTCACAGCAGAAGATGCAGGCTTCACCAAAGATTCTTGCTGCGATTGTCCTCAGATCCTCGGTACGTTTACTCAAGGCAAGCATGTCTGGAATCCGCACGAGTAGTCATCGGCGCCTTCGCCGAACCTCAAGGCGCTGACGACTCACCGTCTCTGGCTAGGGCACGAATGGAGATGGTGGTACATCATACGCATCTCGCGGTGGTAGTCCTGGTTATGGATCTGTGCTCCAACAAGGCCGAAGCGGCTCGCGATAGAATCGGGAATGAGGTTGCAGCGGCTCTAGGGACGTTGCATGATGCTACAGCCGTCTCGGAGCATGCAGCAAGGTCGTTGGAGTCGCTGAAGCAGATGCTCCACAAGCACAGTGTGTTCGTCCCAACTGTCGTCCACATTGGAGGTACTGCTCGCAGGCAAACATCGCTGGAACAAACCCTTGTGCTTCAAGCCTCTACGAATTCGAGCGATGCCACTGCGACTGTCCAACATCAATCGTTCGATCCTTACACCAACTACAACGACGTCAGCGACATGGACTTCAGCACAAGTGACTGGGATGAGCTCTTTGCGAGCCTTGACTCAAGGCCCCTTTAAAGAAATACCAATCGACTTTGGCATTTGCATTCCTGTTCATCTGTTTCCATATAGCTACGACACAAAAGTATCACATGTCCGCCCATGGCTCGCTGTCACTTTCGATCGTTCGCGGCTCCAACAACAGACATACATCAGCACCCACCTCGGGCTACACCGGCATAGTTCTCAATCGTGATAAGGTTTGTGATACCATGTCTTGGCCTGCGGTGTGATAGCTGCGGGGTTGATCAACTTGCAGCACAGCAGCATCCTTACCTTCCTGAAGCGGAAGCATCGTCTAACCAAGTGCCTGACGATCAGCAAGCACGACTGCAACGTAAGAATGCCAAGCTGGAACGATGGCATTTAGACAATCATCGACGGCGGATGCGAAACTCTTCTCTTCGACTCTAGTTCGTACAAGCCATCCTTGGTGCAAGCCAGCAACATGAGGACGAACATGATCACGAGCCTGCTGGCTTTGACAGCCATCCTTCCGTTTGGTTTCTCACAAATTCCACCCGAGCCCGAAGGCGTGACTGTGTTGCAATCGAAATTTGGTGACGGTGTGGAGATCAGCTACAAACAAGTATCAATCCCATACCACCTCACACGATCGTTGCTCACAACATCTAGACCGACATCTGCGAAACGACACCGGGAGGCAAGGCGTACTCTGGCTACGTCCACCTGCCACCTGGAGCACTAGCAGATCTTGGGGAGCAGACTGACTACCCCATCAACACTTTTTTCTGGTTTTTCGAAGCTCGCAATGATCCGGAGAACGCACCGCTGGCTATATGGATGAATGGCGGGCCCGGAAGCTCATCGCTATTGGGCTTGTTCGTCGAGAATGGACCATGTTATGTCAACGAAGATTCGAACTCGACGAGACTTAGCGAGTGGAGTTGGAACAATGAAGGTGGGAACGAGCACTTCCAGAGACGAGATAACGTGCTGACAGATGTTCAGTGAATATGCTATACCTCGATCAGCCAGTGCAAGTAGGACTGAGCTACGATACGCTACAGCACGTCACGACCAACCTTCTTACCGGCGAGATCGAGATGCTCAACGACACAGATCCGGTGCCAGAGCAGAACGCCACGTTTCTGGTCGGGGTATATCCCAGCGGCGACAGCAATAACACTTCCCTCGGCACGGAGAACGCTGCAATCGCTCTGTGGCACTTCGCTCAGTCGTGGTTCCAAGAGTTCCCACAGTATCACCCCAACGATGGCCGCATCAGCATTGCGACTGAGAGCTACGGCGGCCGCTATGGGCCAGGCTTCACGTCTTTCTTCGAACAGCAAAATATGCGTATTCAGAATGGCTCTTTCACCGATGACGACGGCGAGATGTACGTTCTCAACCTCGACACTCTCATGATCATCAACGGCTGTATCGATCGACCGACGCAATGGTTCGCCTATCCTCAGATTGCTTTTAATAATACCTACGGCATCGAAGCGGTGAATGCTACAATCCACGAACAGATGCTGGACGCTCTCTACAAATCAGGCGGCTGCCTCGACCAGATCGCAGACTGCCGTGCTCTCATCCCAGAGGGCGACCCAGACAATCTCGGCACCAACGATACTGTCAACCAAGTCTGTGCAGACGCAGAGAACTACTGCTCTGACAACGTACGAGGGCCTTACCTTGAGTACTCTGGCCGCAACTACTATGACATGGCGACTTTCGATCCCGATCCCTTCCCAGCTCCATTCTATCAAGGCTATCTCAACCAGCCGCATGTACAAGCAGCTCTCGGAGTGCCACTAAACTGGACGCAGTCTTCGGGTGCAGTTAGCGAAGCTTTCCGTAGCATCGGAGACTACGTAAGACCAGGCTGGATCGAAGATTTAGCATATCTTCTCGACAATGGCATCAAAGTCACGCTTGCGTACGGCGATCGGGACTACGCTTGCAACTGGATTGGAGGCGAAGCTGTCTCGCTAGCCATCAACTACTCGAGCACTGCCGACTTCCATGCGGCTGGCTACGCACCAATTCAGACCAACTCATCTTATGAAGGCGGCCAGGTTCGTCAGTATGGTAACTTGAGCTTTTCGAGAGTGTATGAGGCCGGCCATGAAATCCCATCGGTAAGCTCTCGAGCAGCACTCTACTATGTCTCAAACACCGGCTAACCTTTACACCTGTAGTACCAACCCGAGACGGCGTACCGCATCTTCACTCGCGCTTTGTTCAACAAGGACATCGCCACCGGCACGGAACCGACATACTCCGACGGAGCTGCCTATCAGTCTTCTGGGCTATCAGACACGTGGAGCATTAAGAACGAGCTACCTGCCCAGCCACTACATTTTTGCTACGTGCTGGACCCTGGAGCGACGTGCTCGGAGGACCAGATCGAGGCGGTCCTGAACGGCTCGGCTCTGATCGATCATTACATTGTGGTTGACCAGAACTCAACACAGCTCTTCCCGGGCTTGCTCAGCGGTACGGGAACGAGCAGTGGCAATACCTCGTACAGCGCGGTGCCTTCTGCTTCTGCTTCTGTGGTGCCTGCTACTGGCGACGGTAGCTTTGCGAAGCCGTCCGCGATCCTTTCACTCTTTGCAGCCATAGTGGTCGCGGCGCTGAGCTTGTAAATGGAATGGATGAGGATGGACGAGGTTTCAAGACAATTGACAGTAATGATATAGACGACTCACGACCCACTACCACTAGGCGAAGCGCTCCCAATGTACACAACCATTACGGCAGCATAAGCCGCCGTCCCTGCCAACACGTTCTCCTTCGACTTACTCACCAGCGCAAAAGCTACCCCAAACAGAATCTGCTCATCGTCAGCCATGTTCCACAACCGTCAGCATTCCAAAACTCACCGTCGCTCCACTCACAATCCCCAACCTCGCCCCCACCCCCGTAACAAAAGTCATCACAACCATCGGCACCAACAAACTCGCCCCTCCCACCAACGCCACCACCACCCGCTGCACCATCGCCGTCAAATTGACCTTTGCAGCTTCCTCGGATTCGAAGTGTCGACCCACACGACCGGGGATGACGGCGAGCCATTGGCGGATGTAGTCGTTGGAAAAGCCGTAGCCGGAGAGCGGGGGGTTGATGTAGCGTTCGCGGCCAAGGGCGTTGTCGGCGGGGGAGAGGGTGAGGAGGGTGGCGGAGGCGTGGGGGAGGGGTTGCAGGTGCGGGTGAGTGAGGAGGGAGTGGAGATTGGTTATCAAGCGAGCTTAGCGGGTGGTTAGTTGATGTAGGTGGGCTCTGAAAGTTAAAGGTGGCGTACAGTGTCGGTGTAGTAGATCTTCAAGTTCGTTGAAGCGTTGGTCTTTGATTGCGGTGTCGTCAAAGGCATCTTGGGCCTCTTTCTCAGATTTTGCGACATCATTGATCTCCTGAGCTTTCCGTTCACATCGTTCTTGGAAGTGTTCGATGCTCTGCTTGTAAATTGGTTCTAATGCACGAAAAGTGAAGTCTGGAGGCTCTGGCTTGAAGTCAAGTGCAAGGACAACTCGACCGAACTCTGCTGCGAGCTCGAGCACGCGGACGAAGTCTATGTTGAGCCATGTGGGGTTGACCATGACGGTCACATGTTAGTGGGGTTTGAAGGATGATCAGACTGTCTGTGAGAACGTGAAGTGCTTCTTTGATGAGTTGTCCATCTTCTTGGCAACGGTTTTGCAGTGCAGATCTAATCGCTGCGTTGTCTCTTCTTGCTCGAAGTTGTTGATTCTCGGAAAGACGATACAGACAGGGCTCAGGAACGCATCCCCCTACCTCCCCTCATCCACCCTCACAGTCCGCTCATCCCCCTCCCTATCCCCCGTATTCACCGTCCCAACCTTCTCAATCATCAAGATCCCCGTCGGAACCGCAGCAACCGGCCGATGCTGCATCCCCTTCGGCACACTGAATACATCTCCCAACTTCAACTCCACCACTTCATCCGCACCTTTACTCTCCGCTTCCTCCGGACTGCTGGCTTGAGTGGACAGTTCGAGCTTGAAAGGCCCGCCAGAGACAACGTAGAACATTTCGTCCGTGTCGGGGTGGCAGTGCCAGATGAATGGGCCGGAGATTGTGGCGAGTTTGAGGGAGTGGGAATCATTGAGCGTGAGGACGTGTTGGGGTGTCCAGTGTTGGTTTATGGTGGCGACACGGTCGCGGAGGTTGGTAGATTGGTAAGTCGCCATGGTTTGGTCTGACAACGGTCCTGACGGCGTTGCGGCGGTTGTCCTTGGAAAGAACTTGATGCTTCGTGTTTCTTTTTCAACCCTTCGCCACCCATGTGCCGGACATCGGCAACACATTCGTCTTGTAGCCGATAGGGCGCATGGCTGCCTCAGGTATCTCGACTCTTTGCGAATGTTGTCAAAAGCTGTTCTTTCGTCCAAGCAGGTTGATACAGCGGGCATGCAATCGCTGCTTCAATCAGCATCCTCCCAATCAATATCATCAACCGCCGTCACAGCCGTCTCCCGCATCTCCCTCATCTCCCCATCACCACACTCATCCTTTTTCAACAGATCCCGCCACCCTTCGAGCTTGCTCGCGATCTCACCATCTCCTACCAAGCGATACTGCTTGATCATCCTGCTCGTGTCCTTGCCCGAGCTCATGAACAATCCGTCACTCTTGCAGGCAAGCAGGATCCAGATGACGTTCTGCAGCAGATCCGAGGGTCTGGTCATCTTGGAGATGGCTTGAGCTTTCTGATCAAGATGGGCACGCTTGACGCCTGCGACTTGGCCTTGACCGGGTTGCGAGATCTTTTGTTTCTTTGCGAAGGCGAGGATGCTAGCATTCAACTCCACCAGTGTCTTTGCCAGGTCTCGGGACTTGAGCGTGCGATCCAGGTCTTTGGCACGGCGATTGTCTTGCTTCAATAGACCTCTCTCACGGATATCTTGGTCGAATGTCTCGAGCACGTCTTTGCGGAAGTGGTCGGCCACACGGTCGTCGATTCGTTGTCTGAGGTCCGGGTCTTTGATACTTTCGGTGCCGACAATGTAGAGCTGCAGAGGTGCCAGGACTCTTGTCTGCAGCAATTGTTCGAATGACGATCGTTCGCGCTGCTGTATGGAGTCTTGCAGAGCTCGCTCAATCTGCTTCTTGTATTCTGCCCTTAGGATGAGCTCAGCAAGAGGGCTATTGTTTGACTTCTCAATCAAGGCCTCCTGCACTGTCGTGTCGAGCGTGCGGTGTTTCATCGCGGAGTCATTTTTCACGACTTCAGCAGCTGACATCTTCATCTCCTCCAAAGCCAGATCCAGCGATGGCTTGAGGATGACCACACGCTTGTCTCCCACCAGCACCTTAACGAATGAAGTGTCAGGATAACGCTCAGCACACCACATCTGTGCCTGATCGCCTTCAGAATACTCTCCGCTTGGGCCTTCATAGAAGCCATCAGTCTCCAATAGTGTTAACAAGTCCTTTGCCCGGGCATCAAATTCTGCTGCTTGCTTGTCCTGAGAGAGCTTCTCATACGTTGCCGGTATGAAGGCGACCTTGGATCCTGCAGACTCCTGGACGACTTGTCCATCTGCACCACCCAATGCACGCTTCGCCAGCTCCAGCAAGACCGGCGACGGTAGATCGGGTAGAAGAGCAGTCAGATCGACCTTTTCAACTTCCGCTCCGGATGCAGCCTGCTTGATCTTCTCGTCGGTCTCCGCAACAAGTGCCTCGCTACCAGCATACATCTGATGCCTCTCAGAAGCCCCCGTAATCAGACGCAACGGTCTCGCCAGCACATAAAGCGAGTCATACGAGATGGTAGCAGAGCTCGAAAATCGTTCCAGCAGGACAAACTCCGTCTTCACCCTCTCCCTGAGATCCTCCGTGATCTTCTTGATCTCCGACTGAGGCACGATCGAAGACCTGTTCTTACTGTAATGGACCAGCTCATCATCGAGGAGCCAGGTGTAGTCTTTGACGCCGAGTCGTCCTGGCAAGTCTGAAAGTTTGATCCGCTGGTTCTCTGATTCTAGGAGAGATCGAAACTGCTGTTGGACGTGGCGAGAGTCGAGGAGCTTGTCTCCAGAGGTACTCCGTACCAGGGAGGGCTGATCCTTCGTCGGTAGAGGTGGTGGGAAGGCTGCAATAAGCGCCGCTATGTCTTCAGGGCCGAATATGGACGGCATTTTCACGGGCAAGGGCGACGGATAAGCCTGTTGTTCCGGGGTGTATTACGAGGCCAAACGAGATCGAAGCAGAAGAGTTGAAGATGAGTCCATATGGAGAGAGGTGTTGTTCGACTTACTGTCGTCGGTGTAAGGCATGTTCAATCCTTTGTTCGATTCTTTGTCTGTTGACGAACGAATCCAAGTCCGGGAGGCGAGAGAAGCCAAAAGTGAACCGAAGCCGAGAGCGAAAGCGATTAGTGCCAAAGAAAGGTCGCGTCAATGACCGCATTGACTCGAACATTATCACATGTAAATACTGCGCCGATTTCTGTTTCCATACCGCCGACAACCCCTATACCAAATGAACGAGCAATAACACCACGCGCAATCGCCTATCCTGACTCTCCCACGACTCTACCACCTCCCACTCCGGATAGCGGGGGCTAAAGCAACATGGTTCAGCGGTAACATCACTGCCGGCCGGGTGGCCAGCACGACTTGTACATTTCAACATATCAATACCTTTTCGACTAATCGGCAACCACTGCTCTCCTGGTGGATGGGCAAGGAAGACGCTATGGAGGCACAGGGCAGCGGGAGCAGTTATAGGCCATTTGAGCGCAGCGAAGAGGAGGACGACGAAGGAGCAGCAAGCCTGGGTGGAGAGGAACAACTCCAGGAGCATGATACTACGCAAGACCGTGTGGACTATGAGCAGTTGCTGGGCGATGAGAATCTGAGTGCAATGGACCGGCAGTACGCTGCTCCCACGAACATACCCAGGCGGATACATATCGTGGGCACGGGCAGTATTGGCAAGCTCGTGGCGCATTCATTGCGAGGTCTGCCAGATCCGCCGCCAGTCACGCTGCTCTTCCACCGCCCGCAGCTGCTTGATGCGTGGGAGAAGGGCAACAAGCAGATCACCATTCATGACGACGGGTTCGACGTACCACGGGGTGGCTTCGACGTTGAGCTAGCTCCAAATGAGAGGATGCAGCATGGAGTGTTACTGCAGGATGGCACGCCGGATGTATACGATGTCGCCGATGAAAACCTACGACCGCACGAGGCAATCAAGCTCCTAGAAGAGGAGCAGAAGCAAGCCGCAGCGCAGCAGATGCCAGAGCCTGCCGAGAGCGACGAGCAGAAAAACAGACTTCCGGCCAACGCACTCCGCTACAGCGAATACCACTCGAGGGAGACAATTCATAACCTCATTGTCACCACAAAAGCAGCCTACACTGTGCCTGCGCTTGCACGCCTCAAACCTCGTATCCTGCCAACAAGCACGATCTGCTTCCTGCAGAATGGCATGGGTACCATCGACGAGCTCAACCAAAAGCTCTTCCCCGACCCGAAAGACCGGCCCAACTACGCCCAAGGCATCATCACGCACGGCGCCAACGTACCACCCGAACGTGCCGAACAAGACCCCTTCTACGCCGTCCACGCCGGCCACGGCACCATTGCCCTCGGCCTCCTACCCCGCGACGACATACCACGAGGCACCGACATCGACCCCACCACCGCCTCCCGCTCACAAACCTGGAAATGGTCCCAATCCTCCCGCCACCTCCTGCGCACCATCACGCGCTCCCCCGTCCTCTGCGCCGTCGGCTTCACCCCCACCGAACTCCTGCAACAACAACTCGAAAAACTCGCCGTCAACTCCGTCCTCAACCCCCTCACCGCCCTCCTAGACGCCCGCAACGGCAGCCTCCTCTACAACTTCGCCCTAACCCGCACCACGCGCCTCTTGCTCGCCGAAACATCCCAGATCATCCGCAATCTCCCCGAGCTCCGCGGCGTGCCCAACGTGAACACGCGTTTTAGTCCAGAGAGGTTGGAGACGCTGGTCGTGAGCGTGGCGAACAAGACGAAGGATAATGTGTCCTCGATGCTGGCGGATGTGCGGGCGGGAAGGGAGACGGAGATTGAGTATATTAATGGATATATTGTGAGGAGGGGCGAGGAGCAGGGGATCAAGGCGGTGGTGAATTATGGAATCATGCAGACGGTGATAGGGAAGGCGAGAATGGTTAGTAAAGAGACGAGGGGTGATGTGCCGGAGAATGAGGTACGTGTCAGAGGGCAGGGTGGGAGTATGTAGGGTATGGGTATGAAATGTGTATAGGAAGGTGTACAGCTATTGCATGTGATTGCTTTGAAGACAATGGGTCGCTGTGTCGATAGTGACGACACTGCAGACCCCATCTAGATGTATCTGACACTTTCCTGCAACCGTATAATATACCTTTCTCAACATCACCAGCCCTAATCTTCCCCAAATCGTGCCGGTCAACCCGGTGCAAATCGATAGTGAAGACTGATTCCGCTCTTCCGTCTCCTACGTCCCTGCCATCCCGGCGAACGGCTTCGAAGGATTGCCCGCGGGCTGACCAAAAAGCTGGGCGTTGACTTCAACTTGCTTGACCCACTGCCATTGCGCGACTCCAGCGTGCCACATGGCGTAGTCACACGGGCGGTAGTGCTAGGCCGAGAGGTCTCGAAAGGTTGGTATAGATAGGTAGGTGCAGCGCGTCTTCCTGCACCAAGCCTTCTTGGTCCTGTCATTGATATAGATCGCGAGACCTCGTCCACGGCGATTAATTATTGAGAGTCAATAGCTTGCGAATTGCTTCGTTATTGCTGCTAAGATGTTGGCACCACAATGCTCACTCCCTGCTGCAATGCGATCGTTGCTCATAGCAGCCATGCTACTCGGGCCATCGAACGCGCAGACTAACGAGCAAAACGCCCCTCAGTAAGTACTGCCATGACCTCCACCAAGCCACCACATCTAACAATCCCTTCAGCCGCTTGGGCGCCAACTTCGACTACAACCTCACCCTCTCCTTCAACGACGGCGGCACTTCCAACTGCCCCCGCAACGCCTCCAACGCCGGCTCCAGCGTGACCGTCTCAACCAAATGGCGCGGACCCCGCAGCTGTCTGAACCTGGACGAGATTTTTCTCAGCAACTCGACCAGCGAGAACAACCACACCATCCCCTTCGCAGTCTACAACCGCGACCACTACAGCCTGGAAACCAACTACTCCACTATAGTCTACCACCAGTACTCCACTACCTCCCGCTGGGACGACCGCAACGACACGAGCGAGTTCGCGGACCGGTACGTGCAGTTCTACAGCGACAGGGATTGTCAGCAGGGGGATGATGGGACGGGCGGGGATGTGTTTCCGTGGTATGAGAGTTCGTGCAGGGCGGAGTATGCGTGCTCGCAGGTTGAGTTTAACATTCGGAGCTTTTTGGTAGGGCCCGTGACGGATGAGTACTCTGATGGCCGATGTAGATTGACTGCGCAGTACGGGGCGGGGAGTAGTGTGAGGCCGTGGTTGGCGGCGGTGGTGGGGGTGGGAGCAGTGGTGGCGCTGTTTGTAGGTCTGTGACAATCGGCATTGTCCCGTCCGCTTCAGGCTGTGCCAGTGCACTGATCCTCGATCAAGCCAATGACAATTACATTCAGAGCTCGACAGTCAACCGATCTGGTTCACTGCGCTGTCCAGATCAGGCCGTGGTGCCCTCGAAGCAGCATTATCTTGATGGCGGGGACTGTGCGTGTGGTCAGCCAGAGACTAGTGTTGCTCGCATGGCTAGGATGTAGTCTGACATTTCAGTCACGGTGCAAAGTCATAGGCAGCACCTTTGACGAGTCTTCCTTGTTGGAGCATACAGATGACCCTGGCTGTTGCATTTGCTGACTCGGATGTCGTTGTGCTCGAGTCACTACTAACGCCCAGCAGCAAACAAGCAGTTCGAGGCCGGGTAAAAGCCCTGGAGGATGTTGTAAACCAAACGAGTCTCGCAAATCAATCTCACCAACATCCTCGACTTGGACTCAAAATCGAAAAACAGCCAGACATGTCGTCATTCCATGCAGATCGGCTATGCGAACAGCGCGCCTCTACTCTTCATGGTCAAGGCATGTTCACTACCCAAAAGGTAAGTCGTGGGACGCTCATCTTCCACGAAAAATCGCTCGCCTCTTTCGATGATACTACCGACGACTGGCCCGGTGTCTGGCAATTCTACCAATCCCTCCCAACAGCAGAAAGACTCGCGTGGCGCAGTCTCTACAACCCTGAGACCGCCGTCTCGAAGGATAAGATGGCCAAGGAGGCTAGAGAGTATTTCTTCACAAAGGAATGCGGAGAGGTGTTGGCCAATTGTCTCAATAACTGCTGGAAGGATTGTGTCACCGGAGCGTCCTTCCTGGGTATCCAGACGTCCCGGTTCAACCACTCATGTCGGCCGAATGGGATATGGGTGATCATTCCGGCAACGGGTAGGTTTGAGGTGAGAGCCACAAGTGTCATTGAGAGTGGACAAGAGGTGCTGCTGTCGTATCTTCCTTTGAGCTGCATGCGGAGCGCACGCATCAGGGAACTTCGACCGTTCGGGTTCGAGTGTCACTGCTCCCTTTGCAGTGAGCCTGATAGCGAAGAGGAAAAGAATAGGGCGGCGATGCACAACATAGACCAGCAGCTGTGGAGGATGGATCCACCTGGGGATCTGAACGACCGAATCCTGTTGTATGCGGAGCTGCTTCGATTGCAAACGGCGGAAGAATGCATGATCTGGGATGTCCTGTTGACGTAAGTTCATGACCATCACCAGGCCATGAAGGCGTTTGCACTAACGTGGCTGACTGTGTACAGTGCGACCCTCCTCCAGCGTCTGTACTTGGAAACCGAAGACCTTGATGGGGCAGCATCAACTGGTACCATAGTTCAGCGAGCCTCCGATGTCTGCCACGGGGAAGACTTCCGAATGACGAATGAGTGGAAGAATATGGTCGTCAATCAACTGATGCTGCCAAAGGCAAAGAAGTCGTAGCCCAGCCGCTGGCCCACTGAAGTCTCGGAGGTCGCGGTGTATTCTATCTGTAGTCAGTAAGCACATAAAGGACAAGATACGATTGTTTTTTCCCGTAGGTGCTTACATTGCCTTTCGATCTCGATGCGAAAAGCATACGATCAGAGCAGCCATGGCCCTCTCGGCCACAACTTCGGCGTTGACGCATTGAAGACTTGGTGCTTTTCTGTTATCGCTGACTCGGCGTTCGTTATTGGAATAGTACTTGACGCATTGACGACCAGCGGCAAACAGCTGGTGCGAGGCCTAATATAAGTTCTGTGAGCCGGTAGCCATAAAGGTCTTGCATAATCAAGCCAGTATTTGAGAACTTGTTCAAAGCCATCAGCCATGTCGTCGAACGTACAGCCAACTTCTCAGCCAGGTAATACTTCAGCCCCATATAGCACATCAACTTCAATCGGGCGTCCCTATGTCCCAGCAGAGTCCGACAGCGACCCACCCCACCTATGCGAGCAGCGCTCCTCACTCACCCACGGCGAAGGCATGTTCGCACTTGAACAGATAACCCACGGCCAGCTGATCTTCCATGAACGCCCCATCGTCCGTTTTTCCGATCCGAAGGCACCACCTCCCGAAATCTGGGCCGCCTATAAGGCCCTCAACACCTCCCATCAACACCACTGGCTTAATCTCACGGCTCCTGAGAGCAAAGCGGACCGGCTGCGCCTGGCGGATTTTGCGACAGAAGAAGTCTGGTATGATCTCTGTGGGGACGTCCTGGCGAACTATCTGAACAATAGCTGGAGAGATACGGTCTCGCAAGAATCTTTCCTCGGCGTTCGAGCGTCTCGGTTTAACCACTCTTGTAACCCAAATGCGGTGTGGGTGATGAACAGCATGACCGGTAGGTTCGAAGTCCGCGCAGTGCAAACGATCGAAGCCGATGCCGAGATATATCTGTCTTATGTCCAAATTTACTGGCCTCGCTGGGCCCGAGTTCGAGAGCTAAGGGACTTCGGGTTCGAGTGTAATTGCGATGTGTGCAGCGATCCGACCGGAGAGGCCGAGCAGTCGCGGTGGCAGATGTACGAGGCAGAGCAGCAGCTGCGGCATATGAAGAAGCCGGTGGACGAGATCGAAAGGATCGATCTGTATGCTGTGATGCTTGATCTGCAATTGAAGGAGCCTTGTATGGCACTCTACCAGCTGTTCACGTAAGCTCTTCACACTTCTTTCTACTTTGCAACGGTATCGGTGGTCTGACCGTGCGCAGGGCAACGTTGCTTGAATATTTGTATCTCGAGCAGGTTAATTGTGAGCAGGCGGCCTATGTCAATGGCGTAGCCCAGCGCGGTGCCGAACTGACCTACGGACGGGATTTCGAAATGACGCCCGCGTGGAAGCAAAGGGTCGTTAACTTACTTATGCTTCCATGGGCTGATTCGCTGGAGGGTTGATGGCTGTGAGGTGAAGATCCCGTGGATGCGTACACAGTATGTAAACCGTAATGTCACTTGAAGTCAAAGGACCCTTTCATGGAGTAGACGGCAGTTCTTTCCTGCTGCTGGTGTTCAGTGACAAGCAGAGCTGCGAGTTGTCAAACACATTGTGATCAATCTTTTCACTGCTGTACTGATGTCGACGCTTTTCTATCGTACAGAGTCTGTACACTATTAGTTCGTCGATGGTGGACTCGACCCGCCCAACTTCGGAGCAGAATATATGGCCCGTGAGACTATGCTGTTGCAACAACCCGTTCGTTCAGATCACGTACTGGATTGCATTTGTTAGCAAAATCCTTGCTCTTGTGGCGGAGGACAGCACTCACAGGAATGAACAAATATGGCGTCCTCCTCTCATACTCCTTCCAAGCATCCCCATACTTCTCCCGACACCGCTGAATATCCCTATACGCGCGGTGAATAATCATGCAAATGAAGAACACCGGGTAGAACCACGGGAAAGGCGAGTTGAAACCGGTGATCAAGCCCCAGGTAGTCGCAAAGTAGACGTCGCAGGTATAGTGGATCTTGCGCGCGTACTTGTACCAGCCGTCTACCAGCAGAGTGTCACCGGCGGAAGAAGTGATGGTCTCGGGGTTCTCGATGTGCTTCCACGGTAGACGAGGGAAGGTCTTGCGGTCTTGGTAGTGGCCGCGTTCCGCGAGACGGAACATGTTCTTTTGGCTTTGAGAGGTGTCCCAGATCCAGTAGACGAAGAGGTAGCTGGTGTAGAACAGGAACAGAGCAGGCTTGGACCAGGCATATGTCGCCGGGTCGTGGTTGGCGAGGTAGATGGTGCAGTGGCAGTAGCTGAGCGGCACGCCGGCAAGGTTCCAGAAGATCAGCATGAAGCCCCATTTCTCATAGTACATGTCCCAGGTGGTGACGATCATCTCTTCGCCTTTGCAGCAGGCGTTGGCATACAGGAAGTGCGCCATGAGGACGAAGCCGACCTCGCCGCTCACGTAGCCGTACAGCTCGTACTGACGTGCGGCTGCAGAAAGCGAAGTGAGGAAGAGGATGAACCACGGCAGGCGGACCTCGAAGAACATCTTGAAGTCCAGCCATTCGAACATTCGCGGGTTCAACTCAGCGCCCATGAAGAAGTCGTAGATGTGGTAGCCAGTCATGCGGTGTTGAGCGCCGCGGTACAGTGCAGACGCATATGCGACGATACTGACAAGGAAGCCGGTGATAATCGCCACGCTCATGATCGGCCCGAATTCGTCGATGAGCACGTACATCTTGAACAGCCCGCTGAAGTGGAGACCGATCGCGGCGACAATCGTGAGGTAGAAGCTGCTGACGCCGTTGCAGTAGTACTTCAATTGCTTGTCACCTTCGAACGCCAGTGGCTTGCCGTAGCTGTACACGCCAGGCATCGTCAAGTAGAGAATTGCTTGAGCAACCAAGAAAGTCCAATAGATGACCCACGCCTTCGCATGTGGGAACGCGCCAGTGTACGCAAGGTGGAAGAGGTGCTTGCCGTACTGCTGCCAGGACATGCTTGGCTCGGACGGGAACTTGCCATCGTAGTATGTCGCCCCAATCCACATGTACCACATGAGGAGCGGGAAGCCGATCATCATGGCACTGACACCCCAGCTGCCGCCGAAGTCGTAATGAGGATTCTGGTCGATCTTCGGATCGGTGCCCTCTGCCCACCCGTCCACCACCCTCCGTCCCTTCGGCTTGCCATTGAGTGTTCCGTTCGAGGTCTTGATATTCTGCTTGGCCTCTGCAACAGGGCTACGGCCAGGCACGTGCTCTTCCGGGTCCGTAGGCGAAGACGATCGGTCGGTGTTTGCCATTGACTTGCGTGAGCGCTTTCTGGTGCCTGGCGTTTCGACGAAGTCTGCGGGCATGGACTTCCTGTAGGCTCCTTGTCAGCCATTGCTCCATCTTAGCGCTTGCGCACTCTCTTCCTACCTAGGCGTCTTGCCCGTCTGACTTCTGGTCACCTAGATGCGCAGCTTGAGTCAGCCATGTCCCCGCACATCTCGCATTCGATTGAGACGTACTCGTTCAGACATGGTGCGATATCGTTGCGCCGGAAGGCCGGAATGGGTCCAAAATGTGCCAGTAGGTCAAGTCTCGCGGTCCAGTACCATCTACACCGTTTCCCGTGCGTCTGCGGCGGTGGGATTCGTGCCAAAGGCGGCGTAGTCGTAAGGGGGTGAGAACGCGTGAGGTGGTGCGATCCGAATTACAAGCAGAAAACGATGCGCGTCCGTGCTCTCGACACCACAACAACATCAACGACTAGCGTGTTTAATTCAATCTTTAGCCTCCTCCCCTTCATCCGTTGGCGGTAGAGTGTGCTCGCATGCTGGCACGGCCATCTTGGAGTACTGGAAGGCAATGGTAGGTGATCGGAATGAATGAAGGCAACGCACAAGAACGAGATGATGCCATAACCATCACCAACCGCTAAGCTTTTCTCACAACACCTACTACTTCCACTCCTCCTTCTACATGTTCAGATCATCAGCCAGACTCGCCACAATGAAGGTCGACCCAGCAATCGTCTCGCTTCTCAAGCTGGACCCAGCCAATGCCTCCGTATCGTCAGCAGGAGGTGGCGGCATGTCCTCAGCCAGCACCTCCAAAATCACAACCAAGCAGGCAGACGGCAGCACCATGCAATACTTTCTCAAAACCGGCCGTGGCCCCGAAGCCGAGATCATGTTCACCGGCGAACACGCCTCCCTCAACGCCATCCACGACGCCGTGCCTACCTTGTGTCCCAAATCCTTCGGCCACGGAAAGCTAGAAGACTCAAAGGGCATGTCGTTCCTAGTGACAGACTTCCTTGATCTCTCGGGCCGAATGTCCAGCAAAGGCTCATCGAGCTCTGGCATGACTCTCGCGCAGAAGCTGGCGAAACTGCACACCACCCCTGCGCCTTCTCCGGACGGATACGAGAAGCCGCAGTTCGGGTTCCCGGCTACGACGTGCTGTGGTGACACGCCGCAGGATAACACTTATCATTCTTCATGGGCGGATTTTTACGCGGAGAGACGGTTGAGGTTCATCATGCGGCAGAGTCAGAAGTCGAATGGAGCGGACAAGCAGCTTGATAACTTGATTGAGCAGACTTGTACCAAGGTTGTGCCGAGATTGATTGGAGATGAACATTTGAATGGCGGGAAGGGAGTTACGCCGGTCGTGATTCATGGGGATTTGTGGTCTGGGAATGCGTCGAGAGGGAAGCTGCCTGGTATGACTGAGCCAGAGGACTTGGTGTACGATTCGTCGGCTTGCTACGCACACTCTGAGTTCGAGCTGGGGATCATGAAGATGTTTGGTGGCTTCGGTGGCAGCTTCTTGAAAGAGTACCATCAACTGGTGCCCAAGACCGAGCCAGCGGACGAGTACGAGGACCGAGTGGCGTTGTATGAGCTCTTTCATCATCTCAACCACCACGCGCTGTTCGGAGGCGGGTACAGGAGCGGAGCGGTCAGTATCATGAAGAAGCTGATTTCGAAATATAGCTCGGATGATAAGAGCGAGCTATGATACATGCACCATCCATAAACGACAGATCTTGCTCGCAGCTCACGGTCCCAAGATCGCCCTTACTATACACAAATTGCCATTATCCGGACACACTTTCGTGCGATTCAACTGCTTATTGATCGGGCCCGTCGGTCCGTTGGTATACTTGTGCGATCCATCAATGTCAAGAATGTCTTTCTGCCGCGGATCCGAGTCACGGTACTGCTTGTCGCCCCAATGGCCAACGTAGTACAGCCAGTTCGTCCGCGTGCTGCCGTCGTACGAGGTAAATATCTGGCTACTAGCATTGAAGGAAAACCAATATGCACTTTGGATGGGGTCCCAGAACGCGCCTTGATCCGTGTGGTCTTCGACTAGTCCTTGGGGGAGATTGACGTTTGGGATGGCGTGGTCGTGGTCTCCCGGGATGGCGTAATTGGCGTGAGTGCCATTGCCGATGTAGACGACAGGCTAGGCGAAGTGAGTGAGAGAGCATGTATGATCAATTGGGTGAAGCCTACCCTTGCTCCATTATTGTACTTCTTGACAACGCGGTACTCGAACGCCTCCCCGTTGCTGTGCTGACTGTACCAAATAGCCTGCGGCTTGCCGTCCTTGAACCGGACCATCGTGTGCTCCCAGTCACCGACGTGGTTGCCGATGACATGGCTGATATACTTACCACCAAAGTTGAAGGCGTAGAAGTAGAAATAGAACACATCCACCATCCCGCTGCCATGGTTGTTCACGATGACAGTCGAAGAGACGGCACCGTTCGTCAAGCCATTGCTATCTGGTTTGGCACCGCGTAGCCAAGCTGGAATGTCCTCGACGTTGTCTTTGGAGGTGAGGTAGACATCTTGACCTCCGCGACCGTAGGCGTTCAGCTGGTCCAGATTATCGAGCGACAGCGGCCGTGATGAGAGGTTGCTGATTGGTGTGTAATTGGCCTGTGGCTGGGTGTTGACAAGTTGGCTTCCAATGTCCGCTGGGTAGTAGGCCTCTTTCGAGTAGAGATATGCTACCGGAGCGTAGGTAAGGGCGAAGTCGGGCACGCCGGATGGTGCTTGCCTCTTCTCGAGTGGTGCTGCCAACACGCCTGCGGCGAACAGCAGTAACGAGAGCATGGTTGCCAGACGCAGGGCAGACGAAGGAGCGAAGAGCAGCACAAACGACAAGAAGTAAACGAACAGGAAAACTTGCCTCTTGTATCGATGGTACTTACCTCACACTCCCAACATCCTCGTTTCCTTCTTTCCACACAGATCAGCCCACGTCGCTCTTGCACCATGTCTCACCATGCTCTCCAACCCTGTACTCTCTCCATCTTAACAGCCAAGCAAATGTGATATCAAATGCAGCGAGAGGCCAAATAGCACGGAGATGCTGTTGAAGACATGGTGTGCTTTGGCATCAATCGAATGTCGCAGCAGACGAAGAAGAAGCACGATGTCGAGAGATGGGAAGTGATTGGCAAGGGTTGAGGTGAAGTAGGAGAAAAGGCCTCGGACTAGCGCGGAATGAGATGAGGTTCGGGCGGTCCGGGATGGCGCGCAGGCGGACCCTCCAACCACACCTTGTGTTCAATCTGGTTCGTTCTTGCTATCATGCCACTCCTTCTCTGGTCATCGCAGTCATCAGAAAGCCTTGGAGGAGTCGAAGGGTGTGGGCCTCGAAGACCATTACCACCGCCTCCAAACGCGAGGCCGGGCGAAGGAAGACGCCACGTCTTCTGCGTTGTGGCTCTCACGGTGTCAAGACCGTTGTTCTTCAAGACTTTGAGCGGCAGTACAGTCGCCCGGCACCGAGAGATCGATCAATGTGAACATGGGTGATTGATTGCATCAAAACACGACATGTACACGCCATACTTCGAAGGTAGGCCAGATTCACAGGTTGGCATTTGATTCTTTCCATCCTCCATCACCAAGTTCCTTCCCTCTCTAGCACGCCTAACGTAGCCATTTATGCGGCGCGAATGATGGCTGTACAGAGGGAGAGAGCTTCCATTGGCACGGGATACACTGCAGTGCATTGCAGCAGCTAGCTCTGGCCTACGGGAGGATCGTTCGACAATCACTGCAGCTTGCAGCTTGGCAGATTGCACATCTTGCCATACACCCACCTACCGAGCTCGGGGGTCGCACGATCAAGCACTGGGTGAAGGCAATATCAAGAAATACCTTGGCACACGCTGCCGAATGAACGTGCTACTACCTGCTCCGCTACGAAGCAAGACTGGGCGCCATGGAGGCCGTTGCCGTGCAAGATTTGCCGCATAACCCAGTATGAACTTGCTCGTCGTGACCATGCTTTCGCGGACTCTTACCCTTCATGCAGTACCCGTACGAGGAATTGCAGGGCCCGAGTCACTTCCGGTTATTCAACCTGCTCTCCGAAGATGATCCCGAGGCTGCAGTCCGAGGTGAGATCCTCCAGGTCTCGCCCAGCGATGGTGTGCAATACGAGGCCTTGTCCTACTACTGGGGTACGCGGTCCAGCATCGAGCCAACGGTGTCGATTGCAGGCCTGTCCATCCCCATCACGGACAATCTCTATGCTGCCTTGCTTCGACTGAGAAGTAGGCGAGATGGATCTCCCTCCCCCTCGCAGGGACGCATGCTCTGGGTCGATGCAATTTGTATAAATCAGGCGGATCTGCCCGAGCGAGCGCAGCAAGTCCGTCAGATGCGGCAGATCTATCGAAAAGCCTCTCGGGTCCTCGTTTGGCTTGGAGAGTCGGAGGACGAGACACTGGCTGGCCTTCGCTTCCTCCAGGAGATTGGCTCAGGCTTTTCGGCTTTTACAACGCTAGACTGCAGACACGGCAACCTGGCAGCCCCAAAGATCTATGGCGGTCGACCTGGACAGAGTATCTTGATGAACAGCGGCTAGATTCTATCCATAAGACCCAATACAAGGATCTGCTTGCTGTCACTCACCTGCTGGAGAGGGCCTGGTTCGGACGGGCCTGGGTTATCCAGGAGTTCGCCGTCAATGACATCGTTAGGTTCACCTGTGGTGAGGTAGACATTCCGCACAACGAACTAAGAAGAGGCTTCTATGCATTCACAAGGACTCCACTGCACCATCAAGTCGTACAAAAGCCTTCAGACGTCCATAATTTCCGGCACCTGGAGACCCTTGTTGCTGCAACTGATGTCGATGATGAGCGTCCAAAAGAGCTGCAGCTGCTCAAATACCTCATCGCCTCCCGGGAGTTCGGCGCTCAGGACCCACGGGACAAGGTGTTCGCTCTGGCTGGCATGGCACTTGACGGGACCCGCACGCCTTTCGAGCCGAACTACGACTCCGACCATGGTGTGGAGCTTCTATATCACCGTGTAGCCGTCCATTACATTGCAGCTGGCTCGTTGACGGAGGTGCTGATGGAAGCTGGCAGCAATTATTCGACCGACGTGGAGGAGCGCAATCGGTTCGACACGCGGATGCCGTCGTGGGTGCCGGATTGGAGGCAGTATGTTTCTCCCCGGCGTATGTTGAACAACTCAGTTGCACGGGAGCTTCCACCATCATTTGAGCTCTCGGAGGATGGCATGGTCCTGAAGGTCCGATGTTACGTTCTCGACACGATCCAAGTGGCCGTCAGTAGTCGAGCCTTTCGCGATGGATACGACTTGGTGTACACAGAGTCGTCGAACATGCTAGGCGCTGAGGATGGAACTGTGGCAGCGAAAGTCCCGCAGTTCCTCTCCGACCTACGAAGAACCTTCTGCAACCGCCTTCAGGCCTACGTCTCCGCCCGCTACAGAGACGGCTCGAACTACTGCAATGGGCAGTCTGCAGCTGAAGCGCTCAGACGAACATTGTACTGCAACGGCTCCGGACCCTTCACAGTGGCTGGCCACGTTACCAATGAGGCTCGGACCCAGTACGACGATTCTGTAGCACATTGGCTGGAGCATGGAGGACTGATTCCTTATAATTCCTCAGTGGCCCCGTCGATGCCTCCTTTCCGACGAGACTTCTTGATGACGGAACGAGGGTATATTGGATGGGGGCCGATGGATGTTCGGAAAGACGATCTTGTAGTCGTTGTTCACGGGATGCCTTCGCCGAGTATATTGAGGAGGGTGAACGATGAACGCTTTTGCTTATTGGGGGATAGCTATGTTCATGGTTTTATGGATGGGGAGGTGGTTGGCAATGGGTCGTTCGAAGCAAGTGATATAAGCTTGGTATGAAGATAGCCACACTAAAATAAAGAGTTCCATCTAAGTGTCAGTATGAGAACCCACGATCTTCCTATTGCCACCGCCCCGTCTGCTCCATCAAAGCCGATGCCTCCGACAAGGATAACAAGCCACCAGGAAGCAAATCTTGCACTCCCCCACGACATCCTTCTTATCCTTCGCACACACCGGACAATGATGGTAGCCCTTGAACCGCCTCCAACGCTGCGGGTGCCTGCACTCGTGGTTCTCTCGCAGTTGCTGCGCAACGTCCTGGACGCGGGCTTGGTGGGCTTCGTTGTTCTGCTGGGCATTGGCTGGACCAGCTTGAGGCGGAGCGTGGATATGCTGGTGCTGGGCTGCTTGCTGGGCGTTCTGGTCGCGCACTCGCTGAGCGAAGTCGTTCTGCTGGGCATTGGCTGGATTTGCGTGATGGAGCTGCAGCGGATAACGCTGCCTGCATGCCGGCAGAAGAGGTGCATCACGCTCGTGGAGTAGTTCAGCGTCGGTAGGATCGAAACCCTCGCGGACTAGCTCGTCCCTCAGTGGCAAACCCGCATTCACAACGGCACCTTCTGGCCGAAAGGCAGTAGCGCATGGACGCCGTGGAACGGCAAGGGCGCGTGGACGCCGGTTGATAACCTCCTCCGCCCGAGCGTAGAGCCTCTGCTCATCCCATTGTGCGCAGCGGCAGGTCTTCCAGCGCGCGCCGCAGAGGTAGCAGAACTGTCGTCGACATGTGCATCTGCAAAATCGATTAGCATAGCTCATAAATGGTTGCAAACCTCAAAGATTGCTTTGCACTCACGTCATATGATTGCACCCAGTGTTCAACTCAATGATCCTCCCACACTCACACCTCCTCCACCCCTGCCTGTGCGCTTCCTCCAGCGTCTGCTGCAACCCGACGTCCTGCGGACAGTCTCCCAAATGCCCCGCAGCTTTGCACATCGAACACGTAGATTGTCCGCAGCTCCCACACCACGCGACATCTCCCCTAATAGTTGCCGGAGGTATGAACGCTGAGCAAGCCGAGACATGACAGTACGTCCTATCCGCCGTCGTCAACTCCACCGCTCTCGTCTCAAACTCCTCCGCCAGCTGTGGTCCGAGGAAGTGCTTCGCATGAGCCAGCGGTATCTCGTTCTGACAGCAACGAGGAGGGAAGTAGGCTTCGTCGGTCATGGCCTGGCGGAAGAGCCTGCTGAGGCACGTGGCGCAGTAGGCGTGGTTGCAAGTGCTGGTGGCCAGCTCGTTGCGTGGAAGGTCGTCGGCGCAGGCGGTACATGTTGCTGTGTCGGTGGCACTTCGTTGTTGGTCATATGCCGACGGGGCGTCGAAGCTATCGTCCTCTTCTTCTTCCACTTTGATTCTAGTGCCGTCGTCGCTGCCTTCAGCCTCCAGTTGAAGCGCCAGCTCGTAGTCTTGCGCGATCTGGAGACGATGTTCATCAAAACCGTCGCTTGCACCTGCGGCGAGCGCTTCGGCAAACTGTCGATCGACCTCTAATTGTTGCTCTTGCTCTTGAAGCCGTCGTGCCAGCTGCTCGTCCCCAATCTGTCCATTATCGCGTCGACCGAATCGTGGGTCGTCCACCAGTCGCCCGGACATGGTGGGATATCTCGGTTGGCCGGCTCAGAAGTACCTTCGCGTATGATAGAAGACTGGGAAAATGAATTGAAAAGAAGCAAGTTGGGAGAGGTCTTTATCGTAAGAGATGAGAGAGTGATGTTGATCCAAGATGTGAAATGGTCTGGAAAGCACCGATGAGACAGTGAAAGAAAGAAGCCGTTGAGCAGTGAATCTCGCCCATGCTCTTCTGTCCGGTATTCAGTAATGTTCGGCATGTGAAGGTGAAGTCTGACCTAGGTGAGACGCATCTGACACTTCTCCACTCGACACTTGATAACGGGGTGTTCTATCCACCGCTATAGAGGCGGCATCATACTTCAGCTGTAGGAGAAGCTGTAGCGCTCGAAACGGTGAGGCGTCTTCTCGATAATCGTATCTGCTCATAAAGTACCTGCTGAAGTGTTGGCAAGACGTCCCGGCCGTTGAGAAGATAGCATGGCTCGAAGGACCGTGCGAGGAGTCCACTTACTGACGGTACCCCTTCTCCATCGCGCCAATCGTTCACAGCACGCCCTTACACCCCCCAGAAACCTTAAAAACTGTCTCGCTCGAGGAGAAGCACCTCAAAAGTACCCCTTCAGCACCGCCGCCTCAGCGTTCAATATGCTGCTCCCTGCTGCCCCGATAACGGTATTGTGACTCAGGGCTGTGAACATGTAGTCGTATTGCCCGCTCGGATCCTCCCGCACCCTTCCCACGCTCACGGTATAGCCTCCTCCTAGGTCTCGATCCAGCCGTGGCTGTGGCCGATCCTGCTCCTCGAAAACCATGATGGCTCGCTCGGGCATACTGGGGCACCCCAGCTTCTGTGCGTCTGGTACGTAGTCTCTGAGAGCCGATTTCACTTCGTCGACGCTAGGCGGCGGCCGGCGGTCGAAGGAGAGGGACACACAGGCCGTATGACCGTCCAGGACCGGCACCCTGTTGCAGGTGGCACTGATTTTGAGGGCGGATTGCTCTTCAAACTCAGTGGCGGCTGAATTTATCCCCCCGAGGATCTTCTGCGCCTCGTTCTCCAGCTTGTCCTCTTCTCCGCTAATGAAAGGGATCACATTGTCCATGGTGTCCATCGATGATACGCCAGGATACCCAGCACCGGAGACGGCCTGAAGGGTGGTGACCGAGACTTTATTGATGGGACCGAATTTGGCTTGAAGGGCTGCGAACGGGATGACAACACCGATGACTGCGCAGTTCGAGTTGCATACGAGGAAGCCCTTTTCCAGATTGTGGTGTTTCCGTTGATGTGGTATGAGTGAAAGATGTGGTAGGTTGACCGTTGGGACGACCAGAGGCACCATAGGATCTTTGCGGTAGTTCTTTGCATTCGAAAAGACGGGGATGTTCGCTTTCATGAAGGCCATTTCTTGTCACTGAGGTCAGTTCTCTGAGGCGACAGCATACCTCACGGTAGCGCAACTCACCCGTCTCGCCCGCAACATCGCTATCCAGCCCAGAGAACACCACATCGACTTCGTCTTTGAACTCTTCGGGGGTGCAGTTCTTGACCACCAGCTCGCCAAGCTCCTTGCTCATCGGCTGGCTCTGCTTCCATTTGGCTGCGTCTCTGTACTTCTTGCCCGCGGACCTTGAGCTGGCGCCGACTGCCTAAAAGCAAAGCCCAGTTAGCAAACTTCTCTGGCGTCCAAAAAGCATCATGTGGCCCTCGATCGCTCCATGGTACTGCAATCTAGCTCGGAGAAGCCGTCCAGTCCATAGCCTCCTACTCTCGATGCCGCTCAACAACCCAACGTACCGTAAGCTTAAAATGCGGATGCAGCGCAAGCAACAGAATGAACCGCTGCCCGACACTGCCAGTGGCGCCCAGTACACCTGTATCCCATAGCAAACGTTAGCAAAACTGTAAAACCGTACGACAGCTTCTCCGCGCGTGTAAGTGATTGGTGAATGTAAGATGTGGCGGGAAGGGAGCATGAAATATGAGCAGGCTCGTGAGAAGAAATCGAAGATGAGTGAGTGTAGGGCCTCTTCTCCGCGGCGGAGATGCGAAGTGATGAGGACGTCGTGGTGCGTGGGAGGTCTTGCTGTCTCGAAGAACCGTGTGAAGCCATATCCCTCCTGCTCGGGTTGTGAGAGTGAATGAGACAACAGATTCCACTTACCGCACCGCTTCGCCGGAAACTCGACCCTCTTCTCCGCGTTCATAGTGCTCATCGTGCCAGTATGCCCGTAGTTGTTTCCCTAAAAACGTCTTCGTACGTGTGAGAAGATGTTCATGCACAGTCACAAGAATTTATAGCCACCCCACACCTTCACATGCCCCGGCGGCAGAATTCGAGTCACGGAATGACGCATGGTTTTCACCGCCTTTGGTCGGCGTGTAGTCTTCGAAAGAGAGGTAATTGGGGGATGAGTCTTTGGGAAGAAGGTTTTTGGGAGGGTTTCTTTATTCCATACAGGCTATCTAAAGTATATTACAGTCATGTTCATTGTGTCGTATCCGCTGCGTCTCCCATGCTTCTCGTGCCTGCGCTCGTGTCCCGAAACGCCCTTCGCAATGCAGCTAATCAAGTCTCCGACCCTTTATCAACGCGAGAAAGGCAAAACGAGCCGTCCATGCGGCTGCTGTCAGCTGGCTTGACCGCTCGTCGCTGCATTGCCCGCCGTCTCGCCCAGATACATATTCCCCATCTTCGCCAACCCGCTCAAGTCCTGCTCAGCACCCGGCTGTACATCCTTCTCCACGCCCTTCTCACTACCCAACGAGCTCTGCTGACTTAGGCGATACGTCAGACTCAGCATCTTCCGTCACGGTGTTCTCCTCCACACCCCCTCTCCTCACCTCCAACCCTTTAGCAAACACCGCTCCATCCAACTCCCACCTAACCCCAATCCGCCTCCACCTCTCCCCCACAAATCCTTCCAATCCCACCACCTCCGCCGTCCGCGCCCTCGCCGCCTCCAGCTCCTCCTGCCTCTGCGCCTTCTTCAACTCCTGCACCTCCCTCTCTTGCCGATCAGCACGCATCTTCATCCTCCTCGCCTGGTCGCCGCGTAGAACGTTGATGACGCTGGCGTGTTTGTTGTCCATCGTATCGCGCACCCAGCGTGCCTTTGTTAGTTCGGAGTGGTCTGATTCGGTGATGGTGCGGTTGTGCGGTTCACCGTTGGCATAGGTGCCGGCGCAGTAGGCTTCCATATGCTTCAGCGCTGTGGCGTGGTCGCGCTTCTCTTTCTCGTGGGCGGTGCGCATGTTGGCTTCGGCGCTGACTTGTTTGTCTTCTGCCTCGGCCATTGCGTTTGCGTGGTGCTCGACTAATGCTTCGGTGGCGGCTTCCTGGCGGGCTTTGAGCTCGGTTTGGAGACGATCGTGCGTGCTTTGAATGAGTGCGCGGTGCTCTTCAATCCAAGTGCGGAAGCGGACACTAAGCTCGTTGTGGTGGTTTTGTAGCTCTTGAAACTCTGGCCGTTCGAGCAACCTTTCTGAAGGAGTATGGTTGGTCGCAACAGAGTCTACCCTTGACTCGTCCGAGATAGTTCTACCACCTGGTGCTGGTCTGCGTCTGACGCCTGGCGGACCGATCTCACTCTTGATCGAGGGCGCAATAGACGCTGCCTCGTCCCACTGTTCCAGCTTATCCAGCATTGCTTCCTGCTCTTCCTGTGTCATAGCTTGCTCTATCAAATTGCCCGGTATAGGTATGCCGCAACAGCTTGGAACAGCACCGCTCTTGCTTGCTGTTGCGGCTTGGATCGTCTGACGCAGCGCTGGAGTGCACAAACGGTGGCCGCATGGCATGGCGTGTTGGGCTCGCTTCCGGCTCTGCACCTCTCGCGGACAATGCGGGCAGCCGACTGGTGAAAGGACAGAGTCTGTTCGCCGCAGCTTGAGCATGCTAAGCCCACGGAGGTGGCAGAAGGACTTCTTCGGCGAGGGCGAAGGTGAGTAGAGTGGTAACGAGAAGGTCGATCGCGAAGGTGGAGATGGTGGTGAGAAGGAAATCTTGTGCCGTCCGTCGCGGCGGCCTCGCGACAGGAAGTCGTCATAGTCCTTGAAGGATAGACTTGTCCGGAACGGTCGCCTGCCATTGAGCTGTCCTCTCGAGAGATCCGAGGTGTTAGAGGTGAATCCTGTAAACCGCGACTGCTCAGAGTCAATTGACTCTGATCGACGCGGTAGCTCTGACGAGAACGTTCGCATTGACTCCGGCTTCGTCTTCGGTGGTGAGGAGACAGCCAGCAAACCCATAACCTCAACACCAAGCTCTTTCGCCGCGACTCGTAAGCGTTCGTCCAGCATCTCTTCAGTCTGGCCTTCCGGAAGAAGGAGCACCCTTCTCTCATACAATTGTTGTCGAGAAACATCGGCCTCTTCATGCGCCGACCGCAAACCCGTCGAGTCCATCGCGCAACAGTCGCGTACAGTCCAACGTAGCACCCAGATGGTATCGGCGCCTAGCACAGTCAGGTCATTTGCGCACCTGTACAACTCCTTGTGCAGCAACGTCCCCGACCCTTTCTTCCAGCGATTGGCACAAGCTGTCGCACCCGCGTCGCCTCCACTGACAGACCCGCCGCCGCGGTCAAGGTGCGCTGTTCCTGCGCCCTCCACTGGTGTGTCTCAGCAGCAGCAAGCGCATCCACAGTGCGACTACCCGCCGTAACACCGTCCCTTGTTTTCCCTCCGCGCCAGGCCCCGGGTGTACGCAGAAAGGTGATGCAGTCCCAAGGCTCAAACACAAACGTGACACCTCCAATGCCTTCCGCTCGCGACCAGCCAGTCCAGCCAGCACACCGCAGGTAAACGAGCGAGAGTAGAGAAAGAACGGCACTGTACACACTAGCAAGCGCCTGTGCTGTGTCGTCAACTCACCGCTGGCTGACAGGCGATCGACATGCACGATGCCCTCATTTGGGCCTTGCGAATCGAGGCCGACGCGCTGGGGGGAGTTTGATAGGCGGAGATCCGTGACTTGCCGCTGCTGGTGGCTGCCGCTGCTCGCTTCGCTGGATCTTCCTTGCAGCTGCTCCGGACTCCGGTGGTGGTGGTGATGGGGGTGGAGGATGTGGTACAATGGTGATGTTGGGGTAGTAGACTGTTCTGCTTAATCAAGTACTCTATGTACGAGGAAGAGCTCAAGAACTGTTGTTGCATGTGAAAGTCCAACGTCGAGAGCCAAAAGTGATAGATCTTCCCGAGCGGTTTATCGACGGAGGTGTCCTAGTTAGAACGTCTTTTTTGAACCTACTTTTGCAACCACCTTATAGCACTACTCTCACCACACCGCCCCTCTCAATTTGTAAGCTTCTACTACGCTATTAGAACCCTACTAACTAGTATATAGCTCGCCGGCTCGCTCGCTAGCTAGCTCGTAATTGCCACCTAGTCTACTAGACGACTAGACGAAAACTAGCTCGCTATCGGCTTGTTAATAATGCCTCGTATTGCTATTAACCTCGAGCCTTAGAAGACTACTATTAAGGAGTAGCGATACGGTAGTACTAGCCGCGAGCTTATACGAGAGTACCTTACTACCGAGTATAGTATAGTTATTAGCCTTAGACTACTTACGAGGTACCTATTATAGTAGAATCTTCGAATTAACCGGGTCGTAGTAAATAGGCAAGACACTATAGTAATACGAGCTAAGATCTATCGCTACTACTATAAGCTACGACTCTTAGATAAGCGGACCTTACGGATTCTAAAGCTCGATAGCTTAGAAGTAGCTCCTCGAACGGTTAGGCTTATCTATAAGGATATAGGCCTCGTTAAGCGGCTCGTAGCTAGTAAGTATAAGGAGATAGAGGAGGAGCTTCGTTAGGCTCTATAGAAGGAGCTTAATAAGGGACTTATAGAGGACTATAGCCGCTACTACCTCTTTAACTATATACGGAAGTACTATAATAATATTATAAACGCGTAAGTAACTTCGGAGGAGTAGACGGTTCTACGAGCCGGTAGCGAGACCGCTAAGAGTACGAATCTAGCTCTACCTCCGGTTTATAGGCTTAGTCGGCTTACTTCCTAGCCTTCTTATATCCCTTTACTAATTATTAACTCGTAGTAAGCGCCTCTACCGGCTCGTAAGGGAGCTTAATCTAGAGGGTATAAGGGCTCGTAAGCTCCGCCGTTACCGCCGTAGCTATAGCTATCTACGGATACCTAGTCCGAATTACACGTAGTCTATTAATAGCTACTACAAGCTAGATTACTATAGTATTAAGGTATATACTACTATTAACTACTACTTACGATATATTATCTAGGTCTACGTAGGCCTCTTAGCTTATACTACGATATCCGTAGCGGCTTAATATCTCTACTAGCTAGACGAGGCTAGTATAATACCCCTTGTTATTAGCTCTAACCGTAGTAGTAAGATACTAATCCTTACTAATATTTACGCCTTTCTATCCGACTTGCTTTACGAACGAGCCGACGGCGAGCTACTACGATTTCGCAATATATATCGATACGGAACTAGTAAATTTAACTAGTAGATCGAGGTATTCTAGTCTTAACTTACGAAGTCGTATATCTAGCGCTAGCGAGACTACTTGCGAGAGCTCTACGAGCTAGACGAGTACGACAAGGATCTTCTATCTAATCGATTAGCTTACCTCGTAGTCTATATACTAATCCTCCGCCGTACGATCGATAACTTCGTTAAGATATAGAACGCGTACTTAATCCGTCTATAAGGGGAGGGAGTAGTTACCGGTATACCGGAGCTACTTTATCTATATCCGGAAGACGAGGGAGCGGAGGACTATAGGATTAATATTACGAAGGAGTACTTTACGTCGTTTAAAGTAGACCTAAGTAGCTTTAGTTCGTATAGCTCGCTCGCTTATTAGCTCGCTCGCTTATAACTCGTAGATATAGAGGAATATATACTACTATAGACGCTCGATTAGTATAGCCGGTAGCTTATCGAGCTTAGCTACAAGCCGGTATAGACTAGAGCCCTATCTAATAACGATAGGCTTAAGTAATACCGTACTACTTATCTATAGCTCCGCGACTAGATTAAGAGCTACCTTATAAGTAGTAACGAGCCGTAGCTATAGGAGTCGGTAAAGCCGCTTCTAGCTACTTAGGAGCTATCTCCTCGGGTCCGATAGGTCTTTACTAACGCTAGTGTATAGCTATTTGGTCGTTAGTATAGCTATATTAAAGCTAGAAGGTACTTTCGATACTCTAAGGTACGGTATAAGGAGAGGATACTACGAGCCGACCTATAAGCTAGTAGATAGCTAATTTTTTCTTAAGTAACTATAAGTCGAGCTATCCTATATCGGTTAGAAAGAGGGGACCTATATAGTAGCGTCCTATAGCTACTATAAGAGCTCGTAGCCGGCCTAACGTAGCTCGTAGCGTACTCGTAGTCCCTAATTTACTAGTACTACCTCGTCCTCTCTTAGTTTATTATTTTCGTCTTATCTTCTTCCTTATATCCTTCCTTTTTAACTACTTTAACTACTTCCTATTATGTCGTTACGCTCTCTATAGACGCTATACTATATAGAAGATACTTATCGTTACGATAACTATCTAACTACTCGTTACTACGGCCTCTATAGTAGTATTAACCCCGATCCTATATACTAGTATAAGCCGGAAGCTACGAGCTAGACGACTACTACTACGAGCCGGCCGGCTATACCTAAATTATAGCCGCGGTTTGTTACTACTACCCCCGAGGTATATACGATACTACTATTAACGGCTATAAGCGAGCCGGTACGCGAGCCTACTATTATACCTCCTCTAGCCTTTAAGGCGTCGTCTATCCTTATAGGCCTTCTATCTATCGCTAAGTCTTACCGTTAGGCCGTATTTACGGCGAGGAAGCTAAAGCGAGCTAATACTAGCTTAGTCCCCGTCTTATAGCGAGTTGTTATAAGCTAGCCGGTTAAGGAGCTATCTACGTATAGCTTTAACGTTAATATCTACTTTTAGGTTCTTAATATTAGCTCTACGGAGGAGGACTAGATATAGAATAAGCCTAATTATATCTATACTTAGTTAGACTAGAACCTTAAGGATATAGATTATACCCCTCCTTTTAACGACTAGATTCTAAGCCGTACTCTAAGTAAGGTAGCTCGTAAGGCTCGTAGTCCGGATCGCTACCTCTACGCCGAGATCGTAACCGGCTAGTATCTAAAGCTCTATATCCCCCGTTCGCTACGCTTAGAGCTACTTACGAGTAGTCGGTTATTAGACGTCGTAAGTCTATTAAGCCGGACTAGACGAGCTATTAATAACTATCCTATCTATAAAGTTCTTATTAACGTTATCTACTACGAGACTAGTATTACGAAGACTCTATAGTTTAAGGTAGAGGATAATAAGCGGAACGACTAGTTCTATATAGATAACTACTTTACGAGCTATACTACGAGCCGTACGGGTATACCTCCTTAACTACGTATACCTTCGGCAATTATACCGGTTTCGTTACTAATCCGGAGTCCTACTATAAGCGCTTCTACGAGCGGTCCCCCTATAGTTATTAATAGTATCGAGTATCTAGTCTTTAAGCTTCTATCCTCTTAGAACCTAATTAACGAGCAAAAACGTATAGAAGCTAAGGCTCGAATTATAGTAGGAATCGTAGAAAAGGTACTTACTACTACTTAAGCCGCTCGAGCCGCTAGAAGGGCTCCTTTAAAGCTTTATCTTAAGCGCTCGGCGGGTATCTCGTCTACTTTAGAGTCGTCTACTTCGGAGTCGTCTACTTTAGAGGACGTAGAGGCTTATACGGCTCGTTAGGAGGCTAATAAGAAGGCTACTTACTATAAGCTTTTTTATAAGAAGCTTAAGTAGAGAGTCGAGGCTACGGAGCTTAAGGAGGGCTAACGCGAGTCGCTCCGTATAGTAGTACGAGCTAACTACGAGTAGAATTAGTCTAGCTCGCGAGAGGGGGTTACTATAGATATCGGCCGGTATATTACCTATCTAACTATAATAGCTACTATAGTTCCTATTCTACTAGACGAGATTGCGAGGCGTAGCGAGCCGCTAGCTCCTTTAAAGGGTAAAGCAAAAGCGCTACTACGAGCGGAGCCGTCTAATAGGGTATTACGGCCTCGTAAAAGCTAGAGGGGAATAGATACGAAGCCGGAGGAGGTAGTTAAAGCGGTAAAAGACAAGATAAAGGGGTCTAATAAGTAGTAGAAGCAAAAAAGGAAGTAGTAGTAGTAGTAGAAGTAATTAATTAAACTCTATATACCTAGGGTATTATTAGAAGTAGGAATCGCTAAGGCTCGCCGGTAGGCTCGCTATATAGATAGATACTATACTTTTAAAAGGAACGAAACCCACTACCGTTACGACCCTCTTCTAGCGACTAAATACGGCCTTTAAGCTTAACTACCTCGTCTTTAAGCGTAAGCTTCTTAGACTTAAGTACTAGAACCCTCTTAACTAGCTTATTAAACCTCTCCGCTAGCTAGTTAAGCAAATTCGGTAGCTCTAGCGAGCTCGTACCGCGGCTCGTAGAGTACTTAGATTTGCCTTAACGCTTATAGAAGGTATACCTAACGTATAAACTCTTATTAGTAGGTAGAGAGTACTTAATCGCCTACTTATTATACTAATAGTAGTTCTCGGTAGTAGCGACACGAGCGCCTTTAACCTCTATAATAATACTAGCTATAGTATACTTGGTTATAGCGTTATAGGTGGATTTGAGCTATATAGAAGTTAGTAGGGGTAAATAAAGGGAATTAGAAGGAGAGACTTATATCGGCCTTATTCGTTCTTATAGCTAACTCGTAGAGTAGCTCGTACTAACGCCTAGTACTATAGTACTAGAAGTCGTTTAGGTCTTAACTCTCTAGCTTGCGGTATACTATAGTACGTAGTAGTAGAGGGGGGGCGTTAGGAGGGGGTAGAGGGGGGGGAGGACCTCCGGTTATTTGATTAAACCGGTCTATCAATTAGGTAGTAGAGCTGTTAATAGGAGTAAAGGATGCTATAACTAGTATAGCCGGAATGGTTTTTCTAATAGTTGTATTAGAGGGTTAAGAGCGAGCTATATAAACGGCTCGTAGATATAGGAAATTAGCCTTATTGTCACGAGACGACAATAGAACTACCTAACTAATAACAATGGAACAATAGCGCTCGCAACGACTTATAATAGCGGCTCGTAGGTGGCTCGTAACTACAATAGCAGTACGGTGAGGTGGTTGTAAAGGTGAGGTTGCGTGAAAAAAGACGTTCTGACCAGGACACCTCCGTCTTCATCCCGCCTCCGAGATCTGCAGTCAGCCCATTGAGGAAGTAGCAAACCAGATCTGGGTTGGATGAGATCAAGAGACAAGATTGCTTGACAAGAGGCCACAACGGAGATGTCATTGCTTGTCCGGGTATGTGAACGACGAGACCGCCGAGCGTTCGCCATCGTACTGTATGTACGTCGCTACATCTTCCGCCATTGCACTGTACATCACCGCAGCCTTCTCACCCACCACGCATGAACAGGTCGGCATGCCTCGGGGCCCATCCCCTCCGTCACGGAGCGGGAATTCATGCCCGTGGCGTGCGCCACCATCACATCACCTTCACGACTAGAGTTCGTTGACATAGCATCTCTCTCTTTCCCGGCGGCTTTGCAAGTACCTCTTCTCTTCCCAAGCACTTCAGTCACTCAACCATACCAAGGCGCCCCACTAACCCTCCCCTTAGCCAACTCGGCCTCAATATTCTCCTTCACAATTCTCTCCCTCAACCTCCCCACCTGCTTCAGCTCTTCCTCCAGCATGCCTTGGCCGAGCCCATCCATCGTCTGCCCCTTCACCCCACCATCACCGCCGAACCATCCCCTCCACTCCAGCCAGCCTGCGCTTCGTCCGCCTTCTCGTGAAGTAGAGGTAGCGCGGGAAGTGGCGAGTCGCTGCAGCATGAGCTCCCAGTTCTTGACGCCGGTGAGGAGGCATTCTTTGCACTTCCTGCCTTCGTTTTCGCCGTCCTCGGTAGTGATTGCTGGTTTGCCGGCGCCTCGTTGCGCTTGCTGTCGGTTTTGAAGATTTGCTTCGGCGACAAGGACACCTTGTCTTGTCCAGCCTACGCCTTCGCTTGCACGTTCTGGGGCGGAGGCAAAGAGGATCTCGCCAATGTACACCATCAACTCGCCTTCCTCGCAGGTAGGCTTCGAGCTATAGCGTACGAGTGGATCGTCGCCTGAGGGTGGTGGAGGCGGGAACTTGGCGGGCGAGATCCAGCCTTTGACCATGGAGAAGGCGGCGCCGATGTCTGTGCTGGCATTTGGATCTGATTGATGTGGTTGGTAAGGATATGGCGAGAGCGGCGCGTTCCGTCGTGCGCGGAGAACAGATAGAAGGATCGGCAAAGCGGAGGGAATGTTGTTCGTTCGGGCGTGGTGGACGGCCAGGGCTGAAGTCGCGCGGAGGAGGTTGGATGTCACTTCTGCTGACCTGGCGTCGGGCTTGAGTACATTCGTATTTGGGTCGATGGTAGCGGCAGCTTCCAGAGGATTTGGCAAAGCCGATTTGGCAATGTCGATGCCCCATCGATACATTTCTTCGGCGCTCTCATGCAGGCCCTTGAACTCGAGCCAGTTGGCATAGCCTTCCGCAGCATCCAATCGCTGCCTCGTAGTGAAGCCCTTGGTCGTCAACATTCTCATGTAGAACGTCTCCGGCGGCTCGTAGAACTTTACACAATCCTCCTCATTCGGCGCCGTCCCCATATACACCGGCGTTGGCCTCGCATCCGGATTCGAAGGCCCAACTACGACCTCTCTCGGAAACACCATCTTCCTCCTCGTATCCAACACAATATTCTCCAAATGCTCCGCCGCCGTCGCCGCCAGCATTAAAGCCTCAAAGTACCCCGTCTTCCACTCATAGCTCTTCGCATCCACATCAAACCCCGCCCTCCCTACCTCCGGAATCACCAGCGCCCCATCATCCCCTGCCTCAGCACCCTGCACGACCAATCCCTTTCCATCTCCATCCAAGTCCTCCAACCGCTTCAAGCACTCCTTCACCTGCCCCCCAACCATTGGCCAATCCACAATCGGCGCCCTCTGCTCCTCCACCACCTTCGTGCCCGCCCTTGCCATCCGCAACGCCTGGCGCGTCAAGAACTTCCACTCTCCCGGCGTCGGGTGCTCGCGCTCATCCGACTCCATCTTGACTCCCTCAAGCGCGACGCCGCCGAGTAGCATGAAGACGAATATGATGCCGGTCCATTTCACAGATTGCAGCGAGACTTCGCGGACGTAGGCGCGGGTTTCGGTGGAGATGAGACGGGTGGCGGAGTGTTTCGCGGTGGGCTGGGAGAGGTAGGGGAGTTGGGGTCGAGGGGTGTGGCGGGCTATGAGGAGGAGGGAGGTGTTTTGGGTGAAGAGGCGGGGGTTGGACGGAGAGCGATTGGGCGGGCGGAGAGGGCGGAGGTGGTGTATTGATTTGGGGAGTAAGAGGCGACGGGACAGCATTGTTGTGGTGTGGATGGGACGCAGGATGAGATGGTGGAGGTGTTGGAGGTGTATGATGTCGAGCTCTACCAGAAGCCGAGGTTTCTCCGATGTGAGTTCCATGTGCCTGTGATGCCAAACTACATGTACATGTACCTTAGCTTATGTCTTCGGACTCTACTATGGCTAAGACACTCCGAAACTCTTCTGCTCTTCCACATGTAGGTACCAGATCCACGGGCCACAATCCTACGCGTTGGAGAGGTGGGACGAGAACTTATCCAACTCGCCCACGATGTCCTTCTTCACCCCTTCTGGCGCCCAACAAACATCCACCGCGTCCTTCATCAGCTTCAGCATATCAAGGTTTGAGAAGTTACAATGCTTCTTCAACACAAGCAGGTTTTCTAGAATCCAAGTGTCCTCCATAAATGCTGGATCATCGCTCGCGACAGATATCTTGATCCCTTTGTCGAACAGCGCACGGATTCGCTCGAATACCTCGTCCTAAGCAACAGCATAAAGCATTAGCGACTTTGGGTCCTGGAAGGTCTCCGACGGCGTAGCATGGACTTCTTACCATCGGCTGGTGTCGTATATACGACCAGGGGCATATCGTCATGCCAATGCCTTTATGATGAATCAACTCCATCAACTCCGAACTCTCCACCACGTTCAGCCCATGGTCAATACGCTCAGCGCCAGTGCCACCAATTTCACAAATCGCTTGACGTATATGCTCAAGCGGATACGTCTTGCCCACGTCGCAGTGCGCCGTCAACCGGAAGCCGTCCGCCCTCGCCCGCGCGAACACCTCCTCGAAGAGCTTAGGTGGCCGTCGGTCCTCGTTGGAATCGAGACCTACACCGACGATCATATCGCGGTAGTTGAGCGCGGCGAGATAATGCTCCATCGCTGACTCTGGCGATGAGTCGCGGAGGAAACACATTATCCAGGCAGATTTTACCTGGCCGCCACTCAGTCAACGAAGGAGCGAACAAATGTTTGCATAGGGCTCTGCTCACGTTCAAGTCCTTCTCAGCTTTCGACTGCGCCTCACGAATCCCCTCCATCATGGTCTCCCACTTCACTCCAGTCCGAGTATGGCCCTGCGGATCAAAGAAAATCTCGCAATACCGCACATTCATCTTCGCAGCATGCTCGAAATAATCCATAGCAAGATCAAAGTAATCCTGCTTTGTCTTCAACACCTCAAACCCGCCATAATAGCTCTCAAAGAAGGACAGAGTCTCCTCGGCGTTGTCCATCCGCCCTTCGTCCGGCGGTTTCAAAGTATCATGAGAGGCTTGCAGCTCTGCAAGCGTGGAGAAGACTTTGCCGGTTCGTGGGTGCGTGAGTGTCTCGCCATTTCGTTGAGAGAACTTCCATTTCAGCTCTGGAGTTATGATGCCTTCGATGTGGACGTGGAGTTCGACCTTGGGAATGGCCTCAACGAATGGGTCTTTGGTTAGGGAGAGGGTGGTTCGGAGGGCTCTGCGGGCTGCGATGGGGAGAGCACCTTCGACGTCTGCCATTGTGGGGTGTACTGTGGAAGTTGATCTAGATGGCCTTCCAATGGCCTTTTATCTACATAGATGGTGTCTCGTATTCGTTCCAAAGGGCCTCGTTGTAGGGTGACTCATGGTTGGTGCATTTCAACACTACCTGTCCGAACCTGCATCACGTCCACCGTTTTGAGACACGGTGAGATTGGATGGTGAGGTACATATTTTCCGGTCTGGATACCTAAATGTAGCTAAGGTAATAGTTAACGATGGTGTAGTCTATTCGAAGAGTGTTGAAAGTGCCAAGGACACACGCAGACCTCACCTCACCTCACCTTCCCAGGCTTCCGTTCTCCTCTGTTACGTACCTTGTCTGTGTACCTCGCAGGCGAATTAAGATACCCTGCCTGAGACTACTTAGGCAAAGAGTTCAAAGCACTGCGATGGCAGAAACAATGTCTCTCTCCGACCTCCACGACCGACTGGATGACATCTGGGCAAGCTATCTAGAGCACCTGGACAACTACACCAAGGCACAGAAGCTCCTGCAAAAGCATATGATCGCTGGCTTCCTCTCACTGGCACGGGCGAACTTCAACTCCAGAGATGGTGTCACTCGATACGGGAAGGACTTCTACCATGAGCGGGCGGTGGCGAGCAGGCGAGCGGCAGTGTGGACTGACGGACCCAACGGGAAAGTGGAAGTCGAGCTCGTGTCCTGGAGAGAAGAGCCCAAGGACGAGCCAGCGTCAAAAGACGAAGATCAGAAAGATGATCCTACGGAGGCAAAGCAGCAGCCTTCACCTCCTGCAACGCCTGAGCCGACTACCAAGCAAAGCGATGATACCGATGCCGACACATCGCATGAATCGGATGGCAAAGCATCAGCGAACAAGTCTTCGACCTCAACAACAAAACTACCCCTAGCCTCGGATCCTTTGCGTTGGTTTGGGATCCTCATCCCACGAGAGCTGCGGTCCGCTCATACGTCGTTCTGCGCTGCCCTTGATGAGGCGGCGGTGGGGGCTATCAATGCCACTCGAAGTATGAGGAAGTGTGAGGTTGAAGTTAGGAAGTTAAGGAAGGACATTAAGAGAGCCGAGAAGGTGGCCAATAGTGGTAAAGAAGAAGCTCGATCATGATGTGTACTCGAGATGCGTTGATGATACATGCGCCAATCTACAGGACTCCCGCCTCTACCAGACAGCCATCGACCAAGACCATGGACGCGATACTTATTGAAAGCTCATCTTCCTCGTCAAGGCTTCCTTACGCTCCGTTATCGTAAGCAGTCTCGCCACCCATAGCCGACATCCTCTCCTCCTCGTGGCCCATTATGTTCGAAACCTTGCTGTACCGGCTCTTCTCCCTCAAGATCGCTCCGTACCGGAACAGCACAAACGGGATAACCCACATCGGGATCGAGATGAAGCCGAAGATGAAAAGTGCCCACTTCGGCGTCACGCCAGTGAAGAACTGCAGGATGACGAGCGGCAGGGCACCCGCGAACAGCAGACGTGCGGAGGCGGCGGCGGTGAGAGCGGAGAGAGTGCCAGCTGGCGGGAATGCGTCGAACAGGTAGGGGATGATGGACATGATGACCATGGCGACGCCCCAGACGAGAACGCCGGTACCGGCGATGGGAACGATGGGTGGGAAGGAGGGGTTGCCGACGGTTGCGCCTGTGTTGCATTAGTATCAAAGCGCTGGAATTCAGCCTGGACGAGTGGACTCACCAATCCAGAACAACCCAGCAGTAACGAGCAATGGTCCGAGCATGGCCGGAATCAACCGGTATTCAACCTGAGCAAAAGTAGGCATGTTTCTCTTCATCAAACTCCCCGTTGTGACCTGATCGATCATCACCACAACCAGCGCCGCAAGGCCGGACCCAGCGATCGCACTCGTAAACGCCCGTCCGACTTGACTAGGCGTCCAGCCCGGTCCAGCAGGTGGTGCGCTTCCGAGAGCCACAGGCACGGTGATGAAGAACTGCAGCACCACGGCGAAGTTGAAGATGAGCATGAACGTGCAGAGTGCAACCACGGGCTCGGTGAAGACTTGTCGAATCGGGTCAAGGACAGTGATGCGGAACATTTCGCCGAAGGTCACGCCAGAGAGCGCAGGATCTTGCTCAAGTACGCGACCCGCACGCTTTGCCAGGCGACGCGGGATCTCGCGCTGGTACGTCTCGCTGATGCCGATGCCGAAGACCCAGACTGCGCCGCAGACGGCGGCAGAGATCCATTGGGTCCAGCGCCAGCCGTCGGTGGCTTCGACGAGGTATCCGCCGATGATCGGGCCGAGCGCTGTGCCGAAGAACTGCGCAAGGACCTGGAAAGCGTAATATGTGTTCGTCGTCTCGGCACTCCAGATGTCTGCGAATGTACCTTCGAGAAGCACGAGACATGGTCCACCGCTGAGACCAGCGAGGAAGCGCAAGATAGCGACACCGGCGAAAGTCTGACTGAAGCCTGCTCCGAGTAGGAAGACACCGCAGAGCGGGAGTGCAGTGAGGTATATGATCGATCGGCCGATGCGCTCAGCCACGTGAGGTGTCCAAATGGGCGCGAAGACGATGCCGAAGAAGTAAACGCTGTAGCCGGAGATCGGGCCGACGGGGAGGTATGTTGCGCTGCCGCTGGGATTGAAGTCGAAGGAGGCGGTGACTTGGGGGATGGCGATTGTATAGCAAGTCAGGCCGTAGGCGACAGAAGCAGCCATCATCCAGGCTGCGAAGGAAGTGTAGAGCTTGCGATGGAGAGGCCAGTTCTTGGGACACTCAGGGTCGGATGGGTCCATGGTATGGGAGAGTTGGGCACTTGCTAGCATCGGCTCGTGAGGGGCCTTGGGGTCGTCGCTGCGATCCATGCCATCCTCTGAGAAGCGACTCGCTGGTTGGATCGGTCTGAGCATCTCCATGGCTGTTGTGCGGGTTTTGTGCTGTTGTAAGAACGTTGGAAAAAGCGAATATCGGTGGATGGAAAGTGGGCCGGGTACGATGCTCGATACTGCTGTTGTTGTGAGAGGCGATGTGAGAAATGATGAGATGATGAATGTAAACAACACGACTTATCCCATTGTATATATGCTTCCCATTCCACCTTGGCTGCCATGAACAGCAGGGGTAGTTTGGAAACCAACTTACTCTGCTGGATGACACAGCCCAAAGAGATTTGATACAATGAATCGAAAGGAAGCGATCGACGGCACGCTCAGCTCAATGGCACGACTGCAGCACTGGGCACAAGGATAGAGGAGACAGAATTAGGGTCGCCAGTGCCGTGGGGGACAATGGCGGAGGTGGAAGCGAAGCTGAGATCGTCGGCGCTGTGGAATACTGGTTTCAGACGCAGCTACCATTGATTGCTTACTGCAACATTCCTCCGGAGAGGTGATAGTGCGTAGGAATAGGTATGTCGTCGACCAAGGAGTGCCGTCGTGTCAAAGCGCGAGAGATGTTTCCAAATGCCAAGAGGAGGCTTGCTGGAGAAAGTCTAATTGGACGACCACTCGATGCTGCAGTTTGGAATCTGTTGCGGCGGTGCTGAAGGAGCTGAATGACGAGATTGAGCTGGATACAACTCGCTGCGATGGTTCTGTAGTCTCTGGTATGTAGCAGGCTGTTCATTCTGGTCCGCTCACAATGTCTGACTACGGCTGCTAGATACTCCATGAGTCGTTCAATTGTTCCATGTTCGCAGCAAGTATTGACGTTGTGCCGAACGCAAGGCGTATCACCCGTATCGTTCGGTCACTGAGGCAGCTTGTGGCAGCATGCATATTAGCAGACATCCTCTACCTCCCCATCACCGCCCTCCCGTGGTCCCAAGTTGCTGCTCAACGTCCTGCCGAACAACTCCAGCAACATCTCGAAGCAAATCCCCGCAATGGCCGGATCGTACCTTCCCTTGCTCAACTCGTCTCTGATGAACGCATGCTGCGCCCAGGCCACTTCGTAGAAGGAGAAGGTCACTCCGACATCGTGGAGCGTCTTGCGGATCAAGTCTCTGCCTTCTGGTGGTACATGGTTGTCTCGCTTGCCAAAGATCATCACCAGCTCGCCCTTGATATCTTTAGCACGGGCGAGGCTGTCGTCGTTCTTGCCAGCGCCCAGAGAGTGCGAGTGAATGTCGGTAGCGAAGTAGCAGACAGCAGCACGAACGCGAGGGTCGAGAGCACAGCGGTATGCAAGGTGACCGCCCAGACACATCCCAGTGGCTCCAATGCGGCCGTTACAGGTCTCGAGATTCATGAGCATGTCGATGCTGAGGGTTGCGTCTTCATCGTAGGCGGAGAGCTTCTTCTCGACTTTCCAGGCGTTGCCACTGTCGGTGCCAGGTCCGTCGTACGCGAGCGGTTCGGGGCCGGTGAACTCGTGGTATGAAGAAGGGGCGGCGACGATGTAGCCATGCCCGGCGATTTGGCGGGCAAAGCGTGCTACGGGGCCAGTAACTGTTGGGAGGTGTCAATCATCGAGATCTCCTCTGCTCAATCGATGGGAAGACGTATTGGTAGATCTCTGAGAAGATTACGACGCCCGGGAACTTCGCCTTAGGGAAGTTCTGTTGGACTCAGCAATTACTCGCAGCTTGACACCGACATCATGCCCGGTGAGCGTCTCTCCTCGCTTACTGGTATGGATGGATGGAACAGAAATACACCTAGCCTTTGCGGTCAGAATGCCGCCGTTCCCGAGAAGGAGGTCAAATAAGATGCCTACGCATGTCGCCTCCTGCTTGGGTCTTAACATCTTTGTGGGACTCGTTGATCAGCATGATGGCGGACGAAGTCGGTGTCGTATGGACTATGAAGACGCCAGATTCAGTTTGTGCGATCGACAGTCTTTTACGCTGGATCAATGAGCTGTTCAGTCAGCGGTAGTGTAAGAACTTGGAGCTCAAACAAAGCCGGAGCTGTTGATAGTTTCGATCAGGTCTTGGCAGGTCCTGCCCCTCGTCGAGTCATCACTGCATCCGAACCTCACTCTCCTTCTCCCTCAGACTTCTCCCACTTTGGGACGTCGTCTGGACCACTCGACTTCTATACAACTCCAACTACGTCCCAACATCGCACCGGCCCACTGCTAGGCATCTCCTGACGTGCGGAACTGCTTGACTGCAGCCCACCGCTCACACGTCATCAACTCCTCCGCCGACATGTCGCAGCCGCCCGGCATCGCATCCAAAGCAGCCGCCTCATCGTCGAAAGCGCCCCCTCCCTCCGGACAAAGTAGCCCCGCGGCATCGGTGACTCAGCAGTTCTTCTCCAACGACAGCGGCCAGCGGCGGAGCGGAAGCGGCAGTGGCAACGCGCGCTCCAACGCGGCACCACGCAACGTCCAGAACAGCAAAGCGAAGCACAAGGCGGGGAAGAAGTTTAGAGCGTTGGATGAGGATGCAGAGGCTGAGTTGTTCAGTATGCAGAATCCACACGGCCGGAAGGGACAGACGTCCATTACGCATCTCATGAACTTTTCGCTGCCGCCACGACCGAACCAGCAGCAGCAGTACCACCGACACAGCTACAATGGACCGAGGAGGGGTGGGAGATCCAATCCGACGTGGGGTCTGGGGAGTGGCTATCATTCGGTCGATAAGGCGAGGTAGGTGGTTTGAGCAGATGGGGTTTACAAGAGGTTCTGACACCTGTAGGTACATCCACGCCAACTACCGCTTCATAGTGGACCCACGCGGCGACTATCAAGTGCAGGCTGAAGATGCAGACGTTCACCTGGATTGGCAAAACGTGCTCCAGATCATCGCCTCCGAGAAGAGCCAGGCGGCTTCCTGCCCCATCTGTCTCGGCGATCCCACCGCACCTCGAATGGCGAAGTGTGGCCACATCTTCTGTATGCCATGTCTGATCCGCTACATGCACTCGGACGACGGGAACGGCCCTCCACCAGAAAAGAAGGCTCGATGGAAGAAATGTCCGATCTGCTGGGACAGCATTTACGTGTCCGAGACAAGGCCAGTCAGATGGTATGTTGGGCAGGAAAGCGACCCACCACGAGAGGGCGGCGATGTCGTTCTGCGTTTGTTGAGGAGAAGACCCGGACAAACGTTGGCCATGCCACGCGAAAGCGCGGAGACTGTGCCGAAGGGCGACTTCATCCCGTGGTACTTCGCTGCTGAAGTCATGGACTATGCCCGTGTAATGAGGGGCAGCGAGGATTACATGGTGCAGCAGTACGACGAGGCAATCGAGGCAATCGAGATGTTGCAAAAGGAGGATGAGTTAATGTTTGGTGAGGACGCCGAATGGACTGGCCGAGCCATACGCATGCTCAACGAAGCGAAAGCGAAGGTGAAGGGCATTGGTAATCCTCCAGAGCAGCCGAAGAAGCCTGAGCAGGAGATGACAGTACCTGAGCGGCCGCCCATTGAGTTCCGCGAGGACGATGAAGATGTTCCGGACTGGTACCTGCAGAAGCATACGGAAACAAGCCCAGCCATCCCCAGAATGGAGGCAACAGAACAGCCAAATGCACAAACGCCTGCAAATGTGAGCGCAGTACCGCGAACGTTGCAGGAGATGCGGCAACGGCAGTTCGAGAAGCCGCAGCCTGCAGAATACCTCTTCTACCAAGCACTATTGCATTATTACCTATCGCCTTTGGACATCCGGATACTCAAGGCGGCGTTTGGGTCTTACACCACATTCCCTTCAAGCATTCTTCCACGCGTAGAGCGTGTGTCTTCAGGCCACATCGTCGACGATGACCTTCGAAAGCGGGTCAAGTACTTGGCGCATCTGCCGTATGGCTGCGAGGTTGGCTTCTTGGAGTGCGACTGGACCGATCTCGTACCACCACATATCCTAGCTGAATTCAAGCCGATGCTCGAGAGGAGGCGCAAGCGGCACGACGAGAAGGAGGCGAGGGAGGAGAAAGACCGTATCAGGATCGAGAGGGCTGAGGAGCGCGAACTGGCCGCCATTCGAAGAAAGCGACCTTCAGTTCCCAGTGACTTCATGTCGGGAGAAGGCCTCCCCGCGCTCGGCTCCATGGCTGGATCTGAACCCACCTCCGACGCCATCGCCACATCGCCTCCTTGGGCTAACCGGACAACATCTGGTTTCACTTCACTCGCCTCGCCATCCACCTCTCCCACAGCACATCGCACAGTCTGGGGTACTGCAGCAGTGACGCCTGCAAGTCCTGACCTCAACGCTACTCTTCCGCGTGACGACGAGCTGCGACCAGATCAGGATGACGGCTGGTTGCAAGACTGGGAGAGAGACCTGCTCGACCAACGCGATCAGCTGGCTGACGACGTGGGAGGTGTCAGTCTGGAGACTGAAACACAAGCTAGGGCACCTGTCGGTGGCGGCAAGAAGGGCAAGAAAGGGAAGAAGATCACGCTCATGAGTACAGCTACTTCGAGACGCGGGGCTTGAGGATCGACGAATGGATGGGTTATACGTTATATATGATGCCAATGGTACCTCGTAGCAATGCTCTGAATGTCTCACAACCTCGTAGGCGTTCAAGTTTTCACCACGACTTTACAGCGTCACCCCACTTTCATGTGAAGTTGTCCAGAAAGTGCAATCGGCAACAATCACTTCCTCTTCCCACACCAGCATCCATACCTCAGCATCACTACCAACGCACCACATATCATGCCCGCAGGCGAAGCTCTAGACGACGACTACGTAATCTCCCTCCTTGGCCGCGACGCCGAAGCCAACAAGAAGCGCTACACTACCTCCAGCTCTCTGCTCCCATCTACTCGACCACGCAACGCCAATGCTCCCAAACCTAACACGCGCTTCTTGAAGAATCTGGTCAGGGATACTGATAGGCATAACTCGGCGCTTAAGGCGAAGGAGGAAGAGGATGCGCGGGAAAGGCTGAGGGGATTGAGGAAGGATGCGGGGGTGAAGAGGATTAGAGAGGATGACCATGAGGAGAGAGGTGGGAGGGAAGGTAGAGGAGGAAAGCGGAGGAAAGGTGAGAGGGCAGGAAGATGGGCTGGGGTGCTGAACGGCTTGGGGGAGAGGAATGGCCGGAAGGATGGGAGGCGTGCAGAGGCGAGGGCTGCTGAGAAAAACGAAGAGCGCCCGCAGAGGAGGCAGCGTAGTCGGGAGGACAGGGACGAGGGTGAGCGGCGGCTGAGGCATGATAGACGGCGCACTGGGGACGAGAAGCGGCGGTATACCGATCGCAAGGGCAAGCAACGAAGGAGATCTACCTCGAGCGACTCCGCGAGATCACGCTCTCCACGCAGACAACACAACAGCCGGGAAGGCGACAGACTGGGGCAACAAAAAGACTACGACTCAGACCCCCTACAAGACATCATCGGGCCCAAGCCAGCACCCAAGATCCGCCCTCGCGGCCGCGGTGCAAACAACCCTATCTCTTCAATTGACGCCCGCTTCAACCCCTCCTACAACCCCAAAACTGACGTCGAGCTCTCCGACAACGACAGACAACGAGATGACTGGGATATGGCGCTCGAAGCTTTACGTGATAGGGCCAAATGGCGTGTTCAAGGTGGCGAGCGATTACGCGCTGCTGGGTTCTCCGAGGAGGAGGTTGGGAAATGGGAGAAGAGCAGTGGGTTGCTTGGGCAGAGGGATGAGGGTGGGGAGAAGGGGGTGGAGGATATGAGGTGGCGGAAGAAGGGGGAGGGGAGAGAGTGGGATCGGGGGAAGGTTGCGGATGGGAAGGGAAGGGTGGATGTTAAGGCGGCGTGGGCCAGGTTGAAGTTGGATTGATGAGGTCTGGCAAGGCGGCGCTCGTATTGCCAGTGGTCGCTTGTTGGAGCAGGCGCATTACTCTTGGTTAGATCCATTCGTAGAAACAGAATCGCACTGAAACGACCGTGGAATGGTGCATGTCATATTGACTTTGCTGCCACGACTTTTGGCGAGAATTGTTTGCCAGAGCCTCAGGGCAGTGGCGCCTCGCGTCCAAAACTTGGAATTTCGAAGACACAAACCTTGAGTTGTGATTTAACAACACAACGGCACAGTAAAAACAGAACACCCACTTACTGCCATCGGACCGCGTACACAGGCGTGCCAACCGCCACGATGGTCTACATCCGCCAGGACCAGCTTCCCGGCCTAAAGGCCTACAAGTACTCGAGTACAAACTCCCCAACAACACCAGCTATGCCCAATGCTAACATGTAGCAGGCGTCGACCGCAGTCTCCTCTCCCAGTACATCCTCAAGCCCTACTGGTGGTCCCAAGTCATCAAACTCTTCCCCATGTGGATGGCCCCCAACGCCATCACGCTCTCTGGATTCGGCTTCGTCCTCGCCAACATCTTGACTATGCTCTATTACACGCCAAATCTGGACCAGGAGTGCCCGCGCTGGGTATACGCTTCCTGGGCCATTGGGCTGTTTCTGTACCAGACTTTCGATGCGATTGATGGCTCTCAGGCGAGGCGCACGAAGCAGTCTGGACCGCTGGGCGAGCTTTTCGATCACGGGGTTGATGCGCTGAACACGAGCCTAGAGGTTCTGCTGTTTGCTGCGACGATGAAGTTTGGGCAGGGGTGGAGGACTGTGTTGGTGTTACTTGCGAGTCTGCTGACGTTCTACGTTCAGACCTGGGACGAGTACCATACCAAGACGCTTACGCTTGGCCTCGTCTCCGGGCCTGTGGAAGGTATCTTGACGCTGTGCATCGTGTACGCGATCACAGCTGTCAAAGGTGGAGGCTGGTACTGGCAGCAATCGATGCTGCAGACGCTCGGCGTGCCCCAGTACAGCTGGATTCCGGCGCAGGCCTGGGAAGCTGACTTTGGTGACTTCTACATGCTGTACGGTGGCATTGTGCTTGTTTTCAACACCATCGAGAGGTACGTTTTTTGCCCTTCCCCACAAGCTTTCAATACTGACAAGCTCGCACCAGCGCCCGCAACGTCATGAAAACTCGCCGCGCTCGTGGAGAACAAGCCCGTGTCGCACTCACCGGCCTCCTCCCCTTCGCCGGCTCCTGGGTCCTGATCATATCATACTTGATGCTCCAGCCGAGTATTTTGCACAACCATCTCGTGCCGTTCGTCTTCTACGTTGGCCTCATCAACGCCTACAGTGTCGGTCAGATCATCACCGCCCATCTGGTCATTCTAGATTTTCCGTACCAGAACATCATCGCCTTGCCGCTCATCTACGGCGTTGTTGATTCCGTGGGTCCTGTGCTTCAGCAGTATCTTGGCTTTGGCTGGCCGAGTGCGCTGGGGAGCGACATCTACCAGGTCGCGTTCATGTTTACATGCCTAGGGTTTGCGGTGGGTGTATACGGTAGCTTTGTGGTGGATGTCATTGTTACAATTTGCGATTATTTGGGTGAGTTGGACCTCTGCCGTTGCCCCCTCCTGCTCGACGTGATCATGCTGACTTGTACCTCCGCAGATATTTGGTGTTTGACTATCAAGCATCCCGCAACCGAGGAGTCAGAGCAGGCTGCGACGCAGAAGAAGGGCAAATGAACGGTCATAGGATTACGAAGCTTCTGAATTGCAACCTGCCATGCGCAGCTTTAATTCCGCCGCCGCGCGCATTACTCCCATTTGCAGTCAATGCTTTCCAGGTTGGCGAAGAGTTGGCATCTCGCCGCTTTGTTCCCGAACTTCTTAACGGCTGACGGCAGGTACCCATTCCGGAAGCTGCTGTGCTGCTAGTTCCAGCCCCAGGGTCTCCAACCTCTGTTTCCAGATGCCCCGCAAGTGCTATGCTTCTGCATACGTGCTTACATGTGCAGTACACCGTGCTTCGCTCTGACGCGACGCTCGTAGGATCATCAATCAGTGCCCACCAGGGAGAAGGATGTAATAGGACAAATAGAGCGCTATGGCAAGTTACCAGCATTCTCCAACCCGCATTCGCTTCCTCCAACTGCATGCTTCGCGAGCTGACGGACTGACCTTGGCTGCGTAGCTCGATACCATAAAGCTACTTGTCACGTCCATCAGAGACGTGGTCTTCTCGCAGCGAGCAAGTGACACGCATCTACAGGTTCCTCTTGGAGCATCATCGACCATGTCGGCCAACGGAGAGCAACCGGTCGGCCATGTTCCACAAGAGAATGGTTTACGCATCAATGGTGACACGACCAATGGGAGCTCGCGGTTTGATCCCGACTTTACGGACAGCGTGATCAATGCCACTGGGCCAAAGACGAATCCGCGGGTGAAGAGTGTCGTCGCCAGCTTGATCCGACACATGCACGACTTCTGCCGGGAGAACGAGATCACGGTGACCGAATTTATGGCTGGCGTTGATATGGTACGGCTCCTTTCCGTTGCAGTTCAACATTTTGGGCTAACATCGTCGGTGCAGCTCAATCGAGCAGGTCAGATGTCCGACGAGAAGCGCAACGAAGGCCTGCTGCTCCTCGACGTCCTCGGCATTGAAACGCTGGTTGATGAGATCACACATAAAGTCGTCAGCGAAGCGCACGACCTGCCAACCGCCACAGCTGTCCTGGGACCTTTCTGGCGAAAAGATGCACCTATCTATAAGATGGGCGAGTCCATCGTTCAGAACTCTGACGATGGCGAGCGTGCACTTGTGCACGGCAAGGCGTTGGACTTCGACACTGGCAAGCCGATCGCCAACGCGGAGATCGATGTCTGGCACACTGGGAGTAATGGGCTGTAAGTACGAAACTGAAAGTCTGCGTCATTGAAAAGACTAACCGTCGTAGGTACGAAAACCAAGACCCCTCGCAGCCGGACATGAACCTCCGCGGCCGCTTCTACACGAACGACGACGGCTCCTACCACTTCTACTGCCTCCGCCCGACGAGATACCCCATCCCGCTCGACGGACCTGGAGGTCAGCTGCTGGAACTGCTAGATCGCCATCCGTACCGTCCAGCACATATCCATTTCATCTTGTCGGCGGAGGGGTACAAGCCGTTGGTGACGCAGATTTTCGATCGGAGGGATGAATATATCGATAATGATACTGTGTTTGCGGTGAAGGATAGCTTGGTGGTTGATTTCAAGCAGAGAAACGGGGATGAGAAGGCGGAGTTTGAGCTGGAGTATGATTTCAGGCTTGTTGGATTTGGAGCTGCTCACAGGAAATGATTTCTGCGCGTGATGTGGCCGAGAAATACTTCTCCAGAATCAACGTTTGCGAGCTGGCATTCCGAAATTGAGCCAGGTTCTAGACCTTATCTGTTGTCGAGCAGGAGATGCCTCCTCGGGGCCCGCGCGCGATGGTACATGAGCAGCACCGTGCAAACCGAACGCCTCGGTTCAGACAACCACTATCATACTTCTGAGTTGCTGTATCTCTGCTAGCGGATGTAGCCTACCTGGGAGACTTGAGTGCCAGAGACTGCTGTCGACGGTTCCATCGACTTGTCGAGGCTGGACTTCTCCGTGGCGCTGCGACTTTTCTGTGCTGCCTTACAGCCTTACACCGGCTGGAAGCATTGTTCACACCTTCGAGATGACTAGCAACATCGTCAATGACTGACATGTATTGACAAGCCGGCCTTCCAAGCGTCGTCGTGACGGCCACTCCAAGAGACATCATTCATGTCGGCGCAGGCAAGAGGCTCGACAGGACAGGAGAACAGCCTCGGTGATCTGCAATGATCGCCGTTAAGCATATTGCTTTAAGCTTCGATCAAGCCACTCAGACGACAGCTGATTCCACTTTCTCCGCATCTTCATTTGTGGTGTTGGAGGAGATGCACAGGGGTGTGCACATCTCCCGTTCTCTTCATCCCGTCATTCCGGGTTAAAGACCTTCTGCATCAGACTTCACAACCACAACAACACCAGCACGTCAACAGCCAGACACAGCGTACGGATGACACCTTCGCGAGAGGACAGACTCCAACACAACAGCCACCTCGTCAGATTGCCTCCCCCACCTCGACGACTAACGTCCTGAACCATATTTGACATAGCCTAAACTCCTTCCAGCAAACTGTCACAACGATCTACGTTCAAAATGGCGATCCTCCCGTTCCTCAGGACTATTGCCGCGGCCACCATGCCAGACATGGACGCCTCCCCGGACTCTGACCCTGCCAGACTGCCGCATCTGGGCCCGTGGAAGCTTTAGGATGGCATGTCTTGCAAACTGCATCTAAGGAAATTGTCCCAATGCCTCGGTGTATTCTGGTACACCATGGGTTTGACCAATAGTGTTGAGTGTATTACCGGTCCTAGGGAGAGAGAGTATTTGTTAGGATGGGTTGACGGGGGGGTACTTATACACACAGGTTCTCTCGCGAAGGTTGTGGAAGGTTGACTCTCAGGATTTGTGAATTTTTGGGTTGAAGCAGCATTGTTCAGCATGAAGACCACCGCATTGATTACGGCTTTCCTGGCCGGGAACGTTGCTGCGTTCCCCAACATGGACAAGATGACGGCACCTCTCGCTGCTCGCGCATACGAGGAAGCACAGCAGCTCAAGAAGAGGGCAGTCGACCCGCCGCAGGGTGCTGGCGCGATGCCGTTGGTTCCACCGCCGTTCGACGCTAAAGCCCAGCGCATCAGCACCACCGGCGCCCACAAGGTTGGTGAAATGAATGCACGTCCCTGAGTACATGCTGACCGTCGGTACAGTGGGTTGCTCCTGGTCCAAACGACGAGCGTGGTGAATGTCCGGGTCTGAATGCTTTGGCAAACCAGTACGTCTCCAACGCCATTCCTGCTGTTGAAGAGGTCCACACTGACATCCCTTAGCGGCTACCTCCCCCACAATGGCAAAGCAACCATCACCCAGTACATCGATGCAGTCACCAGCGTGTACGGCATGGGAGTCGACCTTGCCACCTTCCTCGCTACCTTCGGCGCGGTTGTCGACGGCAACCTTCTGTCCTGGTCAGTTGGCGGCAAGCCACACACCGGCATTGGCGGCAGCCATGGCAATTATGAGGGTGACAGCTCGCCGTTGAAGGGCGATCTGTACCAGTACGGCAGTATTGGGAAGCTCGTCCTTTCGCAATTCAAGGAGGTATGCATCTTCTTCCTGTACCAATACCTGCTGTGTGGCATTCATGCTTACTGTCTTGCAGCTTTACGACATGCAGGCCGATGCTGAACAGCCCAACTACAATCTTGATGTCCTGAGAGACTTCCGCGGCAAGCGCTTTCAGGAGAGCATCGACAAGAATCCTAAATACGTTTGTAAGTCTTTTCGATGTCGGGAGCCGTTGGGTAACTTGCTAATGCTTCGTAGACGGACCTTTCACTGGTATCCTGGTGTCTCAAGGTAAGTGCCGATCAACCTTGTCAATGCTGTAAGACATAGCTGACCTTCTTACCTCTCTTCAGCGGCCTATACCTTCATCTATCGCTTCATGTCGAACAAGTCCGAAGAATATCCCGAAGGCATCCTTGACAAGAACACGCTGAAGAGCTTCATGGCCATCTCCGGATCCGACGACAACGTAAGCGAGCCCATACGCCCCTTCAATCCTTCTCTTGCTGACAACATAACAGCCCAAGTGGACCTTCGGACATGAACGTATCCCTGATAACTGGTACAAGCGCAACACGGCCGACGCCTACACCATCCCATACTGTAAGCCATTCCTTCCCCCCAGACTCCCCTCATCAACATCGACTAACGCGATTCCCAGTCAACACCGACGTCCTCTACTTCGCCGAAACCCAGCCCGAGATCCTCTCCGTCGGCTGCAACCAAGGCAAAGTCGACTCTTTCAACGCCATCGACGCTGATACTCTCTCCAACGGCGCCTACACCGCCAACCAAGCCGCCTCCAACCCTGTCTGCTTCGCGTCCGAGTTCGCGAAGGCCGAACTACCTGGCTTGACTGGGCTCGGAAGTGTGGCGTTGGCGCCGCTGACGAAGACTCTGAATGGGTTGACGAGTGGTCTGAACTGTGCGAGTATCGGGAGCGTGAACACCAGTGCGCTTACTGCGTGCCCTGGTTTCTCGTTCTATGGGGGACCGAATGCAAAGGTGGCGAAGGGGGCGATTCAGTCGTGAGGTAGTGGAGTGAGCTGGTCGTTGTAGCTCTCGAATTTGATAGTGGTGGATGTGATGGGCCGAAATACCTGTACATACGGTGAGAAGCCTGCTTGACCAGAACATTTAGAGCAATGCGTCTTCCTCCTGCGCCGCGTGTACCACAGCTGTCTAACCCCAACAACCACCAGATCTGCTGGTGTTTAATTTTCTTTCTTCCTGTTGTCACCGCAATGGCATGACAAACGCCATGAGAAACGAACGACTTGCGGTTCATGCACGTAGCATGGCCGCATTCCTGAAGAAAAGGCAATAAGGTCCTGCCTCGTTCTCTGAAACAGAATCGCCTGCTATCCCGCTTGCGGTCAGATAGTGATCTCGTTCCTGCCTCGGAGAACTATACGGCGCTCCACGAGATGTCCGCACATATCGAGCGAGTGGTGGGAACGCTCCACTGCGATCGAGTTCGCGGATCCCGAGGCTGGTCAAGGTGCAGTCAATGGCTACTTGAATAGCTATAGTGACAGATTAGCCGGCCGTGGTTGGGCAACGATCACACTGCGGTTTGCCAGGCGTCTTGGGTCGAGTATGGAGGAATTTGCATCTTGGTGAGGTCCAATCAGTCGATGCGTGGCACACCATCTCCGGAGCGCAGGCCACAAATGAGTGCCAGATCGTAACATGCAGCAGCGGACTGAGGGTTGCGTCGTTGGAGGCCAGCGAATCGACGCTTAGTGGTAGGTTAGATGAGCGTGCGTTGGAGCTGTGTAAGGCGGGTTTCAATAGTCTTTGTACGCTACCAAGAGTCGCCAAAAACTTCAACATCACCCGGAGTACTGTTCCTAAGGCCTAGGGCAGCTCAGCACCCTCAAATAAGCGCGGTATCCATAACGCCTTCCCATAACGCATCCCGAGGGTATCTCCTGTTCCCCACAGTCCAGAACGCCACTCTTTCCCCGATCCCATTCAAACCTCAAGCATCCCCCTCAACCCTCCCTCAACACCCCTGAGCCACCTCCCCCTCTCTTCCATCTCATCCCCACCCACCCCACCCTCCCGTCTCCGCCTCGCCTCCTGCGCCTCCTCCACGGCCTTGATCTTCTTCACATTCAACATGTTGACCTCATCCTTCAAACCCGCGACCTGCGCCTGCTTCTGCGGGAGCGCGGCGCGTAGTGTCTCGATCTGTCGGTCTAGGCTTTCGAGCTCTGCTTCGCGCTCCTGGAGGAGGTCTAGGGTCGGTTGCAGCGGGAGGGATAGGGAGGGGTTGGATGATCGTGGGGCTTGGGTGGCGCGGAGGGTGTTGAGTGTTCGTTCTAGCTTGTCATTCTCGGCGGGCAGTGACTCCAGCTGCGTCGTCTGTAGTCGCACGTTCTCATATCCTGTACCCAACGCGTCAGCAACCCAGCATCATCACGTTAATGGAGCGTAACACTCACGTCCCGCCAACCTCCTGCCCTCTCCCTCCAACTCTCCCACCAACGCCCTAACCTCCTCCTTCTTCTCCTTCAACCCCGCCTTCTCTCCCCTCAACTTCTCCTCCAACTCAGCATTCTCGCTCGCATCCACGAAATCCGGCTCTTGCGCGGTGATGGCGCGGAGAAAACGTTCTTTAGTAACTTGCTCGACGTACGAGAAGCGCAGTTTCGAGAAGAGGTCGCGGTAGTGTGTTAAGTCGGCGGCCAGGAGGGATGGTGATGTGTTGTCGCGATCGGAAGTGGTAGAGTCGGCCGAAGGGCGTTGGGGGAGGGCGGGGTCGGGTGTCAGGTAGGGTGCGGAGACGGTGAGGATGGAGAGGTCGCGGTGTTGTTGGAGTTCGTTGAGTGCTGTCTGGGGGTCCATGGTTCTGTTGGTGTCCGATATGCTAATATAAGAGAATAGATGTAGAGTGGAAGTTCGGTTGTTTCTGTTGTGAACCTTCCATTCTGGGACAATCACATGACGCAGCTCAGGTTCGCTCTTGCCTTTCCAAATACAGTCACGAAACAACCTTAAAGCTCTGGACACACCATAATTCGACCTCAAACGTGTCATTTGCCAGCTTATCTAGACCACTGTGTGATGCTGCTCGCTAGGATATCAGTGCCCTCCCAGCGGATGCTCGCTAAACCGCCATACTCCTCTCAATGCCCGGACAGATGAGAATGCAGCCGCTGTCGTTGCTGCACGATAAAAGCAATCCCTCCATCTCCGTACCATGACTCTTATGCATATGCGCTTGCGTGCTTGTCTCCTCGCTCAAGGTCCGCTCAAGCAATCGGGCTCCACGGCATCGGCACCATGATGCGACTCTTCATCGTCTGGATGAGCGGCACGGTCTTGTGCACAGTTTCTCCCCAGCCGGGAACGCTCCAGCTCTGCTCGCGACGCGCTCTCCGCTCTTCGAGGTCGGCAAACTGCCATAGGTGGTGGACCATGTTGAGGTCGCTGTGGAGATGTCAGCAAACGAGACGTATAGATAGACGGGGAAGCAGTGCATACCCGATCTGCACGAACCACGCCCCGACACCTTCCATCACTTCCCTACGCGCCGCAAGACCCTTCTGCCAATGCGTCTCCCACTCGAGCAGGTTGCCCGGGTGGAGTGTGTAGGATCGCAGCTCAAAGACGCCGCCGAGTTGACGTGGCGGTGTGGTGGGCCAGAAGCGGAACTCTTGCATGAGTGAGGTCTTCTTGCTATGAATGAGTGTCTTGAGCTTGCGGTCAAACTCGGGGAACTCAGGGTGGTGCTGGATGTTGTGGAGGGACGCGTGGTAGCCTTCGTAGCGTTGGTACTCCCAGATGTGGACTGTGCGTCGCGTCAGCAAGATCTCAAACGCAGCGAAGTTAGGGTGACCTACCGAACGTATCGCACTCTCCCACCTCAGTCCTCCAGCTGCCCACAAGGTGCACCTTGTTCTCAGGCATGCTGGCCATCCTCGGGTACCACCCACCCACGAGGTCCACATACTCATCCACCTTGTCCGGCTTCACTTCGTGAAACACTATGCTGTGCACGTACTTTCCACGCGCCAGCACCTGACTGAAGCTCCGCTCGATATCGCGATCCATCTCCCTCCCCTCTTCGGTACCGTAGATGAGGTTGCTGAGTCGCCCCGAGCCGGGCTTCTTCTTGCTGCTCGCATCGTCCTGCTGGCGCGCAGCTTCACCTGTAACAGTCGATAGTGAGCCTAGACCTTCATCAGGTTGCGGGGTCACGGCATTGTCAGGTGCAACAGCATCACGAGAAGAAGAAGAAGTGCTGGAAGTAGAAGACGACTTAGCGCGGGTGGTGTCTCTCAACGAACGTTCTGCTTCCCGCTGCTTCTTGACCTCTGAGGAGAGGTTGTCCCGGAACTCCTTTTGCTTCTGGTCGAAGGGCGCGGCGTTGTTGGGTTGGATGTCGGAGAGGGCGGGTGCGCGCTGGAGCCATTGGGCGCTGCTAAAGGGGCGAGCGAGGGGGGTGGAAGGGGTGAGGGTGGTGACTCGCGTGACGGCGCGCCGGGAGAACATGCTGGGCGAGTACCAGAGTTCTCACTGAGCCGGACACTGCGGAGGTTGCTGGAAGCCTGGCGGGCCGAGGAGTGCTGATGGTGTGGTGAAGGAATGTGGTGCAAGTTTGCTGATGTCGCTGCTGGTGTACGAATAGAGTCGAATTGATTGGTCCTTTCCGGTGGTGGATGTAGAGTCGTAGAGCTAACAGGTAGCAGTGTAGGTGTCCAGGTACGTTCCTCCTCTTTCGTTCGTTCAAGAGCACCACCCGAGCCGCTGTCTACTACCTACTGCAGTCACCTTAGCGAGAAAGAGGAGCTCGACCTATGCAAGGAAAGTGCGGGGAACGTTCGAGCTAAACTCTATTTGACGACCACGTGACCAGCAACCAGGAGCAGCCTGTTCATGTGAGAGGTTGACAGGATGGATCCATCTACACAATTCTAATCATCCGTCTGTATCACGCCTCTACCCGCTATGCATCCTCGGAAAGACACTTGCCACTCCACCTCAGTTCCACCCCGGACTCACCCTCTGCACAAACTTCATGAACTTCCAGAACCCGACCGCATGCTCAACATTCCCCCTCGGATCCACCACCCTCTCCGGAAACGCAATTCCACCACCATATAGCCCCGGCAACCTCGCAAGATCCCCAACGCTCCCGCCCTCGCTCTCCTTGACATACGTAAACGTCCCTCGCTCGTTGTCAAAGTACGGCGTAATCTCCTTCCCGCCCCTAGTCTTCAGCTTCGGAAGAGGATCAGGGCGATATCCGATGGCTTGAACGTAGAACTGGCAGCCTTGTAGGTTCTCTTCGTACGTGCCTTCTTCGTCGCCGGCTTCGTAGTCGATGCGTTTGATGAAGTTGCTCACATCGCTTTGCTTAAATGTCTCGGGTTCGAGGTTCTGGCGGGCCCATTCGGCTGCTTCCCCTTTGAGGCCGGTGTTATCGCGAAGGATCCAGCCGTCCATATATTCGGCATAGCGAAGACTATGGCGAGTCAGCCAGCGGATGCGGAGGTCTGGTTTGCTGGAAGAGGCGAGGTGGTAGAGGTTCATTAGAACCAGGATAGCGGAGTGAGAGGCGCCAATAACTGCGACATTGAGGGGGGACTGCGATGAGAGGGCGGAAGATAGTCTTGTGGGCGAGAGTGCTGTGTCCAGCTCCAGTGGCCGGGAATTCTGCAGCTCTACAGGTAGAGGCTCGATAGTAGGCGAAGCACCAGTACACAGGACCAGCCTTTTCGTCCGAACACTCGTCACCGCATCGCCACCTTCTCTGACCTTCACTACCCATTGACTAGGCGATCTCGGATTCTCATCCAATGTTCCCTCCTCCAAACGCCCCTTCGTCGCAACCACCCCCGGCAGGCCCCTTAGCCCCTCCGTCAACGCCAAACACATATCCGCCGCCATCCCCAACTTACACCCCTTCTCCGGATCCACGCCCTTGAGCTCCCGCATCCGGCCCTCCTGCTTCCCGCCAGCAGAAACAATCTCCCGGAACGGCGTCAACGCTTCTGCAAAATCCAAAAACGTCTTCACCTTGGTATTCGAAGGCACCTCGCGATATAGGCGGTTTACCCGACCACCATCAAAGGCATCGTCGACCCATAATATCGGTGAAAGCTTTCGTTCCAGTAAATTACCAACGCAAGTGATCCCAGCAGGTCCAGCTCCCACAACAACGGCTTCGTACTGAGTCCCGCGGTCGGACATCCCGCGGCGTTGGGCTGCCAGAGATCTGGAGTGTGGCGACATGACGATAACCCGAGGAGTTGGTTGGGTACATAGCGGTGATGACAAGGATCCAAGCCCCTGAGAAGTGAATGAATGGACCTGTCTTACACCATACCCAACCCAGCTCCGACCATATGCAGCCCCCATCAACATCTTCCCACTCGAGGCGTTCACAGCATCTTTAAACCCCCTCGCCCCATCACGCCGCTGGCGTACACAGCCCCGCGCCGCCGCAACGCCTTTTCCGCCTCCCAGCCTGAGCGGAACATCGCGCAGTAATCCACGCGCGCTCGCATGCATTGGTGATGCTGCCGGCTGTCAAGATGGAAGTTTTTGTTGGTGATTCATGCGCTGCCGTTGACATTCCGTGAAGACGCTAGGCTGGATTCGGAGATGGTGGAGTTGGAGGAGAGCACGTCACTTCGATCTTCGATTGCGTTCGCTAGCTGTCGTTGCTACATTGTTCGCGTAGATATTGTACGCCTGGACGCCTCGACATGTCCTCGAGCTGCTTCTTCAGTCGTGATGTGGGCTGCGCCAGATGGAGCTAGTAAAGGTGTGAGCATCTGCGTCTGCCTCGTGAGCTCTGCCGCTGGCCACATGTGGAGCTCCAGATCAATAGGATGTACTTAGGTACCAGAGAGGCGGAGTAACAGGACGCAAGCAACGGAAAAGCAAAAGCAGACGATGCGGATACAAAGGCGGCCCCAGTGATCACACCACCGGTCCTGCACACGAAGCGAGTCGACTCAAAGCTAGATGGAAGCAGGACCTGCATGCTGTCGAATCGACAGACCACATAATGCTTGCAAAAGCCGTAAGCAGTTTCTCTTCCGCGAACAACCCAGACACTGGCTTCTCCTCACACCAGCGAGATTGACTGCATGTTCAGCAGGCAAGTCGGACCCTTCTTATGTTATGTGTTCAGACCCTTCTGCTGCTGAGCTGCATGGTGGCCTCTTCTTCGCTCGACAGGAAAAAGGCTGAGCGTACATATGAGTTCCTGAGTCGTCGCTTGCTCATCGTTGGCAGCCTTATCTTTGCCTGAGTCCGCAGTCCGCACTCAGCCGCCACAATCTGTGCCAATTCGAACAATTGAAACGGTACGTCCCAAAGGCCATCAAGGGCTGTAGACAGCCTTCTGCTGTCGCATTATTTCTCGGTGAAGACATCTCTTCTCAAAGGCGGACACCCTCGTGCACTCCCAAATTCCTTGGTCTATATTCTCGCCGTCGACCTTTATATGAGAAGCCGACACAACAGCCTTCGCCGTACATGTCATGTCGGCATCGAAACAGAAAGCCCATGAATATCCCATTCTGAATCCAGTGCGAAAACTACCTTTGACTGGTCCTGAAGACCCTTGGGGTGAAGATCCTTCACTTGTAACGCACCATGGAGTGTACTGCGAAGGCGACTTGTGCTTTGACTCTGGACGTCCCATCAAGGGTATACGATATCGCTGCTCGCAATGCCCGACGGACTTTTGTGGCCGATGCGTTCGAAAGCCAAATGGATTCCACAATGAGAGCCATGTCCTCTTGGCATGCCCGGGACCACGTGAGTTCGAGATCATCAATGTTCCAAGAATTGGAGTTCCGGACTCTAGGTCTATGCCTCTTCCCTCGGGCCTACGTTATCTTGACGATAGATCGGGAACACGACTGGACCCTAGCGATCTTGCGGAGTATGACTTCTCAAGTACTCCGGTAATACAGACGCGGCACCCTGCGAAGACGAGCTCTACGCCTCAGCAAGAACACCCTCGCGACGAGGTTGCTCACGTTTTGAGCTTTCCCATTTCACAAGGGCGGCCAAAAGCTCGCCAGCGCTATCTTGACCAGAGACTGGAGGCCCGGCTGGAGCTCGGCGAGGTCGTGACATACGACTACTCAAGCACCCCGGTTACGCAGGCGTGGTATCTTCAAGGACCGAAAGTTCCCATCAGGCTGCTCGTTCTTCAAGCGGCCAGTCATCGACATGAATCATTGATGTGCCAATTCCGCATAGCAGACCTAGTGGAAGATGTACCACAGTACGACGCTGTCTCATGTGCTTGGGCAGACCTCGTTCGCGGAAGTGTACACGGAAAGCCGGAAAAAGGTTCGCTTGAGGGAACGGAAGCTATCTACATTGGCGAAAACAGCTTTTTGGAGGTTAGTCCGTCCCTTGCAGGGGCTTTGCGATCTCTACGGCTCTCAGACGCGCCTCGTGTAATATGGGTTGAAGAACTATGCATCGATTCGAGCAATGTGCCTGAGAAAAGTGCTCAGAATAGAGCGATCGGCCTTATCCACAACCGTGCTGTACGCACGATTGTCTGGGCTGGGGATAGCAGCGAGGGGAATGTGGCTACCACATCACTGATCTCGCTCTTAGCGAGCGTTGGCTGCGGCGATCCAGGACCGGCAGTATCACCGATCGACTTGAAACTACGAACGGAACCGACTGCGTGGAACCACGTGCTCCAGCTCTTCCCACCCGCTGCTCGGGATAGTGCTCTCAAATCTAATGACATCGATTTTGCCAAATCGGCAGTGTTCCAGTTTGGTGACCTCGTGCTTCCATGGGGGCAGGCTAAGGCTGTGGCGAGCTTCCTGTCCAGCGAGACCTGGGGAGCTGCGGTGGGTTTTGAGCGCAGCAATCCTTGGTTTGCCCACGAAAGGGCTGACAGCAAACACAAGGCCACAAGACTTCTGGAAGGATTGGAAACAGTGGATTCCGTCATCAGGTCACGCATCGAAAGACCAGACCGCGTTGGCAGTGAAGAGCCTAAGGACGACTCCTCTCCAGTCATCCCAGACCGTGACCCATCTGGCCAGATCAGGGGATATGGCGAAGGTCTGGTCGAATATGAGACTGCTAGAGAGGCTGATCCAACCGATGATGGAACGCTTACAATGTTGAGCGAGACAGCTTCTAACCAGGAAGACGTCGAAGGCGAGCAGGCACAAGAAGAGACAGTCATCCAGCGAGATACACCGATCGAAGACCGTACAGCTATCGAAGACAACAAAAGGTTCGAAGGGAGTACAGCTATCGAAGACAACAAAAGGTTCGAAGGGAGTACAGCAATCGAAGACAGTACAACAATCGAAGACAACACAGCGCCGGATGTCACCATCAAAATGCCCGCAGAAAATCCAGATCTCATTAAAGCACTCATGCTACAGACATCAGAGCCCGGTTTACGAAGTAAGGCATTTGTGGAAACTCTGCCACCTTGTCTTATTTTAACTATGACGAATCTACTGGGATTTCTCGGGCAGAGCGTGCTAAGCTTGCGTCGGGCCATGCGACCAAGATGTCGACGTGGTCACAGCCGCGTTGAGTGGACTTGTGTAGGTCCCATGAGATCGTTCGTCTGCATAGCCCATGCTAATGCTTCGAAGTCCTGCGGCGACTTACTGTATGGCGATTATCTTGAGGGCACTCCGGGATCACTGCGTGCCCTCGCTATGGAACTGGGTGGTCGAATCATCTGCGGCCCAGCTCTGCAACAAATTCCGACCAACTCCTCGGGTGCTACCACCCAACTACACTCATCACCTGGTCCGTCCTTTAAACTGGGTCCTGTATCGTCATGTGGTACGGCACCTGCGAGTACTCTACCGGCTCTCCCTGCTCGGGCTCCTGTTATTTCGCCTGGCAACCCCATTGGCAATAGCACTACCACCGCGGCACCAAGTAAGAAGTGGCTAGAAGTCTGCTTTCCGTCTGGACCGGATACCTTTGCGCTTGCAGAAATCAATATTTCGGAAGATAAAACAGACCATAGTGTCTTCAGTGAGATGAGCGAGAAGTACTATTCGGTCAGAAAGCCGGCCCATTTGCTCTGTAGATTCGCATATCGAAAGGCAATTGGCGGTGGCACTATCAGCGTACGTTTCCCTCCGAAACTTCATAGCATTCCCTCACTAGCGACCTTCTTCAGGCCCAAATAGCTGACACTGCTGACGATTAGTTCCGCAAGGATCAGCTGGCTAAATCAACTGGCGATCCGCCCACTGTGAGCATCATGCAGCGCTCGTGTATGCCGACCATCTATGACGCACGCGATCACAGTTACTCATTCGATCCAATGCCCATGGACGAGCCTTCAATCGACTCTCGCACCTTCAACCATTACTTCCACAAGCCGCATTTGTGTGACAAGTCGCGCATTTGGATCACACGTCTCCCTCAGCTCCATGGAGCGTCCTTCTACTGGTCAACCGAGAGGCTGAAGAAGGGCTGGGGACTGGAGATTGTTGAGGAACGGAACTGGATGATACTGGCATGTGTCAACTTGATAATACTGCTTCTGAGCGGTGGGCTGGCTGCCATTTCTGCATGTGTGCTTCATGATAACCCTACTGGTGTGGCTATTGGCACTTGGCTCACTACGGTGCAAGCGTTGGCTGCCACTACGGTGTTCTGGCACTTCACGGGGTAGCAAGCTCGTCGGCTGATGATACAATTATGGCCGGGGGTAGGATGATAGACAACCAACTTCACATCTCATTCTCTGGATCTCTCGACCTCCGCCATCCTGCGCTCCGCTTCCGCCGCTATCAACTGCAATTTCTCATTCAGCTCTTCAGTACTCCCAAGCTCTCCAAAGCGCCTCCGCCACAAGGCCCACCGCTCAGGACAGAACCCGTGCTTCCCATTCCAAAGTAATCCACCACTGCCCGGCGCTGCTTTGGGCGGGGGGCCTTTAAAATCCTTGTCTCAATGATATATCTCTGAGCCTAACGCGGCGATCCAGGCGGCTGCTGCCGGGACCATTGCGTCGAGATCATTGCTCAACATTCTATCGGTTTGAGACGTCTCGAGAGCGTCGCGAAAGGTGTAAAGTCCGTAGAGGTCGAAATCTAGGGCCTCCACTCCCGTTCCAGTGAGCTTAGCGACGAACTCATTGGCATGGATGAATTGATTGATTACAACCTGGCGTTCGGGATCGCCAGGTAAAGGTATGTCGAGAGCTTTCGTTGTCAGCTAGATCAAATCTGCGTCTTTCTAGATGGATGGGTTCATACAGTTCCAGACCTCGTTGATGCACCAGCCAAAAGTAGGCAAGTCCGACCAAAATTTCAATCCATACAGTTCCAGTGCATTTCCGTGTCCATCCCGAGGAGTTGGGAGCCTGGACAAGCAAACCAGAAGCTCCAACATTTTTTTATGCTCTGCCGGTCGGTCTTGCGCAGCGCTTATAACGGCGTTCCAGGTGTATCCAGCTGTCCCTTCGACGCTGGAGTCCGTGGCTGACAGAATGGTGGTGGCCAGCTTTGCGGCGGCGGTTTGTAGTGTTAAACGTCAAGCGAACAGGTCCTCCAGCAGCCCATGTCTGTCTCTGCATTCTTCAGCTGTGAACGTGAAGTTGGACGTCATCTACACCGCCCAGGTTGAGTGATTGCAGAGACGGCGATCGAAATCTGTGTCTCTCCGAGTAGATGTCGCGTATGAAGGGGACCAGTGCGGCATGAATATGGCAAAGGCCTGGCCAAGACTAATTGATACCAATGGGCCGCGTACCAGAACTCTCATGTTCCTAGACGACGTCGACGGACACACAGGGATGCCTTTCCGAAGTGACCTGTTCGTGAATAGAGAAGCGCAACCATAAGTCATCAGCAAGCTCTCGAGAACAGCCGAGAAGTGCTGATGCTCGTAGTCATACCGCCGGGGGAGCTGTCATGAGCAGTTGTACATCTGTACATGAGCACGTCCTGCGCGGGGACCGCCGAACAATGTGTACTGAGTGGCCGTAAGGGTCAAGGATATCTCACTGGCTTGGACTTACCAAAGCGCCGTCGTGGGAGCAGCAGCGAGTGCAAGTGTAATGACATGAGACTCGTCCGGATCATGGGAAGGTTGAAACCAACTAACCGCAGCTTCTCCGCCGAAATGACCTGGCCTCAACTACAGCCAGCGTAGCCCGTCGCAGCCGTCTCCCACTGCAGAAGCTCGACAGGCAACACGCAACTGTAGCGGCGACGGCCAACGTCAAACCTTTCCACAATCTCAAAACCACCTCCGATTCTCTAACTTCGCCCTCCTCCGCCCCTCCTCCAACTCCTCCCTCGGGCCCTCATACCCCAAACAAACATCCTCCCCGTCCCTTCCACTTCCAACCCTCATATCCATGTCGAAAATCCCGCCGGCCTCACCAATACAAATACTGATCCTCACATGACACCCACCCTTTCTCGTCTTCACATTCTCGCTCAAAAAAGGCCCGATGAAACTCCTCGCCCTCCTCGCCAACGCATCTGGCGCGAACTTCGTGCGGAGCTCCTTCGCCCAACTGCCTTCCTCTTCGTCGTCGTCGGTGGGGTTGAAGCGCGCAATAGCCGTGCTGGAAGGGGAGCGAGAATCGATCCAGAATCTGATCACTTCGTCGTCTCTTCGGGCGCCCTCGAAGGTTGTGGAGAGCCAGGTGGATATGATGAGGGATTCGAGGTTGTGGAAGTGCTTCAGTGAGGCGAGGAAGGGGGTGGTGATGGGTGTTGGCTGGAAAAGGATCGCTGCGCCGCTGTAGCCGCAGAATTTGAGCTCGGTGACTGTGTTTCGGTGGTACGAGGCGAGGGTTTGAAGCATGGGCGCCGAGCCTGACCAGCCGTATGAAGGTTCGAAGTCGAAGTCTGGTGGTGGAGTGCAGGGATCTTTGGAGCCGAGGGCGAAGACGGTGTCTTTGTCTTCAACCTCGAGGTCTCGAGCGTCAAAGCTTGAGATGTGTTCACCGAGATCGCGGCCACGGGCGCCCCATGTGTTGCCGACTGAAAGAACATCAGTATCAGCGACGCCGTCACAGACGAAGCATCATTTACTTACGTTGACTGGAGACGCCGATCATTACGATCTTCTTGAGCGGACATGCATGTAGAGCACGAACGGTCTCCCTTCGCTCATCCCGGGGAACACCACCCTCGATCTTGATGCTCTCAAGCTTGGTCATTCGCGAAGCGAACTTTTCGATGAATTGCCGTCGACGCGCACTTGCAGCCGCATCTGGACACTGGTGGCTATCAGTCGCAGGCGTGCCACGGAGTCGGAACATTGCATCGACCCGTAGATCCAGCAGTGACTGGCTGAGGCGGTCAATGATGGCGTCTATTCCGGGAGCAACATCCGCAGACGGTCCATTCGCGGAGAAGAAGGTGTCCATCGGCCATGCTAAACACTGGAGTCCGGTATGTGCCTCCATGAAGTCTAGACATACAGTGTCAAGACCGCTGAAATCCGCCCGGGCAGTATCCGTCTCGCTTGCACTCTGCACATTAGGCCGTTTCGCCTGTGACCGATCCAACAAGTAAAGACCCTCCGGCTGCCTTGTGTCAGGATCACAGTTGTTGCGGAATTGGAGAGCTTTCAAGCGAGGGAAGCGGAGCCGGAAGAAGTCAAGATACATTTTCAGCCATTCCGGATATTCAACGGTGATCTCTTCCTGTCTGTCTGATGGTGCCGTCATAATCCAGTCGAGGCAGATGCTTGTTAGTGTTGAGCAGGAGCTGGTGAGCATGTTGACCGCCACGCGTGCGGATGAAGGAATTTCGAAATGATTACTGCATAAGTCCCTGTCAAACGGCTTTCGTTTAACGATACGAGCGGGCATGTTGGAGCAAACTCACCAGGATTGGACATTGAGTACGGTACTTCCGCTGGGACTCAGGTCGGCACGGCTAAGACGCAATTGCTCCGCCCGCTCACGACTTGTTTGTGTTTGATATGGTCCGAAAGCTTCGGGTGGTGGAGTAGCGTCCTGCTCGAGCTGCGAGTAGATGCTGTCATCCCAGTGTTGGGGATCCCGCAGAAGATCTTCGAGAGAAATGTTGTGGTCGTCTTCTCTGGAACGTAATGGTAAGCTCGTCACGCTTAGATTAAAAAGATGCTGTACTTACTCTCCTTCCAAGGGGGAGGGAGACATGGCGAGGACTTCCATCGAGGGGTTGTTGATGCAAGCGGTATAGAACCCGCCGACGCCGTCATTCAAGGCTACGAACCTGGGTAGAATTGCACCACGGGCATGTACATAACCTTGTGAGCTGTGAACAAACTCAGACGGCTTCGCTGACCGCAGAGGAAGGCGACGGAAACGTATACTTTCCAATCCGTTGAAGTTCAGGTCTTGTGGTAGGCCTAGAGGATTGCAGGAAGGTGGCAGATAGGCGGCAGGACTTATGTGACAGTTCTCGAGCCATAGACGGCGTACTGGATTACTCTTCCGGCGTCTGCGATCGAACAAGCAACGAACCAGTGCGTCGTTGAGATTGAGATGGCCGTTGATAATGCCTGTAAATAAGGTCAGGAAGAACGTCTCGGCCATATCATTCCTCAAAAGGATGGCCACATACGTAGAGTATGCACCCTTGGCATCTGTGAGATGGCTATACGGACTAACTCGGTGGTTCTGGGATCGCATGACAATGTGATGCCAGTGAACGGGGTGTCTGGCAGGTCTGTGAAGAGAGAAGGGGGAGGTAAATGGCAGCGGTGCGTTATCGTCTGTACCTGCTCCGCAATCCACGGCTTCCTGGGGATTATTAGTCCATTGAAAAACTCATGAGTGCCTGTGCCAGTACTTACTGTGCCAATATGAGTAGCTTTCGAAGGAGTGGCGTGTCATCGTGTTCGTCGGGTACATTCTGGTGATCGGAATGGTGTCCCGAGCGATCTTTGAGCTCTATATCCCTCCAGATGATCGGAGTGGCTCGTTCGTATGACCAGCGTGAGGTTAAATTGAGTTGGGAGAGACCTTTGTGATCCAGACGCTCTAGGACGTCTTGAAGTAACTCTGTCGGCAGGCTCGAGAGGAGCTGAAAGCCGGCCATTTCATAGATGTATCTGCGATGATCCCATCAATGCTTTCGTACCGCGAACTCAGCTACAGCGGCCTATGGGATCTCAAAGTGTTGGTCCGGTTGGTATATTGACCACGAAGAAGAAGATGGGCAATGTTGCAAGAAGGCTGGTGCTGGCACGTTGAATCGGGTTTAGTGGCTTACATAAGACGGCACGTGAAATCGCGTCTTCACGTCTTCACGCAACAACCGGATCTAGTCTTCACCTCAGCCTCCTCGAAAGGATCACGGGAATATGCACAGCGAGTCTGCGCAAGGCTGATGGCCAGCCGTAGACCCGCCAGACCCGCCCATGGATTGTCCGATGGCTATGCAACCCTTTCTTGGCGTATGTCCGCAGGAAGGGCACTGTTAGTGCCTGAGCGAGTACAGGTATTCTGTATACCCACATCTGGTCGGGCTCTGAAAACGGCGGCACTTATAGCAGCAGGGACACCTTACGACGACAACTTTGACTGGCTTTCTAGCTTGAGCTTCACACTACATACTATAAGGCCGCTACTACTGCGCGCCTCAGCTTAGAACACCATGTTTGACCGACTCAAAGGCGAGTTCCACCGTCAGGATGATGCATCTTCGACAGCAGGCTCTTCCACCCGTCCTCCACCGCCAGCATACGATGGTCCACCACCAAATGCCAGGCCGACATCAACCAGTAAAGAGACGAACCGGCCCTACGAGAGACCAGAGCCAACATTCCGAACCAACTTTGGCTCAGTCTCGCTCCACATGGGCGACAGAATCCGTCTGATGGGGCTGCCTCCTGAAATTACGGCCGCCATCCGATCAACTCTACAGCAAACCTGGCCTAATGGCATCCAAGACGAGCGCGGCTACCATGGCTCTGTAGAATTCAAGCTTAGAGGTGATTCCAGTGTTGTAGCAGATATTGAACATCACTAATAGTGCTACAGGCTACCCCTGGAGCCCCACAGGCGACGACGCAATCCACGCCCGTCGGGTCACGCGAGGCATCATGGCAACGCTCTACAGCCACGGCTGGGTCCTGTACATCTCCACCGACATTTCACGCAAGCCAGGCGACAAGGACAACCTTTTCTTCCGCCATCAAGACCCTCCACCCGCGCCTCGCGAATGGTTCTCCTGCACGTTCAGCAAAGGCGACCGCATCCGACTGATCGATGCGCCGGAGAGCGTTGTACAGGACATGATTCGCACTTTGCAAGGCTACATCCAGACCCATCGACCTTATCATGTTAGTGGGACCTACGAGATCAAGCTCAACGGATCTCCCTTCGCAGCTTCAGGAGGTGAGACTATGGTATCAAGGGTGCTGTGTCTGGAGTTGTTCGAGGTGCTGGAGAGGAATGGGTTCACGCTGTACGCTTCGATTGATCAGAAGTATGGTGGCCAGCATGGAACGGAGACCGACAGCTGGCAGATGTCTCGTCCAGTGGGGTGGAGTCCTGGGGCGCCGGTGTATCATCAGTGAAGGAGTTTATCTGCAGACCAGGATCATCCTTTGAGCGCAGCAGGCTGTGGAAACGGTTTCATCTTTCGATTCGAGGCTCTAGCTGAAGTACTGACTACAGTACTAGAAGATTGCTTTTCCTGTCCATCCGACTTTGATGATCCGCACCGCAGCCATGCCCGTACTGCTCATGGCATACACAAGACCGGTGAGAACGACCAGACCCCAGTAACGTCCATCTGTAGCATTGATTATCGCGCCTCCAATCGGGATACCGATGAGCCCCGCGAAGCTCACGAATACATATGAAGTCGTGAAGTATCGCCCATAGTGTTTGGTCTCGCACAGCTGACCGATGCATGGGCCGATCAGCGATAGATTACTTCCAGATCCAATGCCGAACATAACAGCGTAGAGGATGATGACGCCTTTCAGAGCAGATTTTGAAGGAGGCGGCGAGATCAAAGCAATCGGCAGCCACACTGCAATGTTTGTGAAGGCGCAGAAGGCGAGCATGAAGATGTTGGTGTTGTATCTCCCGATCTTGTCTGCCACTAAGCCGGGCACTGTACGTCCAATGACAGATGCTCCATTGAGGATGGCGAGGATCTGGTAGCTGAAGGATTGATCTAGTCCAACCGATATGCAGAAAGATGTGATGTATGCCAGAGGGATGAACAGAGCAAACTCCATGCAGAACAGAGCGGCAGTGCAGATGGCGAGCGAGCCATCGCCGTCCAGGAAGATCCTAAAGTCTGGCAGGATATCGCGGAGCTTTGGTTTGCCTAACGGTAATCGGGAGCGTAGGAACATGTTCGCGAACACCAGAAGCGCTGCAATGACGAAGGCCAGGATTCGGCAAGCCCAAGCAAATCCAAACCGTGGATACGCCGCGCGAAAGACCAACGGGAAGATCACGCCGCCGATGGAAGACCCAGTCATAGCAATACCAGTAGCGAACGCTCGCCGCCTGTTGAAGAAATGGCTGATCGAAGCCAACGGCGGCGTAAGTAACAACGAACTCCCCAACCCAGCCAAAATCCCGTAATCCAGAATGAAATGCCAATACTCAGTACACTCACCCAGCAACAGCATAGCAGCCACCAAACACACACTCCCCACCCCAACCAACACCTTCGGGCCAAAAGCATCGAAGGCCGGGCCGATCTGGATCCCGCAGAGGAAGGTAACAAAGACTTGCAAGCTGAAGATCCAGGCGATGGTGCTTTCGGGGTAGTCGCGGAGTTGGTTCTGGGAGAGGTAGTTTTGCAGGCTGGCGACGCTGTTGAGGAGACCCAGGCCGCCGGTCATGGCGCACCATGCCCCGAAGACTGTGAGCCAGGCGGCGGCACCGCCTTCGGGGTAGGTGTAGTCATCTGGCGGAGATTCCAAAGGCGAAGGGGAGTCTTCTAGAGAGTGCCGTGTGTTTGGTTCATTGTCATCTGGTGTGTTGTCGCCGTCCGAGTGCTGGGCGTTCGAGGGTTGTATATCTTCGCCGACTTCTGGATGACTGGACTGCTTGTGCTGCATCGAGATTGCACCCCAGGAATTTCTTCTGGCAATATCATGATTGGAACGATCAAGTCGGTCAAAATGCTGATGAAAAGAGTAGTTGATTGAGTAATGAAAAGTACTTAGCCTCGGCCAGCGAGTCGGAGATTTTGCTCGTCTTGCTCGTCTCGTCAACCTCTCGCGGCACTTCATCTGTTCGATTATAAACGTGCGAGAGAAGCAGCCGTAGGCATTTACATGTTCATGGCGAGCGTTTGCGCGGTTGAAAGAAGGTCTGATACCGGGAAGATCACCTAAATGCCTTTGGCCGCTTTCGAAAGCCTCCGTCTCACATCACTTCATTGTTGAGCAGCAGGATGTCATCAAGCGTATGGAAGGCTTGATCGAACATTGGGTGGGCGAGGTTGCCATTGCACGGCGGACGATGTGTGACAGGCAAGTCAGAGGGACGTTGACGACAACAGCCTCATCGCAAGGTATCCTCTCTACCATGTCTTCCTCTCAGACCAGCAGCATACGAGCACAGAAACCAAGCAGACAGCTCTTACACTTGCATACCTCACCAGCACATCAGGCAGAATGGATATAACCACGCAACCGCATTCCGACAAAGAGAACTTCTCACCCGGTATAGTCTCACCCCTTCTCCCATAACCTCACTCGAACTGACTCTCAACAGCATCCCATCAGAAAGTCCATTATCCCACTCTCCCGCTCCTGTCGCCGTTACGCACCAAGCGACCAACTTCTCACAGTTCGAAGGCCTCTCCGACGAAGAAACAGCACCTTCAAATAGACCCCGGCAATTCACTCGGCTTCAGTCCCATAGGGAGTCCAGCGAACACGAGCCGTCATCGCGCTGCTGCGCGAGTGGCAGGCTTGGCTGGTTCGCCGGCGAGAGCGTCGCACTCAGAGAGGGTGAAGCGCATCTTTCACGATTCGCCGACCCGTCGGGGTGAGGGGGACGGCTCGATTAATGTGTCGAAGGATAGCAGCAGTGGCGTCTCGTCGGCGACTTCAGAGCATGGTGTAGAAGTCCAAGACTACTCGAGGGAGTTGTGTCGCAGGCTCGACCGCCACGACGACCCTTCAGTGACGCCCGCATACCCGTCAGCGCATGCCGGCGTACCGCGTTTCCTGCTCCCCGCCGCACCACCTCCTTCTCCAGCGCAGACCGATGAAACGTCCACTGATTCCTGGACCGGTGACGATGAATTCTTCCCACGCTCTCCGCGCTCGACCATCCGCGCTCATCGCCAAACACTCTCCACGGAGCGGAAGTTGCGCGGAACGGCCAACCGTGCGAAGGCGATCTCTCCTGTTGATCAACTGAGGCACGGAGGTGCGGCCAGACTGCCTCCGGATTTGCTGGGCGTTAGTCCAAGGCGAGGATCGAGGTTTCGAGTGGTCGAGCGTGAGGCGGTGGAGTGGTCGCCATGTTAGTATTGCTCGCTACTGAATCGCCATCATTAAGCTGATTCGGTAGTAGGTTCCGATGTCGACATATTCAACAAGCTCGAAGCCGAGCTGAGCAACGATCGCCCGAGCGATGCCGACGACGAGGAGGGAGAGAGTAGCGACGAAATGGAGAACTGAGCTGAGCATCTATTGAGAGATGTTGGGGCGGATCATTGTTCGCCGGTAGTAAATACTGTACAAGCTGTACACCAGGGTATCGCTAAAACGTTACAAGGTCATCAAAGCATATGCATACACATACCCATCACCCCTCATGTCATCGCCTGAACTTCCGCCCTTCCTTTCCACTTCCCACACTCTTCACGTCCGCTTCATCCGCCATCCCTATCCCCCTTACTGGCCCCATTTCCAAGGTGTCTGTCTGCACCACCACAGTCGTATCCGCCTTCACGCCCTGCATATGATGCGTCCCACTGCCCCATAATTCCTCTGTACTCGCGCTCCGACTGTGATATCCGCTCTGGTCCCCTTGGCCGCGCCTGCTAGCGGAGCGCCTCACTTTCCCCGCTTCGATAACCGTCGTTGTACCGTACGCTTGATCTGGTCGGTGGCGGAAGGTATCAAGTACGCCCTTCTGGGAGTCGGCGTCGGAGTCCGAGTTGAAGATGCTAGAGGAACGGGTGAAGCTGTAGACGAGCACATCGAGCCAGCCGTTGGATGTGATCATAGCGCCAGCGACGGTGAGCTCGAGGAACGAGACGTGCTGGTTCGCCATGCTGGTCAATCTGGCCTTGACCAGCGGTAGCGTGCAGACGACGTAGACGATCGGGTAGATGATGATGACCTTCGCCGCTGACTGTGCGCGGACTGCTGTCTCCGAGTTCGCGTAGAAGGACCGGCGGACGCGGCGTTGAAGGATGAGGAAGATGATGGTGTAGATGATTACGGTGCCGAACTCGCATATGATGACCCAGAAATAGTGCAGGTATAGGCGCTCGTTGCTGAACTTCTCGTTGATCCAGCACCAGGCGCCGGCACGAGCGTAGAACTCTGTGGGGTTCATGGCAATCCCAATGACCGGCAGTGCATAATTGAAAGTCCACAGACCAGCAATAACCGCGCCGAAACTTCGAGGGCCCAGACGGTAGTCGAAGATGATGTCGGCGAAAGCATGAAGGGCGATGGCAAGGGTGAAGAGACCACTGCCCAAGTCGCCGGTGCTGACGAACCAGCCCTGGGCCCAGCAGGTGGAGGTGTCGATGGTGATGGAGTTCTTAACAAGCCAGTGTGCGTTGAGCCAGAAGGCGCATGACTGCTGGATATCGGCAAAGAGTAGGCTGGTAAGGAGGACGACGAATTGATTTATTCGAGTGCTACCGGTCGAATGGGAGCCAGTGCGTATTGACTTGATGAGCCGCCATACGAGCCGTAGGAAGAGGGCGGTGGATGTTACTAGCGATAGCAGGCCGAAGAACGTTACTGCTATCAGTCCGCGGTAGAGTGTGGGTATGTCTGAGAGTGGTGCGAGTGTGGTGGGTTGTGTAACAAGCGCCGCGATTTCTGGGCCTTCCAATGGCATGTTCGCGTTCGCACTGTCGATGACTGTTGTCCGTCTCTGGCCCGGCTCTCAATGCTGCTGTGTAAACCCGAGAAGTCCGCTGTCGCCGTAAGTCAATATTTTGTCCTCAGTGGCCTTCAGTTGTCAGGCCTCAACTGCAAGTCGCCTCGCAGTGACACGGAAACAATACGCTTGGAAAATCGTTAGTTGTGGAAGGAGCAGCATAGTCTTTGCTCTTCTCACAGTCTCAGAACCCAGGGTCGCAAATTGAAGGTCGAGACAGGGAAGGGGAAAATAGGAATGCTCTAAATGAGCCACATATATTCACCGTAGAGAAATGGCAGGGTGGATTGCTCAATGGGCGAGCACTGACACAACCATGCCCTGTTGCGGCGGGATCAACGGACCACGAATCGTAACAGCCTCTTGAAGCGACAGGCCGGCATCCTTCTCGTGTACTTTGCAAGATGCCATGCCACCGGTGCCTGCGCCAACAGGAGGGGGAGTTTCAGGCTTGAGAATTGGCCAAAGAGGTGCGGTCCGGACGGCGACAGGACGGCGGTCCCGACCACGCCAGTTGATGCACCTGCCCGGAAGATGCAAGTGGTATGCAGGCCATGAGACGTGCATGCTCAACCCGCGATTGTTCCAGCGCTAGAAGGATGCTCATCTGGTGGCATTGGTGCGTTCCCCTGGCCAGCGGGAGCCACGGGGGAGGGGTGGCGTCCGTAGAGTGCTTGGCTCGCTTGGTGGAAAGGACCAAGGCGTTTGCATTCTGTCGAATGCTGACCCGACCAATCAATGTTGCAGTCTGGATAGTTGCAGGTGGTTCCCACGTGCGGCCAACACAACCGAGCTGCTTAAAGTAGACAAGACCATCGCATCAAGTCTTCCCGGGGGTGTTCTCGACGGCAGAGAAGGAAGCAGGGCTGGCTGAGGTCGGTTTTAGGCAATCTAAAGCATCAAAGTGCGACAAGGGTGTTCAGGGCGAGAACATCCCTTCGTCTCTTTCTTCCTATCTGAGACTACTGTCCGCTGTTCCGCCCGGAGCGGTCGATCCTTCTCCGCAATCTTTACGCTTGTTCTTAAACCTTGTTGACTCGTCAAACGTCCAACGTCCAACAACTCTTCCATCAACCGCTACAGATACCGCCACGGGATGTCGAGCGGTTCCACCCTGGCGCCAAGCCGATCGCGACTGCACACAATGGAGGTTCGTTCCGTGTCCGCCAGATCGATCCCCGTGGCTGTTGACAAGGCCTTTGGAGGTCGACCGCACGTCCTCCCTGCGGTCTCAATCTTCTTCCAAGGGCGTGCGACCCCGGCGTGAGCCGCTTTCGTTCTCCCGGCTACGCCTTTGAGGCATCCAGGTCCTGGGCTGGGGATGCACTTGACCGCCAAGTTTTCCAGCTCCTGAGGTTGGCTACAAGGTTTGGTCCAAAGATTCCAGCATGCATGACCATGACTCTCTGGGTATTGTGGATGAAGATTCTCGCCGATGGTGTGCGATTGCATTGATGTGCGATTCATCAGATGATTGCGGTCTGATCGTAAATCCCCTCAAACGATAGAGCCATGGAATGGCTCGTGTGTCCACTACGTTTGCAGCTCGTCTGAAAACACCGTGAGACGTAGTCCGTGACGACTCTCGCAGGTACTTACAAGCCTTTTGCTTTCAAACCATTCAGGGGAAACGTCCTCAACAACTTCACTAGGTCAAGTCGGTGACTTGTCTTCCGGTACACTGTCAGTAGCGGAACTCTTGTGGTGTCATCGCATTTCTGGTCCTTTGATCCTAAAATTGAGCCTGGAGAGAATCATATAGCACGCCGGCTTTCCACACACTTGATACTGCCAAATGTCCTTGCTGGCGCCACGGAGTCTTGAAGGCACAATCTGGACCGGCTGGTATCGTGTGATGCTGCTAGTCCGCTTTGTCCGAGTTGCAGGGACGGGCTTCTTACTCATTTCTGGTTTCAACATCGAAGCAGAAGCAGGGAAGTAGGAAGGAGGTCTGGTGCTTGATGCACTGATCAGGGAATGAATGTCCAACGGGCTGCATGCAGGTATGTAGCACAATCAAGATATGCTTCACCCACTACCTTGCACTGGATACCTCAGATCCCGAAGCAGAATGTCAACAAAGGAGGGTCAACCGCAGTCCGATCTCTGGCAGACATTCTTGTTGCAACGCATCACAGTATTTGACAGTCCGACTTCGTGGCCTCATCAGATTTCGTGAAGCTCGAAGACAAGTAACACAGTGCGGGTGTATCGGAGGGCAGAGATTCTGCTGCCATCAAATCGTGGAAGCTGCTCCGCCTCTTCTCCGAACTCCCTCGAGATCGAGCGTGCTCTTGTAAGTTATCCAGCACAATGCCACGTTGAAAATGGAAAAGCAGCCTTCATCTATCAACACCAGGAGCTTTTTTCCAAGAGCCATTCGGCCTCTCTTCGAAAACTCGAGCAGGATCTGACCAATCCCGGCTACAATTAAATCATCCTGGGAGCGGCATCGATGATGGAGATTTGGACTCAGGTCCAGGAGCTATGGACTTTCCAGACAGCCTCAACTCCGAGCCCTGGCAAGACCTGAGAGACCCAGGCTCGAAATGTTGTCACTTTGAGCGCGTTGGACACGGATAGAGCACCAGGCTCAAGAGATACTATTGTAGTGAGCTGTGGTCTGTTGCCCTAAAGTCAAACGAGATCTGTTGTGTTTCAATCCAGCACGCTGACACTGGGAAGGTGATCTCGAAGACCTAGAAGCATATTCACATGGGATCTCTATGAGTCGCTGTGTTCGCTTCTCCAAGAGCTTCGCGAAACCTAGCAAACCCGAAGCTAGAGCGTTGTCAATCCGAGAGTGATCTCGAAAATATAGAAGCATCCTTGTGCCAGATAGCTCAAATGCCAGACGACCTCTTCCCGGCCGCTGCGGCGAGGTTGAAATCGCCGTATCTACTATAACGTCGTCTTGAGAGTGATCTTGAAGACCGAGACATAGGCCTGAGCGTCCTCTTCAGCAGCTGCTGTGGGCGGTTGTGTTGTCCTCTTCAGTTCTCGAGCAAGATTCAATGGGCTCATATCCACCACGTCGTGGTCTTGGGAGAGGTCTTGAAGACGGGGAGGCATGCTCAAAGTACAATGTCCAGGCACCGAAGGGGCTCTTCTCCAAGACTGGAGGAAGATCTTATAAGACCAGGTTTAGTACGTTATCGCCTTGAGAGTGCTTTCGAAGACGGAGAAGTAGCCTTGAAAGGCTCTTCTTGGGAGCTGTTGGAGGAAGATGTGTGGCCTTCTCTAGGACTCTGACAAGAGCGGGCAGACTCATGTTGATCTCTTCATGATCTTGAGAACGATTTCGAGGCTGGAGAAGTAGGTGCCAGACGTCGAGTTCAGGGCATGCAGACTGGCCGTTGATAGTCTTCCCGAAAGCCTGGCGACTGCTGATACGGCCGTATCTAGTACCTTGTAACCTTGAAAGTGCTTTCGAGGACGGAGAAGTGGTCTCATGAAGGTCGTTCTAGGAGCTGGCTACTGGGAGGTAAGGAGCCTTCTCCCAGACTCTGACAAGAGTAATACACCCGTTTCCGGCGCTTCGTCAGGTTTAGACTGGTCTCGAAGTCGGAGAAGCAGCCATGAGGTGCCGGATTCGGGAGCTATGGGTCGATCGGATTGCTCTTCTCCAAAGGCCGGACGACTGCTGATAAACCCACGTCGAGCTCGTTGTGACCTTGAGTATGGTTTTGAGGACGGAGAAGGGGGGTCAATGCATCATTTTCAGAGGCTACGGACTGGCCAAAAGACCTCTTCTCCAAGACCGTCACAGGCCTCTCAAGCTCACATCACTACCCATAGCACCATCACAGCCAATCCTCCCTTCGAGAACTACTCAAGCTATCTTACGACATCTCCGAGCGACGCACGAACCACTCCAGGATCAGATCCATGCTCGTGGGCACCAACATCTCATCGATGTCGGAGACACCGCCAGAGAACGTCGCCACCGAGACAGGAAGATTGCTGTAGTCGTCCGCACCATCAACCTCCTCCTCACCCTTCTCCGAGTGAGTGGACCCGCGCATGGAGCTCAAATCGAGCTCGTCAGCAGCAGCAGTAACGTCTTCCACCTCGAGAACGGGCACCCCAGCTGCCTTAGCCTTCTCCCTGGCCTCTTTGTTCGTGGCCTCGCACTCCTTGAACTGCTCGATCGACTCGCTCAGGGCGCGCATCTCCACGAAGTCGTCGTCGTAGTTGCTGATGTGGGATTTCGATGGGGAGGCTTCCATGTGCGTAAGAGAGGTGGCGCTGTCGGTGAGATCAACTGGCTCTTCCGGGGTGGCTTCATCATGGTCGTTGTGCGTGATCTTGTTCCCGGCGTTGCTGGCCATCTCCTTCGGTCCTTCCTCTTCCTCCTCAGCCTTCTCCTTCGCCGCCTTCCCAATCTTCAAACGGTCCTCCGCCGTAGCACCAGGACTGTTGATGTACGTGCCCAGCGGTACAGTTGATCTGACCCAGGCGCGCCCAGCGTGAAGCATACGGACACGCAGTGACACTTGAACCTCGCCCGGATTGTGAGTCGGTTCGGTGAACGCCATCGCATGAACCTGATTAGCGATCCCGCTGTCAGGGTTCGCCTCCAATGCTGCCCCCGCCCACTTGATAAAGCGCTCTGCACCGTCCGTGACGCCGAGAACGTAGAGCTTAGCGTCCTTGCGAATGAGCTGTGGGATGACTTTCTCGAACATCGTGGCGATATGCTCTTCGGGGTGGGAGTGGCCGGGAACGCGGTTGTACTCCTCGTCGATCACGAAACCTAAAATAAGGAAAGCGAGAGGGTTAGTTGATGTCTCACACAAAGTGTGGGTGATTGCCATACCTTTGGCGATGGCCGAAGCACGCTTACGAGCAGACCAGGCTGGCCAGGACATGCACTTGCCCTCTTTGTGGGAGTAGTGGAGCTGCCCAGGATTGAGGATGATGATACCTGGCATCTTCTGCGCTTTGGATGCCTCGAGCATCGCGGCGGCGGCAGGCCCAAAGTCGAAGACCCCATCCACTGGGGAGACTGGCGGAGAGCTCAAGACTGGGTGGACACCGCTCTCAGGCTTGTTCATATCCAGCGCTTGCAGCTTCTTCATCATGCCAACCACCGATCCTAGATGCGTTAGAGACATCGGCACGTGACAGTATCATCGTCACAAATAAAAGGCCACTTACCGCCATTAATACCACCCTCCCTCATGCACGACCGCCACGCCCACACTCCCATGTCCTGGTTCAGCTCGCCCACAATCACGATCACATCGTTCTTCTCCTTCAACACCTCCACATCCGACGTCATGACCACCATGTGCTTGTCCTTGGGCTGCACGCCACCCAACACCTCATCGCCGCCGCCGCCTGCCAAGAAGAGTTCACGCACGCCAAACTTGCTCAACTCACCTTTGATGATTTCGCGAACAGCAGTGTGCGTCGCTTCCTTGTGCACCTCATTGACGCGGTCGGAGCTGGAGATGAAAAACGTGAAGTGCTTGTTCGGTCCTTCTGGGTTAGTGATCTTGACGAACTCACCCTTGTCGTCTAGCTTGTAGTTGAGCTGGGTAAGGTCTGCTGGGTAGGAGGGGTCGACCGGGAGGTCCTTGTCGGTGCGGACGAACATGGTCGCGGTCGGTTCGTGTTGTGTGGTTCTGGATGTCCAGTGGGAGGGAAGGAGTATAAATACTCCAAGAGAAGGTGGTGGCGAGCTCACGGTGAGGCTTAGACCGCACGTGAGGTTGAGTTATAGTTGTGGTAGCGGTGTTGGTCACGCGAGCTGGTAGGTGCTCATTGACGGATGTGGAAGGTGCGACCTGGATGAAGTGAGGTCAAAGTAAGCCAGCCAGTGACGGACTTGTGCCCTGCGCTCACAGGATTTGTGTCAAGTGCCTCTTCACTTTGCCATTGATTGCAGCAGAATCACGGGCAACCTCTTCCTCCCCATTCGCATGGTCTCGTAACGTCCGGGTGGTGAAACGTTGCTCATGCATTCAGTGGATCGGTTAATATCTTCTTCGGCATTCAAGAAATTTATTCACATCACATCGACGCCGCCCATGCACGCAGAACGCAACGTGGAAACACCACTCATCTCCCGAGTCTACCAGCTTGCTTTCTTCACCCCGGGCAGGTAGCCCTTCAATGCATTCATCCGGAATTGATACTATTTTCACGGCGTCAGCATGTCATTCTTACTCTGCATGCCTTTCCAATATGCTCCCTTGAAGGACCCTCAGGATCTTGACATACCCTCGACATCCGGAAGTCCCTCAATATACCCCTTCCCTTGCCACCCATGATACATCGATTCCGTATCTGCGTTGGTCGTGTGTAGCAATGCATTCGCGTGAGCTCTAGTTGCGCCTGAGCTCGTGTTCGCTGGGGGAGGGAGGTGTTGCGTATGGTGTATCGGAGGGCTTGTCTGGATGGCCATTGTTGTTAGCATTGATGCTCTACAATTTAATATCGTCTCCTTCCCGAGACGCTACTCGCGGGCATGGATAGCGCCCGAATCTATCCTTCTGAGGATAACATTGGTGTAATACAGCGCATACCGTTCAGGCTCATTGTCCTGGAAGACCTTCCGTTTCGTGTGGTCGCGTATGTTCTTAATGTTGATGAAGCAGCCCAGATCGAGCTTCTTCGCTCGGAACTGTGACATATTGCGAGCAGATTGATGGATGATATCGGTGGTGGGATTATCTTGTTCTTGAGCGAGGTTGATCTTGGAGATGTCTGGTATGCACCGGGATTACTTCGGGAGGGGGCATGCCAGACTACACCTCGACCTGGAAGAACTCAAATCTTGACTACTACGACATTACTTGCTACCTGGTGCTCGTGACCACCGTCAGTGTAAAGTACAAGAGTGCAAGAGTACAATGGACCACAGTCCGGACGGCCAATGTCTCAAATCACGGAGGAGATGGAGGGAATGGAGGACAACCACACAGAGGTCAAGCGAGAGCCCTCTGAACACAGCTCTATAGTCTACAACCGTTCCGCCAGCCCCTTCAGCATTGTCTCCACAAGCGAAGATGAATCAATCGACCGCAGCTCGGTCTTCCGGCCCTTCCAACCTCCAGCGCCTCCGGCAGCCCCTTCTCGAACGCCCGCTCTCGGGGTCGATCCTCGGACAAGGAACTTCCGCAAACCGTAGACGACCAACTCAGCAGACTTCTGGTACATCACGGAGGAGAAATGGCAAAGCCTCATCAACGAGACTGCCCTCCCAGCGAACGCCCAGGCGGCCATAGGCGTGCTGCAAAAGGACGACCAAGCTGGGCGTGCTATGGAGACGGACGAAGGTGCCCTGGCTGAGGTGCCTTGCCAGACATGTGCCGATAAGAACGCAGCATGCACGATGTTTGCGAATGGGAAGTACAAGACCTGCGTGATCTGTAAAAGGCTGGCGAAGGGTGGATGTGATGCCAGAGTGTCTGCGAGTTCTGCTCCAACTTATACAGCTGGTCAGACTGGTGTTGTACCACGGGCTAGTGCTTCACATAGCTATGCTCCGCGCAAAAAGAGAGGTCGGCCGCCAAAGCATGAGTCTCGTAGTGTCGAGCAGAGGCTGCTGAAGTTGGAGCAGGAGCTTGCGGCGTCGAAGCGACAGAGGGATGAGGATGAGCGGAGGCTTGAGAATTTGGAGGAGGAGGCCGCGATCACACAAAGTCGTCTGGAGCGTTATGAACGAACGGGGGCTGGCAGACTGGTGAACGGAGGTGGCGAAGGTTCATCAACGAAAAAGCGAAAGCTGGACGAAGGCGAGCGGAGGGGGCAACGCCACCACAGCTGCTCATGTCCGGCTGTCTACCTGGAGCTTCGTGAAGTTTGCGCTTGCTGTGACTACGTCAAGATCCAGTGGCAGCAGGATCCTCAAGGGAATGCGCGCTGAGCATTAAGCAATGATCCCGCCAGAAGTCAAGACCATGACCGCATTCAATGTACAGAACGGTATAAATATGACGGATCACACCGCGAATCCACCGCCTATCCACTAGCCTTCCCGCTCTCCTCCCAAACCTCCAACGCCGCAGGACTCAATTCGACCACATTCTCCATGCCGCCCACAAACACGCCATCGACCTTCAACAACGCCAGATTCAACAAATCACAGCTTCGACTCTTCACCCTCAGCAGCGCCCTCCACGCACACAGCAGCTCCAGACACTCCTTCGCGTCTTCCGAATCTGGGCTCGTCACGAAGAGAAGCAGCATAAAGCTCGACGCGATTGTGAAGTTGGTACGCGAGTAGGAAGCCCAAAACGCTTCTAATTCTCGCGCGTTAAGGTGTTCGAGGAAGTCGTGGATTTCTCTGGCCACCGCAAGAGCGCCTGTTCGAAGCGCCGAGATGGCGTTGGAATTCGAGCTGGACGATTGTGGACGGAGCATTGCGCGGAAAAGTGAGATCTTCGCCGTGATGTAGGCGAGGTGGAGGGAGCCGCTGCCGTCTAGCTCGTGGGAAACAGAGGACTTTCGGCGCGCAGCTGAATCTGGAGAGCTGTGCGTTAAGGGCGAAGTCAGAAGGCCGGGAGGAAGGGAATGGTGCCACTCGGTCAGCCGTATGCGGAGAGGTTTCGCCACCTCGAGTGTTGCTTCGAGGCTGTTCTGCAGCGCTTTCGTGGCTTTCACGCTGTACAGGTCGTGCAAGATGTCACTGATAATGGTGGTGAGCTCGCACAGCTTAACGATGTCCTGGGGTGGAACAGGTGAAGCTGGCTGTGCATCTCTTGGCTGCTTGTTCTGCTCGGCCAGGTCCGCTTCTGTGAGCATCGCAATATCCCAATCATCGGTCTGGATGTAGCCCATCCGGCCAGAGTTCAAGGCCAGCCACTTATCCTGGATGAACATCGCCCATGAAAGCCGTCGCCGCAACCTGAGCTCCCAAGCTGGCAGAGGCCAATCTGACGGATCTCGGTTCAGACCCAAGGACTGCGCTACGCTGACGGCAGCCGAGATCATGACGCCTTTGAATGGGGTGTCGCTCACATTCTTGTTTGTCGGCCGTCGCTGGACCAGAAGCAGCAGTGTCTGCAGGGTCGCCAAGGAAGGAGTATGGAAGGTCGGCACACAAGCAGTCCAGGCGATGCGGAAAAGTGCGTCAGCTGACGGAGGCGCAAACACGTCTACACACAGCTTCTCATCCCAGGCACAGAATGGCAATGCATGCCCGTAGATTGCGGCCAGGAGCGCTGTTGGAACGTTGCTGGGCTCTCGAATGTCGTTCTCGCTCAGGACGGGGAAGTACGGCTGTACATATCGGTAGAACAGCCGGATCAGACGCCTGCCCACAGCATCGCTGACCATGCTGTCGAGTTCTCGCCGGTACCGAGTGAGGATGTCCGGCCCCTCCTGCGGTTGCGCTTTTGAGGCCAGGGCATTGTGCTGGATACTGAAGAATGTTGGAATACTGTTTTCAGCTCCGTCATCCATCTTCCGGATCCTGATTGACTGGAACGATGCTTCATTGTGCTCGTCAAATCGATACCGAGACAGGAGGTATGGATCTGTCTCACCGCTCAGCCCGAGGACGGTTGAATTCGACGACTTCTGCTGGTCCAAGGACGGCTCGCCGCTGGTCAAATCGAACGGTAACGCCAGGTTCTGCGGTGTCCTTGAGGACGCTGCCGATGATGGAGACGGCTCCGCCTCGAGTGAGCTGTCTGGCTTCATTTGCGGAAAAGCCATGGCCGTCTGCGCGGACATTGGGTCGAACATGTTCAATCCTGCCATTGAGGGGTCGTCATAGAACGCTGGGTCCAAAGCGAACACTAGACCTGCCGAGCCTATGTCTCCGACAGGCATTTGAAATGGTGGAATGCCGTTCTCCCAGTCGAAAAGCTCTTGCTGCATTTCGAACGCTCCATTGCCTGCGATACCGCTCATGTACGATGCACTGCTGTCCAGACTGCCATTGCGATCCTGTTTGAAGTCTCGCATTCCGCGAAGAGCATTTTGGCCATTCTCGTTGCTGTTCTCGTTGGGCCTGCGACGTTTCGCGGGCGACTCGACAAAGGTGCAGTCTTTGTGGTATCGTATGCACAGCTCACAAGGCGGCTGGCTTTCGAGGTGGCATGCTGCTTTCTTGTATCTGCCTGCTTAGGCATCAGCCACTGCATAACCTTGATCGCGGCATCTTTACATACAGAAATCGCACGGCCGCTTATTGCGCGACTTGTATGCTCTTGCGCGATCGGTCGAGTCAGATTGTTGAGGTGGAGTTTGAGGATAGGACTGTGTCTTCGGCACTGGCTGGGCTGGGACTTGGAAGCTGTGCATCGAGGCAATCTGGGGCGTCTCCATTCTGTGCTACCTACCCGTACAATAGACACAATGGCGAGGTGAGGTCAAAAGTCAACATTTCGAGGGTAAGATACAATCACAACACGAACTCCACCTTCTCTACGGCTATCGGCTTTCCGATACCGGCACTGCATTGCAACAACGCCCTTGTCTATCAGCAATCGAAACGGTTACATGGTGTCAAGTTTATCTAACACCTTCGAGGTCGGAAGTGGAAGCTGGATGCGGAAGTGCCGCGAAAGCGTTGGAGGCTTGGAGTCGAGCTGCAGCTCCACCTCCGCATTCCAACGCGATAAGAGACGATCACTGACATGAAAGTAAATCAACTATTGGTTAGGAGGGGGAGTGTGGATGCAAAGGATGCGACGTTTCCTTGGGCCTCGTGGCAGCCACCGGCAATAGCCAGAATGACTCCAGGGTTTTCGTTTTGACTGCCTAGAAGGAAATAGTGCAGAAGAAGTAAACAGCTCTGGCGATGGTCCACGACTGGACTCGACGCCGCCACGACAGAGTAAAATCCAACAACAGCGGACACGCAGCATGGTTGACCGCAACTAGATCTGGGATTTCGATACCAGTTTCATTTGATGTCGCTGTTCAAGGCGTTGGCCGTTAGGCGACGTCGATACTCTGCATCGGCCAGGTTCGGCGGGCACGGCGGGGCAGCTCGAGATGCAGGATCAGTAGATAACTGGAAGTTGAGCGTTCATGTGTCGACCGTACTTGTATTTCGATCATCTCTCTTTTGCTCTGCCTCAAATTCTCGCTCGAAACAAAATCATAGCCACAAGATTGCGAACATGGCTCGAAAGATCCGCATCGCGGCAGCCCAAATGGGCGCAACCCATCTCAAGGACGACAGGAAGGAGACACTAGATCGAATGCTTGCCTTGCTCGACGATGCCGCATCTCAAGGAGCAGAAGTCGTTTTGTTCCCGGAACTTGCTTTCACCACCTTTTTCCCGAGACATCTGATCAACGACCCGGACGAGCTCTCCTCGTTCTTCGAGCATGGCGGTGTTACCGAATCACCATCTGCAAAGCCGCTGTTTGACAAAGCACGGGAGGTGAAGGTAGATATATCTGTCGGTTTCGCAGAAGCCACAGACGCTGGCGAACGCTTCAACAGCTGCGTCTACTACCACGCCAAAACCGGCTCCATCCTGTCCAAGTACCGCAAGGTCCACTTACCAGGCGACTTTGAGCCCTTCACAGACCCAGAAGCAACGAACCAGCTGGAGAAACGGTACTTTAAGCCCGGCAATCTAGGATTCGAATCCTTCCGCGTCCCAGAGCTTGCCTTGAGCTCAGAACCCATCTTCGGCATGATGATCTGTAACGACCGCCGGTGGCCGGAAGCATGGCGATGTCTTGGTCTCCAAGGCGTGGAGATGGTGCTCTGTGGCTACAATACCGCCGGCTTCGCTCCGCATCTCTGGGGCAGCGATGCGAAGCAAGATCCGCAACAGGCGGAAGAGGATGCAGTGTTCCACCACAAGCTGGTGATGCAGTCGAACAGCTATATGAACGCTACGTTCTCGGTTTGTGCTGCGAGGTGTGGCATGGACGATGGGAAGTATAGCCTCATCGGCGGTAGTTGTATTGTCGATCCCGAAGGCCGGATTGTTGCTGAAGCGAAGACGAAGGAGGATGAGGTGGTTGTAGCGGACTGTGATTTGGAGATTTGCCGAGCAGGCAAGACCAGGACCTTTGACTTTGGCAGACACCGGAGGACTGAGCATTACTCGCGGATCACCGACCAGACCGGTGTCACCGAGCCTTCACCACTCGGTACCAGTGCCAACGGTGGCCCTCCTCCTGCGAACGGCATCAGCAACGGAACCACCAACATCATCCCCTCAAGCTCCTCTTACCCAACGATCCGCCCCTCCTCCAGCCCATCCAAGCCGATCAGAATCCTCCTAATAAACCCCAACGCCACGAGAACAATGACAGCCAACTGCCTCGCCATGCTCCAGCCCACCCTCCCCCCAGACGTCGAAGTAACAGGCCTCACGGCCCCCTCCTCCGCCCCGACAGCAATCGAAGGCCACTTCGACGCCGTAATGTCCGCCGCAGCCTCCATGCGCGCCGTCCAGCCCCTCCAAGCCCGTGAGTCCTACGACGCCATGCTCGTAGCCTGCTACTCCGACCACGCCCTCATCCGCATGCTGAGGGAAGAATTCCCATGTCCTGTCATCGGGATCATGGAAGCGAGTCTGTTCGCTGCGCGGACGTTAGGGGCGCGGTTCGGGATCGTGGCGACGAGTCGGCGGAGTCGGGTGATGCATCGGGATGCGGTGAGGCATTATGGGATGGAGGGGTTTTGTGCTGGGATTGAGAGCTGTGATCTGGGGGTGTTGGATTTGGAGAGGAAGAGGGAGGAGGCGTTGGGGATTATGAAGGATGTTGCGAAGAGGTTGGTGGAGCAGGGGGCGGAGGTGTTGACGTTGGGGTGTGCGGGGATGAGTGATATGAAGATTGCGGTGGAGGAGGCGGTGGGCGGTGATGCGATGGTTGTTGATGGTGTGTTGGCTGGCGTGCAGCATCTGAGTGGACTTGTGAGGATGGGGTTGAAGACGGCCAAGGGAGGGATGTATGCTTCGAGCGCCGCTGGGAGGAAGAGGAGGGGACAGGAGTATGTTTGAGACTGTGTAGGTCCGGCTCTCTCAGCTCCTACGACCGCCTGGTAACAAGTGATCGCTCTAAGCTGCCTTCACGACATATCCTTCCTTGGGGAAATGCAAACGGATGCCATTGTCCAGCTCAAGCACGAGCTCACGCTTAGTGAGGCCTACCAGCTTGCCGACTTGCGGGTGTGCACCTGGTTCCGCGCTGTACCCCATTAGCACTGCACTTCAACACCTACCATTTGGCGACCACTCACTCAAGGCTTTCAACCGTCACTTTCTTGCCCGTCTCTGACGCCAGAGGATCGTTTTTTTCGACCTCCATTTTCGAACTAAGGAATTCACTTCCCAGGATGGTCTTCTTTGCATCGTCCGCACTCACGGTATCCGCTTTGACTTCCGGCAACGCATCTATCATCGCCCAAACCTTCGGAAAGTCATCTTTCCCAAGGCCGGGTTCCTGCCCGGCACCAAGAGCTTTCAGCGCCCAGTAAATCGGCCATACGACGTGCAGGTCTGCTAAGCTGGGTTCCTTGCCATTTGAGAAGGGACCAGAACTATTCCCTAAGAACTCGCTCTCAAGGAACGCCAGCCGACTGCGCAAGTCCGCGAGCCCAGAAGGTCGCAGTTCCTTGAAATCCTTCCGGTTCAGGATTGGAAAAACAGTCTTACGGTCTTTGACAAAGACCTCGCTGAGAGCCGGGCCTGGAACCAGCGTGACGACCGCCTGGAACGTCTCCGCGCCCCAAGCTTCCCAAGCCTTGTCGGAGGCGCCTCCACGTTTGAGCTTACTACCAGAGAGGTCCAGCACGATGGAGATGATCAGGCTGCTATCGCAGTAGACGTCTTTGCCCACAGCCAGCACGGGGATGCGGCGGTACGTGATGCCCATGGCTTCGAGATCAGGGCGCGGCAGGACTCTTGGCTGGTCGACACGCTTGAAATCGACGCCTGCTGCGTTGAGGATCCATTTGGTCTTTCTGGCGTATGGGGAAGACTCTTTCGAACTGTTATTAGAAGTCGTGGGGTGGAGAGAGGTGGACTACTTGCCATAGTCGAAGTGCAGGATTGGTGGAGCCATGGTTGATAAAGCCGATTGTTGGAGAGTCTATCTATATAGAACTGTGTTGATCTTGATGCGACGTTCTTCTACTCTGTCGCTCTCTCGAAAAGACCGTGCAAATTGGTATACTGTAAGGTATAGCGCTCCGTTGTAATTAATGTTGGCTCGAGGGATATGCAACCACCGGGTCTAATGACATCAACGGAGCTATGCCCGCGACTCCATCACTATTTGGCTTGAGGCCGGAGTAAAGGAGCTGATGATCGCAAGCTTTCGAGCTCTAGACCTCTCGATGGTTGCTTTTTGCGCCGTGAATTTGGCTTGTCCACTTGGCGATGAATTCGTCTTCACCAGTCTCCAGACACAAGCCTTGGAGGGTGCATGTCCTGAAGTCAATTGTGTGAATACACAGGCATGTATATGGCCTTTTCTGCACACCATCGACAGCTTTGGAACGTCACGAGCACGCATTTCGCGCTTCAACGTTCGAAGTTGCTGACCGGCCCGTTTGTCGAGGCAGATGTCTTCCCTTTTTGGAAACCAGTCGTTCACTGCGTTTGCGACAGTTGTGGTTTCTCCAGCTGACAACATGCTCTTTTCGAGTACTCTTGTCCTGAGCCGTTCTCCAAGCGGCCCAGAACCCACGGGATGCAGTTCAACCACTCCCACCCTGTTGCTCTTTCTCCCTTGCCTCCTTCTCCCTCCTCTTCTCATCTCGCAGCTTCTTCCTGATGTCCCTTAAATCCGGCGGCACCTCAATCCCCAGCCTGGCCCTCAGCACATCCACATCCGTTTCTAGCTCCTCCTCCCAGTACACGTTCACCACCTCCTCTGCCTTCAACCCGTTCCGCACCGCCCATGGAAAGTAGACGCTCCAGAACCTCTCCCTCTCCACCGGCTTTAACCGCACATAAGCCACCAGCGACAACGCAGTCATCGGCAGAAGCGTGTTCGCGAACTCGAATGCCTTGACTGCCAGCTCTCCTTCAATGATGACCGGTAGTCCAGTGATCGCGTGCGTGAAGTCGTGCGTCTCGCGATATCGTTGCATTACATAGGCTTCCTCTGGGTCATCAATGTACCGTACTGGATCGCGAGTATCTGGCGTCACGCCCTCACGGTCCAGCCAAGCGGCATACGCACGCCCGACGCTGTTCTCAGGATACTCTCGTAGTTCTTCCAGACGCATGTTCTTACTTGTGATCCGAGGCCGATCTCGAAGGATGCGCCGTCCCGTAGGGTCCTGAAGCATGGCGCGGTGGAGGCGAGTGATGAAGTAAGGCTTTGCGGTTGCTTCGCCTAGAGACGCGATCAGGTCGTGCCGGTAGGGGTTGAAGAGGGATCCAAAGGCTGACCCGATGGCCAGGGCGCCGCGTTCGATGGAGGTGAGAGGAACATGGCCTGGGTAGCTGGGCGGTGGGCGGTTGAGGACGGAGAATGCGCGGGCGCGAAGGGGAGGGGGGAGTAGGAGGAGGGGGCGGAGAGAAGGGGTCAAACGCGACATCCGAGCGGCGGTGGGTGTTAGTAGCAGTACTGTGATTCTGCTGTTCAATGTTCATTCACTTTGAGATCTAAAGTGGCCGGCGTTAAGTCGCACAATCTCCATGAGCCGACGACATGTAATCAAGCTCGCAGCTCTCCGGGTGCTATCTCTTGAGCCGACAAGGTGAATTGTTGCAAATAGTGTCCCACACTTGTCATACCATCATTGGATCAATTCTACCATCATGGCTGGCTCAAGAGACGACGGCTTCTCGCCGGCAGCATCGTGGCATACCGAGAACGACGAAAGCAACGATGACGACATGGACTTCGAGGTGAGATGAGTGATATGAACAACCACGGATCAATGGATCAAGTATATGCACGAACATTAGTGCTGATGTCTGGTATAGCTAGCAAGCGAGGAGTCCACGCCATTCCGGCAAGACGACGACGAGGATGAGGATGGAGAGAGCGGGGAGACGACGGTGTACTTCGATGCCGAGGAGGGGACTTTCCGGACCAGTGACGGCCAGGAGGTCGAGTGGGATATGACAGCCGACACGGACGAGACTGGAGAGGAGGAGGAGGATGAATCGCCGCAGGAGGAAGGCAACGAGGAGGAAGCAGAGGGCTCTCAGACACCACAGGCTACTGCCAGCACGGCACGACCAACCCAAACGATCACGAGTATGTCTCCCAACGCTGAGAGTACTGCTGGGGTGGAAGCTCGACGTCCAGGCATATTGAGACGTGCGAGCACCGCCACCCAGCTGCGAGTAAGCCGTCCCGTTTCTTTCGAATGCCATACTGATCGTTTGTTCTTTCGCTGCGGTACAGTAACCCAGCAACAGATTCTCCAACTTCTCAGCCACGGCAATCTTCGAAGTATACTTCAGTCTACGGGCGGTCCGACGACACGATCACGAGCACGGCACGGAGGGGCACGGCTTGCAGCACTGGATGATGACGATGACTCTTTGCAGGACGATGATGATGACGACGAAGATGCGTATCGAGGTTACGGTGCTCGAAGATCGCGGAGAGCACGAAGGACCTTTGTTGGTGAACGCTATCCAAAGATTCCATCGGAGGAGGGCAAGAAGTTGATGGACAGCGGCACTTTCGGCACCAACGACCACTGCGACCACACAGCTTGTGGTCTTCCTTTCTCTGACACGCACATGCGGAAACGCAAGAAGCTCGCTCGACGGATGCTGGATCGTGAGATGGGTGTTGAGAACCGCGGCCGAGCTCGCGCCCTGGGTGCCTTGGCCTCACAGCAACTAATTCCATCTTCGAAAGCCGACCTCATAGTCAACCTCAATGCCCGCTGCTACTCTGGCCAATTCAGTGAAGACGGATCTTTCTTCTTCGCCTGCGGCCAGGACTTCCGAGTGCGCATGTACGATACCAGCAACCCATACGATTGGAAGTACTACAAGACTGTCAACTACTACGGTGGCCAATGGACGATCACAGACGCCAGCTTGTCGCCGGACAACAAGCACCTCGCCTACAGCTCGATCAGAAGTCAAGTATGTCTGGCCAACACCGACCAGGGAGACACCTCCGAACCACGACTCCTCGACTTCTCCGACACAGGACGAGGTGGGCACGGCTTCGGTGGTGGGGGCGGCTGGGGTCGCAGCCATGGTCACTTTGGTATCTGGTCTCTTCGCTTTAGCGGTGACGGCGGCGAGATCGTCGCAGGCACTTCAGACCAGAGCGTCTACGTCTACGACCTCGAGGCCCAGCGCAGCATCCTCCGCATTCCTGGCCATACTGATGATGTCAACGCTGTCTGCTTCGGTGATAAGATGTCGCCGCACATTCTGTACTCTGGCTCCGACGACACTACACTCAAGGTCTGGGACCGGCGAAGTCTGGCGAGTATGAGGCCAGCCGGCATGTTTTTGGGACACACCGAGGGCTTGACGTATATCGACTCGAAGGGCGATGGAAGATATGTCATCAGCAACGGAAAAGATCAGACGTGCAAGCTCTGGGATCTGCGGAATATGATCTCGACGGACAAGGGCATGGGCATCAATCCTCAGGTAGGTTCTCACCTCCCATCACTGAGTACCAATCCTAACACTTATCGCAGGACTACACCACAAACTTCGACTACCGCTTCTCCCCCTACGACACCGAATCCCACACGCCCCACCCCCACGACTGCTCCCTCGTCACCTTCCGCGGCCACCGCGTCCTCAAGACCCTCATCCGCTGCCACTTCTCCCCCGCCGGCAGCACCGACGGCCGCTATATCTACTCCGGCTCCCACGACGGCCGCGTGTACATCTGGAACCTGGACGGCACGCTCGCGGGCGAGCCCATCAACGTGCTGGGTGCGACGAAGAACTCGCGACCCCAGGCCGACGAGCGATTCGTGGAGCGGTACGATTATTATGGGCAGGGAGGAGTGTGGAAGACGATTGTGCGGGATTGCAGTTGGCATCCTTCGGCGCCGGTGATTGCGGCGACGAGTTGGAATGGGTGGGATCATGGGTTGGGTACGTGCACGGTGCATAGCTGGAACGATGGGGTGGAGGCGGATGAGGTTGGTGATGATGAGGGGGCTGCTGCTGGACGAGGGTCGGGAGAAAAGAGGAGTCTGGGGAGTGCGCCGATGGGGGCAAGGGTGACGGCGCAGTTGGGCCATGATGAGCGGTATTACGGGGCGCAGACGGAGCGGGCGAGAGGGGCCAGGGCGAGAGGGTTGAGGGATCGCATGGGGTTGGGAGCGTTGTGGGGGGATGATGAGATTGACGACGAGTAAGGTGCAAGAGTACATCTGGTGTGGTGTGGGTGGTGCTTGTTGGATTATTTGGAGATTTTGGGATGATACCTTTACGAATATACCGAATACGATTTCATAAGCCTCTCGTGTCATCGGGTATTGTCACTCTTCTGCGGATCGTGGGTTTGGACGTTTTGGTAGAGATATGGTACAGCTCAACGGCACAATAGTACACGCTTTTGTCCATCACCCTGTAGCCTCCATCTGGCCGTATCCGTTCGCAAACGCCGCGCAATGCAAGCTCAAACTTTCTCCATGCTCACCAACGCATGCCGTCTCGCTCGTGCGCTGCCCCCCTGATCTCCTGTTGGCCTCCAACCTCCCCCCTAGCCTCCTGCATCCCTCTGCTCCTTGCCATTCTCCTTCCGCTCTGCTCGTCTACGCACCGCCCACCAGAATATTGTTCACCGGAATATGTATCAGCTTCACCACATACCCGATCACGCCCATGATCAGGAAGCCCATGCCGACGGCCTGCGAGATGCGGAGGAATTCGCGCTTGTCGGCTACAACAACCGGCAAAGTCAGCACTGCGCATAGCGCGAGCAGGAGAGGAATGGGGGAGACGTACGTTTGGAGCAGCGCGTAAGGAAGCCCCGGCCGTCTTTGAGGAACTCGCGGGGCATTTCGAGGAGCTCTTTTGCGTTGTCCATTGTGGGCGGTGGGGGAGGGTGGAGGTGGGTGGTTTGAGGTGGTGGTGGAAGCGCGGGTAGAGGTATGTGTGTGTAGTCGGTGTGGTGTCTCTGAAGTCGGTGCTGGGCGGTGTGGTGTGGTTATCGCAAGGGGGGAGGAGGTGGACAACTTTCAGTGTTGGAGACGAAGTGAGGCCAGATCGCAGGTCTTGGCAGGGTCTTCTCGACTTCACTTCCACCTCGACTTCACTCTGTTCTTCTCAGAGACCGCATACAGTCTTGCCTGCCTCGATGCCATGAACGGAATTGATAGACGTGGATTTTCGATTGCAAGTGGCTGGTCTGAAGAGGTCGAGGACCGCAAGGAGAGCGTCATCGTCCGGCAAAGGGACGAGGAAACTACAAACAACTCATCTTCCCCCGTTCTCCACCACCCAAAGGACCTCGAGCCCGCCCGGGCGGCTAAGCACAAGTAGTAGTCACTGGTCGAACGGAAGGGATGAAGGGGCACGGACACCAACGTTGAGCTAGGAACGGTTGCGAAGGGAACGTTGGATTAGCAGTAGCAGAATTATCGGGTCCACCTCGAGATATGAAGTTTTTTGGGAAGCAGCATTTCGGTCTATCGCAGCAAGAAGAATGGGTGGGAGCGTGGCATGTACAGCCGCATCTTGTGTGTTTCAAAGGAGAGGTGAGGTTCAGGTGAGGCCTTTGTTATTTATTGTCTTCCGCTTCTATGCTATGTACGCCACAAGACGAGCCTCAGGCTCTGTGGGATAGGCTGGTGCAAGGGCAAAGCAGCCGTGGATGGAGGAAGTGGCAGAGCACGACCAGTTGTCAGCTTCAAGGTATCAAGCTCATGAGGAAGCAGCATTTGTTTGGGCTCGAGCAAGACGTATGGGTAGCCCTACGGCATTCGCGGCCGCCTTGGTCTGACTCCAGCGTTTGCAAACGGGAGGTGAGCTTTCAATTTAACTCGTTTCATTGCCCTTATCTTGTCCTTCTACAAGTTCTACCTTTGCAAAAGACGAGCCTCAGGCCCATGTGATATCGAGTTGTTTGCCACAACCGTACTAGCGCTTGCGTTAGCTCCCCTTCTCGCACAGCTTTTTGCGCTTCCCACCTTGCTCACTCCACCTCACTTCTCACTCCTGCCTCCTCCCCACGACACCGCCGTCAACATGGCGAACCTTACGAAGGCCCGCCTGGACGACCTCCTCCCAGAGATGATCGAACGCATCGCAAAGCAGTGCCACCGACGCGATCTCATCGCCCTCCGCCTCGTCAGCCGCAAACTGGAGTCGAAGACGCACGCAATCTTCCTCAAGGAGCACTTCAGCGACCGTTCGTTCCTGCTCTGCAGCGAGGGAAGTCTTCGAGTGCTCGCCAGCATCGTTGCGAACCCAGAGTTTGCCAACGCGCTCAAACATTTGACCTTTTACGACGAGAGGCTCGCCATCGAACCGAACAAGTGCCCGTGGGAACCTGAGGAGATGTACTACGAAAGAATCACATGGTCAGACCCGTTTTTGAAATGGGCTGTCTGGGCCAACGTCAGTCCCGACCAGATTGCTGCGGCCTACCAAGATCTGAGAAGGGCGCACTCGCGGTTCGAAACATCGAGCTTGCCCCGCGAACTCCTCGAGTTCATCTTCGGGAAATTGAAGTCGCTGGTCAGCATCGATCTGAGAGGCAACTTAACTGAGCATCGAGGTAAGTTCCAGTGGCGTGGTGAGCGGTACCCCGTGACGTACAGGATTTTGGCAAGTGGCAGTGGCAGTGGCAGCGGCAGCGGACCGTTGGAGGAGGATATGATTACATGTGAGGAGGATATCCTCGTGCCGCGGTACACCTACGGTCGCAACTTTATGATGACTGTTCTTGATGCTCTTGCGTTGAGATCCGTCTTGCTCGAAACGCTCAGCGTTCAAGACAAGTGCTGGACCAAAATGGTCAACCGTCGAGCAGTGGAAACCTTCGCCACCCACACCAAGAGAATCGACCAACTGGGACAGTCGTGCAGCACGCTAAAGCGCTTCAACATGACCGTGTACGAATCGGTCTCCAGCAACACCCCTGCGCCATTCGGCCCAGATCATGACCTCGAGAGCATGTGGCTCAGCCAGGGCTATGGCTTCTACGGTGGTCATTACGTGGAAAGGATCCGCCCTCTGCTCACGCCTGCGCTTCCCATGATCCTGGCGTCCCAGTTCTCGAAGCTGAAGACGTTGTACGTCGACTCCTTCGAATTCGATTTCGCTACCATCTGCAACTTTCTCCAGGGCCACCCCACTCTGCAGACCTTCGAGGCGTTGGCATGCTGTTTCAAAGCCTCTACCATCAACTATGCCGCGGTCCTCGAAGCAGCGAAGCCAGGATTCATGACGACGAACCACGACTACTGGACGAAGGTGGCAGCTGATGCTGAGGAAGCTGGTGGTGAGGAAGCTGGTGATGAGGAAGCTGGTGGTGAGGAAGTTGGTGGTGAGGAAGCTGGTGACAGGGAAACCGCAGTCGCTTCAGTTGATGGGGGGTCGGAAGGAGATGACGATGAAGAGTCGGAAGGAGATGACGATGAAGAGTCGGAAGAGGATGACGATGGCGAGTCGGAAGAGGATGACGATGGCGAGTCGGAAAAGGGTGACGAGGAAGGATCGGAAGCGGATAACAACGACAATAACAACAACAACGGGGTGGAAGATGAGCCTGACTACGTCATCTGCGGCGAGAACGTCGACCGAGCTATCGAGGCGTTATTCCAGGAGCAGACGAAGTTCGAAGGAGTGCGCATTCAGAGGGGCATCGTGCGCCAGTGGGTTCCCCATGACTTCGATGTGGAGACGCCTCGTGCGAGGATGGAGGTCTGCAGGTGCCCACCGTGGGACGTTGCGACTCTCGCGCGTCTGGGATGAAGCTGTGGTAGTGCTGCGGGTGAGATGATGTTGAGGATAGGCTGGTGGTGGGGAGAAGAGGTGTAGAAGAGAAGTGCATGTGATCAAGACCGTCAGGTTCATAGTGGTATGCGACTTGCATGTGCGTACATGTGACTGCAAGGCTGATTGAAGTCATGTGACATCGAGTCCGAAAGTCAGATCAAAAACGTGTTGCAAATGTAGTGCTCCTTGATCAATTCCAGTATGTCGGTAGTGACGATGACCTTCCTTCTTCCGCTCACAGACAAGCCCACCAATCAGAGCTCGTCACAATCTTCATCGACAAGAAATACTCTCGTGTCTCGAACGCTTCAACAAGACTTGAACATGATCATTCATGCCTCGTACGTGAGATAAATGACAACAGCTCTGAGACTGTTGAGAACTGGGAATAATGCGCATGGTGTGAGAAATCCCATCACCTCGTATCGCATCCTCCAGCTCAACTGCAATACCGACCGGTCCATACCAAAACACGCACGCACCATGGCCTCAAATGGACCCTCCTCAGAAGGCCGCAAGCTCAAGATCCTCATGCTCCACGGCTTCACCCAGACGGGCCACATCTTCGAGATCAAAACCAAAGCCCTCAAAAAACACCTCGAGAAGTCCATCCCCGCCGCTCCCAAACCCGGTTTCTTGAAAGACTACCCCGGCGGCGTGGAGCTCTCTTATCCTACTGCGCCCATCCGTCTCGACGTCACGGATATCCCAGGCTACGACGTAGACGGCGATAAAGAGTCTCCGGAGGCCTACGGGTGGTGGCGACGAAAAGGCGATGCCGAGCCATTCGTGTATGCGGGAATGGAGCAAGGGCTGGCGAAGATTGCGGAGGTGCTGAAGAACGAAGGTCCGTTCGACGGCGTGCTAGGGTTCTCGCAAGGTGGAGCAGCGGCAGGGATGGTGGCGAGTCTGCTCGAGTCAGGGAGGAGAGAGGCTTTCGAGCAAGCGCAGGCGAAGGGCGGGATGAGGTATCCGGATGCTTTCACGGAGGACACGGGGTTCGTGGAGGGGATGGTGCATCCGCCGATGAAGTTTGCGGTGAGCTATTCGGGGTTTGGGGCGAGTACGAATGCGCTGTATCAGGCTTTCTATACGCCGAAGATTCAGACGCCAATGTTGCATTTTCTCGGGAGTGTGGATACGGTGGTGTCGGAGGAGAGGAGTTTGAGGCTGGTGGATGCTTGTATCCAGGGGCGGGGGAGAGAAGGGGGTGTGCAGCGAGTGGTGACGCATCCGGGTGGGCATACGCTGCCGAGTCAGAAGCAGTATGTTGCTGCGCTCGTGACTTTCATAAGGGAGGCTGTGAGCGAGGATGTTGACTTAAAGGTGGATAAGGTGGAGGAGAGGGCGGAGGATATGGATGTTCCTTTCTAAGCTAGACGTATGACCTTGTACATTCCGCCCTGATATGGAGAGAGCGTGGCGTTAGGATAGAGGCATTTAGAGCTGCATAGAATAGATCCGCTACCGGCTCCAATCTATGGAGCAGACCGGCCAGTGGCTGTGCTCGTGCGAAGATGTTGTGAGTTTTGGTCCGCTTCAATATGGCGTTTCAACCTTGCTCGGCCTGGCAAGGCGACGACAGGCTACTGGAGGCGTACAGCTAACCTAGGTCGCATTGTCATGCGAACCGTCGCCTCGTCGTGCTACCGGGTGTCCAGCGTCTGTGCAAGCCAGGCTCTAAATTCCATAATAATGCATCTATCGACTCGTTATGTCGTCCAAAGCCTTTTTGAAGCGCCGTCTTAAGTCACAACTGCTTTGATCAATCTTCCAAGGTCATCAGACTGGAGTATGATTAGCACAGGATATGGTCCAAGTAAATCGGATGTACTCACATGAGGCGGCTGTGTTATTTGAAAATGATTTCCTGTCATGTAGTTGAATGTATACTTCGCACCAGGTAGCAGCTTCTCCCATCCCACAGTCTTCAACTCCGGTCTGGGCTCAAGTAAGAAGCGTGTTACTTTGATGTTGAGGTCGACCTCAAGTCCAGACTCGGCCACGCTCTTCACAAGGCCTTCTCGCACCCAGATGAAGTCGACGTGGGGTGGAACATGCTTCGACTCCAGAGGCGTTGACATATACCGGTCTACGCTGATGACAGTGGAAGTAAAGTGCTGTACTAGCCATTCAGGTGCCTTCTTCTGACCAGAGGCACCCATGAGTCCCTTGCGTGTGAGCTCGCCGACGACTTGTTCAGGCAGCGCCTCAAACTCCAGCCGGCATGGCGAGTCGATCATTATCATCCTCTCGACCTTCTCGCCATTCGCTGTGAGCAGTTTCGCCACCTCGAAAGCATAGTAGCCTCCAGCAGACCAGCCGCCGAGAACGTAAGGCTTGCCTTTGGGCTGCAGCTTCCGCACCTCGTCGACCCACAGCCGTGCCATCCGCTCTATTGAACATGTGAAGTTCTGGGCCTGCCGGAGGAAGGGTGAGTTCAAGCCGACAAGGCAGATGTTGCTACCCATCGGCGGTAGTGTGCCATACGACGTGCCAGCTCCCGAGCCGTCAGGGAAGAGAAAGACAATCGTAGACGAGTCGTTTGGCTGTCCTTGTAGTACAACAGAGAGAGGTACTTTCGGCTTAGGAACGCCTTCCCATGGATCCGAAGGCTCAGTGTCCACGAGGCGAGGTTTGCTGCTCTCTACTGCACCATCCCCGTTGCTCGTGGTCGAGCCTTCTCCAAATTTGCGGAGAAAGGCCTTGAACTCGCCCACAGTTGGGTACTTTTTGAAATCATCCGGCTTGACGTCCACGCCTATTTGGCTCTTCAGATCTGCGGCAGTGGCGGCAGCGAGCAGATCACCCAGGCCGAGGAACTTCCACGTCTCGTTGTCCTGGAAGTCGAGCGGGTCGATGGAAACAGCTTCGCCAATGATCTCCAGCGCCCTGTCGACGATTGCGTCTAGTGACATGGCAAGCCGAGGAACTTGACCTTCCGAGCACCCTTTAGGCCAGATTCCAGATTCCAGGTTGTGGAAGAGTGAGGACGAGCTAGGATCAGCAAGCAATACAGTAGTCAGCTGCTGGACGAGCTTGAAAGGGTGGAGTCCAAGGTGCAGACTTTTGGCTGTGCGCCACACGCCGGATAAATCTCGTTTGACACGTCCACCTCACCAACCTGTACCACCACCTCCACCCCGTGGTCGGACAGACCTCGAAAGGACCGCATCTCCATGGCATTGCGGTCCGTCACGCCGTTTGTGGGGGACCAGTGGAGTAACAGCCACAGTCTCCAGACCACACACCTTCCGTTTGAGGCAGAGATTGGCCCATGTAGATTGAGGAGGCGGCACCATTTGCATTGAAACAGCGCCTAGATCGTGGAGTCGTGGAGCCGCATGGCTCGTCACAGCACACCTTGTCGATGGCGGAGAGTCTCCTGCCTCGGAGATTGATGGAGCAGCACGTATATTATGTGTTGTAGCGATGTTGTTTGGGGATGAAAGTTAAGTACAGGCTCTCTTCTTCCTCCCTCATATCCATCCTGGCAATGGCGGCAACACTTCAAACATTGGGCCTCGCAGCTCTCTCGCTCTCATCTCTCGCCTATGCTCAGCAGGCTGGTGGCGGAGAGAAACATCCGTGTCTCACGAGCCAATACTGCACGAAGAAAGACGGCTGCACCACTCTACAGACCTCGGTGGTCATTGATTCAGGAAGCCACGCGATCCAGAACATCAAGACCGGCGATTCATGTTTGGCGGACGGCGGACTCGATGAAGCAAGCTGCCCCAACGTAAAGAAATGCGGCAAGAACTGTGAGATTGTGGGCATCTCCGACTACGCATCCCATGGCGTGACCACCTCGGGCAGCTCCATGACCCTCCAGATGTACGTCAATGGTGAGAGCGCATCACCTCGAGTGTACCTGCTCGACCCGTCTGGAAAGAACTACGAGCTTCTCAAGCTCAACGGCCAGGAATTCACGTTCGATGTCGACATGCACGACTTGCCATGCGGTATGAACGGCGCCCTCTACTTCTCCGAGATGGAAGCCAGCGGTGGCCGCAGCAAGTACAACCCAGCCGGCGCCGAGTATGGTACAGGTTATTGTGACGCTCAGTGCTTCAATACCAGCTCATTCATCAACGGCGTGGCCAACGTCAACCAACTTGGCGCCTGCTGCAACGAGATGGATATTTGGGAAGCCAACTCTGTCGCCACGGCATACACTCCTCACACCTGCACCAAGCCCGGCTTCTACGAGTGTGCCGGGGATGAGTGCGGTCCTGATGGGATCTGTGACAAGAATGGCTGTGGATTCAACCCCTACGCGCTCGGCAAGCACAACTTCTACGGCCCCTACGACAAGGTCAACACGGCCAGACCTTTCACGGTCGTGACGCAGTTCATCACCAACGATGGCACCACGTCTGGTACCTTGCAGGAGATTCGCCGCATCTACAAGCAAGGCAACAAGATCATCCAAAACGTCGCCGTGAAATTCCAGGACGGCACTATCAATTCTCTCACAAACCCCTACTGCTCGGCGACGGCGGACGGATTTACTGAACGAGGTGGCTTGGCTGAAAGTAAGTATCGCTAAACTCCTTTCCATCCTTCCGATCTCTCCCTGACCCCAATTCTTTCTACAGTGGGCGAGGCTCTCGGACGAGGCATGGTCCTTGCAATGAGCATCTGGAACGATGCCGGAGGCTATATGAACTGGCTCGATGCTGGAAAGGCAGGTCCTTGCGCGCCAAAGGAGGGCAAGCCGTCGAGGATTGAGAAGAACGATCCAGGGACCCATGTGGTGTTCTCGAACATCAAGTGGGGTGACATTGGGTCGACTTACTAGGGTATGGTAGCTTGGTAGCTTCCTTCATCGGAGAATCAATGAGAATCAATGGCACACTTTTGTCTTCGAGACCTTCTAATACGCCGCTGGAGTTCGAGAGAACAGAAAGCAGTGAGTTGCTGATGCTTTTTCTTTGGTAAGGCGGTAGACCGGGCTGTGTCTTCAATCAGCGAAGCTCGTGGTGGCTGTGTCAGGTCCATGTAACTTAAGAGGCTCCAATTTGCTTCCATCAACCCTCTTCACCACTACCAGCCTGCTCACGGATGATACGATACATTGCGCATACTTACAACTATCGACCTCTCGACGTTGGTAAGCAGGAAATCCGCATCCTCTCGATCAGCCCACAGCGGCTCGATGATCAGTCGCCTCTCCAAGGTCATCTGCAGCATGTGTCACTTCTGCACGACAACATCGAAAAGATCATCCCAATTTCCTACGTTTGGGGCAGCCCTAATGATAAGAAGAAATTGCTGATCGACGGGCTGCCTCTTGATATCCCCGCGAGCGCTGACATTACCCTTCGCCATTTCGTACATTATCTCAACTATGGCCCTGGCAAAGACGACACAAAAGAGCTCTCGAAGAGACCATTCTGGCTGGACTCCGTGTGTATCAATCAAGGCGACTTTGGAGAGCGAGCTCAGCAAGTCCGACTTATGAAAGACATCTATTCGGACGCTGCGCTCACATTCATATGGCTTGGCGAGGATACCGACCTGACAGCAGAACTGGGAGCTCAGGCTCTGAGGAATTACTACAAAAGGGACGATGACGTGGATGACTGGACAAGCTCCATTCTGACCGTGTCTTGGGAAGAGCGCAAAGCATTATCCACTTTCTTTACCTCACCTTGGTATGAACGCACGTGGACGCTCCAAGAGGCCGTCCTGCCGTCAGATGTCTGGTTTTTCAAAGGTCTGCATGCGGTAGATTGGGCTGTGATCAATTGCTTCGCTCCCACCCGTCACCTGTCTCTTCTCTTGCCCGGCGAGCTAGGGTGGACTAAAGAGCAGGAGCAGGGTTTTCATGACGCCGGGATGATATTTGAGATTGACCTCCTGGGAGGCAAGAGGATTGAGAACCGCCTACCGCTGACGGCGCATTTGAAGTCGACTGACCCGCTTGACAAGGTGTATGGACTGCTGGGGATGCTTGAGACGTCGATACCGGATGGAGTGACCGTCGACTATCGCTTGCCAGCTGCAACAGTATTTGCTGCTGCTACAAGGTCCGCCGTGGCACGGAAGGAAGGCATTGTCATCCTCAGGGAGACGCTCATCAGAGTGCCACCTGTCGTCGATCTGGTTGGTGGTAAATTTCCCTCGTGGGCCGTTCGATGTCACTGGAAACGAAGATATCGGCAACTAATCCCTAGCAGCTGCATTAAGCTGCCCGCGATATGTCACGACAACTATGGGTATGTTGATGTCGGAGATCCCAACGTGATTCGAGTACGAGGTGTGTCGTGGGGCGTAATCCAGCATGATCCAGTCCAGATCGTCAACAATCCAACCCACTGTTTTCCGGCAACCTCTAGAAGGTCAGTGAATGCTCGGTCGCTTCGAGCGATCTGGGATGCCGCTTGGTCGACAACACCTCAGAATGAGGTCGAATGTCTTCCAGAGCGAACTTGGAACGTAATAACCAGAGGGACAGTCGTAATGGAATACACGAGGTCCAACAAAGCCTTCAAAGTTATGCTTGACCGTCGGCATGAGTCCGTTGCGTGGGAGGAGCCCGTGCCGGACGATGTGATCAAAGATAGCGCGCACCCAGCGCTGGAGCAAATCCTCGAGAAAGGCCGCGAGAGGAGCTTCGTGGTAGCAGACAGCGGACTCCTTGGAGCGGCATGGCACACAGTCAAGGGAGGCGATTCGATTGTCATGATTTTTGGCTGCGACATACCGCTCGTTCTCCGGCCGGATGGTGATCGTTGGGTGTCGATTGGCGACGTATATGTGTACGATGCGATGGCTGTAAGTGGGAACTCCGTTCTCTCCCCGAATATCAATGTGCTGACCGGTGCTAAACCAGGGTGAGCCCGTAGTAGAACTAGAAAAGAGGGGACAGCTTGATGAGCAGATGCAATGGTTTGACATTCATTGACCACCTCAATCGGGCAATAGTAGTAGTCGAGTAGCATGGAGGTGGTCACAAGGACTCGCTTGCAACTTCCCATATGGAGCAGCTGCTAGAATAAGACCGGAGATGAGAAGGAGAAGGGTGGTTGAAGTCCTAAATGAAATTCTCGCAGAATCGGCAACAAAGCAACGGTTGAGTAGGGATGTTGTAATGCTCCAGGAGATGATTGATCCCTGAATTGACCTCACGAGATTTGATGCGCGCTGCGGATGAAGTCGATAGCAGCAACATACGCCTTCTTGCGGTCAGCTTTGAAAGCTGGGCCTGGCACTGTGCTCTTCTTTCAGCAAATTTACTCGACTGCATGGAAGTGGAAGGAGCTTACCATCGAGCCACGCATGGAATCCCTGGTCGAAAACAACAGCCTCGAATCTACGACTCTCATCCAGGCGGTCCTGCAATTATTCCCGAACACGCTCGATAAAAATCAGCTGCTCGTGCGCAACAATATCCACACCAGCCACGATGAAAAGGACATTCGCGGGGAGGTCGTCCAGCTTCTTCAAAACAGGGTGCAGGCGGTCATCCTCCAGCGTCTCCTTGCGGACAGGTGCAACGTAGGCGTCAAAGAGCGGCATCAGAAACGATAGGGGATCGATCGTAGGGAAGTTTGGCGGCTTAGGCTTCTGCCACGGAGGGAGCCGAAGGTCGACCTATTCGTTGTTAGTCAGAAGGTTGGCGCAACAAGCGCAAGCCTGTCATACCGCCGCGCAGAAGCCTACGGCTGCTTTCGCTCGCGTTCCGGCCGCGAACATTAGATTGGCGCCTGCCGACGAACCCGATACGGACAGGGAGTCCGGGTCTGCGTTCCAAAGTTTCTGAGACTTCTCGAGAACCCAAGAGAGGACGTCTTCAGCATCTTCGTGGGCGCAAGGATAGGTGTGAACCGGAGCGTAGCGGTATTGGGCGCTGATCACGACAGCACCTATCCGGTCGCTTACTTGCTCGCACCATAAGGCGTTGTACTCTGCGATGCCGCCGAGGAAGGCCCCTCCGTGGAAGTCGATATGGAGAGGACGAAGCTGTGTGTGATCTTTTGACGGCGGCTCGAAGACGATTGCTCGTATAGTATGTCGGCCGCGTGTTGGAATCTCAATCACCGTGTATCTGTGGGAGAAGATGTACGGCAGATACTTCAAACAGTATGTGAGCAAGGTCAGTGGCTGTAAAAGAAGCAGTCGCCAGCGGTGTGTCCACGGAAGCGATGGGCTGAAGAGCGCATCGGTTGTGTTCCTGAACCAGTGACTGGCGAATCTGAGAGATTGTAACATGTTAGAGTAGTTGCAAGTGTTAGAACTGTTTTAGTGAAGCGGCAGGCCTTTGATATACGACCTTTGACTCATTCGCATTCGGTCACGAGGCTGCTCACACCACCTAACCTAGTCTGCCGGTTCATCTTCGTGGTCGACGAGTTGGACTTGCATACGCTCTGGCAGTGAATCCCTTTTGAGATGGCTTCCCTAGTGGGCACGTCCGCTAAGGGTAACATGGGTGCTCAACCCAACTCCAGCTCCCGAATGACGACCTGAAGAGACTTGCCAACTCCAATAACCTGTCCCGTCACCTGAGATCTCCAACAAACCATCCTTTCTACCGCAACGCACAAAGCCTGCAGCCATGCGGACCTGTCACCTGGTTGCGAGGTCTTACAAGGCTTGTGCCCGCATCGTACCAACAAAGCTGTAGGCCGAGCTGAGGCTGGAATGGGCGCATTAAAGCCAGCCTTTGCGGTACTTTGCGATTTACATGAATGTTCGAACTACCAGCAGGTGTATTTGGCGATGCAGTCTTCGTCGATGGACGAGCACATGACTGACGGTATAGGGGATAGGGGATAGTTTCGAATGCATTCTCGGACCCCAACGGCAGCTGAAGTCGAGACGAAACCGCCAAGTCGGCTGGCTGGACACTTTGATGCTTGTTGACCTTTCCAGCTCACCTCCTGGGCGCTCAACTCCGCCCCCGTGGCGCTCTTCTCGGTTTGGCGCTGGCCTTAACGGGGTGGGGAGCGTATTTTTATTAACCTACTGCTCTATGGACCGATGGCCTTCTGAACACTTGTATAGCACTTTTCCTTTTTGCTCTCCTGTCGTCCTTTCCTTCGCCCCTCCATCCCGTCAAAATGACATACACTCCGCGGCGCCGAACTCTTAACCAGCGGTCGTTCATTATCATCATCTGTATCCTCCTGGTCCTGCTCTGGCAAACATGGAACAAGCGCGCTTGCGAGAAGGATTCGGAGGAGCTGGTTGAGAAATACACCTCCTCCGATGCCGCACCGGCACTGGCGCCGAAGGCTGACGATGTGCTTCCTTGCCGCAAGATACCAGGGGCAGAAGACACTGTGGTTATCATCAAGACGGGGTCAACCGAGTTCGTGGACAAGCTGCCCCGGCATCTCAACACCACGACACGATGCTATCCGAACTACCTCATCTTCTCCGATTACGAAGAGAACTACGAAGGCCAGCAGATCATCGATGCGCTCCAAGAAGTTAGTCCGAAGATCAAGGAGGAGCACGTGGACTTCGAGCTACACCGAAGGCTGAAGGAAAGGGGACGAGCGGCGCTGGCAGCAGAAGAGCTGAATAGAGTGCCCGGGGACCCGAGCGCATGGACCGGGCATACGGATAACCCAGGCTGGAAGCTGGACAAGTGGAAGTTCTTGCCCATGGTCAACCGTACGCTGGTTGAGTACCCGGACAAGAAGTGGTATGTCTTTGTCGAGGCGGACACGTACGTTCTTTGGGGCTCCTTATTGCACTGGCTGCGGTCCATGAACTCGAACGAGCCACACTACCACGGCAATCAGATGGCCATCGCAGGCGACCTCTTCGCGCACGGCGGATCCGGCTTCGTCGTGTCGCACAAGGGCTTGCGGATGGTTGTGGACCATTGGTACGAATACCACGACTCCATCGAACAGTTTACCGATATGCACTGGGCGGGAGATTGCGTGTTGGGGAAGGCATTTAGAGAGTCCGGCGTCCCGCTTACATTCTCTTACCCAGTCTTGCAGACAGATCACCCCGGCATGATTCCGTATACTGGATCTGATGGAAAGCCCATCGGCGATGTCACAAAGCGGCCTTGGTGCTACCCAACGATTTCGTACCACCATCTCAATGCCGAGTGGGTGGAGGACATGTGGCAGTTCGAGCAAGGGTGGCTCGAAGACAAGGACATTGTAGGCACAGGCCCGCTCAACTAGCGAGGATGGCAATACTGACAAGTCCCCCAACAGAAAAATCCAGGGTTCCTCCGCCACTCTGACATGTTCAAGCAATACATAATCCCACGAATGCGAACTCCCAAGATGGACTGGGACAACGCCAGCGACCAGAATGAGGTGGAGATCGAGACTTTCGAGGACTGCAGGACGAAATGCCATTCCGATGGATCCTGCTTGCAATACTCGTACAGACCGGAGTCGAAGATTTGCAAGATGAGCTATTCGCCAAAGCTGGGGATGGAGGGTGAGGGTGTGAGATCTGGCTGGATACTGGAGCGGATGTGGTCTTTGGCGGAGAATATGCCTGCTTGTAAGGATGAGGGGTTCCTCTAGGGGATGACATTGAGAACACTGGAAGCAGACCGCAGCGAACGTGAACTTGCGCTTTCGCTGTCTGCTTCTGAGGGATGAAAAGACCTGCTTCGCGAGGCAGGAAACTCAGTAGCAGGGCCCTTTGGATACAGCCTGTTCTGAGGATGGCAAGTGCAAGCAGTCCTCTGGGAAACAGGCCCTGCTGGCTACGGTGAATGCCGAGAGCCGGACTGAATAGACTGGGGTCGGCCATGGGCACATCCATGTTTGCTGCTCCGATAAACCTGTTGGATCACGATCTTGCTGCAGGCAGAGGAGCGCTTTCGAGGACTTGTTGGAGGGAAGCAGCAAAAGTTGTCGCATAGCGCGAGAACGACATGTACATGGGCTGGGGTGATTGGATCTGTACACGACTCTCCTGAACCAGGAAGAGCTTTACCGAGGTACAGCAGAAGGACATCATGTACATGAGTCGATTGTGTACGCATATACAGACACGATTGCGATAGGGTGGTCAACACGCTGCTTGACTTGGGAATAGATGGGCAATCTACACAGGCCTGCGTCTACACAATGTGCTATTTACCATGTAGGATTGCCATATACTTGTACCCATCACTGTACAACCCAACAGTCCTCCTCTACCATCAATCACCGATCAGAATCGGCTCCTCCACCAGCCGACCCCATTTTCATGCATGTGAATGTCAATGTGCCTTGCATTTCCCCGCAAGCAATGCATCGCAGTCCACTTTTCCACCGTGACATCGCGTCAACCATGTCTGGCATACTACATTATCTTCGTGCTTGTTCGATTGCTTGTCCTGCTCTGGCAGCGGGTGCATTCCTTCTCTGACTTCCACCGGGTACTTGTTTCTTGCAGTCTTGTGACCGCCCGGTGCTGTGGTGAATGCTGTGGTGACCGCACTCATACTGGGATCAACATACTGCCACGGAAGAAGACTCTCTAAAAGAATCCTCAAAACAACAGACCCCTCACCAGCAAGATGTTCTTCTCCAAATCCACCACCACCCTCATCCTCAACCTCGCCCTCGCCACCGCAACCAACCTCTTCATAGCCGACTACTCCGGCTCCATCACCACCCTCTCCCTCACCGAGTCCCAAGGAAACTACACCGTCACCACCACCTCCACCAACCACGCCTGCGCCCCGAACCCCTCCTGGCTCACCCTCGACGCCGACCGCGGACTGCTCTTCTGTCTAAACGAAGGCCTGGAGACCCGCAACGGCTCGCTGAGCTCCTTCACCGTAGGCGCGGATGGGGAGCTCACGCACGTGAAGAACGCGACTACGATCAACGGGCCTGTAAGCGGCGTTATCTACGGGAACGCAGCAGGGAAGCGCGCGATTGCTTTGGCGCATTATGCTGGGTCGGCTGTGAGTTCGTGGGTACTGGGGGAGGGTGGCGAGTTCACGCATCTTCAGGATATCACGTTCTCACTTCCTAGGCCGGGGCCGGATCCCGTGAGGCAGGATGCGCCGCATGAGCATGAGGCGATTGTGGATCCGACGGGGCGGTATATTTTGGTGCCGGATCTTGCGGCGGATCTTGTGAGGGTGTTTTGCTGGGATCAGGAGACGTTGAAGCTCGAGGCGCTGGATCCGTTGGAAGTGGCGCCGGGGTCGGGACCAAGGCACGCTGCGTTTTGGAACCCGTATAGTGTTGCTTGCGAAGGGTGCACGACGTATTTGTATGTTGTTGCGGAGCTGGCGTCTACTGTGATGGGCTACGCGGTCACGTATAAGCCCAACGGCGGAGGCTTGTCGTTCAAGGAAGTCTACAACAGCTCGACGTACGGTTTGCTCAACCTCCCTCCTGGCACTGCACCGGCGGAAGTGCACGTCTCGCCGGATAACAAGTACCTCACCATCTCGAACCGCATGGACAAAGCGTTCACACTGCCTCAACCGGACGGATCAATCTTACATTCTGACAGCCTGGTTACCTTCGTCCTCCAAGACGACGGTTCATTGGTCTGGCACCAGATATGGCCAGCAGGCGGTTCCATCCCAAGACACTATAGCATGAATGCGCCCGGCACGTTGGTAGGGGTGGGACTTCAGTATGACCAGACTGTTGCGATTCTGCAGCGCGATCCCAGCTCAGGATTGATCGGGGAGCCGATTGCCAGGGTGAAGGTTGGTGGGAATGTGACTTGTGTCGTGTTCGATGAGCAGAAAGCTTTGGGTAGACTTGGTGGATAGATCCAAGATATAGTACATTATCTACTGCGTCCTGGCATACGTCTCCAATGCATCGAAGCAACTTTCTTCCCCGTACTCCATGCAATAATCAAGAAGGCACAGGCCCAGGCGCCGCCGTCCCACTCCCCTGCCCTCCTCGTCCGGCTGCCGGCGGCATGAACAGAGGCATATATGCCAGACCGAGTGCCAGAACTGCCATGCCGACGGAGAAGTAGGCGGGCGTGCCGGCCTTTTCCTTTTGAGCTGGGGTTTCCGAGAGCCAGCCCTGGACGGAGACCATGACGGACGTCCAGCCGATCATTTTGTTGCGGGTGAAGATCTGGAGAGTACATTAGCTTGGTGGGAGAAGAGAGCTTAAGGGGGGAGGTGGGCTTACGGCCGCCATTGGGAGGGTGCTGGACATGGTGCCTGGTAATGGAGTTAGTAAACCCTTCTGCTTTACCAGTACCGGTGCTTTGGCAGCTCGTTTTTCGGCCGAAGGAAGAACATACTGGCCATCTCGTTGTCATCCTTCTTCACTGGCTCCGTATATGGCACGACTACATAGACTTGTCAGCAATCCGTATGATAAGCACGTCGTCCTCTGCACGTACTGAGGTCCTCCCTCCGCATGTCCTTTCGATTTGCCATGCTCCGCGGTGTGTCTCGGGTTTAGGTAGGTTGCAGATCCGAGTAACACGCCCAGTTTCCACACGTATCAGTCAGCGTGTGCTTATCGGAGACCGCAGGAGTGCTGTACGACCGAGGTGCAAACAGAAGACGTGAGGTGATGTGAATCGGGCGAGATTAGTGCAAGCGTTCGCTCCCGGTTCGAGACTTCCGAAGGCCGGAGGCGTCTTCCTGTTGCACTCCACCCCTTGGCGAGGCGAGACGAGACGGGATGATTTCGTGCGGCTATTCCGCCTCAACAATACACCGGGCATGGCTTTGGATAATCTCACGCCCACCCACTTCTCGGGATTATTCAAGAGACACTTCTATTCGTCCAGCTGACGAGGCCGTATCACGATTGGGCAGTGCAGGAGCGGGCAATTCGTGATTGTCCGTCAGCAGCGGAGGAGGTACACGTATGTTTGCTTTTGGGAGGACCTTTGTGCAACGCTACAACACGCTCAAACATCTGAAGGAGTGAGCGATCCATCCATCGATCGGCCCAGCAGCAGCACGTCAGGTCAGACGAGGATTCTGCTGAGGACCAAGGGCAGGAGGGGACCTGCGTTGTGTACCGACAACGAGGTTCATCGGCCCGGGCTGGATCAGCATCTCACTAGCGGCGCAACATCCACATCCCTCGGATTCTAACCTGCTCCAACGGCTGCTCTACTCTTCCGCCAGCACTTCTCTTCTTCCTCACCGTAATCTTGGACACGCCTTTTGAACCGCTCCATTCACTGGGCTTCATAATCACCAACAAGGAACGATCGCCGGCATTCACGAACGATGAGGAGCTAACACTACGCGGCTTTGGCTGCGAGTGGCTTCCACAATGATCAGGTCGACCGCTTCCAGTGCGCGATGGAACGTCGAGCACCACAGGATGTCACCAGAAGACCCTCGGCGCCGCAACGGGCGGTGAGTGGAGGCTCCTATGGCTCCTCCCTCTTGCCTAAGAGGCCGACGCTACCTTCGAGGCTCAGCAACGTTCGTTCCGCTTCACAGCCGGTCGATGTCGTAGATTTGACGGCAGAACGTGGGAGGCAAGAGAAGAGGAACGGGGTAGATTTCATGGGGAGGAGCGACGCTATGGTGACATCTCCGGATGTGATAAGCATCGAGGATGACGAGGCGGAGCCACCTGCGAAGAGAACGAAGACCAGCGGAGATGGCTTTCGACCGATACACGAGGAGGCGATCGGGACAACAATGGACGTGGATGCTGCAGACGAGGTCATGCCAGGCTCGCCTCTGCCTAGCCTTCCAAAGACCAAAATCGCTGCAAAACGGGCGCACCATCAACAGCGTCTCGTGGAACCAGCTGCTCGCAAATCACATGGCCTGGAAGCACCAGCAGTCGCGACTCGTGTCCCTCAGCCCAAGAAGGTCCTTGACTTCTATCCGTGGACAGGCAACCATCCGGAGGACGTCTTGACGGAGAACGTGATTAAGAATGGCTACTTCGACAGCGCCAAGAACACCAACAACAGCGAGAGCAACTCTGCGAGGGCGTCAGTGTGGCCGAACATCAGCCAGAAAAACCATCAGTCACTGTCCATGCTCAGCCTCCTGTTCTCGACTGTTCTGGAGAAGCGGCAACATCTGGGCAAGTGCACCGCACCCTCCACATTCAAACCTCCGCCTCGGGTCACCGTTACCGACACCAAAAGAGAGGCATGGCTACGAGATCTGGCGAACCCGGATGTGCCGCTTCGGAAGCAGAGCAGGACCATCCCACACGGTATTCGTGGCAAGCTTTTGATGGAGCAGTGTCTGAGCAAGGCGATTCCTCTTCAACGGGCCGTCTGGTTGGCAAAATGTGTGGGCGCAAACGAACTTCGGGCGTTCCGGCGAAAGGGCGTCAGTGGTGCCAACGCAGCATCTGGAGAGGCGAAGTGGGTGCGGGAGTGGACGGTGCAGGTCGAGCAGTTTTTGGAGTTTGTGATCAGTACATGCGGGCAGAAAGACTGGAAGCAGAGGATGGACTACGCCGTCAAGCTGGCTACTGCCTTTTTCGTGGAGAAGTTATTGGATGCCGACCACTATCTCGACTGGATCGTCTCTTCGATGGCTGGAGCTACGCTGGAACGTTTGCCGATATGGCTGCTTATGGTGCAGTTGTATTGGAAGGCCATTACGGCGTATAGCAAGCGAGGCAAGGCGCTCGCTGAGGGCATTCTTGAACACCTGCACGGCATCACGAATTCTGGGCTTGAAACAAACAGCATGCTCAAAACCAGGTTGCAGAAGCTCGTGGCTGTACTTGCGGTCAGCAATCGTGGTTGCCTGATCATTCCACGGACATGGTCGAAGTACAAAGACCTGCTGAGTCCCGCTACTTCAATGGCAAGCTCGACAAGATCACCAGCCAACGACATCACCAGGCGGAACGAGCGTCTGGCGACACCTTGGAACAGCCTGGAAAGCAGTCCGCTCCTCAAGCTGTACGCCGAGTTGGATCACGTCAGACTGGAGGTGAGCATCGAAGGACTTGCGACCAAGTGTGAGGCTATCGTCTCGGACACGAACGTTCTGGTGGCTGCGTTACTGGACTTGAGCTCTACACCCTACAGGACCGGCACTGCCCGCATATACCTCGCTGCCGGCATCATTGCGTATCTTAACGCCAACGGGCACGACACTGACGCTGCAATCCTCGCGTTCCTTGGAAGCGCAACGACCACGCCTACCACCAGCTCAGGGAACGTGCACCGAGTTGTCGTGGATCTTATTCGACAAGAGAGGTTCTCGGTTGGCCGGTACCTTCAGTGGCTGATCAGTAGTGGCGTGGTCTCTGCTGGTGATCAATATGGCTGCGCAACTGGTCTGCTAAGCGCTTTGCCGACGTCGAGCTTGCCGTTGCACTTGCAGAACACGAGAAAGACACTGATGAACCGCTTGAAGCTAAGGTTAGACAACGAGGAGACAATCGAGAGGGCCATCAGAGATTTTGGACAGAGCATTGCAGATTTCGAGGCGCATGGTACAATCACGTCACCATCTGTGGAAGCGCTGACCGTGTCCGGCAAAATTTCTGCTGTCAATACGGCCTTGGAAAGACTCCGTGCGAACGTGAAGGATGGTGGCCTCTCTCTCTGCGCTTTCCTTGTTACTCGGCAATTGGTTGAGAGGTGCGGCGATTTGGCGAGCCTCGGAGAGCTGGTCTCCATGACCCTGACCAGCGACAATACGGCACTGCTGGCTACCTCACTGGACACGACCAACCTCAACGCCGAGTCTTTTGCAGCACAGGGCAGACTCTCGACACTATTTGACGCTTTCGTGGAGCAATACATGACCTTGAGATCTTCACAGCCCCTAGATCGATACTTCATCCTAGCTTTGACAGCGATGGCTCAGCGAATGCCTGGCAAAGCCGCATTGCTGAAGCTCCTGGCCGACGACCTGGCAATTTGCGAACAGCAGACCTCACTAGCAGTATGCTCGCCAGCTTCTGATAACCTCATTGGCATGCAAGCCACAAGTTTGGAATTCGATAGCGACATCGATGCAGTCTTTGCCAGCGGAAACACGATGGATGACCAACTGATGCAACGAGTCTTCATGCGCATCATGGACCACGCAACCAAGTCCGACCTACCTACCTCTGAACCTGTCAGCAAAGTTGGTGGATGGCTCAGTCAGCTTCGCTCGGTCGACGGAAGTGGTGTTTTCGACAGGATTGTACAGGGCTACGTGCGATCTGCGCTGAAGGGCGCTCGTGAAGGAGCATTGCCCGTCGGTGCCATCGATAGCCTTCTGGCGAGTGGAAGTATAAGTCCCATCACGGTCGCGGATATGGCCAAGGAGACTGCAACACCACGTCTTGCCGCATCAATCTTGCGAATCGCTCTGTCTCGCGATGTCTCCGACAATGGCTTGAGTGAGTGCGAGCGATATCGCCTGCTGCTACTGAAAGATCGATTCCAGGAGGAACACGCCAGCTCACTCAACGCACTGTTCAGGCTTGCTGCGGATTCAGCAAAACTGGATACGGAGGACTCAAACCTACTAGACTTCGTCGTCAAACGCAGTTCCACCGAGCCAGGATCTGTTCGAGCCTTCTTCGACAACGACAACCTAACCGATGGGGCTTGGTGCAACGCGGGTCGGACTGTTACCGCCATCCTGAAGCTCGACACTGAGAGCCTTCTACCTTCCGGCAAGATGGACCTGCGATCACTTATGAGCATTGCCGGCCCCTTGTCAATCAACTACTGCGTGGAAGCCATCAGGTGGATGAGATCGAACGGTAGTTGGGACCAGGAGGATGATGAGACTCTGCAAACTGCTATGATGGAACTCTTTGGCACCCAGTCGGAGGTTCTGCCGCAGCTACTCCAGGTGGCGAGTGAGAAGGTCAACCTGGCGATGCATGAGTGGGCTCAAGGTCAGGTGCTTTCAATGGCGGACCACGACAACATCGAGAGCGAGGACCGCCTCCCATCATGTCTCGAGCTACTCGCGGTCACGAACAGGGCTACCAGCAAGAATGATGGCACGGCTTCCGTTGACAGTATTGCAGCTAAGCTGAAGGAGCTCGTCGCTCAACTGTCGGACCTTGACATTTTCGCCCAGGAGGGCATGGCTACTCTGGAAAGGTGCAAGTATCGACTCCAACTGCTGCTGCACCTCTGTGTCATGCACGTCCATACTATCAGCGACGAAAGCGACATGTCGAAGCAAGCAAGGCAGAATCTGCTGGTTGCACTGTGCATTCTCCTGGTGCACCCGGCGTTACAATTGCAGCAAGATCTGATCGAATACCTCTTCGATCTGGCATCAGCACTCTCCGACAACCTCTTCGACGAACCGGCAGCGTCTCTAAGACTGGCAGGCCTGACCAAACTCCCAATTGACCCACGTCTAACCTTCATCCTCGGATCCGACAGCAGCGCGAAGGACTCCTGGCTTGCCCTCGCCACTCCTGTCCACACACCTGGCTTGCAACCGCAACGTATGCTGAGCAGACAGTCTTCAGGACACCTCCAGCCTCCAACGAGTGGCGGGGCGTCGAATGCTGGCCAGCAAGTGCAGCAGGGTCCTGGACAGATGCATCCGCAACACCAGCGCTTTCCGTCGCAGGGTGGAATGAGGATGCCGCCAGAGGTGAAGGTTACGCCGTTTGCGTTGAGGAGGTGGGAGATTATGCCTGATCCTACGCCGGTGCAGGGGGAGAATGATGCGAGTTTGAGTTTGGGGCTGTTTGCGGCGAGGAAGATATAACAACGATATAGTAGGAGCTACAGAAGCCGGGTAAGGATATGGTGGACTCCACGGATTGGTTTGCACAAGGCTTCTTGTGTAAGCGAGCACGGCGTTTTAGCGATTTGGGTTTTGTGCAGCGTTCAAGCGATGACATGGGTGAGGAGGGCATAGCGTTTCGTCCTTGACAATGGGTTGGCATACAGAGGCACTGCAGCAGTGTACACCGAACCATTCTTACGGCAACAACAGCATTAGAAGACAGCGGCAGCAATGAGAGACGTTGAGCAGAGAATGCTGTTCCCGATGCTATCCTCGCAATGCAATCTAGAATCTCAATCTTGCCATCCTCCCCTCACCCTGTATATCCACCTCTTCATCCCCCGTCATCCATCCATCTAATACCGCTGCGCCGCCTGCTGACAAGCCTTCAACTGATCCATGTACCACCCGCAAATCGTCAAATCGCCTCCATTCTGATCCATGCAAGTCCGGAAGTTCTTCACATCCGTCGCGCACATCTGCGGCGCCTGGTAGTTCTGGTTCATGGCGTAGGCGCCGTTGTCCTGCTGCGCGACGGGCTGGTCGGCGGGCGCGGCGGGCGCGGCTTCGGCGGAGGAGGACCCACCGCCGAACATGCCGCCGATGGCGTGGCCGATGGAGGAGCCTACTGCTACGCCGCTGCGGAAGCATCAGTATCGGGGTAAGATGGGGGTTTGAGGGGGTGGGGAGGCGTACGCAGCTGTGCTAGCCATCTGTCCAAAGAGACCGGAGCCTCCGCCCTGCTGGGCTTGCGGCTGCTGGGCCTGCGCTGGAGGGTGCGCGGCGGTCGAGGCCTGGCGGGCTTGTGGCGGTTGGGGTGCTGGTGCTGGCCTGCTCGCGGCGGTGGGCCGGGAGGGCGCGCTGCGTGCTGGACCGCGGGATTGGCGAGGCATCTTGGTGGGTTGGTGATGAGTTTGTGTGTTGTGGTTGATGTGGTGTGAAGATGGGAAGTGGAAACGGGAAGAGTGTTCGATGAAGTAGACGGAGGAGCTAGAGGCGCACGGACATATGAGCTGTTTTGGCCTCGGCGGTTTAGTCGGATGACTTCTTTATTCCTTCTGTGCAAACCATCTCCTCTGAAGATGAGACCGTGACTGACCTGACATTAACAGGTCCTCACCATGAAGAATGTTTATACTCATATCGAGCCCTAAAGCATGTCCTGGCAAAGTGCTTGCTCCAAAGGACAACCTCTCTGTAATCTCGCCTTGCCACCCTCACGCTCCCGACACTCCTGGAAGAACGATGCCTCAGCGATGAGAGTACGGCAAAGACGACGACTCAAAGCTCACAAACATCATACAAACCAGTCCTCTCCATCTCCAGTTGACGCCAGGCTTCGCTGCAGCAGCACCGATCACGACTCTGGCAGCGCGCAGCAAGGTACGGAGGGAAGGTCTCCGGCACCCAGGGCGGCGAGCCGTGAACGGAATCAGATCAATCGCTCCTGCTGCCAACCTCGTGCACTTTCTTCCCGGTCTCTTCGGTGCTCAAGACTTCTGTGTTATTAGCCAGCTTGCTGACTTTGTCTCCCTGCTCACGAGCCTGCACTATGGACTGTGCCATTTGATCTGTGGTGGCGTCCGTTGGAGGTTTCCAAGCTTCATAGGGTCTCGTCCAGCTTGTTTGGCGAGGTCCTGCCTGTCTGGTTCATCAAGAGCAACCGCTCGCATGCCCTTGGTGATCCCGTCCCGTGTCTTGTCAGCAACTTGAGCGCCTCCTGGGCCAGCATGAGACCACGATTCGTTGGCTTGGTTGCTGCGTCTTTCGCGCTTTCGGTGCCCTTTCGCGTTCATCCTGCGTGGTTGATACCGGCAAAAGGCGCGGGAGATGAAGAACCGCCTTTGGAAGCATCATGCATGCTCGTCACTGAAACGGACGGCGGGAGGGTGGCAACCCGAGGCTAACTACCACTCGAAGATGTAGAGACTTCACAAGGACCCGTGTACTTGTGCTGATCCTACGGCTCTCGCCGTGACCCAACGTCTCTTGCTGTTACAATCACGTTAATTAGATGTCTTTGCGGTGCCTCCGACGACGTAGACAATATCGCTGGTGATCGTTACGGAAAGAATACTGTGGGTGGCAAGTGCATCAAGCAAAAACATCATCCAGCAAACAAATGGAATCTTCTTTCTCTTACAACCCCGACTCTCCTCCCAGATGCGCGAGACCAGCTCGTCTACCTCTCACACAGCTCCGCAGTATCTCGTACAAGTCGGTATCTTTCCCAGCCTTCCACCATCCTCCACCATCAATCCTCCCTTCACAATCTCAGCGCCACATCGGCAACCACGCCCCCGAATCACAAGTATCCTCCTGTGCGTTCCTCTCCATTTGCAACTGCCTCGTCAGATCCTCGCAACAGCACCGTCCACGGTTCGCACAGAACTGCGAGACGTACGGCCGACGAGGTGGCGGCGCCGGGGCTCAGGGCGGGGGCGACCTGTTGGTACGACCATAGGGGTGGTAGGGGAGGGGACGCGGGGTCGTACAGCCGGGGTGGGATCACGGCTGTAGGGCTACGTGGTTGGGGGGCAAGGGACGGGTGGTGAGGATCGTAGGCGCTGTTGTTGCTGGCCCTTTGACCGATGCTGGGACTGGTATTGGTACTACTGCCGCTGGCAACGTTGTTGTTGCTGCTGACGCCCATTGAGGCCAGTCCTTCCGTGATACTGGCGAGATCATCTGCTCCTGATAGGCTCTGCGACTGGCCATGCCTACCATTGGAGCTTTGGGAATTGTTACGGGAGCCAGACTGGGACTGGGAGTTCTGACGGGAGTTCCGACGGAAGCCTGATTGCGACATTGTGGGCGAGGTAGGTTGCTCGAGGTGGGAGAGTGGCGAGAGTGCAGTTAGCAAAGATGCGGCTGGCTGCGGTTGGATGTGATTATGGCTGAATGTGGTTGAGTGGATATTGCTGTCAAGTAGTTGTTTTGTTGCTTGTCTGTAAGATCTTCAGTCGCAACGCGAGCCCTTTGCACTTGTACTGCCATGGGCCTCGAGGGTCGCCAGATGTCTCGAGTACTGCAAGACGTCTCGAGGCCATGATTGTCTCACGGCAATGTCTGAGACGTGTGGGACTCGGAGAGAGACAGAGCTGGGCTCATATTGTGATGCTGACGACGGGTCTCACGACACTGGCTTTTGTGTCAACTGGTGCCCTGTCAGTGTCTGAGACTCTTATTCGGTATGTCGATTACGCTTGACGGGGGAGTGCGTGGTGCTTTCGGGGCCATTTGGTGACACGTAAACGAGACAAGAACTCATGCCATACCAGCGGACGCACCTATACCCGTACAATATCGGCATCACCGCTCCGCCTCCTCACCTCCCACCCGTTGAAACCACATTGGATCCCATTCAATGAGCTCCTCCCTCGTTGCCTGCGGAAACGAGGAATCCACGCGCCAGGGTCACAAAAATCATGCAGACCGTAATTCTCCGCGTTCATCTGCCTCACAACCTCACCACAACAGCACCGCCCGCGAACCTCGCAGAACCGCGTGCTGTAGCCTGTGAAATATAGATACGCGGGGACCCTTTCCTGGGGCCAAGGTTGCTCTTCGTATGTCTTTGGTGGCGGCGGCGGTGCCAGCGGCGGAAGCGGATTGACGACTGGAGCAGGATTACCCAAGGGCGCCGGTTGCTGGGCGTGAGCACGATCTGTGCGGCTGTGACGATGAGGTGGTCTTGTCGGTGGCGGCAGCGGGTCGACAGTTGGAGCAGGGATGTCCAAGGGCGCCGGTTGCTGGGCGTGAGTACTATCCGCGCGGCTGAGGTGAGGAGGCGGCCTGGTATTGAGCCCCTCGGGCCCATGGAAGCAGCTGTTGAGGGAGGGCTGCGGGGCCAACGAGCGTGACTGTAAATAGTCCTCCCCGGTAGGACGGTCCAGGACCTGCGGAAGAGGCTGAGGTGTATTATTGTCGGTAGAGGATCTGCGAACGGTGTTATTGCGTGACCGCAGCTGTTCCTCCACGGTACGAGTGTCTAGGACCTGCGGAAGAATCTGATGGTTGTTAGTGCTCGTCAAGGGCCTGGGCACGACAATGTTGCTGCGCCTGGCGTTGGTCGAAGATCTGGGGACGATATTGCCGCGGCTGTTGTTGGCCAAGGGCCTGTCGACGACATTGTTGCGGCTGTTGTTGGTCAAGGGCCTGTCGACGATATCGTTGAGGCTGACGTTGTTAAGGGGTCTAGGACAGTATTGTTGTTGTTCCTACGTTCCGTGGTGCGGATCGCTAGCTTGAATTGTCCCTCAGGAACATCGTCGAGGTCTCTAGTTCTGGGGAGTCGATGAGTCCGAAGGGTCTCCTCCTGACCGGATGGCAAGCGGCGGTTTCTCTTGGAGCTTGTCCTGCAGTCGAAGGCTTTTGCATGGGCATCCGAGCTTCGTCGAGGGCTTGTTGGGTCAAGCTCATTTGGGTTGGGGACGGAGCTGGGAGCCCGGTCGAGAGTCTTGTCTCTGACAGGCAGCATAGCGAAGGACCAAGTTTTTATCGTCAAGTACGTCTTGACTGTCGAGTTCTCGAGTTGTCGGTCCTTGGCCTCTCTGTAGGTGGATCAGATCTGACTTGGAGCTGAGTACTTACTTATACCGCGGTGGCTCCAGTACTGCCAGACGTCTCCACGTCAGAAGAGTCGCACTACGTTGCCTTGAAAGATGTCGTGGACGTGTCTGTCCAGCGGTCAGCTAAGCAAACACATGCCGTACTCCCTGCCACTTCATGCACGACCAGCGCTTCGTAGCATTGTGAAATCGCGATCAGTCTCCAAAAAATTCTTGAAAGATGAGTACCAGTATCTACAAGAACTGCAACCCCACCAGCGCCCTGAGCGCCGAGACAGGTCCTGCACAAGTCAAAGCTGGGTATCAAGGCTTATGGCTCCCTGTCCAGTCCAAGTCATCCTTGCACTTGTCGTTTTGCCTCGAGAACGCCTCCAACGCTTGAAATGTCCAAGACTCCGAAAGGCGCCGTACGCCGCCTCGCGAGATTGAGATGGTCCGACTCGCTCGCTAGACGATCTATGATAAGGGATGCCGCATGCCAAAACCGACAGTGTGCTGGATGATGAAATCAGAGGATTGTGCACTTCGACTTCTTGGGCTTTTGCTGTGGCTTTGGGCTGATCACGGCTCTGCATATTGAGTCAGCATCCGCCAGTACAGATACGTACCGATTGAAATACTCACTTAATGGCCTCATCGAACACGCTCTTCAAATTCCGCTGCGTGAGCGCTGAGCACTCGAGGTATTTCACCGCCTTGATGTCTTTCGCCACTTGTACTGCCTGCTCATACTGGATCGGGCCCATCTTCCTTTGCCGCAGCTGTTCCCTCACCTCTGGATCGTCTCTCAGGTCCAGCTTGGTGCCGACCAGAATAATCGGGACCCCAGGCGCGTGATGGTCGATCTCAGGATACCACTTCGCCTTGACGTTGTCGAATGACGAAGGGCTCACGATTGAGAAGCAGATCAGGAAGACGTCTGTTTGCGGGTATGACAGCGGTCGAAGTCGGTCGTAGTCTTCCTGCCCCGCCGTATCCCAGAGCCCAAGACTTATCGGCTTGTTGTCCACCATCACGCTCGCCGAGTAATTGTCGAAGACTGTCGGTATGTATTCGCCTGGGAAGGCATTTGTGGTGTATGAGATGAGCAAACATGTCTTTCCGACGGCACCGTCGCCAGTGACTACGCACTATACTCTGAGGTCAGTCTTGCTGCTCCATGAACGTGCTGCAGCAACACATACCTTAAGCGACTGTGTGGGCTGGGTCGTCATATTTGGTGATCGCTAGATGGTATACCGAGTATTCTTCCTCCAATATCGCTGCCGCAGTCCACAATGCCTCCGCGTGGCCTCGAAGATGTGTAGAAGATGGTGTGCTTGGTTGTGAAGCTTTGGATTGGCTTTGACGGAGGAAGTCGAGTGCAGCTTCGAGGTCTCGATCGTTTGTTCGCGCGCTTTGTTTGTCTTTTGACAGCACCTCTCCCACTGTCAATTGTGAATGAGGTTCTTGTGGCGGAGGTGATATCAGTTAGAGGAATGAGGTGAAGGGATCTAGGCTGGGCGGCGGCGCAAAAGAGGCGGGCGTCGGTGCAAGGGCGGAGGGTGGAGAGTATGCCGACCCAGTCCGTTGGAGCGACGGCCGACGGTGAAGAATGTGAGGTCGTTTTCACATGAACGTGATTGAGCGTCTGACAAAGCTCGGGGAGTCTGGGAAGATAAGGCACATGGAACTAAAGACTCGGTGAGGTTGTGAAGTCGCTTGGCCGGCAAAGCTTCCGACGACCGCATTCGCCCACATGTGCCTGCTGGGATCAATGTCCCGACGGCGCTAAACGACAGGCGCGTGAGTTTGGCGGCAAAATGCAACGGTTCGCAGCCTCTCGATGGGAAATGGTTGGAAATGCGTTGTACACAGAGATGCTGTTGGTCAAAGTGTGAAGGCTACATAGCCGTTCGCAGAGTCTATCTACAAGGCTGGCGGCTGAGAATCGCTGCTCTCCTTGACCCAGATCTATCTTGTGCCCTGTCGCCATGCGTTTGGCAAGCAGATGGGTGACAGCATAGCTTCCGGCCAGCAGCTTGCCGAATCGACGCGAGGAGAGAATGCAGCGAGGATAGAGCGGCCCTCGCAAACGCAGTCCCAACTCCCAAAGAGTAACAGCCCTCCATGGGTATCATAAAGCACACCGATACGCCTCGCTCGCTCCCAGGGCACAATCAAGAAATGACAGAAATCTTTCGACTCGCCACCTCACTTCATCTCAGCAGCCCTCCTCTCCTCCAACTGCTTATTGCTCTTCTTGTGACGTTTCCTCGACTTAGTCTTTGACTTCTCCGCCGAACTGCTCGCCAAAGAGTTCAGGGCTTCCTTCGAACTCTTCGGCTTCTTCTGCGGTTTCGGAGCATTTCCCACGTCTCCAATCTTCACGCCACCCTCTTCCTCGCTGACCTCGTCCTCCTCCTCAGCACCCGCGCCAGCTTCTTCAGCCTTGACTTTCTTCGCCGACCCATCGAACCTCGTATGCGTACCTGTCCCCATCTCCTCCAACTTCCTCTTCGCACCAGCCTTCTGCTGTGCCATTCGATACGCTCGTTCTCGATCGTACTTCTGGTTCCCAGCCAGTCCATGCTTCACGAACCGACCCGCAGCATCCTTGTTCAGCGTCGACGTCGGCTTGCTCCCGCCATTCTCTGCAGTCTTGATCTTCGCGAAATACTCCTTCACTCGCGCCAGCTCCTGGAAGACGGGATGCGACTTCGCGTCTACGCCGTTGAGCCGTAGACTCGAGAAGAGAATTGACTCGATTGCGTAGGTTGCGAGCACGTAGGCTTTGGCTTTGTCGAGTAATGGCAGTTTACTTGTGCTTTGTGACAGTGCGGTTTTGAGCAATGGTGCCAGTGTTTCTTCCAGGTCATCGATGTTGCCTGTGAGATCCTCTAGGAGAGGCTGCAGGTCTGTGTCGTCCATTGTGTTGTTGTGGTATGGGACGGCAGAAGATGTGAAGTCTGTAGAGAATTCGAGATTCTAGATGTAGATTTCAACCTGGAAGACCCAATTCGGAAGTTGCGACCTGGACCCGAACCCACTTATTAAGGTTAGATTTAGGGTATTCCGACCGTATCTCGCCTTCTTTCCTTCCACTTCATCTTTAACCAACGGACGACCCAACAGCAGTCCATGTAGCCGGACAATCGATTGTGACAGCCATCACCATGCCACCTCGCGCAGCAAAGCGTCCACGAGTGGCGGACGAAGTCGTGGAGCCCTCCGCCCAGGATGGTTCAGACCTCGACGAGCACCAGCTCTTCACGCAATGGGCCAAAGCAGGAGGCGTAGAAATCCACGGTGTCGCACCCAAACGCATCGAAGGTCGCGGTATAGGTCTTGTCACTACTATGCGCCACAAAGCAGGCGATCGTCTCCTCTTCATTCCGGAGCGAGCAATGTTCAAACCAGACGCAAAACTCCTAGAGCGGGAGAAGCTCCAATCCGCTTCGCCTCAAGCTCAGCTCGCCTTCAGCGCCATGTTTGCCTGCAAGCCGCCTGAAGGAAATACCGGCTGGGAGACGAAGCCCTGGACTGATGTATGGCCCACCGTAGGGGACTTCACTGCCAGCATGCCCATATATTGGCGTAAAGAAGACTGCGAGTTCCTCCCGCCTACTGCCCGTCCACATCTCAAGCGCCAGGAGTCGGACTATGACAGAGACTGGGACTCTGTCGAAGACAGCTGTACAGCGCTGGGTTACGATGAAAAGGCTTTTAAGTACTACTGGACCATCGTCAACAGCCGCAGCTTCCACTGGAAGCCGCCTCGCGGCAAGGGTGTCATGGTCATGTGCCCGTTCGTCGATTACTTGAACCACGGACCCACTGGATCAAGCTGTAAAGTTGTGCTTACTGCGAAGGGTTATGAAGTCCTTGCAGACAGGAAATATAGTAAGTAGATGTCGTGCTTCCGTGTCCCTCGTTCATCCATTCTCTACGCTTCAATCCCGTACAACATGCTTCTATTCGTCAACTCCCTGCCCAAATGCACTGAGCCAAAAGCGTAAAGCAGCATGAGCAAGGTCTCTGCTCTCTTCCATTACCTCACACCGCAACCAGTCTAATAAGCGTCGCAGAACCCGGCGAAGAGGTCCTCGCAACCTACGGCGCTCACTCGAACGACAAGCTCCTCGTCCACTACGGCTTTATACATTGGCCATCCGACGAGACAACACCAAGTCCAGACGACTCCATCAGCCTGGACGACGCCATCATGCCCAAATTCTCCACCGACACCCGGGAGCAACTTGAGCACGTCGGCTACTGCGGCGGCTACATGCTCACCCCAACGACGAACGAGATATGCTTCCGCACCGAAGTCGCCGTGCGCGCCACGCTGCTGACGGCCAATGAGTGGGAGTACTTCCTCGGGAGCGGCGAAGATCTGGCCGAGGACCAGTCCGCTCGGGTGCACGACTGGGTTATGGAACATCTGAAGGAGTGGAGGGCAACCTGTCTGGGGAAGATGTCCGAGCTCGAAAAGCGTCCTGGGACTCCGAAGCCGGTGTTGGAGGTCACCTGCAGGCGGTGGGCGCAGATATCGGAGGCCGTTGACCGATTCGTGGCACAGTGAAATCTCACCTCCTCTGACTGGGCTGCGACATCTGACGCTTGAGCAAGGGGAGTACGTTAGCAGGGACCTCTGTCGACAAGTCAGCTGTGGCGATGGGTGGTGAACACTCTGCTCCACTTTTTGGCAAACGAGCTGACCCTCAAGCAGAAGAGATCATTAATCATGGGCATTGTTAAGCAGAGAGTATCGGTTGACCGTCGAGCGTATCAACTCAATATCCCCAACCCCACCAGCTGCACCTGTCCAGCGTGCGAAGGAAGTGAAGGACGATGGGCAGGCAGCATCCTTCTCACCGCACTGTATGGAAACGCATCTATTGTAGCTCTCGAGCAGGAGGCAAACAGTTTGTGAAGTACTATTCTTCTGTACACTATTAAACACTCGACAGCCGTCTGCACCAGCCGTCAAACCATGTCCATACTTCTCCCACCTCCCCTCCCCTTGTCCACCGACAGCCTCTCAATGCCATCAGCGAATACTTGTACACTAAGAAAAACAACCCCCTCCCATGCGCGCGCCACCACAAGCAGGTGACGGAAGTGAGGAGGTCTTGAAGCGAACACATCAAATGCCGTCCATAAGCCTCGCCATGCAAAGAAAGCAATCCATCGATTCCACACAAACGCCTCGCTCTCTCCAGCTCACACGCAAAGAGAACACTCGTTCCCACACCCATTAAACAGTCTGACAGAACAGCCACAAAACTCCCATCGCTATGCAACGCAACACATTCAACAATGCAACGCCGCAATGGGGGGGTATCTCGCATATGCTTCACACGTCGCCGCGCCACCAACAACACCGTTCCGGTATGCATTACTGCTTCCACCATCTTACACCTCACCTCCTTCTCTTCCCATCCTCTTCACCACCTCCTAGCCTCCACCCCTTCTTTCTTCTCGACTTAAAGTTTAGTCGCCCGTCCGCCGACTACTCCTCTCCTCCTCCTCCTCAAGCACATCGCTCAGCCTCGTCGGATGATGATGCCGCGTCTCCCGCACCGGCTCCCAATCCTCATACTCCTCTCCCTCATACGTCGGCCTGCTCTGCTGCCCTTGTCCAGACGTCGGCGAGAAGTGCGCCATAGCCTGCGCGCTCGTCGACGGCGCCGTTGGAGCTTCAGGCGGCACGATGCCTGCGCCTCCTAAGCCCGCACCACCGCCTCCGCTTCCGCCGTAGCGCGCAGCGTGCTCGGCTTCGCGGCGGATATCGGCTTGCACATCGTACGAATCGTCCGTTTCGTTCGACTCATGGCGCTGGGGCTGCGAGCCGTAGACGATGGGGCGGCCGCGCTCGTCGACACGGACGTTGCCGGCGGCGTCGAGGGCGTACTCGGTGTCGCCTTCGCTGAGGGTGTCGACGTAGGAGCCTTGGGAGCGGATGTCTTCGCGGGCTTGCGGAGGGGCGCCGTGGGAGGATGATTGGGCGGAGTGCAGGAAGGTTTCGCCTGGTGGGTGCTGGTAGAAGCGCTGGGCTTCTTGGTCTGTCATACCACCGGCTGGGGCGCGGGCAGAGGGAGTAAGCGAGCCAGCGGATGCGGGAGGCGGGCGCTGGGAAGGCGAGCCACCGGTTGGATAGTAAGTACCGGCGTTGAAGGATTGCTGGCCTGGTTCGTGATGGAGGGGCTTCTGTTCGGTGAACGGGTCGGTGTTGGTTGGAGAGGCGTCTTGCTGGTAGTACTCTCGCTCATCGCCAGGGCTGGTGAGACCTGCTGCAGCTGGGCCGGAAGCCATGCCTGTGTTGCCGTATTGAGGGCCATCTCTGGTCTGCGGGCGTTGGCTGGCGCTGCCGGTTCTGCTGGGACCGCCGAAATAAGGAACGACCTGGACGCCGTGCACGACGGTGATTCTACCATCCTTCAAGCTCTGCGCCGTTTCGAGGGATTCCTGATTCCGCCTACCCAGCTCTTCCCACGCTCGCCGCGCCTCCTCTTTGGAGATCGCCAGCTCCCTCTTTGCCTCCGCGGCCTCCCGACGAGCATTCTCAATCTGTATAGAAGAGTCGGCTCCCCGTCTTGTGACGTCTTCTCTCGACTTTCGTTCTTGCTCCAACACTTGTCTCAGTTCAGCATGGCTCTCCTTCTGCTTCTCCTCTTCTCTCTTTGCCTCGAAGAACCACCGTTGAAACTTGCGCTCACTGCTAGCACGCAGGCGCTGGAGTTCCACAACAGCATGAAAGAGGTTGGCGCCGGCGGCTGAGAGATCGGTAATCTGTCGGTTGAGTGTGACGGCGTTTGGAACGATGTTGTGTATCTCTTCCGTGTTCTGCTCGAGCTTGCGGAGCCAGTAGGATGTGAGACCCTCCCAGTGCGAGGACAAGGTCTCCCAGCGTTCAAAGGCGTGTGGGAAGGATGAAGGACCTGTCCGTTGCTGTGCGCCGGAATCTGCTTGCGGTTGTTGTGAAGGTCCGGCACTCGCTCCTGGTGCTGAGGTTGTTTGACGAGCAGCGGGCTGTGTTCTGCGTGCGCCGCCTGTAGTGGCCGGTCGCGGCTGATCTTGCTGAGTGACGCTCGGTCCGCGAGTCCTGCTGTCCGGATACACTTGCGAAGTCCTACTTGTCGGGTTCCCGAGCGCATCCGAGGGAGCTACCTGCGCACCCGTACTCCGTCTCTGATCAAAGCCAGACTGCGGCGCCGAGACATCAGGAGAGTAATGTGAAGAAGTCTGACTGAATCTGGGTGCACCACCACCAACAGCAGCAGCTCTGCGCTCAGCACTTCTTCTCCGCTCTTCAGCCAGTCGCCGCTGCTCTTCTGCTTTCTGCTCTTCCTGTCGTTGTGCTTCTCGTGCCGTCCGATCTCTCATAACTTGTGTGGGCGTCCTCATACCAGCTCGTGCTCCTGCTGCAGACACCGGCACGGGCCCTGTAGTTCTTGCGCCGCCATTGCTCGCGCGTACACCGCCGAGGTCAGACATTTCGGCGCTCTCTTCGACCTCGTCAGCTGTGAAGAGCTTCGGGCCTTTGCGAAGACCCTCTTCAAGCGCGTAGGTGATAGCGTTGTGAGTGCGGCTTGAGACACGGAGCGCGGGATGCTTGTAGGATGCGTAAGGGTAGTGAGCGCTGGCTGTTCGTCGGTGCGACGTTTGCTGTCGTGGCTCACGTGACTCGTTGTCAGCTTCCGCGAGACGTGTGTGCGAAGGCGAGTCGGCAGAGCTGGATCGCAGGCGTGAGGGACGAGCCTCGAAGCGAGCAGTCCGGCGTAGACTCGGGGCTGTAGAGGCAGCACTTCCAGATGAGCTGGACGGTCGCGAGTAGTCGCGGAGGTGCGTGCGATAATATGCCGAGGCCTGCTCCTGGCGGTGTCGTAAAGAGGTCGTGTACTTGTCGTGGTCGTGGGGATCGTCTCGGTCGTTAATCGAACGGCGAGCTGAGCGTGACACGGCTGCTGCTTCCCGGGGCAGTCGCGTTGGTCAGGGAAGATCGCGGGCAGGCGCGAGAGGGGGCGGCGGTGTGTGTCAATGGCCGGGCGGTGCTTGCGATGTAGTGAAGTCGTGGTATAGCAGATGAGCTTGGCCGCGGGAGTGTCGCTTAAGGTCGCACTCGATTCTGCTGGGAACACAGTAACAGTGAGCACTCGCGGTCTTCCGGCGCTGGGGACAAAGCCATGGTGTAGCAAGAAAGTGTGCGCTCCACGTGTTGGGGCGTCGCGAACAATTTACGTGTGGCAGGAGAAGTGCGTGCAGGAAGGCTGGGGAGCACCAAGCTGACGTCGGCCAGAGATGGCTGGTAACGCTTCAAACGCGCCGAAATGGACTTACCGTTAACAGGCCCGCGCGCTCGCTTTCATGATTGTATCGCTGCCGTTCGTCGATTGTTCGATGATGCTTCTGGTGTCGGTATGCGCTGGCACCCGCTGCTGCGCCGCCGTTGCGACAAGATGCAACCTCAATGCCGCGGTCGACTTCGAGTCCTCCTCCACCTCCTCCGTCGCAACCAGTCTCAATCACCCCCAATGGCCAGTAATACGAGTCGCGACGAATGCAAGACACAACAATGCGTCTCCCGCTCGTGCACCACCCTCCGTCCGCTGTGCGACCTCGAAAGTGCTGCCGTGGACTGCGGGTCATGCAATCATGCAGGTCATCCAGGAGGCGGGTATCGGTGAGTGCAACAAGACTTCGACATCCTCAATCGCAAATGACAATGCGAAAGGACGGCGGAGACCTTGGGCAAACAGTTTTGCCAGCGCACTCATCATCGCGAACGGGCAGGCCCCCTGCTCGCTGCCCAAAAAGTTGGATCGGATCAATCAAACGCGCTGCGGACGCCATTCCGGCTGCCGAGCGATCGAGCAGTTCCTTGAACCCGGTTGCGGCTGATGCTAGTTTCTGAAACGGGGCGAGGCTGATCGCTTCGAACCTTCGATTGTAAGAAGATGAAGAGAAGAAGAGAAGAAGTCACTTTCATCAATGTCGTCCATGGTCATGAGCTCGCAGCTGCATCGATGGTACAGCGAAAACATGGCCAATGAGCTTGGGGAGAGCTCGTTTGCCTCTCCTGCAGCTCCCCAGTCACGCGCCGGAGCGGGACGAGGTGGGTTCTACCAATGTTCTGATGAGTGTCTCGGTCTTCCTGCGAGTGATTTCACATGCCTGGTGTGCCTCGTGTCTCGGGCCTGGGCTTTCCTCGCAGATACCTATTCAAGCGTGTGTATTACAAGCCGGCCCCAGCGAACAACAGCAAGACCAACGCTTGCAATACCAAACACTGGAAGGATGCGTGAGGGCCATGGTTGGACACCTGGCCTGACTCGATGAACAGCGATGTCCCAGACGTGCAAAACCTCCACGCTATCAATAACGTGCCTCACGGTCACCTGAGACCCTGTGCCTGTGCCTAGTTCGCCTCACTATTTGAGCGGATCAGCAATCGCTTGTCAAGCACCTCACAAGCACCTCACGTGGTACATGCTTTACGACGGGAGCATCGACGGAAATGCCATTGCAAGGTCCCTTATCCTCTCATCGCAAGTACTCCGTACAGCATCGGCTCAAGATAGGTATCTCTCAACTATTGCTCAACTTGGTTCACAGCCTGATCCGACGTCTTTCCCTGAGTCGGTTCATCAGATTCCTCCCTTCACGAATCTATCCTTCCACTGCCTGTCAATGCCGTGCACCAGTCTGACATCGGGCAATCAGTGCTTCATTATTTGCCTCCCTCAGTCCCGTCTATGACTTCGCACATTCCAGCTGGCATGTTCGCCCTGGCGAGGATTTGTTCTTCACATTCTCAGAGCCACGCCGGAGCCAACGATCTTCTACTGCCGACCATGCTTGCAGATGCACGTTGGTCTCCATCGGGAATGCCGTCAGCTGGGGTTCGGAAAAATGAATCGACTGCTTTGTTCGCGGGATGGAAGATCGCAGAGTCCGCATATCCATTGGTCTCCGTCATCGATACGAACAACATGGCCGCAGACTAACGGACGATGGGCCATGACCTATCTCCTCTGGGATCTGTGAGCGCATCGCGGAGGTAGGTTCACCGGACGTGGGACTATTACGTCTACAGCAACCTGCGATTATCGTTGTAGTTCTTTAGACTAATGAGCGGGTTATCTTTTAGCACTTGCTTGAGGTCATCGTTGACGAATCCATACTTGAGCACGACGGGTTCGGCAACCCGCTTCAGCTCATTGTCGAAGAGGCGGCGAAGGTCAGCGTGGTTGGCCAGGCGGATGTCTTGTGCTCGATTGAATGGGACCTGGCGCTCTTGTTGGCGAATGCGGTTCTTCTTTCTCAATCTGCTGGGCCAGGGCAAGTGCGGCGATGTATCTGTCTTCTGGTCGCACGATGTCTCTCTTGCATCAAGGTTTGGTGAAATTGTTGATATTGCCGCGATGCAGTGAGCCCAGTCTGCTTGAGCGGTCGATTTCTGCTGGCCGCTAGACGCCGCCGAGACAAGCCTGCGTAGTATTGATGATGCGAAGGTTGATAAGCGCTGCAGTATCAGTGGCGTCCATTATGGTGGTTCATGTCGTAATGGTCGTGTTCCGATGCAAGGTGGTAGAGGGTAGAAAACGATGAGTCAATGAAGTCATGTCGTCGGCCCCAGTGGGAGGAGCATTATCTCGAGTTGTCCGACTTTCAGTACTCCAAATGGCTTCAGAAAATGTGAGATATATACAATATCAAAAGCTTACCATTCTCGTACGGCCACAGATCGCAGATAAATAGGCCATCCCGTCTGTATTACGCCTTACTCGAATATCACAGAGTCAAGGCTACCGCGAGCATAGACTAACGTTGTCCTATGTCCAAGGAAATCAGGGTGAGCATAAGCCAAGTCCTTCAAAAGGCGCATTTGTTCGATATCCGAAGCGGGATCTGCTACGTCTAGGAGCGTGGATGTAGGAGAATCGAGATGCTGTTCTAGGAATCGATGTTTGTAGGCCCAGCATATTGAGAATAAGATGCTAAAGTAGCGGAGTTGGAGGAAGCATTTCTAGGAGCGTGGAATATGAAAGGCGACCTAACGGAAGCGGGAAGCGGGAGCGGCTCGGGACAATGCATAAGTGCAAGCCTAGCGTGAATTCATCGGGAAAGCAAACGACATTGCACATGGTCGTTCGTAGGAACGTGGATGAGTGGATCATTGAAAACGTCAATCAAAGCCCCTCCGTCACCTCTCGCCGCAGATGTACAAGCTCCCGAGTTCTCGACGGCAAGCCAATGGATCAAGACCGTATAGATAATCCCAGCTGGCAACCATGTCAAGGGTCGATCGGAAGTAGCGTAGGTTGCGAATGTATCGAAGATCTCGTGAGATCAGATGTACGTAGAATCAAAAGTACCCGTGCGCAAATTGCTGACGAGGCTGTGAGCTTTGCGAACCAACGCCCAATGAGGTTGTACTGACTAGCCAAACGAACGAGAAAAGCTGGAATGTTTCTAGTTCAGAGGAGTTGGTGATTAGAAGGCGCACCCGCTGCCCGTAATCGGAGCTGGACAATTCGTTGGGTGCGAATTCCAGATACCCATGTGGATCCGCAGCAGTGCGGTATTCCCATTTGGTTGGGTCGGGTCGTAGAAGGTGCCCTCAGCTTGCCAGTAGCCTTTGTCGGCCATCATCTGGGGCAACTTCGAGATGAGGTTTTGGAGTTTAGGAATATCATCTTCGCCGAGATTGAAACAACCGAGCTTCGCTGATATCTTTATCCCGCCGTCTCCGTCAGGCCAAGTGCTGGACGAGATGAAAGGGTTGACAGCCGGACAAGACTGCCGAACCATGATGTCGTCGCGCTTCTGGTTTCCGGGAGCGAAACCGGCTTGTCTTGCCACATTCGAGATCCAAGCCATGTGACCATTGCCTTGGTAACCGCCGACGAGGAATGTCCCAACTAGAGCAAAGAAGAGAGTCAGTCGAATGTTTCATGCATGTCGGGGCTAGCACATCTACGCACTATTACCGATAGCGGCTACTGTGCCACTAATGACGCATTTGATGCCATCCGCCACCCCATTTAGCCCCTCGCATTTGTCCATGGCCGTGACGACCTGTGCGCCACCTATTGAAGTATTAGACAGTGAGGCATTGAAGTCAATAGCTTGTCTGCTAACTCGCCTGTGAAGACAAAGTAGCCGGTAAAGTAGATCGTTGCATATCTCAAGTTGAAATTGTCTAGTATTTGCACCTGGGCGGGATACAGCTTCTGGACCATTAGCTGGGTATGGGTTGCATTGTTCTCCTGGAGTGTGCCATCCTCGTGAATCGTGACATCGTCGGAGAGGATGGAGGCATGGACTGTAGCCAGAAAGGCGATGATAGCAGTAATGGAGAACCGCATTTTGTTGGGCCGAAGTATGCTTCGTCGTAGACAGTCTCGAGAAGCGAATAGGATAAGTGTCAAACGGGAGTCCAGGTCGCATCGATGTCTTCATTTATACACAGCAGTAGCCGGTACGTCCTTAGTCCTCCGGATCCTGCTGCCTGTTTGCTTGCAAAGGCTGCAATGCAACAACGAAATACTAGTTGGAGTGATCTGTTGGTTTGTTAGACTCCAACGTGTTTGAGTGGTGGACGAATTGCTTGGGCGGCTAGGGTAAATTCTCCGGACAGCTTGGGTGAATTCTACTCATCCTAGCAAGCCGGGATTCCCTCTGTTAGACGACACCAGCCTTCGTTGTTTAGTATCATGTTGATGAACGGGTTCCGCGGGACAGTAGCACCTCCGTGGACGAGATTGATGAGTCTCACGTCCGTTTACAAGGCGTCGATGCAACAGGTTCCTTCGCCGGCTGAACTGGTGGTGTCTATGGTTCGACATGTTCGCCTCCGTTTCATCTCAATTCTTGCTAGTGGCTGCCGTAGTTCGAGTTCCCTCCGTGTCCCACAGGCCAGGGCAGCTTCCAGTACTCCGCATGGCCCAAATTGCGTGATTCATAAACAGTAACAGATCAATATCCTCCACGTACGGCCACAGATCGCAGATAAATAGGGCATCCCGTCCGCTCTGCCGTACTCAAGCTGCGAATCGGATGATTAGTACTGTCGTGGGTGACCAGGCGGGAATCACGTCTGCTGTACGTTTTGCTTTTTCTTTTGATCACCTATTGAATGATATGGGTGCGTATGAACCGGGGGGTAGCAGTGATGAAGTCTTTTTGCATGGTTGTGGGTGACTGAAGTTTGGTCAGGTTCGGTTCCTTCTCGCCCAGCGCCCAACGCCAACACGGGTACGTCCACTAGCGTGGTGGGTGGAGGGCCAATCATGTCCCGAGCCTGACTGTATGCTTGCGGTGTTGTTGAAGTTATGTTGCAGCGAACCGGAGTGCGTTCAGTGTTCAGTGTTCAGTGTCCAGTGTTCAGCAGGGTGAGAGAAGTACAGTAAGGAACTTTGCAATCAAACATTACAGACCTCAAGTGAACATACATCCGACAATGCCGTTCACTTCCAACAATCCCCAGCCAACTCAACCCTCACAGGTCGTTGCTCTTGACCATACTTCGAATCTTCCAGTTTGGGGTTCGAAGTAAGGATCCCGTCGACCAGCAGTGTCCATCTGGCCGAGCTGTTCTTGTAGTGTCGTTCTCTCGTGTCGCTTTGGCCAGATGTTGTACGGGAAGTTGAGCCTCTGGATGGTTCAGCTGTTGCGCTCCGTCACCTCTTCCGGAGCATCACAGTTGCATGTACATATGTGCATCCATTCATCTTGTAACGGCGTCTCGGTTCTGAAACAACCACCCAACAAAGCCTAGTGTCATCGACAGCGATGCCAGAGGCGGCACAGAAGCATTCTGCAGATCCGAAGCATGGCCCCAGTAAAAAAGCCAGAGAAAGAAGAATATAGTGCCCGGCAGGTTGAAGAAACATATGTATGCGAAGACCACGGTACCAGATCGTCGCTCCCGTACCTGCAATCCCCAGAAGTACTCTCTTTTGCCGTCCTCCATTTCCAAAGCCATCTTGCGCTTGGGGAAGAACTTGACGGCCTCTTCGTCCAGGAGACCGGGTGGCCAACGGAGCATTTGATGACGATGCCAGCTGTGGCAGCAGTCCTCGCAGAACGTGTAGAAGCGGTCGCGGAATTCGTCTTTGCAGATGGGTCCGAAAGGAGGTCGGAGCCTGAGCGGCCGGTGGAAGTCATAGTCGCTCTCGGTGTCGGGGGGGAAGTCGACAGCTAGAGGTGCGCCGCGCATAGCGAACTTGGAGAACTGCAATGCCGTGTTAGCTCTCGCAAGGATTAGATGATGGTCCCAAGATCTTCGCACCTGGAAAAATTCGCAGTGGTCATACCGCCACATCGAAAACCAGTGTCTGAACCCTTGCCTCGCTTTGAGATATTCCCTCTTTAGAGAAGAAAAGACTTTTGCGTCAGTTCGGAGTTCATGCACTTTCAGATCAGAAAAGTGATAACTGCTGCCATTCTTAATGCAAACATAGACGTGCCGAGGGTCAGGTGTCTGCCCGTATTGCTGGCCTGAAGACACAGATCGGCCCGGGGCGGTTGTAGCGGAGGCCTGTTGCGGCTGCTGTGATAGTGACATTTGTCGTTGGACGGGTATCTGTGGGCTCTGCGAGGACAGCGGCTGTGGGACGCAACCACACGAGGTGACTGTACCACTTGTGTGCCCGCCTGAAGGCCGCATAAGACCAGAAGAGACTTCCACTATCGACGGGGCTGCGGCATCCAAAAATCCCGGTGCTGACGACAGTTCTAATTGTAGAGCCTCCGCCGCCGCTCGAGGAAGATCAACTGATCGATAATTTCCGCAGGGCTTTCATTTCAACTCAGCATGTAGGATAACCGACACAATATCAGATAACTTACAGTCCGCCATTTCATGCGCACAAAGCCCAGTGGCACCGGGTGCTTGCGAGGCTGCAACGGCCGCCAATCCCAAGTCTCGCCCATCATATCCTCTGCCCCGGCCTTCAAGTGGTCAAAAATCGACAACTCCTCGCTATTCAGGAATTGGAACAACCTCGTAGGCACCCAAGATATCTCGCCACCATTTGCCTTAGTCACGCCCTGAGGTAGCATTCCGTCAGTGCTCGGAAAACGTGTCAATAGTGAACGCCATATGCGCTGTTGGTATGGTCGATGAGCGAAATCGATGAGTTGCGCCTTGAATTGTGAGTAAGCTTGACTTCTGCGCAAAAAGTCCTTGACTTTGTGTAATTCTCCAGTCTCGAAGCCTGTATCTGATTCGTCTTCGTCGTCGGAGTATACGGACTCGTCACTTTGGTATCCTTGGTCGTGGTCTTCAGATGTAGGCGTCGCTGGGCTTTCATTCGTAGAAAGAGTATGGTCCTTTGCAATGGTCCTTATCGTTTGTACGGGGCAACTTTGGTCGAGTATCTCGCGAGCAGCCCGCTCAGAGATTGGTCTTGATCGCAACAGCGATGCAATGACACGATGGGCTTTGGTCTCGCTTTCGCGTCTGAGAGCAGTCCCATAGTTAGATATCATGCGTCGAACGTTCCTCTTATGTCTCTCTATTCCGATTGCGGAGTCCTGGACAGCAGCTGCGTGGACTGGAGACAGCTCTTCTGTGCAGAACAAGGACTTGACGAATACGCGAATCGTCTCATCGGAAGGAGTAGCAGCTCCAGTGCTAGTGATACTGGATGCAATCGAGGGAGTGGAGAATACTGATTCCGCGTGACTAGATTCAGTTTCGGCGTCGGAGTTACGGTCAGAACCAGAGTCCAGTATTGTGTAAACAACAGGGAGTGCAACATTTGAGTCGTCTCTATCAACTCCTAGGTGATTGGCGAAATCTGGATCTTGGGCGCCAGGCAGACGATCCCGACTCGGGCTTGCAAGAGCAGTTACTGTACCTTGGACTGTCTCATGCGACAATCGAGGCTGCTTTTGGGGCAAGGTCCCGTCGCCGAACATATCCTCGAGATATCTTTGAACGCTGTGACGCCGGAACTCCGAGAAATGTATGGTTCCATCCCGGCAGACCATGTGCTCCAGCTCTTCGATTATGGTGGTAAGCTGGACGCCATCCCACTGTAGACTGCGCCAAGCAGAAGGCGAGTGGTAAAGCCGCTGGCTGATTTCTTCCACGTACGGCTTCAGGCACGGTTGGTCGATGAGACTTTGGAGTTTGCGAAGTGAGTTGCCGGATGGCCGTTCTTTCCCGACCTTCTCACTCAGTTTCAAAAGATGCTCCAGGTACGTTGACATTGATGTGAAAAGGTTTCCAGTGAATTCGCAAGCATAGGTCCGCTTGTCCTGCTGCTTGCAAACGATGTAACAAACCGCCCTTCCGCAGCCTTGAACGTGTTCTTTGGCCGCGGTCTTGACGAAAAAGGTCTCAGCACATTCTTCGCATCTGTACTGTGTTGACGAGACATGTTGTTCGTTCAAGTGTCGCTTGCAGAGACCTTTCGAGCTTATGAACTCGTCGCAGACAATGCATTGGTATTTGACGGAATGACGTGAACCGTCTCCTTTGGAAGCCGGCATCGTAAGGTCAGCTTTGGTGAGCACGCTTCTCGTTCCAGATAACAGCACTAGCGTTGATCGGGCAAACCTGTACCTTGGTTTGCTGACGGCCGTCGTATTATCATCACCCTTTCTGGGAACACAATGGTACTATCCAGGTTCCATACCAATGCAGACACAAACCCGCATGCGTGTAAAGCTCGTTGCATCCAGTCGCGACGTAAAAAGTGACCACCAAGATACGATGTGGGGAAATGAGTTGACTGTCCACCAGACGTTCAAGCAACTTACATATGCAGTCAACAGCCTTCTTCCAAGGCTGCGCCTCCTACGCATCGGAAACGCCATGCCTCAGCCTCACTATCCTCATCTTGCTCCATACGCGAGTGTATTTCAACTAGTAAGGCCAGGCAAATGGGGCATTGGATCATGGCGCAGCTGGCCGTGGTATTATGCGTCCCCGGCTAATGATGTGGGCGAGCAAGGGAGGTTTCCGTAGAACTACTCAAGCTGCGAATCGTGGGATTAGTACTACGGTGGGCGACCACGTAGGAAGTCCGCCTACTGTACATTTTGCTTTTGGGGTATGGCAATTTCATCGCTTTTGTTTTGGTCTCTTTTGGTCTGAGGTGGACGGATGATCACGAGTTTTGGGGGAGGTTTAGGAGCGGCGGCAAGTGGGCGTGGAGCTCGGACACCAGCTTGCGAGGCTTGGCAGGGCCGGCTTCAGCAGTCTTCTTGACAACGTTCAAGGATTGAATTGTTGGCACCGCTACTTGGGTATCTGGAAGCCGAACGAACGTCCCATGAGAAGCCTGCATCTCTCGTTCATGATCAGTGGTCGTTCAGAGAATGCTGAAAGGCTCCCAATAAGCCTCCGATTCTTCGTCTGGTGGCCTGCGGCGCGCTACTGAAGGGAGCACCTAGGCTTGGACGTCGAACATCAACGTCTGCTGGTGAGCACCAAAGGGGTTCCGCTCGAATGAAGCAAGAAGTGATCCAGCCGAACGTCCTTTGTTCAACAGGGACTGACAGGGATTCATAGTCATCCTCCTTTCCAGCTGCTGCCGCCATCAGAATTCGCAGGCGTAGTGCTCTGGCTTCTGAAGCCGTCGGACTCACCCACACCATCGTCAAGCTCATGTTCGTTCTCCTGATCCTCCTTGTAGACCTGCTCATAGCCTGCTGTCTGCCGCCTCCTCTGCATTCGATGCTTCGACCGAGAGCCGGCGAAGTACAGAAAAGCGAAAGTGCAGCAAGTCAAGACGCCTCCAATATATGCCGCCAGGGTAGCGTGCTGTCGCGCGAATGGGGTTTGGTTCCAGAATGAATAGCCTGATCCATAGCGTTCTCCTTCGACGCTGTTGGTGAGCTCGACCGGTGTGGTAGGTACGTGTTCGTCCAGCCACTCCTGCTCCTCGTTGAATTGGTCTTCGTCACGATCTGCCGGTATCGTTCGTGTCAGCTTCGACTGGCCTAGTGATCTGCCTTCGGAGTCGCTCGCTTCGACGATGACCGTAGGTATGAATCTAGTTCTGGTCAGTAAATCGAGGAACAACGCAGGACGCATTGTTGACTTACTCCTCGAGTTTCACGCTGGTCTCAAACCCCATCTTCTTCACCGACGTCACTAGTTTCTTCTCGCCTCCTTGGAGATCTGCCTGATATACGTTCCATTTCTCAACATTCGTCGCACCATTCCAGCTGACATAGACTTCCGTCGTCAACCCCTTAGACGAGCCGTGCTCCACAGCACGTGACAGAACATCAGGAGGATCGACCGGCCGGCCAGTCCAGGGAGCCTTGTAGCTCCTGTACGTGTTCTTCTGAGGAGGCAACTTCGCCTTCATCAACACTCTCCCGTCTTGTGCATGCTCTGAAATCCGACTGTGGAAAGTCCAGCCCATGAACACATTTCCATTGGGCAGGATCTCCATGCTTCCACGGGAGGTCGAGTACTGGTGGTCGGGACGAGGATATTCTGCCACCATCTCTGCCTTGTCGTCGTGCAAGGACAGGATGAGGCCTCTGGTGTAGTTGTGCGTGGCTGTCTGGATGCCTTCGCCCCTCGCGTTGTCGAAGAGGGTGAGGACAGTATGTGTCTCGTTGGACTCAAGTCAGGGGCGAGTGCTTTGTGGTCGTACGTCTCGATTGACCATTTGAGAGCTCGAATGTCCGGTCTGGTGACAAAGTGGAAGTAGTCCTTCTCTGTAGTGGTGTCCTTGCTGCCGTAGCCGTTCGCCCGCTCTTCAATTAAAATTGAGGGAACCGCCTTATCAGCATGGCTGGAGGAAGCGAGGGCGATCAAGTATAAGCAACATATGCTGAAGAGGATGGCTTTGGACATGTCCTCGTCGTGCATTCGACATCAAGGACAGCGCCGCAGCGAAGACTTTGCGTTCGAAGGATGCAAAGGAATATCGCTAGAGGGGAATTCACGGGACTTATCTATGGACTAAATCCAGGTGTTAGGCGCTCTCGAGGCGCTGTTCATCCTGGTGCCATGCTGCTTAGAAGAGCCCTGGTCAGGTAGATTGCAATTGCGGCTCGAATACGAGAGCGCTGATGCGGCACGGTCTCGGCGTCGATGTTCGATTGCCCTTCAAGAGGTTCACCAAGACGGCAATGCAGAGGGATGAGGAAGTCGGGTGTTGTCCAGCACATGTTTGTAACTGAGTGTCCGGACGAGGCAGCCGTTTACATGTTCCATGGTGTCTGCGCTGTAGGGTATAATCGTGAAGGGGCCGTGGACGTAAGCGAGCTGGACTGTTGTATCTATGGACAGACATTGTGATTGAGACATCCTCGATATACAGGCGCTTGAGGCATATATGAGAGTATCCGCTATTCAGGCGCTTCGAGCTTGTAGCGTGTGTGGTGGAAGTAGAGCCGAGTCCGTCGTTGTGGTCGTTGTAGCTAGATTCGGAGTTGGTCCAAGCGTTGTGACTTCATGTCTTCCAGCCGTCCATCAACATCGAACATTTACATTCCAAGTACTTCATGAGGCTGTGGGAGATGTCCATACTATTGAGCGTGAGCAAGATGATGCTTCGCATAGGTACTGTCAGGTAAGTGGAGCCAAAATTCCTCCTTCCTCATTGGGACAGCACACCAAAGGTCAAAAAAAGTCCGCTCTCGGTGCTCTCCCCACTTGTTCTCAGCCTTGTTAGCCAATTGCTCTTCTTCTCTATCATTTCTTATGCCGGCAAAACTCCCTGTCGCCTTTTCTTGGCCCACAGGCTCCCTGGTCCCTCGAAAAAAAATCAAAAGTAAGGCCGTTGTTCGCACACCTTGGATTTGAACCAAGTACTTGCGGGTGAGTTGTTACAGCATACTCACGTGTCATTCCGACACGGGGAATCGAACCCCGGCCTTGTCGGCTCTGTGGTTGTTGAGAGACCAATGAAAGCGACAAATCCTAGCCACTAGACTGTGGTGGAAGGTCAGACAAAGCTCCGGGATCGCATGAGCAAGAGAAGTGAACGCTTACCCATATCGGAGTGTCTGATGAATGGAGCAGGGATTTTGGCAATCTTCTATAATAGTTTGCATAGAGAGCCCGAGGAACTACCGACTGAACCTGAAGGACGGAAGATATGAGGGACGGAGGAGTTGGGACGGAACCGAGGGATGAGATGAAAAAGCTTCATTGAGCATCAATATAGGGTAGCTAGGCATCTTTCAGGGACGAACGGAGTAATTACAACTTGCATTGAGCAACATAACCTATGGCAAGACACTGGAGAGAGGTGGTTGCGCAGTGGGTTGGAATGTCCCGATTGGGGGGGAGAGTCTTGGCGTTCTCCGTCGGCCGCTTGAGGGGCGACGCTTCCGCTGTTACACTAAGGCAGACTTGCCACATATCTCACTGAAGGTGTATTGAGGCAAGCACATATTGCAGCAAAAGTGACTGTGCTTTTCTGTATACACCACTGTACGCCCCATGTTTCTACCTACAACAAGACGCATACCCAGGATATCTATCATGTCCACGTCTCCTCTTCATCTACTCCTGCCCATCTACACCTGCCATCTCTAGTCCTATAGACACTGCAATCCATACCCTGCATCTCATAACCTACTCCCTGTCCAGCCCACTCCCCTCCACCTCCCCAGATCACTTGCAAATCTACAACTGATCAAGCAAACCCTCCGCCTCAAGCAACAGCACAATCTGATGCACCGCCGTCCTCACATTATCATGGCTCACATCCACCACCAAATCCGCCTCCTTATCGCTCGGCGCCTCGTACGGGTCGTCAACCCCCGTGAAGCCCTTGATCTTGCCCGCGCGAGCGGCCTTGTAGACCCCGCGCTTGTCCGTCTTCTCGCAGTACTCGAGCGGCGTGTCGACGTGGATAAGGTAGAAGGAGCCGTGCTTCTCGACCATCTCGCGGGCGGCTTTGCGGGACGCCTCAAAGGGCGCGATCGGGGCGGCGATGACGGCGGCGCCGGCGCGGGTGAGTTCTGACGCCACGAAGCCGATGCGCTGGATGTTCTTGTCGCGGTCGTCGCGGGAGAAGCCGAGTTCAGACGACAACTCGCTGCGGACGGTCTCTCCCAGAAGCAGAGAGACGGAGCGGCCACCTTGCTGGTTGAGCGTGACGTTGAGAGCACGAGCAATGGCGTCCTTGCCGGAGTTGGTGTAGCCGGTCAGGAAAACGGTGAAACCCTGCTTGTTGCGCGGTGGGTGGGATTCACGCAGAACCTTGACGACTTCGGGGTACGAGAACCACTCTGGGATGTCACCACCAGTTCGGAGACGGCGACGGAGCTCAGTGCCGGAAATGTCGAGGGTCTTGATCTCCTTTGGCACTTCGTCCTTCGGCCTGTACTCGTCGGAGTCGGGCAGGTAGGTCATCTGCTGGAACTCGACGACTTCGATGCCGAGCTCGTCCTTGTACTTCTCAACAGCATACTGAGCATCGTACGGGCCGTAGATTTCCTGACCCTTGCTGTTCTTGCCTGGACCGGCATGGTCACGACCGATGATGAAGTGAGTGGCGCCGTGGTTCTTGCGAATGATGGCGTGCCAGATGGCCTCGCGAGGACCGCCCATACGCATGGCCAAGGGCAGCAGACCGAGCACAGCCATGCCGTTGGGGTAGCGGGGCAGGAGAGCCTGGTAGACACGGACACGGGTGAAGTGGTCAATGTCACCTGGCTTGGTCATGCCAACCACCGGGTGGATGAGCACGTTGGCTTGTCGCTGGCGAGCAGCGCGGACCGTCAGCTCACGGTGAGCACGGTGCATGGGGTTCCTGGTCTGGAAGGCCACGACACGAGACCAGCCGAGCTTGTCGAAGTGCAGACGGAGCTCAGCAGGGGTGTAGCGGAGACCAACGTAGTCGTAGTGCATGAGGCGGTCAATGGCCTCAATCTTACCACCGACGTAGTAGTCGCCGGACACCTGGAACAGGTACTTGACGGCGGGGTGGTCTGGGTCACCGCCGAAGACTTCTTTCGCCTCCTTCTTCTTGTCAGGCTGGTAGACGTCGTCGATGGTCATGATGGCCAAGTTGCGGTCATCGCGGGAGTCACGCAGACAGACACGCTTGCCGGCCTTGATCCCGAGCTCATCGATATCCTCCTTCTCGAGGTCGAGGCAGATGGGCATGGAGAAGAGGTTGCCGTCGGCGAGTCTGTTCTTCTCAACCACGCCATTGTAGTCCTTCTCGTTCATGAAGCCCTCGAGCGGCGAGAAGCCACCGTTGAGGATCAGCTCGATATCGCACAGCTGACGGTCGTTGAGGACGACGGCGGGGAGGGTCTCTGCCTCCTCCGCGAGCTGCTTCCTGCGAGGAGCATCGCGGGCAATCAGGTCCTTGAGGACACCGCCTGGTCGTTGTTAGAAGATAAGAGTTCAACGAGGGGTCTCGCACTGGCGTACCATGAGGTGGGTTGGCCATTTTGTGTCAATGCGGGCGGTCTTCACTACAATTCGGCGGGCAGTTTGTGTAGTTGTTTGAGCAAGTGTTGATGTGTTGTGATTGACAGAATGAAGCAGAAGAAACAGCTCCTGACGCTCCTGACGATCAATTTGGGGGGAGTTGCCGCAATCAATATTTTCCTCGACGTCTCAAGTGGGGAGCGGTCTGAGTGGGAGACACTAGCGCAGGGCGCCTTTCGCCCACCACCTTTCGACCAACGTGCCACTTGTGGGAAACTCTCGAACGCGAAACCCGCTTGGCGTCTGGAATATGTTGGGCCGTCTTTATTAGGATTGGTGTGGTGATTGCGTGATTGCCAATTGTTCGCGGTGGGAGACTTCTATCAGGCCTGCTACATCACATGACAACGCTGATATCCAGAGGGCGGTGTGATAAGTGGTGCACGAGCATCACCCAGCTAGCCACATCGCCAGTCTTGCTGGACTGGTATCTGTAGATCTGTAGATGTGACGGGAGTGTTGACGACGGCCGAAGCAGTGAACCATCGTGAGATGGTGGGGTGAGGTGAAAATTCAGATGACCTTTGAGCCGGTCGACAGAGAACATGACAATGAAACTCGAGACAATGGTAAGGTATATTTCGAATACTCGTGATCCTTTCATATATCGTCTATACTCTCAGACGTAAACTCATGCCTGCCCGTAGGCTTTTGGTAACTCCGAGAATCCGCCCAAGCGCCCGCTAAAATACATTCATCAAAGAAGCAAAGAAGCATCAACAATTAGCAGGACCAGCATCACGAAGACGCCTCGATCCCTAACCCGCCATTGATAGCTTCACTCAACTCCTTCTGCCGCTGCTGCTCCTGCTCGGCAAGGTACATGGCATACCGCGACCTCTTGTTGTGAATCCCACACTCGGTCTTGTTCCTGCCCTTCCACCTGCCGGCACGCTCGTCTTCGCTGTCAGTCACCGGCTCAGTCGAGTGCCAGTCACCCACAGACCGGTAACCTTGGTCCAACAGGTCGTTGGTGGGGACATTGTTCTCCTTGATGTACGCCTGCACTTCCTTGAACGACCAGTTGGCGAGAGGGTTGACTTTTATGACTCCAGTCTCCTCTTCGAACTCGAGGATCTCCAGCTCGCCTCGCTTGCCGCCTTGCGACTTTCGACGGCCAGTCATGACGGCCTTAACTTTGAGCTCGGAGTAGGCGCGCTGTGCGGGCTCGACTTTGGCGGAAAAGTCGTAGAGTTCTTCGTTCTTCTTCCACAGCTCGTCGCCGTGCTTTGCTTCGAAGTCGGATGTTGTGTCGCAGCCTTCAGGCTTGAAAGTGTGGATCTTCAGCCGAGGGTAGCGCTCCTTGACTCGCTCGACCAGGTCCATGGTCTGCGGGAAGTGGTAGAGTGTGTCGATGAAGATGAGCTCGATGTTGGATCTTAGTGGGAAGTCGAGTTTGTCGACCATGTCCATCATGGCGAGACCGGTCAGGCCGAATGCTGATGTTTGGTAGAGTGCAGGCAGCGACGTCATGCACCATCTGAGGACATCTCGAGGGTCGAGCTTGGCTAGTTGCGAGTTGAGGAATTTAAGGTGTTGTCGCGAGAAGTAGACCTCAGGTAGGACAGTGGAGGACTCGCCGCTGGAGTATCCCGAGTCCACGTCTCGTTCTGAAGACGTCGAGCGGTGGCGGTATGTCATGGTTGTGGTATTCCGGAAGGAGTCGTCAATGTCTTCCAAGTGCGACAGTATTGAAATCAAAGTAGTGTCTGTCGTGAGCGTAGGAGGTGCAAACAAACAGTCAATGCGAAGTGGTAGGAAAGGAGAGGATGAAATACGTCAGGAAACAGAAGTAGTACGCAGCAGCGCAGGTGGAGTCAGAGAGAGAAGTATTGGAAATCAAATGGCGCCATTGCCGGACAAAGCCAATGAAAAGTCCGCACCGGCGGCAGAACAGTGGAATGCCAGTGGTAATTTTTCATCCCACCTGTTTAGTGATACGCGCTACCGCCGAAGTTGGTGCAAGTTTGCGGTCCAGATGTCCTCGGCGGATTTGTGCGGCAGCAGCATATCTCTCTGTCGAGATGTTTCTATGCCTTTGCTAAGGCAGCGGTGTTGCTCGACGGCGACAATGAATGCCTTTGTTGCCGCTTGCGTCGTCATTGTGCTATGCCTTCACGGCAGTGCAAAACGCTGTTGTGCTGGCTTGCGCGAGTGGATTTCTCAGCGTGTGACCCACGGCCCCTCTTTTGGTGCGAAAGCATCGCAGTGATGCAAGCCATCGGCAGATCGTTCGGCGTTAAGTCGTTCGAGGGGGATGAATTGGTTTTGCGTCGTGGGAGGGCATGCAAAGCAGCGGAAAGAAAAGAGGTCGTAGAGGATGGTCGAGGTGAGGTTGTAGGAGGTAGAAGAAAGTACTAACCTTCGTACGCGCTGCCACAGCAAAATATATTTCTGCTTCGGCGAGGTCTGAATCCAGGTCCCCGTGGCCTAAACTCGAATAGGAAGTAGTGGAGAGGAGGTAAGGTGGTATCACGTTTCTCCTATCTGCCCTGCATGCCACTGAAATAAAGAACCACTGGGAGGTATGCTGTTGCGACCAGCATTGTGACCAGCAGTGCCAGGCTCCTTTCCTGCCTTCGATATAGTCATGTCTTCACAAAGTTCCCAAAACTTTCCTTCGACGGTGGCGTCTCCGGGCGTCGCCTTGACCATGTCGTCCAGTGTCATCAACTTTGACCAACTTCCTACCAGCATCGGATCTTCAAACATGGATTTCGCGAAGTCGAAATTGGCATATTGCGTCGGTATGCCAGAGGGTTGCCAGACCATGAAACAGAAGTCATACCGGTATTGCTCGCGATACCACTTGAACAGTCGCTTGAAGTGCGTTTGAGTCTGCATTAGTCCGTCGATTCCACGAAGCAGAACGACGAACTCGATATCGAAATCGTCCCCGAAACGCTCCCGGACAGCCACAACTCGTTCGTGCCATGGGCCAGACTCTTCTCGTGGTGGCGTGGCAATGGGGTGGCACCCTCTGGCTACCCGGTCTATCGTGATCACGTCCGGTATCTGGACTTCTGGTGTCGAGTTGTCTTTCAGCCAGCCGTGGAGCCAAGTTCCCACCTGAGCGCTGCCAGTCCGAAGGTCCTCTACGGTGTGCGTTGTGCCCCAATTGTTCGAGCCGGACATCCGAGAGCTAACGGTAGGGACGCGAATGAGCTGCCGCTGACGCTGTCGGGCTGCGTTCGCCCGCTCAGCCAAGATAGCCGCGCTTTCACGGAGCGTGGCAGGTCGGGGCGTGATCGGCGTTGCCGCAGGACGGGGAGTTATCGATGGTGTGGCAGGACCAGCAGCGATGGACTGCGGCCTTGCAAAGAAGAACGGATTCACTGATCCGGCCACCTGCTTGGATGTCCCTGGCTTCCTCACGGATGACGAGCGAGCTATCCAGCCTTTGTCGTCTGGCCTGCAAGATGCTCGATCCTTTACGCTGGCCGTAAAACCCGATTGTGCGAAAGCTACTTGGAAGTGTTGAAAGACCAGAAGCGATGCGTAGGCGTCGTTCGCGGCGTACTGAATCTGCTCTTGGCCAAGCGGCCTAGACCAATCACTCGTCCGGACAGCGTCTTTCGGGAGCCTCTTCTTCAAGAAATGCGACACCATGGTAGCGAGCTGCCTGTTTGGTAGGTCCGTCACCAGATCTTTGGCCAAGTCGATTGTATCTACCACATTCGTGTGCGATAGGTCCACGCCGGACCACTTCGCAACTCGAGTGAGATCGCCCTTGATGGCATTGCCAACCTTCATTATGGACCCGTTCTCAATGATGTTTTTGAGTGTACGGGCCATTACCTCCGGCGCCGCTCCAGAGTGCCCAGGTGGCATGGTCGGGATAAGAGCCAGGTGGAGCACGAGAACATTGTCTCGAGACGCCATCTGTATAACGGAAAGGTTTTCTCCTGCAAAGTTTGACGCGGGCCCTGGCTTCCACTCTATGTCCAGACTGAGGAGAGTCTCTCCTGACAGCAGTTGCGCAGCTTGCTCGCACTCTTGGATCGTAGTACAGTAATGCACTGTGGGCACTACACCGGGGCTGGCAGTCTGATAGCTGAATAGCTCTTCGTCCTGGATCGGTTCCGGCCTCGAGGGTCCGTATGGGGCGTATGCACTGTCTGGAGTCGGCTCCGTCCTTGGAGGCCCGTATGATGCGTATGTACCGACTGGAGTCGGCTCCGCCCTTGGAGGCCCGTATGATCCGTATGCACTGACTGCAGTCGGCTGTGGAAACGCCGGAACATACGGCGAATGGGTACTGTCTGTCAGTCCTGGCTGAAGTATCCCAAAGCCAAGGGAGCCGTACGACACAGTTCCTGAGTTGGACCACGGTCGAGTTGTGGACCGCTGAATCGGCGGAGGTGGCCAGCTTCCCACGAACGTATCATCGGGTCCAGGGGCATTGTCTTTCCATGCTCGTCTTTTACCGCGCCGGGAGACGGTATACAAGCACTCGCATCCCTCGTCAGCACATCGTTGACATATCGGCTTGCGACCATCGCATCGCACGTGCCGGTTGCGGCAAGTCTGGCAGGCAGCTGTCAAGTTCCGTTGCAGCCCTGCCTGCACTTCCGGAAGGGTGGATGGGTTGTCCTGGTTGATGTCCTCTTGTGACTGTGGCCGCGTCTCCAGAAGGGTAGATTGGTTCTCCCGGACGATCTGCTCTTGTGGCTGTGGCTGCAGTGACGTGTCTTGCGCAATCTGGTCCAGAAGGTCAGTTAAGCCGTCATCATTCAGAAAGAAGAAATCATCAAGCTGCGGTCCGCCAGTAAAGGTACTGGACTTGTCTTGCTGGAGACCGTTAGCGGATGCATCTACCTGAGCACTTTTGTCAACTTGAGAAGCATCAAACTGTGGGTCGCCAGCAACTGTACTGGCCTTGTCTCGCTGGAGGCTGTTAGCAGGTGCATCTGCTTGGGTACCACTGGCAATCGAAGAAGCTTCTTGGCTGGGCTTCGCAGCTGGATACACGGACACCCGCTTTGTCTGTACCTGTGGCCTTGGAATATTCATGCCGTCTTCAGTCTGGCGTCTCGCAAGCCTTAGGCTCGTGGGAACACTTTCGACGACTTCTCGCTTCCCGTCGCTTCGGACCATCGATTTGGTGCTCTTCGAGACTTCGGCCGCTTGGCTGGTGGATGTGAGGGGCATGTTTGTCGACGGCTTCTGACCGCCAGTCCCTACAGACACCGTGTTAGCATGTTTCTCCATTTCAGCAAGGAAATCGGCGTCGTCGTCGAAGAAATCCTGTTCTTCCGACTGGGCCTGGTCCAAGAACTCTGCTGCCGACCCAGTCCTGCCCGGAGAACCATTCTTCCGTGGCGGACGACTCCTGTCTAAAGAAGGATGCTTGCCGTCCCGTCTTACATGCAGATCAGATCGAGAAGGACTTCTACGACCCCTGGATGGCCCTCGTGAACGCCACCTGCCGTCATTGCTCGAGTGCTGTGGTGCATTCGCTCGCTGAGCCCGGTCCCGCGAACGGCTCCTGGAGCGGTGGCTTGGACGCTCCCTGCGTTGGGTGCTAGGCCGGTATGAGTCGGCGCGTTCCACCCTTCCTGGGTGATGGCGGTAAGAGTATGACGAGGACGGACTCCTGGCTCTTTGACGGTCGCGGCGGTGATCTGGCGACGGACTCCTGGTTCTTTGACGGACACGGCGGCGGTCTGGCGATGGACTCCTATCCCGGCCACGATGGCTCCGTCGAGCAGCTGGAGACGCTGGCCTTCGGCTCCTATCTCGGCTGTCGGCGCGGCGTCGCAACGGAGTCCTTTCGCGGCGAGATCTTGGAGGTGTCCGAGTCCTATCTCGTGCTTGATGGCTTTGTCGCGGCCTCGGAGGAGCTGGAGACCTCCTGCTGTATCGATCATGCTGAGGCGAGCGACTCCTATCTGCGACGCGATCGCCGCGTCTCGAGCGCGTTGTCGACTGGCTTCGGTCCCTGGTGTGGCGCTCTCGTCGATCGGGTGCTTGAGATTGGTCTCTGGATGTCCGTGGGCGGTATGAGTCTGCTGCTGGCGTCTTGGAGCTGCGGCCAGCTGTGTCCGGACCGTGACGTCTGGCGTACTCAACTTCTGCCGGAAAGTCAGCGCTAAGAGGCAGTCCTCGCCCTTCCTTCAGCTCCCGACGGCGCCATGATGGAATGTCTCTGGCATAGCCTCGAGCCTTCCCTGATGCCTGTGAGGCGTGGGTGGTGTGTGGTATAGCTCCTTCACCCCTAGAGGTTCCGGACATGATCGAGATGATCACGGGAGTACGTATTGCTACGGAGCACGTTATACATCCAGTACTTGACCGAATACGAACGTGTGCTGGAGAAAGAAGAGCCAGATGGAAGCGCTGAAGTGCGGTATGGCCATGGTTGATGCTCTTGGCAGGTTTAAACGGACCTCACCTCTTCAATACGTGTACACCCAATGCAGTGTATTCAATCGTCGTCACTTACTCTTATTCCTCATCGCATTCGCCTCCAGACGAACGGAACCTAGAGATCTGTCTCGTACTCTGCTTTTCCATCCGCGAACATCTTGTAAATCCACAGCTGGCGGCGCCAGTACGGAACTTGCTCTGCTTGTCTCTACTCGTACAGTGCTCGTATGGACGACATGGCTGAAAATCTGGACTGACGGTTGAGATCAGGTCCCCATTCCTCTACAAACTGTGTGCATTGATACGGGTTGTCTTGCAAACGAGACGGCCTTGTCGGCTGCCGGAGCTCTGCTACGAGCGGCATACCATTCAGAAAACGCAGCACGTTATCGCAGCGACAGCGGGACACGAGCATTATAATGGTTTTGGCTAATGCATCGGTATCTGGAAGCGTGAAGTCAGCGAAGTAACTTCAAACAGAAAACGATTGGATCGCCTCCACGGACTTTTGTCGGCAGCCCGCCAAGCTTATCCCTATCCCAACCTCACCTTTCCATCTGGACTTCCTACTGGATTGTGCCGTCATCATTCGAGGCGACTGCCTGTCAATTGGAACATTATGAGCTCTCTGAAATGAAGCGACACTGCTGTATTCACATCCGTGCTTTGTTCTCATCGAAGTGCGCCAAAACTGATGCTGGGATGGAAAGACTTCGCAACGTTCCACGTAACAGCATGGCTGTGCTCGTTTGGCGAGTCCGTCGCATGGCCATGCAAGTGTCAGGATGATAAGTGTGGGTGGAAAGCAGGCAATCATGCTGCCAATCCGTGGACAACTCTCGAACAATACCGTGGACACGGCAGGTATAAGCAGGCCATGCTGTGCAAGGCATGGACCTTTGTGCCCACGAGGCTCGCTGCCAAACACGCCTTCCAACCATAGCGCTCACGAGCCAGGCATCTAAGGCACTCGCAAGCGATTGGATCCTGTCACTGAATTTGGCCACCCATCTTCAAAAGTCTCGAACCCAAAGGCTGACCCTGCCGAGCATGCCTCGCCAGTCGTCGAGCTCGAGCACGAATACTGTTGAGTGACTGGCGCCAGGCTGCTGAGGAATCATGGGACCACAACAAAGGGCAAAAGGAGATGCTGTGTTTCGACTCACAGTCATAATGTCCGCGCTGTTCTGCAAGAGCATGGTTGCCACGAGGAGCGAAGGGGATTGGTAGCTGGGTCAAGAGAAGATAGGAGATACGAGGACCATTGGAAACACTGGTAGGAACTGGCTCACAGAAGTTTTTGAGCCAATCCAGAGCTCTGGATTCCACAAGCCACGATCCATAGCAAGCAGCTGGACTCTGATGACCCGATGGTATATCGCGCTACGGGATGCGCTGCCTGCCATGTGAATCTGGGATTCACAGTTGAGCTTGCAGATCAATCGCCGCTTCAGGAGCAGGACGCCGTCTGAGTGCCTCGACTGCCATCTTTGTACAAGAAGTGTGTCGAAGGCAGGTGCGCATCTGCGACAGCCAACATGGTGTGAGACATCGTGTCTTGTTTTCGCTTCGGCTTGGCTTCTCGTCTTTCCTGGTCGGCCTGGAAGAGCGCCCCGTCGCAGCTGCAGGCTGTGAGCGTTGCGCAGCACTGACCTTGATCTCCTGTCTTTGCAGACAAACTTCCGAAGGTAAGGATGCACGAAGTAGCAGAAGGTAGGAGACGTCTCAGCCGCATTGCGCGGCCATCAGAGGACATGAGACCACAGTCCTGAAAGGCAAGTTGAAATTAGCCATGGAAGGAGATCCGAGACAACAACAGGATCATTCGCCAACCTGCGTTGAGGGTCATGTCTGAGATAAACCGGCCGTCTACTCTCTGGCAAACTGTCCAAGGAGGCACAGCACGTTTGCTGTTTACTCAATTCGAGACATGTGTGGGTGACGTCGCCGCAACTGCTTTCTTGGGATTAGCGTCGCGGCTTGTCCCGCACTGCCGCACTTTGCTATCATGAAAATTCGCCATCGCACGATTCCTTCTTCCTTCAAGTTCGCATTTTTCGAAAGTGGTGCACAGCATCACTCTTCACAAGGTTATTTTGCCGTCTGAGCTGCCTGTGCGTTCTTCCTCCTCTGCGCGTGTTTGGGTCTGCCTGCGTTCTGCGGAGCGCGATGGCGCCCAAGCGTGCGAAGAAGAAGGCGTCGGGGTCCCAGGTATGTTATGCTCGCGAACAACATGTTCGCCTCCGCACTCGATATCCAATGCGCTTGCTAACTGTTGTTGTAGCCCCCTAAAGCTGGGCGGCCTTCGCAGGTCGTCAATCCCGCTGGCGCAGCTCAGGCTGCCCAGCAAGCAATTCCGGAGCCTCTAGGGGCGAAGGAGCTAACCACCACCCTCCCCGCTGCCCAGCAGCACCCTGCTGCCCGCCAGCAACCCGATCCGGAGCCTCGAGGGGCGAAGGAGCCATCTCCACCCACCACCCCGCAGGACACTTCCATGGAAGAATCTCGAGAGGGAGACGAGTTCCAAGACGCTCCAGAGTCGCCTCTCAAGCAGTCTCTCCAGCAGCCTTCCCAGGAGCTTTCTGGAACACCAGCGACAGCACCGGAGACAGCGCCAAAGGGCGACACACCGAAGACCAAGCTGCAGGACTGGCTGGAGAATAAGGTGGACGAAGCAGCAGCCAAGGGCAATGGCAAGGGCAAGCAGAGGGCACAAGACTCACAGCCAGCACCGCCAGGAGAGCACGCCTTCGGACACGGATCTTTGTCGAAGGCACCAGCCATGGCCGTTGAGCACCTGGTCCAGCAAGGCGGCTACCTTGCGGGTGTACCTGAGTCTGTCGTGCCTACGCCCCAAGGAGGCGGCGTCTTCACGGTGCCTGAGCATGCCGACGACTGGGTGCCAGATGAGCAAGGTCGCCACCAGCCTCGGCAGTACTCAGCGCAGCCGGGCTCGATTCCGCCAGCCGGCAAGTTGTTCGGCCCGGTCATGGCTCAAGCACTCACTACGCCAGCCCGATCAGCCGAAGGTGGCTTCCAGCCTGTCCAGCATCGGCCCACTGGCGCTGGCGCTCCCTTCAGCAACGACTCTGATGCCATGGATCTCACCGGCGACCCAGCTGAGGACGCCCAGCGCAGGATGCCGAATCTACACAAGTTCAGCATTCTGGAAGACGATCTCGGAGTCAAGGAGCTTATCGAGAAGCATTCCGTGCCAAAGCCAGAGGACCCCGAGAAGCTGGCTAGCTATCAGACCGTGAACGCCGACACGCTTCCAGTTGGTGCGCAGTACACCGAGCCTACTCACTTGTATCCCATGTTCTTGGACTGCGATAAGGGCAAGGCTTTTGACCTAACCCGGATCTTCGACTACCGCGGCAAGGATCACCATCCTATGCTGAACGCCAACAAGAAGAAGATGCACGACAAGCGGCCAGCATTGATCAGTGTAGCTGGGGTCGGCTCCTTCGGCAACCCAGATCCCAAGGTCAAGGACAGCCCGGATGGGCTCTTTCACTTCTGCGAGTTCCAGATCCGCCCGGACACACAGGTCCCGGTCTTCGTCATTCGCTTACGTCGGCCAGCCAAAGAAGGCGACACAGCGGCATCCTGGGTTCGCCTGGAGATTCCAGCTGGGTGCCTCGCTCGGAATGCAAACGACGTGGGTGTCAAGTTCGCGCATGCTGATAACAAGGTCAAAGTGGGCATGCCTAATATTCCAGTGCTCACCGAGCTCGCCAAGAAGGACGTACTCTACCGGACAGATCTCGAGCTTTGGTCGGCAGATGACAAGCCGACCACCGGCGCCACCGGCAAGCGCATATGGTACGGCCTGAACACAGCGGCTTCGGCTGATGGGGCCCGCGTTACTCACGAACTGGACGTCATCCGGGCCACGCCAACAGCATCCTTGAGCACCTTCCAGAAAGCTGTCCTGGTACTTGATACTGCGACCAACCTGTCCATATACTCCGAAGTCAAGGACACTGAGGTCATGCAGATCTTACCGCGATGCTTCGACTACGTACGGGCTATCTCTTACGCCACCACCAACCTTGGCTACTACTGGTGGTACGTCGTCGCAGGTAAAGGAGTCCCACTTGACAGCCCAAAGTTCCCCTTCAGGGACCCGAAAAGCGGCAAATGGCTTCCATTCCCACGCTGGATGATCACCCAATTCCAGGTGAGGTATGTGAAAGACGAAGCCGCAAGCTACACTCCGGAGCATATCGCAGACTTCCTGCCTATTCGCACCAGCACACAGCCGGACGAGAAGAGTGCGTTGTACCTCTCCCGCATCGCAATGGCCCGGGAGATGCAAGCGCAGGAAGAGGGACTTCTGAAGCTTACTGAAAGGCTCGAAGGCCGGGTTGTCTGCCGCATCAATACCCTGGCCGATGGAGGTTACTTTGCTTCTCTCTGGTTCGAAGGTGTTACCAAAGGCAAGCAGTCAGACACCATCATGCCGGAGCTCAAGAAGCGCTGCAACATATTCGTGACCTCCAAAGGAGGCGTCGGAGTCAAGCTTCTCGGTGCAGTCTGCGAGGATGTTCTCGACACTGGTGCGCATTGCACCGTTCACTGTCTGCCCTCTGAGCCCAGCTCAGCATTGCTTGAGGATGGCGACACGATGGAGGCTACTGTTAAGTGGCCGTTCAACCCCAAGTCAGCGAATCGCAGCATGAACGCGCTTTTGTCGATCGCGGAAGGCCACCCCGACCGGAACCAAGGCGTTGCTCTCGCCAACGTTGCCCTCGGCGCCCCGGTCCCAGAAGGCCAGAATACTGCGACCTTTAGTACCCAAGGCGGCGTCGACGGAGCTCGTCACAAGAAGATCATCCGCATCTGCGAGGCCCTTGGCTGTAACGAGTCGCAGGTTGACGCAGCTTGGCAGCTTCTCCGGAGCAAAGACGGTCTTTCACTTATTTGGGGCCCTCCTGGTACCGGCAAGACTAAAGGCGCCATGGCTCTTGTTATTGCCATGATTCTTAACGATGTCAAGATCCTGGTAACGGCAGCGTCCAACATGGCCGTGAAGGCTGCAGCGCAGTCTTTCGAAGAGGCAGTCAACAAGCTAGACGATAGCTTCAAGAAGGAGTTTGGCACCATTGATCCGATCGACTGGTGCACGTTCACTGGAGCTCAATTTGAGACCGACACCACCTCGTCGGATGCTCAGGGAGTCTGGGAAGACCGGGCCGATAACCTTGCTTCTGATATGGCAGCCATGTCAGTCCCCCTGAGCAAGGACGGTGACGAGCCGCCAGAGAGCAGCAAGGCGAAACCGAAGAAGAAGGAGAAGAAGCGAGACTTGATCTGGTACCTGACCGAGCATGGGCTCCTACCCGAGAGCCAAGCTGGAGTCGACAAGCAGGGCGATACCAATATGGATTCCGGCACACCCGCGGCAGGCGACCAACCTGCGGCAGACGAGCAGCCCGCAGCGGCCGACAAGCTTCCTGCAACAAGCCTCAACTGGGCTGACGAGATGCAGGAGGAAGACGAGAAGAAGCTGGAAGCTGAGATCGAGAAATCGAGGCAGCGGCAACTGGCACAGGTGATCCGGACCGCGTACAACAACTTGCAGGAGGGCCACACCGATGAGTCCTTCTCGGCCAAGAAGCTACGATTCATCAGCAAGTTCACGACAGGGCCGTGGGAGGAGAATGTCAATGCGCCGAAGGAGGACCCTGCGAATGCTGCCAAGTACTTCGGTCTTCTGGAGATCATTCAAGAGGCCAACGATTCCAAGAAGATCACCAAGGCAGGCATGGACAAACTGATGAAGGATTTCATTGCCGTCGATGAATACTGGGTCAAGCGGTACTTCACGAAATGCCGGCTTGTGTTCGTTACGAACAACTCGTCGTGCCATCCCGCGCTGGCCCTTTACTTCCAGCCGATCCTGGTGCTTATCGACGAGGCTGGTTTCTCAATGCCCGCCGATGCCATGATCCCTATGGCTAGCCACAAGAACAGTATCAGGCATATTGTTCTAGTCGGTGACCATAAGCAGCTCAAGGCTGTTGCCTCCTCCGGTGGGCATAACGAGTGTTTCCCGTCGGTTCAAGTCTCGCTCTTCGAGAAGCTCATTGAGGACGAAGTCACTCCACGCGACAGCGTCCAGTATAACGTGCAGTATCGCCAGAATCCGAATCTCTCCGAGTTCTTCCGCGAGCGAGTGTACAAGGAGTTCAACGACCATCCTTCTGTGAGAGTTGACAACGACACTCGTGTTAGCTTCCGGGCCTTGATGAGTCGGGTGCCCGTCTGGAACAACAGATTGCGTGTCGGCATTGCCAACGAGGGTCACTCCGGGATCTTCAGAGGCACTGCTTCGGCGTGCAACCTGTCCGAAGCGAAGCTTTGCCTTGACCTTGCAGCCCAGCTTATCGGCCACGGTGCCAAGCCGGAGGATATCACCATCTGTACTCCTTACGGTGGCCAGCTTCGCCTTCTGGGCGCTTTGGCTCGCGCTACCAAGCAGGTTCCAGCTCTGGCTGATGTGCACATTGCGACGGTGAACGAGATGCTTGGCCATGAGAACAAGATCGTGATCCTCTCCTTCGTCCAGCATAACGCAGAAGATGATCTTGCCCTTGGCTTCATCTATCACCGTTGGCTCATTACTGTCGCAACCAGTCGCGCTCGGGACGGGCTCATCATTGTTGGCAACCTGCGAGGCTGGATGAAGGCTATTCTCAGCTCTGGGCCAGAGGACTTCATCAATCGCGGCGATGTCAAGCTGTTCAGGGATCTTACGCAGGAGATGTACGACCACAACGACATTCTGGCTCAAGAGGACATCGAGAAGGCCTTCGCTGGTGAGAAGGTCGACACGAATACTTTCTACACGGGCCTACTCCGTAAGGCGCCTGCTCTCAACCACAAGGGCAACATCCGTGGCGGCCGAGGCCGTGGCAGAGGAAACTTCAGCAACGCTGGTCTTGACGACAGGCCTTTCGACGAAGCCCAGCCTGGCATCGGCAACCCCAACAAGCGGCACAAGCGAGACGACGCACAGCCGACAATTCCGGATCCTGGCGTGGACCTCATTGGCGCGCCCCGTGGACGAGGTCGTGGCGGAGGCCGAGGCGGAGGCCGTGGAGACGGGCGAGGAGGTCGTGGCGGAGGTCGCGGGGATCGTGGAGACGCACGAGGAGGCCGTGCGCGTGGTGGTGGCAGAGGTAGCTAGACGCCTTGGGTCTAGCACATATCTTCATTCATCATTGTGAAGATACATAGGGTTGACAATACACTTCTTCCCGACAAGTGCCTCTCTTGAACGTGAACTCAAACTTTCCAATCGCCTTGATGGCCGCTACTGAAAGACAAGCAATACTGCTGCGACTACGACAAAACTCTCTTCGCGCACTTGTAATGGTAGCCGTCGCCGTCTCCTTCGCTGACATGATCTAAAGCCTCCGTACTGTTTGGATTGGCTATTGCTTCATAATGCGATGCGTCAACTGCCCGCACCAGCCTCTAGATACCCAGACCGGTACTTTGCAGTCTCCTTCCAGGATCGACAATGACTGGTTGTTGATGCCTCCACTACCTTTTGGAAACCTTGATCTCGTGTTTTGTGCTTCCCGATTCTCAAGGGCTTCTGAACAAGGCCAACAAGGTCAGGTGAACCTACTTCATCGTCAGTGCCGCCGGCGCTTAGTAGAGGTTGTGAAAGCATGCATGTTCCGTGCTTTAATGTTCAACAAGTGATACCAGCTCAGTGGAGAGCTCACCATTGCTGTCGTCCAAGCGGCGTTTGATGGATGGATGCTGAAACAACGAGAGGTTGCATTCAGGGAGGCGTTGGGCTCTGCGATGCGTTTAACAGAAGCCGGGCAGTAAGCCTGCGTTGCAGCATGTTACTACTCCAGGAGGGAAGGCTCCAAGCCCGAGCAAGCTGCAGAGCAGAAGCCCAGACGCTGATGCCCTCCTCTTGCTACTTACTTCTGGCTGACCAGAAGTAGTACGATCCCGCGTCCTGCTCGCCATATTCTCTCCCTGATTTGTCCGCCGCCGCGTCTTTGGTCCCAATAGTACTTCTGTAGTCCGTAGTGCCGTATCTGAAAACGATGATGGCTTTCCACGGATGGGACACTGGTTTTTGAAACGTGGCGGCAGAGCAGGGCTCGGTGCAACCTGAAGCATTGCTTAGAGTGTACCTTGAGCGACTGTAATCGTCTTCTGGTAGTCGGATCTGGCGGCAGCCATCAGTCTTTGAAGATTGGTAGAGTACTCAGGTGACCTACCTTGACTCCCTTCGGCTCACATTTAAAGGCATTTGCTTTCGAGACAGCTGTTATTCGCAAATGATGGGTGACTGGCGGCGTCTGGGTCAATACACTACAGTGCTGGGGGCTTTTCATCCAATCGATGGGGGGACAAACATCGTGCTGCCTTTTGTTAGAGGCTATGACAAGACGATACAGAGGTAGATCATGCAGTACCTCGAATAACTTGATCCTCTCTACTCATCATCATCGAGGTTGTTGAGCGGTTACTTCGGCATTCGCCGTGGGGGATGATTGTGGAGCGAACAGCCGTGGCAGCGTTTTCGGTGGACGAGGCAGCGTTCGCCTTATGCCACAGTTGTACAGTATCGGTGGGCAAGGCAGCGTTCGCCATACGCAATATTCGTATCGGTGGATGAGGCAGCGTTCGCCATGTGTCACAATCGTTTGTGGTGGAGGAGGCAGCGTTCGCCAAAAGCAACAATTCGATTCGGTTGGTGAGGCAGCGTTCGCCAAAAGTCACCATCATGGCGTTGGACGAGGGACGAGGCAGCGTTCGCCATAGGTCACTATCTCGTGTCGGTGGAGGGAGGCAGCGTTCGCCATGGGTCACGATTGTTCGTTGCGGACGAGGCAGCGTTCGCCGTAGGTCACTATCTCGTGTGGGTGAAGGAGGCAGCGTTCGCCATGGGTCACGATTGTTCGTGGTGGACGAGGCAGCGTTCGCCATAGGTAGTGGAGGCAGCGTCCGCCATAGGTAGCGATCGTGTCGACGTGCGTTCGCCGTGAAACACCGAGACCGTCGTGACAGCGTGCGTCCGCTGGATAAGGACGTGAGGCATTGGTGGGCGTAGCGGTAGTATTGGGTCGCATAGATGAGATGGAAGGATGGGATGGAAGGAGTGAGGTGGGGGAGGGGAAGGGGAGGGAAGGGCGGGGCAGGATGGTCTGATATTTTGTGATTTCGTATGCCAAGCGTCACATGACTTTCGCTCTGGATACGGGCTACTTCTACAAATCTAACTTCCAGCGTCGCTTTGCAAACACAACACCATGGCCGACTCGGATCTGGAAGCGATACGGCAAGCGCGCAAGCAGGAGCTGCAGTCGCAGAACGGGGGAGGAGGCCAGGAAGGTGGTGAGAAAGAAGAGCAGAAGTATGCGCCGCCAGCACTGCTCACGTCGACCCCCACTAACGTTCCAGCAGAAACCGCGAACAAGAAGCCCGGCAGTCTATACTGCAGCAAATCCTCGAGCCAGACGCTGCAGACCGGCTAGGAAGGATACGGCTGGTGAAAGCCTCTCGCGCGGAAGATGTCGAGAACAGGCTGATCATGCTGGCGCGCTCCGGTCAACTAAGGGCCAGGGTGTCCGAGGACCAGCTGAAGGAGATTCTCAACGCTGTGAGCGAGCAACAGCAAGAGGCGGAGAAGGTCACGGTTCAGAGGAAGAGAGGAGGGTGGGATGATGACGATCTGGAGGATCTGCTGAATGAGGATACGTGATGGGCGAGGGCGAGATAGGGAGGCCTCTTGCTATGCTGAACATGACAAAGGGATGGTTCACGGCACGGCGCCAAATTTGATCAGAGCCGTGGAGCGAAAGTAATGAAGGATGTCGACCTAGCCATCACCTTTACCAACAGATGACTACTGTTCACCGGCCCGACTTCGCCCAGTACAAGCAACATGCACGAGCAGGACAAATGGAAGGGCGCGGAGGTCGCAGTCTATGCAGACAAAGCAGAAAAGCCTTTGCATGAGAAGCATGCCGTTAACCTACCTACGACTGCGTTGGAGCTGGTATGCTGGAAGGAGAGAAAGAGCTTGTGCTCTTCGGACATCGTGCAGTGAAACGGGGAAGAGGATGGTATGTAGGATGCGACAGACGGATGCGAATAATTGTTTGCCCAGCCTCCAACTGTGCGATCAAGAATGGCGCTGTGTACGGCACCGGATTTTGCTCTCGCGTCTGCAAGTCTTGACGGTTCGTGTTGAAGGATGTCTCGAGGAGCAGTTCAACAGGTCGATGGATCCTTCGAGAAAGGCATCTCTCCGAGCCCTTGCATCCTTGCATATCAAATGCGGAAAACTTGATCAAGAGCTCCCAACGCCGTATAGCCAGCGAGTGTGTGATGAGGAAACCGGACAGTTTGTGTTCCACGTGTTTCTGTGGCAGCAGTGAATGTTTTATAAGGTCGTGCATGTGAACAGTGAATGTCGAGGGTGGCGCTTTCCTGCGAGTCACTTCTGCACCCGCCCAATTCGGCTTAGCTTTATCTTGGCAGACGTTCAAAGGCTGTCCCTTCGCAAAGCCCCGCAGCGACTTTCAACATCACCAACCAACACACCATTCTCCACTCACAGCCTTACGAAACCACCACAGACTTTCCCAAACAACCACCACTACTTCAACCACCAGAACCACCCCAAACACCACCAACAGGCACTTAATGAGCGCTCAGACGGGCATCCAGAACCTTCAAACGTTCGGTACGTGATCGCTGCGGCGCCGGCGACGTTGCGATAAGCGTGGGAGGCGCGCAGGACATCTTCCGCCACCCACGACGGTGATGTCGATGCAAATGCGCGCTTCTCACACGATCGCGACGACGGCAGCGCAAAACTTGCGTGGAAGTGACACCAGCTGACTGAACATGTGACACAGACCCCTTCGCGGAGGCCGATGCTGATACCGGCGAGACCAAGCAGTCGCAGAACTACATCCACATCCGTATCCAGCGTGCGTTCACCTCCCTTCTTCACCCACCATACTCACCCTACTGACATTTGGTCTGACTACAGAGCGCAATGGCCGCAAGACTCTAACCACGGTCCAAGGCCTCCCCAAGAAGTTCGACCAGAAGAAGATCCTCAAGGTGATCAAGAAGAAGTTCGCGTGCAATGGCACCATCGTCAACGACACGGAGATGGGCGAGGTGATCCAGCTGCAGGGCGACCAGCGCAAGGACGTGCAGGAGTTCTTGGTCGATAAGAAGGAGGGGTTGGAGCTGGATGCCAAGACTATCAAGGTCCATGGTTTCTAGAGCGTGGTCACGATGCTGTGTATGTCTGCTGGGATGACCATGACGCCGGCCGAGGAGCGATGACCACCTTTACGATAACATTCGCTTTGAGCAAGCATGACCCGGCGCCACGACGAAATCACCCTCAGCAGACGACAGACGACCGCGCAGACGAGCACGACCTGACCAGCCGACGACTTCTTTCGACTTGAACCTTTCTGGCGTTTACACATTCATGCTTACGACTGCACCTATGCACTCTATCTTGGTACGAACGAGCGAGTATGCTTATGCGGGTATGATCGATATGGCGAGTCGCTGAGGAACTCTCGTTCGCAGGAAGCGACACGGACACTACTGAGTAGCTAGATGTTAGTGCAATGGCAGCATGTTCATCTGACACCTACTCCATCTGAGAATTCTTAACTTGTGAGTTGGGGCATTTATACATTTCTGTAAAGTATTGCTACAGGTGACCACACAGATCCACAAGTCCTCCTGCTTCACAGCTACCCCAACAACCCCTTCCTCTCCTCATCCTCCTGCCTCCCCCTCTCCTTCTTCGGCCTCCTCTTCCCATCCAGCGCCTCCAACTTCTGCACCGTCATCTCCTCCGCCGTCCCCCACACCATCCACGGCGCCAACTTACTCCTCCGAATCACACTCTGCAGCACAAAATATTCCACCACCTCCTTCGCCCGCCTCTCACTCGCCGCCTCAACCTCCGGCGCCGGCGCACCGGCTATCTCCCGCCCCGTCGAATCCACCATCACATCTTTACTCAATTTAACCCCCTTCTCGGTGTAATTCACCCGCTTAACGGACTGCAGGCTCTGCACCGAATGGATCCGCACCACCGCCTGCACGACCCCGTTGCGCGTCCACCGCGTCTCGTCTTTCGTCCCCGGGATCAGCGTCGTGCGCATCGACACCAGCGAAGGGGAGGAGAGGTAGCGGTGCAGCGTCCAGCGCTGGAAGGTTTTGGGCGGGCGGGAAGCGATGCGGTTTCGCAGGGAAGAGAGCAGGCCCGGACAGAGTTTGGGCGCGATGGCGTCGAGGTTGCCCGCGGCGAAGTGCGAGTACATTGTTTGGTGGAGGGTGCGGGCGAGGCGGGGGAGTTTGAGAGGTTCGAGGCGCGGGCGGGGGCGGATCACCCAGTAGCGGAGGCTGAAGAGGCTGGAGTGCGGGAAATGTTAGTGTGGTGGAGGGGGTTTGGTGTTGAGGGGGAGGGCCACGCACGCATAGAAATCCATGAACCGCGTCTTCCAGCGCTCCTTTTCCATCTCCCAGCGCTTCCGCGTCTCGCTCGTCCAGCTGGGCCGGTTCTTGCCATAGGGCATGATGAAGGTTCCTGGGAGAAGGCCGAGGTCATCGGGGATCTGGCCGGCGGCGAGGGCTTGTTGTTCTTGCTGCTTGTGCATTACGGTCATGGAGGGAGTGGAGGGGCGTTTGGAGGCGGGGCGGGACTGGCGCATTGAGGAGGCATGGCGGCGTTGTGAGGAGGGTGTTGGCCGTCGGGGGTGGAGGTCATCGCGGAGGAAGGGTGGGGTGGCGGCGCACCGGGGGAGATGCTGAGGAATGCATTGTTGTCTGGCGGTTCGCAGACTCTTGCACAGGCTCTGTGACATTGGTGGTGGAGGAGGGGGTGTTGTTGTAGGAGTGTTTCTTCAATGGACTGTTTAAGATGATCGACTTTCTTCGAGCTTGGGCCACTTTCACATGAGCGACCTTCAGAGCCGACTGCGGCTTGTCGACTCCATCTCCGTCCGTCGACAACAACCATTCGAGTAAACAGAGTGACCGAGGTTCGAAGGAGAAAGGCATTGCAGTCATTGTCAAGAGCTAAGACAAAACGATCGATACTGCTGACTTCCTCACGGCGCCTTGACATCAAGACCCCTGGCACGAAGTACTCGGCCAACGCGTTCGACTTCGAGCATTGAACGAGCTTGGGATACAATAAGGGAGATTGAGACAAAGCCTCTGGCTGCTGGAAGGGAGGACGCGAGGGAACACTTGTGCTGTTTATTTTCTTTCCAACTTCGAGGCATTGGAGCTTCTGCCTTGCTGTGGGCTCTTGTATCTGTACGTATGCCATGGCGTGGAAGCGATTGTTGGAGGGACTGGGGTGACTGGCGAGATACATTCGAGCATGAAGGACATCGTGGAGCATATGGCTGATTTTGGTGTATTGTACTTACAGCGAACCATTGGAACTCTCAACCTGACGAGCAAGGAAGCATACCATTGAAGTTGTACACTAGTTACAGCAGTCAATCAAGTGGAGCAGTTGCTCAGCTGATAGCACAGACTCACCAGACCTCACTGTCTACGATCTGCTGCTGAACCGCCCAGATCCTGCACAATGTCAGCGGACGAGGACACCTTCGACATTGACATCTATGGAGAGGACACTGCACCTCAAGAGTCTGGTGATGCCAATGGATACCAAGAGAATGGAGCAGATCAGAGCTACGACCAGAACTACCACTACGATCCCACCCACACAGACCAACAACCGACAGAGCAAACAGACGATCCGTCTGCAGAACAAGCAGTAGCCGGAGACGAAGGCACAGCGCAACAACCCGACCAGTCCGCCACCACAGCGACCGCACCTCAATACGGTACAAAACGCAAAGCTCCGCCCGAAGAAGACGACAACGACCTCTACGACGGCGAAGCAGACTACGACTCCTACAACCACCAAGCCGAGCCCTCAATCAAGACCGAACCACAAATCAAAACCGAGCCCAACGACTCCCGCACATCCGCGACCCCATCCACTCGCCCGCTCTCGCCCAACTCTACCCCAGCCCTTCGCCTCCAGAACCTCGACTGGTGGACCACCGAAGACGACCTCCGCGCTTACCTCTCCCGCGGAGGCGTCGAAGCGAGTTCGCTGCGCGACGTCAGGATCGCAGAGCACAACCAAAACGGCAAAAGTAAAGGCGAAGCTTACCTCGAGCTGTCGACTGCCCAGGATGCGTCGGCTGTGAAGCATGAGATTGAGAAGGCGAATCGGGAGGGTCAGGAGGGAGGGGGGATGAAGAAGGCTGTTATTGGCGTTGGGTACACAGGAGTAGGAAACCCTTATAAGGGCGCGGGCGAGAAGTTCGCATCTGCCAGTGGGCGAGGCGACAGAGGCGGTCGCGGCGCGTATAACAACTACAACAATCGAGGTAGTTTCGGCGGCAGAGGCGGTGGTTTCCAACAAGGTCGAGGCGGGGGATATGGGCAGCAGCAGGGCATGTATAACCAACAGAACGCTCATCAGCAGTCTCCAGTCAACGCTGGTGGGGGCTGGGGCATGAACGGCAACCCCAACGGCAATTTCAACGCCGCCGCCGGCTTCGGGGGGAATCCCATGATGGGCGGGATGGGTTTCCCGAATATGGGGATGGGGGGTATGGGCTGGAATGGGATGGGGATGAACAATCAGGGTGGGATGATGGGTATGGGTAGAGGGGGGAACATGATGGGGATGGGCATGGGGATGCCGGGGATGCAGAGGGGCGGGATGATGGGCGGGATGGGTGGGATGAACGGGATGGGCCAGATGGGGAGAGGGGGGTGGGGTGGCCAGCAGGGGTATGGCGGTGGTGGTGGAGGGATGGGTGGGCAGGGGAATAAGAGGCAAAGGAATGAGTGAGCCAGGAGCTTGTTGTCTTCAATGAGCGACTCGAGATATTGGGGTTGATTGACCGTGAGGCATTGGCACTGGCGTTGTCGAAGCATGGGGACAGGACGGAGGCCACTGCATCGGCGGGTTTGGCATTGCTGGACGATGCTAGCATTGTACGATACATGTAGTGAGTGTGACGACAGGGATGATCCGCAGATTGCCTTTCGATGGTCAACGGCTGTGCATGTAGTCTATCGAATCCTCTTCTCGACCACTTGCTCGCCCTGCACACCATATTGTGCTGTAACTTCGACTCTTCCTGTCTTTTCCATGCTGCTCCCACGGTGTCGAGCAGCTGAGCAGCGGTGGAACGTTTCACAAGCCTGAGTGCCATGCCTGACGATCCGGTGTCCCCGCCCTAGGCGTATCTGACTTTGACAGGGTGGGGAGCCTCCGAATCCTGAAAGTTACAATCCAAACCTTGAACTCCATCTACTGCTGATGACTTCGTGGGGAGATTATTGATCTCATACACATCGACATACACCTTCTCTCATCCTCTTCACGAAACAGTCAAGCAAGTTCAAGCATCACGAAACACATCCTTGCAATCCACGCAGGGTCGTCGTTAGCGCAGCCTCTTGCACCACACGGCTGCCATTGGATAGCGGCGTACGGGGGGAGAGCTGGTGCATGCATATCATATTACCGCTCCATTGTTTGGAATTGGAAACATGGCTACTGGCATAAGCAGCGCCGAGAGGCTGCCTGACGGAGACTATTCTGTTTCACATCGTCCGGCGCCGCTACCACCGCAGTTTGCTACCTCCCCAACACTCGCGACATCATCCCCGCCGGCGCACTCGACACACCAGCTGCGCGTAGTGAACGAGACGTCCAACGAGACCACGAGCGTGAAGTCAGGCTCCGAGCGGCATCCCCGTCGACAGAACAGCTTCGGGTCGTTCCTGCGCCGCAGTTCCAGCCAGCGCAGCGCTTCCCGAGACCCCTCCACCGACCCAGGCCGCAACAGCGAGGACGTCCCCCCCGTGCCCGACCTCCCCAAAACGCGCATCGGCCGGACGCACGCCGCTGCCCACACCGACCGCGCGAGCTCCTTTTCTGCTAGCCGGAAGGTGTCGGTGGAAGGCGGGCGCACGATGTTGCGGAAGAGCAGCAAGATGCGCGCGCAGCAGGAGCAGGAGCGGCTGGAGCAGGAGAGGGTCGCGAGGCAGAATGCTCCTGCGCCGAGACTGCCTTCGCAGTTACCGCTGCCGAATATTTCGACTTTTGGGGGTGAGAACTCTCAGACTTCCTCCTCGACAGACCAACCTGGCTCGACGAACTTCTCACGCCCTGGAACCACACCGCACGGAAATACCAACGGCAACGGCAGAAACATGTCCCCGTACAACGCGAGCAACAGCTCCTCCTCGCCCGCGTACGCTGTGAGGAGCGGGACGTCACCGCCGGCTGGGAAGGGCAATGGAGAGTACGTGGAGCGACATGAGAGCATGACGAATCGCGGCCGGTACTCGTATGCTTCTTCCACTGTTGGTGTTAACGTGAGCAGTCCTCGCAGGGTCAGGAGACGGAAGGATCCCACGCCGTTTAAGTGAGTTGTTCTACCTTGCTCTTCCGAGAGAACTGAGCTGATATTGCTGAATAGCGTCCTCGTCATCGGAGCCAAGAACAGCGGCAAGACGTCCTTTATTTCGTTCCTGCGTCACTCGCTTGCTCTGCCTTCGGGCAAGGGACAGTCCTCGGGGCCACAGTCGACGACGGTGAATGCGTCCAAGTCGTCCTTCACGTCCCACTACCTCGAGACAGAGATGGATGGGGAGCGGGTGGGCTTGACGCTGTGGGACTCTGCTGGGCTGGAGAAGAATATTGTGGACCTGCAGCTACGAGAGATGGCTGCGTTCGTGGAGTCCAAGTTCGAAGAGACGTTTGTTGAGGAGCAGAAGGTCATGCGTAGTCCTGGCGTGAAGGACACACACATTCATTGCGTCTTCCTCGTCCTGGACCCGGTCAGGTTAGATGCCACAGTCGCTGCTTCCCAGCAAGGAACGACAAGTCCGGCGAACGTCAGTGGACTGGATGATGATCTGGACCTACAAGTCATGCGCTCGCTCTGGGGCAAAACCACCGTCATCCCGGTCATCGCGAAAGCCGACACTCTCACCATCGGCCACATGTCCTTCCTCAAGCGCGCCGTCTGGCACTCCATCCGCACTGCCAAAGTCGATCCCCTCGAAGCCCTCGAACTCGAAGACGACATCGAAGAAGAAGAAGAAGAAGACTCCGACGCCGACTCCTCCTCCGCCGCCTCACACTCCGACGAAGCCACCAACTCCGACTCCTCCTCGCCCCCGCCCAAACCCAAACGCTCCTCCCTCCACGCCCGCCACGCCTCCCTCAGCGCCCCCGGCAACACGGCAGAAGGCGACGAAACCCCCTACATCCCCATGTCCATACTCTCCCCCGATCCCTACTCCCTACCCCCCTACACCACCTTCACCACCAACGGCGGCAGCGGCAGCGGGAGTAAACCCGGCCGCGCATACCCCTGGGGCTTCGCCTCCCCCTTCGACCCCTCCCACTGCGACTTCACCCGCCTCCGGGACAGCATCTTCACCGAGTGGCGCGCCGAACTCCGCGAGCTGAGCCGGACGCGGTGGTATGAGAACTGGCGCACCTCTCGCCTGAGGAATCTTCCCGGGACGGGGAAGCAGAGGGTGAAGGGGGGGATAACGCCGGTGGGGGTGGTGCCGAGGGAGGGGAGGGTGGTGAGTCCGACGGGGAGTGTGCCGAGGAGTGTTAGTGGGGGTGCTGTGAGTACTGGTGTGGGTATGGGGAAAGGTGGGGGTTTGAGTAAGGCGGAGAGGATGATGGGGATTGGGGAGGGGAATAGTAATTTCGCGCGGGGGGTGTCGGCGGAGACTTGAGGGGTGTGAGAGGAGGGTGTGAGGGAGTAATGGTGGTTTGTGTGAGCGTTGAAGAAGCAGAGCAACATTCACCACATCAGCATCGTCAACAGCGAACGACGCGGGAGCCTGAGGCAAGGAGCTGCCAGCACATCGCATTCTGGCGCACGCGAGTATCAGGCACGGCCGACATTTTCCCTTTGTCTAATGCTGGAGAACTGGAGAGCACAGTGTTTGGAGATATCGGCGGCGCTTTATGCTTGCATCAGATGGGAGGAACTTGTGCGTTTGGTTGGCAAGATGATTGATTGCAGATTGACAGCGTAGCGTAGATTATACCCCCTCTTCGTTTGTTATGCTTTTTGGTACATGGTATGCAAGGAGGTGCTGCTTGTAACTCATGTCGTCAAGCATTCGCACATCAACAGTCAGAGAGATCGTTGTAGTAGCACGAGGTGTCAATATAGCAATAATCATACATGTAAACCATGCCATGTTCCGTCCCCGGCCCTCTGCAAGCATTCCCATCGCAAAAAATAACTGTCCAAAGTCCCACCACTTCCGCACATCTCACAGGGAACACTTCCGCGGCGAGCTTCTTCGACTATCGCATGCTTCAACCCACGACTTTCAAACCTCAACTCCGTCTTCCCGCACCAGCACCAGAGGTGACAGCCCGCATGCATGTCCCTCTCCGACTTCTACGCCCGCTTCCTGGCCCCCGGTGACGTCCGCGCTCGCTCCTCCGTCCTCGAACAGGAACAACGCGATGAAGCAGCGGCGTTAGAGAAAAAGCGTCTAGCAGCCGCGTCCGCGAAGCCTCCAAGGATAGACGCGGCGCATAGGGTTAGGAGGCAGAATGCTATGCTTTACGGGGGATTGGTGTTTACGGGATTGAGTGCGGTGGTGACGAGGAGGAGTTTGAGGGGGAAGAAGGTGCAGGTGCAGGGGTTGCCTGCTGCTGCTCCTGGTACAGCGACGACGGCTCCGGCGGCAGGTAGTGCAGCGGTACCGCCTCCGACTTCGACAACGATTCCCGGCCCTACCACCACCGTGGCGCCCCCAGGGCAAGCCCAAGGCTCCAAAGCCGACGCATCCCTCGACGCCCTCTCCGCCCTCGGCCTCGCGACCCTCAACGTCTTCAGCACCTTCATGCTCGGCGCCGGCATAGCAATGTCGTATTTTGATATAGCAGACTTGGAAGACATCAAACAGAAGGTGAACCAGGGATTGGGGAATGAGGTGAATGAGGATGGGGATGCAGAGGGGGATCGGGAGATCGAGACGTGGATTGCTGAGGTGCTTGCTAGGAAGGATGGGAAGGAGGGGGGTGGCATTGGGGGATTGAGGGAGGGGGTGCTGGAGAAGATGGTTGAGATGGAGGAGGGGAAGAAGAAGGGGCGATAACAGTTGGGGTAGGTGGTGGTGGTGAGGGGTGTGTACAGACATGATGGACGAAGTACAGTTTTCCACTCGTGAAATGATGTGCCGTTGACAGCTTAAGGTAAGAGTCCACCGGTTGAAGGTGGTGTAGTACTCAGACGACGCATCGTCATTCCCACTCTATGTCATCTTCTCACTACCCTTCATCATCGCCTCCGCGCCCACCAACTCACTCCTCCTCGCCCGCTTCTTCAACACATTCTCAATAAACGCCTCCCCCGCCTTGTAACTACTCCTCACCAGCGGCCCACTCGCGCAATACAAAAATCCCAAATCCAGCGCTCTCTGCCTCCACAGTTCAAACGTCTCCGGCGTAACATATTCCTCAACCTTCATGTGTCGTTTCGTAGGCCGCATGTACTGTCCAAACGTCACGACGTCCACTTCCGCTTCTCGTAGATCTCGTAAGGTACGCCAGAGCGCGTCTTCTGTCTCCCCTAAGCCGAGCATTATGCTTGTCTTGGTGATGAGGGAGGGCTGTGCGCGTTTGGCTGCGCGGAGCACGGCGAGGGATTGCTGGAATTTCGCTCGGCGGTCGCGGACGGAGGGGGTGAGCTCTTCGGTCGTCTCGACGTTATGGGCGTACACGTCCAATCCACTTTTGGCTACGAGGGATACGGCGTCCAGGTCGCCTGCGTAGTCGCCTGTCAGGGCCTCGACGAGCATGGTGGGAGCTTTTTGCTTGATCTTGATGATTGTCTCTGCAAAGTGTCGAGCGCCGCCGTCGGCGATGTCGTCGCGGTCGACGCTCGTGAGGACGACGTAGCCTAGGCCCCATCTACTCAGCGCTTCTGCCGTGTTCTCTGGCTCGTGAGGGTCCAGCGGAGGAGGCTTGTTCGACGTCTTGACGGAACAAAACCGGCACCCGCGCGTGCAAGTGTCGCCCATAAGCATGATAGTAGCCGTAGCGGCGGCTTTGTTACTCCCGCCCCAGCAGTCACTTATGTTGGGACATCGTGCCTCTTCGCAGACAGTGTGGAGGTTCAGGCCGCGGAGGTCGTTCTTGATGCGCTTGTAGTTATCGTTGGCGGGTATGGGGGTCTTGAGCCACTCGGGAAGGCGAGTGTGGGAGCGCTTGCGGCCTGCTGGGCCTACTTGCACTGTGCGGAGTTCGAGCGCTTCTTCGGGGGTGGTGGGCTCATCCTGCTTGGGCGAGACGAAGTCGGCAAAGGAGGGACCAGTGTTGAGTCGGTCGGAGAAGGATGTTGCGGGTCTCGCGGAGGTGTTCGAGGGGGGCGAGAGGGGATCGTTGATTGTGGTGGCGAAGCGGCGTTTCTGGGGGATGAGGAAGGACTGGGTCTCGCAGACGGCGGAGGAGAGGAGGCGACGGGAGGATGGTCGGAGAGCTGCCATGGTGATGTCGTTGTCAGATCGTGGTCGAGGGGAGGGAGGTGGTAGGAGTGTTGGTCATCTCAAGAATAGTTCATTGAGGTCACTCGAGTCAAAGGCCGGCTCTACCCGAGATCTTCATCCTCATCTTGAATGCCCCGCCAAACACCTGCCATACCATCGCCCGTCCACCTCACTGTACAGTCGCACAAGATGGACGGAAGCCCCCCAACAGACGAACAATCCCTCACCCTCCCCTCCATCCACGTCTCTCTGACCTCCTCCCCTCTCTCCTCCGACGCCGCCCTCTCCCGCGTCAAATCGCCCAAAGCCGGGGCCGTAGTCCTCTTCGCTGGTAAGCACATCTTCTCCTACCCATCTGCCCTTACTGACGCTGTATACAGTAAGCTGAAATGTAGTTCTTCGTCTTCTGTAGGCTGTACGCGCGACACCTTCAACGATAAAGCCGTGCTCTCGCTCAATTACTCGACGTATGCTGCGCTGGCTTTGAGGAGCATGCAGGCGATTGCCAAAGAGGTGCATGCTAAGCATAACCTCACTGCGATCTCGATCACGCATCGATTGGGGCAGGTAGATGTCGGGGAGGAGAGTATCTTGATCGCTGTGAGCGCGCCGCATCGAACGCCGGCGTGGAGGGCTGGGGAGGAGTGCTTGGAGCTGGTGAAGGAGAAGGTGGAGATCTGGAAGGAGGAGAGGTTCGAGGGTGGAGGGGTGTGGAGGGCTAATCGTGATGGGAAGGCAGGAGTACCTGTGATTGATGGGAAGGCAACGTAGAAGGAAAGTGGATCAGCAGTGTAGTGTTTTGACTTTGGTTTTCTTTTGATCGCTCAAAGTACATAGACCGAAGCAAGGGTAGGATTCCTCGACGGATCACCCGGAGTCCTCACCCTGACCGCAGAACAGAGCTCGCCGCGGAAATGCCATCTCACCTCCAATGCCACATTGCCCACTCCGGAACTCCATCCCTGTCAAGATGTGGCATCTCGTCTCATCGATGCCATCATATCCTTCACCTCATATCATCCTCCCCCCTTCGTAACCGGCCGTCACATCATGTCCGTACCGTCTACTTCCTCCGGAACGAGCATCCCTCTGTGAGCCTCGCCTTGCCGCCGGTGGGCTGGCACAGCACCTGCGAGCAGCCGGCGCAGACGACGACGGTTTGGGCGTGCGAGAAGACGGTCGTGATGGTGAAGCAGCCGGGGCACTTGACGTCCATGAAGAAGGAGCGGGGGCCGGGGACGAGCGTCTGTTGATTTTGTCAGCGATTTGATTGCTTTTCTGGTGAATGTTGGGTGTTGGAGGGTGAAATATACCTTCAGCTTGTGCTTGCGGGCCTCGGCCTGCGGTGTTGGGTTGAGGAGATCAACTGCGAGAACCTGTTGTCCTATTGTTAGCCTTGCTCGATCTTCGTATCCCCCATTGTGATATCCCGATAAGTTGTAGGTCGCCGCAATGCCCACACCAACACGCAGCGCTTCGACCTCGAATGTCGTGTGCTCACGGGGTATGCGGCTCGCCACAGCTTCATTCATGGTTGTCGACGTACCATTTTGGCGGTATTGGTTTGTCAAAGGTTTCGAGATAGCTTGTCCAGTGATGGTGTATGTGTTTCCGGATCGCTCGCGATGAAGTGGGTGTGTTTGCAGAGATGGCGGTGTCGTGGACAATCGATGATTGAATTTGCAGTGCTTCAAAAGTGCGGGCGCTGTGGTCTGTGCTCATATGCCAAGACCCACGATTTTGAGTCTGAACAATCATTCACTTCGACTCATCTTTTGAACGATCATCTAAAGTATTGAGAGCATGTTCATGGGAAGGCAAAAGAGTGACACCATTAAAGCACCCTGCTACCATCTAAAAATGCTGGTATAAAAACCGAAAAGCACAACCCACACGTTACTCCCTCCTTTCACTCACCTCCATCGCCATCGCTAAATGCAAGCAAGCAAGCAAGCTCCCCTTGATGCCCGCGCCCGATAATGCTATACTCCGTCGCTATCTGCACGGATTAGGAGTAGTCCCTGTTCCGTTATTCCCCTCTTGATGACTTAAAAGCTATCTTGCTGCTGGAGAAGAAGTATGTTGTGGAGGCTATGACTCTGCTGGCTGTAAGGTACCCTGAGGTGGATAAGTCTTGGGTCGTGAAGCGGTCGTTATGGTTGGTAGTCGCTGGCGCGGGTGGGAAAGGAGCGTGCAGAGTTGGGTGTGTTGGGCTGTGGTAAGCTAGTGCACTTGCCACCTGTTTTGTGCGACAGCTGCGGTACGACGTCCGTTGCGATCGAGGCCGCGTGAGTCGCACGGCGGAGACGCAGCGGAGTCCGCAGTGCAGATTGGTTGCGTGGTCAGGCCGCATATCGTAGGTGGAGGGATGGTCATCCGCTACTCCTCTGCTTTGAGCCTCTCGTGTTGGTGGTTACGTATTCGTCTTCGGGATGCCATTCTTCCGGCTGGAAGTCCGGATTCAGGAAATGCGCTGTGTTGAAGTGGGAACTACAGTGCGTTAGTCTGGTGTCACTACTATACGGCAGTGGGTGTCACTCACTTCCTGAAGATGGCAGTCTGAAGTGGTGTGTGCTGAGACATATCAGCCTCGAGCTGCCACGTCGACGGTCTGAATGGTCCAGTAGATTGAGGCGCGAACCCTTGGTGCGACGACACGTTGGCTTGTGGCACGGTGCGAATGACAAGCTCCTCGGGCATCTGCGTCGGCGGTGGCACCAGATGAGCTGTCGCCGCTGGCACGTACACGGGCGCTGCTTGCATCTGAGGTTGCGGAGCCGGTACTGCAGGTGCTGGTATTGGCTGCGGACACTGCTGTACTGGTGCGGACGATCCAAAGAAGTCCGAGTCTGCATAGCTCGAACCTACCCATGCTTGGTGTGGGTTGGCGTACGACATGCCAGGGATGGTCGTCATGAAGTCCGGCAGGCCAAGATCGTAGACTGGTTCATGGTACGGCTGGCTGGCGTACTGTAGATATGTTGGAACGGCAGCAGGAACGGGGACTGGTGGCAGATCAGAGGGCATGTAGAGAATGTCGTAGTGTCCTCTGTTGGAGATGTCAGCCGAGCGTGATAGAAAGGAGTCATTCATAACTAACGGGCGGTACAGAAGCCTGATATAGCCGATATCGTAGCCGCCATGGTTGACTGGAGAGAAGCGATGCATGTTGACCTCTTTGCCATGACTTCGGTCCAAGTATAAGACTTCGAGAGTGATGCCCGCGGGAGACAGCAGAACATCCTTGAGCGCGTTGAGACTGAGATGCTCCAGCTCACTCGACACGGGCGTGACAGACTGCTCACAGTACTGGTCGATAGATGAGCCGCCGACAACCCAAGGGATGTAGTCCTGCGAGTGAGTCTTCATCCAGGCGGCAGTGAGAGTCTGCATTATCGTCAGCAGGATGCTCAAGGTACGGAGATGTACGGAACATACCCTGATATGCGTAATGATGAAGTTCTGGACGTAGTCATCATTGAAAGTCTCGTGGAGCGCATTCTCGGCGGTACCGTCCTGCATGCCATTCGCAACCTTCCTCAAGAGAGTGTAAGTCTCCTCGGCAAAGTCCTCGAGAAGCGAAGGGTCATAGCCAGCAGCGGTGCAGGTGTTCATAAGGGAACGGAGCCTTGCCTCCTCTTCGAGGAACTTGTTGCCATCTCCAAGGTTGATCAGAGTCTCAAAGTAGCCGAAGGCGATGGCTGTATAACATTAATTGGGCTCAATGACAAGGACATGACTGCACGCACCTCGCCATCCACACGATCCATCGCCTCTCACGGTGCGGTAGTGAGAGTACTTCTGAGGCAGGTTCTGCGACGTTCAGTCAGCGTGGCTCATCACTTGTACGTTTGACTCTCACTCACCGTCGTCTTCGCTTGATACACCGGATCGGCGGACGCATACTCGGTCGTGAGGTTGTTGGTCGATTGACGCTGGCCGACTAGCGGTCCCTACTCGTAGATCGTGGTCAGCGCTCAAAAGGAGAGATTCGCTTCGTGCCGCAACTCAAAAAGCACCAAACACACCTTCACTTCAGGCTCATACTCGTTGCTCAACTTCTGCATCTCCGCCATCTCGTCCTCGCTCGGTCCGGCGTGCTGTTGTCCTTCGGAAGCCATGGTGGCGCGAGCGTGACGGGTCTGCTGTCGAGTGCGGACGGGAAGTCGTTGTTGCTGAGGTCGAAGCGCCGTGAAGCCGGCCGCCGTCACGAAAGCCTGGTGCTGATGAGTCGGTGTCTGCTGCTGCGGCGCCACTTGCTGCACTCGATAGTCCACCGGGGCATACACTGGATCATGGTAGACTTGGCCGGGCGGTTGGTAGAAGTACCATTGAGGATTGAAGTGATGAGCCTGCTGGTGCTGGCTGGCCATCCCTCCTTCAATCGCTCGCTCACCCGCAAAGCTTCGGTGGACGCCCGAAGCTAACGCAGCGAAGCGGGGCGCTTTCTTCGATCTGTCTGTCGACGACTAAATGTTTGCTTGATCCGCTGCCGCTGCCAGCGTGTTGTGCAGTAATCGCTAGCCTGGTCGAGCTCGGTTGCAACGGAGCACTGGAATGCAGGATTGGTCGTCCGTTGGTGAGACTTCGTCGTCGACTTGTCGGTAGTTGTCCTGCAATGGTCGGTGTCGGAAAACAAAACAGAACAGCAGGTCGGTATCGAGACAGCACGGCGAGTATGTAGGTAATCGAACAAGATAATCAAACTGCAACACCACACTCCAAGGAAGACACGCCCGTGACCAAAAGCTTCAATGCCTGCAGCAAATGCTGTCTTGCCTTGCCCACCGGAGCCTCGGACTGCGCAGGAGCAGAGCAAGCAGGCAGGCAGGGTAGGGTGCAGCGTGGTTCGAAACAGAGGTGCGGTTCAGACTTCCTTGCTGTAGAGTAACGTCGATGAGCAAGCAACAAGTGGGAGAGCAGCAGAAGAGGTTCCAGACGACCGGGGTGCTGCAACGCAAGATATACGGGACGGAACGATCACACCTGCGCTCAGACAGGTTCCACTCTGACATACACAATAGGGCCCGCACGCTCGCCTGAAAGCAGAGCAGCAGCAGAGAGAAAACGCCATCCTCCGGGTCCTACATCACTCAATGAGATCGGGGGGGACCGAGCGAGACGAGCACGGAACATCTGGAAATACGACGACTTGCCTACTAGTCGAACCGTCATGCCAGGCACCGGATCGAGGCTCTAGACGCAGAAGCAAACGCCCCGGCAGGGAGGACATACCATCGGCGCCTCTCCACGATACGATCAAACAACCCAAGATCTAAACCGCCGCAGCGAACAGCATCCGGCCCGCGCGCTGCCTATCTAACTCGATCCCCGAATCTCAAATCATTGCAACGAGCACAGGGAGGGGAGAGATGAAGAGAGCGAAATGTAGCAGCGCAAGTCCGGACACAACGAGCAATGTATGCCAAAAAACTCCCCCAGGCCCAATCGAAGCACAGCCAGTCGTTTCTCGAAGCCCTCCCGACAGGCACGCCGTGCTCGACGGCGCCACCATGCACAGTGGTCGATCCAGGCGAGCCTCTGATGTGAAACGCGACGCCGGGATCTCCAGCGGTCGTGTCGGTCGCTGGAGGGAGGAGGGCGCTGCGAACCCATTCGAGTGCCACCGGTCGTGCAAAGTAGTCGGCGAGGTGTATCCTGTGAGAGCGCGGTTGACATTTCACGGATCCCTCGTCCGGCCGCCGTGTTGTATCTCGTGAGTTGGCGGTTTCGCCATGTGCACGCGGTTCTGCGTTAAGCATCACGATACCGTTCTCTCGACAGCTGGTAGCGAAGATGCAGGAGCTGCCAGTAGACGAGCATCGACAGCAGGGGTCGAAATATGACAAGTCGCACAAGTCAGCCCCGGCGGTGCGTCTGACCCTGGTCGGTGGCTGCAGCGAGTCTGCATCCGTCCCGACAGCTCGGTTGCATGGATCCCAGCACCAGCAGTAGCACTCTTCGCCTGTGACACCATCAGCTCGTTGGCGCGGTAAGGGCAAGGTCATGTCTAGAGATCGCGAATGGAGGCGTCAAGCTGCCGAGCGGATCGATAATAACAGCTCGCCTAAAGTTGGAGGTGGTGTGTACATGCATCTTTGATAGTTCAGAGACATCATTTTCCAACACTCACACAATATGACGAGGCTACACAGAAGACTTCGGCAACGGCGAAGGAAAGATTTGAGAGGAACGAGCTTGGGGCATCGTGGGAGCATGCGCTCGTTGCAACTGCCTGCCTCTGCAGAACAGCTCCTCTTTGGTGCTACGTGAACAGCTAAACCGACGAGCACGGGACGTTAGAGCCGAGAAAGTCCGCCCGGTCACAGCCCTGCTACCGAACCTCTTCTTCCTTGCGCAACGAGAACCGGTGCGACGGTAGATTTTCAGCCATGAGCATCCCCAGTGCTGGACGGTGCCGCCTGGCGTGTGGGTTCGGAAGCAGCAGCCGGTGATTTCAAATACCTCTATTCCTTCACGACTCTGCTCTGCCTTACATTTCATCTGGACCTCGATCCCAAAGGCGCTCCTGTTGCAGATGTGGCTGACAGGTCTCGGTATCATGGTTGGTCGCTGCTCGTAGGATCTCCACGCTTCTCATGCAAGTCATCAACCTCACTTTCCTGGCGCCCGGTTCGGCTTGCGCTTGCCTGACGTGCCCGCGGCCGGTCCTCTCGCAGACGACATGAAGGACTCAGGCATGGAAGAAGCAAACGACGGCCCACCCCCGCCTCCCAGCGCGTCGTCAGATTTGAAACCTTCCGACTCGTTCAGTACGACGGAAGCAAGCGAGCGGATCGCTGTCGTCCAGTCAGCCACGGCGTGCATCCGGTCCAGGTCCGCGCGGCTCTCGATCTCGACAGTCCCGACATCTTGGTTGATCTTGCCACGCAGCTTCTTGTCCATGATGAGGAAGCCGACGATATCTTGGACCTCGGGAACGGAAATGTGCAGGCGCTTCGCGATGAAGTCGAGCCGGAAGCGAGTGTAGGGCGCAACAAGCTTAACCACCGCCTTGGTACGCATGTTGCGGGTGACTTCGTCGATGTTCTCGGCAATGAACGGGTCTGCAAGGAGGTCCTTGTTCTGCTGAAGAATGGTTTCATACTGATTGATGTCGTCGCGCTGGTATGCATCGACAAGAGCTGTCATTGCGGCAATGCGCGGGTCGTTCTTGTAGGGCTTGGTCTCTTGCGAGTCGAACGGGTTGATGTCTGACCCCATGAGCATGGTTGTGAGCACAAGGTACTTCAGCACCTGGATTCGCTGCAGCGAGCCGGCCTCATCGTAGTTGCGGAATGATTCGAAGAAGTCGCTTTGGGCGCTCTTCCAGTTCTCTGGACCACGAGTTAGGGCGCGCAAACTATTGCAGGGGCACCCCTTGCTTACCTTCGCTCATGTGCATCTTCCCTCCACACTCTCTAATGATGCCCATGATCTTGGGATGCGGCACCGCCGAACGAACACTGAGCGCACGCTCGTACAAGCCCTAGCACATAAAGTCAGCTCATTCCGCAACGTCTGGCCAGCCAATTTGTCATACCTTCAAACGCTTGTTGTTCCTGGTCTCGGAATACATTTGGATTTCCAGAGCGTACGCTTCCATCGAGTACGTCCCTTTGCTCGGGTCGTCCGTCCCATCCTCCCTCTGGCATGCCTTGTGGAGCTCTCGAACCTTGCCGGTCAGACGAGTGTAATCCTTCTGCGCGAGCCAGAGCCTTGCCAGCTTCGTGTTAGTCGCCAGCCATAACCGCTCATTGTTGGTTGCCTGGAAAGACTCAAGCGTCTTGGAGTAGAAGTGCTCCATGCACTCGTTTGCAGCCTCATCTTCCGCATTCTTCTCGATGAAGTCCAGCATGTTGTTGATCGACTTCTCGGAGTAGTTGCGGGTGACGGCAGATTTGACGTAGGTGAGGAGCTCGGTGTAGTGTTCGACGGCCTGCAGATGTCAGCACTCTTCAGCTGACGAGGGCACCGAGACCTACCTTGTTGTAGTGGCCCAACTTGAACTCCAGCTTGATCGCCTGCTTCAGACCTTTGAACCCCCAATTGCCCTTCTCAGGCTCCAGCGCCGGCACACCGAGGAACTCTTCAATCGCTTCTTCAGGCGCATCACCCTTCATCTGCTTTGCGTTGTAGTATTTGTTCTCCACATCCACATCACCGCCCTGCTCTGCGTCATCTTCATCTTCCTCGTATTCGAAGTCGTAGCTACGTTCTGTCAGTACGAATGCTAACCTGGTTCGAAGGCAACCTACTTCTCGTCGTCCGAATCTTGCATGAAGTCATCGTCGTCCGACCTGGTGCAAACGTCAGTACCTTGACGGCGCTTCTCGGGCTGTGAGGTGACAATGGGGTACTCACATCTTGCCGATCGGCTCGAAATATCTTCACGTCGTTGAACAGGAGCGTCGCAGTGATGTTGACTCGTTGATGTCTCTAACGAAGCTCTGGTTGACGGGAAGCTCAAACAGTTCCAGGCACGTGGAGCTAATCGATAGCACGGACCGCCAAGACCTGCCTGACTGTCTGCCTTCGCCAACCCAATCTTCTCTTCCTCCTCCAACGACCTCAACTTACTCACCAATACATCTGCGACAACACCGCCGCCATGGGAGGCGATCTCAACTTGAAGAAATCATGGCATCCTCATCTGATGACCAACCAGAAGCGCGTCTGGGCCGAAGAAAAGAAAGCACTGGACGAGCGCAAGAAAATCGAGCAAGTGCTCAAGGAGCGCGCAGAGGAGCGCCAGATTCTCGAGCTCGAGCAGATGCAAGAGGCGGCCGGTGGCAAGAAGCGGACTGATCGTGTCGACTGGATGTACAATGGCCCCGGCTCGAACGGACCTGGTGCCGGTGTGAGCGAGGAGATGGAGGGGTATTTGCTCGGCAAGCGCAGGCTGGATGGGTTGGTGAAGAAGAGTGAGACCGAGAGCTTGAAGAAGGATGCTGAGTCGGCGGGTGGGGAGGGTGGATTTATGGCACTCAACACGAATGCGAACTCGATGAGGGATACGGCGTCGAAAGTAGCGAGCGATCCCATGCTTGCGATCAAGAAGCAGGAGCAGGCTGCTTACGAGGCCATGATGAGCGATCCTGTCCGGAGGAGGCAGCTGATGCAGGCCGCAGGGAAGGACGAGGATGAAGAGAAACCGAAAGACCGCGACCGGGAGAGGAAGCACCGAAAGCACAGGCATCGACATCGAGATGACGATGGGCACAGGAGCAAAAGGCGACGATACTCTGAAGAAGACGACGAGAGGCGGTCGCGTCGTCATCATTCTCACCGGCACAGAAGGAGGCCATCCAGGAGTGAGTCTTGGTCGCGCTCGCGGTCACCACCACGCAGGAAGTCGGAAGGACATCGCGATGACCGCAGATATCGATCGAGGCGGGACCGTGCTGACAGTGTTTCGCGCTCCCGGTCGCCTTACAGACGCCGTGGCAGTCCTTCGCCATCGCCGTCTCCATCTCGTTCGCCACCAAGGCGTCGCGATCGAGATGACCGCAACGACCGCAGAAGGTCGTATCCCAGCCCACGGCGCTCTGGCTCGTCCGACTCGAGGTCAATATCACCATACAAAGCTGGCAAGGACGACAGGAGCCGACAAAGCGGTCGACGCTCACCGTCTTACGGTCACTACAAGAAACCCTACACCTCGCCTCCCGGAGACAAGCGACCTTCCAAAAATGCTGCGGACCCGGAAACCGAGCGCCTTGCAAAGCTGGCGGCCATGCAGTCGAACGCTTCCGATCTTGAGACTGAGCGCAAGTCAAGGCTGGCTGACATCGAGGCCAAGGAGGCACGACAGCGGGAGGAAGACGACAAGAAGCGTTCTGACAAAGCCCGCTTTATTGGCAGTGTGCGAAAGGAAGCAGAGGGTGTGGACGCCGGGCGGAGGTTTGGCAAAGGGCGGATGGAGCTTGATTGAGCAAACGTTGTAGCAAAGAGCTGCTAAGGGGTACTAATACAGAGACAATTGTTCGAAGAGTTTCTGCTCCTGCTGAAGATCTGAATAGCTTTTACTCACGAGCAACACAAGACTCACGAGCCATACCAGTCAATTGCCCACTCGCTATCACCATCACACTGTTCATTCCGTCCGCACCAGGAGATCTCACCCATATCTCCAGACATCGGACTCGTGACCCGCTGCTCCGAACCCCTGACAACCCCACCGCACCCCGACTCCACCGGATAGTCGATATCCTGCACAGTATACTCCTCATGCCACTTCCCAAACCACACGCAAACCGACTCGTGCGGCTGCGCCGAACACTCGACGTACTCGGTCTTCTCGTGGCCCGCGCTGACGGAGAAGCCGCCGCTGATCCAGCGGTTGATGGGGCCGGAGACGGAGAAGCTGACGCTCCAGGACCAGGCTTGGCCTTCGCCGATGGTGCAGTCGCCGTCGCCGCAGAAGTGCTCGCCCTGGTGGAGGGGAAGGTCAGCAAGAGCGTTCGTGGATGTGGGGGGTGCGTGTGCGGGATGGGTTGCGTACGCTGACTTTCTCCCAGTACGTCCACTTGGTGGGAGAGCCGTCTCCGACGACCTCAGTCTCGTATACCCTGTCGGCGCAGTTTGGAGGGTCGAATGGGTCCTCGAGAAGCAGTGGTTCGTTGACGTTGGCGAGCATGTCTTCACCGGCCGCGTCGTTGGTCGTGGCGAGGGCTAGGACTCCTGAGCACACCAGGGCGAACAGGGAGAATGTAGAGGAAAGCATGATGGATTGCGGATAGGCGCTCTGTCACGATAAACGTTCGTAGATGATCTGGATGCAGGCATGTCGGAAGCAGGAGATGCAGTGGGTGTTTTATAGTCTCTGCCCAGCTCAGTCGTCTAATTGCTCGACCGGCTGTAGGGAGTCTGGACTGCTGCGCAGTGTAGTGGGCATACACCGTGTTCATCAAGAAGTAAGAAGCTGAAATCTGGCGTCGTCGGGACTGCCGATATCACCAGATACATCAGGCCACGCAAAGGCAGCCAAGCACTACAGGTGCACGTGAAAGGTCAACTTCGAGCCAAGGAAGGTTGCAGCAGGTGGAATACAACACTGAATCAGCAGAATCATGTGCTTGGGATAATCGGGATACCTTATGCATCGTTACGCTTGCTTCTCAACGTCCCAACATGGAATCGGCATTGCTCCTGCGCTCGTCTCAGCTCTGTGCCTCTTAGAGACCAACCGACCGTACATCCATGGATGTACCTTGTGCTCTCATCGCTGCAGCACTTGACGGACAATCGCGTGCCTTCCCCAACCCATCATCTACTGACCTGCTTTTTTCCTCCTGCTCCTCCGCGCGGTAAACATTTAATTGCCCTCCTCGAGCAGATCGTTCAGCTCGTTCGTTCGACCCCTCCTTCATGCGCCTGTATCTGAAGTCAAAGGCTCATCTCAATCTCGCAGAGCCAGCTGCCAGCCATTGGCCAAGTCTCATCAGGCCCTTGCTCCGCAAAAACGCGGGTGGAGAGGCGGGCGAACCAGGCCAGATTTAGGCTGACTCGGCTTGCAAGGTTCAGACGGGCCGGTCGATGATGAATGATGGATCGGTCCTCGCTCTTGTTCTCCCCAGACACGTTCTTCCTTCTATCGCTCGTTTCGTATCCTCTACATCACCTTCACGACCCGTGACTCGGACGCGCATTCGCACGCTACGATCAGCGCGTGGGAATGATCCTACTGGAGATATCGTTCAAAGACCGTGGCTGAGTCTGTGCCATTGCGCGTAACACCACCGAGCCTCGACGACTCGACTATATTCCTCGGACTCGAGAGCGCAAGACAGCGCGGCGGAAGCACTACAGAAAGAGAACACTACAACCCTGCACCAGTGGAAAACGTTGAGAGAAGATGCCGCTCTGCGGTGGAACAAAGACCGTCCAGCGGAAGCTGGTGCTACTGTATGTGGACTCGAGGACGGAGATGGGGGTATAGATGCGCGCAGACGACTGACGACGATACACAGAGGCGACGGAGCATGCGGCAAGACATCACTACTCAACGTCTTCACCAGAGGATACTTTCCAACCGTATAGTAAGGCCACCACACCTCTCCTCCACGCGGCGCATTGCTCCCAGACAAACTAGCACGACTAACATAATCCCCAGCGAGCCCACCGTTTTCGAGAACTACGTCCACGACATCTTCATCGACAACGTGCACGTCGAGCTCTCCCTCTGGGACACCGCCGGCCAAGAAGAATTCGACCGCCTCCGAAGTCTTTCCTACGATGACACGCACGCGATCTTGCTCTGCTTCAGCGTGGACTCGCCTGACTCGCTGGAGAATGTGGAGAGCAAATGGGTGGGCGAGATAGCAGAGAACTGCCCCGGTGTGAGATTAGTTTTGGTGGCGCTGAAGTGCGATTTGAGGGAGCAGGGACGGGATGAGGATGAGGCGACGCCGGAGCCAAAGAAGCCCACGATTGATTATAAGCAGGGTTTGGCGGTGGCGGAGAAGATTAAGGCGTTGAGGTATCTTGGTGAGTACAGACTCGGATTGGGATGATCGCGCGGATGAGAGCTGACTGCTGGGGCAGAGTGTTCTGCGATGAAGAACCGAGGCGTCAACGAGGCGTTCACAGAAGCTGCACGTGTGGCGCTCCAGGTGAAGAATGTCAAGGGTGACAAGAGCAGCAGCTGTACAGTTATGTGATGCGCTGCCGTTACTCGACATCACCCACCCACCTTTGCTCATTTCACGATTTTCGACGACACAGCTCGCAACAATATCCATTATTGCGGCCATCATTACATCGGCAGTATTCTACGCGCTAGATGGGAGTTTATATGGGGCGGACGGCTTTTGTTATTAGCTCTGGCGCTGGATCTGCTGAAAATACTCATTGTTTTGATCGGGGCAGTACACCACAGTCCCGGTCTTCAGAAATACAAAACGCCTTCAAAGGTTCTACTCGCTCTGACCGTCAACGAGCGTTACTCTCGGAAATAAGGACCAACAGCTCGGTCTGACAACCATCTGCGGGGAGCGCGTGGGGATGAAGAGGGGTGATGTTGTCTGCTTTCATCTTTACAACAAAAGTATATGGATTCAATTGGCAAGTATCTCTCTATTCCGTTTGGTTTCTTGCCATCCTTGCGTTGATCTTCAAAACTGCGAATCGACTTCGACTCACCACTCCATCCGCTTCTCCCTGCAAGCCAATACTTCCAGCAGCCACATCAACCCACCATGTCCCACCCCGGCCGCCTCGAGAACAAAGTCGCCATAATCACCGGCGGCGGCCTCGGACTCGGCGAAGGCATCGCCCGCAAATTCGTCCACGAAGGCGCCAAAGTCCTCCTCTTCGAAATCAACGCCGCCAACGGCTCCAAAGTCGCCTCCTCCCTCGGCTCCGCCCACGCCCTCGCCTTCGAAGGCGACGTCACGAAACTCGACCACTGGCAATCCGCCGTCCAGACCTGCATCGAGAAACTCGGCGGTCTGGATATCGTCGTCAATAACGCGGGAGTCGTGCATAACGCGCAGGCTTCGACTGAGGTGCCCGAGGCGGAATATGAGCGGATCATGAAGATTAATGTTTCCCCCCTCTACCAGTCTGCCAAAGCCGTGCACCCGCATTTCAAGAAGCAGGGGCATGGGGTGTTCGTCAACATCTCCTCCATCTCCGCCCCGCGCCCCCGTCCAAACCTCGTCTGGTACGCTGGCTCCAAAGGCGCGGTATCAGCCGTCACGAAAGGGCTAGCAGCGGAGTTCGCAAAGGACGGCATCAGGTGCAATGCCATCTGTCCCGTAGCGGCGGATACGGGGATGATGGCGTCGGTGCTTGGGGGAACTGATACGGAGGAGGGGAGGGCGGTGGTGATGAAGGGGATTCCGCTGGGGAGGGTGGCGAATGCGGTGGACGTGGGGAATGCGGCGTGTTTTTTGGCGAGCGAGGAGGCGGGGTTTATTACGGGGATTGAATTGCCTGTTGATGGGGGTAGGGCGTTGCAGTAGGTGGTGTCTCTGGCGATGGCCGAGGGGGAGGATGATGAGCTGTTCTTCGAAGAGCAGCTGGCGTGTTCTTAGAGAGATGGACAAGCCTCTGCTGCTGATAAGCAGCCAGTTGGTGTCAGATACCTTTGCCGCGAGAGAACCTTTTGCTACCTTCTACGGGGTGTTTCGGTTGCCCTTCTTCGACAGTCTAAAGCCCCTGGCGCTGCTGTACTGCCCCTCGTTCTGTTACCAACCGCCTGGCGATGGTCAGCTCGATCAAAGTACCTCCTAGGGCTCGTGGTTGGTTTTACGCGTTCGCCTCGTACAAGTGAGACATCAATTACTACCCATGTCCCCATCTCAAAACGGACTCGTCCCCGACCTCTTCCTACCTCATCAACCGCTTCCAGCTCCAACAAGTTCCACACCAACCCGTCAAACTGCACGCCTGAAACACCAGATGACATCTTCAACATCATCACTACAGGTACTGTTTCACACCACGCAGACGTCCCTCGAGTCAGTCCAGCACCTCGTAGCCGGCCCACTGCACAGATCCGTCTGCCGTCGACCGAAGCGGCAATTGCTGTGATCGCTCGTACCGGAGGTACAAACTCTGGCCTCGAACGATAACACAAAGGATCTGGGGATCTCACTGGGACCCCCCGTCGGTAGTGTACATTTACCTGCCCCATATCCCCTTTCCAGCGTGCGTTGAATCAATGAAGTTCCAGAGCATCCTCATATCGTGTGCCTCGAGCTGGCCTACGGTGCTCATTGGGGTTTGTGATCGAACGTACGGCCCCAACATCAGGAAGGGAAAGAGGGAAGTGCTTTCAAGTTTCTGCATATAAAGCTGTGGCAATGGTCGTAGTCATGGGACTATCATCTCACCCACCCTCCTCGAGAGCCAAACGTTCGCAAACATCCCGCCTCTTTACTGGACAGTACCGTAGCAACCAGTAAGGCCAACATGCTTCCGACACATCTCTTCGGATGGGTGATGATTCTGGCACTTTGGGGTACATCAGTCGTGGCAGAGCCCGTGGCAGAGCCGGAAGCATCATCATCAGTTGTGGCAGACCCAGAAGCTCGCCAATATTGCAGAAAAGCGCAACTTGGCAATCAACGGTGCTGGCTCGGGAGAGGTGGTCTCCGGAGAGTGGTAAGCCGCGGTCAACATGTCAAGATGACTGCGTTTGGTCTAACAATGTACAGCAAGAATGCCAGAGGACGAACGGAAGATATCAATGGGTGACTTTGCAAGTTTGTTTTCACGGTTGCTACTGTGATACACATAAGTCCTGCTTTTGCACTCTGCCACCGAACGGTCCTCCACCTCTAGAGGGATCAAGCAGTGCTGGGGACGAGAGCGAAGACAGCTAGGCAGGCCTCGAAAGCTCCACGGGATCTCCGTCTACTACGACTGCGAGAAGCGCTGGATGGATGGGGGAGGACGCGGATTCAACACAGGAAGCTACCAGCGGACAGCGCCACAACTGGCCACAACCCCAGGAAAGGCAGACGCTCATTTGCAAGTACAACGGAAGGATGGAAAAATCCATAGAGTTGATTTAGATGTGGGGGTCATACATTCACTTCAGTCGCAGTACAGAGGTTAGAGTGGAAGCAGACAAAGCCAGTTTAGCAACAACACCGAATGACACTTCTCGTACTGTAGGTACTGTTTCATGCTGCGCAGATCTCCCGGGAGTTAGGCCAGGTAGGTATCTCATAGTTGATAGCCGACCCACTGGGACGGATCCGCGTCCCCATCTGCCGTCGCCCCAAAGCGGCAGTGGTTCGTGCTAACGTCTAGCCTCGAACAAGACAGACACGACCACGAGAGTTCCATGTGCCGACGACTGTGGCGCTGATCCGGAGCTAAATCCAGTTGAGACCGTTGGATGATGTCTGGTTTAGGGGCAGTGGAGGGCGGGTATAAACGGTGAGAGGCCTCCAGGACGGAAGTCCGAAGCACTGTTTTGCTTCGAAGGGGTTCTGGTGTTTGGTGTTTGTTTGTCGTTAACAGTGACTGACGAGCGACGATGGGCTCTAGGTATACTGATGCGGAATGGTCCATGTTCATTGAGGAGGTTGAGCATGACCTGAAGGTGTCGTCGGAGCCGTACTCGTGTCCCAGCATAAGGAGTAGTGGCTTCACGAAGACGATCGACCATACGCTGCTTAAGCTAGAGACCAAGGCTGTTCAGATCGATGAGTTGTGTGCAGAGGCCAGAGTTAATGGCTTTGCTGTAAGTGCACATCTTCCGTTGTCCGGCCAAGAATAGAGCACAGCTGATAAGTATTGCAGAGCGTATGCGTGCGAGCAAACTTCGTCCACCAATGTGCCGCCGACCTCAGAGGCTCCGGGGTCAGAGTAGCCTGCGTCGTCGGCTTCCACGAAGGCACGCATGATCTCCTCTACAAACTACAGTACGTATCCCCCCCCCCCCCTTCACCCCATCTTGCCAACCACTAACATCCCTCCAGAGAAGCCAAAACCGCCATCCAATCCGGCGCAGACGAACTGGACATCGTAATCAACTACCTCGAACTCCAAGCCCGCAAATACAATTCCATCTACCAGGAACTCGTCGCCCTGCGCTCGCAAGCCCAACACCCGGTCCAGCTCAAACTCATCCTCGAGACCTCACAGCTCAATCGATCTCAGATCATCGCCGGCTGCGCAATGGCTGCCGCAGCTGGGTTTGACTTCGTCAAGACGTCGACTGGATTCAATGGACCGGGCGCTACTGTGGAGAATGTACGGTTGATGGCTGCGTGTTGTCAGAAGTTGGCGGAGGGCAATGGGCCGGGGCGGAAGCGCATGCAGGTGAAAGCTTCAGGTGGGATCCGGACGCTGGAGGACGCGGTGAAGATGCTTGAAGCAGGGGCGAGTAGGCTGGGGACTAGTGGAGGAGTGTGGATTGCTCGAGAGGCGAAGGAGAAGGCGGAGCAGGGGATGAGTACCAATGGGGCGGTGTATGGGGAGGGGAGGAGACCGAGTCTGCAGACGAGGTTGTTTACTGACTACTGACATTCGTGTCATCGATTCTCAGAGATCCTGCTTTGTGCTTGCGCTACAGCATCTCCTCCATCTCAACTGAAAAGTTCACATTCAGCTGCTGTTCCCGCGAAGCTGCCCCGACGGTGCTGTCCTTCCCTCCATCTTCCCTGCCGTCACTTTTTATCCGTCTTACAAAGCTCCCACATGAAATCCGTAAATTCGCCCGATGTGGCATCCTCAATGTCCACTTCAAGGTGCTTCGCATACTTCTGAAAGTACTCGCGCTTCACCTTCGACAAATGCGGCTTGTCCCAATGTAACCGCACCAGCCGCGAGATCAGCAATTCGTAGCGTAGCTCGTCATCTTTGTTCTTCTCGGCAATGTCTTTGATGGCGTGTCGAAGGAGTAGGGCGTCGCGGACGGGTTTGTTGATTACGCCGTTGAGAATGTGGGCTATGACCTCGCCCTGTAGCATTGTCAGCATGGTAAAATCCTGCTGGGTAAGATGAAAAGATACTCACCACAAGATTACTACTCTTCCTCAACGCCGCCCTCGGGAAGTTCTCCTGATACATCCGATCATACGTCTTCATCATCTCTCGCAGATGCGCATCACTCCTCCGCACAATAATTTCCAGCATCACACTCTCCCCGCCCTGCTTCGCGGTGAGCGCCTTATGCAACGTCTCGACATCGCGGTTCTTGTATTCCTGCGGATAAACATCCTGCTCCTCTTGCCGCCGCCCCTCAAGCGCCATCAGCACGGCGACACGGAACTTATCCATCTTCAGCTCCTTCTCCATACACTTCACCAGGTCGTCAGCGTATCGCTTGTCCCGGAACTCCTCCTTGATCTCCAGGATCTCGCGGTTCGTCCGACCCATCAGACTCTCAATCAACAGTTCTCGACGAGAGTTGTGCGATTGATAAAAGAAGTTCGCCCAGTATCCTTCACTCTCCCAGCGACCGAGCGCAGTCACGTATGCGGCTTTGCCAAAGTTGCCAGAGAGTTTCATCTTCAAGTGGTTGGGCATTTTGACGCTCCGGTCTGCAATTTTCACCTGCTTCCGGTACTCGCGCCGGACGTGCATAATTTGATCGTGGGTCAGGCCTGGAAGGATCTCGCAGAGGGTGTCGGTGTCTGGCTTTGTGCCCCGTAGAGCTTTTGAGATCCGTTTGGCGTCTTCTTCGTAGTCGTCGACTTTGACGCTTTTCTTTTTCTTCTTCTCTGCGTCTTGGGCTAGTTTGTCCTTGCTGCCGCGGACCATTTGAGGAGATAGTGGCTCGAGAGCGTCCAGTTCGTCATCGTCGTTGGTTGGCCTGAGTGCCATTGGCATGGGAGAGAGCTGCTGGTAGGTGCCGTGGTATGCTTCGAGAAGCGGGCTGGGTGGCGGTAGGTCGCTTTGACCTGAGAGGTCTGGTCGATTGCCACTGACGGATAGTCGATCCGTTCGTGCTGTCAGACCCGGAGAGCGTGGAGCATCGAGACCGCCGGAGCGAGTATCGACGGAAAGCCGGACACTTTTTGATTTGGAGTCCGTCTTCTCCCGCGCCGGCGTTCTGTCGACGATGTTGGCATCTCGACCGTGTGAATCGTATGAGTAACTCCGTCGGACCTCCTCTCGCTGTAGATCACGAGCCCGTCCCTCGGGTTCAGGCCTGCGTTCATCATACTGTGGCTTCGGCGGGTACGCCGCTTCCCGTGAAGATTGGCCATATTCCCGGGTATATGATGAAGTCCTTGACTGACTAATAGGTAACTCAGGCCGTTGCGGGTATCTAGAGATCTCTGGCGGATACGGTTCGGCAGGCCTTCCTGGAGGGTAGGGACTGCTGTAAGAGGGAGTCCGGCTGCCGTTGGGCGGTGAATCATTCCCATAGGCCAAGTCGATAAAGTCGTCGTCCGGCATCGCTGGCATCCGAGGGAGCGTATTCGAGCGGGTGTAGGTGTTGTAGTCCTGCGGGCCATCGTATGGATCGTCCTCAATCGGATAGGGTACGCTGGAATGGCTTGACGGCTGCGGATACGTGCTCGTCCTTGCGGGCGGTGCTTGACGGAAGTAGTCAGACCGCTCTGCTCCAGTAGTAGCGGGTGATCTTAGTTCGTATTTCGGTGAACCAGCCTCGTCGAACGACCCGGGAGGTGGAGCGGAGTAGCCATACGGTGTGTTCGAGGGCGGAGATGAGGCCTTCGTGGTTTCTGGCGCGCGGACATTGCTTCGAGACCGCGAACGGTCACGCGAGCGAGATCTGTCTCTGTGTCGAGAAGACCTGTCGTCTGGTCTGAGCGACATGTTTGCACCACTCCAACGCCAGTGCCGCCTGTCCGAGCCAGTTGCGAATACTTCAGTGTTCAGAAAGAGATGTGTATCTCAGTAGACGAAGGTCGAGACCTTTTGAGTCTTCTTCTCGTGCAACGCAAACTCACCGGTCGGTCGGTCAGGCAATCGAAGCTTGGCCACAGCTGAACATGCACCTATCGGGCGTAGGAGGAGGAGATGAATGTAGGGTGCCGTTGGCGTCTGGACGAATGGCGGGGCAAGATGGCAGAAGTTCGCTGTGCTGGCCTTGCCGAAGCAAAGGTGTATTGGTTCACTCGACTGTCTTGTGTTTTCGTGGTCCACATGTAGGTATGTTGTTGAGTCCTCACCGAAAATCAATGCTCAGGTTTTGGGTGTAAATTGTAGCCAAAGTGAACCGCATATCGTGCAGTCTCTACAAAACCTTAGAGCAGAGAGGACCCCCACCGCTGGACGCCTTAAAGTATCAAGCTGGCAGTACAAATTTCTCGACAAGTTAATGCTTTAGAGAGATATGAGTTGAGCTGCTGGAGCCACCATCTAGGTCTATCATCTAATTCTTAGCCTCTAAATCTCTACCATCCCATGACTGCTCGTCTTCCGCGAGTAATCAGCCCTCGAAGACACCGTGTTGAAGTTCGACACCCATGCTGTCGTTCAGTCAGTACATGCCGCCTCAAATCTGTTGCTCAAGAATGAGTTTACTCACCTGCCAGCCATCTTCCGCATACTCTCCTCAATATCATCGTCCATGCCCTTCCCCAACCCCAGCCACTGCCTCATCTTGCTCCACCAAAACACCACATCCGTGCTCAGCAGCACAGTCCTAAACAGCACATGCCGTCCATACTCCCTCCATCGATCCGCAAAACTCGCATCCTTGCCCTCTGCAAGCGCCCTCGAAGCCCACGTCCCAGTAATCTTGACCCGATTGACAGGTGAGCCGAGGAATTGGTTGTTGCCTTGCACAATACGAAGGTTGCGGCCGATGAAGATGAGTTCTTGCGGGAACTTGTCTTGGTTAGCGAGGATTTCGCGGACGGCTTTGCGGGACTTCTGCTGCATCTCGAACTGTCGTTGGCGCTGCTCTTGCTTGCTCAGGCCTCTAAGCTCGTCAATCGTTTTGCGATCGCCGCCTTCGTAGGGTCGCATGAGAGTAGCGCTGGCAAAAATGTCCGGTGCGTTGATACCCCATTCCTCCTTGGTTATGCGGTTGATCGTGGCGTTGTCGAAAGTCATTAGCGAGCGCCAGAATTGCGCATACTCCTTCCGGAACTTTGGATCCATTTGGATATAGAGGCCGTGGTCGATCAGGACGAGCTCAGGCTTGCCGCTTGGCTGCCTCCGAATGAATATGTTACCTGGGTGTGGGTCGCAGTGTACAAGTCCCCAAAGGAACATTTGCGCTGAGAAGAGGTCGACCATGGTCTGCATTACTGGTCGCAAGCTCAAGCCCAGCCCTCCGTTCTTCCTCGGACCACGCCAGTCATCACGAACTGGCTTGAGCTTCTCGTCGTTAGGGTGATTGGTTGGCACGCTTGCGGCGACTGATGGCGGAGGAGGATCCAGCCGTCTGCCGCCAGCACCAGGAGATCCTTTCCTCCATCCGCCCTGCCACGACCCTTGGATGCCTTCCTTGTCCCATAGCCGTATCCCCTCGATCCACTCCGCGGTCATGACACGCGTGCTGCTCAGCTCGTGGTAGACCTCCGGGATGTAGACGCGATCTCGCAAGCGCGGCTCGCCCTGTATCAGCTCTCGCATCTTCCCTGCGTTCTTAGCTTCGTTTTGAAAGTCCGTCTCCAGCATCAAGCGGTCGGTGATGTATGGGACCAGATGGTACAGCGGTAGATCGAACCACCACGTATACAGCCGAGTGACAACCTTGAATGCCCAAAGATCCCAGCCGACCTGTCTCGCAATCTCGCGTTTCTGAATCTTAACCGCAACCTCCCTTCCATCTGCGAGTCGTGCCCAATGTACTTGCGCAACACTCGCGCTGGCTCTTGCCGTCCGCTCCATGACACCCTTCGAAGAATCACCGGCGAACGAGACCCCAAAGACCTCCTCCACACTCTTCCCAAAGTCCTCCTTTATGACCTGCTCCACCTCCGCCCAATCATTCTGCGGCGCATCGTCAAACATGCGAGCGAACATCTTCTGGAACTCCGGCGGCAGAATCGCGCTCTGCATAGCAATCGCCTGTCCTATCTTCAAGTACAGTCCTCCATTCTCCCTCAACAGCTCAAAGACCCTCCTCGCGCTCCGCGAATGTAGGTCGTTCACGTTGTCGCCAATCCACGGGTCGGGGCGGAAGTTGATGTTGTAGTCCAGCGCAACGATCAGGCCGGTGTAGAACGTGCGAAACGAGCGGGCGAGAGAGCGGTCGTAGAAGTAGTGGTCAAGAACTCCTATGAGTCCGACAGCTACAGCGGTTCTGAACAGCCGCCGTAGCCATTTTCGCGAACGGGTGTATGCTTTGGGCTGGCGGGGCTTGCCTAAGGACGATGGTGAGGGTGGTTTGAGAGGTTCGAACTGGCTCTGGAAGCGTCGGATGATTAGGCTGGTATGCCGTGAACTGAGGTTCCGCGGTGTTATGTGTCGCGTGCTCGAGATGTATGTTCGTGTGCTATCGCCGAATCGAAGGTCTGCTGCGGAAGCATATCGAGGTCTCAGGATCTTGCTTGCGCATTGCCCGCATAGTCGCGGCGGCAAGCGAAACATCACTTGGTCACCTCAAGGAGGTGATGCTGCCGGACGATGTGGTGGGGAGGCGGATCATGTTGGTAGGATGGTATGGGAGCGAGATGTATGGCCGCAGCTAGCGTGGTCTGTGACCGCATGAGGTCTGGACTTTGGGAGACGGAAAGTCCGCGTGAGAGTCCGTCTCGGACGGGAGCATTCAATAACAACATAAATGACCCGTATTTCCTTGATCGAACAACGGACTGTAGTACCGTGTTCTCGAACACAAAGTCGATGTTCTTGGTATACTGGAGCGGACTTTAGACCGACAATGACAACAGCAGCGAGCTACCAGCTTAGATATGTTCTTCTGCCTTTAAACGATCTAGATAGTCGCATTATTCGGATAGGGTACATCGCCGTCCCATTCAGAAACAGCACTCCAATGCTTCCCAACCTTCTCCTGCTTCTCTGCCTCATCAACAATCGCTACAGCCAGATCTGCCACGGAGACCTTCAGCAGCCTTCCCTCGTACTGATTCCCATCAAGGCTTTTCGTCGCCGCCTTCTCCAGCATAGGCAACTTATCAATCCAGACATCGTACTTCCCAGTTCTCGGACCTGGCCAATACCGAGCTGGAGGCGACACAAATGTCCACTTGAACGAAGTGTTGCCCTCGAACATGGGGAAGCAGGCTCGCGCGGCCAGCGGCAGATTTGGAATCCAGTCATCGCTACGGAGAACCTGGTCGTCTACCTGCTTAAGCATCTTCTGGTCCTCCTCGCCCGCTTTGCCCGCGAGCAGATTGACTCGAGCCTTGCGGTACCCCCTGACGAAATCGGCAGCTCCTGCGAATCGTTCCGCCATATGTTCCGTAGCGGCCTCGCTGTCCGCGTTAGCGCGACGGTAAGCTAACCACCATTCGCGCGAGTCGGCGGCAGTGGTATATGGCTCCTCGATGATCAGGCTCCCAGATCCTCCGATCATGATGAAGTAGCCTACTTTCGCGGCTTTGGCGGCGAGCAGGATCTTGCGAGTCGTCTCGATAAAGGTCATGTAGTTGTTTGCGCCATTATAGGCGTTGATCAGAGCATCGAAGCCTTGGAACGCGGGAACGATCTCAGCGATGCTGGCCTGGTCGACGTCTAGTTTGACAGGGCTGTAGTCCTTGTGCTTGCCGAGCTTCTCTGGGCTTCGTGATAGACCTGTTACGGTGTGGCCCCGGTTGAGTAGTTCTCGACAGGCGTGAGAGCCACCGAGCCCTGTAGCACCTAATACTGCGACTCTCATGCTGAATACAATGGAGGAAGAATGCCCAGAACGGAGCTGTTGTGGAAATAGGAAGTTATATCGTTCGACCTACGGTAGATTGATTGTTCAGCTGCCGAGACGAGAGCTCGACTAAGCTGCTCTGCTGTCGAATGGTTGCGGTGGTGCTCCGCCCTTGAATGGACATTTAGACTGTCGCCGCGATTGTCCGAGAACGGAAGTCTTTCAGGAGTGCGATGAAGTTTGCAGTAAAGGTTGAGCCAACGGTACAAGAGCGAGATATGAGCTGCGTCGACCACCTGCGAACGCTCAATTGCACCAACCACTCACGCCCAACGATGCGTTGGCATTGGATTAGGATGCAACTCTTGGTCTTGTCGCTTGTCATGTATGGAGATGAATGAAGATGGTACCAGGAGCATCTACTGGAGAGAAGAGAGATGCCTGCCGTCCAGCCACCCCCCACCTTCTTCCGCCCCCACGCTCTGACACCACCGAGACATCGTGAAGGTTCAACGAACCCAACATCTCCGTCTCTTCTATGGCAACACCGGTCACGCCAGTGATACGTCGCTCGCTCGCCAACACAGGCCGCATACGATGCCGAAACCTCCAAAGGCAGAGGTCATTTCAGACCAAAGTCACGCAGAGCAAGATCCCTAACTTCGGCTTCGCCTTCGAGTATGCGAACATCCATTAGCTCCTCCTTCAACGCAGCCAATACTGACGGACAATAGCATCGATGGCGTTCTAGTCCGATCCTCAACACCCATCCCGGGCGCTCACAAAGCTCTGTCGTATCTGCAAGACGAGCGAATACCGTTCGTCCTACTCACCAATGGCGGCGGGAAGAGCGAAGAGGAGAGGGTGAGGGACCTACAGGAGAAGCTCGACGTACCGCTGGATACGGGGATGTTCCTGCAGAGCCATACTCCTTTTGCAAATCTGAAGCAGTACCATGATAAGACGGTTCTGGTGGTTGGAGGGGATCACGATAAATGCCAGAGGGTTGCGCAGGGTTACGGGTACAAGAACGTGGTGACGCCGGGAGATATCTATACAGCTTACCCGGACATCTGGCCTTTTGGAAAGCCGTTCGAGGAGGTTTACAAGGCGTTTGCAAAGCCACCGCCGAAGCCCATCAACCTGGAGTCTCCGCCGGATAGCTTAAAGATCGATGCTATATTCGTCTACAACGATCCTAGAGACTGGGGTCTGGATGCTTCGTTGATACTGGATCTCATGTTGTCAGAGCAAGGTATTCTCGGCACGCTGTCGAAGAAGAACGGTGACTCGAGCTTGCCGAATAATGGCTACCTGCAAGATGGCCAGCCAGCTCTCTACTACAGCAACCCTGACTTGTGGTGGGCGTCATCCTACCACCTGAATCGTCTCGGCCAAGGAGGTTTTCAATTCGCCTTCGATGGCTTGTGGAACGCAGTTACAGGTGGGGCGAAGCTAGAGAAGACCACCATCGGCAAGCCGACTCAAGCGACGTACGAATATGCCGAGAACCTGCTCCGACAGCACCGTAAGAAGATTTGGGGTCCGGTCGGTTTGAATGATCCGCTGAAGAGGGTCTACATGGTCGGCGACAATCCTGAATCCGATATTCAAGGCGCAAACAATTATCAGTCACCGCATGGCAGCGACTGGACCAGTGTCCTGGTCAAAACCGGCGTGTGGAAGGAGGGCCAGGAGCCGAGCCACAAGCCGGACATCATCCATGAGAATGTCTCGGAGGCTGTTCAGTGGGCGGTTGAGGATGCGCGGAAGAGAGGCTCAGCATGATGATGGTGGAGGCTGCATCTTTGGCAATGTTTTTGATAAGATATACCCTACAGCACCTGTATAGACCATTGCTTACACCAGGATCCACGAGATAGCCAGAGGCAGGAAGCTTCATCAAGGTCTGTTCCAAGCGCCACTTGCTTACCATGTCAGAATCGGCTTGATCGCCTCGCCGGTATGCATATCGTGCAGCGCGTTCTTGAAGTCCTCCGCCTAGAATACCGTCAGCTCATCGTCGATCCACTCGCTGCAGGCGTATCTTACCTTGTAGAACTTCGAGATCTTATCAAGCTGGAACTTGCCCTCCCGTTGATACTTAATCAGCTGCGGGATGAACTGGTTCGATGTTAGTATGCCTCAAGCCGCAAGACCGATTGAGAAGCAGCTCACCTCCTCCGGCAGACTATCACCCTCCGCGCACCCGAGCAATCTCGTCCCGTTCATCATGTGCTGGGTGATGCCCAACTCCATGTTAAAAGCCGGATCCAAATTGGCGCCGACAAAAACGAACGTTCCGCGAGCAGCAAGCGAGTTGTATGCTGCTTTCATCAACGGGACGTATGCGCTTGCTGCGGTGATGTCAGCTACAACCGTTTTCCGGCTGGATCGAGCTTACTGTCAATGACGACGGTCGGCCCCCGACCGCCCGTGATTTCTTTGAAGGTGGCGGTGAGGTCCTCGACGCCTGTAGTGTCGATGCTGTGGGTGGCGCCTAGGGATTTTGCCAGCTCGACTGGGTACAGTTAGCCAACCTCTGAGGATCGTTGGTTGTTGTTTGAGCGCTTACGTCTGGACTTGACCCTGTCTACCGCAATGATCTGCTCGCAACCGAGCATCTTCGCCGCCTACACTCATCATCAGCACACACACCACCTTCAACAGGGCAGGAAAGGAACCCACCATAAGCGCGCTCAATCCAACACCGCCAACCCCCAGAATCATAACCCGATCCCTCTCCTCCGGCTTCGCAACATTCAACGTCGCACCAGCACCCGTCTGGATCCCACATCCAAGCGGAGCGAACAGCTTCAACTCCTCCTTGTCAGTCACCAAGTCCCGCACCACCAGTACCGACGACTCCTTCACCACGCTCAACTTCGCAAAGCTGGACTGCCCGAAGAACTTCCCGGCTACCCCAGAGTCATCCTCAGCCTTGAAGACGTCTTCAACGGGGTAGATATTCAACGGGAAGAAAGCTGAACAGTAGGCCGGATGCCGCTGCTCACAGCTCTCGCATTGTCCGCAGTGAGCGAATGACAGCAAGACCGGGTCTCCCACCTTGATGTCTTTCTTCACGCCCGGACCGACGGCTTTGACGTATCCGGATCCTTCATGGCCGGCGACATAAGGGTAAGGGAACCCTGGAGTTCCGCCTGGGACGCCTGTGGAGATGAGGTCGGTATGGCAGATTCCGCTGGCCAGCATGTCGACGAGTAGCTCGCCATCTTTGAGGTCATTGGGGACGGAGATGTTCTCGAGGGACCAGTTGCTGCCAGGGCTGTGATCTGGATAGTTGGGGGCGGAGGCGAGGATAGCTTTGCTTTGGGTGGACATCGTGGATCTTTGGAGGTTGCGGTATTCTTTCTGGTGAGAGTGGGTGAATCACTTACGTCTTTTGACACTGTGCGGGAGCGACGTAGTCTACTCTATAAAGGACGTGAACGGCTGATCCAGAAGAATTGAAGTTCAGGGTACAGCCGGCCCCAAGCCATGAACGAGTGGTATCGCATTCGCTATTGAAGGTGTCAGGCCATGGGAAGGCTGATGTCTCCGCAGCTATGACCTGCACACTGGAAGTTTGTACGACACAAGTTGAAGCCACCGGAAGCAGCTCTGAAGCTGCATGTGGAGCTCTTGAGCTCGAAGAACATACTGTATCTGGCAGGACAGCGACTGCAGGCTACCTCAGCTGGCACAGCTGCTACAGCATCAGTATTATATTCGCTGTCCTAAATTTCAGCCGCTCCAGAACAGCCCGCGGCCGACTTGCGCCTGCTTTTCTGCCACAAGCCGTTCAATATGCTCCATCTATCGAAGCTGAACGCTCTCGCTTGACACAGGTCTAAAAGCGAGCGCCAGGTGAGCTACGACTTGCCAATACTCGGCATCGAGGGAACAGGAACGTTCACGTTGCCGATTTCCTCTGGCGCAGGATTCGTGTAGCGATGGCGAGCATAAGCGAAACAGTAAACGGTGAAACCAATTCCCAGCCCTACATCGATGACAGGAGCGTAGTTCAACGCCGTCCCGTCGACCGGTGTCGTGAATGGAAACCTGCCCAGGTCAGCACAGCGTTACAATGGATCAGCCTGCATGGTGACTTACCGGCACAGAACCCAGACAAATGTCAAGAAAACCACCGAGACACCGTCAACGGTCTTTTCCCAAAATGTCCCGAGGTGGAAGATCCCTGTGAAGTCTCGGCCAAGCAGGTTGGGCTGGTAGAACCTGGAATAGAGTGAGCATGTGACTGCCATCAGCTAGGTGGTCCAGAGGGATAATGTGACCTGAGAGACCAGAGCCGAATACGCAATGGAGGATACGAAGTTCAGCCACAGGATCAGAAGCGGTGCGAAGGCGGTGAAGCAGATGCTGATGAGTGGAACGCGATGTTCGGTAAGCATTTGCCTCACGTCAGCGAATGCAATGTTAACCGCAGGAGGGTGCGCTATACCTTATACATGGCCCTGTACACAAAGGGGCTGTGATCGTCACGGACAAACAAGAAGAGCATCCTGCTAGCTGCTGCGGTCGTATTGGTAGAAGGCATCATGGAAATCGGTGCGATGAGCCCGACCACGGCACTGGAGAGGGCGTTGTCCTGGCGTGAAGCATTGAAGATCAGGTGGACCACAGCCCCAAGAGGATGTCCAGAGGCTCCGAGCGGTTCCGCAAACAGCGTCGCGATGTCGCCTGCGCAGAGCACGACGAGGGCGACGAGCGGGATGCATGAGAGCATATTGGCACAAGTGGTCCACATGAGGGAACTTGGGCACCTGTCGGCTGCCGTTGACTGTGTATTCGACTGAAGTACATCAATCAGTGGGATGACAAATGTGATTTTTGAGGTCAACTTCTCCACGTAAGATATCGACGCCGTTCGTTCGGAGTAGTGCTTGCTTTGGATGTAACTTGTTGTCTTTCGTTAAGAGATAATGAGCTTACCCAGATTGCTGACAGAGTCGAAACCGGAAAACACTCCCACAACGTAGCTGATACCAATTACAGAGCCAAAGCTGGCCGACCAGCGAGTTTGTGTGAAGAACTCAAAATTCAGTGTGACAGTGCCGGAGCCGACTCCAACCGCGAGTGTTGAGATGATGAGCAAGTGGGCCACGACATGAATCACAATGATAAGCGTTTCTGGAATGTTCATGTGTTTGTCCTATATGACGTTAACAGACAGCGATATGATTTGCATAACGACAGCTGTCAAAAAAGCCCACTTGACGTGGTACTCGCCTGTCTGGATGAGGACGATGGCTTGGATGTCTAACGCGAAGAGCCAGGTTGCGGCTGTGAGGTAGGACAACCAGGTATATTTCAGGATGCCGCAGCAGTGGAAACTGAGGAGCTTTCGACAGCTGGGGGGAGCCAGAGCGGCGACCCAGTGGTACTGGCCTGATGGGAGAAGCTGGTCAGCTTACGAAATGATGATCGAGAAGAGATCGTTGCGAATCGCCAGCAGTGGGATACCTGGATCGTGACAATTAGCACTGTGGTCAGCCAAAGGGATGGTGCAAACGTACTTTCTGATGTTCTCGGCCAAGCTGATGTACAAAGGTATCATGAAGACGATACTGACAATGAGGCCGACCACCAAGCCCCAGGTGCCGCCATTAGACAGGTTGAGGACAGCAACGAAGATGAACGATGGCCAACGGACAAAGACGCTGCTGTTGACGCCAATGAGCCCGACAAGCTTGGTCAACGTTCGGGGTACTCGCGCAGCAAGGCGCATTAGCAAGCTTCGCTTGTCATAATACCTTGTAAAGGTACACCTGCATGCAACCACTAGACTTGTTGTCTGCGTAAAGTGCGTGATCCTCGTCCGAGTATGCACAACGGTACGCACACTCGCACAACACACTCTCCACTGAGACTTTTCACAACAGTCGAAAGACAGTCCAACCCGCATTCCGTTACTCCCCTTCAAAGATGAGCTTAAACACCGACGCAAAATCAAGCCCCTGCAACACATCAGTACAACAGCAAACACCCTCGTCAGGTAGCATTTCACACTCACCTCCGTCCTCCCATCCCCTGCCGCCCTCCTATACATTTCCACCGCCGTCCTCGCCATCCTCGGCTCCACCCCCACCCCCTCCGCCGCCAGAATCCCCAACATCGTATCCTTAACCATCATCTCATGCCGAAAACCCGGCCTGTACCCATCACTACTCGGCGCCCCCTCCACCACCCCCGGGCACGGATGCATGTGCTCGCCCACCCAGCTCTGGCCGCTCGAGCTCCGTATCACGTCCGCGAGCACGTACTTGTCGAGGCCGTTCTTGAGCCCGACCGCGAATGCCTCGCTGAGGGCGATGGAGAAGGTGCTGACGAGGTAGTTGTTGCTGATCTTGGCTGCGGCGCCGGTGCCGAGGGCGCCGCAGAGGAAGATCTTCTCTGATGCTGCCATCAGGGAAACGATGGAGTGGATCTGTGAGGCCCGCGGGTCGTGTGAGGGGCTGCCGATCATGAAGGCGAGGGTGCCGGCGACGGCGCCCCGGGGGCCGCCCTTTGTGCTTTTAGCGTACGCTGAGGTGGCGAGCGTAGATGTACGGGAGGTGCGGACGTACGGATACCGGAGCGTCGCAGTAACTGCCCACGCCCGCGTCCATGATGGTGTTGCCGACTTCGCGCTGAGTGTCGACGTCGATCGTGCTGCACTCAAGGACTAAGCGATCTTTGCTCGGCGGTGCAGCGATCACGCCGTTCTCCTTGTCGAGGTAGACTTGTTGGACGTGCTCAGGGGCCGGGACCATGGAGATGAGGACTGGAGCTTTCGAGGCCGCTTCTTTGGCTGTTTGGACGATTTCGATGGGTCCGTTGGACCTGTGCTCGACGAGGAAACGAGTGCATGCTTCCGGGTTGACGTCGTTGATGAAAACTGTTGAGTTTGGGGAGAGCTTTTGGCGAATGTTGGAGGCCATTCCGTAGCCCATGTGGCCAAGTCCTGTCGTATGTTAACGGACTTTTGCTCTAAGGGATTGTGATGGAAGGGGAGGCGCACCGATGAAGGATATGTCGCACTCCATGGGTGATGCTAAGGTGGGTTTACCTGTTGTTTCCTGTGCCAAAGCTGTTTCTGGCTACGAGCCACAGCTATGGGCTGGTGTCTACATGTTTATTACATGCAATGCATGAAGATGTGTATAACCTCCAAGCACCAGTTGCATGTTAGCCGAAGAGGGGAAGGTGGAGCTATACAGCGTACGTAACGCAGATCCGTGGCCAAGCTCGATATATTCTGATGACTGCCCTACTCTGCCGGAGCGTGTTGACTTGTCATACAGCATGCTTGAACGGACAGTGTCACAAGACAGCGTACGGCGGACTCACACCTGCTTCCTGCCAAGACCCAAACAATACAGCTCAAGCCACCAATCCATCAAGCTCCAACGCATGCAAGAGCACTCCATGTCCTGTCTACTCGATCTTAGCAAACGACAGCGTGCTCTGCCTCATCTTGCTCCCGCTGGGCGCCCTCTCAATGCCCTTCAAGCCTTTCCTAACGGCTTCTCCAACACTCTTCATCACGTCTTTGCCCTTTGAAGCTGTGCGTGACAAGCCCTTCTTAGAGGGTTCTGCCTGCTCGCGAACTTCTTCACCTGCTTCTTTGGAAGAAGGCTCGCTGTCACCGAGAGTACCTTCGTCGTCCAGGAGTTCGGTCGTGCTGACAGAGACCTCCGTTCTCTTCGTAATAGTAGAAGTCTGCGTTTGCGCGGTGGTCGGACGGTCCAGCTCCTCGTGGAACTTGGACCCCCTCGAGACGGTGCGGGTATGCGTCGTGGTAAGGCTCGTGGACTCTGTGACTGAGGTCTCTCTCGCCTCCTCCTCCGGCTCAGCAGTGGCAGCCTTCTCCTCAAGATGGGTCGTCTTCCGGCGGGCACTGTTCTTCTTCTTGAGCACCCGGGCAGGCTTCTCAGCCGGCGCAGCAGCAGGCAACGACTGGCGACGAGCAGCCAGGCGTTGAGCTCTGCTCGAATTCTTTTCCGCCTCCTCCCTCTCCCTCTTCTCCGCTCTCAGCCTCTCCTTCGTTTCCGGGTCATCGACGGCGAGCCAACCTCTCCAGCCCGAGCCACGATCAGTGTTGATCTTCTTCTTCCTCGCCTCGCTCTCAGCATTCTTCTGTGCTTCCTCAGCCGCCTTCCGCTTGCGGTCGTTCTCCTCCCGCTCCAGCTTCTTCCGCTCAGTGGCGTTCAGCCGCTTCGACAAGAAGCCACGACAGTTCTCAGCACCACAGTGGCAGACCTGTTTGGTCGCGCCGAAGTTGTCGAAGTTGTAGTCGTATGTAAGCTCCTGCCCAGTCATAATGCCTTGCTCGGCGGCAAAGACAGCCATACGTGGCGTATTGTTGACCTTGACCATGCGCACCTCGCAGTTTGGAGAACAGGAGTGGTTGATGAAGCGAGCCATCGAGCCCTTCGTGCCGTCGATAACCAGCCCACGCTCCAGCTCCATCAGGTAGTAGCACTGCTTGTCCTTGTACTCGTCCCGCATACGCCGCTGGCATTCGCCTTCGGAGATGATCTCGCCAGTATACTCCATGATTATCTGGCCAGCTTTGAAGGTTCGACAGGAACGGACGCCAAAACCACGATTCCCGGTTTGAAGAACTTCAACGCCAACGTCAAAGCGCCCGCCTTTCTGCGTGCGCGCTGCTAGCTCTGAGAAGGCGCGATTGCTGCACAGTTCGGCATTTAGGCTGCAGTTGTCGTCGTTGCACTCGTACTGCATGACCCGGTTCAAGCAGTCGTCTCCGCAGCCTTGCTCGTCCGAATTGGAAGGAGGCCTGCAGACACACATAGAGCTTGGCAGCTTCTCCATCTCCCACAGCTCTCTAGCCTCGCCAACTAGACGGTTCTTGTTGACTTGCTTCCAGTCTTTGGGCTTCTCGTCACCCTTCTTGAGTGAAGGTGCGTAGATGTCGAACGGAATTTTGAAGTCGCGGGTCTTGTCCAGGTACTCGAACATCGGCAATGTGATGTATGACGCCTTCTGGCCAGCTGGCTCGGCCTCTTCTGCTTTCGTCTCGTCCGCTGCCGGCTTCGTAGAGCCATCCGATCCAGCTGACCCTGGACGCTTCTTCTGCAGCTTCTTCTGTCCTCCCTTCTTCGCTGGGTCCATCCCTACATCCTGACCGACGTACAGGCCCTGCACTTGCCATGTCTTCTCCTGCTTGCCACTGGAAATCTTAAGTGGAGGTGCCGTAGGCTTGGACAGCTCTTTGGCCGTAGCCGCCTCGATCTTCGCACGCTTTGCCGGCCGTGGAGGTGGTGCAACGAACTCGTCATCACTCAGATCCATCTCATCAAGCACACCCTTAGGTCCCATGTCCAGCTCCCGCATAATCTTACTCTGCTTCGGGCTCTCCTCAACCTCATTCATGCCCAATTTCCGCTTCCCAGCCTCCATTGCGTCTCTTCCGCGCTTGCCGAGGACCTGTCCCACTTTGTTCGCTGCCTTCTTCACCTTATCCCTCACGCTGGGTCGTCGTTGAAGCTTACCAGACTTTCGTGGTGGCAGCTCGGTAGGCACCCAGTCCATTGGAATGGTGCCGTCGTCGTCCTTCTTGCCCAGGAGAGCCCCGTCGTCCTTATCATCGACAAGGGTCCGCCCAGTCAAGCCTGAGACGTTGCGGCTAGAGCTGCTGCCTGCCCCTTCCTGAGCATCCAGCAAAGACTTGACATTGTATGTAGAAGGTCCTGTACGCGCTCGCTTGGGCCGTCTCGACGACTCTTCCGGCAGTGGGTCGATTGCATGGACGCGTGACTTGGCTGATCCCACGCTGCCGCCGTCTGGAAGACTGGTGGCTGGAGTGGAGTTGGGCAGGTCGTCGGAGGAGCCTTCGTCTGCCGCGGCATTGTTGACCATGATATTGGACAACGCCGAAGAGTCTGTTGAGTTTGAACGCGTCATTTCGTTCGTGGGTGTTGCCATGATGGCGAGGTATGCAGGCGGTATAGCAGTCTCGCGGTGCGGTGAAGGACGTGACGCGATATCTGACGCGAGGTGGGGAGAAGTGAAGTTGATATTGGGCTGGTAAGGTGTTGGTTTGCGGTGCGAGACGTCAGTAATGGTATGAATGGATGCTCGTGTCCAAAAACGTCCGGCTATGCAAGGCTGTCGAGGTGCAGACAAAAAGAGTTGTTGTGGTGGTGAATGAAGAAAGGAAGGCGGAAGGAAGCGAGGGAAGGTGTTGATGCGGGAAGAGCAAACAACCTAGCTTCATCCAGCCAATCAACCAGTGCATATTTGATCACACATTCTTCGGCCCTCACCAGGCAATTAGGGGTCTCGACCATATCTCACTGGAGTCTAGAAGGCGTTCTTACGGCGGTGTTCGCGGTCTCGAAGACACAATGAGCTCGTTAACAGAAGAGGATCAACATCGTACATTTACTGGCGTGTATGTTCACAGGAGACGGTATAGTTGAGCAGCGATGTATTCGCCCCAAGCGAAGACCGTCTAGAACGACACACCATCGATTGATGGCATCGTCCAGGATCAATGCAATAGCGGAGTGTGTCGTTGCCCACCGCTTCTCCCATTCCCCCCTTCCATGCATTCAGACAAAAGCCGATCCAACTCTCCGCCAATGCCCCTTGTCAAAGACTGAGTCGAGCTCAATCCAAACCTCTCTATATCATACAACGCGCCCAACACCCCAATGACAATGCAGAGATCTCTCCGGCCACCACATTATCCTCCTCGCCTCCCCAACACAGGCCACTGCTGCGTAGCACAATGCGGCCCTCCCCCCGCATAAGCCATCCAATCCAACACCACCTTTTCCACTGCCCTCTCAGGAAACAACCTCTGCAGAACATCCACAGCCTCCTGATCCGTCCTCTCCTCCCCGAACTGCGGCACCACGATCGCACCGTTCGGCGTGTAGAAGTTGACGTAGCTCGTAGCCGGAAGCCAGTTGTCTTCGGGTAGGACGGTTGTTTGCTCTTTGGGGCGATTGCTGACGCGTGGGACGGTGAGCGCTTCTTCGATCTCGATGATCCGGTAACGTTGGCCGGCGGCGTTAGTGGCGGCGCTGAGGATGGCGTGGGACTGGTCGTAGACGATGTATGTCGGGTGGTCGTGCGGGATGGCATCGTTGGGTCGGGAGAGGATGATAGTTCGGGAGTCAGGGCCAAAGCGGGCGAGCGAGTCGATGTGGTAGTCTGTGACTTCTAGGTCCTTCATACCAGGTAGCCAGATGATCTTTTCCACCCCGAGGAGGTTGCGGAGTTCTTGCTCGATGGTTGTTCGGTTCTTGCCTGGGTTGCGGTTCTCGTTGATGATGCTGCTTTCGGTTGCGAGAAGGGTGCCTTGGCCATCCACTTCGATGCCGCCGCCTTCGAGAACAATAGGGGCTTGCAGCCTGTTCATGCGCCTTTCTGCGAGCAGCTTCCTGGCGACCGACTGATCCCTGTGCAAGTCGAATTTGTTGCCCCAGTAGTTGAAGCCGAAGTCGATGCCCAACTGCTTCTCTCCGTTAGCGCTGTTCACGAAGACAGGCCCGGTATCCCGTATCCACAGCTCAGACACATCGAGCGGCGTGATCATCACATTGGTATTGACGAAGTCTGCTGCGATGCGACACTCAGCCGGCTTGGTGTACATCCAGACTGGCTCGTGCTTTGCGATTGCGTTGGCGATGGAGGCAACCTCCTTCTGAGCGCTGAACAGATCCGCGATGTTTCTCGTCGAGCTCTGGTCCGGCCAGGCCATCAGTGTTCGGAGATGCGGAGAGCGCTCAGAGGGCATGTAGTAGGGCGGCCTTGCGGAAGAGGTAAACTGCCTCTGCAAGAAAGCGTATGGCAGCATCAACGTGTTGAGCAAGAATTCTCGACTGAACACCATCTGAGACATTTGGGAGGGTGGCTGTTGACGGTGGAGGTAAATTGGAGGCATGAATGCTATACGACTGCTTGCAGAGAGACATCGTGTACCTCTTGAGCATAAGCTGTTCATGACGGCGAGCTATCCCTTTCGAAGTCACCACTGCTACCACCCGCGCCTCGTCACCGATGCAGACCTCACGGGCGATGAAACACCACTTCTACGCGCTATACAGCGTGGGAAGCCGCTCCGAACACATTCACGAAGCCGGCCAGCATCTGAGCCTCGTAAAAACTGAAGTCGTTGGAATGATCCAGTGTCTCGTGGTACGGGCAGCCAGCGCCGGATGGCGAGGACGCGTACGCAAGCACGGCAAGCCGCTTCTATCCTCCAGTAGATCGGTTAGGTCCAGTACATGATACCGCCTAGATCTTTAGGGCACTTTAAGGCCAGGGAAAAAGTCCACGCAAGCCTCAGGAATACCTTGGACTCCGGAGAAGCGGCTGGGTTGCTGAGCATGGGAGTATTCTTGACGGCGGACAAGCCGTCGACAGTGGAATGGGCCAACTAGTGCAGGGTGAGCAATGTGAGGGATCTTCTCACAGATAGTGACGATTTGCCGACGCCGACGCGAGTGATATGGTCGTTTTGGCCGCAACTTCGTCTCGGAGAAGACTGCCAGATGGCGGGGTTGGCCCCTTTCACTGTCTGTTGCTTGGACGGACTAAGCATATGCACAACGGCGGCTCGTATTCTGTCGCAGCATCGAGCTCGGGTGGTGTTGATTGCGCGGCCTGCGCTTGAAGGATGCCGGCGTCCAATGGCCGGCCGCTCGGTTGGGTTTCAACAGCAGTGTTCGTATCACGGCAGCATTGTAGCAGCTGTGAGCGTGCGCACGGTGATCGATGTGGTCAAGATGGACCTGTTGATAGAAGAGAAGGGTGAAGAGTGAAAGCCCGCAGATGCTCCTACCGTTTTGGTACTAGTGCGACTCTGGCTTGGCGCTTTCCCACATTGGCGAGACTTTTTGCGCCGACGACATCTTGAAGTTCGCACACTGCGAAATCGACGCCAACGACACCACAACTGACCCTTCGGCAACACCAACACAATGAGTACGTCGCTACGACAATACGCCATATACCCTGGATATTGCGATGCTGATGGTGTGAACAGCGAAGGGAACGTCCAGCTTTGGCAAGCGCCACAATAAGACGCACGTCCTGTGCAGACGCTGCGGTATGGCTCCCACGAGCGAAGAGAATTGAGTGAAGATGGCGGTATACTGATTGAGGCGGCAGGATCTCGCTCTCTCCACGTCCAGAAGCACACCTGCTCGAACTGCGGATACCCGAGCGCGACCATCAGGAAATGTACGCTCGACCCTCCATAATACCCCCACCACAGCCAACGCAATTGCTGGCATGCGAGCTCGAGAAACAAATACACTGACATGCAATGATACAGTCAACTGGGGCGAGAAGGCGAAGCGAAGAAAGACCACCGGCACCGGTCGCATGCGGTCACTGAAGCACGTCGCTCGCAAGGCCAAGAACGGTTTCCAGCTCGGCCACCCCAAGGGTTCGAGGGGTCCTGGGGCACAAGCATCGTCGTAGGAGGGTGGCATGAAGTGTGACGAGGAAGGTGTGAGAATACGTGGGCTGGAGTTCATGGAACATGGCTCGCATGAGGAGGCTGCGGTGAGCAGCTGGCTGAGTAGCTACGAGATGTGATAGCGAAAGGCAATGGAAGATGACACAACATTTTCACACCGGCTCGTCAAGCCGGGTCTCACACCATCGAAGAACAACGAGCAGATCGTGAATCACGTGATATTCTTCCAGGTCCATGTTGTCTCTTCACAATGCGAACGGATGACAAGCAGGAGACGTTTGCACATTTGGAACGCGAGCGAGAAGGTCCAGGCAACAATGGTCACTTGGTAGGCTGGACTCATGACGACAACCTGCTAACCTATACACCAGCCATGGTTCGGCCACACACTAAAGCCAAGGCTCGACGACACATCCATTCACGACCATCCTACCTCCCGTCCCAAAGTCCCACCACGGTCCATATGTCGCCGATGAGCGCTCGAGGGAGGGCGAGCCCACTTCGCGGGAGATCCGGCCGCCAGGAGAACCATGTCCTCGTTGCTGTTGTTTGCATCGCATGCTGAGAAGTGTTCCAGAAAATGCTGGCAGGTGTCCAGGCCTTGCCGACTGGTCTGATCCGCGTGCATCGACCAGAGCAGCGAAGGGTTTTTGTGATCGCCTGGCTGCGGAACAACGTGTCGAGTGTTCTGCGAGGCTATTGAGTTGCAGCTGCGAGCTGTGTCCAGGATCCTCTCACTGCACGAAGGCGCCTCACTAACCTCGCTCCGAGCTCTTAAGGTCAATCGCTCGACTCGAATCCCGAATCTGAAGGCGATTGCGTAGATCCATCAATCATCAAGCCGGCGGTTGTCGAAACATCCATCATCCACCCGAAAGAATCCTCACTTGTCCCCCTCCTCACTGCTATCCCCATACCGCGTCCCAGGCAACACCTCCCCCTCATCCCTACTCACAGTCCTCTCTCCCTCTACCCCCACCATCTCTTCTTGCCCCGCCGAACTAACACTCCTCCTACTAACCGCATCCAGCTCCGCCCTCGCCACCACCGTCCCCTCTAACTCCGACATATTCTGCCTCCTAGCATGCAACTCGTACTCTTCATCGTTCATCTCATACGGCCCCGCGTATTTCTCTTCTTCCTCTTCGACCGCGATCTTCTCGCTCAGCATGCCGCCGACTTCAGGGCCGGGGGTGGAGGGGAGTTGTTTGACGACTTGGATGCCGTCTGCGCCTTCTGGTAAGGGTGGGATGGTGCTGGTTGTGTTGCGGGTTGGGGAGGCGGGGTTGGAGGTCCAGTACGAGCTGGCGTAGGTGCTGCGGTTGGTGTTGTAGCTCCCCGTAACTGCCGCAGTGGTGCGGGAAGCGAACGTCTGCCGTCGCGTGTCCGTACCGGATCCGGAGTTTGATTGCGTGGTAGTGGTCAGCGTAATGCCTGACTTGCTGTGCAGGCTCTCAGAGGTCTCGGCGAAGGGCTGGAAGCGCTCGTGCCTGCGTTTGTTGCGTTGGTAGAAGAGGTAGCCGCCGCCGAATAAGAGGGCGAAGCCGATGATGACGCCGATGCCGATGCCGGCTTTGGCGCCTGTGGAGAGGGGTGTAGAGGCTGACATGGAAGTGGGTATGCTTGAGGATGTGGCGGCTGCTTTAAGGTTTGGGGTCGGGATGGCGGAGTGAGAGATTGTGACTGCGCCGATTGCGGTGGTTGCTATGAATGGCGGCGCAGAGGTTGAAAGCTGGAGTATTGTGCTGAGGTCTGAAGGTGCTGGGGCGGAGACCACGAGGTCGGAAGGTTGTTGGCAGTTCAGGTGGCCCTTTGCGCTATCGCAGCATTTCCAGTTCGAGGCCGCCATGTCGTAGATGATGTCGCTGCTGTACTCGGAGGCGCATTGCTTCGGGCATGCTGGGTTGGACCAGCTCGAGTCGGTGCAGCCGGCCATGTAGTAGCCGGTACCGTTGACCACGCCGCGATGCGTATATCGACATATGCCGTCTTCGAGGCAGTAGTCTCCTACGTTGCAGCATGATTGCGCAACGCCTGACGAGCTGCCGCCGCAGGGAACGTATTGGTTCGAGGAGCTGACGAAGTCGTTGCTGATGGTGTAGCAGACCGTAGAGTCGCGCATGGCTGCGGTATGCCGTCCGCCTCGAAAATGCTGCTATGAGGTCGTCCGTGGAGAAGTGACCCGACTGCCAGACCAGCCCTACCAAAGTACCGCAGTCCAAGCGTCGAGCGGAGTCGTGCAGAAGATCAACGGCGCTCCTATACAGCGACAGAATAGAACAGAAGGAACAACAAAGTAGATGAAGGGAGATCCGCCAACGTCCACCTACCGTGCGCTCTGACCATGAGCATACCGAACCCTACCTTCAGCTAATCGTTGCCATTGAATTTTGGCAAGGCTTGCGCGCCGGCGAGGTATCTGCCAACGATTGTCCGAATGCGAGCCACGTTTGCGTGATGAGGAATAGTAGTTCATGTAAGGTTAGGCTTCTAAACTAGGATAGGGGAGATATATGATCGACGCTAGGGTGGTTGTCTGGACTTGGGTTGGGGGCCTGAAGAGCCTCTTTTTCCGTGCTGGCGGACGAGGCAAGATGCATCCTGTTGCATGTGATGGCTCAATTATCGGCTGCTAGAAGTGTCGCCAGCATATGAACCATCTATGCGTCGTGTTTGCGATGACCAGTGGTCCATCCGAAGTCTTGTTAAACGAGAGAAGGCTGTACCAAGGATGGGCTGGAGTCGAAAGGAGCCAGATCAAATTTCGGAAGTCTCGCCGAGCAGCAGACCTCAGACCTCACTTGTGGACTTCGGGCCAATTTGGCTGCTGTCTTACCTTGGAGACGACAGCGATCTTTACGAGAACGACGTTGGTCCAACTTTTGGATGAGATCCCTATGCTACATAGCCTGCAATTGTAAAAGATACAATAGATCTGCTTCCAAATACTGCTCTCCGCAAACCGTCTAACGTAGCCGCCATCATCACCACTCACCACTCACCTTCCCATCCACTCCGATCAACCATTCCCTCCGCCTTTTCCTTATTCTCCCCTTCTCCTTTCCCCTCCCTCTTCTCCTCGAGCCCATCAAGTAAACCCCCGGCACTATTGAAAGCACTATCAAAGCCCATATCCTCGTCAGCCGACTCCACCATTGAATCCGCAAAATCCGGATTCGCCGTCTCCAAATTGCCCACTACCTTGGCATCGGCTGCCGGAAGAGCGTAGGCTGGCACGTAGGACTAAGACGTGCTTTCAGCTTCGCCTGTGGCGGCGCCGGTGTCATTGTTGGGGGAGGGGCCGTTGGGGGAGGGGCCGTTGTGGTTGTTGAGGGAGTTTTCGAGGCTGCCGAGGAGGTCTTCGTCGCCGTCTTCGAAGCGGGCTGGTTCGGGGTCGGCGGGGGCGGAGGTGGTAGTAGTGGGAGCTGAGGGTTCTGCTGTGGCAGGTTCGGCGGGAGTGGGTGCTACAGTGGAGGCTTGCCGACTGTGTGTTGCTGTCTTCGCCAGCGGTGTTTCTGGGGATGACGATGGATCACGAGCCTGTACTGCCGCTGCAGGTGTAGGCGCGGGTGCATCTTCCATCTTCACATCTTCGCCTTCTTGCTTCTTGCTCTCGCTCGCTTCACCAGCCTTCTCCGACTCTGCCTTCTTCTCCGCAGGCACCGGTGTGGCATTCGCAGTGCTCTTTTGCGCATCATCATCTGAGAGCTCACCCTCCTCCCTACCATCATCATCACCCTCGTCACTGCCTTCCTCGTCACTGCCCTCCTCTCCTTGCCCTTCTTCGCCCTCTCCACCCTCTTCACCATCAGGCTCATCTTTCTTGTGCTTCGCAGCCTCCTCGGCAGAGATATCCTTCCCAGGCTCCTCGCCCTTAGCGACATGCTTCACCGTCTGCCCAGGCTGCGGCACAATCTTCGTCGCATTCGGGACAACCGTAGTATAGGTACTACCATCCGGGTTCGTGAACGTGACGCGCTTCTTGCCCCTGCCGGGCCCGCCCTTCTTCTTTGGAGGTGGACGGTTGCGGCGTGCTGCTCCCCCAAGCGCAGCTGAGGGCCTGAGATGCTCGGCTACAATGACGCCTTCCTCGTTGGCGACGCCGAGGCCTTCTATCGTGGTCCCCGCTGCTGGTGCAACGGGTGCGAGGTCCAGAAGTACTGGGTTGGCGGTCAGAGCGGCAGCATCAATCTCATGCATCAGAACTTGTCCCTCAGGTACCAAAACATCGTAGACCACGGTCTCTCCTTCTGCTGTCTGACGCTGCACCTTCGTCCTCCGCATCGGCACATGCAGCGCCGCGTTAGCTTGCTCCGGCCCATACATCGAAGGCATCCCTCTGCGTCGTTTCGCCAGAAACTCAAAGTGCTTATGCTCTGGCTCAAGCATAGCCTCCGGAACAGGCTTCCACTTCTTCGCCACATAGCCTCGATCCACCACCATAGCATTCTTACTCTCCTCAGTCACCTCATCCTCCGCCTTGTCATCGTCTATCATGTCAGGATCCGGTTTGCGCTTCGTGCCGACTTTGCCACTTCGCGCCAAGCGGAGTAGATGTTGTGTCCATGGATGTAACAGGTGGGAGTCGCGCGGCATTGGAGGTTCAGCCCATTTGTCGTTCTCCTTGCCCGCCTCGTCGGACTTGGGAGGCGCGAGCGAGACATGGCTTAGTCGTTGGCCCCATTGTTTGACGGGAAGGCCTTCGAAGACGTCGTTGTCGTTTTGGGTGCGGCCGGAGCGCGCGCTGCGGCCTGGTGGGCGGTACTGGTCGAGGTATGTGTTAGCGATGCTCAGCATTTTGGTTCATGCTAAGATCTGTGGTGGCGGATCCTGCGAAAAAGGTGGCGCGGTGGCGGTGTTCAATTCACGGACTCAGGTGAGGTTCTGCGTGAGATTGAACAGCGGGAGGTGACATCGCACGGCTTGCAGCTCCGTCATGCCGTCCTCAAGATCCCAGAAATGATGTGTCGCCATGTGCTGCGCGAACCCGTCGCCGCGGGTGGATATGCCGGCCTGCGTCGCACAAGATATGTAACGTAGATCGCCGGCCAAATGTCGTCCAACTGGCAATGAATAGTCCCTCGGTTGAATTTGATAGATTGTACTTACAGACATGTGACTATTGCGTTATTACGCGCTATCCGTACTGGTTCGCGTATACCATACAGATGGTGGTGTTGTTGATGTGTAGTCACAAGAAGCTGCGCCGACTCTTACTTCGACTCCGACTGCATTTCACCTCAGGTCAACCGTCGGCGCGCGTGCTGTAACTGCGTCCTCCCTTGACCTTCGTCTTCGATATCAGTGGCCAGTCGCAAGGGTGTCTCTTGCCCTGCCCTGCCCAAACCGCGACCGAAGCCTTATCTCCGACACCCGAAGATTCCCCGAACTTCGAAAAGTCCAAACCTCATGACATCAACCTCACCACCAAGACAGCCACACCACCCCAATACCACCCACATGTCCATATCCACCACCGCCGGCTCAGCGCAGACGCACCAAGTCCTCTCCCTCTACCGCTCCCTCCTCCGCCAATCCGCGCAGTTCTCTGCATACAATTTCCGCGAGTACGCGAAGCGCAGGACACGAGATGCGTTTCGGGAGCATATGAAGGAGGGGGATGAGAGGAGGGTGCAGGAGTTGGTGCAGAGGGGGTTGAAGGAGTTGCAGATACTCAAGGTGGGTTGCTACATCTCTGACGGAGGGGAGGATGGGACGGCGTGGGAGAAGCGATTGATGTGTTTGAGATAAGGGAACATGCTGACGCTGTGGATGTTGCAGAGACAAACGGTTGTGTCACAGTTCTTCCAGCTGGATCGATTAGTGGTTGAGGGGGGAAAGGAGGGGAAGCAGAAGGGGAACAAGGGCGATATTGTGCGGCAGACGGAGCATGGGTAAGTCGTGATGCGTTGGAGGAAGATGGCTTCATGCTGATAACGTTTAGATGGGACTGAGATGGGTATGAGAGCGCGGATGATACCATGTAGCATTACCCCAGGCGTTGCCACATAGGCTGGAGCAAAGCAAATGTAAAATACATATCTCAGCTTATGCATGTAACAGCACAATATGTTGATGCGCAAGCAAACGCGGGGCCCAGACAAAGCGCCCTCGTAATATCCCACACCAGCACCAGCATTCTTCTGAGCCATCGTTCACCGCACAAACTGTGCTGAACTACCATTCGTTCCCAGCAAAAGACAAATCAACCTTTTGCGCCAGCGGCTCTGAGGTATATCCTCGACGATGTCCGAATACGCCTTTCAGCCCAGCTCCACGTCCGCGTCCTCACGATCCGTCCATCTCCCGTTGAGTGCCCCACCGCTATTGCTTCCTTGGATACGAAGCGTGCAGACTGCAGTGGATCGCAATGAGTTCCTCCAACTGGACCCTCTCGGCGAACAACGCCATAACGGCTTCGTCATTGTCGGAGGCAGAATCGGACTCCGCATTCTGGAGAAGATCCTTCTTGTTCGTGCTTGTGGTCACCACACAGACCCCGCGCAAACCGACTGACGGCAAATCTGGGTGGTGCTGGAGAAAAGAGCAGAACTTCCCGAAATCGAGCGAGCATTGGCGTAATTGCAGGTGCTGGAAAGCTTATAGTCCAGAGCTGGGAGAAGTCGAGCTCACGCCAAGGTTCGTCTCCTCCTGGCGTCCCAGGAAGGTGCCGTATCAGCTGCCTTCTCTCGAGCCTCAGCCACTGAAGCTTCTGGGCAGCTCTCATAACTTCGAACGTCCAGTCATGGGAAAAGCCATCGTCGGCGATGCATTGGCAGAACCCACCGCAGAAGCCCAGGCGAAGGCGTTTCAGCTGAGCGAATACGCGCTTGGCATGCGGGAACATCTTCGGGTTCCCAAGGTGGTATATGTACCATGGCTCCTTTTTGATGTCAATGGTGAGACTGTCGATTGTGACTGCACTCCGAGAAGGCGCTTCGGTCATCTGGTCCATCCTCCAGACTGCCGTTCTCTCTGAACGCCGGTGAGTGGGCTCGTACCCCGTAGCTGATTTTACTGCTCCAGGATACAGCACGTCGAAATGACGCCTATCGAACATCTTGATCTCCATCGCAGTATCCAGCAGTCGCAAGCTCGAGAAGACCGCCAGGAGAGAATCCTCTCTGCTGGCTCCTTCCCAAGAGCAAAGGCTGGAGAACGTCACTTCATGTCAACAACATGTGGTGGTGCTGGACGAGCATTTGAACACATGCTTCTTCTCCGCCACCAAAAGTATTTCAAAGGTCTCCTGGTCTTCCTGTCGTCTCCCATCGCAGTCTTCCCACCCGAGAAGCCAGCATTCAACCAACACCCAGTCACTCCCTTCGGTGATCCGCAGCCATTTATGCAGAATATCAACGTGGGAAGTACCGCAAGCCCACCTCATATCCGCCGGCGATCTGTTCCTGAATCTCGTAATGTTCTCTGTCCATCTCCAATCACATTCTTCGCGCTCAAGAAGCCAGCATACCGGTCCACAAGCCATTCATCTCAGCTGTACCAATCCTGGGCCTACTCATGCCCACTTCGCAGCATCCTCCAACCATGCTCGCACTGTGCATTGCCTCACTTCTATGTTAAGGAAAAGGTAATGAGCGAGCGCTCGATAACACATGTCCCGTCTCCATCGACAATAATATTTCGGAGGTCTCATGGTCTTCCCAGGTAGCATACTCCGTCCGAACCGCTCACATCCATCCTTCTGGGCTCCGCATCTGAAGCCGTTCAAGTCCATTTCTCAGGATCTGATTCCCACGCTCTCACGGTGCATTCTTGTATGCAAATGTTCTCAAGTGCGGTGAGGTTCCGGAAGAGAGCAGTCAGCACCACGTCGTGTTGAGCGACCTTGTCTGGTTTGGAGTATTCGCCAGGGAGACGTTCCAGATCAACGGCACCCAAGAAATGGCATCCCCGGACGTCGACGGTCTGTAGGGTGTCGTTCTGGGCGATGAAGCGGGAGAGTGCTTCGTAGTCAAGCACAAGTGCCACTAAGTCTAGCAATCTTAATGAAGGGAACTTCGTTGCAGTCACTAGAGAAATGAACATCCCGGGCGAGTCAAGCATACTTCTCTCGCTCGCTCCGCAATTTGCGTATAGCGCTATGCTCTCGAGAACGTGGGCAGCAGCCAATACCTCTAGGGTATATGTTGATGGTTCTGGGTACCAACCTTCTCCCCCATCATGGTCCTCTTGGTACACATTCCCCAAGGATAGGCGTCTGAGACTAGCAAAGACGCTCTTGGCATGATCGCGAGCCTGACGCGTTGAGAGACAGAACGACTCCCAGTAGTCATAATCAACGTCGAAGCTGCAGATCTGCAAGCCGCTCTCACTGAGAGCCTCTAGTACGGTGCAGATGGGTGTCTCCGAAACACTTGGATCGTCGAATACCTCGCCAGTCGCGCTTTCGATCGCGCGCTGAGCCCAGGTATCACGAATGCCTCTGAAAGTGGTGGTGTCCCTGATAGAGATGGTGAGAGTGCCATTACTGACAGTTTTGAGTAGCGAAAAGATTGATGTCAAGAGCTGGATGTCTTTGCGAGTCTCTCGGAAGTCCGACTGACGCGCAAGTAGACGCTTATACATCTCTTCCTGTGCCTCTCTTTTGTACTGGTCCTCGAGGCTGGGCGTTTCAAAGAGCGAGGGAGGATGACGTTGAAGCCTCAACAGCCTTCCATGGTCGTCGGGTTGTGGTAGTTCGCAGGTCGACAGCATTATGCTCTTTATTGCTTTGCCAAATTTCGTATGCTCCGCGATTCTGCAGAGCGTCTGGAGACTCGGCTCTTGACTGAGCAAGACGACAGGCTCCTCAAAGTAGGACGTGAACGGTCGAAGTACTCTCGATTCAACATCACGATTGACGAGGCGTAGCGCTCGTAGCTCATTATGCTCACAGAAGGTTGCGATGTGTTCCGTGATCTCTGGTGGCAGTTGTAAGAAGCCTGTCCATCCTGGCTGGTCCTGGGATCCATTTGCACGCGCCGCCATGGTCATGAAGTGGTGCCAGTAAGAGACACTGTCTGTTGATTGAGTCTTGACATCCATCCTCGAACGAGTGAAGTCCTGCAGTCCAAGCGCGTCGAACGCATCGCGGGGAAGCCAAATTGACAGGGATCCGTGCCTGCATTTTTTTTAATTGGAGACGTATGGTGGTGATAACGACGATGGTACTCGAAACTGCGCTCAACTTGATGGACGATGGACATTACCTTGTCAACTCCCCAGCCAAGCTCTGGACAGTAAAGTCGGCCCGGTAGGCTGGAATGGGCCGCGGAATAGATCATCTCACAACGGTGACAGCCGCTGACGAGAGTTGGTGGCCCTTGGGATGGAGGTGGGCACAGGAGGAACTGTATATGCTAGATCTGCCCGGTAGACTGCTGAACTGCACTGTCGAATCGTCTCGTTTCGGTGCCTGAAGCAAGGCGAAGCGTGAGCAAGTTGCCCCGGAGCCGGAGGGCTGCGACACACATTTGCTCCCAGATCTCTACTGGCACCCTCCTCTCCTCAGCAATTACCAGTCCAAGCCCGATCATGTCCACAAAGTCATGTCCTCTTCCCACTCCCGCACAGTGCACTTATTCAATCGATAGTCTCGTTGCCCAGCAGTCTCCCGCAACAACGCCACCAGAGCCTGATCATGCTGCGAGATCTCATTTGGGGGTGGATGTTGGTTGAATTCGTCAAGGAAATGTGACCTTCGGATCACAATGTTTTGTAGCGTTTCGTTCTGGCTGATGAAGTGGACGAGCGCCTCGAAGTAAAGCACGAGGCCGACGAGTTGTAAATAGCTCAATGCAGGGTATACTGGAGCAGGGAACATTGCAGCGATATTCGAGGCTTCGCCAGTCTGTCCTCTCTCGTAGTGGGACCAGGAAGTAGAGAGCTCAGCTCTCTCAAGGGCCTGTGCAGCAGCAAACACTTTTACTCTGGCTGGTGTACGTCGGAGCATGAACACCATCTCCTCGTCCCCGTCCTCGTGCAGTCTTTCTAGCTCGAAACGTTTCAGATTGGCAAACACGCCTTTGGCATGGTCGAGAGCTTCGCTAGACGCAAGACTCTGGAGAAACCCCACCCAGTCTCTGTACTCAACGCCGAGAGTATGGATAGACAGCCCGCTCCTGTGAAGAGCTTGCACGATGGGTTTCAGTGGCTTCTCAGGATGGAGTGTCTCAGTCAGTGTTTCGCCTGTTGCGTCTTCGATCGCACTCTCGCATACTGAGTAGAACGAGTTGGTGGTGTTCATCACAAAGAATCCCAGCTGACCGTCGTGAGACATCACCAGAACCGAGAATATCCTTGTGAGAAGATCGATGGCTCTGTCGCTGCCCGAGAATTCCTTTTGACGCTCATAAAGAAGGCGGTACATCTGCTCTCTGGCGTCGCACTTGTACTGCTCACTCAAGCTAAGTTGACTCGAGATCGGCATCTTGTATCTTTCCCAGTCATCGAAGTCTGGTAGTTCAGCTGTGGAGAAGTATAGTCCCTTGATGGCCTTTCCGAATTGGGGATGTCCGACTATCTGCTGAAGCGCCTGTAGACTGCGCTCTTGACTGAGCAAGAACGCGGGTTGGACGAAGTGTGCTTCGGTGTATGCACGAATAATCTTCGACTCTACCTCTCGGTTGACGAGGCGAAGCGTGAGTAGATCCCCGATGTCACAGAACTTCGCAATCCGCTCTGTGATCTCCACAGGCATCTGCAAGAAGCCAGTAGCGCCTTGATTCTCTTCTGCCGGGTCTGCCATGATGCCGAGTTGGCGGTCGTCGAGGGGATGAGATCGTTTCCGTAGCACGCCGAAGGAGGGCTCTTGCCTCTCGTGTCGGAGATGTCAGTAAGGCTAAATCGTCCCTACGATGAGGTGAAGGTGGCAACGTCTGGTTTGATGGCCGCTCGCGCTCCTTTGCTCAATCTGTGGAAGTGATGGAGTGACGGTGATCAAGCCACCGAAGTTGTGCCTGTGATGCGGAGAAGGTGACTTCTTGCTGCTTATCTAACGGATCGGCTATGATGGCGACTCGGCGGCGATCAAGGCCCGGGTTGCGTCTGTGGTGAGGTGAAGCGACGAGTTTTGGTCTGATCGCACCTCGCGTCTCCCCGGCTGGATCTGCGTGATGCTGACGTGGTTGTAATGAGAGCTCCGGAGTTGTATCTGTGGTGTCGCGAAGGTGGCACCTCTGCTGAATCTGCTATGCGGGTGACAAGGCTGACGCCGTGGTAAGGAGAAAGCAGCAAGCCTCCTTGACCTGCCGCGACAGTGAAGAAAAGCTAGTCGCAGGGACGAGATTGCATCTGCGTTAGAAGAAGCTTGTGTTGTTGTTGGGGAAGAGGTGTGAAGTTCAGATTGTGGCTTCAAAACTGCAAAGCTTGAGAGAGCGCTGGATGAGGCAGGCGCGACTTTTGGCGATTCAGAGAGCACGTGCACGATCTTCACATGCAGCTGTATGAAACAGATTTAGAGACTTACTCTATAGCCACCCAAACATTACGCCTTCATCCTCGCCAGCCGACTAGGATGCATTGCAGCAGCTCCAACCCCAACATCACCACCACCACCCTCTTTCGGCCCCTCCACCCTCTTCTTCTCCCCACCCTTCCCACCACTCGCCCTCTTGCCCTCATCCTTCCCACCACCGCCCTTCTTCGCCTCCTCCTTCAGCCGCTCAATTCTCTCCGCCTCCGCCCGTCTCTGCCTCTGCTCATCCAGCCTCACATTCTTCGCCTTGATCTTCTCCTTCCTCACATCCTTACTCCCGCCCCCACCAGCAGTCAACTCCACATTAATCCTCCTCGCGCCCTTCGTCTTCCCCTTCTTCGCCTTCGGCTCCTCCTCCGCAACCTCAATTTCGCCGTCAGCTTGTTGTGCTGTCGCGGGGTCGAACATGCTGTGGTGATAGAGTTTCAGACACGTTTTCATGCGATCGTAGTTTTCGAACTCGAGGAACGCGAAGCCTTTGCTTCTTTTTGAGTTGGGGTCGGTGCGGTGGCGGAGGGTGAAGGGGGAGAGCTTTTTGAAGTGCGCTTGTAGGGAGGCGTCGGTGGTGTCGTAGGGGAGGTTGCCGATGAAGCAGACGAAGCGGTGTTTGGATTTGGAGTCGTCATCGTTGGTGGATGCGCCGCCGTTCTCGCCGTCTGTAGTCGTCTGCTTCTTGCGCTTCTTCTGCTTTGGCGTAATAGTGTCGGGCACCCTGTCCGCAGTGTCTCCTTGGTCCTCAGAAGCATCTTGTGCCTTGCGCTTCTTCGACGACTTCTTCGACGACTTCTTCTCCTTCGACCCCAGCTCATCCGCATCTACACCCAGCGGGATGAAATCGTCACCTAGCTCTCTATCCTTCGTCTTGACAGTTTCCAGCTTTTCGGGCTCGTCGTGCTTGCGCTTCTTCGACGATTTCTTCTCCTTCGCCTTCGACTTGTCCTTCCCACCGCCCAAGCCGTCTGCGCCTACAGCAAGTGGTATGAAGTCGGCCTGTAGTTCGTCGCCATTCGCCTTGGGCTCCTCGACGTCTTCGTGCTTGCGTTTCTTCCCAGTCTTCTTCCGTTCAGCATCCCGTTGCGCCTTCCTCTCCTTCCGACTCAATGATTCCTCTTGTGACATCTTCTCCGCTGGTTCTACTGGCAAAGCAATCCTGGTCGCAGTGCACCAGAACCAGAAACCCTCACGAAATTCCGAGCAAGGTTACGTCTGACGGTCAGCTTGTGAAAAATCCACATCCCGATTATCTCCGACTCCACCTCACTTGTCCCAAAAAGGCAGCTCTGGAATCTCAAGCACATTCTACTCATCCCAGCTACAGCTGAATGATGAAACATGTTCACCAATAAGGCCTCTTTCGCCCCATCAGCATTGCCGGGGTGAGCGGTGCGACGTCCTCTTGCGTGTTGCATGATGGCTTATTCTCCTTTCCTTCCCATTCCACATCAGTAAAACAGTTCTGTACAAAAGACGTTCTTTAGAACATCCAAGATGCCACCAAATGCGGACCCGACCAAGGCTAATGGCCACATCGACGCAGCGAGCGAGACTACCCCTCTGCTAGCAGCACCTGAACATGTCGACACTACCAACGTCCAGAAGGACTCCATCCCTAATGGCCACCAGGACCACCCCAGCGACCTCCAAGCGGATGGAGAGCAAGAAGAAGAACCAAAACCAATGCCCTACACCCAAATCCTCCTCCTCTGCTTCTGCTCCCTCTCGGAACCCGTCGCCTACTTCTCCATCTTCCCCTTCATCAACGAAATGCTCTCCCGCACCGGCGGCGTCCCCGCCTCCAGCGTCGGCTTCTACTCTGGTCTAATCGAATCCCTCTTCTCGCTGGTCCAAATGGTCCTCATGATCTTCTACGGCCGCGCAGCAGACCGCTTAGGCAGGAAACCGGTGCTGGTGTTCAGTTTGACGGGCGTGGCGTTCGCGACGGCCGGGTTCGGGATGGCGGGGAGTTTGGTGCAGATGGTGGTGTTGCGGTGTACGGCGGGGGTGTTTGCGGGGAGTGTGGTGACGGTGAGGACGATGATTAGTGAGCAGACGACCAAGGAGACGCAGGGACGGGCGTTTAGTTGGTATATGTTTGTGCGGAACGTTGGGATTTTCGTGGGGCCGTTGATCGGTATGTCTGATGCCATATCTAACGGACTGCTTGAAGTATTTGTGAGCTGATGGTGTATAGGCGGCGGTCTGGCGAACCCAGCAGAAGTCTTCCCTTCCGTTTTTGGCCACATCCGTTTCTTCCAGGACTACCCATACGCCCTCGCCACCTTCACCGCCGGCGCCGTCGTTCTCCTTCCCGCCCTCATAAGCTTCTTCATCATCGAAGAGACTCTCAAGCGCAAACTTCCTAACGAACAATCCGCTCCCGCCCCTCCCCTCTCAACCTGGGAAGTCCTCAAATCTCCCGGCGTACCTACAGTCCTCTACATCTTCGGACACATCATGCTCCTCTCGCTCTCATACACAGCCGTCAGCCCCGTCTTCATGTTCGTAAGTACAATCAATAAACGCGCACCACTCGTCCCAGCCACCGTCCCAAGACGAGTGACAGCCCGAAATTACCTGCCCGTACGTTTGAGTCTCCCAAGACCTGCTAACCCTTATACCGTTTCCTCGGACAGACTCCAATTTCTCTCGGCGGCCTCTCCCTCACCGACCAACAAATCGCCCTCCTCATCGCCCTCGCCGGCGCCTCCCAAGCCGCCTGGATGCTCGTCGCTTTCCCCCCCTTACAACGAAACCTCGGAACCGGCCGGGTCCTCCGCGGCTGCGCAGCGGGGCTGCCGGTGTTTATGGCGCTGTATCCCGTGCTGAACGAGATGCGACGCGCCGGGTGGGGAGCGGGGTTTTGGGTGGCGGCGGTGGGGGGCATGGTGGTGGGGAGTGGGGTTGCGATGGCGTTTGGTAAGTTCTTGCGTTTCTTTTCCAAAGCACGAACGGATCGTGCCTTGCTGACGGTTTCGGCAGCTGCTATCCAACTCTGCATAAACGACATCGCCCCCTCCTCCTCCGTCCTCGCCACCCTCAACGCCCTCGCTCTGACGATCAACAGCGGCGTCCGCGCTTTCGCGCCGGTCGTTGGCACGAGTATCTTCGCCAGCGGCATCAAATGGGGGTTCGCGGACGGGCATCTCGCGTGGCTTGTGTTGATCGCGTGGGGGTTGGTGTTGAATGTCGTGTGCTGGTACTTGCCTGAAGCTGCTGAGGGGCGGCCGAAGCCGAGAGCAAAAGCTGGGGATGAAGATAGGGGGACGTAGAGGTAGATAGATGAATGGGAAGGATGTTAGACGTTTGAACGAGTTCATTCTCATCACCTGCCCATCCCCCTCCCTATGTAGAACCCAACATGACCTGCTCCTGCTCCTTTCCCTCCCCCAGCGACCCCTTCCCTGGGCTTCGTAACGCCCGTTCGTGATTATCAATAACGAATACGAGAGTAGTTTGTACAAAAATCCTGCACACATCAAAAGCATTTCGCCACCCAAATGCTCCAAGATGCTCCAAATCCAAACCAAAGATCCAAAAGATCTTAGAGAAGAATGCAGAATGCAGAATGCAAAAAAGGGACAACCAACACCAGCGCTCAAACACAACATGACAATAGGAGAATGAGGAGCCTATCCGCCAGCAGCGAACTGACTCCGCTTCCGCAGCGCCTCGCCATACCACCACAGGATACAAGGCGCCGGCAACCCGATCGCGACGCCCGCAGACGCGAGCACGGTGTTGCCCCATCCGTAGCCGAGGGCTTTGTACATCGCCTGATCACCTCGTCAGCACCGCATCACCAACATTCCGCAGAAAAAAAGGGATGACCTACACTCGCAAAAAGCGGAAAAGCAAACCCCCCCAAACTCCGAAACAACGTCGTCGCCGCAATCGCACTCGCCGCATACCGCGTATACGAATCCACAATATACGTCTGGCAGTTCTGGAACACCAGCTGATTCCCTGCGGCGAAGATGGCGGCGCCGATGTTCGGCACCAGCCAGAACACCCTGTACTGCGCCGTCCAGCCGTACACCAGCAGGCCAATCGGAACCATCACGGCCCCGGGGAACATTAGCGGGACGCGGAATTCGGATTTGCCGACGTCGTTGTTCTTCGCTTTGAGGGATTTGTAGATTTTGTCGGCGGTTTTGGCGGCGATTTGGGTGCCGAGGAAGAAGCCGACGCCGAGGGAGATGTAGTTTAACCCGGCGATGCCGATGTTTTCGCCGTAGAAGGCGGGCGAGGTCCAGAGGCGCGGGAAGGTTGCCAAGACGAGGTAGAGGACGCCGTAGACGAAGCCGATGTAGAGGGAGAGTACTTGCACGATGGGCTGGGTCAGGAGGAGTTTGAAGGGGCGTTTGAAGGCGGTTCCTAAGTGGGAGGAGAGTTTGCGGTTCGGGGTGTCGAATTCGGTGTGGAGTTCTTTGTTGCCCGTGATTTTGATCAGGTCTTTCTTTTTCTTGGCGAGGATTTGGGCGCCGTAGGTTTCGGGGAGGAAGAAGAAGCCGAGGACTTGGACGAGGCCGGCGGCGATGGAGGTGCTGTAGAAGACCCAGCGCCAGGTGCTGTATTGGGCGATGAAGCCGCCGGCGATGGGCCCGATGGCGGGGCCGAGCAGGGGCATGAGGGAGTAGAGGGCCATGGCTCTGCCACGTTCTTGAGGTAGCCAGACATCGCCCAACACGCCGCCGCCGATTCCTAGAGGTGCACTCCCGCCGAGACCGGAGAGGAAGCGGAAGGCGATGATTTCGGGGATGGTGTTGGAGAAGCCGCAGGCGAGGTTGAAGACGAGGTAGAAGAGGTTGCTGAGTTGGAGGACGATTTTGCGGCCGAAGAGTTCTGAGAGAGGGCCGAGGAAGAGCGGGCCGACGGCGAAGGCGAGCAGGAAGACGGACATGGCCAAGTTGACTTGTTCGGGGTCTGTGTTGAAGTCGCGTTGGAGCTGTTCGAGGGCGGGGGCGACCATGGAGGAGGAGACGGGGGAGATGAAGGTGAAGAGGGAGACGGTGATGGTGGCCATCCATTTTCGCTTTCGTTCCCCTGTACATTCATCTGTTAGCATAGAGACTCGTTGATACCTCGAATTGAAGCGAGACGTACAGTTCTTCGGATTGTCTGGATCGCCAGGACCGTCCCATGTCACGAGGTTGATATCCTTCTCTCCCTTCTTCGATCTTGTTGATGCACCCCGCTTCACCGTACCACCACGAATGATCTGAATCTGTCCAAAAGTCGCTCCGTCACTATTCTGAGGTAATGGCCATTCACCACCCTGTGCCTCCTCGTCATCCCAATCCCACTCCTCATCCTCCTCCGCTTCTTCCTGAAAATCATGCACGGCACCCGCGTAGTAGTCCAAATCCGAGACAATCAAATGCAAATCCACAATACTCTCTCGCGGTATACTCCTCGTCGAGCGCGTACTCGCATTCCGCCGTATCGACCCGCCACGCTTGTTGAACGCCTGCCCCTCCTGAAACCACTGCGGCGGTGCATGCAGCGTCTGCCGGTTCTCCGTGCGGATGGGCTCGAAGTTGTCGGTGGACATCCAGGGGAACTCGGCGACGGACATGGCGTTGCTGCTGGCGTTGCCATTGCCCGGTCGCAGGCGCGCCTCCTCGACTTCTTCGAGCGGGCGGTTCGACATGGAATAGGAGTCATCGGTGTACCCGCTGAAGCCGGTGTTCCAACTTTTGACGGTGCCGATGGTGCTCCGGGGCGTGTTGCGCCCGTTGGAGTTGCCATTCGACATTTTGGAGGGGAGGGGGTGGGGTAGAAACAGCAAAGAGAGGTGTGTGGGAGAGGCAAGGAGGGAGGAGTGGTCGCATGTATATCAGTGATGCATGACAGGCCACGGCGTCTGTCAGCCCACACCCACTTTGACTCTAACTTAACTTTACCACCAAGCGCTACACGGCGGGATTCGCAGCGGGTCAGAATCCTGCCCCGAATCGTCGTGAGCCTGCTCCAGCTGCTGCTGAGATCCAGCTTGGCCCGCCCGCTAGTCTCGCTTCGCCTTCCCGAACGAGGTGCTGTTGCTATTTCCAGCGAAGCCTGTTCTCCTTTTTCGTGGGCGAAGGCGTGAGAGCCCTTTTGCCTGCTGCTGCTGCGCAGAGGGGCCGAGATGCAGTCATCATCCGTTAAGACTGTCGAATTTGGCTTCTACAGAGCCACGGTCGGGGTCGAAAGGAAGAGGCGCAAGCCGGGCTGACTACCACCGCCGCTCTCTTCGGACCCAGACGAGCAGCTTCACTTCGCCAGGTTGGGATACGATGTGACCCCCGGGAGAAGCAAGGTCGATTCCAAAGCCAACTCGAGCGAGCATTTGATTTACGAACAACCCCATCTCATGCCAAGCGCCTTCGCATAGGGGGTATGCTGGTGAGATAGGGCGGGTGCGAGACATTGTAATTTCCCTTTCCCCCCAACAGGCGTCCGAGGCACACCACTTTTACGAAGACTTCATCTTGCGCTCGCCACTCCTCAATGAACCATGAACCACTCGACACAACACACAAGATACACTTTCTGCTTGCTTTTTGGCTTCACGATCTACTCCAGATGGACTTGTCTCCTGACCTCACCCCGCAGCTGCAGCGCCCATTCGTCATCATCATCGCATGCTGCAGCAGCGTCGATAGTCCTCGATAGCCTCTCGACCTGCAGGATCGGCAATGCAGAGCAAATCTATGCGTCGTACCCAGTACTTTCGAGTACGTACTCGATCATATATTTTCCGAGCAGCCAAGTGTGTTATTACACCGCCCGAGCTGGACACCCTTCTCGTGGCAAGGCGTGGGCGATGCGGTGCGACATCGACGCTGTGCGACGTCGGAAGAAAGGAATCGATCGGCTTCCCGGGCACGTGGACGCCCGTGGACGACAATTCCATTATTGCACAAGCAAGGCGATCAAGGCGATGCAGCCAGCCGCATATTGATGACTGGGCATCCGATCATGCGAGGCTTATCACCACAGCCAGGCAGCTCACCACAGCTCACCACACCTCAGCTTTACTCCGGCACGATTTGATGGAAGACAGGTATTCCAGACTTTCAGACCCTCCACAGGAAGATCACGGCTTCTTCTTGCTTGCGAGTATGGGCGTCGATGTCTGGTCTGACTGTTCAGCAGCAGGTAAGCAAAGAGGTAAGACGTGGTTTTCCTGAAGCCTTTCCAAACAGCGTTTCTGCCTGTAATAACATCGATTCATATCCTCTTTTATGAAGTACTTATCCACCACTGGCACGCTTCACCCTTGCGCGGGTTTGATAGGAGCGGACGGCATTTTCATGCATGACCGTGAACTTCATTCTAACATTCATGTCTTCTTCTCTACCCTCTCTTCGCCCCTTTAGATGATATTCCAGACAAATCACGCCTCAACCACAAACTCCACCCCAACACCGATACACTCGACAATGCCATCATCGTCCCCGCCCTCGCCGCATCCACAACCACCACCGGCTCCGCCACCCCCATCGCCAACCCCACCGCGATCAAGTTATACCCCACCGCCCACCACAAATTCCACCCCGCCTGTCTCGTCGTCTTCTCCGCAATCTCCAGCAGCTCCGGCAGCCGCGACAGCTCGGGCGACGTGAAGATGACATCCGCCGTCTGCGCATTCGTCGCTTCCGCCACGCCGGCGCGGGCTGATGTGCTGTTCAATGCGATCCCGACGTCTGCGGCGGAGAGGGCGGGGGCGTCGTTGAGGCCGTCGCCGAGCATTGCTACGCGGTTGTGCGAGCTGCGGGCGCGGAGGGCGCGGACGAAGGTTTGCTTTTCGGTTGGAAGGGCGTGGCTGGAGAGGACGGGGATTTGGAGGTGCTGGGCGACGCGGTTGGCTTCGGTGGAGACGTCGCCGGTTAACATGGATAGGGAGAGGTTGTGGGTGTGTTTGAGGGTGGAGATTACGGCGGGGGCGGATGGGCGGATGGTGTCGCGCAGGCGTAGGCTGCCGATGTACTCGTTGTTGATTGCAATGTGCACGAGCGTGGAGTCGGGCTCTGCGGAGGCTTTTGCTGTACATTCTGGCATCAAGATGTGGTTCTGCTGGAGGAATGTTTCGTTGCCAGCATACACCGTTTGCCACTCATCTGCTGGCTGAAGCTGGGTCGAGCAGGTCACGCCATTGCCAGCCTGATTCAGCGTCTTGCACACCTTTGCCTCATGGACCAAACGTCGTTTCTCCTCTGACAACCCAGCGAACGCCCACCGGAACACAGCCCCAGCGACCGGATGGTTTGCCGCATCGTCCCGCTCAGCAATGCACAACAACATTCGCTGCATCTCATCAAGACGCCCCTGAACGTCCGGCACAGAGAGCTGCCCCGTGGTCAACGTACCGGTCTTATCCAACACCACGTGCGTCAAGCGCGAGAGCGCCTGCAATGTCTCGAAGCCGCGCTTAACTATCACTCCACGCTGCTGCGCTGCGTCAAGGCCCGCGATGACAGCCGTCGGAGTAGCGAGACCGAGCGCACATGGACAAGCGGATGCCAGGATCGCCATGGCGCGCTCGCAGGCGAAGTTGAGAGCTAAGGACGGCGACACGTGCGACCACCGGGCATTCAGTGTGGCGAGAAAGCAAACGACCGTCAAAGTCAGAATCCCGGCTGCGAAGCGCGAGATCAGCGTATCGACCTCTTTGCTTGGGCTCGAGTTCTCCGTTGCCGTCGAAATACTGGCGATCAAGCTCTCCAGCGCTGAATCCTCCTGCGGCTTCGACACCACAGCGACAATCTCGTACGACAGATTCGTCGTCCCAGCCAACAGACTATCCCCCGGCTTCTTCAACACAGCTCTCGACTCCCCCGTCATCGTCGCCTGATCAACCCACGTCTCCCCACGCAAAACATAGCAATCGCACGGAATGATCACGCCAGAACCGATCTTGATCTCATCCCTCGGCACCAGCGCCGCCGCATCCACCACCTGCTCCCCCTCAACTTCCCTCGCCGCCGAACGCACCAGCTTCACGAACATCGACTTCTCTTGCAACCGATACAACCCCGCGAACGTCAGCGTGCTCTGCTTCCGCAACACCGTGTCCAGTAACCGACCGCCTAGGATTACTGTTGTGAGGAGGGAGAGGGAAGACCAGTACACCTTCCCCTCTTCCAGCCCGAACAGCAGAACATTAAACACCGAAAGCACCATGCCGAGCAACAACGACAAACTGACCAGCGAGTCCATCGTCAGCTTCCCCCGCAACCCTCTACGCCAGGCAGCGTGGTGGATCACGCCTGCATCGGAAACCTGCGTCCACGTCGCTAAACCCGCCCCCACTAACCGGATCATCCGCACTGCTACGAGGGGGAGGTGGAGCCAGAGCACCGTCTCCAGCCCAGAGACAGCAGACGCCACGACCGCTGCGTTTGTGAACGCCGAGCGCAGCCTTTCGATCTCCTCGCGCTGCTCGAGGACTTTGAGATTCTGCTGCGCGCTGCGCTCGCCGGCCGTGGCGCCGTAGCCTAGGTCTTCGATGGTGGAGAGGATGTCTTGTAGAGACGTCTGCGAGGGATGATGCACGACTGTCGCGCGGGATAGGGGAACGGAGACGGCGATCCGTTCGACGCCTGAGAGCTTGGAGACAGCGTTTGAGATGGTCGTGCTGCAAGCTGCGCAGGTCATTCCCGCCAGCGAGATCTTCGACGTTGTCAAACGGGCGGGTTGCGAGGAAAACTCGGTGTCCTTGCCACGTCCGTCCAGACGGAAATTTCGCTGCGCATTATTGATATCGTCCACGGGTCCGTTGTCGAAGATATTCGGCTGCGCTTTAATGATCCCCAAGTCTAGGAATTCGCAGGCACGGATGAGCTGCGACATGCAGTAGGCTGTTAGGAGACAGCAGGCCATCGTTGCATACGATCATTGTCCACCGATCGATATACGACAAGTTTGATATGTGCTCGATTGACCTAGCAAAACTGAGGACGACTATTCGGCCATCGTCTTCCGGAACCGCACTGCTGTACCCCACTCGCTTGGCTAGAGACTTGGACTCTACCTCAGGGCAGCTCTTCAACTGTTGTTCGAACGAGACCTCGGGAGGTGAGAGTGGGTCTGGAGTCTGGGGTCTGCGGATCTGGGGATCTGGGGCACGACAGTAGCTTTGCTGTCCTCTGTTGGAGCGGCGACAACATAGAAGGTACTGTACATACAGGTTGCTGAAACACGGACAGTGGTCGTGTATCATCTGATCTTTGCCTTCTGCAATGCTCCAAGACAATATGTCACGACATGCCTGTCTCGAAGACATGCCGAAAAGAAGCATCGTCTACTACACACTCGGATGACTGGAGGTCTGTTATTCCCGGCTTTCCTCACGACTACTCCTGCGATCCTCCAAGACGACGACAGAGCGCCTAGACCAGCACCCAACATGGCTTGCTCTAACCAACACGCTGCCGTGGCGAGGTATGATCAGAATGCAGCTGTTGCGGACAACGGTACCCGAGGTCGAGAGCTCATATACATGTGAGCTCGTGCTGGACCTCCTCTTTGCTCGAGGAGTTGTTTCGTATTGTGAAGTGTTGTTGGACGACTTTGAGAGACACGAAGTCTCGACACGACGAACATGGCGACTACTGTAAGTTCGATCATGAGCCCTAGGCAAGGTATCGTACGCGGATTTGCTGACAAGAAAGACAGACGCAGACCACCACCGCCTTCCCGTCTGAGAAGCAGGAGAAGGTGGGCAACGATGAAATGTCCATTACCGGCAATTTCCACTGGAAAGGCGAGTCGCCCTCCTATTCAAACTCCAGCCACACCACTAACACGATCACCACCTCCCAGACCTCCTCGTCCCTGACCGCGTTGGCCTGGGCGCCGCAAAACGCCGTCGCCAGTACCAGACCCTCGCCATCTGGGCCTCGATCTCAGCCGGCAGCCTCTACACCTTTTACACCGCGCCTTCCCCCGCCCTCCGCGCCGCTGCCATCGGCCTCGTCTTCCCCGGCGCTGGCCTCTTCGCTGTTGGCACTCTGCCGTCTCTCCTCCTCTGCTTGCTCACCCTGCTTCTAATCCCTCTTGTCCTCTTCGCCTGGTTCGGCGCCGGCGGTCTGGCTTTCCCCACCGCTCTTTGGCTCGGCAGCACCGCACTCTCCGCCCTGCTCGCCCGCGATACCCTCGTCAGTGCCGCTGGGCCGCTCAGCCTGGCCCTCTGCTATTCCGGCATCGCTTACCTCGCCTACAAGACCTCGCAGGCTAACAGAGAGGCTCGTGAGAAGCGCACTCGTCGGAATGAGTATGTGGTTGACTCGGTGCGCAAGATGCAGACGGAAGGGCAGAAAGCTGCCCCTGGCTCTCGTGAGTTGTCGCTGAGAGATCTGCGCTTCATCCAGTGGTACGTCAAATTAGGTAGAAACCGTCGCCGCCGTGTCCTAGACTGTAAAGACTTCGAGAGTTCGCTGGCTGAGATGGCCTCTAAAGGTCGCATCACCTATCTGAGCCTGCGGAGTGGTCTGGGACATAGTAGTCGGCACTGCACCGTTCTCCCTCCACACAGACAGGACAGAAAGCTGACATCTTTCGCCTCAATTTCTTAGGTTCATCGAGCTCGGCATGCGGCCGATGGACGATTTCGCCTACCATGACGTGATCGACCAGTTCCAGACGGCCGCGATACGGTATCAGTTGTACGAGGCAACGAGTGATTTGGGGCTGTATCAGTTTGTGTATACGCCGAACTTCCATGGGTATCTTTCAGAGGCGATGAGGAGGACTATTGAGAAGAGTTTGACGGAGAGGGTGGTGGGGTTCTGGAAGTGGGAGAGTCTGTGGGGGAAGGGGAAGGTGTCTGACTGGGTGAGTGACCCAACGTTGCCCCGTCGTCTGGGATTGTTCAGAAAGGCGGTTTTGTTGATGACTGGCAGGACCCCATCGCCGAAGACAACATCATGGTCTCGGGCTACGTGCTGCAAGCCGTCGGCATCTACCAGTCCAACACGGGCGACGACCGCTACACGAAGCCCGGCTCGTTGACGTTCGAAGTGGCCAAGGACAAGAAGTATCCGTACGACTTCAAGCGTATCGCCGATGCCGTGAATCGGCAATGGGAGGATGGACCGTACTGTCTTTTCTCCTGTGAGCCGAATTGGATATATACCATGTGCAAGTAAGTCGATCTCGTACCCTTGTTGTAGAGATATAACCAGCTAACGGCCCTCTCACAGTCTCACGGGCGCCTCCGGCATCACCCTCGCCAGCCGCCTCCTTAATGTCCCCTGGGCGGATAAGATCAAATCCCGCTTCGAGAAAGCCCTTGACGAGGACTTCACACAACAAGACGGCACCGTCATGACCATCCGCAGCGAACTCACTGGCTTTACCGTAACCCTCCCTAAACACCGCTCCCACCATCCTCCACTGACAGCTTTTGATACAGATCCCAGGCCTAGCAGGCCGCCTCTCCGACGGCATCAACGCCCTCCTCTGCGCCGCGTTCCTGCCCCACATCGCGCACCGCTGCTGGTCGTTTGTCCTCCGAGAATCCATCAACCAGCATTCAGATGGTAGTATCACGCTCGAGAACCTCGAGGGGGCGGATAAATTGGATCCGGGGAATTATCGCCCGGGCGTTGGGTTCACCCGTGCAGTTTTCGCAGCGGCGGCGGCGGAGTACGGGCAAGAGGGTGTGAGGAAGGAGCTGTTGCGGGAGTTGGACGAGGTGGTGCATCCGGTTTTCGAGACGGAGACGGGGAGTTTGAAGAACAAGGGTTTGTCGACGATTGGACAAGGCAGCGCTATGAAAGCTCGACTGTGGTACGTCAACTTCTCCCCAAGTACCCTATGCATAACATTCTTGAACCTAACACGAAGTACAGCGGCTACCAAGACTGGTTCTCCATGATCTCTCACGGCCCGCCAGAGAACGTCATACAGGGCCCCATCCTGGACGAAGCGCCTTTCCCGGACGTCCTGGTCGCGAAAGCGTACTCCCATGACGGAGAGGGGATGGAGTTGGTGCTCTACTCTGGCAGGGAGAGCAGAAAATTCCAGCTTGGGTTCACGAGGCTGAGGGCTGGGGAGTCGTATAGCCTTGCCGGGGAGAAGAAGAGCGCAGATAAGGAGGGGAAGGCGGTGTGGGAGGTGCGGTTGGAGGGAAGGACTGCTTTGGATTTGGTGAAGCATTGAAGGAGTGTTAGACGGGTGGGGGAATCTCTGGTCATAGGCCTGGCTCAGTGTGAGCCTGGATGTTGGTAGTCGTTCCAGATACGCACCACCATGTGTACGGATCTTGATTGCGAATGTTCATCCGACTCACAGTCCCTGGATGATGCGCTCGTCCAGCCCGTCCCGACTCCAAGCAAGAGTATTATCACGATGGAACAATCAGATCCGATCGCAAGTAAATCCACCCTCGCTCTTCACGATCTCTCACACGACTAATCCAACTCCATGAACAGTCATCAGCAGCACCCTCTACGCCGTCATTGTGATTGGACTTCTGTACTGGCAACGCACGCTACAGATGCAGCAACTCGACCTGGAGCATGTGCGGTGGATGGAGGAGCTGCGGGTGAGGTATGGGTAGGCTTCTGTATCGAACAGGTCGTGGTAGTACCGGGGAAGCAGGCCGACATAGATGGCAAGTGTAGTGCGAGCCGGTCGGTCGATCGGCGTTCTCTCAGCGTTCTCAGAAGGATAGTCAAGGATCCGGAGAGCGTCGATGTCGTTTCATAATTAAGATTAGACCTCGCTGTCGTCAGTCAATGTAACCACCAGCTTGTAGTATACCTCGCAAAGGCTTTTGGTACCTTTGAAGCTCCGTAGAACACAGATTCGGCATCGGCGTTAGCGCCCTGACCGCCGCCACCCCTCCTCCTTCCTAATCCGTCCAAAAATTCCAAAAAACAAGACGAAACCAATCTCTCTCCAAAACTTGATATACCCAACGTATACCAACACCAACTGGACCTACAGAACCGCAAAAGAACGGGGTCGATCCGCGATTCGAACGCGGGGCCTCTCGCAATGGTGCAAAGGGTTTACCCTAAGCGAGAATCATACCTCTAGACCAATCGACCGAACATCAGTGGGTGGAATACACAATGTGCGAAATCCCAGGACTTCTGGAAGGACAAATTTTGCTCAAAAATTATATTATGTCACACTAAGCCCTTTGAGGGGCAGTGTGGAGGATTCCACTGATCGGGAAGCAAAGGATTGGTATACAGAGTATGAGGAATGTAGGGGAGGTGTGTGGCAATGTCGGATGGAAGACGAGATGAGATGGAACCAAACTTCTGCCCTTACTCATGAAAAGATGCCCTACTCTGGCTCGAAGGTGTATACCGATGCAACATGTTGGCGCCTACACAAACACAACTTGCCATCCCGGTCTGCTCTGAAACTACCTTGTCCAAGTGTATACTGAATGAGGGTGGTGAGATAAGCATATTCGGCTTGCTGCATCGTCGTATACCTAATGCGATCGTCATCCACATGCTAGACGTCCATCCTGATCTAGTCGCTCAGGAGCGTAGGAATTGCTCTCACGAAAGGCATTCCAGTCCATGAGCAGTCTACAGTCGACGTGTGTGTTCGCAGACATTGTAAATAGGTCCAAGGATGCATCTGGCCCCGCGGAAGATGTCGAAGAGACGGCACGGGTTGCACGGAGGAGGCTGAGCTAGACATGGGGTCACTATTGGCAATCTCAGACGAGCCGTTTCAGGCACGCTCAACGTTGCCACAGATTTGTGACGATGACGGCGGTGCAAGCAATTCAATGCTGTGGTGTTACTTGGAGAGTTGGTAACTCATGGTGTAACCGTGCAGTAAAGAAGGGACAGAAGGAAGAGAGTAGACCTGTCATTGTCGTTGCTCGGGCGGCCACGCGAAGGTTGGGCGCACGATATAAAGTTGGCCATGTGGAGTGGTGGGCGGATATCTCGAAAGTGGCAGAGAGGGAGCGTGCGTTGTGCTTCGAGAAGGAGTTCCAATCTCCTGTATTTCGCCAACTCCAACCTCACCTTGTGTCGCCACACGAGAGACGGCCTCTCCAACTTCACCACGCTCATTTTCCATCCATATCATAATCACAAAGGCGGAACCGCGGGAACTGTATCGGGGTGCATGAATGCTGCAGGATTCCCCGCTGGCCTGCAACTTTGACAGAACGGAGGCTGGGACCTGACTTCCGCCCACCACCACTCGCCGCGACCCCCATTATCGCTTACCCCCTTCATTCAACCATACTACAACGAGATTATTCCGCCGACATGATATGAGCGCGCACAAGAAAAGAACGTCCACACCTAACCGCACCGCCATCCCTGCCCACTTGGCTGCTTGGCCCCTCGACTCCTGCAGGACGAGCCAAATGAGGCGGAGTAGGAGTAGCAAGAAGTAACCGCACCACTACACCCACTCCAATCCAACTTCATCCACACTCGCTTGAACACCGCGCGCCGTATACCGGTGCGACACAGCCGGCGCCATGTTGCGACCCGCGACGCCGCTCACCATTATCTTCTTCCTCGCCTTCGTCCTGCTCCTGCTGAGCACCCTCACTACCCCGATCATCCAGGGAATACCGCTGGCGAGTTATCAGGGCTACAATCTGGGTGTTTTTGGGTGGTGCAAGAATGGGAGGTGCTTGCCGGCCACCATTGGGTATAGCACAGGTATGCGATTGACATAGAGGAGGCATTGCGCTGGATGGGAGGATTAAGCGCTGACGATTCGATAGATGGCCTCTTCACCGGCCCCGGCGCAGACGACTTCTCGCTGCCGCAATCCACGCGCAACAGCCTCAGCTCGATTCTCATCGTTCACCCGATCGCAGCTTTACTAACATTAATATGTACGTGCCTCGGGGTCGCAGCGCATTTCCATGCGCCTTCTTCGTCTCCGCGCTACCTCCTCGCCCTGCTCATCTTCACTATCCCGACTCTGCTGGTCACGCTTCTCGCATTCTTGGTCGACATCTTATTGTTCGTCCCGCACATGAATTGGGGCGGCTGGATCGTGCTGGCGGCTACCATCCTTATCATCGCATCCAGCGTGGTGACTTGCGCAATGAGGAGGACGCTTGTCAGCAGGAAGGCGCGCAAGAAGCGGATAGAAGAGAATGCGGATATGAATGGGTCGAATTACTACAACAACTTGAACCAAACCCGCATGATGACGGACTCAAGCGTACCTCCGCCTTCGACACTTCCGAGGGCAGATTCGCCGCCACCGATGTCTGTCGGCACTGCTGATGATGGGAAGGGCATGCCGCAGTATGCTGCGTTTGAGATGAAGAATGGGCAGTCGCGCGATGGGACGGATATGATGATGGGGAGTAATGATGACCGAACGCCATTGAATCCGACGAGAGATCCCAGCATTCGTTCTCACAGCTCGCATGGAAGGAGAGAGTACATGCAGGATGTTGCGCCACCGCCGATGCCAATGGGAAGACCTAGCATGGATAGCCAAGGACGGCCACGGAGACCGAGCAGAGATCAGTATGGCAATCCGATGGGACCACCAGATATGAACATGCCATTACGGCACCGAGCCAGCGATGAGTCTTTCGCGTCGAGAGGATCGAGAGGGCGGAGAGGAGGGTATGGCCCGGCGCCGAGAGGCTATGGAGCGCCTAGAGGTGGATATGGACCTCCCAGAGGAGGCTCTTATGGGCCGAGGGGCGGTTTCAGGGGAGGTCCACCACCTCCTGGATGGAGAGGAAGGGGCGGATATGGACCTCCACCACCAGGAATGAGACCTCCACGACCCGCGCCACCTCCTGGCTACTCGAACGGCAGCTACTATGATGGTGGATATGCGCCAGGTCCACGATCAGGGCCTTCGCCAACCATGGAGCAGCCGCCTCCAGATGCGTTCGTCGCAGGGCCAATGATAGGACAGGCGATTGAGATGGATGAGCGGACAGGAAGTCCTGCGCAGCCTTCAAGTCCTACCAATCAGGACCATTATGGGCAAGCTTACGGGTTGAGGGACAGTGACGCAGATGTGGCAGGCTTAGTAGGACTGCAGCAGGATCGAAGCGGGAGTCCGATGAGGCGTGAAAGTGACAGGGAAGCCAGCGGGATGCGGAGTCCGACGAGCATGTACTCCAGTGACCAGTGAGTCGACACTTCCACTTTTCGATCTCCTGTACATTCCATTGAACCCCGGCTAACCTTCACAGAACATCCTACGTCCCCCCTCGTGCGCAATGGGGCCCCTCCGACCACCTCCAACCCCAACGCCCCAACGCCTCCTCCCCGCTCGCCTCTAACATGGAATCCTCCCACTCCTCCAACCTCTCCCCCATCGTCTCCTCCGCACCCATCGGCACCGCACTGCCACCCCCACGCCACCGCCGCGCCGGCTCAGAGCCCTACTACGAGGACGTGGACCCGCGCTTCGCCGTCGAAGAACCTTCCGATGATGGGTACATGAACAACCCGCACGCCTCGGGCCTCCCCACCGCTCTAACGCCCGGTGGCATGACTCCCGGAGGGCTGGCGCAGACTATGCCCGGGAATTTCCCCGCTACCCCTGGCGCCCCCCAGCAGCAGCAGCAGCAGCAGCCATCGGGCGGGCATTATGGCCAATACCGTACGCAACCCCCCGCCCCCGACCCCGCCTACCTGCACCCCACGTACCCAGGGCCGTCCACTAACGGCCCTGACAGCGACGCACATTTAGTCCCCGGCGCCGTGGACCCGAACACGATCCCCAACTCCAACAGCTCGCAGGAGAACCTCCCCGATGGCGCGCGCTCGCCTAACTACGGCGACGGCGGCAGCGAGCGGGCGAGCGAAGCTTCGCACTTCACTTCCATCTCCGAGCGCCCGGTGAATCCCAACTGGCGCCCCGCGTCTGTATCAGGGAGCAGGGGCCCCGGGAGCGCTTACGGCGGAGGCGCCTATCAAGGTGGACCGCCGCAAAGAAGACGAGAGGATGTGATTCTCGGCGGGAACCCGGATTTCAGCATCCCCGGCATGGGACCCGCGAGAGGGGGCGGGCGGACGGGGAATTTGGCGGGCGTGGGCAGGAATCCGGGCGCTGGGGCGGCGGTGCCCGGGGGAAGGTATCCGACTGATATTTAATCTTTGGTTTGAGGGGGATGGTTTTGAGCAAGGTGTTTTGGGGAAAGTGTGAGTGGATTTGCTTTGGACATGGGGAAAGACATAAGACAGATGGATGATGTACAGGGGTTTTTTCGTCGGCGAGAGCGAGAGCGCGGGATAGGGAGTGCCGCGCTGTTTGTTCCGTGAGCGGGTTTCAGTATATATGCATTGCGCTGGTGGGGGAGAAAGCAGTTTCGATCGTATATGATGACGAGACGTCCGCAGTGACGGGTTCTTGTTTTCTTTCGAGACGTGAATTTGTTGTTTGTTTGAAAGGCGGATTTTTGGGGTTGGGAGTGGCTTCATCCACGGCTTGACGAGTACTGCTGTACTTTACTTCATGGTGGCGTGACTGCGACGTCGCAACGACAGACGCCTTGACTGCTGCTCACGTTTGTGTTGGTTGGGTTGCGTTGTGTGGTTAGGCAGATGGGGGAACGGATTGGAGTGCTTGTGTCGGGTGGTAGGCGCAGGTGAGGTATTTGTGTTTCGTTCGTTCGTGCGTGAATCCGTCCGTCCTGATGAGAAATCTGTGTTTTTGCTTACCTACGACGGTGTGAGGGATTTTGGGGAGCTTGTGTTCTGCTGGAACAAGCGCAGGACCTAGTAGGTACATGCACTGCTCGATCTTAATAGTTGTTATTGAGCTCTTCCACAAACCCATGGCTCCCCGCGAGAAGCCGACGTCTTCCTTGTATCAAGTCGGAAGGGATCCGGAGGAGTTGTGTTCAGACAAGTTGGTGCTGAGGGATCATGCCAAACCCAGTCTGGCGAGGCATTGGACGTGTGCTCGTCTGAGGTGGGATGGGACCCTGTGCTGGCTGGTCGAGAGTGATGGCGAGGACCAGTGATGCTGACCTTGACATCCACACGAGAGTCGAGCTGTTTTGCCAAAGGCTGGGAATGCGAGTCGTCTTCGGGGGGCCACTTTCAGGCCGGCCGTGGAGGTTGTGGATCTGTTGCAGGCCGGCGTGAATATTGATACGAAATACAACAGGACGCTCTAGGCCGACGAGGGTCGGAGAGTCGTGTTGAAGGAGTAAGGTCGTCATCCAACACCTACAGCCCTTCTGTTCGCAGCGCTGACGAGGCTGCAGTCCCGAAAACTTTCTGCACAAACATGTCCTCAGCCACGATACCGCGGTACGTGCATTGCAGAACTGGATCTCGGAAGCCAACAAGGGGATAGGAAGCTTTTTCCCCAAGCCGAAGATCTGGCTCCTAACTGGCGTCTACTTGCTGAAAGACGCCACTTTCACAGGCGAGAAGAAGCGGACGGCAGGCGAGAAGAAGCGGACGGCAGGCTTCGAGGCAGGTCTGAGCTCGACTGTCGTATCAGCTGCTGGCGGACCCGCGGTGGGACCTTCGATTGGCGTCGGGCGCTCGAAGGATAGCAGTTCGTGGACACCGACGCAAGGATGGCTTGTATGGGCCGCGCAGTATCGGGCGATCAATTATCAATGCTGGACACAGACGTCCCAACGTATCGACGACCCGGATCTCAGGCTGCTTTACCATGTGGTGAGCGGAGGAGCCAGCTACTATTCTACGACAGGCTGGGCGAAAGGTTTGACGTTGGCGGTTGAGGAGCTCGCTTCGCCGGACTGGGCTGAGGTTTTGACAGTGGAGGTTGAGGAGGAGATGCAACCGAGCAGCTTCGAGGACGAGGGGAGATATTCAGGCTACGACATTACCGACGGCGTAGACGACGCTAACGCGGACGATGATGACGATGATGACGATGACTGGGACGAGCAGTATTGGCCACCTGAAACCTCGAGACAGCCGACGGCCAGGGAAACCGTCGAGTCCATACCGACCAGTCTTGACGCCGAGTTACACGAGAAGAAAGAGGAGTGGAAGCGTGCTAATGGGGCGCTGGAGGCTGCACGCTTGCTTCATTGGCGGCAACAGCGCGGTCAGAAAATAGAAGGTCATGGGCAAGGGTATCGACTGGGTCGGGAGGCGTTCTTAGGGGTGGAAAGGGCGTTCGAGCATGCTCTTGCTGGTTCGCAGAGCGCCTGGGCGGTGCGGATGTTTTATGAGGTGTAGGCGAGACTCTGGCGTGTTTGATAGCGATGTTCTGTTTGCGGTATTTCGGCCTCGTGGGGCGCGAATGCTTTTATAGACGCAGGAAGACAAGTCTTACATCGCTCGAAGTGCTTTCATGTCTCTCTATGTATGTCGTTGGTACAATGCCCTGCTGACCTTAGAAGCACGGTCTGCCGTCTTATTCATGTGTTTGCACACGTCCCTGCTTGTTCCGTGGTCCATAATCGCATGGGCAATTCCTCGCCGGGTTGACTTGATCTGAACATGAGGTTCCTCCTTCAAATGTCCATATCAGTCAGACCTTCTTCCCCTCAAGCCACACATCCGCCAGAAAGGCCCAACATGCCCTCTCCCACCATTCTTCCACCACCTTGCCCAACCCCTCTAAAGATCCCCCGAATGCAAATCCCGCTTATACCTCTCCTTCGCCCTCTGCGCCGTCTCGCCAAAATCCACATGCGGCCGCGGATACCCCAACCTCTCGAACTCCTTCTCACTCAAGCGGTCGAAAGGTGCAAAGACGGCTTTACCGGGAACGTCTTGGAGCTCGGGGACCCATTTGCGGATGTAAGCGCCTTCCTTGTCGCATTTCTCGGCTTGCGTGATGGGGTTGAAGATTGTGTAGGAGGGCTCCCAGCCGTTGGTGTTGTTGGAGAGGTCCCAGTCCACCAAGTCTGCATCAAAGGGTCAGTCATGGCAACAAAGCAGCGGAGCAGGGTTCATAACTCACGCTCAACAAAATACCTCTCCCCCCTCCGATAATCCAGCAACAAATTCCCGCTCAGATAACTACTCACAACCATCCTGAGCCTGTTGTGCATATACGCCTCATGATTCAACTGCCGCATCCCCGCATCCACCCAGGGTACCCCTGTGCGGCCCTCACACCATTTATACCACCCCTCCTCGTCATCCTCCCACTGCACGAAATCAAACTTCAGGTTCTGCGGTAGATTCATGCTGCCGTGGGGCGTGAGCACCATCATATGCCGGTAGAATTCGCGAAAGACGATTTCGCGGACCCACGAGTCGATGCCTGCGTCGCCCTCGTCGAAGTGCGCACCGTTGTTGGATTTGAGAGCGGTGGAGAGGACTTCGCGCACGGAGATGACGCCCGAGGAGAAGTAGGGGGAGAGGCGCGAGGTGAGGTCGCGCGCGGGTTCGGAGCGGTGGGCGGCGTAGTCGGAGACTTTTTTGTCGAGGAAATGGTGGAGGCGTTTCATGCCTGCCTCATGTCCCGCAGGCCATAGCTTCCGTAATCGCTGCCTTTCCTCGTCCGAGGCGAATTGTTTGCTCTCCGGCATCTCGGGCACTTTCGTCTCGACCAACTTCTTAAACTGCTCCAGTGCTTTCTCGTCGTTCCCCTCCGGCGCAGGCACAGTATCAAGCAACCCCGGCTCCGCCTTCGTCTCCTTCAACCACGCCTTATGATACGGCGTGAACACCTTCATCGGCCCTCCCCCTTGCCCCTTCAACTCCCCTGGCGTCACAACAGTCTGATCATGCAGCACCTCAAACGATACACCCTCCTTCTCTTGCACACGCTTCATCATATCGATGTCCCGCCGCAGTTCGTCGACTTCATACTCCATATTCGCAAAAACATGGCTCACATCGTTCTCCTCTACAAATCGCATCACCGTCTCCGTCTTCTGACTCCGCTTTTCAACCTCTAATACAGCGAGCGGGATATTCTTCTCCTCCAACTGCCCCTTCAGAATCCTCAAACTCTCAAGGATAAAATCCATCCTTGCAGGCGACGTCCCATGCCACTCGACATCTTTCGGCGAATGCAGGTACATCCCGATCAGACTCCCGCTCTCCTCTTTCGCTTTGAGCGAGGCGTTGTGCAAGGCGATGTTGTCTTCTTGTCGAATGTCCTTTGAGCGGAACCAGTGCAGGACATTGCGGGGTTTGTGGGAGGAGTCGTTGGACTCCAAGAGGTCGGTGAGTTGTTCGAAGGGGTTTTCAGCGTCGACTTCTTTGCCGCGCTTGGGTGGGGGGTGTTTGAGGGCTGGGTCGTCGGAGGCGGATTCGGTGCGGGCGTGCTTTTTGCCTTTTGGAGGCATGCTTGCTGTGCTTGTTGAGGAAATGACACGTAGAGTGGTAGAGTTGTAAGGAGATGGAATGGCTCGACAGCGAGTGAATGTACGAAACATGAGATGAAAGTAGAAGGGAGAGAGAAAGCAAACCTACCGCAAACGAAACCAAGTGTGACACGTTCGGCGCGACACCGCGATGTGATGAAGTCATTCCCCAGAGAATTGAAGGTTGTTCCTGAGCGGATCGGGGCTAAGATCTGATCGTGCAGCCAGGACGTGGAGTCGAGATCGTCCGTGCTCGGAGATGGTTGCGATCGCATCTCATCCCAGAAGTCACTTCAACCTTCAACCTCACTTCTGTCTGCCATGCAACTATGCCTTCCATATGGTGATAGGTCAGATGGTGGTCTCGCCGATGATGGTGATATCTTTGCTGCCAAGCTGATGATAAGACGCATACACGTAATGTGAGGTGTTCACAGATGTGCATTTACCAAGAACTAAAATTCAGAAGCATCAGGTATACCTTCCTGAGCTCGGTGATGTCAAGAGGTTGAGAGTCTTCCTGAAAAAGGCGCCTCTGTCATCGCTCGAACTCCATGCTTGAAAGCTCAACAGCTGAAGCTCAAACGATTTCGATCAGCGTCCTTAATTGCCTAACGCCTCTCCGTCCAACATTCGTAGATCCATATCCTTCTATCCACTCACCAACGAGGCTAAAACGACGCGATGGTCCAGCAACAGTATGAGCGACAAGCCTGAACGACAGCGTGACCTTGTCCTTCATGTCCGCAAGGTCAGGATAGTTCGTGGCAGGGTGGGGATTGGACTGATGTCGAGCGTGATCATTTGTCCGCCTTGGTGCGCGTTTAGGCACCCCCGTGTCCGTAGCCGTGAACGCAAAGCAATGCTGCACTTCGGAGCCCTTCATGTGGAAGCCAGCATATGTGCCAAATGTACGGAGGACATCGCCATCTGCTTCACTAGATTCAACTCCCGGGTAGTGGAAGGTCAAGTCTCTCACGAACGTCGGCAGCCGATGCGCACTGTACTCTCCACCAAGATACCTCCAGTCTGGTACCCAAGACGGCAAGTCGATGTCTTCGAGGTTAGAAGTTTTGGCAGAGCGTCGTCGGCGGACCGCAGTCCTTAAAAGTCGGATTGTTTCACCGCGCTCTACGAGCATTTGTGCGAGCTGGCGGTAGTTTTCTTTGACACTCTTGTGATAGTCCACACCAATACCATCACCAAAGATGGCAGCGAGTGCGCCAATGCGATCTCTAGGATCCTGGCAGCGTAAGTCGTGCAATCGCTCCATAGCAGTCAAGATGTCCGGACCGAAGCTCGTCGCCTTGGCTCCAGCTACCAACGAAGCCGTAAGGTCTTCCAGATTGGTGTAGCACGCCGGTTTCCAAGACGAAGGCGAAGAAACTAGAAAGTCTGTTCCGTGCTCTAGAGCCTGCCAGGGGAGTACGCTGTTCCCACAAAGCACAATGGCGTCTCTGGCGAAGTGCACTTCCTGCACCACCCAGAGCCTGCCGAACCACCGGCGACGGTAAAACTTTTGCAGCGTGTCGCTTCTTAAGGCACGACCTGTCGCCGCAGTGAATTTGGAGTCCAGTTGGTTCCGCGGTAAGCGATTGTTCCAGAACCAGCGTAGAAAAGCGAACGAGAGCTCTCCATCTCCCATTTCTGAGTCCTCGCCTAGCCAGACGACGATCCGTCCGGCATTAGCGAAGACCCGCGACATGGACGAGACTTGAATGCTGCGCTCGTCCAGGTCCTCTTGATTTATGCACACGGCGTCCACCCAGAGCCTGCGCGAGCAGCGACCATAGTCCAGTGGACAACGCTTGTCGTCTGTGTAGCATGGCGACAACCTGAACCGAGGGATTGCTTTTGCGAGGTTCGGCCGGATGGGAAGGAGAGCGCCATCGAGGCCGGAGCAACATGACTCCATGTGAATCCTTCTGCCCTCGACAGCCGTTTTCACGCTCTTATCAGCGGATTCTTGATCTCCTTCCCAGGTGTAAGACAAAGCTTCGTAAGAGAGTCCTTCGACTGCGAGAGCTTGGTCGTCCTTGTGGCCTAAGCCACTCAGTATCTCTATGCTGTCAGATGTCCTGCCGTAACTGCTTAGGACCAGGATGCGGATCTCCTGAGCTGGGTTTGGCAATGGGGTGTACTGATAGATTGGGTTCGCGACGTAGACCATTTCACGATCTTCCATACTTGCTTTGGTACGAATTGAAAGCTTCCATCAGTGTATCTCATCTACAGCCTTTGTCCACACGGGCAAGGCTGGCGTTGTAGCTCTGGATGCTTGCAGCTCGCAAGAGTTGGATCAGCATCTTCATAACGAGCGGCAGGCTTTGTGCATCGGTGCAGTCACTCATGACTTTTCGATACAGACGCATCCATCATCATGCTCACTCTGAGTAACCTACTCACCGCGTACGATACGATATGAGCAAGTGAGGTTCACTCTCATGTTGACTTTCACGTTCACATACGGCCCATCCCGCCGCTTGCGTCGAATGGGGCAACACATCGTCGATCCTTCGATCCTCTGCAGCAAGAAAAACGCCATCTACGAATTCTAATCAGGTTTGCAATATCTTCGTCATGTCCGGCCAGCGTCCCAACAGCAAGGTATGTGAGCCAGTCTCTGCGGTTCTACTTGTTGTTATCTGATGCCAAACCACTGACTCAAGGCCACAGAAACGCAAAAGCACCGCTGATGGACAGCATTACATCAGCAGAGACGGGCAGGACACGTCTAGGCCGTCGGCGGTATATAGACCTACGAAAGGTCGCGGGCATACTGTGTCTGTTGCGCTACCCGGGAGCGTCATTGCAAAGTAGGTGATTCCTTCATTCAGAGTTTTCATATAATTTCTTCCTACTCCTCCTTTCCAGCAATCTCGTCAAAGCTAACACAGCCCAGCGCCGTCACCCATGACCAAAAGACAGCCCTAGCCGGCCACATCGCCCGAGCATGCGCCGTCTTCTGCGTCGACGAGATCGTGGTCTTCGACGATGGCCATGCAGACACTCGCGCCCCAGAACGCGGCGGATACACCGCTTTCGCCGACCCGAGCTTCTTCCTGTATCATGTCCTGAGCTACCTGGAGACGCCGCCTCACCTTCGCAAAGCGCTCTTCCCAATGCACCCAGACCTGCGGACTGCTGGCGCGTTGCCAAGTCTGGACATGCCGCACCACATGCGGAGTGAGGACGACTGCGAGTACCGTGAAGGCATCACGACTAGGTCTGCCCAACGCAAAGATGGTGCTCCTGGTATGCTGGTCGAATGTGGACTTCGACAACAAGTGTTCGTACCTGTTGAGCTGGAGGAGAACGTTCGGTTGACTGTCCAGCTTCCGCAACACGCCCGGTCATCAGCAAAGGACATGGTTGAGTGTAACGTTGTTGCTCCGGATGCGCCGCGTGAACAGGCTGGCTATTACTGGGGCTACAGCGTGCGGCAAGCATCTTCCCTCAGCAACGTCTTTACCGAGTGCCCACACGATGGTGGATACGATGCGAGCATAGGCACAAGCGAGCGTGGACATCCGGTGTCATCCCTGGCAGACCGCGCTTCCGACCGGAGCCTGGAACCAACATGGCAACACCTGCTCGTGGTGTTTGGCGGCGTTGCTGGTCTCGAAGTCGCTCTTGCCAACGACCCGGAGCTACAAGCTGCTGGCGTGCACGATGCTTCCGAGGTCTTCGACTACTGGATCAACCTTGTCCCTGGTCAAGGCAGTCGAACGATCCGGACGGAAGAGGCGGTCTGGGTTGGGTTGGCATGTCTGTCGCCGCTTGTGGAAGCTCGCAATACCAACGCTTGATTGATGGCTTTAGGCTTGAAACGGACTTCATTCACCTTCGCTACCGACGTCCACGCAACCCGCAGGCCGCCGATGTGAACGGACTTGCTTCCTGATACCGACCTCACCCGGTAAGCTTTTCCACTCATGCTGGACAGCGTGAAGGCGTAATCATACGCTCAGCGTGTGTAGCCTCCACAAGCCGTCGGCAGCTCGGCTGACTCAATGCTGACACCCACGACAGCAGAGACGCTGACGGTCCAGAAAATGTACGGCCCCCCACGACACCCTCGGATGATCTTCTATGCGCACGTGGTAGAGGATCCAATGGCTATGGCGGGCAGATCTCAGGATCAATTGCCTAAACACACCACAACGTTTCACTGCTACCCACGCCGTTCTCAGGCGTCCTATCTGTGTCGAATCTCAGGGTCCATTGCGGAGCACTGGTGGCGTCTGGTTCTCCACTATGTGTCGAACGATTTTGGCCACGCGCAGGCAGAAATAGGGTGATAGGACGACCCGGTCTATCAAACTCGTATCGCGGTACGCATTCCCGTCGACAGAGGAGGCACTTAAACCCACCAATGAGCCCGCAAGCCTGGATATCCAGCACATTGGACGCCTGAAAACGATTCCGTGGTTGTCTTCTCAATGGACATAGTCTCGTTAGGCTTCAAGTACTCCGTTTGCTACGACTTCCTGGAGGTCACAAGAGCATGGAGATTGACAACGAAACATGTACCTTCCTCTCTGGTCCTGTCTCGAGATTTTAGCTTTCAACCGACGGTGGTAGCAGGATCCTGTCAGCACTCAAATGAGCAGACCGCAGGGGCAACCCGACGATTTTGACTGGTTTGGTGTTGGGTTCCTCTGCCTTGAGTGGCTCACATGTCTTCTCAGCATCACTCTGATGAGACTCGTCAACAACCACAGGCGAGCTCGTGGGCCGCGTAGACACACCTGCCTGATCTAGCTTATCCACTCTCTCAGCTTTACTTACCGGGAGAACATCGGACAACCAGAGCTGGAGGCGCAGGCTTTCTCGCCAACCTACTGCAGCAGCACCATGTACCCCCTGTCGTGCAGCATACTCCTCCACGTGCCGAGGTGGACTGACAGTCATCAATTCGCTGGATGAATAACGCAGCCTTATCCCGATAAGCCTCCAACGTAGATACTCCTTCTACCCGCGTTATCCACAGTAGTCTCGACTCTCTTCGTCCCGCCTGTCAAGCGAGGTTCTCTCGAGTCGAGCGGGCAGATGTCCCGGCCACAGTGTCGTTTGCATCTGGCTGTCGTGTAGCTTGGAATGCTTGGAGCCTTATGTGTCCTGTTGATATGCCACTTGATTACTTCGCATCCCGCCAGGCAGGTGGGTCACGCTTCACAACTTTATTTGGCTCCGCCCTCCACTTCACCGCACCTGTGATGGATGTACAACACTGGTATTTGCATGGCGGAGCGGCGTATACCGACTGTTCTGGACTTGTGTATTGCCGGTGTCGATCTGTTTACTGTCGGGTTCGGACGATAGTGGTCGCTGCTTGCACCGGCTGCTGCACCCTCGACGAACGAGCTCATGGCATGCTTCCACATACCCATCAACGGCATCTTAGCTCGCTATAATACTCTTCCGAGTGGCTGGGAGCTCCGAGTCAGTGTCGGAGGTACATTTGGTACCCCTCCGGTCGGTTGGCATCCTCCATCTCGGTGGCGCGAGGGGGCGTTCGCGGTGAGGGAAATCTGGAAACAGCCTGCATGCAGCAGCTCCAGCCTATCAAATCCTTGACATGCGAGCTCGAGGACGCCCAACCCTGCCCGTCGTTCGCAAAGTCAGCAGTCAAGCGTCGCCCAGCCACGAGATCTAGGATGACTACACCGCCGACGGCCTCTGCGGCCTGCTGGGAACAACATTCTGGGCTGCGAATAGGGCTAGGTTGCTTTGCTGCAGGGATCGGTTGGCGCCCTGTCAGCTCCAACGCCCGTTGGTATCTGGACTGTCGCCCGTTGTGCTGCCCGCCAGGCCGCCCTGCCGGCGACTCTTCAGCTGCGGACCCTGTTGTTCCTTCGTCCCCGCGTTCGGTCGCTAACACTTTCTAGCTCTTTGCCGCGTTTGAGGGCAGACGTTGTATGTATGTAACGTTGATCTTTGTTTGGCTCCTACCCGCAGCATCCCAGGTTGCAATCTCATGACGATAACTTGGACCAGTCGATCCCTTTCGAGTTGTGCCCTCACGGCGGTACATCACCACTAGCGTGTTACCGCCTGTCGGACACCAGGGCCGGGTCCTTCATCTTATTAACGCGCACGTTTTCCAACAACCCTGCCGAATCCAGTTGGGCTCATATCTTTCTCGTATCCCCCTCCCACCAACTGCCGCTCTTCACCTAAAAGTCTCTGGTCGACATCTCGCTTCTTCAGACTCTGGTGTGCACGGAGCCCTCCTGTAGATCATCGCGCAAAGAGAGAATATTCAAAACCATCTCGACCTGCGACTTTCTCTGTTGATGCCTGGGAGCTGAAATACAGCGAACGACCAGCAACTCGGACGACTATTATCATACCATACACTAACGATGGAGTCCATGGATTACAACTACTTTGCTTCGAATGGCCATCAAAACTATCAATACATGAATTATGGCGCCGAAGCAGGTCTCATGCACCCTGGTGTTAGCAACGACATCGCGGGACCGGTACGCTCAACATGAAACAGAAGTAAACTTGAGCAGATGTACTGACAGTCTGTCTCAGACCATGGAACCAGACCTCGATTCAAACGCCTTCATGTCGGGCTCATTCGACTACACACAGTTCGATAACCCCCTCGGTGGTAGCACCGGTCTCACACCCATGCCCACTACATCTGGCTCGCCTTCTCCACAACAGCTCTCTCTCCTCGCAAACGACAGCGGTATAGCACTCGACATGGACGATATGCCGCAGGGCAGACGGAGTAGCAGCGAGGAGAAGGACAACCTCACACCCGCGCAGTCAAGACGAAAGGCACAGAACCGGGCAGCGTAAGCTTCTCCCACGCATTCTAACATCCTAAATCTCGTCCACTAACATCTAGTCAGACAACGAGCCTTCCGCGAGCGCAAAGAACGCCACGTCCGCGACCTCGAAGCCAAACTCAACCTCCTCACCACCACAACCTCCTCCCTCCAATCCGACAACGAACGCCTCAAACTCATGCTCCAACGCGCACAAACCGAGAACGAGATCCTCCGGGCCACCGCCTCCTCCTCCCCTACCTCCAACCAGCCGCCCAAATTCGTCGACGAACCATCATTACTCCCACCTGTCTCGCGGTCGTCGAGGAGAGGCACTGGCCCCCGCAAAGACAGCCACAACAACAATAGCGACGACTCGTTCGACTCACATCGGCTAGCGAACGGGCTGATCTCCACCGAACCCTCCCCGAATGGCAGCTCGCCCAGTAACCGCAACGCACTGCTCTCTGCGAGCGCGACTTGGGACTTGATCCAGTCACATCCGCTGTATCTTTCCGGCGCGGTGGATATAGGCGAGGTGTGTGAGCGGCTGAAGAAGATGGCGAAGTGTGACGGAATGGGTCCGATGTTCGACGAGGAGGAGGTGAGGAAGGTGATTGAGGAGGTGGGGAGGAGTGGTGGGGATGAATTGATATGATCTTGACGTTCGATGGCGGTACATGATTGCGAGACAATCGGAATCCACGGCGTCTGATTGCTTTTGACGGAACGTACACGGTACGACTTGGGAGGATTATACCCGGCATATTTGGCCTTTGGACGACTACCTCAACAGGAGTCGAGTTTGATGGGAGGACTCACTTCTGTTCCGTCGGTTTGGGGAGGACACAGATACGATGTTTATGAATTTACCTAGCTTATGTCTGCAGACAGTTGCAAACTCAGAACGACTAATCGACCACAAAAGAGAGCTACATCAATTCTTCCATCGCCTCTCTCCATTGATTATACCAGCTCAGCATCACCGTTCACTTCATCGACTGATTGCTCCAACGGTCAACCTTCACCAATCCGTCAAAAGCCCTTCGCTCTCTGGTTGCCAGTGCAGCGGCATATCAAGCCCCCCAGCTCGACGGACGATTTGGTCCCTACCTTGTGCTTTCTTCACCCTTCACCTCGTACACTCCCTTCTATCCACCCATCTATCTCCCCTTCCCTCTCCGATCCATCTCCCGTCTCACCACCACCTGCTTCCCGAGACACTTCGAGCCTCGGTCTACTCTGCCCCTCCTCCTCTCCACCACAGCTCCCTCCCGCTCCAATGCATGCACGATCTCCCAAGCGCATATCGATAGCGCCAACTTAGCGACAAGTCAGCACTGCAAACCTGCGCTGGCAGGATTTACATAATCCGCTAAGTCACCGTTGCGGGCCAGCTCTCGTGCAGGGAGTTAGGGCTGGGTTTGCAGGGGCTTGTGATTTTGCTGTGCTGGTTGGGGTAGGGAGATCGACGGGGGAGTGGTTGGGAGGAGGAGATAAGGAAACGTAGTTGATGTAGGGCAGGATCAGAGATGGGTTCGCCAGAAGATGCGAACGCGAGGAGAGATGCTCTACGATGTAGTTCTAGATGTAGATCGCTCAATGTCATGGTGCTCAACGATGGAATATGCATCGGTGCAACGACCGATCTTTTATACACATCATCGGGCGTCGGCGCCGTCGTGCTACCCAGGCACCTACATGTATGTATCTGCACAACTTCGTTGTACCGGCATCGTAGACATCATCGCCCGTCTTAGACGGCCATACGGACTGCACCTCCGTAGGCTGCCGTTTGATTGATCGCATTTGGACGAACACCACCAGCCGTCTTGAACGGCACAGGCATGTGTGCCGTGTGGGCGCAACCACTTCCCTTCTCGATGTCTACTTGCAACTCTTGTAGATTTTGAGAGAGAGCGGCTTGAGGCACGGCGGGATCGCAATCCGGTGAATGCTCTCGTTCTCTCGAGTTCGAGGGAGGTGGAAATGGTATGCGTGGCCCGTCGATTCTCAAGGTCGTCCATTACTACTATGTACATCTCCAAACACTACACATTACATGCACCTATCTCACCTTAAGCTCTGTCGAGAACATGTCTTCTCAAGTTCAAACCGATCGCCCAGGAGTCCATTCCTGGCCCGGGTAACTCACCCCCTTCATCTGTCCCGCCTCTTCGCCAGCCGCAGCTCCATCCCGCCGAGCAGGAAACCCGGACGATGTCCGTCGACTGAAGTTTGGCGACATCGTTCGCGACATATCTTGCGGCAGGTTCTGCGGAACTGGTGGCGTGGGCATTGGATACGGATTCGGAGATTGCTGGTAGGAGCGACCCTGCTGCAGAGGAGGCGCGCCGCGAGGGACATACGATTCAGGAAGGGGCCTGGTCTGTTGACTGCCGCTGCCTGTGGATGGGTAAGGATCTCGCTCAAATTCGTGGGTCCATTGTCTGTCGTTGCGGGGAAGGTGGATGGCCCATAGTTTCTGCTGTTGTTCGGGCACCAGCGCACCGTATGACATTGGGTTGTCCTCGCTGATGGGACCGACATCGAAGTTCTGACCAGGCGGGAAAGCATTCGTACCACTTCTCGTCTGAACAGGAGATATAGGTGGCGATGGGCCGAAAGGCTGCCAGTCTGAGTACTCGTGATTGGACTGGCCAGAAGCTTGTGGTGAGAGCTGGTAGTTGTCGTAGTAGGACGAATGCCTCCTTCGGTGAGAAGTAGAGACTGCGTACTCTGACATTGAAGGCCGCTGAGGATACGTTTGCTGATAGGGTGGCATGTCTGGCGGAGACTGGTCGGATGGTCCTGGTGGGCTTCCATAGTATTCTTGCACAGGACGATAGTCTCCCATGATGTTCGTGGGCGCTGAGACATGCCTCCGTCCTTGACCATGGTGCTGCCCAGATTGCGGCGGCGGCGAACCATACGACCTCCCCGAAGGCGCGTTCTGCCAGTACTCATAGTCCACTCTAGGCACCGGTTCAGGTGGCTCAGAAAGCGGCCCTGGCGAGCGAAGCTCCGTCGAAGATCGAGAATAAGCACTTGGAATCGGAGGCGGTGCGTCCTGCAGCTGATACTTCCGTGCCTCTCGTCTGCCATATGGTTCAGTCTGCATTTCCGATATGCTGGCTCTGGCAGGTGGTGTTTTCGTCAGCTTGGCGCTCTTCTCAGGCTTCTTGCTTTCTGTGTTGGAGCGGCCGAACAGAGAACCAAGACCTGAGAAGCGCTTCTTTTTCTTCGGTTCGAGCTCGGCGGGTGTAGTCGAGGCACGCTGCTGCTTCTTTAATGTCCCTGATCGAGGTGTGTCTTGTCGGCTCTTGCTGGTCGCTCTTGAGGTCTTCTCTGTGTCTTGTCGGCTCTTGCTGGTCGCTCTGGAAGTCTTCTCTGTGTCTTGTCGGCTCTTGCTGGTCGCTCTGGAAGTCTTCTCTGTGCTCAGACTCTGCCGTGAATTGACTCGATCTCTCGAGCGGCTAGATGTGCGTTTCAGCGTATCCCAAATGCCAGAACGTCGCTTGCTGGGCTTCTCTGGGGCCTCCGCCTCGTGATGCAGATGGTCATCATCAGCGACGATGTTGGATGCATCGTGCAGACCTTCGAGCCCGTGGTCGTCTGCAATATGCCATCGCGACACTTCCGCCACTGGAGTCGTCAATGTTGGCCTTCGACCCTTGGGTACTCCAGACTGTCGCTTAAGTCGTGAGGCTGGCGATGTTGGACTCTGTTCGGGAAACTGCGGCTGGTATGTTATGGAGCTGGTGTCAATGGGAGCAGTGCTAGCATTCCTGGAGGACGTAGTCAGCGTCTCCTGCAACGGCGCTCCACTCGCGTCGACTCCAAGTTCCAGGTACGAATGTGGACGTGACTGTCCTTGCGCGACCGAAAGTGTACTCCGATTCGTAGAAGCATCTTGCTGGCCGCTCGTGTTCGGCGCGACCAAGGACCCCCGCGGCATTCCCTTGTCGTAGTTAACGCCAACCTGCTCATCATAATACGCGGGCGCAGCAGGCGTTACCATCTCATCCTCAGCGTCGTACAAACTTGACACGGATGAACGTCGTGAGGGAGGCTTTTCCGCTGGAGCCAGCTCAGCCCCGTCCCTTGCATCTTCGAATTCGTCCTTTGACGACACGAGGCTTCTGGCGACTGAAGGATCGTTTGTCTGTTCCATCGGAAGGGGTGGCAGGTCCTTCTCTTTTGTAGCTGTCGACGCAGCAGCGATGGCACTAACGAAATCTTGCTTTGTAACGGGCGATACGGGCACCTCCTTGATCTCGTCTTCAGGTTCAGCAGTGGCGGCCGCTTTGGTGTTGATCCTATAACTCCCTGCGCTTTGGCTATCAGCATCTTCGCTATACTCACTCGGAGAGACATCGGCATCATTCACAGCCCTCTCCCGCGAATCAGCAGAGCGCCAATCCTCCCGCACATTGTCATCCTCTTCTCGGTCACCAGCATCGGGGAACGCAGCCTTGCGTACAGCAGTAGGCGTTGTCTGATATAACTCTTCTTCGCCATCATCAGGCTCAGGTTGCAGCTGGTTCGCCAACGCCGTCAGATCTGGCATCATCGAACGTCCACCTGCAGTCCTGGTGAGATCCTGCACTCCACTGCCTCTTCTCGAAGTTGAATCCTCAGTCTCAGATACTGGAGAGGCAGTACGTGGTTCGTCTTCAACCGCACCTCCAGTGGGATCGATCGGCCAAGCGGTGCGCGGCTTATCCTCGTCCTCATCCTTGTCAACAGGCAAAGCAGTCACCGGCCTCTCCTCCTCCACATCTCCATCCCGTCCCGCACTGCCCAACCTCCCATCCACCTCCCCGGTATTCCAAAACGATCCCGCAGTCGGACTAGGCAACACGCCCAACCTCGCCGGCGTCCCGCTCCTCTCCGCCTCAGCGTCTTCCCATCCCCCTCGTCCTCCTTCACCATGAGTGCTCGGCTCAGCCCACGGAGCAATCTCAGCATCCACACCACCCCCAACACTCTCACCACCACCCATGCTGCTCGTATGAACGGCTGCAGGTGCGTCTTCGACAGTCCTGAGTTCCGAAAGAGCCCGACTATTCCGCTTACTCCCCCTCCTGCTCAAACTCCTGCTCAAACTCCGACTCCGCTCCCTCAGCCGCGAGAACGTCCTGCTGAGTGGACGACTGGCGGACGACCACGAGGAAGGGGTCTGCGAGCGTGACGGCGCGGTGGTTTCGATGGGCGGGGAGAGCGTTGATGACGTTTGTGGTTGCGATAGCGGTTCTGCCGCTCCTTCAGGCGCTGGAGAAGCAAGCCAGGGCGCAATAGCTTCGGTGGGCGGTGGAAGTGTCGACGTTGTTTCCGCTTGCAATCTCGACATATCCTCGCCTCCAGTAGCTGGCGGAGCAAGCGAAGCCGTCTGCTCCACCTCCCTCGACGCATCTACACTCCCAGTCCGAGCCACATCCTCCGCCACAGGTGCAGTGCGCAAAGCATCCCCTCTGAGCGCCCCTGGCGCCCCTTCAGCCTCCACGTCACTGCTCTTCTCCTCCCCAGCCGTTGCCGAGTCATTCGTAGGCACTTGCGTCAACTCCCCCAACAACCCAACCAATCCCGGAAGCACACTCGTCACCCTCGCCGGCGCACTCTCTTCGTCCCCTACCTCATTCCTCCAGCCCTCCCTCTCCGAGGAGGCGGGGACGAGGTCCGGTGTTCCGAAGCGAGGGGCAGGGATTGGGGAACGTCTCTTAGGCTGGTCTTGCTCTGGATCTTGAGAGAGTTGAGGGGGTGGTGGAAGGGTGTTTGTAGATGGGGAGGAATATGAAGGCGAAGGTGGAGCAAAACTCATGTTCGGAGGTTGGAGAGGCGAGGCATGAGACGCCATAGTGGCGCCAGCGGTGTCTTCGGGGAAAGCAAAGGTTGTTGTAGGAGGGCCAGAGGTATGAGAGGCCGTAGCAGCGTCCGCGCTCTCTCCCGGAAAAGCAAACCCAATCGTGTCAGGAGGAGCAGGACTCGAAGGAGCAGGGTCCGCAAACGAAGCAGGGTGCCGCGAAGGCGGGCGCGGACTCGACTGGGCAGGAATTGTGTTCGACGTGGAAGGGGCCTAAGGAGAAGAAACTTACAATGAGCAAATGTCCGCAAAAGTAGGTAAGATATGAAGTGATAGAGCTAATAGTACAACTCTCGCCGTCACGAAAGGGTATCGCACACCCCCATCCTCATCATCGCTGATGATCAGACCTGGAAGCCACGCTTCAGCTTTTACTCCTCCGTCTTCACAACAACATCAAGCAAAAGAAGAAATAAAGCAACAGAAAGAGCTCATACCTTCCCACCCCCCGCCCCTGCCCCCGCCCCACTCCCCGCAGTCCCACCAGAAGCGCTCCGACTCTCCCTCTGCGTCCCAAACCTGCTCCTCCCCTTCGCAAGCAAGCCCTTCGCTCCACTCACACCCTTCCCGCCCAAGACCCCCGCACCCTTCATCACAGCCTTCCCGCGTTGTTGTAATTTCTCCATATCCACGCCCCCGCCCTCTGCACCCGCACCGCCACTAGCACTAGCACCAGCGCCAGCTCCGCCTAGAGAAGCGCCCGCTGATACAGACTGCGACCGCTGCGGTGCCTCCCCTCCTCCACCACTTCCGCCGAGACCGAAAGATTTAGGCCCGAATTTCGCCAACGAGGGAGTAGCCCGATGCCCGCCCTTAAACGTCCCCGACGGCTGCAGCGTCGCCTGCGGCGCCGTGGCCAAATTCGCATACTCCGGGTTCTGCTCGATCATAGTCGCCAGCCAGTCGGACAGCCCCGTGTGCATTTCCGCAAAGGTCTGGCGGGTGGAGTTGTAAGTCTCGATGCGCGCCGAGGGGGTTTTGAGGGCGAGGATGTTGCGGAAGGGGGGGATGGGGGCGGACGATCTGGCGGCTGTGGTGGGGGTGGTGGGGGAGGTGGGTTGATAAGGGGGCCCTGGTCGTGGGGATTTGGATGGTAGTGGTGGAGGGCTGGAGTCAAACGTAGTCGGACTCCTATAAGCGGCCGTGGCGTCGCGGGCGGAGGCTTCGAAGTCGGCGGGTCCGGTGTCCTTTGCTGGGCTCTCGAGGGCAGGGGTCGTGGCGGTATCTTGTGTCGGCTGCGGCGAGAGGGCCTCAAGTCCGGAATGTCCGGGTTGCTCGAAGTAATAACTCGGCAGTCTCGGACTCTCCCTGCCAGCATCCGAAGGCGGGCTGGCCAACCCCCTGTCTCCACTCCCCGCGATAGCAGCAGCAGCACCCAACCCCGCCACCCCAACCGGCAACCCCACCTCCATCCCCCTCTCCGCAGCCATCGAGTCCCTCACCCGCTCCTCCGTCCTCTCATCATCCCTTTCCCACTCATCTTCCGAATCCGAGTTCTCCGCATTCATAATATGCAGATTCCTGCTGCGAGGTCGCTCATAAGGCATCTCGGGTTTGATCTCGGGACTGCTATCCGGTTCCTGCACGCGGGGGATAGCAGCTGGGCTGGGGCTGCCGAAGCGGTCGCGGGGCGTCGAAGCAGCACCACCAGCTCTCTCAGGCGTCTCAAGCGCCCCCCTGCTTTCTGGCCGCTTCTCCCAGCTAAAGCGCTGATCAAGAATAAGCGGTTTCGGCTTGGAAGGACTATCGTCATTAATCTCTGCGGCTGGTAGAGCATCGCCTCCTTGCGCGACGCGAGACATGTTAGTTGGAGCGTCCAGCGCATCTTGTGTGCGCGCAACGTCGTCCTTGTCGCCGTCGAGCGAGCGGACGATTTCGCGGCGTAATGTGCTGTCGTCGCGATGTAAGCTCTCATCTGCAGGGCGGTTGTAGTAGGAAGATAGTCCGGACGGAGCGGGCGCCTCGGGGCTGGTCTCTCGCGTTCGAAGAGGCGCGACAGCGAAATAAGCATCCCCTTCCTTGCCAGCAGGTGTAGGCGCCATACTGCTGCTATCATGACTAGCAGCCGTGACAGTAGAGGCCACGCTGGCATCAGTCTCGCCGCGGTAATAATTCGGTCGTTCCGGGTTGCGCTGAGACCACAGCTCACCAGTCGCGTTGCGCTCGGTAGGCACCTCGACTTCCTGCGCGGGCTGCGCAGAGCCAAAATCGCGCGTTTGATGGCCTTGACCCATCTGCGACAAGAGAGAGGCGCCCAAAGCTGTGCCAGCTGATTTGGCTTGACTGATGAGACCGTCGTTCTCTTGTGGGTAGTTTCCAGACGGTGTCTTGCTGGCTGTGGGCGAGAAGTCGATCTGCTCCGAACCCATGCGCATCGGCCCTGCGGGTCTGGGGTCATTCTGGTGAGCCCGCTCAAGCTTCACCTTTCGTGTTGTAGGCGTGAGATCGACTGGCTCTGTCGCAACGGGCATTTCTCGTGAAGCGCGCGGGGTGCGATCAGTGGTATCATCTGCTTTCGTCGCTGCCTCTGGCTGCTGCGTTTGAGTAAGGCCCAACGCCGGTGTCTCAGCCCTCGAGAGCACGTTCGACGTACTGACCCACTCCCCAGGCATCTGTGGGCGGAAACTCATATCCCTGCCCATACCAGGCCTCTCCGCACCAAAACCGCTTGGAGGCTGCGCATCAGAAGGACTGTCCCTAATGCCGCCCTCTTCAACACCACCATAGTCGCTTTCGCTCACAACGTTACTAGCATCAGTAGCATGACGCTGCGGAATACCACTGCTGCTACCTGCAACTCTGCTGGGTAGATTCTCGTCCGAGCCGCGAAAGTTACTCCAGCTGCTCTTCCGACTCGCAGCGCCGAGACTCGTCTGGCTGTTCCTCCGACTCGCGTCGTCGTACTGGTCTGCGAGCTGGCGCACGCGACTCTTGCCGGGTGACGGGGAGCGGGTGGCAGAGACGGGCTCAGATGTTGCGACAGGCGAAGAAGCGGCAGCAAAGGTGTTGTTCTGCAAGAACTGATCTTGTGACTCGCGCTCGCGAGCAGCAGTGCCAGGCTCGAAGCCAGCTGCCTCAGGAGAAGCATTGACTTCGCGCGCCAAATCAGCCTCGCGGACGCTGTAATCTGTGCCTGCACGAGGTCGGCCGGTAGTGGTGCCTAGGGCCTCGTTGACGGTCTCTGCAGTGAAACCACCACTGACGGTACGGTTCCTGCTTGCGTCCTCCAAAGCTGGCGTACGAGCAGGTGAGTTGTCTTGGGAAGGAGGATCCAAGCTGCGTCGATAGCCTGGCGTAATGACACCATCACCGAGAGATCTTCGACCTTGCGGCTCTTCGGCAATGGTGGGAGCAAAAGATTCGAAAGCTGGGGCCCGAGACATGATAGGGCTGATGTTGGAAGTGGAAGTAGAGGTGGTGGTGTTGCTTCTAGAGACATCGGTGTCGAGAGTACTCTGTGACGCGGACATCGCTGCGGCGGGGCTTGAGCGCTTCCTAGCGTCCGAGGCATCGAAGGCCTGGTTGACCATGCTCCTGTAGCCTGAGCTGGGCTGGTGAGAGAGGCTGTCTGGCTGTCGACCAACTTGGGAGACGGGTGTGCCATGTGTCCGCTCAGCTAGAATGGAAGCTGCAGGGTCGTTGTAGGATACTGTACCCGGCTTGCCAACGTCAGATGCTGGGGCGTCATGCGTACGCTCCGCCAGGATAGAAGCCGCCGGGTCATGGTTGTCTAGAGTGCCTCGCTGGCCAACATTCGACACCGGCACATCATGCGTCCGCTCCGCCATGATAGAAGCCGCCGGGTCATGGTTGTCTAGCGTGCCTCGCTGGCCAACATTCGACACCGGCACGTCGTGCGTACGCTCAGCCATGATAGAAGCCGCGGGATCATGAGTATCGACGGTGCCTCGCTGACCAACACTGGAAGCCGGCACATCATGCGTCCGCTCCGCCATGATAGAAGCCGCGGGATCATGAGTATCGACCGTGCCTCGCTGGCCAACGTCCGAGACTGGCACATCATGCGTCCGCTCCGCCATGATAGACGCAGCGGGATCGTTCATATCAAGTGTACCACGCTGCCCAACATCAGACACCGGCACATCATGCGACCGCTCCGCCATAATCGAAGCCGCCGGATCATGGGTATCAACCGTGCCCTGCTGCCCAACATCCGCCACCGGCACATCATGCGACCGCTCAGCAAGAATATCCGCCGCTGGGTCCTGTCCCGGTGGCGCACGCGTGGGAGTCGCCGTCGCAGGCCTCGACGAAGAGCTGCCGGAGAACATATCACCGCCAAAGCCGCCAAAACTCTCCACGGGCGGTAGACTTGGGCTCGTTCCTCTGCCGGCCGCTTCGTCGAATTCGGCAGGCGTCTGCAGTGGACCTCCCATGTTGTTTCCCAGCATACGCTCAGAAGCAGGCTCTTCCATCGGCGTCTCGTAGACGTTGCTCAGCGGCCGCGGTTGCGAACCAGAGCGCGACGGGTCTGTGATGCCCAGCTGATCCATCGTAGGACGGCCGGCAGATTCCATCGAGCTCTTGCGCTCTTTCTCCCGCTCCACTTCTACGCGCTTGTAGATGTCGCTTGGTCGGACGAAGGGTACGGTTGGCAGTTCTTTCTCCTCTTTCTTTGCTGGCATCGGCACTGCGTCTGGCGCAGGCGAACCGGCGCTTATGCTGCTCTTTCGAGGTGGAGGTATGTAGCCTCCTGTCACTGTACCAGGCGCGGGCGATGCGCGCATACTGAGAGGCAGAGGGACTTGCTCAGGATTTGTGAAGTCGCGTGGCCTATTTGCCGTCGAAGGACGAGGGTAGTCTTGGCTTGGGCGACCATTGCCACTCGTACTGCTCACAGCGCTTCTCGCAGGACTTCCAGATGGTCCTCTAGCTCCTGGAAACGCACCCGGCCCGCTAAAAGCTCGCCGCTCGTCCCCTTCGTCGAAGCTCTGCTGTCTGTTCGGTCGCGTAAAGCTTTGCCCACCGTAGGGTTGCTGGTACTGAGCGATCGGTGTAGGTAGAGGTTGCTGGCTCTGGCTAGGCATAGGAGGAGGAGGTTCCTCGTAGTCATAGTCGTCGTAAGGATCGTAGCCGCCCCAGTCGCCGCCCGAGTAGTCGTAGGTTCGTGCTGTGTTCCATTTCTGCGTTCGGTTACGGCCTGGGACTGTTTTGAAGGAGACGTTTGGTTGGCTCGGTCCTGGTGGTGGACGTGCCATGGTTGTGTTGTGGGATTATCTGCAGTTAACGATCATGGTACACGTCGTTGGTATGGGGGCAGATGATGGCGCTGCTGGCGGTCGTAGGTAGGTGAGAGAAGGGTGGTCCGAAGAGGTATGGGCGGAGGAATAGGAGGTGGTGTCCTCTGGCGAATGGAGGTGCAAGACACGGCGGTAGGAGGAAGTAGAAGTCAATTGTTCGTCGTCAATGAGCTTGGGCCTGGTGGATGTAGCGTAGATCAAGATATTGGGGAAACCTTGTTCCGACTCCGATCCAGCATCAATTTCAAGGAATAATTAACAGCTCGCTATACCGCAGGAAGAAGGATTAAGGTGGGATAAGTTGGCAGCGTTTCAAGGCCGGCCGCCATCGAGGTTGTGTCGCTGAGCCGCGACGACTTGCGCAACGCCATCACCTCTTTGTTCCCGCTCTTGGCACTTCGGCCAGATCGGCTGCTTCGACACGTGCCGCCATCCGGCGCTTTCGAGGCGACAGTAATAATAGATTGACTTCACCTACAACACCACCTGTATACAACCACCCACACCCGGAACAACCGCCATTCTACGCCGACGCTATACCATCACCACCCCTGCGACCACCACATACACCGAACCCGGGCCGTAGAAGAAAGGAGACCCCCAGGCGCAACCACAACCCACAGCGACCACCCATCCAACGCGGCCACCCCGGCCAACACCTCTCCCTCGCAGCCTCCCCAACCCTCCCGGCCCATGCTCGCCATGTCCACCCCCCACACCATCCAAGACCGCACCCCCGAATTCCGCTCCATCCTCCATGCCGCCCAGAAATCCCTCGCCCGCCAACGAAAGCCGCCCGGCCAGCAACCGCTCCTCAACAACGGCGCTCCCACCCCTCCGACTCGCCAACAGCGCTCCGAGTTCGCGCGCAATGCTGCAAATATCGGGCGAGGCATTAGCGCTACGATGGGGAAGTTGCAGAGACTAGGAGAGCTGGCGAAGCGGAAAACGCTGTTCGACGACCGGCCGGTGGAGATTGCTGAACTGACGTATGTGATCAAGCAAGACCTTGCAGGACTGAACCAGCAGATCGGGAGGTTGCAGCAGATGTCCCGGCAACAAGGCATGACCGGCGGTGCCAGCGCGGGAGGAGGCAAAGGCGGGCAGGAAGAAGAGCATAATAAGAACGTCGTAGTGCTTTTGCAGGGGAAGTTGGCAGATGTAGGCGTCAATTTTAAAGAAGTGCTCGAGGTCCGCACGAAGAATATTCAGGCCAGCAGGAGTAGGCAGGACAATTTCGTCTCCTCCGTCTCGCAAACCTCCGCTTCAGCACAAGGTCTCGATGCCGGGAGGACAGATAGCCCGCTCTACCAGACCCCTGCATCCCGAGGCCGCAGCCCCGCCCCCGGAGCAGCAGCAGCGCGACAACAACCAGGCGACGCGGTCCTCTCCCTCGACGGCCCCACCAACTCCTCGGCCCTCTACGGCAACTCCCCCCACCAACAATCCCAACTCCAAATCCAAGAGCAAGAATCCTCAAACTCCTACATAACCCAACGCGGCGAAGCCATCGAAGCCATCGAACGCACCATCAACGAACTCGGTGGCATCTTTGGGCAACTCGCGCAAATGGTTTCCGAGCAAGCGGAGCAGATCCAGCGCATCGACGCGAATACAGATGATGTGGTGGATAATGTCGAGGGGGCGCAGAGGGAGTTGATGAAGTATTGGGGGAGGGTGCAGGGGAATCGGTGGTTGGTTGCGAAGATGTTTGGGGTGCTGATGGTCTTTTTTTTGATTTGGGTTCTTGTTGCTGGGTGAGGGGGATATGAGGGGTAAGAGGGGAAGCAGGGAGGGAGAAGGGTTCGGTTTTGTGCTGTACTTCGAGCGATGGGTTGGGCTTAGATGTTGTAATTACTTCTTAGCATGGAAGAGTTGGGATAGAGATGGGCAGGGTCTGCAAGAGACTTGAGAAACGCATTTGGAGAATTGCACAGAGCTATTCAATCTTCCATCTGCGGGTAACTGAGATCATCTGTACACCCTCATCCAATTAAGCAGAGATCTGCTTGTCGTGCGCAGCACATGCACGAAAGCTCGCAATGTCCTCTGAACCTTTTGACTGGCGGTGACTGAGTGAGCCGGCTTGGGGGTCTCTTCTTCAAGGACACTCCGCTGGACATCGAGCGTATATAGACGCTGTATCGTCCGCGATGCCTTCACACAACCACTCGGACCTTGTGTCTTCACTGGCTGAATTTGAACATCCACCACACGGGGCCTCCTTGTCCTTTGCCTTCGACGGCAAGTCTTCTACTCAATCAAACCGGAGAGCTCGCGCGAGCCTTGCGCCTTGCAAGTAGCAGAGCCCGTCGCGCTGCATCGTCATGCCTCCGCCCACGTCGGCGCTTAAGCGCACTCGAACCGCTCGGTCCTCAGTCCCAATCACTATCCTCGTCATCCCCCAACCCCCGTCCCACCCCGCCCTGCCTTAACCCCCTCCTCTCTCCATCCCCCACCTCTCCACTATCTCCCTCCCCCTTCCTCTTAAGCCTCGCGTCCTCCCTCTTCACGACCCCAAGCTCAATCATCACCCCTTCGATATTGGAGACACCAACTTTCTCCTCTCCCAACTCCCCCAACCCGACAACCGTCTTCCGCACATCCCCATCCTTATACACCAGAACCGTCGGACAATTCCGCTCCGGATACCCTTCGATACACAAATCCCCTCGCATCTGGCAGAACTTCACATCCCCCCACTTCCTCGCCAGATCCCTCCACACGCCTTCTAAAAGGCGGGAAGGCGTGTTGGAGGCTGTTAACAAAACGAATATGAAGGCTTTATGTGAGGCGTCGGTGACTTCTTTCGTCCAGTCCGGTTTCGCCAAAGGATATACTTGGTTGTACACGCTCGCGTTCTGGATCGTGGAGAGCTCCTGCATCCGCTTCTGCCGGTACGAGTCCAGAAAGTCTTCGTCCTCTTCGTCTTCTAGCTCATCCAACTCTTCTAAGTCTTTGCCTTCGAGGCGGTTTTCGTGCGCGAGGCGGCGCGCTTCGGTCAGGGCTTCCTCGATCATGGGGGTCGGCGATGGAGGCTTCTCTGGTATGACGCCGTGTTTGCGGAGGATGTCGTTCCTGGAACGCTCTTCTCAGCCATTTCGTGGACAGGGTGGAGGAAAGAGACGGGGGGAGAAGAGGGAAGGGAAGGGATGAAGGGGATGTGAGACCTACCATTCGGTGTCGGCGTTGGGGTCGTCGACGGGGACGTTGACGGGCATGTCCATTTTGGCTGCTCGTATGGGAGTGTATACTGAGTCTTTACAGCTGGTTTGATGGTTTCTTCCTGTCTGATATACTGTAGACTTGGGACTTCAGGCAACGGAATAAAAGATCCAGCTCAATCACATGCTGTCGTGTCCGCCAAGACCTTCAAATCGGACTTCTCGAAAAGTGTCCTCCGACGTTCGACCGGAACGTCAGGGCATTGGACAGCAGCAACAACCTCCCTCGACACGTTCCTTTGTATGTAGCGCCCACATCCACCACCCCCTCTCAACCGGCGCGATGAGTTACAAAAAGGACGAAGACGACGTGGGCATCGTCAAAGTCGACCGCACCAGTGTCTTCCAGGAAGGTCAGCCTATACCCCCCTCCCTAAACACCCCCCTCTATACCCCTACTAAAGTGTTATAAAACAGCCCGCGTCTTCAACACCTCCCCCGTCTCCCCCCGCCGCTGCCGCATCCTCCTCACCAAAATCGCCCTCCTTCTCTTCACCGGCGAGAAGTTCCCCACCAACGAAGCCACATCCCTCTTCTTCGGGATTTCAAAACTGTTCCAGAATAAAGATGCCTCCCTCCGCCAGATGGTGTACCTGGTCATCAAGGAGCTGGCGAATACGGCCGAAGATGTGATTATGGTGACGAGCTCGATTATGAAGGATACGGCGGCTGTGGGGAGTGATGTGGTGTATCGCGCGAATGCTATTCGGGCGTTGTGTCGGATTATTGATGTATGACTGATCGTGAAAGGGGGAGGGCTACGTTGGGATGGCGAGTGCTGACATTTGTGGGCAGGCATCGACGGTGCAAGCCATTGAGCGGAATCTCAAGACGGCGATTGTGGACAAGACACCTTCTGTCTCCTCTGCTGCGCTGGTTTCGTCTTACCACCTTCTACCCATAGCACGCGACATCGTCCGGAGATGGCAATCAGAGACACAAGAAGCGGCATCGTCGTCAAAGTCGAGCGGAGGTTTCATGGGCTTTGGCGGTTCAGGACAACATATGGCAGCCGCCAACACAAACTACATGACCCAGTACCACGCCATTGGCCTTCTCTACCAGATGCGATCACACGACCGGATGGCTTTGGTCAAGATGGTGCAGCAATATTCGTCCGCCGGTGCCGTCAAGAGCCCAGCTGCCAGAGTCATGCTGGTACGACTAGCAGCAAAACTGGCTGAAGAAGACCCCAACCTCCGCAAACCTATGATGAAGCTCCTCGACGACTGGCTGCGCGACAAGAGCGAAATGGTCAATTTCGAAGCCGCCAAAGCCGTCTGCAACATGCCCGACCTCACAGACGCAGAAGTCGGCAACGCCATCCATGTCCTTCAACTCTTCCTCACTTCTCCTCGCGCTGTGACGAAGTTTGCGGCCATAAGAATCCTGCACACTTTCGCCAGCTTCAAGCCTGACGCAGTCCGACAATGCAACCCGGATATCGAGGCTCTCATCTCAAATACCAACCGTTCCATTGCCACTTTCGCCATCACTACTCTTCTAAAGACTGGCAACGAAGCCTCCGTCGACCGGCTCATGAAGCAGATCAGCACTTTCATGTCCGACATCACCGACGAGTTCAAGGTCACCGTCGTCGAAGCGATCCGAACTCTCTGCCTCAAATTCCCCTCGAAGCAAGCAGGCATGCTTGCCTTCCTCTCCGGCATCCTCCGCGACGAAGGCGGCTACGAGTTCAAGCGCGCCGTCGTGGAGTCCATGTTCGATTTGATCAAATTCGTTCCGGAGTCAAAGGAAGACGCCCTTGCCCACCTCTGCGAATTCATCGAGGACTGCGAGTTTACCAAACTCGCGGTGCGGATATTGCATTTGCTCGGGCTGGAGGGGCCGAGGACTGCGCAGCCAACGAAGTATATCCGGTACATCTACAACAGAGTTGTGCTGGAGAACGCCATTGTGCGCGCGGCTGCGGTGACTGCGCTGGCGAAGTTTGGCGTTGGGCAGAAGGATCCGGAGGTCAAGAGGAGTGTCGGGGTGTTGCTGCGGAGGTGTCTGGATGATACGGATGATGAGGTGCGGGATCGGGCGGCGTTGAATTTGCGGTTGATGAAGGAGGATGATGAGATGGCTGTAAAGTTTGTGCGGCATGGTGAGCTTTCCACACCCTTCCAGACCTGCTGATCCTCTGCTAATATTAGGCTTGCAGACTCCATGTTCTCCCTCCCCATCCTCGAAGACCAACTCGCCCACTACGTCAACGGCGGCTCTGCCTCCGCCTTCGCCACCCCCTTCGACTTCGCCTCCGTCCCCGTCGTCACCCGCGAACAATCCCTCGCCGAAGACCGCACCAAGAAACTCACCACCGCCACGCCCACCCTCAAAGCCCCCTCTGTTGGACCGAAGAAATCCGAACCCGGCACTGCAGTCGCCGACGCCGCGCGCGAGCAAGCCGCTGCGAGCCAGAAGTACGCGCAGCAGTTGTCTGCTATCCCCGAGCTGGCGGAATTTGGCACCGTGCTCAAGAGTTCGAGTGTGGTGGAGTTGACGGAGAGCGAGACGGAGTATGTCGTTTCGGCCGTCAAGCACCTGTTCAAAGAACACGTGGTGTTGCAGTTCGACATCAAGAACACTCTCGCCGACTACGTCCTCGGCGACGTTTCTGTCGTCTGCACCGCCTCTTCTCCCGAGTCGGAGGAAGGCGACGAGAGCTCTGGCCTGGAGGAAGAGTTCTTCATCCCCGTTCCTCTGATCAAGCAAGACGAGCCCGGCACGGTCTACGTCTCCTTCTCCCGCCCGGAAAGCGAGCAGTTCACCGCTGCGTCTTTCACGAACGTCCTCAAATTCACCCTCCGCGAAATCGACCCTTCCACTGGCGAAGCGGAGGAAGGCGGCTACGACGACGAATACCAAGTCGAAGACCTCGAGCTCACTGGCGCCGACTACATTTTACCGGCATTCTCCGGCAGCTTCGATACCGTCTGGTCCGCGCTCGACGGGCAGGAAGAAGCGGAGGAGACGCTGCAACTCTCCGCCGCGAAGAGTATCCAAGAAGCTGTCGAGCAGCTCGTTAAAGTGCTTGGGATGCAGCCGCTCGAGGGATCCGAAGTGGCGTTGAGTACGAGCACGCATAATTTGAGGTTGTGCGGGCGGAGTGTTATGGGCGGACGGGTAGCGGGGAGTGTGCGGATGGCTTTTAGTGCGAAGAGTGGGGTTACTGTGAAGGTTGTGGTGCGGAGTGAGGAGGTTGGGTTGGCGGGGGCGGTTTTGGGGGCGGTTGCTTGAGTGTGCGAAGAAATGTTAGAGGGGATGGTGTAGGGGCATGCTGGGGTATGCTGGGGTTTGGGGTTCGGCGTTGTGGGTTGAGTGGGCAAGCTTTAGGATCACTTTAGCGTTGATGAGAAGGGCAGGTTACTCAGAGATGGAGTACGTTGTACGTTGTATGATGCTGCCCATTGATGCTCTAAGGGGACGTTTCGCTTGATGCACGACCCTGGCTCTGACAACGTGTGAGGCCATAACATGCTTTGACGAACACAGGTATGCTCTTCTTCATGCTTGCCGCTCTCTTGACAACCTCGACCTCGACCGCAGCGCCGAACGCCCGTTACACCCTTCGCAAAGCTTTCTGACATCAGTCAAATGCGGGGTCAGGGACGGACGGAATCTACTACCCTAATGCAAGGAACATGTTGGAGAAGGTGAGTATCGAAGCCAACCTGAACTTTTCAAAGGCTATTCCCTTTGCTCAAACACAACTCCAGAAGTCCGCAGATCGAAACACCAACAACCATGGCCACAACTCCAGAAGCAGCCGAGACTTTCGACCACGCCAACCAACCGGTAACGCACCACCGCTACCGCATCAACGGTATCCGCATGCACTTCATCACCGCCGGCACTGGGCCTCCTTTACTCCTCCTCCACGGCACGCCCAAGAACTCGTTCTACTGGTACCGCATCTTCCCCCTCCTAACCCGGTATTTCACGCTCGTGGCGCCGGATCTGAGGGGGTTCGGGTACACGGATAAACCGCCTTCGACGACGGGATATACGAGTGAGGAGAATGCTGATGACATGGCTGAACTGATGAGCCAACTCGGACACCAGGAGTTCGTCGTGCACGGTAAGGTGCTGAGCCACTCAGGGCCACCGTGACATGTACATGCACGTCTGCTGATTCTCAGGCGATTGTTGGTTGTAGGTGAAGACCGCGGCGCTGACTACGCGTATGCTTTGGCTGCGAAGTATCCCGAGAGGATCAAGGGGGTATGTTTTGGGGAAATGGTGCTGAGCGGGTTTGGGTTGGAGGAGACGAGTTTTTGGACGCCCGAGAATGTGAGCAGGCAGTATAGGAAGGAGGGGGTGTGGTGCTGGCATTTGGGCTTCTTTGCTATTCCGGGGTTGCCGGAGATGCTGATTCAAGGGAAGGAGAGGGAGTTTTGGGTAAGTTCGTGTTTCTTTTGTGCTGTGGTGGGGAAATGGGATGGGAGTGCTGAGAGGGAAGAAGTTTTGCTCGAGCATTTCAGAGAGGCTGATGAAAGAGTGCTTGCTAGGAGATGTTCATGAAGCAGGAGTGCTACAATCCAACCACAATCGAGCCCAAGGCGCTCAATCATTGGATCGAGTGCGTGAAGCAGCCTGGGTGTTTGAGCGGGATCCTGGCCACTTACCGTGCTGGACATGAGAACGGAGCTATTCATCACCGGATGCTGAAGGAGGGAGGAAAATTGAAGATGCCTGTGATGACCATCGGGGCACCTGAGTTCTTCGGCCCGCAGGTTGAGGAGTGTATTTCTAAGGTTGTGGAGATAGTGCAGAGGAGTGAGCTGTTTGAGGAGTGTGGACACAGTCTTGCGCTCGAGAAGCCGGAGAGGTTGGCGAGATGCTTGACAGAGTTCTTTCTGGGACAGCCGGTGGGCGGATAGTTACTGGGTTCCAGGGGCTGCCGTGCACAGTGACCACACCCTCACTCGAGCTGTGTTGATGCGGGATACTCTCTCGGCAGACACAATCGTGCGTCCAATCGCGGGTTATCGAGGCAGGACATCACACCTTGCGTTGATGGAGTGTAGAAAGGCTGGAAGGATGCATAGTGGATGTTCATTTAGACGAAGTCCAGATATGCCAAGCGTTTTTAGCGCGAGTGCCTGATCCGGCTTTTGAGATTCTTTTAGACCTCACCTCCTCCTGCAACTTCACCTGCCATGTTTCTTCTCCGCTAATCATGTCTCATTAAGACCCCAAAGCCTTGTCCGATCGTTTCCACACCCACCAAGGTACTGAGACGGGGCCATTGACAAGCAGGCGATGAAAAGCGGCCGTCTGAAAACAGCTTTGTCCTGTCGCGTGCCACAGCCGGATTTCGTTAGAGACCTGCAAAGGCACAAGTCTACTGCTACAAGAGTATAGCAAACTCCGGCAGACTCGCTCCAGCTGTAATATCAAGCCACTCTCCAAGTCGACTGCTCATACCGGACAATTGCAGACACCTTCGACATCTGCTAAGGAGCTTTCGTACACCGCTCAAGCGCGCTCACGTGCCAACTTTTCAGACACACGAACAGATCAGACTTAACCAAAATGGTCTCCGATCAGGAACTGGAGCAGTCGACTGCGCAGCTCGCAGACTTCCGCAACGCACATGAACAGCACACCACGACCTTGTCTGAGCTTCTGGAGAAGTACGGCACTTTAATCCAGGATTACCAAAGACTACGCAGCGACCTCGAAGAAGAGCGTGACGCTCGCGAGAAGTACAAACAATTGGCAAAAGGCCAAGAGCGTAACCCATTCGTCCTCGTCCTCATCGATGGTGATGGTTATGTATTCGACGACGATTTGATCAGTAACGGCGCAGAAGGCGGTCAGAGGGCTGCACACCTGCTCAACGACGCAGTCCGTAGCAGCCTCCGCAGCCGCGGCCTAGACCACTGCCGTGTTATGGTACGAGTGTATGCGAATGTGGTGGGCTTGTCCAAAGCACTGTCCCGCCACAAGCTCGCCGGACAGGAAAAGAGGAGTATCGCACCCTTCATCGCCAACTTCAACCGCTCGAATGACTTGTTCGACTTCGTTGATGCTGGCGAAATGAAGGAGAACGCGGACTTCAAGATTAGAGCAATGTTCCGCCAATTCGCGGAGAATGCTCAATGCAAGCATATATACTTTGCTGCCTGTCACGATGTGGGCTACGTCTCTGAGCTGAATCCTTACAGCAACGTCGGCAACAGAGATCGTATCACACTCGTCAGGACACCAGCATTCCACCGCGAGTTCACTAAGTTGGGCTTGCGAATTGAAGACTTCACAAACGTCTTCCGTACCACGCAGCTGGAGAGCCAGCCGGCTCAATCAATGATGAGCCCGGCTAAGGCGATCCAGCAGCATACCAGCAACAACCAAACCGCAGCACCTGCTGCTAACGACAATGCACAGATCTGTTCGTTCTACTAGAAAGGAATGTGCAAGTATGGCAAAGGGTGCAAGTTCCAGCACGTCAAAGCCACCACCAACAACCACAGCGCTAACCCCAGCTTATCCGACATCAAGAACTGGCGCCAAAACAGCACCGAGCAAGTCCTCCCCTTCAGCATGCCCAAACTAAGCAAAACCGACAACGACTTCATGTCCAGCAACAACAACAAACCCACCTCACCCCAACCCGACGCAATGCAACTACAAATCGACTTCGCCACCCTCCTCCCCCGCGCCGAAAACATCCCTCCGGGCCACATTCCCGTCAACAAGACCTCCCACCGCATCGACGCCTACATCCCTCCCATCTCCGGCGCGGACAAAGCCGACTTCAACGCCCGCACCGCCAGGAAGAAACTGTGCAACCACTTCCACATAAACGGCACATGCGTCGCCGGCGACAACTGCGCGTACGACCACCGCCCCGCCTCACCGGAGGTGTTGAATTGTCTGAAGCAGGTCGTGTTTAACAATCCCTGCCCGAAGAGAGGCGGGTGTAGGAATCTGGGCTGTTTGTACGGGCATTTGTGTCAGAAGGCGGAGTGTAAGTATAGGGGCGGAGGGGTGTTTTGTAAGTTCCCCGGCCCGAGCCATTATCAGAGTGTGGAGTGTGTGGGGTTTGTGGAGGGGGTGGTTAAGGGTGGTGGGACGGTGGGTGTGAGTGTGGCTGCGGTGGAGGAGGATGGAAAGAGTGTCAGTGCGAGCACGAGTGGGAAGGGCTCGACGGAGTCTAGGGATGGGACGCCGCCGCCGCCGAAGACGCCGGGGTTCGGGGAAGTGGAGGATGGGGAAGGGGAGGGGGCTTTGTTGGATCTCGGCAGCGATGATGTTGACTAGGTGTTGCGTCAGGACCTGTCGTCGTTCGGGAATAGCTCTGGAGGAGTGAGAATTGCTGCTCCACTGAAGACTCTAATGCTGACTAGTGAGGAGTATGCAAGGTTGGAAGAAAGCAGGCTTGAAGCGGAAGAGGCAAGGAGGCGTATTTGGTACGAGGGACGAGGGCTGTTCTAGGCATATCGAAGATATGTTTTGCAGCAGCAAAAAGACTATAGGTGTGCTGAAGTGGGCTGGGATACGAGCTCATGCTGGCGGTTGCTGGACACAAGCTTGTGCATGAAAGGGTGATCGACGCGGAAAGAAAGACGTACTTGCTACTTCCGTGGTAGCAGAAACGATACATCAGGGTGTAGCTTAACTGCATCGTACATCTCATTGCCGACTCTATCTTCTCTTCGCTTGTTGTCATTGTTGGTTGTCTGTACCCGGCCGAAGTGCTGAAGGCATCTTGTATCGTACAACTTCATCGTTTCCGTTTCTTATCATCTCATAACGCCATACCTGCAACATTCCACTACGGAACCCAGCAAAACATCCATCCACTCATCTGACACCTTTACAACCCACCATTTGCTCCTCCCTCAATCCTCAATACCGCCCCCCAAAAGCGAACCTCCCACCCACCAACCCCCCTCCCCCTGCACCCGCCACGCTCTGCCACCCCGTCCCATTCCCCCTACCTCTCCTAGAACGCAACCTCTCTCCACTCCACTCCCTCGTCCCAGCGTACCGCGAATCCCGACCAACCCTCGCCGGCGGCGTGCCCCACTGCGCATCGTAGAAACTCTCGTTCCCCTTCCCGCCCCGATCGACCATCCATTCGGCAGGTTTGCTCCAGGGACAGAAGTAGTCCTTCCGTTTCTCGACGAGGCCTTGGGTGTAAGCGGACAGGTTCTCGAGGACGGGGATGAGGAGGCGGGTGATGTCGAGGCGGGTATCGTTTGGGTCGGAAGCGGAGGATGATTGCATGGTTTGGCAGAGGGCTTCGTGGCGGACGAAGGTGGTGCCGCTGGTGTACCATTCGTGGAGGCGGGCGTCGTAGGTTTCACGGGGGGTTTTGGTGGTGTCGTCGTCGGAGGCGATGGCGGGGTTGGTGGGGAGCTCGGAGGGGAAGAATGGGGCTTGGAGGGTTTGTGGGGTGGGTTGTGGGGCTGCGGTGCGGGTGATCAGGGGCGTGGTTTGGGTGTAAGATTGCTTGCTTGGCGGCGGGTCGGGGCTGCTGTTTTGGAGGATGTTCGTCGTGGTGCTGCCGGTTGGTGAAGATGACTTTGGCAGCGGAGGCACCAGACCAGTTGGAAAGAATCGCGACAAGCTTGGAGTCAACGTTGGCGGAGGCTGCAACTTCCTACCAGCCACCCTACGGCTGAATGCTGTCGTTGATTCTTGGTCATCCTCCTTCGTCGCCTGCTTGGGCTTCTCCGGAGTCGACTCGCTCTGGAAGGGGTCGAAGAGGACAGTGCGGATGTTTGCTTGGCTCTGGCTGCGCTCTTTGGCCGTCTCGGGAAGCTTCCAGAGCTGATCCCGTGCAGCTATGCGAGGATTGAAAGGAACGGCATGCTGAGGCTGCGGTGCAGCGAGCTCGGTGAGGGGCTGACTGACAGTGCTGGATGCTTCGGCTTCATCCGGCCCGATGTGACAGGCCGTCTGGCGAGAAGGCTGGTTTTGCTCTGGCGCGTTGCTTCCTTCGAATCTGTAAATCTGCTTGGGTGGATCTTCCCGTTGGTTGGCCAGCCTGTGCTGATAGGGAGAGCCAGCTACTGAATGACCGTCGTAGGGCGTACGAGCAGCTGCTGAAGAGGTCGGCGGGAAGTGAAAGTCGTAATTTAGCCCCAGCGACCGCGACGGGTAGTTCGGACGATAGACCGGGCCGAAGCGCGGATCCAAGTGCTGCGGACAGAGTTGGCCATACACCTGATTGTAAGGCCCAGTCAAACGCGGAGCCAGGTAAAGTGAATTCTCTCGATTCGAACCATACACGGAAAAGTTCGGGTTCATGCCGTTGAAGCTGTTGCGTGATTGGTACTGGGCGTATTGCTCGAACTGCGGTGGAAGCGATGGTCGGGGAGTATTCTCAGTCGCAGGGTGATGGTGCGTTGTGTAATGGATTTGGGGTGACGCATGCTGTGATTGATGCAGCGTGGCCTCTTTGACTCCATCCTCTCGGTTTGCTCCACTCAACGTGGTCGGATACGCCGCGGGTTGCTCGCTGGGCGGCTCAGGAATAGCAGCCTGGATCTCCTTCGGCCCGAACTCGAGTCCTTCGACGTTTGCTTCGCGCTGTTTAGCAACGATGCGGAAGTACGCCAGAGTGTTCCGCTGGAGGGTCTGGTACGCCGTCTCACCCTTCAGCCTATCTGAAGCAAGCTGACCTTCAAGCTTCTTGCGGATGTTGGAGTATTGGCCGATATTCTCCCACTGGTAGCGATCCGTCGACCACTGATGGGCTGAGACATCGCCGTTTGGGTGCTGGAGGAACTGAAGCTGGCCATTCTTGTAGCCGGGATGCTGTTCGATGAAAGATGGACCAGGCAGGTCACCGCCGAAGACTTGGCGGACGTCGCGATTGTCAAATTCAGCCTCCACAGTGGTCTGACGTGGCTCAGGTTTGCTCTCGTAAGCATCCAGCTGACTTGCCTGCTTCCTGCCCTTGCGGCCCTGATACACCTGGAAGCCGCTGTCAGTGAGCATGGAGTCTTGGCGTTCTATGTCCGAATGGCCAGTATCGCTGGTGCGATGGGAGAGTACGGATGCGGAACGTGCGAGTGAAGGAGCACGAGAAGCCGGGCGGAATGTGTTGACGCGGACTTCGACCGGTGCGCCGCCTTCATCTTGGGGACGTGGCGTCGCACCATCGGCGGTGAAGTCGAATGGCTTCCACCTGGTATTCTTGCCACGTGAAGTTTGAGCACGTCTGTCGAGTGGTAAAGGACCTTGTCGAGCAGCATCTGCTTCTTCGTACTTTGCACGCTGACGTTCCAGCTTAGCCTCTGCTATAGACTTTGCCGAGACGTCATGTGAAGGCGCGTTGGGTGGCATGGTGGAGAGGAAGCTATGCGTGGGGCTGTTACTTTCCTTGTCAGTAGCGGAGGATACGTTCTTCTCCAAGCTCAAGTCACTGCGCTGGCCTTTCAGCTGTGGTGGTTTGGTGGGACCGCGTGACTGGTCTGGTGGTGAGGAAGAGGTGGCGACCTGTGGAGTGCCAACCGGGAGGCGGCTCACCGGCAGCGCGGCGGCCGAGATGGGATTGAGGCGACGGCGAGGTGGCATTCGTACGGGGGGTAGCGACAGTGGCGGCGCTGTACTGTCCAGCCGGCAGGAGGGGTGGAGAGCTTCTTGTATGTCTTCGTCCAGTACAGTATGAGCGTGTCGCACAAGTAAGTCCGAGATGGGGCGGAAGAAAAGGTCATCAAGCGGACGGTGAGTGGCTGTCCGTGGATTCTCGAACGGAAAAGGAAGGCACGCTAGGGTCGATGCCTGCTTGCACCTTCTGAGACGTCTTCTGCAACTTCACTTCTTCAAACACGACGCTGACCAGCAGCATCTAGGACTTGAGAGATATGAACACCACAGCTACTTACCACACGGTGTCGGTTCCATGGTTGCGTGCTGCTCAGACAACTCACCAGGCATTCACACAGGACAATTGCAACATACGACACCTGGGACTGCGCCATCCTCTTGACTACACCCCCTGCGGCTTGGACACCATGGCATGACGCCCCGCAAGGTCGAAGGCAATACAAAACGACAACCCTCGCACGCCATCACCTGCTGGGCAACGACAAAGCAGTAGCCCAAGCATAGAGGCCGGTGATCTGAAGCGCGGTTCCAGAAGTCTGGGATATCATCGCTTGCCCAAAAAGGTCTTGTCAGGTTGAAATCGCTGCCGCAGAAGCGCAGGCTCCGCTCGAAGACTGCCACAATCGCCCCGAGAAGGAAGTCAAATGAAAGTGAAGTCAAGTCGCGAAAGCAAGCGCGATCGGCTGCAAAGTAACATGCTGGCAAGTACGCAAGCCATGATTGAGAGCACTTTGAATTCACTTCTCCGCCTTTGCGCTCCACCTCCGCACGTTGTCGGCGCATTGGTAGCCGAAGTTGAGGGCGGAAACAAGCCGGACGACTTCATCACAGTCGTAACCACTTCAAGCTCTTCCTTTGCCTTGCTCGCGTGTTTCTCACACCAATTATCTCGGGGCAGTAGGTAATCATCAAAGCCTATCTCCTTCTCATCAACATCTTCTCCAACGTTTGTTGCACGCAGTTTCAATCGCAATGGCTTCAGACGGGAAGATCACAGTGTCCGAGGTGGCCAAACACGCCACACCGGACGACTGCTGGATAGTAGTCAATGGCAAGGTCTATGATCTGACCAACTTCGCCCCTGAGCATCCAGGCGGTGCATCAAGTACGTTCGCTTCACCCAACAGTGTCGATAGTAATGCTAAATCATTCAAGTCGTCTACCAATACGCTGGCAAAGACGGCACAAAAACATACAACATGTACCACTCCGCCGACCTCATCGAGCAAAACCTCTCCGACTCGGACAAAAAAGGGCCTCTTGATGAATCCACCATCACGCAAACCTGGCTCGACGCGCAAAAAGAAGAGGAGCAAGTCGAAGCCGACCCCAACGAGAAACCGCCTCTCTCCACCCTCATCAACCTCGAAGACTTCGAGCTCGCCTTCGAAAAGTCCGGCGCGAAGAAAGCCTGGGCCTACATCCACGGCGCCTCCAACGACCTGCACTCCCTCAACGCTAACAAGTCCGCCTGGGGCAAACTCTGGTTCCGCCCACGCATCATGCGCAAAGTCCGCGACATCAACACCAAAATGTCCATGTTCGGCCAACCTTCCGCGATGCCCGTCTGGATCTGCCCCATGGGCATCGCCAAAACCGCCGGGGAAGAAGGCGAGCGCGCTCTCGGCGGCGGCGCAGCGAAAGGCGGCATAATCCACTGCATGTCGACCTCCTCGTCCATGCCGCCGGAGGATATCGTAACGGCCGCGCCAAAAACGTACCCTTTCTTCTTCCAACTCTACGTCGACCGCACGCGCGAGAAGACTGAAGCTCTGCTCGCTCGTCTCAACCAGCTGGACCAAGTGAAAGCCCTCTTCGTCACTGTCGACCTCCCCGTCGTCAGCAAACGCGAAGCCGACGAGCGCATCCGCCAGCCGACGCTCAAAATGAGCAATTACTTCGGCGACGCGAATAAATCCTCCGTCGACAAGATCGGTGGCGGTCTGGCACGAACTACTGGAAACTTCATCGACAATACGCTGAACTGGGAGGACCTGGCGTGGTTGCGGAAACACACGCATTTGCCTATTGTGGTGAAGGGGATCCAGAGCGCCGAGGACGCGAAGATTGCGATGCAGATGGGTTGTGCGGGGATTGTGATTTCGAACCATGGGGGCAGGGCGTTGGATAATGCGCCGAGTACGTTGATGGTTTTGATGGAGTTGAGGAGGGATTGTCCCGAGATCTTTGACAAGATGGAGGTACATATTGATGGTGGCGTGAGGAGGGGAAGTGATGTGCTGAAAGCTATCTTGCTGGGCGCGAGAGGAGTTGGGGTGGGAAGGCCGTTCCAGTGTGCGGTGGCGTATGGGACTGAAGGGGTGGAACACGCTTGTGAGCGTAAGTCTTGTCCTTCCCTTTCCTCATTGTTTCTTGCTGCGCGGGCGGTGTGCTGACGATGGTGCAGTGCTGCAAGATGAGGTCGAAACAGCGATGCGCCTCTGCGGCGTCACGGACCTGGAGAAGGCGAGGGGCGATATGTCGTACCTCAACTGCGCGGAGCTGGAGCCGATGTTGCCGCCGCGGCCGAGTACGGGGTCGTGGTTGTTCGGACGGTTGAGGGCGAGACTGTGAGACGGTATGGCGGACAGGGCGGCGCGGAGAGAGGATGCCGATATGTCTTTTTTTCGCAAAGCATTGTATGTATCACTTACATCTAGATTGACGGTGCCGCACCGCAGCTTCAAAGACATGGGCACAACTTCCTTTGCGCGCCCGCGCATCCTCCGTGGTCAGGGGTTGTATAGATCGTCCTTTGTGACATCATGCTCCCATTTGCGAGTAGATGGAGCTGAACCGCAGCTTCGACCAGAAAAGAACGTTGCTTGCGCGACACGATAACGCCGAGCATCGCCATGTTGTTAGCTAGCACGACGCAAAGTCAGCACTCTGCTCTCCATCTCAGCCACAACTTCTTCACCTCAGCACCAACCTCTCTGCTGACCAAGATCAACATCCCCTCTTCATTGGTGGCAAGGTGGTTAGGAGTGTTTGTTTGACCTCTTCGATCATGGCAGATGATGCTCGATGGAGGAGCGCATTGCGGCCATCGTTCAGCTGTGAGGATATCGACCAGAGCAACGTTGCGAGCTGGTGATGCAATGGGACGCCTGACGCATCAATGGCTCTCTGGCGGAGTGAAACGGAGTCGAGGTCTGGGAGAGGTGTCTATATAAGAGCACGAATATGCCACCAAACGTGTCGGTAGAGCGTCAGCCAACGGATAGCATTCGATGGATCTGGGCACGATGGCAGAAGCTCAGGAGCAGCCGACAGATCACACTAATAAGATCCAGCCTTCTTCACCACTTACCCCAGCAGATACGCTTGGGGAGAGTCCACAAGATGCGCACAGGCCGGTCGAATGCTCGTGTGACTCCAAGCATACTGCGCACATTTCCGACGCACCCTCCAACGTCGACTACGGCATCCCGACAAGCACCACCGACTCCTCGTTCGGCTGGAAGTATACATATGAGTCTGCCCAGCCGTCGCAACCCAGCAATCGCCATTGCGAAGGACGACCATGGAGAACCACGCTTTTCCGCTTCGGTCCGCTTACTGGGCTCCTTGCCATGCTCCTGGCGCTGGCGAGTATGGTCGCTTCGTCGGGGGTCCTTGTCGGTTCGCACGGCGCGGACACTCGGTCGTGGACGGCGCCTCCCGCAACGTACCTTGCGGTGTTGACGGCGGTGGCGAATTTGTGTGTGAGGTATGCTTGCTTGCAAGGTATGTTGCTGCATGATTCATTCCGAAAGCCTGGGCGTGGCTCCTGCTGATGATGTCGTGGTAGGTGTGGTCGTAGCATGGTGGTATCGAGCTGGGAAGGGCACGACGCTTACGAAGCTACACCATGACTGGCGGGCGGGACGACGGTGCTGGGTGCACTCACGGCGGGAAGACATATTGGTCTTCTTGGGGTTGCGTGCCTCGCAGCCACTTTTGTCGAGATTGGTGCGTCACTTCTCATCCTGTAGCATGTCCAACGTAGGGTCGTTCAAGCGCTGACCAGGCAAGAGACGGTCCATTGCTGCAACGAGCTTCCATCTTGTCCACAGCCGCGTACTTCGACTACGCCGTCTCCCTCAACGTCTCCATGGGCAGCCAACTGCCCACGAACTGGGACCACGCCGGCTGGCAGCGCGCACCGTTGTCGGACACCGTCAGCCACTGGAGCCAAGTCTTCAACGACACCGTGCCTATCGGCGGCAATCGCACTGCTCCGAACAACCTTTGGCCCTTACCCTCTGTGAAGAGCCCTGAGCTGTACAGAGACTTGACTGCTCTGGTGCGCTCGAATGCTCCGCTTTCGGGGATAAATGGCTGTCCGCAGACGTGCAAAGCTGTGATCCGCGCCCCGGCGTTGACGCCTAGCATCTGCACCACGAACGAGTATCCCGTCGACTATCGGCTCACGGCTGTGAGAAACACGACGTTGCTCGGCTGGCTGGCGCCACCGCTCAAAGCGCAAGCGTTCCAGATCGCCGTGGGCCTCGTCGAGCCGGACGATGGAGGCCAGGAGAGCATACGCCTCGTAACCGCTTTTTACGACGGGGAAGACTGCAGTGGCATCCTGCACCAGACAGCTTGCACACTCGTCTCCGCGACCGCAGACTACAACATCACGATCCGCGACGGCACCGCCACCCTCGACGACCCGGGACATCCACACCTCGTCGCCCGCGCACACAACGCGCCCGTCGACCTCAGCATCGACCCCGCGATCGCCGGCCACCCTTCCACGCTGGCTAGCGTCATGACCCAGGCCTGGCTCAAATGGGAGGGCGGCGTGGCGGTCGTGGGCGACGACCGCCGGCGTCTCGCGCAGTACATCCAGGGTCAGTCGCCGGATACGTATCGCACGTATGGCGAACAGCTGTGTCCGAGGTACCGGGACCCGCGCGCTGATGTGGTGGCGGATCTGAATAGGATGATGGTCTGGGCGGGCATGGTCGCGGCGTATCAGGAGGAGCCGTACAGGTCGGTGTTGGAGTCGAGGATGGATCCCGGCGAGTATCTCGAGAGTGCTGTGACGGGACAGAGGATCGGAGATCACAGCGTCTACTCCGCCGATTGGGCGTATCTAATCGCTGCTGTGGTCGTGGCCGTCCTATGCGTCGCAACCATCGCTCCGATATACTGGGGCTGGTGGACCCTCGGGCGACCAGTTTCGTTTTCGCCACTGGAGATCGCAAAGGTACGTTCCCCCCCTCTTACCTCTTCCTCCCAAATCAGCAGCAGGACTGACCAACGTGCCCAGGCGTTCGAAGCACCTCTCCTCGAACCCAACGGATCGAACTGCTCTGATCGCGACCTCGCTCGTGACGCCGAGGGACGAGCAATTCGATACGGAGCCCGCAGCAACCTGTTCGTCAACGGGAAGACGAAGTTGTCGTTCGCTGATCCGCAGTACGTTGCTAAGCCGGTGTTTGGCTCGCGGTTCGCTTGAGGTCGGATGTTTTTCGAAAACGGTCTGTGGTATGCGATGCTCACGATGCGAGCTTTGTAACGTCCATCTCGATATCGTCTACGAGCAGTCAGTGATACTTGTAACAACTCGTCCATGACAACAGAGAGTCATGAACCGCGCAAACGTGGTAAGGATATGGGCTCCGAAAGGTTCCAGAGTGTTTCCTAGTAGCTGGAAGGTTCTATGTTGCGCCGCATGCATATTGTATTGCACGCTCCATGTGCGACTGGAGAGCCTGAGGAGGAGCAGTAAATAACTTCGCGTGAGCTGGACGAGTACGGTTGTCGACGGAGGTTGTCGCAGCGAGCTATGTGGGCTGAAGGTTGGCTTGATCGGAGTTGTTTCTTCTTCTTCGAATACATTACTGTTCTCATAAAGTAGTACATTACATAGAAACCACATTACTCATACTCCCACCCTTTTATCCAAACATACCGCATTGTCGTCGCCTGAGCGCCGGGCGTCCCTCCTCGCCCTATATATCCGTCCACTCCAATGGTACACCATCCCGCAGCCCGGACGAACGCGTTAATCGACAGTACGAGATCCCAAATTTCTTTTCTGTCCGCCATACAGTCTCACCCAAGCGTCGCGTCTCCATTACTCATACTCATCCTTCACCCTCCGCCCGCTCTCGCTATCCCGGAAGCTGCCCCTGCTGCGCGTGCTCCTCTTGCGCCCGAAATAGCTCTTCTTCTGGCCCGACGAGTCGCCGCGGTCTCCGCTGCCACCGACGCACAGCAGGACGGCGGCGATGAGCCAGCAGGCGAAAGCGGCCCAGGAGAAGCCGTAACCGTATTTGCCGAGGGAGGCGGATTGGCCGTTGCTGCGGAAGGCGTCGCGGGCTTGGACGGTCCAGGCGCTGCATCACACAGAGAGTTAGTGGGTTGTGTTTGACAGGAAAGAGGGGGATGCCACGCACGTCATGAGGCCTGCGGCGACTGCTTGCATCACGACGGCGATGAGCGCCATCATGCCGGTGAATTTGGCGGCCAATCGGGAGCAAAGCGCGAGCAAGCTCAAGAACAGCGCCATGACGGCGAAGAACAGGGCGATGATGTAGAAAGCCCAGGCCGCTCTGCTTTCATAGTAGTAGTCGTCATTATTCCTAAACCCCTGCGGAAGCCCATTCATCGTCTGGAAGTTCCTGCGCGGATCAAACGGCAGCGCCGCCGTGACCGGTCCACAGTTGGCATTGTTGCCGTTGCGCGCGCCGCAGACGGCGAAGTAGGTCCAGCGCGCGGGGTTGGGGACGGGGTTGTTGGAGGAGCCGGAGATGCCGTTGGTTTCGGCCTGCAGGAAGAAGACTTGGTTCATGGGCAGGGTGTTGATCGCGCCGGAGAGGATGATGAAGAGGGAGAGGACAATGCCGCCGGCGAGGAAGAAGATGGAGATGGCGGAGAGGATGGGGGTTTTGGCGCCCATTGTGGTGGTGGTGGTGGGAGGGCTGTTGACGGTTAGCTTTGCGCGTCGCGGTGGTGGAGTTTGCGCGCTGGTCGGCTCACCTCGGACAGGAGTGTTGTCGATGTAGGTATACACAGGTAGGATATCCCGTCGATCAACAGTCAGCGAAAAGGAGATGCGACACGGTCAAGCGAGGTCCAGAGCGATTCCAGAGAGCAGGCGCAGGACAACAGGAACACAGCGGAACAGGGGGTGGAGGTCGAGCTTTAGAGAACGCCCGGCTCAGTGACGTGTGCGTCCAAGGCGCAATGGAAGCGTTGGAGCCGCGCAGATTTGGTCCAGAAGACTTGCCCAATGCGCCGCCCAAAGTTGGTTTTGTCTGACGTAGGCGTAAACTTACTTTCCTCCTCTTTGTTGTGCTTGACTTTCTGCGAGTGCTGCGGCGGATGTTGTCGTGTTACCTTTCGACGCCGTTCTGGACTGCAGCTCGAGGGAGCCTGCGGATGTCCTTCAAACAGGTTCTGGCAGACGTCTGGAGCTCGAGGTGTTGGGTGTCGGTGCGTCATGCCATCGCGCCTTCCTCGTCGTCAGAGTGATCGACCTCGGGCCTGCCCGTCCCTTGGCATGCAGCTTCCCCATCCTTGTTCGTGATCGTTGCGTGCTTGTAGAAGGAAGATCGCGGCCACGAGCTGCTGGACGGTCGTGCAAGGACAGACACGGTCCCAAGTACACACAATGTCCACGCTGGTATACCCCCCCATCCCCGCCCACGATCTAGCCAAAGCCGAAGAGGACACGCGAACCAAAGAGCTCGAATGGCTGCTGTCCTCTCTGCAAGAAACACTCCAATCCCTCAAGTCCGGCCTTGAAGAGTGCGCTGGACTCCTCGCTCCCACCGAACCAGGCTCCACCCTCGTCCTGTCCTCTCTCCGCTCCGAGAACCTCAAGGGCTTCATCACCCGCGTCGGCACCCGCATCGTAAAGGGCGATATCTACCTGCGCCTGCCCTCCCTGATACCGCCGCGCGGCCAGAACGCGTACAAGCTCTCTCTATCCTCCCTACCCACCGCTTCGACAATCGTGCTCGAACAGCTTACGACGACGCGCACGTTGATCAACGCCTGTCTAGACGTCGTAGACGCAACACGCTGGACGGGCGACGCGCATAATGCAAACTTCATCTCGGGCCAGCTACGCTTACTACACGACAACATCCAGGAAGCCAAGTCCGCGCTGAAAGGCTGGACGGAAGGGCAAAAGACGTGGCACGAAGCTTCTTTGCCGGCAGACACTTTCAACCCTCCTTTACCGGACACCATCTCCTTCCACCTCAGTGTCAGCGAGGCAGCCGTGCTTCTCAACGTCCGCACGCTCGAGACAGCATACCCAGTCACTGGTACCAATACACCGCTCTCCTTGAACTCCGCCGGGGCAAGCCAGCAGTCTTACAGCGGATTCTCGCTACGGGAAAAGCTGGCTGGTGCGCTTGGTGTGGGAAGGCAAGTCTTCCACGACGAGGCGCATGAGGTCTTCACGTACAAGGGGCAGGATGTGCGGGTGAGGGACAAGGTGAGGGTGGAGAGCCAGGATCCGTGTTTGATGTCTGCGATGGCGAAGTTGGGCGCGTTGGAGAGGAGTGTGGCGGTGAGTCGGCGGGCGTTGGATGTAGTTATGGGGAGGGAGGGGGAGGAGGGTTGAAAGAAAAACATCTGTGCCGGCTAATCCATACAGCATAGGACGGCTCTTGCAAATGTCCCGTCCTTTCGACATGTTGGCCTGCGACTATGACAACCTCATCCAAATGTGGTCAGGCGCGAATCGTCTCGGCTTCTGGAATTTCGCTGCGGCTCGGGTGATCGACAAGCGCGATCGGCGGGCTTGCAGACTTCGAAAAGTCGATTATCAATTCGCGATAAGAGCCGGAAGTACAACAACGAGATCTCGATCTCCACAACGCCAATACCATGCGACTTTGATAACAGTACGGACAAGAGATAAGCGCCTATACATCTTATCAATCCGTCTGGTCTTGAAGCCTCCTGCACCACGACCACACAGCCCGTTTCGACTGAGTACACACGCCGCCACCATGACTCCCGCCTTACTTACAGCAATCGACTCGACCTCCCACATACATCTCATTATCGGCTCGAACCCTCTCGCCGGCGCACGATGCAGCAGATCGCTCGAAGTCGGCGCGAAGCCGATCCTCATCGCCCCCGAGAGCGAGAATATGCACTACAACCTGTTGAAGCGCATCGAAGAGCACAAGATAGAATGGATCAAGAGGGAGTTTCAGGACGACGATCTGAAGACTCTCGGTCGCGAAGAGGTTGATAATGTGGTGGATGCCGTGTTCGTCACATCCAACTCGAAGGGTCCTGTGGCAGCGCACATCTCGTCGTTGTGCAGACGGCTGCGGATACCGGTCAATGTGACGGACTCACAGAATCTGTCGACTTTCACGATCCTATCGACGCATACGTCTGGGCCATTGCAGGTCGGTATTACCACTTCTGGGAAAGGCTGCAAGCTGGCTTCTCGAATACGACGAGAGATCGCATCCTCACTACCTCCCGATCTTGGCGATGCCGTTGAGAGGCTGGGCACAGTGAGACGGCGAATATGGGAGCAGGATCATGCAGAAGCAGAAGAGGCAGGGTTTGACGTCGAGGACGAAGACGCAGGGCAGAGCTCGACATTCAATAAGCTCGTCAACCCGTTCGACGCAGAAGCAGCAAAGGCGCGACGGATGAGATGGCTCTCACAAATATGCGAGTATTGGCCTTTGCGACGGCTAGCAGCCATCACCGACGCCGACGTCGACGCCATCCTCGAAGCCTACAAACAAGAAACGGCCCAACCCACCTCGGAGGAGAAACCCATCCTCACCCCATCAACACTCGACTCCCGCAGACGGAAAGGCCGCATCATCCTCGCCGGCTCCGGCCCCGGCCACCCGGACCTCCTCACCACCGCCACCCTCAAAGCCATCAAGTCCGCCCACCTCATCCTCGCCGACAAACTCGTCCCCGCCCCCGTCCTCGACCTCGTCCCCCGCCGCACCCCCGTCCAGATCGCCCGCAAATTCCCCGGTAATGCCGATCAAGCGCAGGCGGAGCTCCATCAAGCAGGGCTCGCGGCGCTGGAGCAGGGCAAGACGGTTTTGAGGTTGAAGCAAGGGGATCCGTACCTCTACGGCCGCGGGGCGGAGGAGGTTGCGTTTTTCCGGGAGCACGGGTGGGAAGCGACGGTCCTACCAGGCATCACCTCTTCATTGAGTGCGCCGCTTTTCGCGCAAATACCCGTCACGCATCGTTCTGTCAGCGATCAAGTCCTGATCTGCACCGGCACTGGCCGCAAAGGCGCCGCTCCTTCACCGCCTCCGTACTTGCCGAACCAGACCGTCGTGTTTCTGATGGCGCTGCATCGGTTGTCTGACCTCATATCCAGCCTCACCGGTATTAAAGACGCGCCTTATCCCCTGGAAACTCCCTGCGCAGTAGTCGAAAGAGCGAGCTGCGCAGACCAGCGCGTCATCCGCACGACTCTTGGGGAGGTGGTGCAAGCGGTTGAGGAGGAGGGGAGTAGGCCGCCGGGTTTGCTGGTGGTGGGATGGGCTTGTGGGGTCTTAGAGCGGGAAAAGGACAGGGGGAGAAGGTGGGCGGTTGAAGAGGGCTTCGCTGGGTTGGAGGGGCTGGAAGGGCTGGAGGGGGTGGACGCGTTGGGGGAGGAGGCGGTGAAGGGTTTGGGTATCGTAGAAGATACGAAGCAGGCGCTGTCGAACAAGCAGGGAGATGGGCTCGGTGCTGTCGGCACTGTGAACGGAGCGACAGCATGAGAAGGGTGAGCTGCTCTGCATCGGCCTCCCATCTACACCACCCTGCTTGATGGAAAGCTACTGCACCATCGCATCGGATTACTTCCTCACTGTTCTCACATTCATTTTGTGTGTGACAGGCCTTGCTGTTCTTGATCCTTGCACCGAAGGCTGATGGTACTTTTCTTTTCAGTAGACTGACAGTAGACCGGGATGCCCCGCGGCCGGATCTCTGGAAGCGCAACAATCAACAAGGAAGGCCTCGAGTCTGTCGTTCCGAGGAAACAACAAAACAAATGGAAGCAACTGAACGAGGCGGGTGGACATCCCGCGAGTGGAGTAACTGCAGGTTTGTGATGCAACCTTGTTGCTCCCCACCGTCTCGACGTGGCGCTGGAGTTGAGCGGGGAACGGCCTTGGCGGGGACGATGATTGTGGGAACTTCACCTGTTCCTGGGCGAGGGACCGAGCGGAGCGCAGCAAGAGGTATCATCGTGTCACGCGCGTGGGGAGCTAGTGGAAAAGATCTAGGTTGGATATGTAGGTTGCTCGAGTCTTACTCTCTTCTTCCTTCCGTCTCGTCCCTACGGCTCAACTTGGATTCGTAAGAAAGAGGAACCACAATGGCACCACCCAAGGCTCTCCTCGCCACGCTGCTATCAGCAAGCACAGCAGCGGCAGCGGCTTCGCTTTCGTCTTGCCCTGGATACAAAGCGAGTAACATCCATCACGCTACCAATGGAGTGACGGCGGACTTGACCCTCGCCGGCGATGCCTGCAACGCCTATGGCAAAGACCTCCAGGACCTCACCTTAACCGTCGAATACCAGACCCCCGACCGCCTGCACGTTGTCATCCAGGATGCCGAGCAGCAAGTCTACCAGATCCCCGAGTCCGTCCTGCCCAGGCCGCCGAATAAGGCTTCTTCTGTCGACCAGAGCCAGCTGGAGTTCCGCTACGAAGAAAACCCCTTCTCCTTCTCCATCGTCCGCAGCAGTAGCGGCGAAGTCCTCTTCGACTCCTCCGCCGCGAGCTTGGTGTTTGAGGACCAGTATCTTCGGCTTCGGACGTCGCTGCCGGACTCCCCGAGCTTGTACGGCCTAGGCGAGCACACGGATCCGTTCATGCTGAATAGCACCAACTACACCCGAACCATCTGGAACCGCGACGCCTACGGTACGCCGCCCGGAACGAATTTGTACGGCGATCATCCGGTGTATTTCGACCATCGGAATGGGGATGGGACGCATGGGGTTTTCTTGATGAACAGTAATGGCATGGATGTGAGGATCGATGACTCGAATGGCCAGTACCTAGAGTACAATCTCTTAGGTGGCGTGCTGGACTTTTATTTCATGGCGGGACCGGGGCCGAAGGAGGTTGCGGCGCAGTATGCTGATGTGGTGAGTTTTGATCTGGTCTGAGGGAGGGCAGGAGAGGGCAGAGGCTGATTTGCGTGGCAGGTCGGGCATTCAGCCATGTTCCCGTATTGGGGGTTGGGGTTCCATCAGTGTCGGTATGGGATGCAGGTATGATGAAGTTTCCACCGAAAAGAGGAGTTCCGAGAGCTAACGCTGTGAATAGGACGTCTACGAAGTCGCAGGCGTAGTGTCCAACGTACCTTCCCCCTACCCCTCCCACCCTCTATTTCGCTAACCTCTCTCCCCCTCGCTCTAGTACTCCGCCGCAAACATCCCCCTCGAAACCATGTGGACCGACATCGACTACATGTACCTCCGCCGCGTCTTCACGCTCGACCCGGTCCGCTTCCCCTTGCACAAAGTCCGAGAGCTGGTCGATTATCTCCACCAGCATCAGCAGCATTATATCGTCATGGTCGATCCGGCGGTGGCGTATGTGACGGAAGGGTATGCGCCGTTTACGAATGGGGTGGAGGCGGGGGCGTTTTTGAGGGATGGGGATGGGGGGATTTATAAGGGGGTGGTGTGGTAAGTTCTGATCTATACAGGTGCCTCTTGGATTCGTGAGAGGTGCTCGAGAAGAGTCGCTGCTGACAGTGAACTCTTCTGTGCTACAGGCCGGGTGTTACTGAATTTCCGGACTGGTTCGCGCCTGGGACGCAGGATTATTGGACAAGCGAATTTGCTTCGTTCTTCGATGCTGAGACAGGGGTTGATATTGATGCTCTTTGGATCGGTGAGTATTTCTAACGAGACGAGATGGGTTTGAAGCTAATGTGCATTGAAGACATGAACGAGGCCGCCAACTTCTGCAACTACCCATGCAAGAACCCACGTCAAGAGGCGATCTCAATGGTACCTGACACTTCGTACAACTTCCCATGACTATCGAAAACGCTAACTGTTCGCGAAGGGCAACCCACCAAGGCCGCCGCCAGTCCGTATTGGTAGCCCCATCGAGCTGTGAGTGATCCTTCACAAGTCTGTGCTGAACAACGTGCTGACCTTGATCTCGAACAGACCCGGTTTCCCAGCGGACATGCAACCCAAGTGTCATGCGCAAGTGAAGTTCTCCGTCAGAGCCAAGACCTTTGAGGGAGAGAACATTCTCGTAAACGGCAACACAGTCACTCTCGGCAAGAACGACATCTGGAATGCCCCTGTGCTCAACGCTGACGACTACCCTGTCTGGACTGGCACTATTGATATGCCGGCAAACAAGAAGGTGACCTATCAATATGTACGATACGAGCCAGACGGGAGCTATATCTACGAGGAAGACAACCGCACCCTTACAACTGGCGGATGCGGTTCTTCCCAGTCAGTCAAGGACAAGATCACCACGAAGTCGCCTCCTCATGGATCCTCCAACGATAAGCGGGAGTTGAGTGCACCAAAGTCGCTGCCTTTGCAGGCCCGCCAGTCCAGCAGCTCAGGTGACATGTCCGGCCTCCCAGGCCGCGACCTGATCAATCCCCCATACACGATCCAGAACGAGGCAGGCTCGATCAGCAACAAGACCATCGCCACCGACATCATGCACTCCAACGGGCTTGTCGAGTACGACACGCACAATCTCTACGGCGCCATGATGTCCGAAGCATCCCGCCAGGCCATGGTCGCCCGACGCCCCACCCTACGGCCCTTGATCATTACTCGTTCGACGTTCGCAGGCTCCGGCCGGCAGGTTGGCAAATGGCTCGGCGACAACATTGCCGATTGGGACCACTACCGCTTCTCGATCGCCGGCATGATGAACTTCGCCTCGCTCTTCCAGGTCTCAATGGTCGGCTCGGACGTCTGCGGTTTCGGCGGCATCACCAACGCCCATCTCTGCGCACGCTGGGCGACGCTCGGAGCCTTCTCGCCCTTCTACCGCAACCACCAAGAACTCGGCTCGCCACCGCACGAGTTCTACCGCTACCCTCTCGTCGCAGAAGCAGCGCGTAACGCCATCGCGATCCGCTACAAACTCCTCGACTACATCTACACCGCCATGTACGACCAAAGCACCACCGGCGTGCCACTCGTGCAACCGATGTTCTTCCACTACCCCAACGACCCCAAGTGCAACAGCCTGGAGTACCAATACTTCTGGGGTCCGGGTTTGATGGTCGCTCCTGTGACCGGCGACAACAGCACGCACGTCTCCATCTACATGCCTGATGATATCTTCTACGACTACTACACCCACGAGACCATTCAAGGCGACGGCAGCAGCATGATGCTCCGAGACGTGGATTACACGACCATCCCGCTGTACTACAAAGGCGGCACCATCTTCCCCGAACGCGCCAGCTCCGCCAACACCACCACCGAGTTGCGCAAGCAGAACTTCAACCTCGTCATTGCGCCAGGAACCGATGGCTGCGCTTCGGGATCTCTGTATCTCGATGATGGGGTCTCGATTGAGCAAGACGGGACGAGTTATATTGAGTTCAACTATAATCAGGATGGGAAGTTGAAGATTACGGGGACGTTCGGGTATGAGGTTGACGCGAACATTGAGTCGATTATTGTGCTGGGCTCGGGATCGAAGTCGAACGATGCTGGGACTGGGGATGCGAGCATGGCGTCTACGGCCGCGGGCAACACGATGAAGTGGGGATTGCCGTTAACGAAGCCCGTGACGGTTGATGTTGCGAGCTTTCAATGAGCTGAGGAAGGAAATGACTGATGTTGATGAGGTATCTAAAAGCAGGTAACGCCGGCCGATCCGAGATTTTACAGAGGCCGTTTTGCACCGTAACGATCGTCTCCCATTTCCCATTCTATCCCAAGAATCCATGCTCAGTCTCAACGCACTGAACCATTGGAAAGCAGCCCAACGCCGACAAAACGAGTGTGGTCCATTTTTGTAACACCCACGCAGCAATGTCCATCCCAAGGTCTCTTGTCCTGCTTAGCCGAACTCCGTTCCAAGCAAATCGTCCAACCTCAGTCAAGCACCCTCCCTCTCCGTGCTCGCCCTTGTGCAGGCACTCGACACATCCTCCTTCGACATGCCATCCCTAACAGCATTCTCAGGCACCTCCGTCCCATCGAACCGCTGCGTAATCTCCTCCAGCGAAAGTCCTTTCGTCTGTCCACCCACCGCGTCAGCTCAGCTCTGCACCCATCGAAGCTTGAGACTCACCTCAGGATAAACAAAATACACAATGGTGAAATGGCTGACCAGCATGCAACACCAAACGATATAGTACTTCCATCCAATAGCATCCAGAGCCACAGGGTTGGTGAAGCCGCTGAAGATGTTGGCGGCAGAGTCGGCGAATTGTTTGATCACGTACGCTTTGTCGCGGAGCTCGAAGGAGGCGATTTCTCCGAAGTAGGGGTCTTGTGTTGTGCCGACCTGGCGGCAGTGTTAGCATACCGTGCCCTTGTTGTGGTGGAAGGGCAAGGGCGGCGCACCATCTTATAAAACGCCCCAAACAGGAAGATCATCGCCACCGCCGGTCTGGCAAGACTGCTATCCGCGAAATCGGACGCAGCGCTTTGGGAAGCGAGGACCGTCATCGTCAGGAAGCAACAGAACATGCCTCCAATGCCTGTAAGAAACAACTTCCGACGCCCCCAGAAGTCGATCGTGCAGGCCCAGAGGATGGCGAAGAGCCAGGCGTTGATGGTGTTGCCGCCGTTGATGAGGAGCTGGGTGGTCGAGTTGGTGATGCCGAAGGATTCGAGGAGGAGGCGGAGGTAGTAGGATATTATTGCGTTCTGCAGAGAGATTAGTCAAGACGGGGAGTCAAAACAGGGTCGAAGACAGTGGGCTTACGCCGCTCCATTGCGTCTTAAGGCCATTGTTAGCGATGAACGGAGAGTTGGAAGGGCACAGCTGCTTACGATAAAACCAAGCGTGAAGACAATGGCGAAGCGGTGGCGGTTGGACGGTCCATGGAACCATGCCAACCACGAGCTTTTCTTCTTGTCGGTCTTGAGTATATGGGTGATCTCTGCCAACTCGAGATTGACGAGGGGCGAGCTCTCGCATCCTTCTCCGTGGTACTTCACCAGGATATGGCGAGCTTCGTCTGTTCGGTTGTTCGCAACAAGCCTGATGGACGCTGTCAGCTACCATTCAGCACTGCAGTGTACCTTTGTACATACCATCGAGGTGACTCCGGGATGAAGAACATCATCACAATCTGAAAGATCGATGAGGCGGCCTGGATGGCGACAGGAGTCCTCCATGACCAAGACGAGGGCTCAAGACTGCTAGACCCGAACGTGATCCACGCGGCGAGAATCTGTCCGACGCTGCCGGTGCTGTTCATCAGGGCGGTATAGGTTGCTCGCTGAGTCTGTTCATGATAAGAAGGTTAGTGCTGGGCTGACTTCTTCGCATCCAAGAGGTCATACCGGATATGCAAGCTCGCTGATGAGCACAGGGCAGGTGGTGATTTGCAGCTGATTACCTGCCCCAAGAATGATCCGTCCGACGATAAACATGGGCACGCTCTGCGAAGAGGCTTGGATGGTGATTCCGACAAGCATAATGGCAGACCCGCAGATGACGGGGTATCGGCGGCCCAGCTTCGTTTGCAGAGGAGAGACGAAAGGTAGGGCGACGAGTGCTCCAAGGCGATTGGCAGTTGAGATCTGTATGGAAGACAATTAGTTGTCGTCAAGGTTGGGATGGAGGAGAAGACTAACGAGACCAAGCCAGGCGGATTCTGGGCTGCCGAAGTCGCGCTGCCATGTGTCGAGAAGCTGAAGGCCGTTGAGTCTAGAAAGTATCAGCAGTCTCCTTGCTCGCAGGCACCTGATCATTCGTACAGTGAGTTGTCGAAGCCATTGGTGACCTGGAACGTCGAAGTTAGTCACATACTTCTTCGACGAGGATGGGAGACGTACACCGGCGCAGAGAGCACCAACCAGCAACAAGTTCAACGTCAACAACCGGGGACAGAAGATCCATAGTCGACGTTGCGGGACAACATCCTTAAGGTTGACGCCGTTGACACCTGTCGCTCTGTTGTTCCTGTTGTGTAGCATGTTGAAGAAATGTATCGATGGTAGTCATGGCCAGACATTCGTACGCTCCAGCCGGCTTCTTCTTATACTCGACTTCGACATGGTTGCAAGCCGCCGTGTAGGTGATAGCAGAGAGCTGTTCCTCCGAGTTGTCTCTTCGTCACTCACCAAAGACGGCAGCTTTCGATCTGGCCACCACTGGGAAAAGCCGTTGTGTCTTCCAATTCCATCGCGCATTCGATGGTTCCACAGCAACATCCTTGTTGCAACCACGTGCCTAAGCCCAATGTGGGCAAGCGCCTAATCTTGCCGAGCTCAATCTTGCCATATTTATCAGCTTGCAGGTGGTGAGAAGTCAGCAAGCAAGCTCTGCGTGCTCCAAATGCTGCCAATCCGGCGCAAGCAGCTCCCATGCCGTGGAATCATCGACGCAATGAACGGTGCTTTTCTCCAACTCTTTACATCTATAGATTTCCAACATCGGAGAACTCACGGCCAATGTTTGAATGCTCCGAGTCCAAGCCGTTAGCCGAAGCGGACCGTAAGAACCGTCTGGTCTCGCTACCAGGACCGACCGAATTGGAAGCAACCACCAGCTCTTACAAGATCTAATTTCTACGTCAAGCATAACCTTCGTCGACGAACTCCGATGATTCTCTCAGCGAACTCGCTTGCTCTGTTAATTGATTTTTCCATTCCAATCTGTTGCGAACTTGAAGTTATACTTGGCCTCCAGCTGTTGTGGTGCTATTCGAGGAGTTTGAAGCGCCATCTGAAAAGCAGATCTTGGAGAAAAGTTGAGCGTACAAGAACAGTATGGCATGTGCAGATTGGTATTGCGGAAGGAGACGGTGAGGAAGGGGTTCTGGCTTACGTCGCCCTGCTTTATGGCAGCCACAACCAGCTGCTTCAGGCGTTATTTCACAAAGGAGCTCGATGGCTGTCGTGGGTGAGCTGACATGGCTCCGAGCTTTTGCCGTTCGCAATGCAAACGCAGACAGCCCCGACAGCTCGGCGTACTCTAACCCAGCACTTGGGCGGTCTAGGTGCTGTTGAATTTTATTTCGCAAGGGGTGCAGACTGTCTCAGGGGAGAAAGATGGCCAGGGGCGCTGTCGGACCGTGCGGCAGCAGGTCGTCTCAGTGGTGGAACGACCGGAGACTGAATGACAAGCATGTTTCCCGTGGTGCTGACGCCATCACTGCCATGCAACGTTTCAGTTGTATTGCTTAGAAACTGGATGCATTCCATGTTCCGAGCATTCGCGTCGCAGCAGGCCCATCCATGGTGACATTCGGGAAGCCGGCGAGCCCGATGATACCAGCTGCGGGTTGAGAGGTTTGCTTCCCGACTTTCTCCATCCTGTCACTCGTTTTCTGCTCGGGTGGTAGCGGGCCAGGTAGCAACGTCAAGCTCTCCAATGTGGCTGCTCACGTGACCAGATCCTTCAGAACTCGATTTCCAACAGCTCTCATAAGCTTGGTCAGCCGAAAGGGGGCCGCATGAGCACCAAGTATTCAGTCCATATGCGATATACATCCAGTGACGGACGTCGTAGTAGAGCAGTCTGATCTTGATTTAGCATTCTGTCAAGTCCTCAGATGATTCTCCAATCGCGTAAAGCTTGGGGCGCACATCTGGTCGATCTCAGACCTCGCAAGAGACAACCAAGGATGGAAGTGCCATGCCCGTATGGACGAGCCTCTGTTGAAGTCAGTATAGGAATGCAAGAATTCAACATTGTTTACCATCTGGACCGCAGGTGTACTCGCGCACTCTTCATGCTACGATATCAAACCCCTTGTCCCGAGCATAGAGACCCCTTGGACAGCGACATGTTGGGAAAGATCTGAGTATTGCTGCCAGTAGTCGGTAAAGCCGGTCAGTTGGGCTTGGGCACACGCCTAGCGGCCCTCAGGAGCCAGCCCGGAGTATGTTCTCTCTCCTGAGTCTGGCCGTCGAGGTCAACCGTCCCCATGGTCGTCCATATACGCCTTAAGGGGGTATCTTTGGCACTCCTTGAATTCGGAGAACGAGGAGGCCATTCATGACTTGAAGTGTGGTTAAGAAATGAGACGGTTTGTCAGGAGAAAGGCCAATGACCAACATGTCTTGGCGGTACTTTCGGCAATTTGACTGTCGATCCAGCCATGCCAGCGCACGACACATCGTACGTGGCAAGATCAAATGATTGGACTTCATGGGCGCCGCTGCCCTTCAAATCACCACGGTGGCATCATACCAGGACGAGTGGAAATGCTACTGCACGCTTTCAAGCGACGGCATGCCTTGAGAAGCGCATCCCGGCCGGTTCATCCAGCACGCGGAGACGATACGAGAAGAGAAGCGACGAGCGCACCTACAAACTGCTCTCCTGGCACATGGCCCGCAATACCCATTGCACTGACAAGCGAGCCATCTCCACCGGCCAAACCACGGCAACTGCAAAACAACCTCCGCAAGGCATCGCTCCACGGGCAGCGGACGACACCCCGCCGCAGGTACTAAAACGCACAGGGACGATCAGTGGTTGGTTTGATTGCCTCCAAGACAGAAGGCAAGTGTAGCCGAGTCACGTGATTTGCACATGCTTGGGTACGCTCCCTGGTGCCGTATCGGTCAGCATATTGCAAATCTGGTAGTGTTATCTCAACATGTCCGCCGTCACTGAACGATAGGTAAACGGCCCTTTCTTCCGTATTCTCGTGGTTCTACTACCCATCTTTTTGTAAAGTCCCTTAGCATCCTTTTGGCGTGTGCTCCATTGAGCTTTTGTATCTCGCCTCATCGGCGTCGTACTGCTTTTGGTTTGCGTATGGAGCAGATCGATCAAACTTACCTGGGGCTGCGGCCTAAATGGAGACAGCAAGGAATCGAAATCTGGATCCTACTTGGGTAGCTGAGCAAGACACAATGAAGAGGGTGATGGGAGCATACACTGGCCGCGCCAGCAAGACGGCATATAAATAAGCCATTTCGCGGTGAAGTTATCGATTGGCGGCTAGATGCACGCTGTGGTATATCTGTGTACCATGGATTGCACTGTCGACGGATACACAATACCGCTAGACTCACATTAGCCGGAAGCAGCCGTTCATACTCTGCGCCGCCTGCATCGTGCGTCCTGGTAGCATCGTGTTCGAAGACCGGATGCATAGTAGCAGGAACGATAGAAGAAGTGCAGATCGCGGTGAAAGAGCCGTAGAGCGCCGCATGTCTTGTTGGACATTGCGACTACCTCCTATCTCAGAGACCATGCAGTGATCGCGATGTTCGAGAAGGTTTCTACAACCAGCGCAATGACGCAGAGTCTCTGCCGCAGTAGCGACTGGACCCCATTGCATCTCGAAGATCCCTCGCCGCCATCCTCCACCGACGTATGTATCAAGGGTTGTTAAACCCATACCCAAACTCATTCATAGGATAGAACGAGAAGTCGGCGCCATTGGAAGTGATCACCCTGTCGAGATCTGCAAAGTCCTGCCCAAAAGCCAGCATATCGCCCATCACTCCAAACCCGTTGTTCTGCGTCCCCGGTGTATCGTAAGTCGTCGGCCGGAAGTTCAAGGCAGCGTACTCCGCACTGCTCATTTGACCCTGGGTAGAAGATGGGCGGGCGATGAGAGGGCTGGAGTTTGCGGTCTCGGAGCGGTTGCGAGGGAAGTGGAGGGGGGTGACGACTTCTTCACGCTCGGAGCGCGTGACGCGGGAGCCGCCTGGCCCGGGTTGGGAGGCGGGGGTGCTGTTGGGTACGCTGCGGGCGGTGGGGTAATCTGCTGAGGGTGGTGGTGTGTTGAGGAGGACGTCGGCGCCGGAGTACGACATGATGGTGTTGGCGAACTCGGGCTCGTCCTGGCATTTTGCGTGGTATGCACGGAGTTGTGAGGCGTATCGTCCCGCTAGGTCTACTTGTTCATCGAGGAGGCCGGCATTGCCTGATTGTGGTTCTTGTCGGGCATCGTGCCCTCTCCAGCGTCGGGACATCTCTTCTAAGTTGAGCACGAGGGTGAAGAATTCGGGCGATAGAGGGTTGTTGTAGTAATAGGCGTGGGCTGGAGGACCGCTGGTCAGCTCTTCTCAAGACAAGGGCATGATTGCACCTACTCAGGAACACTTTTGCAGCAATGCAAGAGCAGTAGACGAACTCCGCATTCACCATCATCTCTTCTGTGAAGCGAAGGTATTTGGATGTTATTGCAGAGGTCTCTGTTGCGGCTTGCTCGCAGGTGTCTGCGCTACAGAAATTGGGCAATTTGATCGTCTTCAAGCCAGGCGGGGGGTATGCGATGGGCTGATGCACTGACACAGAAAGCGAAAAGATCAGCATGGCGCTCATCGGGGTTCGCAGGATGTTGGAAACTCACGTAGTATCAGGCTGGTATTATGGATGACATGCGCGAGGGTGAGCGCCTGCATCATAGAAAAAGAACGGTCAGCCGTGCCTTCACCAAGGAGCGTGTTGGATGGTTGCTTACCGGATCCATGCGAACAATCGCATCCTTCGAGACATTGGACTGCTTCCATCGATCGGGAAGGAACCTCTTCCATTGCACCAGCCTCAAATCGAGCTCCTTGAACCGTGTGAGCCAGTCTTCCACCTGCTGCCTGTCGCCAAAGTCGACACTCTGCTGTAAGAAGAACGAGAAGACTTGGCTGAGGCCTTCTGTAGCTTCAATCCGATATCTATAGGGACGAGATCAGTGTCAGGAGACACGGTGCAAGAGTTCAACCCACTGGGTTGCAGGGGCCTTACGCGAGAGCGCCAATCTGGGAGATATCCGGGCTTCCAGCATCGGGACTCTGCCCCGGGACCATTGGCTCGTTCGGAGACGCCTTGAAAGCCGGCAGCGTGGTGATGGGCTGACCGATCCTCGCCTGCGACTTCTCCCAGAGACCAAAATACGGCGTACGACTCTCCTCGCCTCTCCTCCAAATCCCACCGTTGCATGGCAGCTGTCTCGAGACGTTGTCTGTTGAGAAACCGGTCGAGAAGCCGCACGAGACGGAGAGGAAGCGGTCAAGGATGAAGGTGTTCCAGAAGACTCGTTTTCGCTCCTCCATCTCTGCGTGGCTTGTCGCCTCCTGCAGGAGTACGAGGGGAGGCAGCAACGGCTTTGGACGCCGCTCGTGGGTCAAGCCAAGATAGTCGACTGCACGAACTAGCGATGCGATGAGTGGAAACGCTTTCTGCCATTGGCCGGAGCCCACGTATTCAAACGCCAGCAGAATCAGCGCTTGACAATTCTCAATCGAAAGACTCTCCAATGCAGTCGAAGCAACCACTGAGGTGGACCGCAGCACATAACGCCGAACCTCCTCATTGCTCAGCGATAACGCATCATGATCGATGTGCTTCATGCTTGTTGCGACCATGGCGTGTAGAACGACTGTTAAGCTTCGAGCATCGTTGTCCTTCAGGCGGGCTCGAAAGCGGCGCTCGTGCACTGTCGGTATCCAGTGATGGCACGTACCAAAGTACTTGGTCATCACTGCTAACATGACATTATGAGGTGGGAGGTCATCGAAACCCGTTCTGTCGTGGAACTGCTCGGTCGGTTGGTCAAGCCTGCGTCTTTTGGCTGGCCTTGAGTGGAAGTCGTGGCTCTCGCTACTCGTGTGGGCGCCATTGTTCGCCGACTCGTCCCCTTGTACGACATGCTCGTCGAAGCGCCGTTCCAGGATTTCTATGCGTGCAGCGTCAGTCATGGTCAGACCACCAGCAAACGGGCGTCACACCTAGTCTTCGCGTAAGGTTGTCGACGGCGCCAGCTTTCAAGCCCGGCTTCTGCTTCCTCTGGTCGTATATACACTCCTCCGCTGCTCACACCCATCAGCAGGAGCACAATCTAGCAGAACGATGAGAGGAATGCTTGCACAAGCGATTGCACTGGCTACAGCTGGGTTGCTCGCGGGAGCATCTCAATTTCTACAATAGTCAGACTTCTGTACTGGCCATCCGCTGATCGTGAAAGATGACTAACCCTCCTTCTACAGGAGAGGCAGGCAGGCAACTCTGACTCGGCATTGCCAATCGACGACGACTCTGTAGCAGGCGCCGAAAGGATCGGCTGAGGTGCCGGCCGGTGCTGGTACATGCCCGTGGAAGTCGTCTTACAAGTGGTGCCGGATGCGTGAGTAAGCGGTGTTAAGGTTGCTGCAGTGTGGTATGCCGGCGGTATGCAGAGCTGAAGTTCGACCTCGGACGGTGTTGCCGACGCCCGGCGCCCGTTGCTGAATTCACGTGGCAAGGTCGGACGAGAGCAATCTCGGGTCTCCTGACTTCCTTTTGCCCCCAGCCGTAAATACCAAGACTTCTCTGCTCCGCTGCTGCAAAGTCATCAGCGCTAGCGACGTCGGGGCCATGTCGAGGAACGGAGATCTTCACGACGGCCAGCCTCACACCGTCGTCCTCCACCAAGAGACACTAGAACGAACACGAAGACATCATGAACACGGTGTCGATGCGAAACTGCGTCTTGCTGCATCAGCAGACCAGTGGCTTGCTGTGTCATCGAAAGAACGGTGGAGTGTCATGGAGAAGCCTACACTTGCACCTTCAAACAGCCCGCACGACTATGTATCTCAGGCACCGTATTGGTGGCCAAGCAAGACAGCGACCGGCCTTCCGTACATCCGCAGAGACGGGATGATCAACCCAGACGCCGTCACGCTCGACAAGGTGAACAAGGCTAAGGTTTTCCAGTCATGTCACATATTGTATGTACGTGGCGGAAGTGTGGAGCGACTGCCGTCTCGTTGCACGTTGACTGCATGTCATTGGCTATACCACTGGCTAATGGTGCTACTAGAAGTCTAGCTTGGCTATATACGGGAGAAGAGGCATACGGAGCACGAGCAGCGACGATCCTACGGGACTGGTTTACTGATGAGCGGACGGGGATGAGCCCTCATTTGGAGTATGCTCAAATGATACCTGGCCGGAACACTGGCCGAGCGATCGGAATCATTGACTTTGCTCAGAAGTACGATGCTGTTGTAGATGCCGCGATGATCCTTTCGTCTGGGTGCCCTTCATGGAGCAGCGAAGATCACCACAACTTCTTCGTCTGGAACGAGAAGTATCTCGACTGGCTGCTTTACAGCGACTTTGGCATTGAGGAAAGCCAGCAGCTCAACAACCACGGCACATTCGCCTCCCTCCAAAAAGCAGCAATAGCCATGATGCTCGGCAGAACCGACACTGTCCGCGCCGAGGTGGAGAGCGCGAAGCGCCGCATCGACGCGAGCATCGACCCTGACGGCTCCCAACCGCATGAGGTCGCCCGCACCAGGAGTTGGCACTATTCGTGCTTCAATCTGCTGGCCTTTGCTCGATTGGCGGAGATTGGGCAGAAAACTGGAGTCGATCTTTGGAGCTACTTTGGCCCGGACGGCCAGTGTCTCCATTGCGCGGTCGACTTTCTCATTCCAGCTGCTGCCCGATGGGAGGGGTGGCGGTTTCCGGAAACAAAATTCGTGCCTTATCTCGCCACGGACTTGATACGAGCCAGCGCATTGAGAGGTAATGCCAGAGCCATGGCTGTTGTAAAAGAATTGCAAGCTCCACCGCTCGATCTGTGGGAGTGGTGCTTGGTGCCGGAGAATCATGACGCCTCGATTGAAGCAACGCCAGCTGTGCCGTGAGTGGGGTTGAAAACGGCCTGGAGGACCTGCAGGGCCAGATCAGCAAGAGTACCAGTCTGTTGCAACGATCACAGTCGATGGCGGCGAAAGGGTGGGCTTGCGGGCTACGTACCGCTTCAGATGGCAAGGTGTATCATTTGCCTCGCCAAATCAGCGTGCGAAGGTAGACCATCATGCTATCTCGCGGGGACCATGGACAGGCTGCTGGGCTGCAATAGCAGCGTCTACTATCGCCTTGTTCATATTGAAATACCCAGCAAACATAGTTGTCTGGCTGACTCATTACATGTTAGAGTTGGAGTTTGAGTTGCATCTCTTACTGAGACGATTGCTTTCGTGGCATGCAAACGCACTCGAACTTGCCATAGTCCTCCGCCCTTGACCGCTTGCTCAGGATGGTTTCGTTCGGTAGCCGAAGAGTACCGCGATACGTCGTTCGACAACCCATTCCACAAACCGGCAGAACATCGGCGAAGGTCTGCATTTCCACGCCGGTAGAACCACGGCGGCTGTCTACAATAAGCCAGGGGTTGTTTTTGGCATCGGGACTTGCCAGCAAAATGGGGAAGGCTAACGATCTTGTAGATTCAGAAGCGGTGGTGTTGCTCGCTTAAGCCTGGGTTGACGGGCAGCGGGCATCGGACGAAAGCGCTCGGGGTACCTAGCCCGCTTTCCGTCTCTCAAGGTAGGACTCGCAACGCCAGTGGCTGTTTACGGTTTCAAGGGTCCCGGCGGTCAAACGAGTTCGCTTGCTGACCAAATATGCCCATGGAATGGGGCACGTTGGGTACACGAGCTCCTTTCGCCAGCTATCTCCCACCGCTCGGGCAGCGGGTAAACTTCTCAAGATCGGTTCGTTATGGAGTTGCCACTACCTTGGACATGGCTCTTTGGGTCGTTTTTGGGTCCCGCAACACAGGTACGAGGCGTCTAGACCTCTAGCTGCATCCAAGCTTCCCCATCGCCAAGCACTCTGTTGAGTATTTCTCGGGCGGAACCCAGACATGCCGCTGCTTCGATTGTGTTGGGCGTGATATGAGCAGTATAAAGAAGTTCTCGATCGCCGATACGAATGCCTCTCTCGGTCGCCAAGGCCAAACTCTTCGAACAATCGCACACTACTACCTCCTGACCGATCGTGACAATGCCTCACCATACGATGCATGCAAGCCACGACTTCAACAACTTCGTCACCATGTCCCAGATCGTTGCGTCGCCAGTTCAGATGGCGGACGACTGCTCCGGGGACATCTGCCACCTGCCATCATCAACTGCCGGAACCTGCTTCCAGAGCACGCTGCCTTCGCATAGCTGCAGTTCTCAACCGATGCCGTCTTTTGCCAGCAGCCCTTGGGAGATGACTCCACAATTGTCGGAGGTCCCAAGTCTTATGAGCCATTCCAACGGTTCATCTCCTTCAAACTCCTCCAGTGGACACGAAGGCTTCATTGGCGTCGCACAGGAGCAGCACAACAAGCGCCGAGCGCAGAATCGAGCAGCGTACGTACCTTTCTCTTCCAGTTCATGATCTACGCTGACCACCAAGATACAGTCAACGAGCATATCGTGATCGCAAGATGCGGCACATGGCCGACCTAGAGATCGGCATCCGAGACGTCGAAGAAAAGATCCGACGACTCCAGAGTGAGAATACAGAGCTCATCCGTGAGCTGTGTGAAATCCGAGCAGAGAACCGCGAGTGGAAACAATGCCAAACTCAAGCCAACACCAGTGTCCGTACCCCCCATCACCGTCAAAACCGACCCGTTCGTGCGTCAGAAGCTTCACGAAGACCGAGAGATCTCGACAATACCACAGACGGGGTTGAAGACGCCGGGACCGACGATGTTTTCGACGCAGTATGGAACCTGATCGAGCTGGATCCTTCTGTCGTCAAAGGCAACGTCAAGGCGGAGGCTTTCCTGCAGCGTCTACGAGGGCTGGTTGATAGCGGAGCACAGCAGGCATCCCAATTGGGCTCGACATTGGACGACGGCCTAGATAATCCTCATTCAGGCGGTCGTCGGAGGTGATCTTCGAGCCTGTTCTGATTTTGTTCTTTGGGCGATGGAGGAGCTGTGTTGCAGTCCAGTGTCAGTCGCAATGGACGATGTTGTGTCTCTGATGACCCAACAACAGATCGGTGTTTTAATATGGTCATTGGGAAGTCCTTGGTCGGCGGTTACGAGCAGTCCGCCCGGGAGGGAGTGGGCCTTGATGAGTGTTTGCCTGTTTTTCTCATTATACCCGACACTTACAACGAGCAGTTTGAACTTAATCAGTTCCATTTCTGCTTCTCATTGCCATTGAAAATTATCTTTCAGTGTTCGGCCAAACAAACCCTCCATACCGGTGGTCGGCCAAGAGTCGCCGTACCTGACGGCCCAAATTTCCTCCGCATCTCAATGGCAACAGAGTTTCAATGTGTGATCGGAGCAGTACGACCAAGTTTCGATACATCCAAGACAACATCGACGTCCGACTGACCAACAGCGTAAAGGCCGAGATGCTCGCTCTTCAGGAAGATACCGATCCGCCGTTTTGATTTCACGATTAGATGTTCCGCTCTCCAGTCTGGAACGATGTTTGACCACCAGAACGAGTCAGTCCACCTCTAGGTGACACAGTATAAGGAACCCGACGTAGAACCTCAAGGACACTCTCTCATCCAACACAGCACACCAAACTTTTCACAATGTCTCACTACGTGACCACCCACAATGACAAGGGCGAAGCAACATTCTCCGACAAGGTTCCCGCTTCACCAACACAACTGCCCCTGCCCGGCGGCAGCATGAACATCCTGTTCACGACCCACACGACCCCTACCCCCGTACACAATGACTCCTCCATCGACCAATACACCCACGACCGCACCAACGGCCTAGGCAACGCCATCTGCCCACCGAACGGCACCGCGGCCGCCATCGTGTCTCTGCAGCCCGATTCCGAGTTCCCGTGGCACAGGACCATGACGCTGGATGTGGTGTATGTGCTTGAAGGGACGCTGGAGCTGCATTTGGATTCCGGGGAGAAGCGGGTGTTGAAGCAGGGCGATAGTGTGATTCAGAGGGCGGGGATGCATAAGTGGGTTAACATCACCGAAAATGGGGGTTGGGCGAGGACGTTGGGGTTTGCGCAGCCAGTCGTGGAGCCGGCGGTTGTTGGGGGAAAGGAGTTAAAGGGAGAGTTTATTATGGGGTGATGGACAGGATGTGGTGAAGGGAGGGTCTGAAGGGGTTTAGCTTGAGGTGATAGTTGAGGGATAGAGGTTACTCATGTATCTCCATTTCCCTCTGCCATTTATCCTTCGGCTGCTTGTACAGCTCCCACGCCTTATCGGCAATGTTCTCCGGGTTTGGATTCTTGTTGGCAGTCGACACTACTCCCCCGACACTCAATAAGGCCACATGTACTTCCTTGCCGAACTTCGCGTGCAACGACAGGACCAGTGCTCGCTGCGCAGACTTCACCATCGACAACGAGACGAGGTCCGGCTCGGGCTCTTTGTAAAGCAACGTCGTGCTCGTGACGAAAAACGACGGCGAGTCCTGCTCTCCAGTCTTCTGCTTGAGCAGAGGAATCGCCCATTGTGCCGTCTTGTAGAGAGCCAAGTTGGTCAACTACGATCATATCAGTACCCGTAGCCTTGCAACATAGCCACAAAAGGTTTCACTGACCCTAAAATCCCCCTGGATCTCCTCAACCCCCTCCTCCAGCACAGCCCGTCCCGCCACCCTCGCCGCATTAAGCACCACACACTCCACCTCCCCAAACCCCTCAATCTCCTTCAACGTCCTCTCCAACTGCTCGAAATCGCATAGATCGCAAGCCCATGTCTTCACCTGACACGAATACCCTCGCTCCTGGATAGCGTCGAGAACGGTATCCTGGTCTTTAGCCAGGCGGGAGGAATCCCGCGAGACGAGCGCAATGTGCGTGAAGCCTCGCACGGAGAAGGCGCAGGCGATGTGGACGCCGATGCCTGGGCCGGAGCCGAGGATGAGGAGGGTTTTACCTGGCATGTTCGCAGAGAGATGGAAGTGATGGTGATGGATGGAGGTGGATGTCGTCACGGAACGCTGAGTCAGAAGTTTACGTTGACTTCACGTAGATTTGGTAGCTACATGTAGTGACAACAAATACGGCATCCAATGAAGCACACTATTGATCATGCTGTTACTGTGTGCTATATCAAGCCGGAGCCTCTGCGCAATCCCTGAGCTCGAACCCAATCGAGCCAGATGAGCAGTCAGATCAGTCTGCATTCCCCGAACGCCCGCTCAGATATCATGTAGCAAGTTCTAACAAAATGTCCGCCAGACCTCGGAGCAGCTTTACCGCTTCTTGCCGTTACTCTTCTTCCTCCGATCATCGTCCTCCGGGCCCTCGCGGTCCTTCTTCGCAGCCTTCTTCTCCATCTCATCCCTGCATCAAAATTAGCAACCGCCCACCAGAAAGCTCATATGCAATGTCGACTCACCAATCCTCGCCCTCCTCCTCATCACTAGCCTCCTCATCACTCGCCTCCGCACTCGCCTCTTCATCGAAATCACTTTCATCATCACTACTCTCCTCACTCGCCATATCCTCCTCGCTGACCTCAAACGCACTCTCCTCCTCTTCCTCCTCGCTACCCTCATCGTCGCTCTCTGCAGCCAAGAAGTTCCAGCCCCCATCTGCGAAGAACGCGTGCGGGTCCGCGACGAGCGTCTTCATAATCGTGGTCCAGTTCAGGTTCAGCGGGCCTTCGCTGAATGGGATGTCGACCGAGTCGAGCCAGTCTTTGACGCCGTCGAGGGATTCGACCGGGATGGTGTTGATGTGTACAGGGGCGCGGGTGAAGTCTTTGAAGATCACGACCATGTCGAAGTTCTTTAGGCCGAATTGCACGCGCTCGAGATGGACGACTTCGACGTCATTGAGGCTGACAACCATGAAAGGTGGCTCCGTAATCTGGATAAGGCAGTCCGTGGTAGGCTGGATGGTGACGGAGCTGCGGCTGGGCACACCATTGAAGCCGAGATCGCGGAAGGGCATGTCTACTGACAGACCCTCGCCTTTGCCAGCATCAGCGATCTTCTCGGCGAAGTTGCGGAACTCTTTGTCGAGCTGAGCACGGCGCCGCTTCTCTTCTTGCTCAGCCTCAAACTCCTCTTCGTCGCCATATCGATGCTTCCGCTTGCGGTTGCCAGTCTCGTCGAATTGCATCTCGGTCGCTTCGCGGTAGAACTGGACGTCCTTCGTCTTGCGCTTGCCAATAATGATCGGGTTGATCAAGTGGACATGTATGATCACAATCAGCTCACCAACGCAAGGCTGGAAGAAAAGATGTTTCACGTTGCTGAACAGAATGTCGACTCTCGCGTTGCCGAGATGCTGGTACCGCAGACCGTTCTGGTGGATCTCGACATGTCCGCCAATGCGCTTGCTCTCCATCGCCGGACGCATGTAGATGTTGTCGAGCCTGTGTGGCCGGCGGTTGCGAATCTCAATGAGCTTGTCTTGCTCAACGACATCCTCCATCTCCTTCTTCTCTTGTTCTCTGCGGAGCGACACCTTCTTCATCTCTGTGATCTGATCTTTCACGCTCTCCATGCGATCCGTGTCCTTGCTGCGGAACGTGAGTGAGCGGATGAACTGCGCCGAAGGGTCTTCGAAGGGAGCAGAATCGTCCTTCCTGCCTACACCCTGACCAGGCGAAAGGAAGTTGATGCGCAAGAAGCAGAACTCGCCTTCCGTGCTAGTGGTCGCGTTTTTGAGTGTGTTGATGTGGAATGGTACCGGTCGGCCCATGATCGGCAGAATGACGGAGCTGTTCTTTGCGTCGACCACGATGATCAAGTCCTTCACCCGTGGCGGGAAGTTCATATCACGCTTGTACGATTCGAAGCGCTTGAACTTCTTCTCCTCAACGCCGTTGAGATTGCCGTGGCCTTCAACATACTTTTCACTGCCCTCTTTCTGCTTCTTTGCATGCAGCTCCTTTTGATGCTCCCTCCGCGCCTGCTCCTTCTCTTCGTTTTGAGTCGCGCCTCCCTGTCCTCGCAGCCTGGTCTTGGTGATGTTTGAAGATGCAACAGCACCCACACGCGAATCCTTCTTCTGCTTGGGCTTCTCCTCCTTCACCTCTTCCTCTTCGTCGTTGAAGAAGAACATGGTAGCCTCGGTGTCCATCGCCGCATGCTTGGTGTAGACGAACGCATCGCTGCCAGTCGTGACACGGACGGTATCAGAGAGCATCAGCGCGTATGTGCCGTCCCGCTTCTGGTTCTTTGCCTGTGGATTCTGGAGGTCTGAGAACCCGGTGGTAATGGTGAAGGTCATACCATCCCGCAATGTCCGCTGGTTCTTAGCGTTCAACGCAAGGGTGTTATCCCGCGCCTCAATGCCAACACCCGCACCGACCGACTTCACGAAATTCTTCTCCAGTTCCGGTTTCTTATTCTTGATGACCTGAAGCGCCTTGCTGTAGACGTCTCGCGCCACAACACCGTCCCGCATCTCCTTGATCACCGTCTCGTGCACATTCAAAAGCAGCTTGTACATGCTCTCCTGCTGCTTTGTAGGATCAACCAGGTACGTGCGCGCTACCTGCGATCCGTAGGTCTGATACCGAAGACCAAGCGCAGAAATGATGACACCAGCATGTAAGTTGTTGTCGTCCGGCTCTGAGCTCAATTTGAGGTCGAAGTTCCCGCCGCTCATGACAGTCGGGTGGATGCTCCAATCCAGCTGCATGGAGTCGAAGTTGGACGGCATCTTCGTCTGCCGGAAGAACTTGTCATCGTCAAGTTTGTTTGAGACCTTGTCGGCAAGCGCTCGATTGGTGATCTTCTTCTCTTTGTCGAGAATATCGGACATGGTGTCGATGAAATAGTCCTGCATGATGTTCGCGGAAGCACGTGACGCGCTGCTGATGGATCGCAGTTCGTTCTCGTCCTTGACAGCCATGACAGCCGAAAGCGCTGGGCTGATGTCCACTTCCTCGACTTCCTTGCTAATGTCACCAAAAGCTGTCGCCCACTGCTGTACCATCGGTCCTGACGAGAGATTCTTAGTGATCACGCCAACCTTCTTCCCAGCATTCTTGATGATATCCATCACCTTTTCCAGCTGCTTCATGTTGCCCGCCTCGTCCTTCCCGCTCCGTACCATGATCTCGACATTCGTCTTGCCACCCTTAAGCGGCTCGAGGTAGGTGGCCTTCTTTTGCGTGGTGACGATATACATGGTCTCCATCGTGAAGAGCATCAGGGTAGCGGGGAACTCGTAGCCCAGCAGCCAGAACTGCGTCGCGTTGGCCTTGTGGAAGCCTGTCGTGTCCGGATCGCTCTTACCCATGACGATGGCGATGCTGTTGGCGTCGCCAAAGACATTGTTGCCGCTGCGCTTGTCTGCCTTCCACTGAGTGATGAGTGACGCCAGCCGCGTGTGGAACTGCGCAACGTCGATGCTGACCTCGTCAGCCATGGTGGGTGGTGTCGTCTCGCGATCGCAGTCCAGTCGATGTGATGGAGTGGAGCGGCGATGGTGGGTAGAGGTTGTGAGAAGGAGAGGTGGTGACGGGGCGAAGGTTGGAAGCTCACTTGAAGTCGCGAACGCGTAGGCAGAAAAGTGACCCGCGATGGCTCTAATCACGTGCGCTAGCGCAAAGCTTAAATCGCTGCCTCCAATTGGCTGACACCACCTCTCCCTCCATCTCCAACAAGATAGCGGCCGTATCACAGGCTTCACGTGAAGCGCAGACTACAAACTCATTGGGGGAGGATGGATGCGTTTGGTTTAGCAGTGCCCGGCCAACGATGAGCGCTGGCGATGGCAGCAAGGTGTTGCCGCCAGCGGCGAGAGAGGGGGAGGGCGCTGTAAACACGGCCAAGAAGAAGCAAGAGAATGCGTCCACAGGAGCTTCTGCGGCTACCATCCGGGCTCTCAGTGCGCGCATGTTCGCCTTCTACTTCCGTGCACCAGTCAAGGCGTTTTTCAGAGCTAGAGTAGAGTGAGTCTTCCTCTGTCCTTGAAAGAAAACGTAGAATGGCTGCTAACGTAGATACAGCTATATGGTGAGTCCAGATCTTAGATGCAACGGAGCTTACATGCTCGTCTTTGGCGAATCACTCCTAATGTGCCCTAGGGATATGCTCGCGCTATCAACCCGCGCATCCAAGCCGGAGAACCATGGTCCTACCGACAGCTCTCCCCCTTCATCCTGGCCCACGCTATCCGTACCCATGGCTGGTCTTTCATCCCCAACCAGGTCCTCCCTCCTCTCCTCGCCAACACCGCCGTCGGGGCTGTTCTGTACACGACCTACCTTAACACGCTAGGCTTGATGCACGAACCCTCCTCTCGGGCCACGAAGCGAGTCTACCCTCCGCCACCTTTGGAGACTGCCTTCAAAGCAGGCTTCGTTGCTGGCACTGTGCAGTCTCTGCTCGCAGCGCCACTCGATGCTCTCCAAGTCCGCTTTCAGGCCAAGGAAATGATGGAAGGCAGATGGGGAAACATGTGGCAGTATGCTCACGCCAAGACGAAGGAGATTGGCGCTCGCGGTGTCTTCGCTGGCTGGACTCTCTCCTTCGTCCGCGACTCGATTGGCTTTGGAGCCTTCTTTGCCGCCTTCGAGTTCGTCAAGGGACAATGCTTCTACAGCTTTGTGAGCAATGTCTACGGTTTCTACGATAAGCTATCGCTGTTCCAGAAGACGAAGATCTTGGGCCAGGAAGCCACGCCTGGTCGACCGGAGATCAAGCCGCATTACATGCTTGAGCCGACCTTCATCTTGATGGCTGGTGCGGCAGCATCGATCGCGCAATCCGTGGTGCAGCATCCGATAACCCGCATCCAGGACGTGCATTACGGACGACTGGAATGGATTGACTCGCATCGCCCGCCTCAAGCCCAGCCACCATCAGCAACCGAACCCAAGCCAGCCGCTACGGCCCCGCCAAAGCGCAATGCCTTCAGTATGTACGCGAGCGCCTATAGGAAGACGTTTAAGGAATGTGCAGCGCTTGCACGGCGGTCTGGTGGTCTTAGGGCGTGGCTGTACAAGGACTTCTTGGTCGGGACTTTGAGGCAGGTCCCTAGTACGAGCGCCGGGTTGATTGCTTTCGAAGTTATACGGCGGAAGTATGCTATGGATGAGGAGGTTGTGAGGATTCACAAGGACGGATATGATATCCTGCTTGTCTGATGTTGTATGCGGAGTGTACATAGAAAGCCGCCCTCCATACTTTATGGGGAGCATGCATAGCATCACAGCCAAGTTAATGCAGCCCATGTTACCACTCTGTAACGCTGTCCGATGGCATAACTCAAGTCTTGCAACCAGGCCGATGAGAGAACGGAGGCTAGTCCGATCCGCTAGCGCCTCGGAGGTGAACCTCAAGTCGCCGCAACCAACATCATCAAGTCTCGACCGCATCAACGTTGGGAAAAGAACAACAATGGAGAAGTCAAGGAATCTGTTTCGATCATTTCGACGCAGTCAACAGTACATCTGCCCGCAATGCTTCCGCCAGAACACCCGCAAACCCTCATCGCTGCTCCGCCAGCAGCAACGGCGCCATCAATCCAGTCAACCTGTCGACGACCCGGCCTTCAAATCTATCCTCGATAAACCCCCTATTCTCATGCGATCCGGTCGCAAACACAAACCAATTGGCCTGGCGATTCTCGCAGCGATACCTATCACTGCATTCTTCCTTGGGTGCTGGCAGGTCAAACGATTAGAATGGAAGTCCGAGTTGATTGCCAGATTCGAGGATCGATTAGTACGAGAACCATTACCACTACCGCACAACATCGATCCGGAGGCGATCAAAGACTTCGACTACAGAAGAGTTGTTGCAAGAGGAAAATACAGACATGACAAAGAGATGCTCATCGGACCGCGCATACACGACGGCAACGACGGCTACCTCGTCATCACACCACTTGAGCGAATAGACAATGCAGGACGCACATCCACAGTCCTAGTCTGCCGAGGCTGGATCCCCAAAGCCAAAGCAAAGCAATCAGAGCGACAGCCGGGCCTACCAACCGGCGAAGTACAAATCGAAGGTCTCCTCCGCGAGCCCTGGAAGAAGAACATCTTCACCCCCGCCAACAGCCCTGAAAGCAACACATGGCACTTCCCCGACGTGGCGCAAATGGCCGCGCACGTGGGCAGTCAAGCAGTCTGGGTTGAGGAGACGATGAAGCCGAATTTGCTGGAGAGCTACAGGAGGGAAGAGGCGGGGATACCAATTGGCAGGCCGCCCGAGGTTAATTTGCGAAATAATCATGTGCAGTATATTTTTACGTGGTTTTCGTTGAGTGCGGCGACGACGTTGATGTTGTGGATGGTTGTGAGGAAGCCGCCGGGAGGGAGGGGGTTTGGGGTGGGGAGGGGAGTGAGGGAGAGTAGGGAGTGGTGAGTGACTGTTTCGGCGGATACGCCGGCATGCCGATGACGCTGGGCCGTCTTGAAACCGGAGAGGGCAATCCGCGGCAACGATAGCTAGATTCAATGTGTACACCAACTGCAGAATAAAGATGAGGGACTTGCACCCTCTGATGCGGTACTCCAAAGTATACGCAGCTTCTTTCCTCGCTTCTTATGCGTATATATGCAGACCCAATCCAGTCCGTTCATGCTGCCCCGACAAGTCGCGTGCGCCATTCTGAACAATGTAGAACGTCCTCTCCGGCCCCATCTTATGTTTGCCACACAAGCGGGCAAGGGAGAGACTTCTCCAGGCGTAAATTCACGGTCTTCATAGGTAGGAAGTCGTACGTATTGGCATTCGTTTGCGGAATCGTCAGTCCCCTGAAAACCAAAGAGGTGTTGTGTAAACGCCCGCCCAATCTTGCGTCCAACGACCATGAATCGATATGGCAGCCCCGGCTCCCAAGCTGAGAGTGGTATCGCATAGATGAATTTGTCCAAGTACTCGCAGGCTTGGCGGGAGGATTTGCGGTCTGGGAAAGTCTCGAGAAACTTGAACATGCGCAGCTTCACCGCCCTTGTCTGTATGCGTAGGCCGCGGTTGGTTATCTCATACGTTCCGTCCAGGTACCGAGGGACACCGCCAGCATAACGAAAGCTAGACAGCTGGGGGGCCAACGGCGTCAAGGACCATCGTAGAAATACGTGTCGTCATAATCAAAGATCGACTTATCATTGGATGATTGGATGATGGCCTCTTGAAGGCGGTGGAAGGCCTTGGAGCCCTCACCATAAAGAAGCGGCATGTTGACGTTGAAGATACCGAGTAGACAATAGCTGGCGTCCTCTTTCCGTGTAGTCTTGCGGTCTGCAGCCCAGCTCATGCGTTCTGCTATACTTGCGTGCCAAACCGAACATTCCGTGCCCCGGAGTTTGGAGAGGTACCGTTCGGCAATGCCAGTTGCGCTGGACACCTTCTCCGTGAGCAGAGGAGCGAGCTTCGACTCTGCTGTCCTGCTACATCGTCCGCGTGCCGGGTACACCGCTTTGTCGAGATAGCCGAGCACCTCCCACCGCACATCGCAGAAGACGACAACGGAAGGCGCGAGTAATTCTTGGAGCGTCCATCCCCTCCGAAACCATTCACTGTTTTTGAACGCTTTCGAGCCGCTTCCGGTCAGGGAGTACACATCAGAGAGATAAGCGATGCAAACAACAGCGTTCTGATACCATGCGAACATGGAGTTGATGGCCTCAGATAGCTCTGCACTCGATCGTTTGTCGATGCAGCCTGTACCGAAACGAGTCAGAATTCTTTACTCGTTCCCAACGTAGCTGCAAGGCGAATGTTGTCGCAGAGCAAGGGATCATTGGGGCAAGACACGAGACAATGAAGAACTTCTTACTTACAAGTGTCGATCCAAACCCACTGGAGCTTGTCCCTGTGCATAGCGTCCCTCAGTGCACCTTCTGGATGCTCTTGAAAAGAGCGGATGTATCGTGAATTGTGGAACTCCTTCACAAAGTTACAACATTCCAGTATCTTCCTGTACCCAGGACTGTCTCTAGAGCAACGACCCTTGACAAAATCTTTGTAAGTGACCTCCTTCCCTTGCCAGCGATGCGAAAGGATGAAGTACGGTGGAATGTTTTGCTCGAAGAACTCCTCCAGCTCCAGGGTATGGATGTTGAGGAGCCGCATGTTGTCAACAGGTCTTTGTGGCCCGACCCAGGGTGCTTTGGTCCAGGTTCATGCGAGCATATCTTTGTACGACTCAGTATGCGCCAGATGGTGTTCAAGTTTCTGTTGGAGGAGTCGTGGGCGTCTGAAATGTATGTAGAATCTACGGTTGGCAAGGCTGTGTCGGCAAGGCTGTACAGCGGCACAGCATGGCGTCCAATCGCGTTCGAGGTCTTCAATGTCGCGGGCAGGGACCAAGTGAATGCTGAGGCCGATAAGATGAACACAAGCTGGACGGCCAAGAAGAAAACATGACCAGGCGGCCTATCGTTGACAAGCCTCGCGGCATTGATTGCTGAGCTACTGTATCGTACACATGCTAATTGTATCTCATCTGGCATCTGCAGCAGGCACTGATGCAGATTGTCTCCCGAGCCGCACGGCTTGAACGCACGCAACCCACACCCCGATGCGCATGCACCGCCTGCCATATCATCGTCTCCTCACGACGCCCCAGCCTTCAGCGCCGCCTTCCCCTCCACCGGCTGAATCCTCGCCATCATCTCCTCCTTCGTGATCAAATGATCAATCCGCTCCAACAGCCCCAACAGCCCCTTCATGTTTCCACTCCACTCATTCAACACTTCATCCGCCTCCCTCTTGCGCTCGAAGCTCACGACCTGCGCCGGACGATCGATCCGCGCATAGATCGTCTTGCTCGTGACCAGCTCGCTGATCACAGACTCCGTTTCCTGCGGCGGGAGATCCAGCAGCGTCGTCAGCCGCGGGAACGTGACACGAGTGTAGTACTTCGCTATCACACGAACGTTGTGCTCAATAACGCGCTTGCGGAGATCCAGGTAGCGCTTGTGTGCTTTCGGGTCCTTGCGGTCTTCGTGGGCGGTGAAGATGTCGGTTGAGGTGAGGTGAGAGCCGAAGTTAGCTTCGATGTTGGGCCAGCGCATGAGCTCGGGGACGGTGAAGAGCTTGAGGAGCTGGGCCTCGGTAGGGCAGGATTCGGCAATACGGGTATCTTGCGCGACGCGGTGAAGGAGGTCGTTCTGCTCGTTGTCGTACGGCGCGAGGAGGATGAAGTAGACGACGCGAGCGAGGGCGGCTTTCAGCTGATCGGGATTGTCTTCGACGGCTTCGGTGTCCAAGACTTGGCGGTAGTGCTTGCACGCTTCGAGGTATTTGTCGTCGTGCTTGGCGAGCGTGATTTGCTGTTCGTAGTAGCGGAGCTTGAGATCTGTGACATCGTCGTCTTCAGGTTCGTCTAGCTCGCCTACAGTGCCGTCTGCTGCCAATCGCGCGCGCTGCTCTTTCTCTTTCCGTGCCTTCTCGATCTCTTCCTGTGACTTCTTAGGCTTGCGTGCGAAGTACCGTGTGCTTATCTTCCGGCTGAGAATGCCAGCTTGTGTCCAGTCGTCGTTCTCAATGCAAAGAGACACTTGCTCGAGGATGAATTCTGTCTTTTCTCTTCTGCTCATCGAACCGAAAGTTTCCACCTGTAGCTCGCAGAGGATGTCTGTCGCGGACGAAATATCTCCCTGCTCGCGCTTGATGTTGGACAGTATCCGTGTAACACGTGCGCGCTCTACTTCAACGAAGATCTAACATGCTGTCAGTACACTGCCACCACATGCTGCCTTTGCATGCATCTTACCTTGCCTTCTGTCACCGTCCTTAGTGTCTCAATCACGCTCAGCTTCACCTCCATGCTAGGCGTCTGATCCAGGAAACCCATGACCACCTGCACCATCTTGGTGATGGCTTGCTTGAGCTGGCCATGCTTCTTGCTCAACAGCTGCACCTGCTCGTTCAGCAAATTCCAATCGCCTGCTTCCTTTGCTATTGTCACAACGGAGACTAGTAATCGTGATGTGGAGGGGAGGTCGGAGGCTTGACGGGTCTTCTTCTCGAGAGCGAGTAGCTTGTCGATCGCGCCTTGTGCATCGCCGGACTGTCCACGATCGCATTAGTGGAGTGTTATACACCAGATCACTGCGCGCGTACCTTCGCAGTCTTCTCCGCCTCTGGCAGGGCAGCATCGACCTCGGACGTGTAGTCCTTGTCCGCCTTCAATATCGACCCGTCCGACATTGTGGCGGCTTCTTCACTTGTTGGTACGAGGTGAGGTATCGGCTGGAATATCAGATGACCAGCTGATTCGTGGTATAGGGGGTAGAGTGGATTTCGTGGCAGTGGCGGCGGAGGTAGTGTTAAGGTGGTCGATGTTTCTTGGTGGTCGTTTGGATGAGCTTCAACTTTCTCCAGGCCCGAAAGCTGACGTTCTTGAATTTTAAGGCATCCTTTTGATGCCTGACATCTGTATCTCGACCTCACCTCTTCGCCATTTCCTCTTGTCTTCGCAGACACCAAGATGGACGAACCGCGGCTGGCCGCGCGTGCATAGCGTTACAGAGCTGCATCTGATCAAATGGCAAGCATTGAAACAACGAACAGTATGGCCTACCGGCCGACGTCCCTCGACTTCATCAACCGGCCAAACCCGGTAGAGCCGCAGTCGGTCCAGCAAAATCACCCACTAAACGACGCACCTCGACTGGAACAGAGCAGCAAAGAGGAGTTCCCGCGACTTCTGTGGGACAATGATGATACCAGTCCCTCTGAGGAACGTCCTTCCAAGCGTCGGAAGTCGGGAGATGCTCGACCTAAAGTGCTGAATCTTCCGCGACCGCCTGCGGTCAAGAGTCACACAAAGCGAATGCTCATTCCGCCTACACTGTCAGGACTGCATCAACCTCCGCCGGACGCTGGGCTTTTGCCAAGCATATCTACTGGCCAGCCAGTTAGAGACACAGGGAGATCACTGGCTAACGAAGCTGATGCTGCGCCAAAGCCGACTTCTGCTGCTCAGGAAACGGAGTCTCATGCTCGTGCGAAGCCGAGTCCGAAGGCTGCTCCAAAGGATGTCTTCGCCACGCCCACTTCAACATCCAAGCGTAACAAGTGGTCCGAAGAGGAAACGGCGCAGCTTTTGAAGGGAGTGGCAAGGTTTGGCATGGGCAATTGGACCCGGATTCTCAAATGTACCGACTATACTTTCGAGAGCCGAACAGCGATCGATCTCAAGGACCGATTCCGAGTCTGCTGCCCGGATGAGTACGCTGCTTCGAAGAAGCCGAAGCGTGCGGTGCACGAACAGAGCTCCGAACAGGTTCAACCTTCTGACAAACGCCTTCCGGAGAAGCCAGCTTCGTCGAGGTTAGAGCGAAAATCGTCCGTCGAATTACGCAAGATGGGCATCGAAGAGCCATTCAGCAAGTCCAAACGAAGACCGCGAACTGCATACAGCAAGGAAGAAGATGACGCTTTGCTAGAAGGCTTCGAGAAGTACGGCAACTCGTGGGCATCTATCCAACAGGACGAGGCGCTCCGTCTCAGCCATCGGCAGCCGACTGACCTGAGAGACCGCTTCCGGACCAAGCATCCGGAGCGTTACAAGCAAGCGGGGCTGGCGCCGCGGCCGGAAGTCTTTCCCAAGAAGCCTGATCGAAGACGAATTATCATCTCTACGGCTAGACAGGAGGATTCGAATGATGATCCAACGTCAACAAAGGACGCCAGCAATGTTACGACCGCGCATGATCATCGTCCGGCACCCAAAGAAATGGAGAGCAATGATCAAGCTACATCTGGACCGCCCAAGCCCGCGCCGATCACCTCGCTCCTCCCTTACGACGACGTGTTCTGGGGCGCACCCTTTTCGCACGGCGACAACGAGTTCGACCGGCCAACGCTGGACAGACAAATCCTCGACTGGCCACTTGACATCGCGCGCCCAGCTCCTACTACATCAAGCGCCAGCATCAACCCGCTTGTGACCGTGAAGCCCCCTGTGCCCCGCCACAACTACACGGACGGTCGTGCAGTTCTAGGTGGATCACAAAGCAGCGGTGCACTGCCCTCTCTTGCCGCAATAACGGCGACTGCTGGTTCGGATGGCGACTTCATGGAGCATTTGGAGCTGCCGGAACTCGTCGGTGTGTTGGGAGACATGGGCTACGAGAGCAACAAAGGTGGACAGATACCCAGTTTGGAGGAGCTCATGAGCTAGCATCTACAAAGACATCCACGGAATATGAGTAGCTTTAACCTGGGATACCGCGAAACCCTAATATTGATACTCGAACATCTTGCCAACGTTACAATAAGTACGCCAACATCCCTCATTCCCGCTTCCCCATCTTCCTGTCCTCCACCTGTCCCTTCTTCCACGCCCACATGTAAACACCCGGCCAAACCGCCTCCGCCGCCAACGTCACCGCAATCGCACTCTCTGCCCACAAGTCGCTCACGTACCCCCAGTTCTGCGACATATTCCACCACCGCCACCAAAACAAGCCATAAGCCGTCCAGCAACCTAGACACCTCGTAACCCAGATCTCCAGACTCTGGCCGCGGACATCTTTGTCCCTGAGTAGCAATATGACTGAGCCAACGGAGATGGGAAGTTGCAACGCCACGCCGATGAAGAAAGCTGTCTGTTGTGAGCGATCGGATGGGAACCACGAATCGAGCGTCTGCAGGGCAAAGTAGAATGCTATCGTCAGGACAGCAGTACGCGCTATCACACCCAGTCGGCGCCCAGGAGGATACGCTGAAAGAAGCGCGACGCTGACGAAGGCGAGGTCGAAGAGGAACCAGAGGATGAAGCAGGCGAGTTCGAGGTTGGTGGAGGTGGTGGCAAGGGCGTAGTAGAGCTCGTAGGAGAGGGTTGTGGACCTTCGAGGATGCGTCAGCGGGGACTGGTACTGGATGAAGAAAAGACGGGGAAGACGGACATGTATTCGACAGGGCCAGCGAGATGTTTGTCCTTGTACGTGCGTGTGGCATAGAAGAAGTAGCACAGGGCATATCTATTGGTACAGTCCTTGGCGTTAGCACAGCACTACATTGTCTCCTTCGCCCTGCGCTGGCTATAGTCACACTTGGTGTTAACGTACAGCACACCGCAAGCAATCATTAAGCCATCCTGCACATAGAAGTACACCTCCGGTGGGTTCAAGGCGGCGTCGGCGGGCTGGGGGATGAGGTGGTGTCCTGCTAAAGAGCTAGCGAGCTCGAACGGCATGGTCGTCTGCGTCTCTTGCAGGGTAGAGCTGTTGACTTTTGTGGAATACTGTCCATCTTGTGTCCGCTCTGCAGTAAGCATTCCTTTCAGCTGAGAATTGGCGTATGATGCAATCCTTCCGAGCTGTTCCGGCGGTGAAGCTTATTCGGTGCTTGTTCGTTCCGCGGCCTTCCAAGCGGTATACTGGTGGTGACCGCCGCAACAATGATACGGAGATGGTCACAGGCATCTCTGCGGCCTGCAGTCCGTCCTTTTACAGGGGCACCGTAGGTCTTCTTTCCTCGCCCATCTAAAATCCTCACTTCCCATCATCTTTCCCATCCTGATCATCTCCCTTCCTTCCCTCGAAAGCCGAGCTGTTGCCGTTGTAGAACGTAGTCACCCGGTCGTCATCCTTTTTCCTATCACCGAGCCCCTGTACCCTTCTCACCGCCGCTCCAGAGGGCGCCGAGTCACTGTCCGCCATATTCGCACCAACGACGTTACTCATGTCCTGCTCGTCACCCGTGCCGCCCATGTACGGTCCGCTGCCACCGCCCAAACTGGGCACATAGCTCCATGCGCTGCCTAAAAGACCAAAGACCCCGCTTGCCGCCCAAGAGGCGGTGCTGTAGGCAGAGCTGACGTAGCCGCTGCTGTTGCTGGCGTACGCGCTCGTGGCGCCGGCGACGAGGACGAGGACCAGTGTTGCTGATGGTACCAGACCTAGCTCGAGAAGGCTCTGGTGCTCCTCGCTGATCTCAATGGTCCGACTCGGCCGGGGAGCAAGGATCTGGCGGAAGGTGAACGGGATGTCTGCACCGCCCTCTGGGCTGGCCTCCTTGACCCACGTGCGGACGGCGTCGGCGATGTCAGCGTTGGGGTCGAATTTGCCTTTGATACTGGAGCCGTCAAAAAGTCGGACTTGGAGAGCGCAGGTGGTGTGATTAGCGGTTGGACGAGCAGATCTGACACTGCTCGGATAAGTAGTAGGCATGTCAGAGAAGGCACCGGCTCCAGCAGCCGCCTCAGCATCCTTTTTCCGTTGTGCCTGGGCTTTGCGTTCCTGCTTGTCGTTCTCTATCTGTGCCAGTATTCGTTCCCTTTCCTTCTTGGCTTCATCTTTGCGCTGCTTCTGCTGGAATATCCAGGCATCTCGCGCTTGTTGCTTGTCTTTCTGGTCCGATGTAGCTCGTTGCTTGCCTTTGCCGTCGTACCCTTCTGCCGCCGCTGCGTCTTCCTCTTCCTTGCGGCGGGCGTTGGATCGAGCGATTCGCTCTGCCTTCTCCGTCGCTTCTCTGCGTAGGCGCTCGGCTTCCAATCGCTTCCCTCGTTCCGAAAGCATTGCCTGAATCTCTGCGGAGGACTGAGCTTGTTGTGTCGGGGTACCGGAGGTTGTCGAAGCAGCTGCTGGGGTCGTCGCTTGGGCCTGTCCAGGCTGTGCAGTCGAGCTCTGTCCGCCAGTAGCCTGCTGCGCAGTAGAGTCGGTCGTATCCTCTTCGTTCAACCCATCAGGCGGCCCTTCAGGCTCCCTCTTCCCCTGATCCCCAGCCCCAAACCCCACAGCCTTCAACAATCTCTCCGTAAACTCCTCCCTCCCCACCTCCCCCTCAACCTTCTCGAGCACTTTCCCGTTATGCACCACCACCATCGTCGGTGCCTTTGTAATATCCACAAAAGCCTTCAGAAACCCAGCCTCCTGACTCCCCAGCTCCATCTTCAGCAGCACAGCCTTCTCGCTCAACAAGAGCCCTAAAGGTGGTGTGTCGGAGGAGACGATATCGGTGGGTTGGGATTCATTGGCGAGCCAGTAGTGCTCCCAGACGTGCGAGGTGTGGTCGTCGGGGGAGTAGATGAAGCAGGCGACGAGTTTGCGCTGTTGGATGGCGAGGGCGATGCCGGATTGGAGGGAGCCTTGGTGGAAGAGGGATGGTATCTCTTCGTCGTCCATCCTAGTGATTGATGTGGTGATATTTAATTGTGATGTGAGAGGTTGAGATGGAGGATGCTGAAGACGTTGAAGATGGGCCCCTGCGTGTGACGATGCACCCCAGAAGCTTGACCCCACGTGGCGTTACTTCTACGATGACGACAGAGAATAGGAGGCAGAGGCTACTTGGAACGCAACAGATTCTTGTCTACACTCGTCGAAGAGCGTGAAGGCGCAAATACAAAAAATTGCTATCGAATGTGTGCCCACAACATGCCATGATCGTGAGGCTCTCATTCCGTCCTCTTCTTCCACCCACCAACCCCCAGAATCCCGCCATCCTCAACATCAGGATCCATGCTCCACTTCCTGATCGGCAGGATATTCAGCTCACTGTGATAGCCCGCGTCAAACATCTCCATTCCTGCCCATGCGATCATCAACGCATTGTCCGTACACAGCTCAATCGGCGGGAATTCAAGCTTGATGTGCTCGAAACCCCTGACATTCAGCATTGCTCGCAAGACATGGCGTAGGAAGCTGTTAGCTGCAACTCCGCCGGATACGACGACTGTGTTGACCTTCTCCCGCTCAGTGAGAGTGAGGTCGGACAAGTGTAGAAGAATGCGTGAAGCTAGGTGCTCGAAGGCGACTCTCATCACCTCTCGACCCATTTTCCTCCTCTCATCAACGCAACGCTCCGCACTATCTGCAAAGAGCCGCTGGACATAGGTCAGCATGCCGGCGAAGGAGTAGACCATCCTTCGGTTGCTCTTCCCGTAAGTGGTTTCGGCCAGTGGTGGCCGAATCGCCCAACCCCATGCCGTCTGACGGAGCTCGAGCTCATCCTTTCGCTGCGCAGGCGGAGTATAGCTGTACGAGCTTTCGCCATCTGGGAATGCGAAGTTTTCCAAGGCTCGTCCATATGGCGGGATGAGTAGCTCAGATGGTAGAATAGCTCGGGCAGCTTTATCAAGGCATGTGCCGATGGCGATATCTGCCGTTTCGGCCAGAGTCCTGTGCTCGAGTAGAGTGCTCGACTCGATGAGCATGGTGTGTCCGCCACTGGCGAGGACGCTCAAGAACGGGAATGTTGGCTCAAGTGTCGACGGAGTCCATTGCAGTGCATTAGTACCACCATTGCCATCCGCAGACCTGGTGATGATGCGCGTTGGATCTTCCGCAGACCGCAGTGTGGAGCACAATCGAGGTGTCAGAGCATGCGCCTGCATGTGGTGCACACCTACCAGCGGGACTCCCCAAGCCAGAGCAAGTCCTTTGGCAGCCTCAAGTCCAACCGTCAGATTTGACCGCATGCCAGGACCGCGGGTCACGGAGACGAAGTCAGGTCGCCACTGCGCCTTCGAGCCATCGCTGCTGGTGAAGGCATTACACTGTGCGAGCGCCTTCTGAAGCAGTGGTCCTAAGCTCGCCTGGTGCGAGTGCAGTGCAACCAGTGGATGTATGCCGCCGTAGGATTCTGACTTGGCGGTCACTTTCTCGTGGAAGAGAACCTTTGACTCCAATTTCAAGGCATCTTGGTCATCATTGCCACCCGTTCGACTGACTGACAGTACGGCAACGGACGTGTCATCGCAGCTCGTCTCGATAGCAAGTGTCTGTAGTCGTCGCCATCGTGGATACTGAACTTTCCCATCTCGTGTTAAGAAGGTACGCGCTGAAGCCTTGCTGAGGAATGCCTTGGTGACAGAGCGGCGCCAGGCGAATTTGTTGGACCCGCATCGACGTGCGTGTGGAGTCGCAAGATGATGTTGCAGCGGTCGCACAAGATTGCACATTTACCGCCTGCACAAGCCGGTGAAGAGGAGGAGGTTGTGTGGACGGGTGAGGTGAGTTCTCTCGGGGCCTTCGGCAAAATCGGCGGTCCTGAAGTCCGATCGGAGAACGCCCTGCCAAGCCTTGTAGCCCTGTCCAACCTAAGTCGGAGAACGTCTGCTCCTTCTCAGGGCTTCTGACTAACAACACTACCATCTGCAGGGCCTGACTAAACAACTTAACCCTACATGTTATGGTGTCTTGCATGGAATGACATATGGTCTCCATCTATGCCCTAGATGGCACTCCGATTATCATCCTACGACGGATGAACCGTGTCCTACGGGCTTTTGATGCGCCGTCACAGCAATGTAGACGCGCAGGGAGTTGGTAACGGTACATGTAGGTGACCATAGAAGGGACCTCGAGTCCATATAAGATGCTCTTCCCACCCACAGGTCAAAGCACACTTCAACACAGCAACTCCTCATCAGCAAGCAACAAGCAACACTCCAACCCAGACTCCAGTTCCAGACTGCAATTGCATCGCTCTAATCTATCACCCCAATCCAACAAACACCTTCTCCAGCATCAACATCAACATCAACATCAACACCAACATGCCTCTCGCCGGTGCCGACTTCCCCCGCCCAGCCGAGATCAAGACCTACCATATCAATACGTACGACCGGATCTCCCCAAAGTCATCGGGCTTCGATGGCAAGGGCAAGACAGTCTTGATCACTGGTGGTTCTGATGGAAGTGAGTATTGCCGACCGTCATATTGAATCTGTTGCTACGAAGAGCTTTGCTAACGAACATCGCACAGTCGGCTTCTCCATCGGCCGCGCCTTTGCCGCCGCCGGCGTTGCGAAGATTGTGATCGTGTCACGATCCAAGGAGCCCCAGGAGAAAGCCAAAGCAGAGCTCACCAGCAAATTTCCGGACCTGGACGTTCAGACATTTCAAGCCTCCGTCATCGACGACCTGGACAACATCACGTCCGCCATGCAAGCCGCCGGCCCCATCGACGTCCTGGTCCTGAACGCCGCCTACAGCCATACGATGAACGTCCCGAGCTCGACCATCCCCACTTCGGAGATCGAGAAGACGTTTCAAGCCAATGTGTTCACGAACTGGCACATGATCCAGACATACATCCACTCGACTCCAGCTCCAGCGTCCGGGTCGAAGACCGTCATCGCCGTTTCCAGCGCAGCAGCCCACCTGGATGTTGGTGGCCAGGTTGGCTACGGGGCCTCCAAGGCTGCCCTCTCACGCATGATCGGTTTGCTCGCCGATGAGTATACCGAGGAGAAGGACAATGTGCGGATCATGAACTATCACCCCGGAATCGTGGCAACAGCAGCAGCTACGAAGGACTACGACGGCACAAGCGAGCCATTCTTTGTATATGAGCACGTCGACTTGCCGGGTGACTTTGCGGTGTGGATGGCGGGCAAAGAGGCCGGCTTCCTGCATGGGAGGTATGATATTGATGAACAACCCCTCCCATGCTTCAAAAGGATTGGCTGACTCTGTCTCTAGGTATCTCTGGGCGCAGTGGGACGTTGAAGATCTGCTCGCGTCGAAGCAGAAGGTGAAGGAGGATCCGAGATATTTGAAGATCGGGTTGACATACCCGTACTAGATGAGAGTCGAATGGGAGAGGAGATGGAAGAGTTGTGGAAGAGTAATAATAGACTATCACAACCATGGAAAGGAGTTTGATTCACTTACCCGACTGATATTGCCCTTCAATCGTGAGTCTTGCCTTCAGTCATGTTGGATGGAGGTCGGCCTCGGACCATCGTGCTCCGATTGTCGATCGTGCGGAGCTGACCAGAGAATGACTTCACGTTACCCTCCACAAGCCATGCGACCTTCTATTTCTCCACCAACCACTGCAACGTCGAAACGGGTCTTTGCAAACCATCAGAGCACCTGCCTGAACAAAACATCCTCCGAAGGTGCCGTCATACCCAGTGGATGCAGAGCGGTAAAGTACATGTAAATGTCGAGTTCATCATCTTCGTTTTTCTCACAAGCTTACTGCGAGTCTGTACGCTTCTCTTTTCCTTACTGTGATATCCTTGAGAAGATGGTACTGCAGTGGCTGGCCGCTTTCGGCCTCTTCGTCTCATCAGTCAGCGGCCGCTTGAACTCCAGCTCCATGGCTCCCAATTCAACTGGCTTCTTGATGAAACATGGCTTCGAATCAGTCTTAGTGCAACCATATGGTGAAGACGGCTTCCGTGTACGTGCCTGGCCATTCCGCCCGCCTAACGGCAACGAAATCAGCTTTCTATATGACCCGCCACTGGAGGGCCCAGAGAATGGCGAGCCGCACGGCATGAGCTACGACATCAAGTACAACGGGACTGGCCCGATGGTTCTGCAGAACGGAAATACGATAGTGAAGACGTTCAGCCCGATCGCGGACAATACTTCGATGACCAGACTGGCTTTCTATCGCACGGAGAGTGATGGCTCGGAGACACTTTTGTTGAACGAGTACTCTCCCATCAAGTCTCTCAACTCCAGATACTACTCGTGGGATGGTCCGGGGTACGAGTTCAGCGCTGCCTTCTCGTTCGCCACGGACGCTGATGAGCAGGTATATGGCACTGGAACACAGGCTGACGGAATGGTCAACAAGAAGGGCATGGTTATTGAGTAAGCACAACGGACTCCTGGACTTTGACATTGACTGATGGTGAAATAGTCTGATCAACTTCAACACTCACATCCCGACCCCAGTCTACATGTCCAGCCGTGGATATGGCTTTGTGTGGAACTCTGCAGCGGAAGGCCAGATGGAGTTCAGCACACTGCGCAATCGCTTCACCTCAAGGTCCACGACGCTCGTAGACTACGCCATCACATCCGCGCCGACTGGGGACTACGATTCTCTTCAACGAAAGCTCTCTGCTATGACTGGAAGAGCACCACAGCCGCCGGCATGGAGCTTGGGATATCTTCACTCCAAGCTTCGATATGAGGTAAGCATAGACGGACAAAATGGCGCTCAGTGAGACGAAAGGCTTCTTTGGATGAGACACGACTGACTCTGAGGAATCTTTCTAGAATCAAAGCGAATTTATTCAGCTAGCACAGGACTTCCACGACTACAACATCCCAGTCAGCATGCTGGTAATCGACTACCAGTCATGGGCCGCACAAGGAGACTGGGGGCTCGATCCAGCTCTGTGGCCCAACGTCTCTTACATGTCGCAGAGAGTCAAGGAACTGACCGGAGCTGAAATTATGGCGTCCCTATGGCCAAGTGTGTCTGACAAAAGCGATAACTATGAGACCATGCAGATCGAAGGCTTGCTGGCAGCCACAAGGAGCGGACCGGGCGTAACCGATAGCTGGAATGGGAGTTACATCAGGAATATAGATTCGACTAACCCAGAGGCTCGGGCGTTCTTGTGGAATCGGCTGAGAGTCAATTACTATCAGAATGGCATCAAGAATTTTTGGATAGGTGAGTCTCAGGATAGCGTCGAGGACATCTTAATTCAACACGAGTGCTAACCCTTCTATTTATTGCTTCTAGACCAAGCCGACGGTGGCAATTTGGGTGAGGTGAGTACTGCCGACCAAAGGAGCCTACTGAGACATCGCTGAATACCCCGACCTCGCCAGGCATACCAAAACAACGGCCAGTCCACTTACATTGAATCAATTCCATACCCTTTCGCCGACGTCCTCTACCACGCGGGCACCCAAATGAGCATCGGCAAGCTGTACCCATGGGCGCATCAGCAGGCGATCGAAGAAGGTCAGCGCAACGCCACTGGCTCAGAGATGGGGCAGCCATGCGAGTATCTATCTCTCAGCCGGTCTGGCTACATCGGGAGTCAACGATTCTGCTCGATGATCTGGTCTGGCGACAGCACATCTGTCTGGGAGACTTTGGCAAACCAAGTCGCGGTGGGTCTTTCTGCAGCGGCTACGGGTTGGGGATGGTGGACGCTTGATATTGGTATGCACTATCTCCACGCTGGTTCCAAGGCATGTGCTAATGAGATGCAGGGGGCTTCCAACCAGACCCGACCGTGCCTTGGAGTGGCAATATCGATACTGGTAAGCTTTCATCGCGTATACTGACCGAGTGTCTTATTGTGTGAGGCGTTTACTGATCGACTGCCTTCTCCTATATTCAGAACCTTACCGTGAGCTCTACGTCCGCTGGCAGCAGTGGGCTACGTTTTTGCCCTTCATGGTAAGTCACCCGTGGTTTCTTGGAGACATCATCCAGCTCCGTGAGAATGTCGGAGACCGTGAATGACTGCGCGTACTGTTCGAACACATGCTAACCTTGTCATCCTCCTTTTCTTCAGCGCAACCATGGATCGAGAGCCTGCAACACACAAGACGCATACACCTGTGACAACGAGCCGTGGAGCTACGGCCAAAAGAACACCCCAACGATTAAGTCCTACATCAACCTTCGATACCAGCTGGCACCATACCTCAAAGCAGTATTCAGCCAATTCCACGAAACAGGCAGGATGATCATGCGGCCGCTATACATGGACTTCAGCCAGACCGATCCTGCCATCGCGGAACTGACGAGGCAAAATGCCAACATCACCACCCAGACGTACATGTTTGGCCCACGGCTGCTGATCTCACCCGTGACCCGGCCCAATGTGACAACATGGGAAGTCTATCTCCCAAACACCGGCGCTGGGAACGTCACGAGGCCCTGGACATACTGGTGGACTAACCAAACTTATGCAGGCGGCATGAACGTGACTGTACCTGCACCGCTCGAGCATCTTCCTGTCTTCCACCTGGGAAGCCGAGCTGATGTCATGAGCGGTAATGTCTTCTGAAGCCGTCGGTCAAGAAACGAGGTTTGACCAGCCAGTCCATATACCAACGGCGGAGCTCGAGTTGGTATTGGAGCTCCCCTTCGGAGAACGATGTGGAAAGTACAACAACATAAGTAGACCACTGAAGACCAGTGAAGCACTTCAAGCTTGTTCCATTGCTTCGATATGGTAATGCTCTAGGCTAACAGCCTCCTTCCCATTTTAGACACAGCTATTGTCTAGGGTCTAGAGCGATGTCTAAGAGGCTCGAAAAGCAGCGCAGTTGAGGTTAACAATACCAACGTAGGCTTCGCGTGGCCGGGATGGTCTCCAGGTTTCTTCAAGAGCACTTTGGAAGCACGCTCAGCCCGAAGGCAGTTCGTCCCAGAATAGATGTCCACCAAACAGGTCCTCATCAATCTGCCATTCGTCTAGCGGCGCATCTGATAGAAAAGTGTTCCAGTCAGGTCCGCCCATAGGCTCATCGATCTGCGCACCACTGCTCAAGGAATGGTCCTGTTGACCGCCCGCGAGAGTAGGATACACGGCAGACCTGGCCGTCGGTTGAGTCTCGTTGATCGGAACATTGCCAGCTGAGATTTTGGTCTCTGACTCCAGGATAGGGCGAATGATATTCCACATCCGACAAGGCGAAGCTTGTATGTCTCCGAGAAGGGCGGCTTGCGTCTTGTCGAGTACCTGTTCTGGCAGATGCTGTTCTCTGGTCTGGACTTTCGTCGCAGTACTGTACATCTTTTGGTAGCTGCGAATGCTGCCGATGGCTGACGGCCACTTCTTCTTCATCTCTTCTTGAGCAAGCGAGATGATTTTGAGATCTTCTTGAGCTGTCTGCCACATACTCTCATATCGATAGCAAGACAGCAGGGCGATGGAAGCAACAAGCAAATAAAAGGTGTACACCGGATTGAGGAAACGTATCTGGTCGCGAGCGAGCAACTCTTCGAAAAGCGAGGCGATAGCCGATCCAGCAAGAACAGCAGCAGTAGGGAATGGTCCATCAGAAGTCCGAGCACGGAAGACCATTGCAACGGCAGTGTAGTAGATGACATTCAATTGCCGTACATTGAAGCTGTTGATGGACCCGTGCTGTTGAGTGATTTCTAAAGAAGACAAGCGGAGTGAGGGTGGTAAAGCTTCCACCCACTGCCGGAGATGCTGACTAGTATCAGCAGTGTCGAGCTTCCTAATACTGTGCTTGACGAAACGACCCGTGATCGCTGCAAGATCCACATAGGCAATGAAGACAGGACCGGTGGTGCTTGAATGTGGGAAGTCACGTATGGTAGGGCGAGGTACATCGCAATGGCTCAGGTCAACGGCTTGCGCCCTGCCATGAGCTGCGCTGATCAAGCAGTCTCGTGCCTAGCACGGTTAGAATGTCTGTACAAAGGGCCCCGGTCAGCTTATACTTACTACGATGGACCACCACAGTTTGCGGCGAAGCGCTTCATCCGGAACCCGGCGTTTTGCACTATTGAGGCCCATTTGGACGGCAAGATTGACGGCAATACTGTTCCAAAACGTTGACGTATCTGACGAGACCAGTTCCGGTCCGTGGGGATTCCACCAATGCAACAGCGATACAGCAATAATCTTCACCAGTGGATTGCTCTCCTGATTCGTCCAGAAGAGGGTTTTGGCGCGAAGATAGAAGTCATGGGGTGTTACGTCTGATAGAGGAGCGGAGGAGACCCTGCTGCCTCCCAAGAAAATTGCTTGTAGCAGCAGGCGAGACACCCCCTCCGTAGGCACACCGATGATTTGAGATCGTTCAATGGTGGGATCCCAGGGATAGCAGTAAGTAAAGAAGTTTTCGAACAAAGCCATCTGGACCGCCCTCGACGGCAGATTATAGGCTTGCTGGAGCTCACATATCTGCTGGCTCACACTGCTGCCGTGGATGATCTGGCCGGCATAGTGTGGCTCTTCTCCGTCTTGAGCTTGCAGAGCATCTGGTCCAATGAAGGCTGCCCTCTGCATATGGCCATGTTGATAAGGTGTCGGTGCTTGTGCCTCAGGACCCGTAGGCTCGACTAGAAGATCAGCATCAGGAGGCCTCGTCGTCAGTCTTGCTCGCCGCCGCTGTCGTGGTCTTGATGCGCACTGCCGGCTCTCGCGCTGACAGGTCGTGCATGGCAGCCCGACGACACTGACATCGCACCGGACTTTGCGGGCATGGCATTCTGAACAGGCCCCCCTGGCACGCAATGGAGACTGCCGCAGATTGTTACTTTCGTCGAGACGGAAGTTTCTGTTCATGGTGAGAGTGAATGCAGGATGAAGTGCCGTCGGCGTTGTGGAATTTACTCCTTTGATGTTAGATCTTACTCGAATCGCATTAGCCCTTGCGTCTAACCCAATACAGGAGTTTCCTGTCGCCGACGCTATCAACCTCCTTCACTCTTGACCATGTCCTCTCCCTGGACACCAACACGACGATGACTGACGACGTCTTGTCTCTGCACGTCCTACGGAAGTATGTATCTAACTCCTAATAATCTCCGCTCGTAGTAAGCAAGAACACGTGCGGTGAATCGTCCTTGATATACTTGTATTTCTACGGCGAGGATAGAAGGTAAGGAATCATACTTCTTCAGCATTCACTCTCTAGCATCCTTCTTATGCAGCCATGGCTACTCAACTACGTGACACCCAGCTTGGACTCGTCGTCCGTCTTCTCTCTGGCAGAAGGCTTTTCGCTTATCCAGACCAGCTCGATGGCTCTTTGTGGAAGACATTCCAGGCAAACACCACGCATCCATCTGAAGAAGACCTAGACGAAGAAGCAAAAGTATCAGCACAAGCATCTAAATCAGACGGAGACGTGGTGTTGGTGGGCTGGTACGATGCTCACGATCCAGAGGTATGCAAGCGTCCGGATCACCGTGTCAAGCGCCCATTGACATCCTGCAGAATCCGCAGAACTGGCCAAGCTGGTGCAAGCTGCTCATCGTTTCCGTGATATGCCTGATGAACTTCGCTTTCTACTTGGCCAGCTCGATTGTTACCCCGGCCTTCGAGTCGACAATGGAGGATTTCGGCGTGAGCCAGACCGTTGCGACGCTGGGTCTCTCTCTCTTTTCTCTCGGCTATGGTCTTGGCCCAATGCTGTGGTCGCCTCTCGCGGAGATGCCAAAGGTCGGCCGTCGGGACCTCTACTTCTTCACCATGCTCGCATTCGTCCTCCTTCAACTCCCAACGGGCTACGCAATAAACGTGCCAATGTACTTGGTCTTCCGTTTCATCGCTGGCTTCGTCGGATCACCAGCGTTAGCAGTCGGAGGCGCCACAATTGGAGACATGTATCAGCCGGCGCAGTTGGCATACGGTTTCACCATCTACGCCACCTTTGGCGTATTTGGTCCCGTTTTCGGACCTCTACTGGGTGGGTTCGCAGCTCAGGCGAGCGGATGGCGGCTTACCATCTGGATCATTGCCTGGCTTGGAGCGTTCACGGTTATTGTGCTGTTCTTTTGCATGCCGGAGACAAGTGCTGCGACTATCCTCTACAAAAGAGCAAAGAGACTGAGGCAAGCGACCGGCATGCAGAACCTGCGATGTCAGTCCGAGATCGATGCTGCCGAATATACCGCGAAAGACCACAGGGCAGCGCTTCTGCGGGCCTTTACACTGACCTTTGGCGAGCCTATTGTGTTCTTGTTCGATCTTTATACTGCCTTGCTGTAGTACGTAGGGTCCAGCCTTGAACAAAATATGGAACTAGGCTGATTCATTCTCAACAGTGGCGTCCTCTTCACCTGGTTCGAGAGCTTCCCCTTGGTCTTCGGCACCATCTACCACTTCAATCTTGGCCAACAAGGTCTCGTTTTCCTCGGAATCTTCGTCGGAAGCCTTGTCACCCTCCCAGTCTGTCTCTGTTGGAACCGCTACTACATCATTCCGCTTTCACTTAAAGGCGGCTTCAAGCCCGAGGCGGCACTTCCCATAACATTCCTTGGGGCAGTGGCACTCCCGCTTTGTCTGTTCATCTACGGCTGGACAGCAAGGAAGGGTGTACACTGGATAGTCCCAATCGTGGGATCGAGCCTCTTCGCCGTAGCGCTTCTCACACTCTTTCCGCCGGTCCTGAATTATCTAGGACACTGCTATCCCAGCTATGTGGCCAGTGTCTTCGCTGGAAACGGACTCTTCCGCGCGACATTTGGGGCGATATTCCCGCTCTTTGTAAGAAGTCTCTCGTGCAGCACGCGCGGTTGTTCATCGCTGACGAAGGGACAGGCACGTCGACTCTTCGAAAGGTTAGGAGTAGGGCCTGGAAATTCCTTGCTCGGCGGGATCGCCATCTGCTTTATGCCAATACCGTGGATCTTCTACAGGGTAAGACTTGTATCTTGTTTCGTGGACCGTATTGACACGTGAGGTAGTACGGTCACAAGATCCGCCAGATGAGTAAGAACGCCAGGCACGACGTTTGAAGCACTATTGAAGGCGGAGAGGTCCGTTCAAACGAAACCAAGCCCGCTCGATCGGTCTCTATGAGGATGCTCTAAGGGTGGTGTTTGTTGGGAAGATGTTGTGCTAGGCGATGTCCCGCACCGCTTGCTTCGAGATCTCACAATATCTAGGCACTCTCAATTCTTTCGCCTACTCCCAAACTCGCGAATATCAAGGCGAAAGGAAGCTACTCAGGATTGTCATAATTTGGCCATACAGACTTCAGCTCTAGACGTCAATCGGGCTGCAGAGATGAGGAGCTTGTCCTGCGGCATCAACGGATGCAGACGCCGTGTGTAGTAGCTTTTTGAGCCTTCAGCCCGGAACTCTGAAGAACACCTCGATCTCCATCGGCGCAGACGCCGATGCCGTACGACGAATCAAATGCAGCCAATTCTAAGCAAAGCATCGATCGACGTCAAGGTTCCTGTCGAGCATTGCAGGTCTGGTTGTTTCTCCGCAGACCAAGGCACGTTTAGACTGTTTTGGAAGCATTGCTGGATTTGACTTCGACTTCATCTCCTGTTTCTCCATCGAAGTGTTGATCATTGTCTGCTTGAAGCTAGCAGGACACAAGATGGCGGTTGCACTACCGTTCGAGAAAACTTCATATGGTCGCCGTTCCCTTTTGGAAGGCAGGTTGTGCTGGAGTTCAGTTTTTCTGTCATTTCGCTTCTCATATACGTCCGACCATTGATCAAGATGCATTTCTCATCGATCGGAGCGTTGTGTATTCCTCTGGCTGCAGACGCACAGTTGTTGGGTGGCAGCATTGGAAACCTGCTGAACAGCCTTGCACCCGCTCCTAAAGATGATCTTCGTTTCAAGAACTTTCATCCTCCTGGTTCTGGAGATGTTCGCAGCCCTTGCCCGGGCTTGAATGCTCTCGCGAACCACAACTTCATTCCTCATGATGTAAGTGGAGACAACAAGATTGATTTTTGTACGTTGTTGAGATATGAGCTAACTGTCCGATCTCGTGTTGCAGGGAAAGAACAACACCATCCCAGTCCTCCTTAAAGGCCTAGCCGAGGGCCTAAACATGGGCGCCGACTTCACCGTCGCAGTCGGTGGCGCCGGCCTTCTCTCCAGCAACGACCCTCTCAGTGGCGGTTTCGACTTGAACGACCTTGACGAACACTCCTTCCCCATCGAGCACGATGCAAGTCTCAGCCGACAAGATTTCTACTTCGGCGATGACCACAGCTTCTACGCTCCCAACTGGAACAGCGTCGTGTCGCAGTTCCACGGAAGCAAGACAGACCTGAAGACTGCCGCCAAAGCGAAGTACTCCCGGGTCCAGGATAGCGAGAAGAGAAACCCGACCTTCACATACGGCATCCGCGAGTTCATCTTCTCCTACGGTGAAACAGCCATCTACCTACAGACAATGAACAGGCCCTCCGCCAACGGCGTGGCTGAAGTTGACTACGTTGATGTGCTGTTCCGCGAGGAGAGGCTGCCGTACAAGGAGGGCTGGCGAGTCAGCCCCGAACCTATAACGCTTGCCTCGCTCGGTGAGCAGGTCTTCGAGCTTTACTCTGTTTCTCCCGAGCCAGCTCCAGAGGGGGCTCAAGTGACGAAGGACTCGCTGAAGGATGCTATCATTGCTGTGAGTGTGCTCTTCTATCGAAGTTTGTGGTCTTGGTTAAACGAAACGTATGCTGATACAACGACAGGTGATTGGATCTGCGAAGTTCTTCTCAGAATTGACGGACGACATCTGCAGCGCTGTTGGCCTTTGCTGAACGACACTCGCAGCGTAGACGACATGTGAAATAGGAGCAAAGAGCGCATCGTGCGTAAGACGGAATTGAGCTCGATGCTTCATATTCATTTGATGGCCAGTATTGCGTTCGATCTCTGTTGGGCCTCGATGGCTTCCGTCCAAGCACACGACGTTACGATGTGTGATAGAGCAGCCTACCCTGCGCAGCGGTCAGATTTCTTTCTTCCTTGCTTGTCCTACGCAATGTCATCCATTTGTCCCTTCATCCCTCTATCATCAACGGTCTCAGCTCGGCAAGTAACGACCAAGGGTCCGAACCTCAATATATTGACTCAATACGTTTTACCTCCGCCATCACATCACCGTATCATCGGCGGCTCCGGCACCACCTTCTCCTCCTGCAAGTCCGAAGCCGAGGCATCCGTCGCCTTGACCTTCGCCTCCGCCTTCTCGTTCCAATCCAGCACAGCCAAAGCAAGCCCTTCTGAAGTCGTAATCGGCGCCTTGTATCCAATCTCCTTCTGCGCTCGATCGTCCGTATAGACAATGTGTGGCGAGGACAAATTAAACACAGCCGGTTGCAGGAACGTCAAGTCCGCGCTCAACGCCGGCACTGCCGGGAGGATCTTGCGGCGTAGTAGCTGGTATTGTTCGATGACATACGCCATGAGCAGGACTGTGATCTGCGGGATCTCAGGGAAATTTATTGGGGTTGATGGATGGGCCATGTTGGAGAGCATTTTGTACAACGAGCCGTAGATGATGGGCGGGTTGGGGTCGAGGACACAGTAGGCGTTGCCGCCGACGCGGGAGTCTTTCTGGAGTAAGGCGTGCTCGAAGGCTAAGTGGCCTATGGAGACGTTTTGGGCATTCACGAAGTGTGATATGACGTTGGATAGCCAGGTTGGTGAGCCGCCTCGACCTTGTGCACAAACATGTTAGCGGTTTTATGGGTCTGAGCAACAGTGAAAGGGGCTGCTTACTTAGGTATTGGTAGGTCAAGGAGTTTGTGTTGGCTACGCCGTGTCCGTAAATACCTAACATGAAATATCAGCCACATCTCACGATTGGAGCGGTGTTTGATGAAGAACGCACCGTGGCCAGGCCGAATGACTCCAGTACGAAACCTTGCGGTGTTGGCTCCACGAACCAGTTGCTCCGCTTGAGCCTTCGTCCACGCATAACAAGCTCCGTAGCCCTCGAGCGGCAGATCCAACGCCTTCGGGTCTGCATTCGGAAGGTATTGATATATGTCCTTCGGATATGCCTGCCACGGCCACGGGAAGTATGACGGCGGTCGAAGTCCAACGGATGCCGAAGAGGTGGCTACGAAACAATCCGCGCCGGCCTTCTTCGTAGCGTCCAGCATGTTGCGAGTGCCTTCGATATTGACTTTGATGTACGGGCTGAGGAAAGCCGCTTTTCGCTCGCTTGGGTTGATGTAGGCTACTGTGTGGAATACCGTGAGTGGTAGTGCCTGGACGCTGTCGGGCCACGAGGTTGCAAACGCTTGGGCGACTGCATTCTTATCTGAGACGTCGGTCTTGATGTAGGCAACGCCGGACTCAGCGACACTCTCCCTCGTCGGCTTGCTAAGGTCCAGTATCCGTATGGCGGCTGGATCTTCGCCTCGCATGAGGAGATGCTCTACAATCCAGCCTCCCACGAGTCCTGGAAGGTTTTAGCAAGTGAAAGATGGACTACGATGAGAAGAGCTACCGGAGCCTCCACAGACGACATATCGTCTTTTTTGCTTCGGAAACAGGAACGGCCGGACGTCAGTCGGTGAGCTTTGGGCCTTGTTGTAGGCCTCTTGAACGTATGACTCTGTCCATGGCTTTTGTGCAAGTTTAGTTGCTTCCGGCGGTGCGTAAGAAATCGATCGGTTGACGTGCCACAAGTATGCAATGACGGCTACAAAGAGGAAGAGGGAAAGAAGTAGCCATTGCATCGTGCGCCAGCGAGCTTACAGATTGTCTTCTGACAGTGCGCTTTACAGGATGAAGGTTTGGGGCGAGAAAGGTGGAAATGCAGCATTATTTTCATATGCAGCGAACCTTGGCCGCCTCGGTTCGCTCGTCTTCCGGCCAACGTGTTTAGCGAGGGCGGTCTAGTCCTTTGAGGAGCTCCATACTGCTTCTTAGAGAAAGAGAATGGAGACAGTCGCCGGGATATAGAGTCAAAAGCAGGTTTGAAGTTGCAGATGAAGTAGCACGGTCGGCAACCGAGGACTCTTGATCGGTTCCATCATCAACGACCCACAACAGCGAGGTCTGTCAACCACTGATATCTGTGGTTTGCTACGCAGCCAGCTTGATTTCACTGGAGTGATTGGAATGCAACGCGCTTTGTCCAACGAGCATCTCGAATGCACCATTGATCCCCAATCCTCTCCCAGACCCCATCACATCCAACGCCGCGCATGAAGACCATCGTACCGCTTCGGGCCTACACGCTCCCCAAAGGCATGACATCCGGCAAAGGTCCAATCGGTATTATCCCCACCCGACTCGCTCCCGCATACCCTTCCTTGATCTGTCCGCGCCAAAGATGTCAGCACACACGTCCTTGTTCCCAATGCCTTCATCATCAACAACAGGACAGTCAAAACTTACCGCTCTAAAGTGCGTCGTAGACCTAAAAGCCCCCCTACTCTCCTCCGGCACACCATCCCAATACAAATTCAACAGCCACTTGTGCATGTGCGGGTAATCGTGCCGCAGCATCTTTAGGTTGCAGCGGAAGAGGGTGTGGTAGCCGACGTCGAAGCGGATGAGGGTCGTGTAGAGGCGGATGTCGGCTTCGGTGATGTGCGGGCCGAAGATGAACTGTACGGCGGTCATTGTCAGGGCTGGGTGAGGGAAAGGTGTGGGAGGGGTGGAATGAAAGAGGGGAGACGTACAGGACCCGGACTTTCAGCGAGGACGGATTCCATGCGGTCGAGGTTTTCGAAGAGGATCTTGACGTTCTCGTCGTAGGCTTCTTGGGAGGAGGCGAAGCCCGTCTGTCACGCAATCAGCAAACCACCCGCCAGTCCCATTCTGCTGTAAGAGAAATATACCTTGTAAACCCCATTGTTAATCGTATTATACACCCACTCATTCATCTTCTCAATCTCGCCCTTAAGCTTCGGTGGCAAAAGCCCATCGTCAGGCTTATTCGTCTCCCGCAACTTCTCAGGCAAGAATTCATCAAATTCAGAGTAGAACATCCGAATAATCTCAGAACTCTCATTGCTCACGATCGTTTCCTTCTTCTTGTCCCAGAGTGTTGGGACGGTGTACCTGCCGGCGTAGTTCGGGTCGGCTTTCATGTAAAGCTGTTTGTGCGTTGTGAACCTAACCACTCTATCAGTCACCGCTCACCTCACACCCTCACAACACGAAATGAACATCACTCACCCATACAGCGGATCCTTCGCATCCGTCCCCTCCCTGTTCGGATTATACACCCACCCCTCATTCCCCATCATATAATCCATCACCACCATCTGCACCACTCCCTCCAACCCCTTCAAACTCCGCACCAGATTCGCGCGATGCGCCCACGGACATCCGTAGTTCACATACAGAACGTAGCGGTCCTTTTCAGCCGGGAACTCGGCGCCCGGTTCGCGGGAGATCCAGTTGCGGAAGGCGGCGTCCGGGCGCTTGAAGCGGCCGGTGCTGTCTTTGACGTCTTTGAAGTCGCGGTGGTCGGGGTTGTTGGCCATTGTGATGAGAGAGATGATTGTGGCTGGGGGTAGTTTTTGTAGTGTTGACTTCTCGGAGGCTGGAAGGGATATATACGAGAGATGTCTCTTACATTGATTCACTTGGTATACGTCAGTCAATGGATGATTATATGCCCCTCATTAGCAATGGAAGCGGAACAACTGCATCTTTGTCAGCTTGTCCGGAATTTCGGGAAGTCGACGGCACGACTGCGTTCCGCGATCCATCCGCTCCATCAACCAAAAGCAGGATACCAAGAAGACATGTCGTGACTTTAGGGAGTACAGCGGTATAAAGAGGTAGTAAGATCTGAGTCGTTTCGAACAGCCACCATGCACAACGTAGATCGACATTGGATCAAGTTGAAGTTCAGCCCGCCGGACTTTGGAACGCAAACGCCGCGAAAATGCTCCTGCTTCGCTACAGCGACATCGTATTACTGAACGCTCACCTTCTAGAATCGTGATGGGAACCATGCTATCGCAACAACGTGGCCCCGTCGTCGCGATGTCGGTCGGAGCGGTTTTGATTAAAAGCGCAAGTAATAGGAGAAGACCGTCTCACCTTCACCTACCTCTTCGATCCTCTTCAACTTGTGTTCGGGCGCTGTCTCGAGCTTCATCATGGCGACAGTGGAAGCAGCCCTCGCCTTCGTGCAAACCTCCAGCACACCCAAACTCACCGTCTCCTTCGACGGCAAAGTCGTAGGCAACGGCGAGCACATCCCTAAAGCCGGTACGTCCCCAACAACACCCCATCACAACCCCAAAACTCACCTCTCCCGCAGAAACCCACGTCGCGCCCACTGTGAGCCTGACCTCCCCAGGAAGTGACACCTACCTAGCCCTCTGCGTCGACCTCGACGCCCCCTTCATCAGCTTCCCCTTCCTCTCCCCAATCCTGCATTGGCTGCAGCCCGGCCTCCGAGCCGGCGCCACTTCGAGCTCCGAGAGCGGCGCGACTGAGCTGACAGCGTCTGACACGCCGTACGTGTTCGACTACAGAGGCGCAGGACCTCCGCCGGGGGCTGCGCCGCATCGGTACGTTTTTCTGCTGTACCGGCAGCCGGAAGGGTTCGAGGGGAAGGTTTTTGGGCAGCCGGACGAGGGTCAGAAGGTGGGACTGATGAAGAGGGTGAGGTATGATTTTGGAGGGTTGGTGGCGAGGGCAGGGTTGGGGGAGCCAGTTGCTGGGAGCTGGGTGGTTAGTAATTGATTTTGGTTGGGGGCGAACGTCAAGGGCTACGCCGGGAGATGGGTCGACCAGAAATGAGTCGAGTCGTGGCGGTGGCGGGAGAGGATGCTGAGCTGTTGAGGTTTCGAACGCTGTACTGTAGCCCTTGGCGAAGGAATGGAAGGCCATATTCCACCGCTAGGCCCAGCTTGCTCGGGGGCACTTTTTGGTGCGCAGGTAAAGCGAAGCGCTGAGAAACACCGAGGATTCGACAGCTTGGGCACAGTTCTCTTGCCGTGACATGGTTGCGTCCTCGGCATGATGCGAACCGTCGCAGCTGTACGGCTCCGTCGCGGCGCGCTCTTCGTCGAAAGCATCGTAAGATGCAGAGTACTGTTCGACCAGCTCGACCGAGCCGTCAGAGTTCTAGCAAGAATTCATCCGTTGTGCCGTTCGCTGTGATGGCTGCCTTGCTTCCAACGGCGTCATCACGCCGTATCGCGCAGTTTGATACTCGTTCTAGCTGACGGGATGCTCTCTGGAGCACTAGGGGACACGTTTCTAGCCCAATCGAGCCGGTCTTCTAGGGAGGAACCGCAACCAGTTCGATGCCGCGGAACACCGGCTACGTACCCCGTACTCAACCCAATGCCTGCCGTTGCGGGAGGCAAACCGGATTGTGATGAACCTGTAATGAACTCCCCACAACTGCTGCCTCGACACAAGTGCTTATGTTGTCTCATCGACCGTCAGTCAGGGTCCTTGAGAGGCGTTGAAAAGGCGTTGCGGAGAGCAGTTGCGCCGCTTCGGGCACGAACGGCAGTGGTGATGTCTCTGGTTGATTGACATTCAATCTAGATACCCCTGCTCTAGATCGTCGGACGCGTGCGCCGCACGTTCGAAGCCGGGGCCGAATGCGACGGTTGGTCGAGCTTTGGACACGATCGGCCGGATGGATTCGATGTTGGCGTGGTTGGTCTCGTGCTTTGCGCTTCTGCCAGGCTTTGGGGGAGTCGAAGCGGGTTGTCTTTACGCAGTCGTCAGGCCGTATCCAAGAAAATCGAGATGTTGATGATGATGATGATGACCGCCCACGTTGGTGCACCCTCTCTCATGCATGCCGGCAGATGCAGACGCAGACGCGACACGCCACCGTCCTGCATGTCTTATTTCTCCGCAGTTGGAGGGGCCAGGGGTGGAGCAGTTGTCGCGTGAGGTCGAAAGGAGATGGCGAGCTGAAGGAAAGCAGCTGCCGACCAGGTACCCGAGCGGCCCCTATTGGCAGGCTCGTGCTGTTCCTGCTTTGCCTACGGGGTACCTGCCTATTCGGAAAGCTTGATCACAAGCCGAGGCCGACTTCACCCTTGTCTTCGTAGGGGCAGGTTCTTCTTCTGCAGGAACAAAGTGGCCGCGCACTCGCGTCTCGGTTGGGAACAGACGACGCCCTGTTGTAGGCGCTTCTACGAGCCTTCTAGATGCAGTTCCTACCGAGGGCAATACCGCGGACTCGGAGGTTGGAGCGTGAAGTGCAATCTATCGGTGAACATCAGGTAGGGACCATCTGTCGCTCTTTCCTTGACGCCATCTTTCTCTTCAGCCCACCTTCCTCGCACTGACACAACCACACTCTCTTTGATATGCGTCGACACTTCACGTGCACTTCTTACCGCTGGCTGTCACGACACTGGCAGCAAACACCGACCGCTACCATTCATTAGAGACTCTGCCAACCAATCTCGGCAACATTCGGGTCAACAGCACGAACACCGGGACACTGGCGGAAGATCATCTGGTCAGATACATGGGCTTCTAATCGGACTACTACCCTTAACGACAAGTACACAGTCGTACATCGACACAAAAGTGCCCTGGCGCTGCCTCATGAGACATAACGACCACCGCTTGTGACCACAAGCACTTTCACGACAGTCATGACCGCACCTCCATACTCACCACGCACCGTGGTCGATGGCACCCCCTACTTTCCAGAACCGTACAGCCTTAATCCGCTACCTGATGACCTTCAAACCGGCCTCATCCCCGTTGGCGTCCTGGCATTGCTTTCAGTGCTGTCGACGTTGGTCCTGATCACCTTCATAATCTTCCGCATGGCAACATGGAAGCTTCACTACCGGACCTTTCTGGGCTACAATCAATACGTGATCCTCGTGCTCAACCTCTTGATCGCGGACTTGCAGCAGAGCTCGGCTTTTCTGATCAGCTTCCACTGGATCCGCACCGGCATGATACTGGCGCCTTCAAGTCCTTGCTTTGCACAGGCGTGGCTCCTCCATTCTGGTGATGTGAGCAGTGGCTTTTTCGTGCTGGCCATCGCACTGCACACCTTCTACACTGCGGTGCATGGGAAGCGAGTGGGTCAGAAAACCTTTGCTACAACGGTCTTTTGCATATGGCTATTCTCCTACTTCCTCACTGGGCTTGGTGTTGGGCTGCATGGGTGGGTATCAGTCACAGTTTTGAGTAATGGACGTAGGCTGATGAATCTGCACAGGGAGAAGTACTTCGTTCGAGCGGGTGCCTGGTGCTGGGTGTCAGAAGCATACGAGAGCGATCGTCTCGCCCTGCACTACATCTGTGAGTCAAACACACCTTTTCCTAGGTGATCAAGCTAATTCCTGGCAGGGGTCTTCCTGGTCCAATTCGGCACCGTCGTCATCTACATCATCACCTTCTTCATGCTCCGACACAAAACCCGACAACTCTTCGCCCTCCACGCAGCGACCGGCGACCGCGGTAACGGGCCCAACATCGCCACGATCAAATCCGTCAACCGCATCACGAAACTCATGACCCTCTACCCCTGCGTTTACGTCCTGCTCACCCTCCCCCTCAGCGCTGGCCGAATGTGGAGCATGGCCCACCACGCCACACCCTACAGCAACGCCTACGCATGCGTGGCTGGCGCCATGATCACAAGCTGCGGATGGGTCGACAGCCTCCTCTACACCCTGACCCGTCGAAAGCTCCTCCGCGACACCATGCCGAATGCTGGCAGCAGCGCTCGAAGGACCCGCGGAAGCGACTGGGACAACGAGCTTGGGAGCAAAGGCATCACGCACACCCGGACAGTGACGGTTGAAGGCGGGCAAGTGATGGATACACTGGCGCCGAAGGACAGAGACTATGCTCGGCCACCTTCGCACCCTTCGCATTCACATAACGTGTCGAGCGCGACGTGGGAACGACCGGCGAGTCCGACGGGCAGCATTGACCCGATATTGTCTGGTCGCGTGACGCCGGCAATGAAGAAGGAGGCCGAGGTGGGGACGAGTGAGAAGATGAAAGAGGATCCGGAGAAGTCGGATCAGATCACTGCGTTGCCAAAGGGGTGGGTGAGGCATCGGGATAGGTGATGCGGAAGGACGAGTACTTGCTACGAGGATGGACGAAAGGTAATGGGAGAAGTTTGGTTCTGCTGTGTTGATGTTTGTGTATGGATACCCCAGGAGCGGACGAGTGAGGTTGGAAGCGAAGTCCTGATTTAGACCGGTCGCTGGGTCGGAAAGAAGGAGAGGTCAACGGAACTCAGGAGGGAATGCATGTGGACAATGGACTTTGCCACCCGGGGAGGCGTGGAGCGGATATACCCTGTATTTACACTGTGCTCATAGCTTTTGCCATTATTAGCTGCATTTCGGTCATCAATCATTCCTCATCTCACTCCGTTCCCTCCGCTTCCCACCTCACCCGACCTCACTTCCCTCCCCCCTCCCAAACACCTTAACCCCCCCATCCCGCCCCACGCAATAAAGCACCTCCACATCCCCCCGCCCCACCCACTCCTCCTCCACCCCCTCATCCTCCAACTCCCACACCCCATCCCCCCTCGTAACTCGCAACACCCCACTCACATCCCTCGCGGCCCCTGTATCCAACGCCCGACACGCCATCGTGAATAACGCCGCTTTGACGCACCGCACGATGAACGTCGCGGACGCCACTTCCAACGGCGTCGCCGGTGAGGCCGTGGAGTTCGTTGATGCGGCTACGAGGGGTAGATCGGCGGGGAGTGTTAGTAGGGTGGCGTGGACGGTTGGGTGGCGCCGGAGGGAGGTGAGGAGGTGGGAGAGGTTCAGGGTTGTGGTCATGCCGGTTGCGAGGAGCGTGGAGGGGGCGTCGAGGATTAGGAGGGTGCGTTTTGGGGTTTCGGTTTGTGATGAGGGGGTGGAGAGGGTGGTTAGGGCGGTGGTGATTGTGTTGAGGAGGGGGGCGAGGTTGAAGACTTTTCGGTCCTGGGATGGTTCGGGCAGGGAGTGGTAGAGCAGGTCGAGGAAGGCGAAGCGGGTTTTGTATTGGGGTTTTGAGATATCGATGGACTAAGTGGCGTTAGCAGTGTGGTCTGGATGTGTCGAAGAGGGTGGGAGTGGGTACCATCGATTTACGCAGTTCATCTTGCCAGAATCTCTCGTCGCGGAGCCAGCTTACGAGGAGGACGGCTGTTTCTGGTCCCGAGTCTGCTTCTTCTTTTGCTTCATGTTGGTGTGAGAGAGTGGCGCCGATGAAGCGGGTTGTGAGCCAAGTGGGTGTGTTTGCTAGTGTTCCTGATAACAGGACCAGAGAGCGGTGTGGTGGCAGACGAATGTATGGTTCTAGAGTTGGAGGTATGCGGTTGCGGGTGGCCATTTCGTTTAGAAGAAAAGATGGTTGCGTTCAGCAGCAGTGAAGTTGAGGCCAAACATTGAAGTGGATATCGAAGGCTGACTAAGCGCATACCATCTAAAAGTCAGACAAATTGAATCGTCCTCCTCTCCAATCGATCATCTAAGAATATCTCGCCATCCATTGCCTGGTGCACATAGCTTGCTCCCAGCAGTCTATACCTGTCTCCGTCTCCAGCATCAACCTTACGAACGGCGAACGGAATCGCAAATCCAAAGACCACACAGAGCTCATCACCGCGTTTCGCCGCCATCGGAACCCACCCCATCCTTCCATTTTCGCTCGTGAAAAAGCGTCGACCATACCGCTGGTCCTGTTCATTGTTCTCCCACGCAGTAGCCACACCCGCCAGCTCCGTAGCGTCCTCAAGTGCGGTCGAATTCTCATCTGTCTGCAGTCCCGGCTGTTCAGGCGAAATGTCCATCTCCCAGCATCTATTGCGGTACGACGTGACAGCCTCCAGCTGGTCGTAAAACCTTCTAGATGATTGGTAGCTCGGGTGACCACTCGCTCGGATCATAGCGCAGTGTCGCAGATATGCCTCGTATGCAGCGACCGGGTTCAGGTCTTCTTCAAATTCGGCTCCGAAGCGGTAGCAATCGAGAAAGGTCCTGAAGTGGCTTTCTTCTGCTTCGCCTGGAACCTCTTCTGCGCGCTCTTCTACCATGTGCCGGCACTTTACCAGCCATCTTGACTCGACACGCCGGTCTTCGACCGCTGCTGCCTCTGTACGCTTGTCGGTGTTGTAGTAAGTGAATGACAATCCGTCACCTTCTGGAGTGGGCTCGGAAATCTCTTCGATCTTGTCGAAAATTATCGCTTTTGTATGAAGGATAGTCTTGTCGCGGGAAACGGTCATTTCCATCTGTTCGATATCGTACATCCCATCGTTGAGCGGATCTTCTGTCTCCATATACAGAGACGCCCAGAGTGGGCTCGAGAACTGCCATGTGGGCACCCAGGAAGGGGCGTCGCCAGCAAGCGGTCCTTGGACGTCGACATAGCACATGTTCCGGACCATGGACGGCGGGAACTCATCTGTCCCTTGCTCGCAGAGTGCCACCTCGATGAGAACGTCTCGCAGGCTCTTTTTGTAATCCACAAGGTCGTCTACTTTCTGCAGCATCTCGCTTGGGCTTGAGGTGGACTCGGAAACTTCCCACTGAGCATTGGTGAGCTGCTTCCTAGGTGTCTTCCAGAACGCTGGATCTGTGAAACCCTTCAGACATACAACCACGGCGAAGATTCTATCGCGCGCGTCAGATGACTTGAAGAAGGACGTCTCGAGCAAGATATCAGCCAGCGATTCGTGCAGCCACGGTTCCTGCTCAGCACGCATCAGCTGTACAATGGAGACGGCGAGATCACAGTGCCTCCTTTGCAGATCATCGAGTGCTTGTCGGTAGTTGACGAACCTCACGATGCGGTAGGCACCGCCCAATATGATATCGGGAGAAGTCTCGTGAGATCCAACGCGGAAGACACAGTGTCTCGCATTCGTGACTTCCTGGAGGATCCACCGCCGGCCGAACCACGTCTCGCTGAAGATGAAGGACGCTGCTCGCCATGGATCCGAGCTCAAGTCTGATGGAACGCCAAATTCTTCCAACTGACTGACTTGCTCGGGACCATCAGGGAACAGATACGATGTCTCGTCCAAGTAAAGATTACGAATGTCGTCGCCATTGGCAGACGGATGTGCTGCACAAAGCTTCTCCAACAGCCTCAGTCCAAGAGCCGTATCGTACAACTCCTCTCCCAACCAGACAACGACTGACTCAGCATCGGAGTAAGTCGAAGCCATCCTCCGCACCTGCACGCTCTTCTCTTCGTCGTCGTTCTGGTTGATACACACAGCGTCTGCCCATAGGTACTCGTCGGCATACTTCTCCCGCAGCGAAGAGAGAGCGTTGTCCAGCCGGGACGGGATCATTAGTCTTTGGCCATTGCACTTCGTCTCTCGGTTGCGGATGGGTATGCCCCAGGCGTAGGAGAGAGCATGGTATTTGCTGCTTCCGCGATCTCTGACGATGAGGTCGAATGAGATGGCAGATCCTGGTGAGCCGAGCGCGAGCTTGAGTAGTCGGATCTGGTCTGACCGTATCCGCGGACCGTATTTGAAGGGTGGCAGAGTCGAATATAACCAGCTGCGGCGTGGGATGCTAGGTCCCTGGGGATGGCGCTCTGCTGTTGTGGTAGTGCTTTCTTGGATGCTATCATTAGAACGCTTGGTCATGGTTGGAAAGTCTTCCTGTGCTCACAGGAGGTCTTTCACTGTCGGGCATTAACGAGCTGCGATGGTTATGGTTATGTTTCCAAGATCTGCATGCAGAAAATCTGCCACCTACCCAATGCTGAGGGAAAGAGTATACTTACATCTCGAGCTGGAGAGTTACATGTCGGTTTTGGCCCCCAATCCAGTGGTTGTTTTGTTGGCAAGCTCGATGAAGCGGAATCTCTCGAAGACTGTTGAAGCACCTTCACGGATTAGAGTAATGAGAGTCTACAGTGCGTACCAAGCGAGTCCGCTTGAGTCTACACGTTGAGAATATCATCTTGATGGAAGTTGTGAGTTTCAAGAAGAAAGATCGTGCGCGTGTTGATGTTGATGTTTTGATCGGTGAATAGAAAGACCGAACCGGTGCTCATTTAACTGCCCTCTCGTCCACTTCCACTTCCTCTTCGTCTTCCATCGGTGGGAGGGCTTGGAGACGATAGCCTACAACGTTCACGTTACGGCCATGGGGCTACCGTCGAGTCCCTTGTAGAGCAGATACGACATCGTCGGCCTCTTCGTATCTGCCACGGTGAGCCTAGATGAAATCCGCAGTGAATCTGCCTTGACTGCCCGCAAATTCACGAGAGAAACGTTCAAGTCAAATCAAGTACATATGGGTGTAGATGAAGCGGGTAGGTGAATGTTCGACTATCTGAGATGATCTCGTGATCTTCTCCTGTTCCATCCGTTTGCGATTGCGTCTACCTGCATGTGCATGGTTTCACTGCACAGATTTGTGCGACCTACTCCTTTTTAGCTTCTCCTTGAACCATCCTGCTACTGAACAGGCCCAGGCTGGTTCGAGAAAAAGACCATGACTGGACACTCTATGATGGCTCTCCTCATCCTGGCTCTGGTGACCGTCGCAAGCGTCAACATCATTTTCCCGTTCATTCAACCTAGCTGCGACTTCTACCACAACCCGGACACTTGCCTGCGGGGCCAGGTGTGCACCGAGAACAACCAATGCGTACCCGACTTGGTGCTGGCTTCCCACGCGACTCGAGCTACAGCTGCACGTGCCGATGGTCGATGCGGCCGCGACTTCAGCGATGCTACGTGTGATCCAGCAGGCCCCTATGGTGGGTGCTGCTCTGGACACGGATATTGTGGTGTCACACCCGAGCATTGCTTGGTGGCCAACGGCTGCCAATCTGACTGCGGTTCACCTTCAGATATATCTCCTGGAACGCCCTCTGCACCACCAACTGCTACTTCACCAGATGCGACGCTGAGCGAGCCCGTCATTGGACCAGGAGCAACGACTTCTGCTGCTGCGCAAAGTGGACCTGCGGCAACAGATGGCACATGCGGAGCTGGCAATGGCGGCACCGTCTGCTGTGACTGGATCTACGGCAGTTGCTGTTCTATGTAAGAGTCCACCTAAACCCGTGCTGAGCAGCATTTAAGATGACAAATTTGCGAAGGTATGGCTTCTGCGGCTCCACCAACGCTCACTGCGGCAAAGGCTGCCAGTCCGGACCATGTAATCAAGCTCCAATAGCATCGACACCAGGCCCGTCACCAGCGCCTGTCAACCCACTCCTTGGATCTTTCCGTGTCGTTGGTGACTCTGGAGTACCAGCAATGCACGCTGCCCTCATGCCCAACGGAAACGTGGTGTTTCTGGAAAAGGTGGAGAACTACACCAATCTCGATCTGCCCAACGGACAACTCGCCTACAGCTCAGAGTACGATCCGCTCACCAATAAAAGAGTCCCTCTCGCGTAAAAGACCAATGCTTTCTGCTCGGGAGGATTGTTCCTCGCAGACGGTACACTCGTAAATGTAGGGGGCAACGGTCCTCTCACATGGCTGGATCCGACCGTTGGCGATGGCTTTCGCGGCTTACGATACCTCACTCGCTTCGCGACAGACGCGTCACTTAATGGGAAGGACTGGTCAGAGCCTGGCAACTTGCTGAATACTCGGCGGTGGTATGCGAGCGTCCAGTCTATGCCCGATGGGACACTCTTCGTTGCATCTGGGAGCTTGAATGGCAAGACACCTGCTGATCCGCAGAACAACAACCCAACGTACGAGATCTTGGACAGGCAAGGCCGCAGTATGGGCGAGTCTGTCCCCATGACGCTGCTGAAGAAGGCAGAGCCATACTATATGTATCCATTCATCCACTTGCTCGCGGATGGAAGGCTTTTCGTGTTCACTGCCAAGAGCAGCCAGGTGTTCGACGTGACCACGAACGACGTCGTGAAAGAGCCTCCAGAGTTGGTGAGTCGAGACCACTATGAAGGGTCGGAGTTGTGATATGCTGACTGGCTGCAGCCTGGCGATTACCGCACCTACCCAAACACCGGTGGCAGCGCATTGCTCCCTCTCTCATCATCGAACAACTGGCAGCCAGACATCATCATATGCGGCGGCGGAGCATATCAGGACATCTCGTCTCCGACCGACCCTTCCTGCGGTAGGATCCGGCCTCTTGATGACAACCCAACATGGGAGATGGATTCCATGCCCGAAGGCCGTGGCATGGTGGAAGCCATACTGTTGCCGGACGGTACCATTCTCTGGCTCAACGGCGCGCAACAGGGCGCTCAAGGCTTCGAGCTGGCGACAAAACCTGCGTTCGAGACGCTTATCTATGACCCGGAGGCTGTGCTTGGGAAACGTTGGACTACTGGCGCGAGTTCGGAGATACCAAGGCTGTACCATTCTGTTGCGCTGTTGCTGCTCGATGGCACGGTGATGGTTGCTGGCTCGAACCCATGGGCGGTGCCTGTGCTTGAAGCAACGCCGGACTATCCGTACATCACGGACTTCCGGGTGGAGATCTATACGCCGGCGTATCTCTCTGGCGACAATGCGAACAGGCGGCCGACGAACGTCAAGCTCTCCACCCTGAGCCTTGTTGCGGGCTCGGAAACGTTTGCCGTCGACTGCGATGTGCCTGCGGCTGTTCAGACGATCAAAATTGCGCCATACCACGGCGGCTTTGTGACGCACAGCCTGCACATGTCTCATCGGATGTTGTTCCTGGACATCGAAGGGTTCCAGCCTGGGGCAGAGCAGCAGTCACTGACTGTGAGCATGCCTCCGAATAACAACGTTGCTCCACCGGGACCGTACGTTGTCTATGTGGTTGCGGATGGAGTGCCGAGCATTGGGCAGTTTGTCATGGTTTCTTGATTGATTGATAGCTTCTTGACTTAAATGGATTGGGACTGTTTTCTTGATACGATCTAGCGGACTCTGCAGCTGCTTCACCTTTAACCGGCAAGTCAATGCTATCCCGTTGAGTATCCCGATTAACGGCCGTCAGATTTTTCGACGAAGGCACCATTTCTTTTTCAGCCGCACATTCTACGCAAGCAATGAGTTCCGTACGAAGCTTTTCCGTCGAGCTCCACGGTGGAGCTGTCGGAGCTTGATGCTACGTTCTTCAACCTCCGCCATGCGTATTGACTCGATCGTTTAACATTCGACGCTTACGTTGTTTCTAATTCATAAACTGAGTTGACACTGACTTGGAAGCGCCTTTTCTTTGGTCCAGCAGCATCAGTCCGACGTAGAGCCAACTCCTGCTGTGCTCCCTAGAGAAGAAACCACAGCAGATGGCGGTCCCGCTCGCACAGTCAGCGATATATCCCAGTCTCAAAGACAAGACTGTTGTCGTTACCGGAGGCGCGGAAGGTATTGCTGCCGCTACAGTCGAACTATTCTGCAGACAGGGCAGTAAAGTCATCTTCTTCGACATCTCCGGAACATCCGCCGACTCTCTGATCAAACAAATCAAGCAACATCAAGCAGAAGTCAACGCCTTACCCTGGACTATTCCATCCTTCTACTACTGCGACGTCACCAATCTCGAGCAGCTGCGAGAGACAGCAGAGAACGTCCTCAAGGAACATGGTACAGTAGACGTCCTGGTCAACTCCGCCGCTGCCGCAGGAGCGAAATCTCGAGTCCCCTCTGTCAAAGTCACACCGGAATCCTGGGAGTTCGACATCAACGTCAACCTCCGCCACGTCTTTTTCTTGACCCAACGCATCGTCCCCGCGATGCAGAAGCAAGGCCGCGGAAGCATCATCAACATGGGCTCGATCAGCTGGCGGATCCCGGCCGTCGGGACACCTGTGTACATGGCCGCCAAGGCAGCGATCATGGGCCTGACGAAGACGCATAGCAAGGAGTTTGGAAATGAAGGAGTGAGGGTGAACTCGGTCATGCCTGGGGCGATCGCGACTGAGCGACAGATCAAGGAAGTGCTGACGAAGGAGTATCGGGAGGAGGTGATGCGGAACCAGACGGTGAAGAGGGATTTGGTGCCGCAGGAAGTGGCGAGTGTGATTTTGTTTCTGGCTAGTGATGATAGTAGTGGTGTTACTGGGTCGAGTTATGTGGTTGATGGGGGGTGGGTGAGCGATGTGTAGTTATTAGGGGAACTTTGGCTTTGAGGCTACGTCCCTTGAAGCCGCTGTGCGGACTGCAATACCGTACCTTGCGGTCTATAGAACTGATAGAAGATCTTCTTAGTAATGTAGTCGATCGTTGAGGAGACGGAAGAGTACGGTCAAGTAGCCCATATTGCTGCATAGATCGTCAAGTGGTCCGCACTCGATCGATCTACAACTTCCCCAACTCCGCCGTTCCTCAGTCTCTTTCCTGACTGCTTACCTATACGCACCTCGATAGCCGTTGGTAGACTGCAAAACCCGACTGACATTCCTTGAAAGTAAAGGTTCATTCGGCTGGCTGAACGGTTCCACATAATGGCGCAGCCTCAGCTTCAGCTTCACGCCTTGGAGGCAGTGCAGCCGCGGCCGCATTGACGGGGCACGGGGAGCCTTATGAATGCTAATGGTAAGCAAGTCGACCATCTGTACTTTCTTCCTGTTCTCGTTCATATCTTCTACACAACGAACCAAGCCGAAGCCCAATCATGGGACTCCTCGACTACTTCCATCTGCCTCCGGACCCCATCGTCTCATTTCGACTTGACTCTCACAGGCCCTTCGGACCAGGAAGCCCTGTCTCTGGTCTCCTCGTACTGGAAGTCCCGCCAGACCCCAAGGCAAAGACGCAACCACCACCACCAAGACAAATCAACACCGCAGAGATCACCTTCTACGGCCGAGCAGCTACTGCTACCACCCGCTCGGAGTCCACCGGCAACAATCAAACGAGGACCATCTACTACAAAGACGAAGTCTCCTTGTTCCAGCAGCCTCGGCTGCTAGCCCAGGGCGTTTCTGTCGACGAGAGTAGTCCGTTCACCTCGAGATTCGAGTTCGTGTTTCCTTACGGAGCGGATGCCCTGCCTTTCCCATCCCCGTATAAGGAGGGAAGGCGGATCCACGGCATATACGATGCGGCGTTCGACCAAAGGCCATTACCCCCGAGCTTCGAGCTAGGAGGTGGCAATAACTACGCGATCGTGGAGTACAACATGAAGGTAGTGTGCCAGTTCGAAGGAGACAAGGTTCCCCTCGAAGTCCTTCTTCCGGCGCCACTGGAGTTTGCACCACCCTCGTCAGTTCCACTCCATCTCAGCCAGCGGCCCCAACTTAAAGAGTTCGTGCAGGAAGCAGAGCACTACTCCAGCAGCCGATTGACCGGTGCCGAGAAGAGCTTCAAGCACAGCTTCCGGGACAAGTTCAGCTCGAGCACGCCGTCTGTGGATGTCGTGCTGAAGGTCACAATGCCGAGCAGTCTGCAGCCTGGAGCTTCCTTCCCCATTTACGCCTGCATGGAAGTCAGCAAACCATCCACGCCGGAGATCAATCTGCCGGTAGCCGACATCAGGATCAAGAAGCTGGAGTGGCATCGCCTAGTCTACTATCGTGCTCCGCTTGATCACCCTCACTCCCACGTCAAGGAGCACGAGCAGTCCCGGACCGACGAGACGAAGCTCAACACGCTTCCTGAAAGCCAGTGGATCGAGCCACGTGAAACCATCCCAGGCCAGGATAAGAAAGAGAGATCCTGGTACTACCCTGCTACGTTCGAAGCGAGAGTCCCTGGGGATGCGTGCATGAGTTTCCACACGAGGAATATTGATTGCGGGTATGGGTTGGAGGTGAAGCTGGAGACTGAACTGTGTGGGAAGGAGTTTGAGTACAAGGTTGTGACGGATGTGCTGGTTGTTCCAGGCGGTGGCGCCGGCGGTGGTATGGTCTGATCTCGTGCGTATACGCAAAGAGCGGAAGAGTCGGAACAGATCAAGACTCCTTGTTGGCAACGTCGGATCTATTCAAGACTCCAAAAATCGACGACTCTCCAATCCAAGGTAAAGGAGGAGGGTTCGTGATCGGGTATCAGGACCTTCCGATGTCTTCGGCCAGACACACATACTGGGCCTCTCCATGCTTTCGCCAATGTCTGGCCCAGCGGAACTTTCAAAGCACTGACCGACCAACCTCTCACAACATCAGACCGCATCTGGTGATCGACAACAAAGGGGCAGCAAAGCCAAGGTTCAGAGGAGGCGAGCAACCACGGGGGGGACAGACACAAGGTTCCTCAAAGCTCTCGTGATGCGGAGAGTCGGTGGACGTCATTCGTACAAAGTACCAGTAGTGTGAGGAGAGGACGCTGCTTGGAGCGGCGTGGAAGTCATAAAAATTGATAAGAGCAGCAATACCTCAAACTACCACACCCTACATAAACCCTCCCACTCCCCCCGCAAACTGATTCAATATATCAACCGGGAACTTCGCAGCCATCTCATGATACCCCGCCGGATTCGGGTGCAGACAGTCACCCGAATCATAATACGGCGCCAACTGCGTCGCATTGTTCGGATCCCTGACGATCTGATCGAAATCCACCACGGCGTCGAACCATCCACTGTTGCGAATCCAGTCGTTCACCCTCAGCCGCGTCTCCTCCCGTATCGGCACGCTGTAGGATTGAAGACTGGAGTTGTAGCACCCGAACGGCGTGATTGTGGCTCCGAACATCGGGATCCCCGCCGTGTGCACGCGCGTGATGATTTGCTTGTACGCTTGGATCAGCCTATCCCCGGTGTAAGTTTGGTTCGCCTCAGTAGTGTCGGCTACGCCGATATCGTTGACGCCTTCGAAGATCATGGCGTATTTGATCCCGGACTGTGCGAGAACGTCGCGATCAACCCGCGAAACGGTATTAGGGCCTAATCCGTCGTAAAGCACGCGGTTGCCGCCGGCTGCTTGGTTGAGGACGGAGATTTGTTGGAGGGAAGTGGAGGATTGGCGTTGCAGGCGGTTGAACAAGAGGTTAGGCCACTGGGTGTTGGTGTTGATGTAGCTGCTGCGGCCGTCGGTGATGGAGTCGCCGAGGACGACGAAGCCGCGGTAGGATGGGGGCTCCCAGGCTTCGACGGCGGAGAGGAAGTACCAGTGTTGCGTGGTGAGGGTGGAGGGGTCGGTCATGTTTGGGTCAGTGGTGTAGTCGCCGGACGAGTACCAGATGTTGAGGCGGGATCCCGGGTGGGAGGTGATGTAGTTGCTCTGCTGGCCGGTGGCAAGATAGAGGGAGATAGAGATGACCTGGCCGGGGTTAATGGGGAAGTTGACAGGGTCGGAGACGGCAAGGGCGCCATTCGGGATGGTGATGGAGGAGTTGCCGCTCCAGGTTAGAGTCTGGAGCGTCTGGGTTTTGATGCCGCTGGCGCCGGTAAGGTTCTGTCCGGCCTCTGCACGAGGAAGCGCAATGGTAGCGGCGGTGATCGGGAGGTCGTTCAGGCCGAAGGCGTTGCTCAAGCGGACACGGATCTGCTCTGCGCCGATCGTCATGCGGAGGGTCTGTCTGATCGTAGAATTGGGAAAGACAAGCTCCGTCTGATTGAATGGGGGTGATGGCAGGTTGGCGAACTCCGTGAGCTGCGGCATGGCCGTCCAGGTATCAACCCAATGTCCACCGGCGGGATTGGGGGACAGTGATCCATAGGCTGGAGGCTCTGAGCGTTCGCTCCATATCGTTGGAAAGGCGAAGCATGGTGCGAGAGACAGTGCGAGAGCAAAGAGCGAGCGAGTCATCTTGACAGACTTGGGAGGACGCGGAGAGAGCAAGCACAGCCAAGGGAAAAGATCAGATGGGAGTTCTCAGCCTACTCATATCATTTCTTGCGTCCTGCTCGGTGGAGCTCGTGGCTAAAGAGCCTCTTGATCAATATAATGCAGGTACGTTGAGCCAAATGCCGACGAGGGGTATACAGATGAAGATGCCGTGCTGTGCCGTGCATTTACACCCACCAAGCGCTCGCCCGCCGGCTAAAATGCGATCTACAGCGGAGAGAATCTGGAGATTGCAGAGACGATTGCGGAAGGTGGTTGATTGTCTTCAGCCTGCGTGAAGTCTCGGTGCATTCGGTATCGAAAGCATGACGGGGACTGCTGATGCTGGAGCTGGGAGGAAGTGAGGTCTAATAAGGAGGACTGGAGGAGGAGGAGGTGGAAGACCAAGGAGCCGGCGAGCTTGGCCAAAACATCGGAGCGACTTCGGGCTGGGAGTGTGGATCCCTTTGGGCGACAGCAACATCCATCACTGATCACTGATCACCCCACTGCCATCGTAACACCTCGACGCGTCTCTCCCCATGCTTGCGTACTCGCATTCGTACGTCAAGTCTTGCTGTATACCGACTGAAGTTCGTGTCGCGAAGGCGCAGAATGCACACAAAGATGGAAGGAAAGCGGCAAGAAGATCTTCTCGAAGTCATCGTCCCGTAAGTGGCTTTTGGAGCCACCTCCGCTATCACACCATCGCATCTTAGTGTCATGGACCAAAAAGCCCTTTTTCTGCGCAGTATATCCTTGTAATGTCCGGTTTTACTCGCCACTCTTTTGACTCGGTCAAGCAAGAGCAAAGCACCGCCGCGTAGTGTTGTACGCGGAGCCAAGGAGTCTTGCGACGGAGTATTGCTACGAGGCTACCTGCGAAAACCGCACTCGGCTTATAGATAAAACGAATGCACTCCATCGCATGCGACTGCCGGTCGGGAGGCACTTTGATCGATAACGGCCTACATCCACAAGAGCGCGCTGTTACTTTGCCTAGCAACACCAGGGCATTCTTGTCCGTTAACAATATGGAGCAGCAAGATGGAAGAGTCCCTGGCACTGTGCTTCCCTCGAGGAGATTGATTGCTTCTTACGCCTTGGATTGGGTCGTCATTGCGTAAGCACAAACATTCAGTTGGAGCTTCTAGCAAGGTACTGACTATCCTTTAGCTGTTTCGCGGCGATCGGCGGCGGCATCAAGTCCATCGGGACGATACATCGACCCTTTTCGCTCCTAGACCTGAGCATATCGTACCCTCTGGCTGAACAATCAATCAGCTCGACAACGGTCGGCCTCGTAGCGATACTTGGCCCGATTGTGCTCATGTCCTTGACCATCGCCATCTTCGTCCCAGCTCGCAGCATCAGCCGCACGCTGAAGCGATCAGAACTGCTCCGCTTGAAGCTGTGGGAACTCCACGCCAGCCTTGCCGGTCTCGCGCTCTCCATCACTCTCGCGTTCATGGTAACCCAAGGCCTCAAGACAATCTTCCCGAAACCACGACCGCATTTCCTCGCCCTCTGTGACCCGGATCTGGACAACATCGCCGCGCACGTCGTTGGCGGGTATGGCCAGGACGTCAGCGACCGATGGACTATGGTTGATGTGTCGATCTGTCAGCATCCAATGCATCGGGTGCTGAGGAGTGGGCTGCAGAGTTTTCCTAGTGGGCATTCGTCGATGAGCTGGAGCGGGATGGCGTATCTTTCGCTGTTCCTGTGCGCCAGGCTGAGGATCGCTATACCGCATCTGCCATTGCAGTCAACTATCGCCCATCGGCCGGTATCGAGTGCATCCGGCACGGAGTTGCTGCCATTGCACAACGCGCAAAGATCGGAGACGTCATCTGACAGCAAGCCTTCGACAATATCATCCATCCAAAGACAAGGTCATCCACAGTCCACCATCCCGATTAATCGCCAGTCTGCCGCCCCACCAACCTACGGCATCCTCATCGCCCTCATCCCTCTGGCAGTAGCCACGTACATCTCCTCGACACGCTACACGGAATACTGGCACTTTGGGATCGACATCCTGACTGGCTCTGTCATTGGCATTCTCAGTTCATGGCTCGCGTTCAGATGGCACCACCTTCCGATACGACGAGGTCACGGATGGGCTTGGGGGCCACGGAGTGCGGAAGGGGCATTTGGTGTGGGTATGGGAGTTCACTAGATGCACCGCTACTGAATGGCGGGTGAATAGATAAAGAGGTCTTTTCAATATTGGGAAGAGCGACGTCTTGGACTTTCTTCTGCTTCATCTCCAACATCGCAACCTCACTACAAGAGTTCGTCAGTTGCCTTGGGTTGACGTTGCTGTTCTACGTCTGCCGACTGCGAACTGTCCACCACTGCAATGGCAAAGGTTACCAGCAAGCTCCGCTGTATGAGGATGAACTTCTTTTGCTGTGGAACTCGCTTGCATGTTGTGGTTGAAGTGAGGTTGCAATGGTGAAGAGGCGGCAGAAGAAAGTCAAAGATGTCGAAGGATTTCTCTAGATTCTAGCGCCCATTGGCTCGCAATGTTCCGCCGCTAGCTTATGTTTCTCGAGTCTTTCACCAACCTCTTCCGACTTTGCTTCCTGAAAACCAGACCACAAGGTCTGCAAAGAATCACTTATGACCAGGACCATGCTCACCGAGCAATTCATCGCCTCCACAGGCGTGCCACTGAAGCCTCCCCCAACATCAGTAGCCAAAGACGCCGCCATCTTCATCCACGAATTCCAACCACTCCAGGCGCAAAAGTCCATCTTCAAGAAAAGCGCTACGCCACCTCATTGCCTCGCTATCAGCGACTCTCACATCTTCGCCGCGCAGGCCGGGAAGGCTGTCGTGCATGTCTACTCCCGCTCGCAAGGGAATCAGGAAGCAACGGTGCCTTTTACCGAACGAATTACTTGTCTTGCGTTGGCTTGCGAAGACACTGTACTGATTCTCGGGACCACGGAGGGCAGGTTGTTTCTCTGGGAGACGAGTAGTGGAAGGCAGGTCTCGACGTCGCAGTCGCATCTTCAAGCTGTGAACAGGGTTGTTGTTGACCCGACGGAGAACTTCATCCTCTCTGCTTCGGAGGACTCGACGGTCCAAGTTTGGTCTTTGCCGGGGTTACTGTCGTTTACGAGTTCTGGTGCACAGGTTCTGTCGCCCATCAGGACGTTCTCTCCACATCGGGCTGGGATCTGCGACCTTGCGGTCGGGCATGGGAACGGATGCACGAATTTTGCTGTCTCGGCGTCTAAAGATAACACGTGCTTTGTCTGGGACTACTACAGCGGCAATGTACTAAAGACCTACCTCTTACCTGAATTGCCTACTTGCTTGGCATTGGACGCAGCGGACCGAGCTATCTACGTCGGATACGAGGACGGAAGTGTGCAGCAACTGGATCTATACAAGTCCAGCTCTGCAGATGCCTCTGCACCGATACAGCCGCCTCCATCAACGCACTGGAAAAGCCACGATAGCTCGGTCGGCAAGACGCTGAGCATGTCGCTTTCATTCGACAGCTGTACACTGCTCTCTGGCCACGAATCAGGAAACATACTGTCGTGGGACGTCGCCAAAGGTGGATATGCAACAAGCATTTTGCAGCATCCTCTACCTGGTCCTGTGAACTGCTTGGGACTCTTGCCTGTGCTTGGCTTTGTTGGCTCATCAGAGGTGGAGAGCAAAGTGCGCCTCTCGACGGTTGTCAAGCCCAAGTTTGGAGCATTCGACAGCGCCTCTGGTCTTGTGCCTGGCAACTACACCCAGACAGTGCAGCTTCTTAGTGATACCTCGGACGAAGGTCCTTCTGCTTTCCAGCTGGCGCTCACTGCCCCGTCATTCCCTGCTGCAATGCTGAATGAAGGGCTACAAGAGCTGCAAGCTTTCCGAAAAGGTCCCCAAACCAACGGAGCTGCTGCCAACGAGGAGGCCGCAGACTTCATGGCCTTAGACGATGAATCCGATCAGCCCAAGCAGCTGTCGCTCGAGGAGCAGAACACTGCTTTGAAGGCCGAGCTGGAAGCGCTGCGCAGGCTACAAGCCGCAAGTCTTGATAAGGTAGACCGACTCAATGCCGAGAGGAGGACACTGCTGGAACGAGATCAGAAGCACCGGCGCGGAGTATCGATGGCGCTTGATGGTCGCTTTTCCAGCCTTGGTGCCGACGACAGCAGTTCCAGTGATGATGGTTGAGATTTGATCGGATAAGTGCCCCTTCAACGAATGTCTCTCAGCCTCCAAGTATGCCAGCAAAGATGGGCAGGGCAGTTGAAAAGTAAGGATGCTGGAGATTTTGTGGATCATGCAAGGCGATGCAAGGCTACAGCTGCTACATTCTTCGACTCCACACAACCGTCAGCCACGTATTTGTTTTGCCTTATGCACAGGAGGAATGGGCCAAGCTCGTGCAGCCTCCCGACTTTACATGCGACAGGATACACTTCAAGAGTTGCAGTCAACCCATACGCCGAACGGAACCGGCAACAGTGTGTTCCAGGATCGAACACCAAATCGACAATGGCAGTTTTACAGTTCCTGCGAGGTGCATTAATTGCTTCGCTCGTTCTTGCGGCTTCAGCACGCCGCGCTCCCTTCCCTCAAGTTCTTCAACACAGACATGAAGCTGTGGAAGTTGGAAAGCGACAGGCGTACCCGGCCATTCCTCCACATATGAGCCATCGAACGAAGCATCCGGTCGCTATGACTTCTTCGGCTGGCGTTCTGACCTACATCACTCCTTCGCCTGGAGCATCGCCTGTCGCTGTGACCAGACAGAGCCAGATTGTTGGATCGTTCGTTCCGGAGTTCACGCTATGCGAGCTACCACCACTGGAGTTCTTCCCGATCTCGCGAATGCCGCCAGCCTCGAGGACACCGTTACCTTCTGGAATTTCTGCTGCACCGTACCAGAATTACTCCATCTCGACATGGCCGGGCAATGGCACTTGTACCACGATCTACAGCCCGACTATCACTATGGTCTGCGCGACTACGCTGACTGCTCTGGCTGAGAAGTACACCATCACGAACTGTGCTCAGGACCTGACCTTCTCTACCGAATACGGAGCTGTGCTGGTTACACCAACGCCAACGCCGGTGGCATTGCCATCTCCAATCAGTGTCTCACTTCAAAACAGCTCTGTCGGCCCCGTCGCTGGAGGATCGCAAGGCACCGCAGCGCTCCCACCAGCCCCAGGCTCAAATACCACCGTAGCCCAGGGCACCGGCCTCATGCGCCGACAAGCGACAGACAGCGCCTCGGCAACCATCACACCAGGCCCATCCATCGAACTCCTAACGACCTACTACCTCGCGCCCTGGCAACAACTCACCGCCGGCGAAGCCCCTACCGACGTCGACCTCAAAGTCTGCCGCACCTTCGCCCTCAACGACACCACGGAGTGCATCCGCGAGTATCAGCACTGGACCACCTCGCTCGTCACGGCCTCCCGGACTTCTACCACCAGCGTGAATATTTCCACCACGATCCATGGACGGAGCCAGATTATTGTTGAGACGTTTGTGGCGAATGTCACGGAGATGTTGACGACTTTTAGCATGTCTACGACGATGGAGCTGGAGTATCAGACCGAGTGGACGACGACGCATTCAACGACGAGGGAGATTGGGGCGGGGAGTACGAGTACGGGGCCGACGGTTTATGAGACGTTGACGGTGGCGCATCCGAGTAGCACGGCGATGTGAGTACTTTCAACCCTGGGGCCGGAGAGTAGGGTCGAAGTGTAGGAGGGCTGCTGATGATAGACAGGCCAACGTCAGCAGAAGCAACGACTACAAGCTGGACGACGATCCGCTCGACCAGCACCATCTTTGCGGGTACGACTACCGTTACAATGGCAAGCGGAGAGGTGCCTCCGACTGGTGCTCCGACTACACCGGCGCCTGCTACTACGTAAGTTGTCTCTTCCTTACTGTGGATCGATTTGAGAGCTGATGATTGACGGTTTTGGCAGGTCCGTCAATTTCGCAAGTATGCTTGGCATTGGAGCGAGATGGTTGAGGGAGCACATCGTGTGAGGAGGAGGCGGTTAAAGCGTTGGCGAAAGTGGTTTCGTGTACTTTCTGCGGCAGGTTTTGCTTCTCACGGCCGTGGTGGGCGATTGGGGGATAGATATACTTCAATGATGAGCTTTTCACTTCCATCCATATCATATTGACATCGCTGTGCTGTCGACTGCAGCTCAGAACTCACCTCTGATATCACTCATCACAATGTTTAGTGAAGGGCTCGAGATCTCGAAAGAAGTTGACAGAGGCTGCGTTGGTTTGATCAATACTCATTCGTTTCGCTAATATGCTAGCAGGTAAGTATACTTATACACTAACTCCCTTCCGTGCCTCGCCCAGCCTTCGAGTTCTCCCTCGAGGGCGAGCAGGTGAAACGCCGTAGCATGTCCCTTTGCATCTCCGAAGCAGCACCGATAGCGCCATACCCATTTCCCATCCCATCCCAATACAAGCAAACACCACGCTAACCCACCCAGCAAAACATTACCCTCCCCCATCGCTCCTTCTCCCCTCTCTCCTCTCCCCCTTCTTCCCCTCCCCTCTCCCTCAGAGAGGTATCACTCCGCCCACACCTCCACCAACCCCCTCCCCTCCTTCGCCCCACCTCCACTCCTCCCACACCGGAACAAATTCACATGCCCATCATTCACCGCCCCACACGCCAACATCATGCGATGCGGATGGAAAGCCGTCGCGGTAATCGGCGCATTCCTGCCCGCGCCGCCGAAAGGCCCGCTTCCAAAACCCCCGGCGCCCGCGAAACCCGTCATGCGCAGGTAGCTCATGTACGGTTCCGCGGAGCTGAGTTCTTTGAGCCCGCCGCCCATCGTGTACACGCGGATCGTGTGGTCGGCGCCCCCCGTGGCGAAGACGGGCGCGTGTTCGTGCACGGACAGCGTGCGCAACGAGCGCGCCGTGCTCCCCTTCTTAGGCGGGAGCGAGGCGACGGGGTGGCTGGCGCGGATGTCCCAGAGGCGAATGCCGCCGTTGCTTTCGGCGGAGATGAGCTCGCGCAGGCCGCCGCGCTGGAGGTGCGTGCCCACGATCCAGGATTTGTGGTGGCCGGCCCAGGTCTTGACCATGCTGTCGCGAGGGGAGCAGCGCTGGTCGTAGACGCGGACGCTGCCGTTTCCGAAGCCCGCGACGAAGATGTGGCCTTCGACTTGGTCGGAGGTGAGAGAAGTGATGCAGCTGCCGCTGCGGGCGGGGATGTCGGAGATGCAGAGTTCGCTGCCGGCGTGCCAGACGCGGATGACGCGCTCGTCGCCTGCGACCAGGACGCGGCCTTGGCCTTGCTGCCAGTCGAAGACGAGGCCGGCGGATTGCTTGTCCGAGACGACGAGGTCGGAGAGGGCGCGGAAAGAGGAGGCGAGGTGGATGGTCTGTTTGTCGGCGTAGTTGCGGAAAATGCGGATGATGCCGTCACTGCTGCCGGTCATGATCATCGCTTGGTCGTCTTCGTTGATGAAGCGCAGCTCGGTGATTCTGGTCCCGGGTGGGTTGGAGTTGGAGAAGCGGTTCAGCTGCTGCACAGTGCTCCAGTCCCAGACGGCAATGCTGTCGCGGTCATCGGCGGTGATGAGGTGGTTCTCGAACTGATGGAACACCATTTTCGCGGGCGCGGCTCCTATGCCGAAATATCCGCATGGCGTGTCCCATCGTTGAGACCCAGCAGACTCCTTAAGAGGCTGCGTTCCCCCAATGATCTTGTCGTTGCGGTTGCGGCGCCAAAGGCGCTCGTTGTAGCTGATTGAGCCTGGTTCGTCTGCCTCCGATGGTCGCATCTGCGGTTCGCGGAAGTAGGATAGCGACCAGTCGAAGATGTGAGACTGCAGAGGAAGCTGAGGCGTTTGCATCATATCCCTGTCCCGGAAGTACGGCGAAGGCGGAACTTTCGCAGGTGGCTGATGTGCAGGCCCAGAGATGTTGTCGAGAGCATCCGGCGCCATCATCGCAGCATCCTCTTGGCTTAGCGGGCGTGACCTATACGACCGATCTGCTGTGATGGATCCTCGATGCGAGCGCGTCGGCGAAGGCGGTGTGTCCTGGTTGGGCGTCTTACCTCCCCACCAGACAAGATTCTTCATCGCGGTGGCCACGCTGGCTGTGCGAGAGAGTCCGCCGAAATAACCGTCTGCTTTGGACATGGTTGAAGAAGGCGTAGGGGGCGTTTGTGGGCGGTAGTCGCGGGAGCGCTGCCTGCTCAGTCCATCCATATTCGGCAGTGTCATGTCTGGCTTCCGAGATGCCGAGCTGAGGACTTGATCCAGTACCTCGTTCGCATAAGCGCCGAGCGGCGACTCGAGCAGAGCATTGAGCACGTAGTCGACAAGTACGCCAGCGTTCCGGGCGACCTCCGGATGCGGATCGGTCGAAAGACTCAGCACCTGCCGCCACACAGCCCGATAGATTGTCTTCTTCGACAACGTCCTCGAAGGTCTGGTGACAGAACTGTGCTCTGACGTGCCAGCCTCCGAGGTCGTGAACGATACCTGCCGCTGATGGGCAGGCCGATGCCCGTTTACCAACCTCCCCGTTGATCCTCCCATGCCATCATAGCCAGCAGGCCCATCGTTCGCCCCATCCATCTGGAGAATCGCAACCTCGTTCTCAACGTCCTCATCTTTACCAGCCTTCTTATCCCGCTCTTCCAACAACTGCTCCCACGCCGCGACAAGGAAACGGGGTTCATACCTTTTGATAAAGACCGAGTAGAACACAGTTAGCTCCTTGCGAACCATGATCGAGCCATCCATGCCCATGCTCGAAACCACACTCGCAACCGTCTCTTCGATCAGCGTAACCTCTTGGTCGATCTTTCCCGTTCCAACCAGTGTCGCCAAAGCATCGAGCGCCGCTGCTCGCACTTCAGGGACGGGATCGTGGCTGCGGTCGCCGATGCGGCGGTGGGCGTTGAGTTTCATGCCCTGCATCTTCGCTTCGGGAAAGTCCTTCCATAGGTTGCTAAGGCACAGTAAGCTGAACTGTCGTAGCAGCGGACTCTCGAGGTCGTTGAGATGCGCGAGACAGCTTTCGATCACTTCTGGCGCTTCCTTCATCACCGAAAGCTTGCCGGGCTTGAAGTCCCTGCAGAAAGAAGCAACCACAAACGCGCACATGGCTCGGTGCTCTGCTGCATTGCCGACGGGAATACCGCTGGTGGCAGCGAGGATGTTGGCGAAATACATGAAGCCGTTATCTTTGAGCAGATCCGCCTGGCAAGTCTTGTCCACGGCAAGAATGCGGGCCCAGATGAAGACCATGGGTGGCTTGAGCTCGAATGCCTGTGATTGTAGCAGCTTGAGCACGTACGGGAATATGCCGATGCTGAGTGCGAGGCTGACTGCCCAGGGTCCGAGATCGAGGAACTTCGAGAGGAGAATGAGGGCGCGCAGGCGGTGGACTTGTGAAAGTAGGACCTGGAGAACTATGGGCAGTTGTTCTGGCGGCTTCGGTTGCTTGATGGTGGAGGCGGAGCTCGGAGGAGCAGAGGAGAGGTAGACTTCGAAGGCGGAGAGTTGATCCGAGAAGAAATCGGAATGGTTGTAAGCAAAATCAGGTGTAGGCGGGGGGTTGTTGGACGGTGGCTGCCCTTCTTGCGTCTTGTCAAACTCAACCTGCTGCTCGATCAGTGAGGGTAGCTGAGCGAGGATCATCTCGACAGCCAGATCCCAACTCTGCCATAAAGGATGGTTGTGGGTGTCCGGAATGGCAGGGTAGCACTGCGGTGTGCAATGGTATATCCGCATGATTCGCTGTGCGAGTAGGAAGTTGCGAAAGAGCGCCGCCACCATCAGGTCTTGCCTGAACAACTTCTTGAATACAGACTTCTCGAGGCAATTCCATGCGATGGTGTCGGTGATGGCCGTGAAGATCCAGTTGAGCTCACCCAAGGGAGTCCTTCGTTCTGACACCTTGCCAGGGATGTCACTCGCTTGAGCCAAAGTGATCCCCGAAGTTGCTGACAGTGGATTTTGCAGCATGAAGAAGCGAATGGCCATCTTGATCGGTGTTGTGAGGCAGGACGAGAAGATGTCGGCGGGTAGATCTGGGTTTGTGGGCAAGACTTCGTTCTCTTTACATGCTGCAAGGTGAATGCAGTCTTCCCATCGCATCGGCTGTGGATTGGGATTGCGCTTCATAGCCTCTGCTTGAAGCTGCAAATGCTTCTGTACGCCGTCCATGAATCCGTTGATGATACCACCAGCAGCGCTGCAGTCCCACACCCATAAGCCTGGCGCGCCCACCCAGTCTTGTAGATCGAAGAGGCTGATTGGGATGTATTGAGTGTAGCTCCGGTTGAAGCACCACACCTCCCCACTCGCGGTCGGCTTTGGCACCCCATGGCCGTTGTAGTGGAAAAGGATGCGCTCTGCGTGTGCATTCTTCCGTAGCTGCGATGTGTACCTCTTCAGCTCGTCGATTGTGGGGTCGAGGATGACCTTGTACCGTGTCCTAAGCGAGAGATTCTCATACTGCGACTGCAAGTTCTTCCCAATCTGCGCGTTCGCATTGTTCGAGGAGCTTTGATTCGTGCTATCCGGCGGTATGGGGTCGACCCAGCATTCCAGCCTCGCACATGGGTTTGTCTTGATGACGTCCGGCGGATCGACACCCACGTTCAAGCATAGCGCCAGCACAGCCGAGACGGTCTTCAACCGATCCTTCATCCGCCAGTCGCCAATCTCCGGTTGCTTCTGGAAGTTCTGCGGGGGGTTGCCGCCCGTCTCATGGCGTTTGTCTTCGTAGTACATGTAGAAGCTCTGACTGAGCAAGTTGGCCTGCTCGAGGGTGTCGAGCTGCGTGTCCCAGCCGTGACGCATACGGTGCTTCTTCTCTTTGCCTTCTCCGTCCTCGCTGGGGCCGTTGAGGTGGGAGGGAAGTGATGACAATCCGCTTGAGGCGCGAGTAAGTCGGGCACTGCTACCCATCTGCAGGCCATCATCGCCGTCCGAGTCGCTGTTGCTGGCATGTCCGTTGCTGGATTCGTGGGACAGTGAAGGTCGTGCTCGCTCTGCTTGGTCGGGCATGGCCCCAGGTGATGTACGCGTCATGGCGGTAGTCGCATGCTGGTGTTGGGGCAACGTGGGAGAGTGAGGCTCACGGATGTAGTGTCGACGAGATCGAGGCACAAGTCACGCTCGCTGAACCTCTGGCAGCTCACCTGAAGGTCGCACGAGTCATGGCCGCCGCCCGCATCCTCCACCCCGATGATCGACACGGGCCGAACCTACAGCTTAAAGCCGGTATAACCGGGCATGAGTTCTTCTCCATCAATGCTTCATCGATCAAAGTAGCAGCAACTTTTTTGCAGCAACATTAATGTCCTTTTTTTTTTGGCTATGGCCACGACATACTAGACATACGCCCATCCCTCCTCTCCGCCTCCCACTATGGCCGCTCCTCCACCTGCCAAACTCCACCACCCCAATCGCATAACCAAACCTCAGCACCACAAAAAGCTCCCCCGCCTTCCCCAAAATGCCCAAATCACAAAACGACCACTCCTCCATCCTGCCATACCCTCTCCTCACGCAGGCGCCAACCAGCCAAAGGTCATCTACGTCTCGTCCCGCACAAAATTCATCCCAGTCGTCAAGCGCGTAGAAAAACTGCTAGCCCTGGCGGAGAAGCGGGCAATGCAGAGCGCCACTACTCTCATCAAACAACGGAAGGGACGCGGGCAGCGGAGCTTCGGTGGGAGGGGAAGGGGGGAGGACGAGTTACTTGAGATTGCGCAGGCCGTCGAAGCCGGACGAGCCGATCAGGAAAAGCTGAGAGGTGGTAAGGCGAAGGGAGAGGCTGGAGGGGAAGAGGTGGTGCTGAAGGGGACGGGAAAGGCGGTGCAGAAGGTTTTGGAGTTTGGCCTGTGGTTTCAGCAGAGGGGGGAGAGGTTTTCGGTGGAGTTGAGGACTGGGAGTGTGGCTGCTATTGATGATGTTGAGGTACCCGAGGAGGTGGAAGATTCGGCAGACGTGGCAGACGCAATGGAGAAGGACGAGCCGTTGGAGGTAGGCGAAGATAGAGCTATGGAAGACGATGGGGAGGAAGCTGGCGTGAGCACTGGGGCGATGGATGTGGACGATGTCCCTTCGAAACCGGCTTCGAAGAAAGCGCCTGATCGGCCAGCGGAGGACAGTGGAATTGCTGCGAAGAATGAGATTGAGCCAATTCCCGAGACGAGGGTCCGGTACACGAGTTCGCTGGAGGTGCATATCCGTCGGAAGTGATGCTCTGCTGGCCCAATGGGCTGTACGAACCTGAAATGTGGTGTTCTGTTTTTGCTCAAGATACCCCAAATCGCGATGGCTGTTACTCGTCGTGCCCGATCAACATGAAGCTTTGCAACGGCACTTGCAAGCACGTGAATCACAAATCGCGTCGTTGGAATTGTTTGGACTCTATACTTTCCGTATTGTTGTTCCTTTCGAACGAAGGATAGTAAATGAATATCCTATCATGTACCTCCTAGGCTTGCTGCCAGGTTTAGCCCCACTTTCACGTGCTCGAAGGCGCTAGTGAAAGCTTCCCAGATCCAGAATCCCCGCCAATTCTGTTTCCTCGAACCTCATCCACTGACTGCTACACCTCACACGACACACCACAAACACTTGTACAGACTCGCCAGCAATCGACAACACCCCCACACTACCTGCGACACGACCACCGACAACCATGCAGCGCATATCCCCCCGCCCCCCCTCCCCCACCGACCGCGCCCAACAGTCCTCGCAACCGCAAACCCAAGGCCCCCCCCAATCCGCCCAACAACCCGCGCCCGCGCCCCCAAAATCTTTGAACCTCCCCTCAGGCTTCGCGCACCCGCCGTCCACCTCCTCCCCGCACCCCCAGTCCTTTGAGGAAATCTACGGCATCCCCGAGAACTTCCTCGAGCTCGAGGTTACGGCTCCTCAAACCCACCAGCCGACTTCGAGTCCGAGTTCGCGATATACGACGTATCTGATTCGGTTGTCGACAAATATTCCGGCGTTTAAGTTGAGGCAGAGTTCAGTAAGGAGGAGGTACAGCGACTTCGAGGTCTTCCGCGACCTTTTGGAGAGGGAGAGCGCGAGGGTGTCTATCCCGCCGCTGCCGGGGAAGGTTTATCTGAACCGGTTTGATGACGCGGTGATTGAAGAGCGGAGGAGGGGGTTGGAGCGGTTTCTGAAGATTGTGGTGGGGCATCCGCTGTTGCAGACGGGGAGTAGGGTGTTGGGGGGCTTCGTGCAGGATCCGGGGTGGGATCGGAATGCTTGGTAGGTGTTGCTATACTCTGTGGTGTTTATGGGAGAATGGATAGGGTGGGTGGTGGATGCTGGGGAGAGCAGTGGGAGAGGATGGTCAGGGTGAAGGTGGATTTGAAGGTCATGGGCTGATTGAGTTTCTTCTCGTTGAGCAGGAGTATGGCGTACGGGGAGAAAGAGCGGCCGTGATGGGTACGTCTGCGTCCGGCCCTTGCTTGTCTGCTTGCTTGCTGTTGTACTTAAAGCGTCTATCTTGCTTTGAAATGGAAGTCACGGAAGTAATGGTTGTTTTCTACAGATCGCTTCTCACCCGCGTCGTCCCTTGAAGCCAGTCTAGTGGCCCACAAACGCCGTTCCTTTATAATGAATGCCGTCCGAAGCAAGTTGCAAGAGCGTAGAAGTCTAAATGGACAAATTGTAAGTCTTGGGATACTGTTGTCGATTGGGAGACTGAAGGTTGCAGCTGACAGCCAGTGTTAGGGCGTGATTGGAGCTAAATTGGAGGTCTTGAAGAGCGTAGGAGTATTGAGATTAGGACGCTCGGCGGGCTTGGTGCTCAAGACGAGCCTGGTGGTGGAGAGTGTCAAGCACTTGAAAGTGAACGCAGGAACGGCTTGAAGTTTGTGAAGAGCCTATACATATTTGGAGTGGCACAGCTCGAAGGTCTTGTACAGACCATCGTGACCAACCAAGGTCAGAGCATTGCTTCCGCTCCCATGGAGTCCTCAACCCGTATTCATTCTATCGTTCCCATCGTGTCATCATATCATCGTCCCATCGTTCTCATCCTCGCACAACGCTCCACTTTACGCCCGCAAAGCTCCTCGCACCGCATCACACACAATCTTCTACTTTGACCACAACACAAACCTCGCACGAACAACATAACACGCGCTGGCCTTCCACTTCCTCATCACGCTCTCCTCGACTCCTTTGCGAACTCCTTCTTCCAGTCTTTCGGCCAAGGCATCTCCTCCGCCTTCTGCGACTTTAGCGGGTTCTGTCTCAGGCGTCTCTTGACTGGTGTGGAGGACTGAGCTTTCTGCGTTCCTGCTCCGATCTGCTGGCCTGCGTGGACGGTACCGTTGACGGCAGGCGTCGGGGCCTCTTCTCGGTTCCCCTTATCACTCGGTGAAGGCAACGACGCTGGATGTAGGAGCGCTTTGTTCGGGTGCGGCATGGGGTGAAACGTCATGTCATCGTCGACTTCCATCGAAGCGTCGTGTGCCAACTGCTTGCGTCCGGATACCTTCTCGCGCGCAAAGACGTCAGACCTCCTACTACTTCTAGCGGAAGACACCGATGCCGCGGTTGACGCAGCGCGAGAAGCAGACTTCTGCACCTCTCCCGTACGTACTCCGAAGCTGGCTAGCAGTGCCGATGCATCAGCATCCGCTGTAGAGGGGTCACGCTCTTCTTTTTCTTCGAGAGCGGCGGGATGGGAGGTGGCAGCACCATCAGATGCAGCGCTCGTGACTGAACGGCGGGTGACGATGATCTCACTCGATGCATCATCACCTTCATCTTCCACATACTCAGCAATGACCGATGGTTTATTCGCCTGATTGTTCTTGCTGCCCTGCTTCGCACGTGATGACGTACTCCCTGGAGGACGACGGACTGGTCTCTTGCCGCCTCTCACCGGCACCTGAGGCTTCTTGAAGGCATCCCTCTTTGCACCTTCATCGGCGGCAGTATCGACCCGTTGTTTCTTACGCATAGGGTTGTGGGGCTCTGGTGGGCTGTGTACGATCTTCTTGGGGCTGGTCTCCTGGGGGTTGTCTAAGCTGAGCCCCCTGATGACGTTGCTGGCACGGAAGGCTTCGAGGCGCTCCCCTTGTAGTGAGGCTCCACGGGCTGCTGGCTGCGGTGTTCTGCCAAACGTCATGTCCGTAGCGACAGAAGCGCCTCGCTGGAATGATGGACGAGCGGTCGTGAATGATGCTTGCGAGCTTGGATCCTCTGCTTCAGCGCTGTCGGAGTTGAGTCCACCTGCCACGTAAGGCGCATCTGATCCTTCGGCGGCTTGTTCGGGGATCGCATCTGCCATGGGGCTGTCGCTGCGTTGTATTAGCAATAGTGAGCAACAGGCAACCTTGGAATACGTACTGCTGCCGGACATCGCGCCCAGCTAACTCCTTCCTCAACTCCTGATTTTGCGCCTTGATCTCTCGTATTGCTACTGAGAGCGCCTCGAGCTGTTCAGCTTGTTCTTTGCGATGCCGGGATGCCTGCTGCTGGTAGATCTGCAGTGTGCTTGTCGCAGCCGTCGCCACAAGCCCATCTTTCTTCACCCTTGCGACGGTCTTCTCAAGCTCGGCAATGCGCGCATCTCCGCCAGTGCTTCTGAGCGAGCGGTCAGCGATGTCGTTCCAGGCTTGATAGTGAAGGTACTCACTGTTGCTGCTTCTGACTCGTCTGCAACGCTTGCTTCATCGCATCACACTCCTTGCACAATTGGGCGACATCGGATGTCAGCTGTGCGACTTGTCCCGTGCGTTGCTCGACGCGGGTGACCGCCTGGCGCAGGTTGTTTTGCACGTTGTTGAGCATAGTCTCGTTGACCTCCAACTGCCTTTCGACCTTCTGAATGCGCTCATCGCTGCGCGGATGAGACGCTTCAAGACGTTCCGTCAAAGTGGTATTCGCTTGCTTGATATTACTGACCTCTGCCTGCACATCGCGTAGGAACGTCGCAATGGCCGCGCCGACATTCGCGATAGATTGATCCATGCTGTACTGTGTATGCAGTCAGTACAGATGTCTTCTGTGATGTACCGACACAAAGGCTGCAAGGCGAGGCGATGTTGGTCAATGGTGTGCAATTTCGACAGTGTGCGAAAGAAAACGCTGTTATGACTCGAAATAAAGGAGATTTGGTGTAACAGGCAGGCGCAGGCGCAGGCCCAAGCTCCTCGCTTCCGCGGTGGGAAGGTGCGTTGCTTGGCAGCATGTGATCAGGACAAGCTGGAGCGTGAGGATGAAGTTGAGCGTAATCAGGAGAGAAATGGATGGTGACAGTTAGCTTATAGTTGGGTATACTTGCCATGCACCCTGCCCGCTTCGTGGACGAGATAACGAACGACATTTGCCGCTGTACCCATGTGCGAGAACGGATTGAACCATCGATGAGTGACTCGCCTTACCACTGTACAGAACCAACCCGCCTCATGTCATCCCAGAAGATATTTCCCGCTAATGTGATCAGAGTAGTGTACAGCTCTTCTTCCTATCCCGTCCCCCGCCTTCTTCTTTCTCGTTACGACATCTGCACTGCCTCTTTCTCCCTCCTGAGCCGCTCATATGGCGTCACCACCGGCCTCCCATGCCGCGCCTGCGCTTTCCGGAAAGCTTCCGTCATGATGGGGGAGGACTCTGTTCGAATCATTGTGCCGATGGACATGAAGCAGCTGTTTATTCGTTATCAGCACTTCGCCGCTCGAGCGTGTACGTGCTGAAAGATGTTCGTACCCAAATGTAGCACTACTGCCCAACATATACTGCCCCAGCGTCCGCATCATGCCATTAGGTCCTGGGCCGTAGCGGATGATGTTCGTCGCGCCGAAGATGAACCCGATGATCAGACCGACCGCTGTCGATGTGTCAGCCTTGCGATGCTGCGAGAAGAGATCTGGACGTCGTACTGCCGCCCATCATAGCGCCCATCTTCGCTACATCGATCTGTTAGTTGAAGACGTTGGTGGTATGGCGATGCGAACAATACCCTTATCGAGTGGGCCAGGGCCGGACATGCCCTCTGCTGATCGTACGGGAGGCATGATTGTATATATCGATGAGTAGAACTAGAGATCGCTGTGCTGTTCCACTCATATGGAGTGGATGAAGCTCTAAAGTGAGGTACCGCCGCCTCGGCCTCGGAGGCTGTGCCAAGACCAAGTTTCCAGGCGGGATCCACTCGGGGTTGATGTTGGTTCTCGCCGACGACAAAAGAATCACAACAGCACCTCGACACGGCTTATACAGCTGCACGCGACCGCCGCTGGACAACTACACCCCCAGGACTCGATGAGATAGAGCGACGAGCCATTGCGCTGCCCGAGCGCTTGCCCGTGGACCACGCTCGAGTGTCGCTTGCCGCCGCGGCCTCTCCTTTTGCTGGAAGAGACGGCGGGGGTGGATGTGAGGACTGAGTAGGAGCGGACGGAGCATTGTTACGACTAGGAGTGAAGCACCGGGACAGCTGGCCGTGGCGCGTTGGGTGCGTGAAGAGGAGGGTGATTTACCCGGGCACACGACACCCCCGTGGACCCAAGCAGCGCCATTGTGCTTGACGACCACGACGTGAATGGGCCTTCCCGCAAAAGCATTGGTATCTGCACACATTCTTACACGTGATCAGGAGAAGCAGCAGCTGGACAGTGAGGAGGAAGGGCAAAGACACGACTCGGATAGCAGCCACGACTCACTCCCACTCCCTCCAATGACGGCCGTGGCATCTCCATTGACCTTCCAGCCGAGCAGAATAGGATGGGCTGATGGCGGCAAGAGCTACTCGTACTCCAACATGAACTCCGACGAAGCCAGCAGGCCCGGCATGTTCTCTAATAACGCGCCCCCCGCTCGCAAAACAGTCCAGCGGCAGAACTCCTCTTCTTCCCTCGCTTCGAACAGCTCAGCGACATCGACGAATACCCTCACGGCGCCGTCAGTGCAGACGAATGGAACCACGCCCACAGGGCCGGAAGCGGGGAGCTGGGTGAACAGGAAGAAGCCGACGAGAGGACTGTGGCCGCCGGGTAAGGCTGAGCCAGCGACGGGTATATCTACTGCGCGCCCGCAGCCTGTGAGCGCGAACAGCACTGGGCCTACTGCGTCGTCGGGACTGTCAGCCATACAAGCTCCCCTCATTCCAACCCAGCAGATGGCAGCGAACGGCACAGCACAGACTAATGGCGTGCGCAACCACGCTCCTCAAGCCCCGCCTGTCATCCTCCACTTGATGCCGCTCAATGGCACGTTCGAGCGCAAGACCATCACCGTGCCATACTACCCCGACGTCCTGCGCATCGGCCGGCAGACCAATCAGAAGACCATCCCGACCCCGCTCAATGGCTTCTTCGACTCCAAAGTCCTCTCGAGACAACACGCCGAGATCTGGGCTGATAGGGATGGTCTGATCTTCATTCGCGATGTCAAATCCAGTAATGGCACGTTCGTCAACGGCGAGCGTCTGAGCCCGGAGAATCGAGAGTCAGAGCCGAAGCAGCTGGTTGAAGGTGCCCTGCTAGAATTGGGAATTGACATTGTGTCTGAAGATCAGAAAACGGTCGTACACCACAAAGTCTCCAGTAAGGTGGAGCATGCGGGATACTACGGACAGAACAACGATCCCTTGAACTTTGGCGACCTGGATCCCAGCAATGGAGGGCAGATGGTTAATGGGCCCAGCCCGCTGCGGAGAAATGGAAGTCAAGGTTCATTGGCCGGCAGAGGGGGCTTGAATGCGACGTTGAACCAGAACATTGGCGGTGGAGGAGCCATCAGTCAGCAGCAGCACATGCGGAATTGGCTGAACCCGATCAGCATGGAGCAGATTGTGAAGAAGCTGAACGTGAGTTATTTACCACTCTCACAATAGCGTTGCACTTTACTGACATTAATTTTGTTAGGCCGAGTTGAAATACGCAGAACAACAGTCCCGCGATCTCGAACGGACCAAGCGCGCCCTCGCCGACATGCTCACCGGCACGGCCGAAGCACCGTCTAAGGACGCCAGTATACAGGAACCTTTCAAGGAGCCGAAGCACAACTCCGAGAAACGTCCCTCTCCACTCAAGTCCTCAAAAAGTGACCTCCACGCCCATTTCTCACTGCCTCCCGCTCCGCCACCATCCGTCCCGCTCCCTGCGAAACCAGACGTCGCCCGCGCGCTTGCGGATCCGGTGATTCAGCCTCTACTCCGCCGAACCGATACCGCGCGTCCAGGCTCAGAAACATCTTCGCCCACAAAAATAGACCATAGCGGCGATATCCTCCGCCTCTGCGAAGAGCTCAAGTTGGCCAAAGGCGAGCTCTCAGAGCAAGATCACCGCATGAAAGGTCTCGAGGACGCGCTGGCTAAGGAGAAGGAAGCGCGAGAGGTGGCGGAGAATACCGCTGGCAAGTCCGACACGCATGACTGGGCCAGGAAACGTGAGGGTGGGGAGGATGAGGAGAGGAAAGACTCGCCACGCGATAGTAGCGATGGTGAGGAGGGTTTAAGAAGGCAGGTTGAGCGGTTGACGGCGAGTATGGACGAGATGAAGGCGCAGATGGAGGCTTTCCGCCAGCGCGCCGAGTCAGCTGAGCACGAGCGCGATACCGCGCAGAAGAGCTTGGCGGAGATGGTGGAAGAGAAGAGGCGGAGAGACGAAGGTAGGACATCGCGCTCACCATCTTCCGCCCGACGATCACCCAAGCGTCGCTCATCCGCTTCACGCCCCGCCTCGTCCGGCGCGCAGACCGACGGCTCCGCTGCGCACGCTGAGGCAGAAGAAACGAGCACATCCCTCCTCACCCGCGCCGGCATCCAGCACGACCGCCCCATCTCCCCCGAACAAGCGCAGCAGCTCACCCGACTTCTCGCGCAGGAGGTGCTGAAGGCTGATGATCGAGGTGGTGGTGTTGGGGGGCCGGCTACGGACTGGCATGGACGGGAAGCGGTGAGTGCGGCGACGGTTGTGTTGGTTGGAGTGGTGGTTATGGGGTGGTTGAATGGGTGGACGTGGGTGGGGGTTACTGAGGGGAAGATGAGATGACTGGTTGGTGAGTGCAGATTAGGGCATGATGCGAAGCGATGAGCTGGGGCCGCGAGTCGGGGGTGGCCACGCTGTGACATCCACAGGCTGTTGGCGACAAGAGCGGAACACGAGCGACTAGCTGGCAGTTCAAGGCTCTCCGCCGCCGCCGACAATAATGGCACCCTGGCTGCGCCCGAAGAGCCGAGGGTAGGAGACCAAAGCCGCGGATTCCGAGCAAGCGACAGGGCTGACGAAGCGTCACGGGCGTATGGTGTATAACACATTGCGCGGTTTCAAAGGGCCGAAGGAGCAACGGAGCCATTTGACTTGGGCGCTTCGAACCGTACAATGCACATTTATACCAGACTTTCACGACGCTATCTCGACGGACAGTCGTGTCCTCATGCCAACCAGGCAGCGAGCCGCCGCCTGCACTACGAGGTTTGTCTTACCGACGTACGAAGACGGATCATGCTCACGCCCATGCCCTCGACCTCTGACGACTCGCCACCGACCCTCCTTGACCGCTTTACCGACTGCACCGTACCGACCGCACGGCCTCAGGGTCCGACCAGACGGTCTCATCGCCAGGAACAGCAAGGCAAAGTTGCGAGGTCTCGCAGGCACGCTGTGTGCTCCGCATCCGGATCATGAGGACGAATCGAGCGTTCGGCGCGAGAGACAGGGACCTGCAAGATCGTGGTCAAAGTGCAATCTGGAGAAAGGGGAAAGCCTATCGAGCACCACCGAAGAGCAAATTGACAAACTGAGATGAGGAACGCTCGGCTGGGTAGCCGGCGCAGACTTCCATCATCCAGAAGTAGCATGATGGACGCAAAAACAGCAACTCTGGGCGCTTGGGAATTGAGAACCGCGAATGGAGAGATGTACAAGTTACGGTCGTTCGAAGAGGAGGGTTTCTTTTGTGTGCTTCTTACATGTGCTCTCGGAGGTTGGACTGACTTGGTCTTCGTTGGGCGTCTCGGAGCGAGCATGGGAGGGCTTTTCCGACTACGATGATTTCTTTTGGTTTGCGAGCATGGCGTGGCGTCTGTGTCTTCTTTTGAAAGTGGAGGATGGTGGTGTGTATATGACGGCTGTGTCTGGCGTTAGATGAGTTTCCTCGAATCGACGTGTGCTGCAGTATGTACTGTAGATCACAACAACCAGGTCCACCAAACCTCTCCCTCCTTCTTCTTCCCAATCCTCATCTCATGTCCAACGACACCCTGGCCACCATATCCACCACAGCCTCCGCACCAACACACCATCCCGGTCTCTACGACTCCCCCACCAACCACTCCAGCGCCCCAACAGCATACGCATCACACGCCGTCCCCAGCGTCGGTTGCACCTCCGGCCAAAACAAGCCCGAATGATTAATCGGCACCGCCTCATTCAGCGTCCCCTCTGCCTCACACTTATCCCACACCTCCCTTGGCGTGCCCCCGTACATGAAGAAACTCGTCGGTGCCCCGACCGCAGAGCCGAGGATGCTGAAGTCTTCGCTGCCGCCTAGTTTCGGGATGCTCGGGGTGTAGCCTTGCGCGCCGGAGGGGAAGTGCGAGGAGAATGCTGATTCGAGGCGAGCGGTGATGGTTTCGTCGTTGATGGTTAGGGGGAAGGAACGGGTGGTTTGGAAGGTTGGCTCTGCGACGGCGTTGGAGGCGGCGCTCTCGGCTTTGACGATGCGTTCGATGGAGGCTTGCACTTTCCGTCTGGTTTCGGGGGAGGTGGTGCGGACGTCTACGGCTAGACGTCCGTCGTCGACTACTACGTTCTCGGCATCGCCGGCTTGGATCGAGGCGACGGTTACAACGGCCGTGTCCCAGGGATCTACCTCTCGCGAGACGATGGTCTGGAGCTTCATCACCGTCGAAGCGGCCATGACGATCGGATCGATGAGCCGATCAGGCATGCTCGCGTGCCCACCCCGTCCATGCAAGGTGATGCGCATGCTATCTGCACTCGTAGCCACCAAACCCCTCCGCGTCCCGATCGTGCCGGCGCGGAACGGCATCACGTGCCCGCCGAGACAGAGGTCGGGGATCGGGATGTTGTGGCGTTCGGGCGAGTACATTCCATCGTCCACCATGGCTTGCGCGCCGGTGCCGCGTTCTTCGGCCGGTTGGAAAGCGAAGATCACGGTGCCGTTCCAGCTTGAGCGAGCGGTGCAGAGGGTTTCGGCCGCGGCGAGGAGGGCGGTGATGTGCATGTCGTGACCGCAGGCGTGCATGACGGGTTTCTCGACGCCGTCGGCGTCGGTCATGCGTTTGGTGGAGGCGTAGGGTAGGCCGGTGCGCTCGAGGACGGGGAGGGCGTCCATGTCTGCGCGAAGGAGGATGATGGGCTTTGGGTATTTGTCTGAGGATGCGCCATTCCGGGAGCTGTGGAGGATGGCGACGACGCCGGTGCCGCCGACCTTTTCGGTGATGGAGAAGTCCTTTGAGATTTTGGTGAGGTGGTCGACGATGAAGGAGGCGGTGGCATGTTCTTGATTAGAAAGTTCGGGGTTTGCATGGAGGTGTTTGTAAATTTCCTCGTAGCGAGAGAGGTCGGGGCGGTGTTTCTGGACAAGGGAGGATACTGTGGACGACATGACGGCGGAAGGAAGTGTTCTCTGGCAGTAGTGGCGATGCGGTACAGGCGAACGAAATTGAAAGGGATTAAAAATGAGCAAGGTCAACCTACTTCTGATCCTACAAGTGTTTTACAGCTATACATCTCTTTGCCGAAGAGGTGACGTTGGCCGATGCAGGAACTGCATTGAAGCTCGCCTCGATTTGCCCGCTGCTTAGCTTCTTGGTGCGGAGCTGGAAGCTCCAGAGCACGCTCTGCCATGTGAGCTTCACTGCCGCTCCGAAGCGACTTCAGGCGGATACTGCAGACGCTCCTTCGTGAACATCGTCGCGGCCGTCATCTGCTTTCGACCATGGTGTTCGAAACTCAAGGAGGTCTCGTTGACCGAAGATCTCACCTACGACGACAAGAATCATGTCAAGTGTCGCGAGTGTGTTCTCACGCACCTTAGTCTCAGGTCCGACGGCCTTTGAGTCCACAGCGTCTTCATCCAGTTTGATCTCGGCACTGTTGGGGGCGCCGCTGTCTAAACCCGTGGCTGTTTCGTTCAGGATCACACCAGAGTCGTCTTCGACAGCAGACTCCCGCTCAAGCGTCTCAGCTGCCATCGGATTGTCGAAAGACAGCTGCACAAGCACAGCTTTCTTCCCAAAGTCTCTCAAAATCCAGACTTGATCGTTGTCCATCGTACCCACATCGTCCAGGCGTGCGAGTAAAGCCCAAATCCATGCAGATGTCGTGGAATTGATCTCTTTTTCGCGTTTGAGGAAGTGCTTCTGTAGCAGCTCCAGGAGTCTGAAGACGATAGACTGCTCCAGTGATTGCATCTGTGCTAGCTGTGGTGGCGTACCTCGAAGGAGGCGATGCCAGTCTGCGTACGCCTTGTTGTTGGCTTGCGGGAAGGAGATGGGATGACGATCGTGCAGTGCGGCTACAGCTTCTGCGCTTGGGTGGAGGAGAAGTTGCTGGCGATGTGAGTAGAACCGCCGTTTGAGGGCTCTGGTGAAAGCTTCTTGCGGGTCGATGGTTCCCTGGGCGGAGTCTGCTAGCGATGGCGCAAGACTGACGCGGGCATAGTACGCACCGTCGTCTAGCACACCGCGGTGATCGCCTCTGCCGCTGTTGTAGATGTCTTCGTCAGACGTAGGTCGAGATGCTCTTAGGATTTCAGGCATAGTTCGCCGCTCAGATCTGCATCGCGACTGTTAGCCTGATCTTCCGGACGATTCTTAGGCGCCCACGAGGTACAGGAGCTGGAGTAATTACGCTACTCACCTCACGCCTCGTAGATACGCCATTGCCTCGTCCTCGTCACTCTCAAAGTCCTCCGGTTCCTCCTGGTCCTCCCATGCGTACGCCACCGAGCCCAGCGCCGGCCATTGGCCGGTCGATTGGTTTTTCGCCTTACCGCTGTAGACCCAGGTGGATTCGGGAGCCTCTGACCTGGGTCCGTCTTCATCGTCATCCACGTTCGCTGGGGTGGCGGGCTCTGGGGCTTTTGCTTCGCCATTGCCACTGTGCTGCTTGCCGGACTCGAGCGACGGTTTTTGCACACCCTCCTCGCCTTCGGAGTCAGGGTATTCCGGGATGGTGTAGTCGGCTGCGGCGTTGTCCTCGAGTGGTGCGAACAGTTCCGTGTTCTGCAAGTCGCCTTCCTCATCCGAGTCGTACTGGAGCAGCACCCTCTTGTTGGGATTGTAGAGTGATGTGGGAGCATGCTTTGGCCTGTCGCGGTCTCGCCTTGCTGTCGCCATGTTGGCCGTCGAATTGAACAATACGGCAAATGTCAGGCAAGAGATGATCGAGATGGGCTGGATGCCAGTCCAGCGGGTGCCTGCAGATGTCTCATGCCACCTCGGCCCGCTAGTTCTAGTTCGCGAACATGTGAAGATCGACAACGACCTCATCTCATCTATCTGCACCGGTGACCAGACTATGCGTCTTCGTCACCTGCCGCTACCAGACCCATCATCCTACAAGCACGCCGGAAACCTCCAGTCGCACGTTGTAACCGCCTTTCTCGCCCACAAAGCCAGCCCGGCCACTGTCCCAGCACCTAAACCCACCATCATAACTTTCGAACCGCATCCTATCTATACCTGCGGTCGGCGAGAGGTCGGTCACGTCTCGAAAGAGCAGATCGAGTATCTGGAGAAACCAATCAAGGGGCTTGGACGTGGTGCAAAATTCGCAGAAGCCTTGCGAGGCGGGCAGACTACTTTCCATGGGCCGGGACAACTTGTCGCATATCCAATACTCGACTTGAAACGACATGGTCTGACTGCGCGATGCTATGTGAACCTGCTTGAGGAGGCGGTGATAGCCACCTGTGCGAACTCCGGGGTCAAGACTCAGCGAACAGAAAACCCAGGTGTATGGACGGATGAGCTACACAAGATATGTGCGCTAGGCGTGCATATGAGACGGAATATCAGCAGTCATGGTATCGGGTTGAACGTGGCTACGGATCTACGATGGTTCGACAAGATCGTGGCATGTGGGCTGGAGGGGAAGAAGACCACCACTCTGCAGGCGCAGGGGGTGGAAGAGGTTGGAGTGCAGCAGGCGGGGCATGTGTTTGTGCAGGAGATGGTGCGGCTGTTGGGTGGCATCGAGGGAGTGGATATAATTGCGAAAGAGGATATTGGGCACGGCGACGTTGAAAAAGATGGTGTAGCTTCTCCGTCGTCTTGATTGTGTGCCAAGACAACCATTGAACACTTTTGCGCCTTGTCTTTCCCCTTCCACCGAGCAAGTGGCATGAGAGTTTCTCCCCGTGAGCATGCAACTAAACAAAGATAGCCCTTTTTTCGGACATGCCATGCTAACAACTTCAGGTACAGGAGAACTCCCATGAACGGCCACGTGGTAAAGCAGCCAATTATGCAAGCTTTCGATATGGCTTACCAGAGCCACAAGAACTTAATTGACAACCTCTGAGATCTGAAATACATAAAAGGCATCGATGCCACCCGATGGTTTTGGGACATCTCGACCAGTTGATTTCCAACATTGCAACCATCATCAGCATCATACCTCCATCAATCAACTCGATCATCATCGTCACCAACAACCGTCATCTCCAGCCACCGATCAAACCAGCATCAAAATCAACTCGACATCAACATCTAATCACCCGACCGACACCATGTCTTGCCTGTTCAATCTGTTGCGCCGCCGCAATATCTCTTCGTCCCTGAACGCCGACGAACAGCCGCTACTGCCAACCACGGCTCCCATCTCCGCCCCTGAGAACAATCATCAGCCGCCACGCCCGGGCTCCCTGTTCGACGCGATTGCACATGCAGACACTGCCTTCGGTCACAGCCCGTGCGAGAGCTTGAAGGAGATGAAGCTTCATTCGAAGCACAATTCACCGGCACTGTCGCGCCGTGCCTCTGACAGCATGATCCACTCTTCGACAACAGGGTCATCCGTTACCGTCACTGCTGCTCCTGAGCCAAAGACCTTCGGGAACCGCAGATGCTCGGAATGCGGCCACCGCTGCTCCATCTTGGGCCGTATCGTGTCCAGGCTCAATCACTGCCCAGCGAGCGACGGCGACTGCTGCGACGGAGAGTGCTGCGACGGAGACTGCTGCGAAGGTCTAGCCAAATGCCTCGCTCGCACCACCTCTGGACAAGACGGAACGGTCTCTCTCACCAGCCAGGCAGCTCTGCTGGAGAAGATCGTCACGATGGAAGCCAAAGAGTGCCACAATCTCCGCCACGAAGCGATCTGGGAGTGCTCGGCGAAGGGAAGGCAGTACTTCAGGAAGGTTCTGGACAACATCTCACGCAGGTCGAGGCGCAGCTTGGAGGGTACGGAGGACAGGGATGGCAGTGAGGAATATGGTATCTGCTGGAACTGGTAACTGGTCGCCAAGCGCGACGGGTTTAGATGTTGTGACCAGGGTGTTGTGAGAGGGTGGCGGAGGGGTGGAAAAGGGGGACAGATGTGCGCTGGATGAACGAAGTCCCGCGCGCAGGGGCGGTGCGAGGGTGTGTTGAGCGGCTTCATGAACTGCGGTTAGGTATTGCAAAAGAGGCGAACTGATGTGCTGGCCGGGCCGCGAAAGTGTGCTGGAAGACTCAAGAAGGCAGGATTGCCTGTGGGAGAAGCAGCATCGTTGCGAGCATTCGGAGAGACTCATCATAGTCAGTATAGCGTACAATTCCCAAATACCATCACATAAAAGACATTCACATGTGCAGCTGCTAAGCCCGTGGCTCCTTCCTCATGCGACTTCACTTCAGCTCCCGCAACTTTAATCCGGCACGGATGCCTGCCCGCCGGTCCCGCCACGCGCACGCTTCACTCTGCTCTCACTCTTCCTTCATCCTTTCTTCTTCTCCGACAAGCAAACCATCTCATCTACCACCATCTGCCCTCCTTGTGTTAGCTCCTCATTGCTATACCACATCACTCATCCATCGCCATCATCATCATCAACACCACAAGCACAATGCCTTCTCTCACCATCGAGATCCCCTCCACCCCCGTCAAGCGCGGCCCTGGTCACGTCCGCTCCGCCAGCGACCCAGCACCATCCACCGCCACCAGCACGACCACGGGCGGCATCTTCACCCCCTGCGGCTCCGACGACGGTCTCGATGGCCCGGTCGACAGCGCCATCGGCAGCGACATGGCCACCTCGCCACGCACTACGTCGCCAGCCCCCAAGCACGCTGACACCCCTCAAGCGCCGAAGAAGCCCAAGCACCTGCGCAGCCTCGCTGGCAGAATCCGCGCTCTCGGCCCAAGCTGCGTCACCTACGGCCAGCCAAACGTCAAGACGGCCAACATCAAGCTCCGTGCCGCGCAGATGATCTTCCCGCCGCAGATGTGCTTGTTCGTCGGCAAGTAAGTGACGTCCTCTCCCTCACTGACTTTGGTTTCTGATGCTGACTCCTGAACAGCCTGCCAGCCCACTGGTCGGACGGGATGCTGTACCAGGCGATCTCGTTCGAGTTTAAGCAATTCGGGGCCTGCGTCGTCGGGGTCTTTCGCAAGGCGGCGAACAAGCCGTACGCCATCGTGCAGTACATGGTGAGCTCACTCTTCACTCACTTTTCTTCTTCGTAGCATGCTGACAGCCGTCCAGGACATCTGCGATGCTTACACGGCGATGCTGTTCGGCACCAACATCTGGATGGAGCGTCCCCTGCGCGTGGAATGGTCGGCTCGCTCGCAAGCCTCGCATGCTTAAAAGTCGATATCGCTAGCTCTCATGAGTGATTAGATGTCGAATTTGTTGTGATTTACATGGATGTCGTGGACTCACTGTCGGGGATATTGTGCGTTTTTTGGTCGCTGGAGATTGACGGTGGAAGGGGCCGTTTGCTTGCTCGCTGATGAGCTGTGTCGCGTCGAAGGTTGCTGTTCGCATTGTTTGCTCGAGAGAACATTGCTTGCTGGAAAATCAGCGTAATCGTAGTGTGTCTTAGCTGCACGATAGTGAAAGTCGTGTTCATACCATAATTCTTCAACCTCATCCTCAGATACTCAGCTCCAGCCCACGTCAAGAACCTCTTCTCGCGCCAGCGCCGACTCACTCAACACCTCATTACCTACCCCCTACTCCTACAAGCTCGCGTCGATATGAACCTACCATGATCCACTACCGTCAGCCGCATGAACGCTATAAAAGATGGCAAGCAGAAGCCCGAATGGCCACTTCGCCACCTCGCCGAACAAGAGATACGCGGAACAAGGACCAAGATGCCCAAGGCCACACCAGAGAGCATGACCAGAAAGATCCGAGCGGCGCCACAGCCATTGCGAGATGACCGGGCCTGGTCCGCGGCCGGCGCCACTTCCGCGCTCCCCAGACCACCCCGTACAAGCCAGCGGGCAGCCCTGTGAGCAGCAGCGGTATGGGCAAGAGAGCGGAAGGCTTCGGCGATGCGAACAGCAGCCTAGGAAGACAAGGAGGAGGAGCCACAGGCGTGACAACATGGGGTAGGGTCTCAGCGGAATAGCCTGAGTGGCGTGGGGGCCGTTGAATGAAGGCCACTCTGGGAAGCCTGCCACTTCCGCCACCGCGAGAAAGACACCAAATGCAGCCGTGGACAATGCAGCTGCGGAAAGACCATGGGCGACTAGAGAGGACAAGCTGGATGAGCTGTTGCTTCTCCGTCTGCGGAGCAGCCACGAGACTTCATGGCGGCGAAACTGGTGCCAGGTCGGCTCTCCATTCACACGGTGCAGGTGCAGGCTCGCAGCTGCAGGCCAGCCTAAGACTCTGTACATCAAGGCTGGCTCAGCTGCTGAACACCAGGCGGCCCTTGACGGCAGGTAAGCAGTCCGAGCTCATATGGCTGGACGTCTAAGGAGGGGCGCAGCCTCACAATTTCCGGTCTGCATACCTTGGTTCCCAATAAGCTCTGTACGAGCCCACAGTACTCAAGCTGCTTGCCAGCAGGTAGAGATGAACAGCAACAAGTTGAGCCACGGTGCGCAAGGGACCGGACGGCATGCCATGCTCGAAGCAAGTTCCTGGTGGTTATCCATGGAACCGCTGCACAACCACCTGGCCTCTGAGCATTCCGCAGGTCCGTTTATCTGCTCCCGACAGTGGTGGGCTGGCAGGGCTGGGGTCTCTGTTACGAGCCAAAACACCCAGCTGCCTCCACCGAGGCACGTGACTGTGCTGGCTTTCAGGATGACGGCAGACTTCCAGGGACAATATGCCTGGAATGGTGGCATTTCCAGTATTATTTGCCTATGAGGCCGGATGTCGTGATGTTGCAGTTCCAGGGAGCTCTCCAGCCGAAGTAGCTTTGCTTTTGCACGTTCGATATCTGAGACGGGATGATAGGCGTTCTCAAAAGCACCAGACGTCTGCTCGGATCGTCCCAGGACGGTAGCTTGTCTTCCAGAGAACGCGTTCTCGTAGAGCAAACTACGCCATCTCCAATCGTTGCAGCCACCAGCATCTTTTTACGCCATGACAGGTATACTGCTGTTGTCTGGGCCTGCTCTGTACCAGCTGTTCTGGATATATTTACCTCTGTGCCATCGATGCAGCGTTGTCCCACCAGCAGAACGTGCCTGATTGCGATGCTGTCGCCTATCATCTCGTCGCACCAGCAGCTCCCTGGCAGCCAGGCATGGTTGCTGAGATGAGAGGAGTCCTAATTCGAAGGAAGGTCGAAGGCCGGCAAATCTTGCCAATGTCTCGACGGAGACCATTCTCCGAGGGAAGTGGTGCCAACCTTCGACAGGAGCAAGAGCTCTGGCTCTCGACTTCATCTCTAATCATGCCATCCATCTCTTCCACGCTGTGCAGTCACTGATGGCGCCTCTTCGCCCGGTGTATGCCTCGATGGCTGGTGGCTTGGATATCTGCTGACCTGGTTCGACGCGTGAAATCATCGCGGCTCCAAGCCCGGCGACGGTGCTCCATCCTCTGGAGGGCATTGTTGCCAGACCGCCTACAGTCCATCTTGACAGGCCTCGAGACCACAGCGCGGCAGCGAATCCACCTTTGCTTGTCCATCTTCTACCTTGCGGACCCTCCGGCTCTGTCGACGCGTGGTTGAGATGGCATGAAAGGCAAGCCCTTCATTCTTGATGACCCGACTATGATTCCGGACGACTGACTTGGTACGGTCCCTGGTCCTGCTCAAAAGTCGACGTACCGTGGTGGAGGTAACGACTGTGATCAGCATGTATAGGTAGGAATGCAGCGAGGCAAGGGGTGATGGCTTCCTTCTCTTCTCCCTCCCCTCGCTTTTCTTCTCCTTCGGAAGAGATCCGTTTCGACCGCCATCTGGTGCTCTGTGAGGCTATTAAAGAAGTCAGAGATGGCGATATTGAGGTGTGGCGGTCTGTTGGTGACGGCCGAGGAGGAGGGTGGCGGACCCCGGCCAGCAGCGAGGCGCTAAGGCACCCATGGCTTTCTTTTATACCGTGAATTGACTTGCTATATTCTTCACCTACCTTGCTTATAGGTCTCGACGTACCACTCGCGTAACCGTTGCTTCTCTCTGCATACCCCTCTACAACGACAACGAGCCTTTGCCATCCACCATAACGCCACCTCCGTCCCACAGAAGCGCTGCAACCATCAAGGCGACCAACGACTTTGCGCTGCCGCACCTTCGTCCTCGGGACCGCAGCATTACTTGTCCAGTTTTGCGCGCCCTAAACAGACGCCACCATCATGAGCTTCAAGCCAACAACTGCGCCAGGCACCGCGCACCCGTCTCCGCCTGTGGAGAACATGGAAGGAGTCACAAGACACAACCTAGTTGAACTTCCTGCCGAAGTGCGCAACGAAATCTACGGCTACGTACTCGCAGATTACCCGGTCCAGGAGTTCAAGACATCTAACCTCACAGCTCACAGGGTCCAGGGCATCCAACCGGCCCTCACCCAAGTCAACAAACAGGTGCGCGCTGAAACTTTGCCAATGTTCTACGCCAACAGCGAGCTCTTCATCCGCATCCACTCTCAGTGCGACGTCTTCGGCCGCAATCAGGCTATCATCAAAGTCCTAGAGAAGCTGGGTCCAAGCCTTCTCAGTCGGTTTGAGTCCATCTGGTTCCACACTCGCCTCAATCGCGGCTTTATCTGCAGAGTTACGCAAAGGGACGGCGGCACGAAGCTCAACTCGACGCTCGTCGTGTTTTTCTTGTCGGCCGCTGATCAAGCACGTATGCAACAGCAGATGCAAGAGGCGCGCGACTTCATGGCGCCTGCTGTGGATAGAGACAAACAGCCAAAGGCCCCTGGCCTGTTCGGCTCAGTCCAGCACTTCAGGAATCTTTACGTGTAAGTCACACGCTGCCTTGATACAATCATCTGTTCACGACTGCTACCTTGACGTTTGCGCTGATCAGTCTGATAGCTACCTTGTGCGCGTCGCCGTGCGTGTAGAGCAGTCAAGGGGCACCCCGGCGCCACCGGCAACGGGAAGTATGCTGGACACTGATGGCATCGAGTTCCTGTTCGACGACCGCCGCGTCACACGCGAGGAGGTGCGCCTTGCTGTGAAGTATGGCGTACTCGAGTAGACTGTCTGTTCGCGACGACGTGCATAAGGTAAGCAGCAAAGACTTTCCCGTCATTGTCCTCAAGCTGGTGTGAGCGAAGAGGACTTGTTTCAGGTTGTTCGTTGTGTATGAGGGGTGTACAAAGGGAAGGGTGTTGATGGTCGTGCTCGGTGCTCTTCATTCTCTTCGCATGTGGACGAAAGATTGGCGCGGGACAGACGCAGTGGACAAAATACAGGATCGATAACATCAGCGCTTGGAAAATACTGAGATGGGGTTTCAGGACTGTTCAGTAGGAAGGCTTGTTTCTGGATGGTGACGTGATTGAAGCGCTCACAGTAGTTCATGGAGAGCATGCGGGCGTGAACAGACAGCTTGAGTGCGGTACAGATATGACACCTTCAGCATAAGACGTATATTGCGGATGTAAGCATTGTTTGAGACTTCGAAACATTAACTGACCCACCCTGATTACCATTCTTGTTCATCCCATTGCTTCAGCCTTTGCCATTCCCACGGCTCGCCCTTCGGCCTAGTCCAGTAGATTTCATGGTAATCGAAGCCTTACAAAATCAATGTGCACTTTCATATAGCGACGCGCATCAGCTCATCACACCCACACCGCATAACATCCCCTTGCCCCATCATCTCCTCCACCCTCACCCCATCACCATGGCCGACCTCTTCTCCCTCCCCGCCGAACTCCGCGACCATATCTACGCCCTCGTCCTCGCCACCCGCACCTCCAACTTCATCGCCCCCCACCGCGACCTCCGCTCCTGCGTCCAGCCCGCCCACACCCGCGTGAACCACCAACTCCGCTCCGAGACCATCCCCGTTCCCTTCCGCCTCCACGAGATCAGGATCGGCGGCCGCATCACTGACCACGAGGTTTTTGGGTCGGATGGCTCGGCACCTACCGCGTTCGACTGGATCCAGAGGCTCGGGGTTTTCAATCTGCAGCATGTCAGGGATTTTACTATCACGGTTGGGCCGTATTCTTCCGGGATGCAGGTTAGGGTCCAGCAGACGAGGAAGGGGAGGACTTTGGAGCTGGTATCCTTCCGTGTTGGTGATGAGGTAGGCGAGTGGAGGTCGGACTTCAATGATGGACCGGAGGAGGACAGGCTCTGCAAGCAGGTGGAAGGTGCTTTGGGGTATCTGGCGTCTGATACGGACTTGCAGGGCCAGGAGAAGCTGCCGGGCCTTGCGTCCTCTCCGAGGCTGTTGAGGAACCTGTTCGTGTATGTCATACCAACATGCAGTTGTTGACCTCGCTTTTGTGGAGCTAGCTTTTACTGATCATCGCATCTTTGGTGCAGATACCTGCTCCGCGTAGCCACCCGAATAAAGGAAGACTACGACAGGCGGGTTGCGGAGCAAAGGGCCGCTGTGAAGAACCAGACAGAATGGCAACCACGAGTGCCGAAGACAGCCTTGAGTAACGATGGCTTCGGTTTCCTGTTTGCCGACAATCGGATCACCGATCATCAGAAGCGCCTGGCGGTAGAGTATAACCTCTTACATCCTCGAGGATAACGTGGGCCTGGCATAATTTCAATTTGCCGATAAATCCCGCTCTGGCCGTTTTGAGGGATCGCCTGCTGGAGATGAGATGATCGGTTGCTGGATCGTTCGGACTTATATGGCTCGATGTTCGGAGGTGACGGCATTGAGAGCGGTCTGCTTGTATTTGGATGCTACTATGCTAGTGAGCAGTGTTGATATGTAATTAGTATATCGTCCAAAGATCTGTCATATATCCATCCGACTCCGTTAACTCCACGCTAAGTCCCAAAACACCACCTGAAGAACCCGTTCTCACCACCTCTCCATCATGTTCCTCCTCACAGTCCACATCCTCGCCCTCTTGCCGTAGATATACATCGGAATCGTGCTTAACAAACACGCCATCTGGATCCCGCCAATCGCCAGGAAAGTGTTCTTGCTCCCCTCCGCGTCCAACCAGCGGTTGAAGAACAGCGAGAAGACGAGTCCATGGAAGATGTTCTTGCTGAAGTTGAGCGTCACGAGCGCTTCGCCGGCGTACTGACGATACGAGTCGACGGCGAAGGTAATGGCGGTCGTGCTGCCCAGCGAGCAGCCAAAGGAGATCAGCCCGAAGAAAATGGTCGGTACAATCCAGAGATCTCGTTCGGCGGCTGACCAGCCGTAGCCCATGAGGCCGATCGTGGTGGTGAGAGCGATGGGAACAGCCATACACAGCCGGAACTCAGGTTCATAGATGCCTCCATTGCGACGAGCGAGGTAGCGAACGATGACGTCGGACACTTTGCCTGCGACTGCTGTACCCAGTACACCGCCTACGAAGGGAGAGATGTAGACGAGACCGGTTTGTAGGGAGGTAAAGTTGTAGGAGTCGCGGTTCTCGTAGATGGTGCTGACGCTTTCGGAGAGCACAATCAGCCAGCCGACGGAGAGGGAGTAGACGAGCGTGCTCCAGAGGATGGACGGGTAGCAGAAGAGGATGAAGGGACGCATTGCGACGCGGAACCAGCTGTCTTTGCGGAGACGGCCGTTCCAGGGCCGTAGTGATTGAACGAATGTCGTCGGAGGTTGGACTCTGCGTGTGTCGGTGTATGGGTTGACTTTGCTCTGCCGCTGTTGCTCGACGTCCTGCTCTGTTGGGGTCTGAGACAAGGCGTCCATAGCCGCGGGTTCATGGGCTGCAGATGAGGTTTCGTTCGAGACGAAGTTATCGTTGCTGGTAACCTGAGATCTATGCGCAGCTGTTGGAATGGAAAGTCGGAGGCCAGATCCAGCCTCAGCATTCTGCGTTGCCTCTAGGCCTGCAGGCTGCCGTGCTTTTTCGTCCTCAGCGTCGGGCTCGCTCGCCTTCCCAGCACCCGCATCGCCCTGAGCGGCATCAGTGAAAGCCGGTTTCTCCTGCATCACAACTTCTTCATCGCTCTCGGCCTGGAAGTGAGCATGTCGCTCCGAAGCTTTCGTGTGCGACTCCTCAAGCCCATCCACCTTCTCGCTCGCCGAAAACGCCCTACTAGGCCGCCTCACCGCAGTCGGGGAATGTGAAACAGAGCCAGTCCTGAACATCGTCAAACTCGGAAAGCGTCGTACAGTGTGCTTGTGTGGCCTCGGCGTTCTATCCCAAAAGGTCTCGGGCACGAAGAAGAATAGTAGGATCAAGCAGAATCCGATGATCATGGCCACGATCCGGAAAACCCATCGCCAGCCCAAGCTCTGAATGATCGCGGCGCTGACCAGAGGAACCAAGTTCTTGCCGCCGAGGAGAAGGAGAGTGTAGATGCCCAAGCGGTAGGCTTTCTCGTGAAGGAAAAAGATCTCTGCAACTGTTGCTGAGGGCAAGCACTCGACTGAGGAGACCGCCAGGCCTTGGAATATACGAGCCACCACCAGACTAGCAAAGCTCGGTGACTCAGAGCACCAGATGCAGGTCACCAAGAAGAAGGTGGCTGCTACCAGGTAGACTGGACGCTTTCCGTACAAGATAGCCGTAGGACTCAACAAGGCACTTCCAAGACCCATGCCCATCATGTATAAGCCAGTCGTAAGCGCGACCTGAGGGACCGATACGTCGTACTCGTGCGATACCTCGGTGAAGCCGGCCGCGAGAATGGGCGTCATACCTCCACCGACCATACAGTAGAAGCCCAAAGATAGCAAAGCCAGGTCTCGGCGCCACATCTTCCAGTTCAGTGGGTCGTTCAAGGAGTCATCCGGCTGAGGCTCGAGAATGAACTTCCCGTCTGGTGTCCGCTTCTTCTCCGGCACGGGTGGCCGTCTCCTGCTGATCGAACTCCGCTGGCTTGGTGGGTACGGCGAGGGAAGAGACGAGGCTGACGTCCTTGCTGGTGCATTCCGAAGACCCAGCGGCTCGTTGTACTCGGACACCTTGGACAGCAGCAGGATGGAACCCGGCACTTCCTCTGTCTCCGGGTCGTTCAACATGCCCATGCTCCATTTCATCGGCCTCTTCTCGACTTGTTGCTCGAAGTCCGACATGGACGTCCTGTTGCTGGGCTGCCCACTGTTGTTCTTCCTATTGCCCAGCATGGCCTTCCAGTCCACCCGTCTCTTCCCTCGCCAGTCCCTCGCTGCAGCGCTCTCGGGCGGAGGAGGCTCCTCCGCGACTCTGATATGGTCATCTTGCTCGGGCTGAGACATGCTGCTAAATCGTAGTATATGCCGTCGTTCTATGCCGTTCTAGGTGGTACAAAGGCGTGAAATGTAGTGTAGATACGCGTAGATAGCAACAAAGAATCTATTGAAGGTCTCAAGAAGACATAGCAGCGCGGATAGCAAAGGTATACCACGTCAGAAGCACATATCCTCCCAAGATCATGCGGTAGGCTGCGGATGAGGTGTGGTTGGAAGGATGGAGTCTTATGCCTTGCTCACCCCCACGCCAGCGCAAGTGATGGCAGTCCGCATGGTGTAGGATGGATCGTAAAGGAGGGTCAGGTGGATGATTAGAGGCGTACAGCGGTCAGTCAGTTGGCGCGGCGTTCTTGACTGCTTATCCATGCTCCGCCCGACGTCTGATCAGTCGCGATGGGGCCAAGACAGGCGTCATGGGTCTGGAACGTCGCTCGCACTGTTCGCTCGCAGGCACTGCCATGCTCAAGATAACTGAAGTTAGTCTTGTATCAGCGATTTCAACTCATGTCTTCGTCCCGTCTGCAGTACGCAACGGATCGTGACACGAGCATGGACATGTTTCCGGCTGATCACATGCATCAAGGGTCAAGAGCTGCTCTAGTTGCATTAGCAGCACGAGCTGTCCCGAGCCAACAGCCAAAGGATGATCGAATCACGAAGACCTCGTGGATATGCTAGGTCACACCACGCCTGACGCGGTTACAGAAGAATCGTACGAGTGAGAAGGAAGGAGAACAGAAGTGTTGAGGTAGGAGTCTGTCTCGTACTGATCGTTCCATCTCAAGTCCTTGGCACGAGGACAATCTACAGAGTATAGATAAAGAATGGGGATAAGTCCCCCATATCCAACAACTCTTGTTCACTGTACCTCGCTCTAATCGCATCTTCTCCTTCACTCTCAATCATGGCCAGCCTCTTCTTGTTCTCCCGGTCAAAAGCTTTCCGCAGGAAAAACGCCATTATGATGGCCGCAACCGAGATCCCAAGCCCGGTGCCAAAACCAGTCGGGTACTTGGGTGCCTGGCTGGCAATGTAGATGTTGCTCCCAGCGATACCGCCCAAGTTCCCGACCGAGATGAGCAGTGCCATGCCCACCGCCCGCTTTGAGGAGGGGGCGAGGTTGTTTCCGATCAATGTGACGATCTGCAAACAGAAGGGCAAAAGGGTCAGCAAATGTCTCAGACACGGTAGGGTTTTGCCCATGGAAAAATCACCTGGATGAAGGGGCAATAGAGTCCTGCCGCTACCGGGAACAGGAAGCCATACGTGAGGCCCGGAAGTCGAGTCTGTGGGATGGAGAGCTGGGCGATGAAACCACAAGCTGCGATAGCATAGCCGGCCATGATGAATGGAGTCCGCTGCTGGACTTTCTCAGACCAAAAGGCGAAGATGATCACCATGATCATTGCGAAGACGTATATTGGGATCGTCAAAAGCTGGGCCGTCGTGCTTTCGTAACCCAGACCTAGGATGACGGTTGGTGCAGTGGCGGTGAAGCTGGTCACGTGTCAGTGGATGGACTTGCGAGACAGAGGGAGAATGACATACCCATAGACACCGATTGTGTTGGCCCAGAACATGACCCAGGCTCCCCAGATCTTGTATTCCTTTAGAGCTGCGAGGACGTGGCGCATGCCGATCTTGTCGCTGTTCGTAACTCTTCCCCGTCCGGAGCCGGTCTCCAGCGCGAGCCGATTGATGATGTACTCCTTCTCATGCTTGGTCAGGAAGCTCGCCGTCTCCGGGTTGTCAGGAAGGAGCTTCCAGATGAACAAACTCATGGCCACGGGCACCAGCCCTTCGAGGATGAAGATCCACCTGAAGCAGAAGTGTCAGCGGTCGATACGTTGGGGTGAGAGGCTCCAGGGCTCCAGATATGAGCTTACTGCCAGCCGCCGAGGCCGCGGACTCCGTCCATCTGCTCGATACCGTAGGCCAGCAGACCCGAGAAGGCGCCAGAGAGCGACGCGGCGGTGTAGAAGACTGCCATGCGCTTCTGGACTTCGTATCGTTTGTACCATATCGTGAGTAGGAAAACTGCGGCGGGGAAGAAGCCGGACTGCAGAGAAGGTCAACCGGGTGGCGAGAAGCAGGATCTTGAGGTAGAGTGTACCTCTGCAACGCCCAGGAAGAAACGAGCTGCCAGCAGACCTTCGTAACTGCTCACAATGCCCATCAAAGTCATCACCAGGCCCCACGAGAACATGAGGATGGCGATCCAGACTATTCCAGATCATCAGCTGCAAATCGTAGTGAGCCGGTGGAATGTCTGGTACTCACGAGAAGGCCTCCACAGCTTCAACACAATGTTCGAAGGCACCTCAAACAGCGCATACGGGATAAAGAACATCGTCACCACCGTGTTGTACCGCAGACCGTCGATATTGATCGCATCTTCCAGACCAGCAATTTTTGCATTGCCGATATTACTGCGATCGATGAAGGCGACGAGGTACAGCAAGGCGAGCAAGGGGACGAGACGGTAGTCGACTTTTCTCAGAATCCGTTGTCCTTCGGCGGCGGGTAGTTCGACGAGGACATCGTCGTCGGTATAGCCTTTATCGACCGTGTGGAGTTCTTCGCTCGACGACTCGTCCTTGATTGCATCCGTGGTGGTATGCCCATGTTCGAGCTGGTGAGCCTCGACGTCCTTGAGAGGCACGATGTGAGATTGTTCTTTCTCGTTGGTCGCCATGGTGAAAAAGACACTGCGCACCCAGGTCACGGACGAGAGAAGAAGTTGAGGAAGCGGAAACAAGACAAAAACCCCAACTTACCGCCCGCGCTTGAACCACCATGCTCTTATAAGATACCCGCATCATCATGCCGGCACTTCGAGGAAGAAGCACCGAACGCAAGACAAGATAAGACGCCAAACACCGAAGCTTGCAGCAACAAGGGAACGCCCACCGGCCGCCTAGACTTGGCCATCTTGGCTATATGCGCGACCCACGTGCTATGCGAGATGAGATTCGTCGACTGGGAGTGATAAAGAGCATGACTCGTGGGGCGGGTGTAGCGATAGGCAGATGAAGACGGGATAAATTGGAGCTGGGGATACTGCGGGGATTGCGGAGGGGCTGGAGAAGCGAAGGCGGTGGGGACGTTTCGGTGTTCGGTTTAATGATCTGACCTGATCTGTAATCATGGAGTTCAGACATTGAGGCGAATGCGAGAATGCAGATTGGAAGCGTTGATTCGTTCGGTGTATCTTTCGAAAGATAGAACTGTGAACACCGAAAGCCGGTTGACCGGGTATCTGATGAAGTCGAAGCTAGAGCAATTAATGTACACACCCCTGTTGTACACATCTGGCGCCCCTCAGCCTACCTCCTTCTCTGTATCGTGCTGAGCCATGCGCAAAATCCATATCGCTATACATCACCCACCGCAAAGGCCGAGCGTCAGAAAAAGATGATCGCCATGGCCGTTGCGAGCAGCACAGCCACGACCATGGCAAGCTTTCCTAGCTCGCGCGTTCCTGACTGCGTACCGCTCGTGTCCCCCGGAGCGCTTGGTCCATTACCGTACGGTGGAGGGAGGGTGAACATGGTTGAGTGGGTCCACTGCACCGTAGATGAGGTGGTAGTGAATCCCGCTGGCGGCTGACCAGAACTGCTCGACGTCGACCGAGGGACAGTCCAGGTTGCCGTGATCACCACTTTGATATCAGCCTCCAGTCCGGCAGCAGTCGCAGGCGCTGGATACTGGCAGAACATACCCGCCGGCCCACAGAACCCCACCGCTCCTGCTGCAGTCATGATTGTCGTGGCTGCTGCCTGTATGGCATCCGAAGTCGCGGCGACAGCTTGTCTAGCTGCCAAAAGACCGTTGAATTCACCTCTTTTCTGCTTGGACAGCGACCAGCCTCTTACGGAAACACCAGGTCCAGCGGTCTCGAAGCCGGTGGAAGTTGGGAGCTTCCTTTGCTCTTTGGCTGGTGTGGAACTAGTTGTTTTTGAGGGAGGCGGGTAACGAGTGGAAGCGCGCTCGTCGACGGGTCTTGAAGGGCACGACTGGCCTGGAAGTCCGCAGAAAGCCACAGTGCCGTGCATCGTGGCCATCTCTCCATCACCGTTTGACTTGCGTCCTGCATCTTGGTTGGCAGGCACCGGATGGCTGTTCATCATGGTGGTTGTGGTCGTGAGCTCCAGTTGAGTCGTGCTCAAAGTGTCTTGCTCAGCTGCGACGCGGAGATGGTGCTGATCGTTGTGAGCGAGCGGCCGGGTACCGGTGCCAGGTCTGCTCGCATCTTGACTGAAATGGCCGCTGGAAGTCCAGATCGAAGTGCCTCTGTTGTCTCGGCTTGCGCTCTCCTCGGCGGCTCCCAGCCAGCACCCCCTGCCGCAGTCTTCTGAGACGTCGGTCAATTGAGATCAAAATGACTCGGCAGTTCAGCAGACTTACCGGTCACAGTCTGAGCTCCGACGACATGGAACAGGACCAAAAGGACGGCCCCGACAAAGATCCTGGCCGACATGATGAACGAGTGTGTTCGCGAAGTCGTTTCAGGCGAGTCGCATTGGTCGATAGTGGCCGCTACGAATACAAAAGAAGGATGCAGGCCGTCTTGTCGAGTCGGTGGAGTGTGGTGGTATGAAGTGGAGTTGTAGAACAGTCCGAGCTGTTGAAGCGTAGGACGTGTGATCCCCGGCACGGTTGCCGAACTTTCTCCAAATGAGGAAGGAGCGACTCGAACTACCGCCCGAACAACACCAAGACTGTAAATTCATGGTGATTGAAACATGAGCAAAAAAGAAACCTTGTAGTCAAGTGCCACTTTGACCACTGGTTAACTCCACAGCCACTTACGCCAAACAAGATGGGACTGTATCATTGCTAACCAACTCACTCGGTGGGCTTTATCCGAGACACGAGATTCTGCGAGATTTGCAAGGGAGAAAACAAGCTTTGCCAGAGCTGGTTGTTCTTATTGAAGGTGAAGTTATGAGAAGTGCAATACAATACCTACAAAACAGCCCGAAGTTCAGCCGGCTGAGGGCTCCCGGGACATGCTGTGGCTCGTCATACCGTTCTTTGGTCAAATCTCTTGGTGGTGCATAAAGGGTCGGGGCATAAAGGGTCGGGGCATAAAGGGTCGGGGCATATTAAAGGAGACGAATCAATAACATGTTGACAGCACAAGAACATAGTTGACCTACACTGTAGTGTCTGCAGAGTGGCTCTTCACCTGCTCTGATTTTTGGCCTCCGTTGAACAACGTGGAAGCCGTCGCCCCAAGTCCACAACTTCATGATAGCCAGCAGGGGCATCCTTATCTTCGCCCTTGCAGACCTCCCAGCCATGTCATCAGTAGAACAGCAGCTCGATCTTACTCCCAGCATCGCCGTACCGCTTCTTCAGTTCGGAACGAGTGAGTAGCCGCACAAGCGGCACCTGCGTCTCCTTCATGTCGAGAATGCCGCGCTTCTTCTGGTCAATGAACGAAGCATCGATTATGATCCGTTCGAGGTCTGCTGAAGACAATGCGCCTGCGCCATCATTAGCTTAAATCGTCTCCTTCACCATGGAGCAGCCTCACCATTGTCTAACAAATCCATGATCCTCTGCGGCGTCCCCACCCCAATATTTACGCTCGTCTTGCTCAGCGTCTCCACCGCCTCCTTCAGCTTGATGTGCTTTGCAAAGAGCTTCGCCACGAACGCCTCCTTTGTCTGGAACTTGCGCAGGCTTCGGATCAACTCCACCGCTCTCAGACCGGACCCAGCGACGACAATTGTATGGGGATGACCTTTCGCTTCCGGCGCATCTGACAGCGTTTGTCCCTTCTTCTTGCGTCTTGACTTCGCGTAGCGTTGGAGGTAGTCGGGGAGAGTATCTTTGATCCGCGGCTTCTCCCAGTGGGTTGTGTCTACAATCGCCGCCGCTATTGAGGAGTCAGCAATGTCCCTGCCAGGCGGCGCATGCATATGGTATACCAGGAACGTGAAACTCATCCTTCTCCACCAAGCTCAAATCCGGCCTGAACCTCTGCGTGCGCTGCGCAACATGATCCGCCAGCAACTGACTGTCCATATGCGCGATCGCATGATTCACTCCCAGCTCCGCATCCAGCGCACGCTCATCGACATCCTTTGGCTTCTTCAACCTCCGGCGCTTCGCTGATTGCTTCTCCTCGTTGTCGCGCTTCCGCTTGGTGTTGGCCTTCGGTTGCGGTGAATCGGACAGGTTCTCAACCAGAGGCACGCCAGTCTTGTCGCTCTCTGAGTCGCTCATGGTGTCGTTGGTGAGATGTGATTTCTGGAGAATCTCGACGTCGTACCTGCCAAATCCAGCAAATTGTATGTTAGCCTCAGGCACACGTGCATTCGACCCCAAAGGACGAACCGGCACTCCGCACTCCGAGCCCACGTCGACGCCTTCTCGCGTGGCGTCTTCTACTTCCGAAGACCGCAATCGAAATCGGCGCCATGCGAATAGAGGGCTGCACCAATATCGTCCATTGCTCTAGCGTGGCCCCTCACCGTGGCTATGACAAACCCAAAGTAGGTCGGGCCATGCCTTCGGGATGGTATAGCTGCGAGGTATTAATATATGCTCCCTGACCCACAGGTAGGTTTCGTTGACTGCTGTCTTCTTGTGTCTTCTCCAGTACCATGTCAACAGCCATCCAAACAATCTCATCATTGAGTACGCGAGAAGACGGCGCTTGGTTCGAGACTTGGGTCGTCAACACCACGGGCGGATCTTGACCGCCACAGGATGCATTCCCTTCGCGATCTGGACAGCACGGAGGGCACTGTCCAACTACATGCAGTCACCGAAGACGGCCATCTGATTCTCCATCCAACGCCGAACCCTCACGATCCCAATGACCCTCTCCGGTGGCCACGCTGGAAGAAGCACGTCTGCTTCGGCAGCGTCTGTGCCTTCACGTTTCTGACGAATTATGCAATCGGCGGCCTCGCGCCAGCATTCTATGGCCTGAGCATCGAGTTCAACAAGACTCAGACCGAGACCAGCGCCCTCCTCCTATGGCCTATCCTCGTTCTCGGAGCTTTCAACTTCTTCTGGGTCCCATTAGCGAACTATTTCGGCAAACGACCAATCTTCGTCGTCTCCTCGCTGCTGCTGAGTCTCTGCTACCTCTGGGGCGCCGTGACGGATACGTTTACCTCGCTGCTGTGGAGTAACATCATCGCCGCTTTTGCTGGATCAGCCACTGAAGCGGTTGCGGTGGCGACGGTCAATGATCTGTACTTCCTGCACGAGCGTGGGAATATGATGAGCTTCTACATCAACTCGATTAATGGAGGCAATACCATCGGGCCTCTGATTTGTGGCTTCATCATCACGGGCACGACGTGGCGAGTACACAAATGGATAGCGTTTGGTCTTACGTTCGTGAATTTCCTGGTGGTCGTGCTGTTCTGTCCAGAGACACGGTACTACCGCACTGGCGTTCGAGAAGTGGAAGGACCTGGCAGAGCGTTCGAGGGCTCATCAGACATCGAGATTGCAGCATCCGCTGGTTGGAACTCTGAGAAAGCTCACGCCACGACAGCCAGTGGTCTTAGCAGTCCCTCGGAAACGCAGGAACAACTTCCAAAAAAGACCTGGAAGCAAGAACTCTCCCTCTGGTCCGGCGTCCCGAAGGAGACGAGCCTCCTCAAGCTCTTCATCCGCCCCCTCCCACTGATCGTATACCCAGCTGTCATCCTTTCCTTCTTGGGCTTCGCAGTCTCCCTCGCCTGGGTGGTCGCGATCAACATCCTCAACCCCTTCGTTCTCCAAGCACCGCCGTACAACTGGAAACCGAGTATCAATGGCCTGATCAATATTACCGGCTTGATCGGGAACGTGATCGGAGCCTGGCTGGGCGGTTGGGTTGTGGATCGGTATTCGGACTGGAGGAGCAAGCAGAATGGAGGGGTGTTCCAGCCGGAGTGTAGGTTGCATTTGGTCGTGATCCCGGCGCTGATTGTGCCGGCTGGGTGTTTGGCTTTCGGGTATGGGGTTGCGGAGGAGTTGAATTGGACTGCGCTGTGAGTGACCGCCAAACAGTCGCTGTTGAGGTTGTCTGTGTCTGACTCTCGGCCAGCTTCTTCGGCAACGGCATGGTCTCCGTGGGCCTCACGTTCGTGCCTGTGGCGACGATGACCTACGTTAGCGGTAAGTCGTCTGCACTGCCGAGAAAGGTTGGACGCCAGCAGTACTGACCATGCTCCACAGACTGCTATCTCCCAGTCAACGCCGATGCCCTCGAGCTCGTCAACGGCCTCAAGGTATGCCTAACCCTCCTTCTCCCTGAGAGTCGCTCTCACACTAACGACTTGCAGAACATTGTCGCCTTTGGCTTCCTCTACGGCGTAGTGCCGTGGGTGACCGAGGCTGGGTACAAGGATGCTTTTGGCACGCAGGCTGGGATATATGTGCTGGTGCTGTTGGTTACTGTTGTGCCGGTTGTGGTGTTTGGGAGGAGGATTAGACATGTTACGGCTGGGTGGAAGGTTATACTGTAGATTGCTCGTGCATGTGGTGAATGAGACCAATCTAACGTCGCTCAACAACTCTTCTCTTGACAACCTCTGAACTGTCCTACGAAGCTCAGCATTGATCAGCGACCTTCCGCCAGTGGATTGAGCCCCGCAAGAACTTCTGGTCACACAGGGAGCGTCTCATCTTTGTATCATTTTCAGAGATGATGAGCATTACATCAAGGACCAGCCTCGCATTCTCTACCTACCATCTACGCCCCATCCCGTATCCTCGGATCCCCCTTCTCAATCATCTGCGTATGCAACTTCTCAATCTCCGGCACGATCCACGCCTCAATCTCTATGACCTCGTGGTCACCCCCATCCACCCCATCCTGAAGTTTCGTCACACTTCTACTCCGTCGGTTCTCCGGCAGACGCAGCCATTTTTCTCCACCGGCAGACACGAGCAGGACCTCGTACTTGCGCGTGGCGAGCAAATTCCCGATGACGAGGTGGTGCGAGTACTTCTTCAGCGCATACCGTGCTTTGTCCGCCAGCATCGAGGGATCCGTCTCGAGTTTGAACGAGATGATCATGCTGCGCGGCGCCCAGCGGTCGACCAGCAGCTTCAGGAACTTCGGGACAGGATCCAGGTCGATGACGAGTTTCTTCCCTTCCATGTGCGCGGCGGGTGGTTCAGCGCCGCCAGCTTCCCCTGGTTTGTGCAGGCTGTTGAATTCTTCCGACGACTGGATCTTGTGCTCAACCATGCGATCAGCGGGGACGAAGAAGTCGGATACAGCTGCGGCGAGGTAAAAGAGGCTGTTGGGTCCGAGCGGCTGCATCGACATCGCCAGGTCGCGCAGATGCCAGAGATACTCATTTACTGTCGTAAAGGGAAGAAGCAGGAGCGTATTCTCCTGCTTGGCGTTCTTGTACTTGGCCAGCACGTCGCCCATTTGGTGCTGGTACTCGTCTCCAATCACCACGCCGCCGGAGGAACTGAAGGTCATGTAGTCCAGGAAGCAGTTCGTGCTGTGCGAGTAGTGGCGAGCGTAGGGTAGGAGGGAGAATTGCCGGTGGAGGAAGATGACTGCGTATCCGGATTCGAGGAAATACTCTGCGCTGGTGGCGCCACGGGTGCCGGCGGAAAAGTTGTCGATGAAGCGGACGGTTTGGTTTTCCAAGGGGACGGTGGTGCCGCCGGATGTCACAAGAGCGACGCGGCGGCCCTGGGATGCGTGTTGCTCGATGAATGTGCGAGCCGTTTCGCTGTGGACATCGAGACTCGGCGGCCGCGGGTTGTTGTCGAAGTATTCCATGGTGGCGTCGTTAGGCAAGATGGCTTCTTTGACCATAGGCGTCCCTACACCTGTAGAGTGTTATGGCTTTCTGCAGCTTTGTTTTGGGTGTGCGACGACTTGCAGGTGCGCAGGCGGTGGGTGTCTTCAGCCAGGCTCGTGTCGACGGGGCTGAAGATGCGAGTGATGACTCGGCTGCTCCATTGCTCCGGACGATGTGATGGTATATTCGATGAAGCAGTGATCCTGCCCGATGAAGTCGCACTTTCCATCGAAGGCCTTGGCACGTCTCCCACCTTTGGGTTCTCTTGACCTCACTTGGACATCTTTCCTTCATCCTCCCCATCTGCAGATTCATCACCGAAGCCTTGTGGCAGAGCATCGGCTCAACGGGCTAAACGTCAACCCCGAGACGTTTCTGAGACTGCTCGCCTTGCTGAGTCGGCAGCTTCTCCCTTTCCTCCCTCACCATGCCTTTGCTCAACGAAACCGGCTTGACGTACGATCACACTCGGTCCTCCACGAGCTCATTGACTACGCATCTTGCAACTACAGCTACAATGAGGCACAGAAGCATGCTGCTCTAACGTCTGTCTCGAGTACGTCCCTTCGTCAGTCAACGCCGTTTGTTTACGCCTTCTTCAAGCCTCAACGCTCCAGCATGAGCCCCTTGCTTCACCATCCTCCTCGAGAGCAGACAAGCGTGGGACCCTTACGGCTCGACAATGCAAGACATTTCGCCCTTCTGGGAATCTGGAGAAACTCCTCTCGTGTTGACAGCTCCAGCAGTCTCTGCATTCCGCCCCTCACGTCGCGCCCAGAGGGGCATATAGAGGTAGGTCGCATGCCTTTGCGTAATGCGCAAAAACATTCTTTGTATCGCCACTTTCATTACTGTTTTCGTATTATCAAAGCGCAATGGCCACAAGGACTGCGCGGTTTGAGGATTGGAAGTCGTCGCCGCAGACAAGGATCCAGACGAGGAGTATCCGAGAGCCACGGGATGAACATGCACTGTTTGCGAAGACTCCTCCAAGGACACGGCCTGCTCCGATCAACATCGCGCCCGGAGAACCGTCGCCGCTTCTGAAGGCTGTGCCATTCACGGGGAGGACGAGTGAAGACCGATGCGAGACTCCTCCCATCCCAGAGATCGTCGACGTTGCTGTGCCCAACATATGGCCTCGTCGGGGCCCGCTTCAGCAGGAATGCTTCAAGAAGAGGGTGCCGACCCCGAGATTGACATCGGGATGCAGTACTCGCCAGTCCGCGATGTCCTATGGGATTCTTGATTACTACATGCACGAGCCTTCGCCACTGCACAGTCCGACCTTCCCACCACCACCTAGGATTGAGACACCCGTGCTCGGGCCAGCGATCAACGAGTTCGACTTCGGCCTCGTAGCCTCAGCCAAGCCAGCTTCTCCTTGCCTACCAGCAACACAACCCAAGCAAGCTCCAGTGCCATCCCAAGACACCCGCCCCGGCGCCGACCGTCCTACTCCACATCAAAGTCGAAGTACTACCACCACCGCAACAACGCCTCCATCGCAACCCCAACCCCCCTCCGACCCCAAAGCAACCTACAAACTCTTCCCGTCCGGCCGCGAACTCCAACCGACCTCGCCTTCCACCCCAACCCAAATCCACCCCGCCTACCGGCCCCGCAAAGAGTCCATCTCGACCTCTTCCATCCGCAGCCGCAAAGACAGCTGCACCTCCACCCAGCGCATCCAGCTACGCACCCTCTCCGGCTCGACGAACCCACACTCCAACGGCTCGAATTCCTCGACCCCAACATCCCAGAGTAGATGGTCAGAGGACACGATCACGAGCCCTCTCATCGCTTCAACAACGCCAGGGCCAAGGACGAGTTTCGGCGGTCTGTTGGGGCCGCAGTATCCCGCCTGTTTCTTCGAGGAGGAGGAGGAGGACGATGAAGCGGCACCGCTGCGGAGGAAGTTTGGGCTGGGGCCGAAGAGGGTCAAAGCAACCGAGATCAGGGGCGGGAAGGGGAGGTTTGAGGAGAGGAGAGGCGGCTGGGGGTGGGTGAGGCGGGTGGTGCTGTGTGGGTGTGGTGGATGATGGGGAGGAGGGGGAGAGGTTTATGAGGCTATGAGGTTATGTCGTGCTTTGAATGATGATTGATACCCGTTATTGCTGCCTCCTTTGAGTGTGCTCTGTGATTGTGCTCAGAGGTCACGGTGGGTCGTGCCGAGCGCAAGCATGACAGTTCTTTTGCTCACAGCTACCCTGTAGCAGAGCCTGCCGCGACGTGTAATCGATTGGTTGAGGATATAAGTTTCCCGGTGGTACGCATGCCGAAATGGCATCAACACGAAGACGAGCACCATTGATCGATCGACGGATGCGGAACTCAAGACGTGTGATTGAGTAGCGACATGAGCTCATGGTATTAGTATCCGTTAAACGACCGATCTTATCATACACCCTGAATATCTGTTCTGTTCCATGACCCGCAAAAGTCACAAAAGTGGTATCTCAAAGCAACGCATGAACGAGCATTTCCTTCCCTTCTCCCAGCTGGTTGAACGCCATACGACGACGTTCCTTCTCCATCTCCTCCATCCCGAGACGTCTAAATTGTCTGATTGAGCGGTTTTAGACAGAGGTCTCCTGGTTGGTGTGGCCGTTGGTGGCGTCGGTGGGGTGACCGTTGGTGCCGTTGGCTGGGTTCTTCTCGTGGCCGTTGACCTAATGTATTGTCAGCATTGCGTCCCTTGCGTTTCGTGGAGGGGATAAAGACTTACAGCATGGTCATCACCAGTGTAATCCACCAGCCTCAGACCCAACGACGCCGGGTCGATGTTACGGTGGCCCCAGATCAGAATGGCGCCGAACACCGGCTTCGCAAGCAAGTCTAAGATACCGTAGAACACCGCCTCAGAATCCGGCGCAATCACATTGCCGCCCTCGCACACACCCCAAGCAATCGGGTACAGGATCCACAGGAACGCGGTCAAAGACCCGCAGTACAGGAAGGTACGCCCGATGTTGTGGCCGAGAGCGTTGGCGTGCTTGCGCGCGTCCCAGGCAAGCTGGTAGACGATGTAGACGAGTGCCGCGCAGCCGAAGGTGAAGTAGCCCCATTTGTAGGAGGACTTGACGAGGGCGCCGACGAGGCCGGTCACGATCATGAATTCGTCGATGAGGATGACGAAGAGGGTCGTGGGCCAGGGCATGCCGGCTGTGAGCATGAGGTCCATGAGGAGGAGGGGGGTGGTGATGAACCTAAAACGTCGCTGTTAGCTGCTGATCGCGAGAGCCAAGAGGATCGAAAATATGTACCAGTCGATGTAGCGGACGTAGAAGATCTCGCGGTTCGTGCCTCCCACGCCGTCGCCGTTGCGCATGAACTCGACGTCAATCGGCGTCCAGCCCAAGTTGCTGGCCATGGAGAAGTAGGCGACCGAGGCCACAAGGGTCACGGAGGCGGTGATGTAGTGGAAGATGCGGTGCTGGCGAGGTTTGGTCAAGGCGAGGCCCATGAACGCCATTGTCGCGCAGGTCATGACGGCCGTGACGGCCCAGTACCAGTCGGAGCCATGGGTGGTGATGGCGATGTCGACATGCTTGCCGTTTTGCGTGTTGGCTGTACTCCCGTCAGTCCTACTCCCGCCGTGTGCTATAGTATGCGGTACTCACTGTTGACCTGCAGCGCGCGATTGGGCATCTTGACGATAGTGATGCTGGAGTGAATCTGCTTGGCGATGGATGCTTGTCGCTGTCTTGTCGGTGCTCAATCCGGCGCGATGGATGGTGGAAGAGAAGCAGGAATGGGAAGTAAGGTGGGAAATGAAAGGTATTGATAGGGAATGCCACCGCGGAAGCCAGCGCTATCGCGTGACGTTGAAGACAGTAGGGAATGACGTCGATCAGACCGCGTTGCTTTTCTGAAATTGTCGAGATTGCCGTTGACCTACGCTGCTCGCTCTGACTCCCCCTCTGCCGACGCTGCCGGAGTCTCACCATTACGCCAACACCATCCCATGCAGCGGAAGCGTCGGCAGCAGTTCAAGCTCTTCTCCAGTAGCGACAAGCTCGGGCCTATGGCATCACATCGCCGCCATCTCCCGTCGCACACGACTGCCAGCGAAGTCGGCGGGGATGCATACAGGTAGGAAGACGTCGACATGTCACATCAAACGAGGTCGATAAGGCAGAGCGCTAGCGATCCAACCAAGCTTTCGTGGCTACGCTACGATCGGAGGCTGACAGGGAGATCGTCGCGACACATCAAGTTCTCTACGGCGCTAGGCATATTGCTTTGACATGACAAGGCGTCACCATCTGATGAGCTTGACGAGTTTCTCAACGCGCCGGCACATTCGCGGTGCCACGCATGCCTTGATGTTTCATTTCTGCCATCTTCGTGACGGGACTTTACGGAGCGATACGGCAGTCGGCATGTTGACGGACGTGAAACATGTCTTGCATGTCTCGTCTCCGCGGATGTCCATATAGGAGGTATATCTCGTCACACCACGTCAAATCCGCCCGATGCCGCCCGCGAGCGACCAAAGAGTATACGTGCAGCATCAAGATAAGGCGATTGAAGCTGGCGGTCAAGATGTCCGAGTCCGTCACAAAAAGCAGAACCTTGAATGTGTTGTCGATCTCGCCCCTTCGGCAGCTGATCCGAGACTGCAACTTTAGTGCCGGTGGTGTTTGCTCGTTCGAGCTTGACCACGTCTTGTCGACGCCGCTTTCGGTCTGCAAGAAGCAACATCAGACCGACCTGGTCTGGGGGAGATAAGGACAGGACAGGACTTATGGCAAGCCAAGCAGGCGGTACGCTTCACTCGCCCCTGTCGAGCTGTACAGTCAATGCGTCTGCCAACTGCGAGCTACGAAGCCCACCGCCCAGCGGCAGCATACAGCACCACCATCACAAACGTAGCAATCAACACCCCCACCCACTGCTCCCAACTATCCAACCACACCGGCCTCTCCACCCGATCCAACCGCTCATCCCTCGCCCTCCCCTGCCCCCCCTTCCAAGGCACCTCCATCCCATAATCGCCTAGAATCTGCTCCGCCACCACCTTCCCACCAGCCAAACAGATCGGCACACCCGTCCCTGGATGCGTAGAGGCGCCTACCATATACAATCCCGCTACGCTACTCCTCTTCTCCCCTCTCACAGCATCTTCGAGCACTTGCCCGACCGTGCCTAAACTCCCGCCCCCCACGTACTGATCCAGCACACCTGCCCGCCGTGCCCGTGTCGTGGGCCGGAAGCACAGCACGTTGAAGAAACTGTGCGAGAGGCCGAGGATGGCGCCTTTATCGAGGTTAAAGCGTGTCCGCCAGGTTGTCGGGTCGTTGGTGAGTTCGGTCTTGATCAGAGGTGTGAGGTCGGCGCCGGTGCGGGTTTTGATGGTGGAGAGGATGGTGCGGCGGGCGAGGGCGATCATGGTGGGCCAGTCTTGTGTCGTGGTCGGTGATAGTCCTGATTGTGAAGAAGGGGAGGCGTGCTTGATGTCGCCGTTGGTCGCGAGATCGCCATTTGCTGTGCCGTTGGGTATTCGTGATTCTTTCGTTTCGTTGTCGAGTAAGTGTCCAACAGGCACAAGAACGACGACTGTATCCTTTCCATCCGGAGCAGCAGACGCATCGACTCGACTGGGCACGTTGACATAGAAGCTCGGCTCGTCCGGAATGAGGTGTTTCTTGAATATGCTGTCGAACGATTCCTTATACTCGTCCGCGAGGAAAATATTATGCGCCTCCAGCTCCGGCACCTTCTCGCTCAACCCCCAGTAGAAACTGATACTCGAACAACTCGCCGGCCTCTCCTTCAACGCCTCTGCATACGGCGAAGCCGGCAGCAGCTCGTTGTACGCATACACCAGATCCGAATTATTCACCACCACATCCGCCTCCATCACCTCCCCCGTCTCCAGCTCCACTCCCGTCGCTCGACTCCCATCCCCACTCAACCGTATCCTCCGCACCCCAGTATTCAACCTATACTCCACGCCCTCTCTCCCCCCAATCTTCACAATCGCATCCACCACCCTCCAAAACCCACCGACCGGATACCATATCCCCTCCGCCAACTCCGTGTACTGCAGCAGACTATACGTCCCCGGCGCATCAAACGGCGACATCCCCATGTACATGCTCCCGAACGTAAACACCCTCCTCAACCGCTCTGTCCAGAAGTACTTCCCCGCCCGTGTCCATATACTCTCGAACGGATGCAAGGCGAGCAGGTGTTGCAGGAACGACCACCGGAACATGCACCACAGGGATGTGAAGTTGCGGAGCAGGACTTCCGTTACGCTGACTTCGTAGTGCTTGTGGCTTTCCTTCATGAAGTCCAGATAGCGCAGGTAGCCTTCTTTCCCCTCCCAGTCCTCGATCTCGCGCTTCATCGTCGCGAGGTCGCTGCTCATTTTGAAGCGCACGCCGTCGCCGAACCAGATGTGGTAGTTGGGCTCGCATTTGCGGATTTCGACGCCTTCGGCTTCCATGGTTGTTCCTAGCTCTTCGAAGGTTCGGCGGAACATGTCCGGGAGGAGTAGGAGGGAGGGCCCTTGGTCGAAGCGGTAGCCATTGCTGTGGAGGAGACTACAGCGGCCGCCGGTGTGGTCGTTCTTCTCGAGGACAGTGACAGCGAAGCCTGCGCGGGCGAGACGGGCAGCTGTCGCGACACCGGCGACGCCTGCGCCTATTACTATGGCGGTCTTTTTCTTCTCTGTCGGTGTAGACATGGCGAACGGCGGGAGGGTGGTGTGGTGGGGAGATGCATTGTTGTGGTTGAACTTTCACATGCAAAGCCCGTTGGCACAGTTCACATGCAATGACGCTAGCATTTCCCGAATCAGACGATCACGGCTTGGCTACATGTACATTATTACCGCTACCAGTCTGGACACTTCGAAGCAACGGCAGAGGTACACATCATTTTGGGTATCAACTCTTTGCAAATATATACAACAGCTCTCATTCATCTACCCTTTTGCCCTCCTCCCCCACAAACTCCTCCACGCAACCCATATCCTCTTCCACCCCGGCACTGTCGCCCTTCCAGCCTTGACCTTGAAGCCCGGCTTCTGCAGTTCCCTCGCAATCTGCATGTAGCTCTCAACTGCAACCCGCATCGGTGCTCTCGCAGGACCCGGCAGCTCTTCGACGGCGTCAATGCTGCTGTTGTAGAAACTGAACGCGCGGTCAAGCAGCCTTGCTCGGATCGTGGAGACCTTCTTGGTGAAGAAGTCTTCCTGCTGCAGAGCTTTGAGGCCAGAGATGAAAGAGTCGGGCGTGAGCTTTTCCTTCTTGAGCCAAGGCGGCGGTACGTAGCATCGTCCGTTCGAAGCATCGACGGTCAGATCGCGCGCGATGTTGGTGTATTGCAGCGCAATGCCCATGTCGTGGCCTGCAGACATTAGATGTTTGGCATTTATTTCGCTTGCGCCAGGATGATAGTGCAGGACGAGCTGGATGCAGAGTAAAGCGACTGTACCCGCAACGCGTGCGCCGTATAGATTCAGGTCGGAGTCGGTCTTGATGGGACCACAAGGTGTTTGCGCGGTAAAGGTAAGATCCATCTTGAAGCCTTCAAGCAGCTCGTAGAGAGGTTCTTTGGCAAGGCGCTGGGTCGGGAGGAGCAGAAGTGTGAGCTGCGCGTCATCCGGGAAGTTCTGGACGGCGTACAGGGTTGCTGAGCCACGGTTGGCATCTTTACTGGTGATGACGTTGCCTTTCTCATCCTGGACGTCTGCGCCATAGCAGTGATCGAGATAGGTCTTCAGCTTCTGCACCCCTTTCTGAGCGTCGGCGGTCGAGTCGGCGTTGTCAATGAGGTCGTCCGCGACCCGGCAGAAAGAGTAGAGGATGATGAGGTCGATCCTTAGGCGGCCGGAGAACGTGCTGCTTGCCAGGTAGAAAGATCGACTTTTCTTCTTGAGTCGGTCAACAGACTGCTGTATGCCGAGGATTCGGTCGTCATCGTAGGCTTTGGAAGGGAGTAGCAGCGCTTGTATCAGCAGCATTGGAGACGGCAGGTCGGACACGCGTCGAAAGTGTGCTGGAAAAGCATGTAGCACTGCGATTGCGTTGTCAAATGCCACCAGGCCAAATACAATCAAGCAGTTGGTCAACAAGAAGAAGATCGCTTCTTCGATCTCCAGACCAGGCCAGAGCGTCCACCCAGTCTTCGTGCCCGTCTCGATGACCCATGTTCCACGCTTGAGGGCGAGCGTGTCTACAACCCATAGATACAGCGTGGGTACAGCAATAGGCAAGACGGTGCTCGTGGCTGGCAGCTGGACCAACAATTGGTACGCCAGGCTCCACAGCAGCAGCAGGAACGGCAATGCCCACGCTAGAATCAAACCCAAGTACGTCCTCTCGCCGCCATTCCTCACGAATGTCACCGCCTGCTTCAACAGCAAGGCTCCTACTACTTGCCCAATGAGCTTGACATACAACCACTTGTCGCCTTTCTTCTCCTTGACCAGGTAAATCGGATGCAGTATCGGCTTGTTCAGGATCAGATACAGCAGTGTCGTGTTGAAGGTCTGGATCACAAAGAAGAAGACCTCTTCCAGCGGTATGTCAAACAGCGTCGGCCCGACAATGACATTGGACGGGTAAGACCAGATGCCGGTCCGGATGAGGTAGCTATCCCATGGTATGGTCGAGAGCACAGCGATGGTGATGAGGAAGAGGATGCGGTACAGATCGAGCTTGGTGCAAAGCGGGGCGTAGACTATCGAGAGCAGAGCGGCGGGCGGGATGGTGTAGGTGAGGTGCCTGTCCAGAGATCAGCCTGCTGTCCGCTGCAGTTGGAGACATGTGAAACCGCGGTCGACCGCCGTACGGAGGAGGTGCATCCGGGTCTCCTCTCTTTTTTCCTTACACAAGCGCATAGTCGTAGCCCATTTCCGCGACGAAGCATGCAGGAGCGTGGAAGCGGGCGGGTCCATTACGAGTATATGGATGCTGCCATCATGTTGCCGTCAGTCGCTGGAAGTGTATCGCGATTCTTCGAAATCAACACTCGGCTCGCTCGGAGGCTTCTCTTTTCGTTTTCTTCGCGCGCCACCGGGCGGAAGCCGGCTCGAGCACGATTTCTTTGCCGCCGCGGACTCGCGACTTGGGAGCGTTGGGGCAGACGAGTGTGCGTCACTCGAATGCAGGAACGGCAAAAGATCTTGATGTAGTCAGCTCTTTTGGCCGCTCGATCTTGCGTCTTTAGCGTCAGTCTTCTGCCGTGTTGACGCATCCCTGCTCGTGCATGTGAAGGACGTCACTTTCATTGGGAAACGAGGCGGGGAGCTGCTGCAAGAGGAAGAGCTCGCTTCGTCGACGTCTGTTGCCGGTAGCTTTGACATGTGATAGCGGCGGCGAGCCATGTCTGCTGTGCCGTCCTCCCTTCTGCTTGTGTCGCAACTCCTTCCTCTTCGACTTGTACAGTGATACTTCTGCATTCAGACATGCCTCTCGCCGGCCAGAAACGCAAGCGAAGCCCCAGCGAGAACATCCAGCCAACTCCACAACTACAGCATCCTTATCTGAGCGGCAACTTTGCTCCCATCCAGCAGACGCTCCCTCTCACGCCATGTACATACACTGGATCGATACCCAAAGAGCTGGCGGATGGCGAGTATGTCCGCAATGGCAGCAATCCCGTCTCAAACGAAGACCTGGGCCGAGATGCACATTGGTTCGACGGTGACGGCATGCTGTCTGGTGTCTCGTTTCGAAGGGACGAAGATACTGGCAGCATTGAGCCGGACTTTGTCAACCAATTCATTCTTACAGATCTCTACCTGAGCACACTGTCGAGTCCGAGGGTACGGAAGCCCATATTGCCCTCCATCGCCACCCTTGTCAATCCTTTGGCCAGCATATTCTACGTCACGGTACGAATACTGCGAACGGTCCTGCTGGTGATACTATCGCACCTCCCTGGCTCAAAGCAAAAGATCAAGAAGATCAGTGTCGGGAACACAAACGTCGTGTATCACGATGGCAGAGCAATGGCACTTTGCGAGAGTGGGCCGCCAATGCGGATACAATTGCCTGGGTTGGAGACGGTTGGATGGTACAATGGGTCGACGGCAGAGGGAGAGTCTGAGAAGGAGAAGTTCGTTGAGGATGGCAAGAAGGTTGAAGAGAAGGACAAGGTGTTCGGCCAGGACAGCGGCCTGATCAGCTTCATGCGGGAGTGGACGACTGCACACCCCAAGGTCGACCCAGTGACGAAGGAGATGGTCATGTTCCATTCATGCTTTGCGCCGCCATACGTCCAATACAGCAGCATTCCGCAGGCAGAAGTGGCCGGGCTCAGCGACGAGGCGCCTTTGAAGAAGATACTGAACGCTGCTGTACCAGGCGTCGGAAGTGCCAAGATGATGCACGATTTCGGCGTGTCGTTGAAGCATACCGTTATCATGGACCTGCCTCTTTCGCTTGACCCCGTCAATCAGCTGAAAGGCTTGCCACCGGTGTCCTACGATGCAAGCCAGCCGTCGCGCTTTGGCGTCTTCCCTCGGCCGCATCCCGAGCAGGTCCGTTGGTTTGAGACCGAAGCGGCCTGCATCTTCCATACTGCGAATACGTGGGGTGATACCAACGGATCTGGGGAAACAACATCCGTCAACATGCTGGCCTGCCGCCTCACTTCAGCCACCATGATCTTCGCAGCTGGGAACATCGCACCGCCGCCTCCACTTGTCCCGAAGCCTGTGGCCAAATCTAAACGCCGGATGTCGTTTTTCTCCAAGTATGATTACGACGCAGAGGAGACCATCTACGAGCGGGCACCGTTACTTGAGTCGCCACTCGCCGAGAAAGAGGCTTTCATAACAGTCAACAACCTCAACTACGAGCAGGCCGAAGAACCCTTCTACAACGAAGAGCAGTGCCGCCTGTACTACTACAACTTCAACCTCAAGACCGGCGCCATCGATCATCAATGGGCGCTCTCCGCTATTCCCTTTGAGTTCCCCTCCGTGCATCCGAAGCTCGAGATGCAAGAGGCGCGCTATATCTACGGCTGCTCCACCACGACGACCTCCTTCGGTTCTGCCCTGGGCAAGGCTACCAAGATCGATGCATTGGTTAAAGTAGACGCTCTATCCCTCGTCGAGCGCGGCCAACGCTGCCCACCTCGCAGCATCACCGGCGTAGTGGACAACCGCACCATGGCCACCGTCCTCAATTCCTCCGACCCCGACGACCCGACCTCCGTCTTCCGCATGCCTGACGGCTGGTTCGCGCAAGAACCACGCTTCGTCCCCGCCTCTTCCAATGAAGCTGAAGATGATGGATACCTCCTCTTCTACGCGTTCGACGAAAGCCAGCTCAACAGCTCCGGCGACGTACCCTCCGACTCCGGCCCGCAGCGCGCGAAGAGCGAGTTATGGATCGTCAATGCTCGCAACATGAAGGACGTCATTGCAAAGGTGAAGCTGCCGCAGCGCGTACCATATGGTCTGCATGGGAGTTGGTTCGATGCGGAGATGATCCGGGAGCAGCGGCCGGTGGATAGCATCAGGACGACTGCGAAGGCGCTGGAGGCGAAGGAGGGAGGGGTGTGGATGGGGATGAGAGATTGGCTGGAGCGGATGCTTGGGTGACGTGGTTAGAAGAAAGGGACTGTACATATGAGCAGGGCGTCTTGTGCACTTTGGGACGGGGTTGTTGGGATGCATGGCACCACATAGGAGATCTTGGGGGATCACTCCTCGCTTTAGCATGAATTGACGAAATGTTATATACCATTTCCGCCACGGTCCTTGTGCTCGAATTGAAGCTTCAATCCTGACCTCCGTGTTCCTTTGAATGCTTGAAAGGATCTCGTCTGTGGCCGCGAAGGCTAGGCAGTCATGAGTGCTGATTATATGAGTATTCTACTTGCACCCTACACCTACGGTCTTCGTATGATATGGTGACCTTGAGTTGGAAGAGGCAAGGCGATATCCTAGCGCCGAGCTCTAGCGGAACTGTCTTGTTAGATGGGGATGCGGACGGACGGTCGTAGAGAGAGGACGCTTGCACTCTCGAATCACAGAGACTGGCTTACAGATACCGGCTCCACAGCTGGCTACTCCAATGGCCAGCAACGGTTGCGCAGAACCAAGCGAACATGCCACAAGTCGGTTGGTGTGGGGACACGCGCGAGGAGCAGCACATATGACCATGGCACTACAAGCCTGCAACGCAGGCACCATCCATGTCGGCGCCCGGCCGCGGATTCGTCGGGCTAGACTCACTGCCGGAGTCACCAACCCAACGGAATAGCAACGGACGACCTTCTACAGGGTGCCATACCATCCTTTGATGGTGGACGGTGGCTTGCCACCGAAGCGATCTTCTGGGGTCGTAAGTCGTTCGACCTTGATACCCTTGCATGGTACATCGGAGGACCCAGCATTGCAACGACCTATCCTCCGGTGAGAGACCGCGGAAACGCTTCCAGCGCACAGAGACCCCCCTCATCATCCCGAGCGTCACAGCTTCCGCATGCCAAGGTCGGAAAGTACGCGATTACATGCTTATCAAGCTGTTGATCTCCGTAGGCGGTCATGATGGCGGGCCACGACGCGAGGCCCATGAGGCGACGCGCGAGGACCAGCCGGCCCAAGCCTTGGCGTTGCATACGGAGGTATGATGTTGCATTTTCAAGAATTCCTACGTCATAATACCAGTAAGTCAAGCGGAGTCGCCTTGTAGTATATACTGAGGATCAAGCAGCCCACACGAATCACGATGCATTCCATGTTTGCACAGCAGGTGAGAGAACGCAACAACTTTCTATGGTAGCTCACACTCGATCAAGCTTTCGACCCCATTCCCACCCTCCCAGATCTTCACAATTTTCAGTTGGGCCTGGACCTCAATCAGATGCGTCCATTGTGCTGCAGTACGCTCCTTGGAAGACAAGAGTGCCAACATCATCATGTCGAGTGCCGTGGCCTCCCAGTGCGCCTGTGTGTCGGGAATGACATTCTCGTTAATGAGGAGCTTACTGTAGCCGGGCGCCATAGCGGCTTTGAGATTCGTGAGGATACGCGTACATGTGTCGTCCGGCCAGTCGTGCAGCACAGAGTGCATGTAGTATGCGCGGGCACCTGGCTCCAGGGGTAAGTTACTGTCATGGACCTGGTGTGTTTGTTATGGTCACTCACATTTGACTGGCTGTTCGGTGAGGAAGTCGTACGACATGCGCTCAATGCCAGTATCGAGTGCAGCTATCTGCCCAAGCACTTCGGGAAGATCTTGCAGCACCAACCTGCCCGGGGAGTCCGGGTGTTTTCTTTGGAACTCGTCCAGATCGTGCCCGATATTTCCCCCGACATCAACCAACAAAACGGCTTCGGTATCTGTGCGCGCGCCCTGGATGAGTCTTTCGTAAACGGGAAAGAAGCCGCCGTCCATCCAGCTGGGGCGGCCCTGGCGATACCCGCCCATGTGGTGGTTGAATTGCACTCCGAGCGGATCCCGGGCTTGAAGGTAGGCGAAGAAGTTCAGCGAAGTATTGTACGCATACTGGAAAGGACCATGTTCCGCCGACCGTGGCTCTTGGTACGCGGTCGTGGCAGCATACTCGGAAAACTTGTCCAGCGCTGCGCGCCCGCCCCCGGCTCTGGAGAAACATAGCGTCAGCTTTGGAGCTTCGTCAAAGACTGCGACAGAGGACACCAGGCCCTCCATTTACTGTTGAAAACGTACAAGCAAGGGTATCCGTCTCCAATGATCGGGATCGTCAGGGATTTGGAGAAGCCGTTGAGTTCATACTCGTCCGGCCCAGTTTCCCTGATGCAGCCCATCGCGGCTAGATGGCGCATCACGCGAGCTGGAAGGTGAGTTAGGCCAACCGTCGAATAACAAAGAGGTGAACATAGGTCCACGGGTCTTACCAAGAAGGAAAGCATCCACGTCCAACAACGGGGCCAGATCGGAAACTTTCTTCGAGCAGGCGCGGTTCGCGAGCATCGCTTTGAAAAGGCCGATATCCACGCCCATTGTGATGGCCATATATACACCCGGCTGCGATCGCAAGATTCCTAGTGAGACAACGCTGCTGAAACCCTTGGATGATCTGACTTACTTGAGCCCAGCAATGTTTGATCATTGTCTCGCGAGGCGTCTCGAGCGCTCGCACCAACGACCGAGCATGTGCCAGCAACTCCAATCTCCTGCCATTGTCTGATTTATCGAAGGTCTTCGCCAGAGCGTGGATGTTCTCTGCACATGTCGGCACGGCGGTAACGTCGTTCGGTGAGAGCGCGATGGAGACGGGTACTTGGTCTAAGACTACCGAGCCATTGAGGACTGTCTCGGGCATAGCGACGTGTGTGTCCCCAGCGTGCTCTTCTTCGTTGAGTACTTGGGCTAGCAGTGAAATGTTGATGTGAGGTAGAAAGCTCGAATCGCTCGGTCGGGGTGGTGTCTGAATTACAATCCCACCGCAATTGAGGCTTGGGCACACTGAATGCGCTATGGCTTCAGGGATTGGAAGCACCGGGCATGTCGGATCCGTGCAGGTAGACCGCCTTAGGATGTCCCAGGGTCGCAATGCGACTCGATGAGGAAATCTGAATACTCGGCACGCGAAAGATGCATCAATCTGCGCAATGCCAATGGTGGTGTAACTGCCGGCTGTGCCACATATGGGCCAGCATGAGGATCAACGCCTCAATGCGTCTGCATGTAGCCAACGAATCCGCACATCACTGACGCTAGAGCGTGGAGCGGCAGCGCGTTCCTGCTCCGGCCCGCCTGCCGCCCCGCAATACAACCTCGACGTGAAACCGCTAACCAAACTCGGGACCACACCCGGTCAACCCAATTGCACCTCAGCACAACTGAGGCAGGCATTGATAGGAAACACAGCAACAAGGCTCGACGGTAACGTTGAAAACATCCATGGAAGCGTCAGTGTTCATCGCGCCAGCGGCAACCCAGTGACGCAGAATCGTGGTGTCGACGAACGCATACAATTGGCAAGTTCGATCTCAACGAAAGTTCGGCAAGCATTGATATAGCAGGGCTGTAATGCAAGTTCTCGGGGTTAGTGCGCTCTCTGCCTACGGGACCAGGGCTGGTATACAAGGTATTACCACCCTAGCAAGCAAACAGCCCGAGACAAGTCGATCCGCCCTTTCCGTGTGGCACGAATATCAAAAGCTGTCACATTTCCTTCCTCAGCCATATACCAAATCTTATAAGGCCGTATTGCTTGCCCACGTTGTCTGTCTCCATCCCCCAACATTGTCTGCGACACTCGACATCAACTGGTATCATGGCGGAACCCGGGGTTTCGAATCATTACGCCACGCAAGACAGAGGCCCTTCTTCCCTCGCTGTTGTAGCTAGTCTGACTAGCGTGACCGCAATCTTCGTGGCAGCAAGGCTTTTCGTCTGAATCAAACTGCTGAAGAATCTTGGCCTTGACGACTACCTTATCGTTGCTGCGTTGGTAAGCCTCGCCTACTCCATTCCTCTTCTGTCTTCCACGTCAAGGTCTGGCTCGGTGGATTCCCGACCTAGTCGCTCGCTTACACTGTGATAGGCATGTGGCTTTGTTAACCTCGGAATGAACGTGTTAGCGATCAACTCCGGCAGCGGGCGGCATTTCGACACCTTGAGCGTTGAAGAGAAGTCCAATGTTATCAAGTGGACCATCGCCGCTTTTTGCCCGGGCATCTTGTCCTTCGCCATCCCGAAGCTTGCTGTCGTTGCCCTTTTGACCAAGCTAACGAATCCGAGTCCATGGCACCGAGCTGTTCTGTGGCTAACTGCAAGCGCGAGTTTGCTTATCCTGTTCGGTTGTGTCATCATCCTTTATGCACAATGCAGCCCATCGCGCTCGCAGTGGGACTTCTCAGTCAGAGGCACATGTTGGAGTCCGTGGGTCTTGGTCAATTACGCCATTGTGGCAGGAGGTTCGTTGTCACCGCAAATGTACGCTGGACGATAGTGCAACTAACTTCGAGAAGCTCTGTCAGCCTGCATGGACCTTTATCTCGCTGTTTACCCTGCCATCGTACTCGCAAAGCTCCAGATGAATATCAAGAAAAAGTTGGCCCTCTGTGGCGCGCTCGGCATTGGCTGCGTCGGTTGCGTTGTTGCCGCATACAAGTGCACGCGGCTTCCGGGGCTCGCAACAAGTGACTTTAGCTGTGAGTACATCCGCACCGCTTTCTGCACACCTGAACTGACGACCATGGGTAGGGAATACCTCACAGTTGGTCATCTGGACCAGGTAAGCTACTCACCCATTCGAAATGCTGCCGAAGTGTTGTTGCTAATAAGTGTACTTTCCCGCTGATAAAGTGTGGAGGGTTCGACCATCATCATTGCCTCTTGTATCCCAATCATGCAGCCCTTGCTCAAGGCCATCTCCACCCATTGCCTCTCAACAGGCGGCCGAAACTATCAAGACGGCCACCTGTACGCCATTCATGGAGCAGACACTCCCGGTGTTCAACTTTCATCGGAGATGGGTAAGCCGAGTAAATGGCGCTCACGGGCTAGAGTCAGCGCGAGACATACGACGGAGGTCGACAGCCAAGAGAGCATCCTCCGTGACGAACAACTACCGGTGCAGGCACCGAGGCATTCGGGAAAGCGTCTAAGTCGTGGATGGATAGAACGTACAGATGAGGTGACTGTCACGTCGTCCTGGGGTGACGGCGGGCCTGGGCGCGATACGAAGATGCCTTGGGGCTGAGGGCCTTGCTTGGTCGAAGAAGTGCTGCACTTTTTTAGCTGGGATACGTTGGTCTTCTGTAATACAGGGGCCTTGCGTACTGAACCTACTGCAATTTCTGTAAAAAGTAGAGCTACTGCATTGGGTCAGCATCTATTGCGGAGCAAAGGCTCGAGGCTTCAACGTTGATACACAATTCCATATAGGACTACGGCAGTTTACGAAGGAGTGGTATAGACTGTCAATCGTTAAGTCGGACGGACGGGGCACAGTTACAACTCAAGCAGGTGCGCGTGCGCTCTACATACCTGAACTTCTCCGTATCTCTTCTCGCATCCGTTACGAGGCAAGGGAATTCAATCACCGGGCAACAACTGTGATCCTGGATACAACAGCTGTCCAATCCGGCTGGACAACTCCTCGCTTCGTTGCAGTGTGATTGCATGGTACAAGACTATGTAGACGATATGGAATACAGCCAATAAGCCAGCCAGAACCCATGTGAAACAAAAGGGAAAAATGTCACATCGCTCTTCCATTGTTGGTGACCCTTGTCGCACCCTTTTTCGCCAGACAGCGTTCTTCCGACGAAATGGCTTCCTGGGCTCATGCCTCACAGACTTACTCCCACTGACCTCCGAACTGCCATTCCTTAACACTCATACTCAGTCCTCAACAAGTCTCAACTGGCGGACAAACCTCTGGAACTGCTCACCCTGTTTTGGCTTAGTGGAGCCATCTGCGACCATGTCACCTGTGCCAACAAAATCAAGACTGCTGCAGGCAACAACAACCTGGGACATTTCACCCGCTTACTTCGTCTTCTCTGCTTCTAAATGATAAGAAGTCCAGACTCCTCCAATCGGCCCTGGGACAGCAGAGGAGCGCTACAAGACGGAGTGGCCACACGACATGCACCTCGTCGCCCGCGGCACTCCATCAGCCCACTGCTCGAAGTCATCGCGTACGACTGATTCGGACAGGCCACGCCATCTGACCCATCCGCCAGATCTGGCTTAATCGTTCACGATCCTACCCCAAATCGCCTCCACTGCTTCCAAATCTTCCGCCCAGACGCAGGAACGGCAAGCAGACGCCGTCTGTGGAGAGCTGCCTCGGCCGAGGAAGAACTGAAGTGAAGTGAGGAACGATCGCAGCTTGAACCCAAAACAACCACAAGCCACGTCCTAGAGGGAAACAACCACGCGCGCGGTCCCACTCGCGGGCCGGCAGATCTAGATGGCGAAACGACAGCATTGACTCTCTTGGCTACGACTTCTCCTGGATGAACTCTGCACTAAACGTTATTCCTCCCTCTGCTCTCCTGCCCAGCCGGCCAGAAAGATCCCAAAGGCCCACATGGTCCTGTTCGGTGCATTGTGCTTGCTTATACCTGCCTGGATTCCGGCACATTACCTTTGCCACTGGCCGAGGATTCTCCATATGGCAGACGCGATCGAGTCGAGCCCTACGATCTGACTTCATGCTTAGGGTCAGTGAGAACGCCATTACTCCAGGGGTTGCCGAGGGCGGAGATTGAGTGATCATGGCCCAAATGCAGTTCTACTGCACCACTTGGTCCAAAGGGGCATACGGACGCCATCCTCGGTGCTTGACCTTCAAGGGCATCACAGATCGATCGAGTACGCCCAAGCACGCCGTCTGGCCAGGCAGGTGTGGTTCAATGCACGGCCTACAGAGAGCGCTGTATACCAAGTTCGCTAATCAGTCCCTCTCATCCAGATCTCAAATGGTGACGACAGTTCGCACAATGCCGATGCAAGCTTTAGTCTAACTATCGCCGCAGATGGCAACGTGCTTCATGTGGGACTACCCCATAGCATTACCGGTCTGTGGAACGGAGTCTTCACAGTGGCCCTCGGCCCCAAGTCCAGCCCTCCATGCAGGTACCACGAGCTCCTTGACTCGTAGCATCGTCGGCATACACCTTCGCCTATTGCAGCACGTCCGGTATAGTTGCTTTTCCGCTATACTCCTATACTACCGAGCTCAATAAAGTCTGTTGCATTCATCTACTTGGCAACAGTCTACGGATCCCGATCGCCACAACGATGGTACAGTGCACAGTCAAGGGGCAAACCATCTGTAGGTCTGAAGAACAGCATATAAGGTGACTAGGTCTCCTTTGACCGCCTTCATCCACTCACCTCATTCGCATTCTCCTTCGATCATTCGTTTCCGGCATCTCACTCGCTCAACATCAACCACACCCCATTCCACATACACCCTCGTTCAACCACAACATCATCACCATGAAGGTCTCCATCCTCGCAACCGTCGCTCTGTCTGGCGGTGCCATTGCGGCACCAGTACCTGAGCCCACGCTCGGCCTCCTTACTGGCGTCCTCAGCGGCGTGACTCAACTGAAGTGCCGACTGCTCGGCAAGATCTGGGAGCCGCTGGACAAGCTGTGCTTCGACGACAAGTTCGACAAGGACCAGTACGCCTGCGAGAAGAAGGGCAGCTTCTGGGACGTTGCCGGCAAGAAGTGCTACGACGGCAAGGCTGAATACGATTGCCAGAAGAAGGGCAGCTTCTGGGACCTCGTCGGCAAGAAGTGCTACGATGACAAGAACCAGTACGACTGCAGCCAAAAGGGCGGCTACTGGGACGTCGACTCGAAGAAGTGCTACGACGACAAGGCCGAATACGACTGCGGCAAGAACGGCGGCTTCTGGGACTTGACCTCGAAGAAGTGCTATGACAGCAAGGACGCCTACGACTGCGAACAGAAGGGCTGGACCTGGAGCAGCCAGGCCAAGCACTGCGAGGACCCGTACGCCGCCGACAAGAGCCAGTGCGCGCGCGACGGCGGCATGTGGGACGAGTCGGCCAAGAAGTGCGACTTCACCGCCCAGATGAAGGACCAGTGCGCGAAGCAGGGCGGTATGTGGGATGATCCCGCGAAGAAGTGTGACTTCACCGCCCAGATGCGAGACACCTGCCACAAGAACGGCGGTACTTGGGACGAGACTGCCAAGTACTGCGACTACGCGGCCGCGAAGCAGAACTGCGAGAACAGGGGCAAGGTGTGGGATGACAGCAAGTACACCTGCACTGACAAGACGGCCTAAAGGGGGAGAAGCAGGAGAAGAGGCGCAGACTCCGGGCTCTGGGATGGAGTCAAGCATTGGATGTAGTCGTTGGGGTTTGAGTCGTTTCGAACGGGTGGGATGAGGTGTTGATGTTTGTGCCCACGCGGTTTTCGTATTTCATGTCTTATGAAGCAGCTTCCTGCCAAACGGTCATCATCAATCAAAAGTCCACAAGACCTTCAACTTTGCCTCGCCGGTAATCTTTACTGTACTGCCTTTGCACCTTTGACAGCGTCCTGCGCTCTACGCTGTTGCCGCTCGCGATCACGAACTTGCCCTCGGTTTAGAATGATGGCTGTGTCGATGAGGTCGAAATTGCCCACTTCTCCGCACCGCTTGTTCGTTTATCCATCCTGCCAACCTCACCTTCTTCACTTCCACCACCTCCACATCAACCACTGCCGCAAATCCTTGCCGAGACGAAGCTTGTATTGGAGCCTGCGTCAAGGTTGTATGGGGTAGAGTGGAACAAGCCTCTGTGCAGGTAACGATATAGTTCCTCAAATATGCGCCCTCCACCATAATGAGTAGCGTGTGGTTCCTATTTCTCTGCTTCATCAAACCCATCTGCCCAAGATGGTCTCACCGAAAACCCTCGCACACCTTCTCCTGGGTAGCATAGCAGGCAACGTATCTGCCCAGCAACTCGTCTTGCACCCACAAAAAGCATGCTCCTCCATCGCTTCCTCCTTCTCGCACCCAGACGTCACTGTCAACTTCGCCAGCTACATCACAGCCGGCACCAACGTCTCCATCGACCAGTCCGGCGACCTTTCAACATGCATGCATCCGGCTGGAGCCGTTCCGGTGGATTTATGCCGTGTGGCCATGTTCGTCAAGACCTCTGGCATCTCGAATATCACGCTCGAAGCCTGGCTGCCTACCAATTGGACTGGACGCTTCTTGTCAACCGGTAACGGTGGTCTGTCGGGCTGTATTCAGTACGATGACATCGCATATGGAACCTCTTACGGGTTTGCCACGGTCGGAGCGAACAACGGGCACAACGGTACAAGCGGCGACGCCTTCTACATGAACTCGGAGGTGGTGGAAGATTTCTCCTGGCGTTCTGTGCATACTGGTGTCGTAGTTGGCAAGGCAATCACCGAAGCGTACTATGGGAGCGATTACATGAAGTCTTACTACCTTGGCTGCTCCACTGGTGGCAGACAGGGCTTCAAAGAGGTCCAGCAATTTCCGCATGATTTTGATGGCGTGGTTGTTGGTGCGCCAGCTGTTGGTTTTAACAATCTGAGCTCTTGGAGCGGGAGCTTCTACCTCTACACTGGCGACAACAGCTCTGCCACCTTCCTCTCGCCGGACAAGTGGGCGCTGGTGCACCAGGATATCCTGAAACAGTGCGACTCAATTGATGGCGTGGCCGACGGTATCCTGGAGGACCCGGAGCTCTGCGCCTACAACCCCGTCACGCTTCAATGCTCTCCTTCCGCCTCAAACACGAGCAGTTGCCTCACTTCTGCGCAGGTTGCCACGGTCCGCAAGGTCTTCTCTCCCTACTATGGCACCGACTCCGCCAATAACTCCGCCCTCATCTTCCCGCGGATGCAGCCTGGGTCAGAGCTCGCGGATGCTTTCATCTACTACAACGGCCAGCCCTTCCCATACACGGAAGACTGGTTCCGCTATGCCATCCTTGAGGACCCGGACTGGAAGGCTTCACAGCTCAACTCGTACTACGCCGCGCTCGCGAACATGAAGAACCCGGCCAACATCGAGACCTGGCAAGGCGACATTTCCGCCTTCAAGAACAAGGGTGGCAAGGTACTCCACTACCACGGCCAAGCTGACTCCATCATCACATCCTCCAACTCACCACGTTATTACGATCACGTCTCTCAGACCATGGGCTTGCCGCCCAGTGAGCTAGATGACTTCTACCGCTTCTTCCGCATCGCCGGCATGGACCACTGTAGCGGTGGAGTTGGTGCTTGGGAGATTGGACAGTCAGCTGAAGGCGATGCGACGGATGAATCACAGGGGAACGTCCTGATGAGGATGGTGGAATGGGTGGAGCAGGGAGAGGCCCCGGAGACGGTGAGGGGAGTAAAGTTTGTCAATGTGAGTATCCTTCGTTTTCTCCTTCAAATCGTCATGCTGTCTATAGGCTGCTCTCGAGGAGGGTGCTGCGATTCCAAGGTGGCGGAGGCGTTTGTCATATCAGGCATGCCTCTTCTCCGATATAATAGGAGGTCTTCGAGGAGGGTGTCGTTGTGCCGAGAGGTCCACTACTGACGAGGAGTACCATTGTAGGACACCGCGAGCTTGGGCGTCGATTTCGTGAGAGACCATTGCAGATATCCCATGAGGAACAAGTGCGTGGATCCAGATAATTACAAGGAGCCGAGTGCATGGAAGTGTGTATTGTAGTTCTCTAAGCATAAGACAATCTTGCTGCCATCACAGTCACTGCTCTGACCAGATCACGTCACAAATTTTATGAGAGAATCAGAAGGCATGGAAGAGATGTAACTCAGAATGTCTCAAGCCGCGAGGGCAATTTCGTGCAGCTACAGTCGCTGCAAAACCCACCACCCACCCTTCACACCCCCGAGAACAAGCACCCTAGCACTCATCCCTACATCCCCTGCAGCCTCGCCCTCGCCTTATCCCTCGCCGCCTCCGCATACCCCTTCGACGCCTCGACCGCCGCGTCTCCCACCTTGCCCCCCTCCGCGCCCAACCCCACCCCACGAGAATAGGCCGACGCCTCGATCGGCGCCGCGAGACCCTCTCCAGCCGCACCCAGCCCCTGACCTTCGGTCCAGCCATGCTTGGCGAGCATGTTGGCCGCCTTGCCGTAGGTCGGCTTCTCCGGGGCTGGGGCGGAGGAGGTGGTGCTGGCGGTCGCTGTACGGGCGCCGCTGCCCTTCCCCTTCAGCGAGAAGGAAGGGATCTTGGCGGGGGCCGCGGAGGTCGCAGCTTCCTGCTCGCGACGCATGGCCGCGCGGTCGACCCACTTCTCCGCCGCCGCGGGCTGCGCTGCCGGGTTCTGCAGCGGCTGTGGTGGCAGCGCGGACGACGGGATGGTGGAGGAGGGGTCGATACCCATGCTCGCCAGCCTTTCGTACGCCTTGGCGACATCTTTTTCGTTCTCCAGGCCCTCGGCGTGCTTCGTGCTGCCGCGCAAATGGAGATTGACATGTTCCGCCGAGTTGAGCTTGGAGAAGCAGAGGTAGCAGACGAGGCCGTGGCAGAATGTCTGTACTGCAGGTGGAGGAGCAGGAGCAGGCTCGGCATGCGTCTCTTCTCCGCGTAGCTCTGCTTGCCTGTTGTTCCACAAGCTGAACATGGGTAATTGACCGATGTCTGAAGTCTTCTGCTTTCTCTTCTTCTTGGTCTTGCCCTTCGATGTCGATCCCTTCTCGGATTCGCTGGTGGCCGTCGTGGGCCTAGCTGATGGGTGGGGTGAAATGGCGTTCACGTCGTGAATGGAGGCGTAGTAGTTGCGGTTGTGGTATTTGTGCTCCGCGCCGCTCCGCCATAGAAACTTGAACTTCTCGTTGAACTCCGGCTTGCCGTCAGCTGAATCAGGTGGAAAGACACCCAAGTGCGGGAAGTAAACAGCGATCTGCGTCGACGCAATGGTGAGCTTGCCGTGGTGCAAGAGCTTCCTGGCCTTTTCGATGGCCAGTTTGGCATCTGTTGTCTCGAAGTACTCGGCAAATCCGTAGCCCATGCTTGCGTCTGTCTTGCGGTCGCGAATGAGCAGAACGCGCTTCAAGCTATTCGGGGTGGCACCGCCGTCGGCGTCGGCAGACTTGTGATAGAGCTTCTCAAGTCCTTTGGCGAACACGGCTTCAGTGGTAGTGTTCTTCATACCGCGCACAAGAATTACCATGAACGGCTGGCTGTCGTCGTCTGCTACGTCCTTGCTGCCGTCCACCGGTGGTGGTGTAGGGGGCCTGTCGTATGGTGAGCCACGGCGGTAGTCCTGTTGCTGATGACCGTAACTCTGCGATTGGGGAGGGCCGTGGTACGTTGAGCCGTGGTGATAGTCGTGCTGCGGATGGCCGTAACGCTGCTGCGCATAGGGCTGGCTGTACGGTGAGTCACGAGGATAATCCTGCTGTGGACGGCCGTAACGCTGCGATGGGCGATCCAGCTCGTTGCGGTAGGCGGATGAGTTGGCGCTGTAGTCCTGACGGAAACTCGTTCGATCGTACTCGGCGCCTCCGGACGGTGGCCGATATACTTCAGCAGCGGGGGGCCCTCTGCGCTCGTCTACGGCTGCCCCATAGTCACGATATGAGCGGTTGTTGAGGTAGGATCTCTGACGTGGCGAGCGGCTCCTGTGGCGCGTGGGCTGGCTTGTCCGGCTGTCGTTGTAGCTCCGAGAATGGTCGCGACGGGCATAATCTTGCTGAGAATAATTGGACACTTAAAGAAACAAATCAAGTTAGCTCCAAGTCACTTCATGGCAAGGAATAGGAGCCGGGCTTGGATTGTTGCAGTAAGATACCATGATAGTCTCGCACACGATATTGCTCGTCGTTTCGTTCGCGGTTTTCCTCGGTGGGCATGTCGCGGCTCTGCTCGGTGGGCATGTTGTGGCTCTGTTCGATGGGCATGTCGCGGTTCTGCTCGGTAGCACGTCCACGGATCTTGAAGTCGTCTGCTGCACGATGCTGGCCTTCGTCACGTTTGCGCGGTACTCCTCCGTCACGGCGGCCGTGGCCTATGAACTGGTCGCTTGGGCGGTACGAGTCGCCCATGCTGGATAGAAGTTGTGCTGTGATCAGATGCTGGCAGTAAGATGTCGGCTATACTGCTACTATGACTACAGCAACACCACAATCCCTCGAACAAGCGTTTTTACAGCGGCAATGGCTGTCACTGGTTGTTGTTGTTGTCTGCTCAAGAGTGAAGGTTGGAACTTTGACATGTTGCCATTCTTGCCATGTTGGGCTTAGCGTGCTCATATTTACAGCGGTACAGGTTCTGCGCCGACTGCGACATTCCCGGTTCTTGACGACTTGACGACAGCAACAGCAGCATCACACAACCACCAGAAGACTCTCAGCCGCCACCATGCGCCAACCACCAAAGAAGGAAGAGCCCAAATCAAACGAGCGGAACGAGTACATCCCCTCTTTCATCGCCAAGAAGCCGTTCTACATTGACGGAGATGAGAAAGACTATCTCGAGCATCAACGTCTGCAGTCGGAGAAGAACAGCGACCCTCTCGGCACCTCAAAATGGTACGATCGCGGCAAGAAGGTCGCGCCCGCTGCGACAAAGTATCGCAAGGGTGCTTGCGAGAACTGCGGGAGCATGAGCCACAAGGAGAAGGACTGTTTGCAGCGGAAGCGGAAGAAGGGTGCGCGCTGGACCGGCAGGGATATTGCGGCGGATGAGGCGGTGCAGGACGTCAACCTGGGCTGGGACGCGAAGAGGGATCGGTGGAATGGGTTCGAGGCGGGCGAGTATGGAGAAGTGGTGGAGGATTACAGGGCCATGGAGGAGATGAAGAAGCAGGCGGTGGCGGGCGAGGAGGATGACGCCGAGGGAGAGGAGAATGTAGACGGAGACAAGTACGAGGCAGAGACGGATATGGGGAGGAAGCAGGCTACGTCTACCCGCAACTTGCGATTACGAGAAGACACGGCCAAGTACTTGCTCAACCTGGACCTTGAGAGCGCTAAGTACGACCCAAAGACCCGGAGCATGCTAGACCCAGACACTTCGACCAACGAATTGATAGCCGAAGATGGCTTCCAGAAGGCTTCCGGCGATGCAGCCGAATTCGAGCGGGCATCACGGCACGCATGGGAGACGCAAGAACGCGGCGACAAGGACAAGATTCATCTCCAAGCCAACCCCACTGAAGCTGTGTTACTCCGCAAACGCAAGGCAGACGAGGATTTGGTGAAGAAGGAGTCGCAAAAGAAGGCCTTGCTTGACAAGTACGGCAGCCAAGACACTGTTGCGAAGAAGAACGCTCTTGCTTCGGCGGGCGTCACGAGTAACGAGCAGTACGTTGAGTACGACGAGCGCGGCAGGATCAAGGGCGCACTGGAGAAGAAGGAGAAGAGCATGTACGCGGAAGACGTGCTCATCAACAACCATACCTCCGTTTGGGGGAGCTGGTGGCAAGACTTCAAGTGGGGTTACGCGTGCTGTCACAGCGTTGTCAAGAATAGCTTCTGCACTGGTGATGAGGGACTGCGAGCTGCGGAAGAGGCTGAGCGCTTTTCGAAGGGCCTGACTCTACCCACTGCTGGAGAAGCGGATAATGCTACGGAGGTCCCGAGGACCATCGCGGAGGCGAGCGAGGAGCGAGATGAAGAGCACGTGCCGAATGGTGTTGATAGACCGGAGAAGCAGAGCATGGATGAGAGCCGGCGGCGGCTGGAGGAGTTGAAGGCTGGTGTGACAGAAGCAGAGATGGAGAAGTATCGGAAGGAGAAGACTAGCAAGGCTGATCCGATGGCAGCGATGCTAGGGAAAGATGAGTTGCTTTAGTGAAAAGTACACTGGTCTGGCCGACGAAGTGCTCGGAAGCTAGACATTGGGCAACCAAACGCATTTCTTTCCACATCTTTCAATCACGGACCGCTCGTTTGTCGGTAGGCGCACTGGTCCGGCAATCTTCCTCGTTCGTCGACCTAAGATACATGGAAACTCCAGCTGCGGATAGAAGCTGCCACCAACTGCAAGCAAGTCATCGATCCCCAATTCGAAGCTTTAAATCAGGCTCTGTCAAGCAGCACAGCTACACCTCCGGCCCGATACCATCCCTAAAGCCAGTCTGATTGGGGCTCGAAGTCCGCAAGACATTGATGCTTCGTGCCGCCGGATACCACGCCGTTCACTCCGAGCTTTGACGTATAAGCTGAGATCACCCACCGGCAGTGCGATTGGAAAGTCGACTGCATCAAGCAGTGAGCCTAGGAACTATCGTCCGGTCAGTATGCATACAGACCAGGTAATTGGACAGCTGGAATCGTTGTGAACTTACCAAATACCACAGAATAATGCTCCCGACCAAAGAGACAACGGCACCCCATATCCGGTACGTGCGTGCTGTGCTGGCATTACCATCGGCCATGTAGAAGTACGACATTGCCAGGCATGGGAAGCATGCCGTGAAGCAGGCGAAGAGAACCACATGGCAGACGTCCAGTCGGATAGATGCGATGGTGAAGAAGAGCAGCAGCACCCCCATGAAGATCAGGAACATGGCGTAGGAGTCGTGGTATGCAAACTGTGCTGCTATGCCATCTGCGCCATAACCGCTGATGGCGTTATCTGGGACATAAGGAGGATGTGCGTCAGCAATTTCGCGCTCACATGTGAGACATCGTGGGCCGAGCAAGAAGGCTTCGCCGGCCGGCCGACAACCGTTCCTCAGAGACCTCACTTGCTACGTCAGGACTCCACTTACAGAACGGCACGAGCACTGCGCCAGAGGCTCCAAAATAACCACCCAATATCAAGAAAACAGCTGCGTTGAACGTCTCACCCTTGATCCATTCCCCAATTCCGCAGAGAACCTCCAGCAGACAGCCCATATAGAAGAACATCCCGACTGCCGCGCTCTCGTTCCCGTTTGCACCTCCGGCGCCGTGCCAGCCAAGCAGCATCATGGTAGCGGGCGTGTTTGCGAGGAGGAAGCCACCAAGGCCCACCGGTGTTGGGTTGCCGAATGCATGGCAAGGTTTTGCCGGATTGATGGTCGGCGGCGAGGAGTATGCGCGAGCAAAAGTCTGCTGCGTCGGCTTGTGCGGTGTTTCTGCTTGCGAGCGGTAGTCGGGTACAGGAGTGTTGTCAATCTGGTCCGGGAGGCGTAGATCAAACTGGATGCCATCTGGCGAGGAGAAGTGGAGTTGCGACATATTCAGCCGTCACACAATTGTCCTGACTGGAGATGCAACGTCGCGAAATCATGACATATCCGAGACGCAGTCGAGGTCGACGAAAGACACACAAGACAATGTCCTTTGATCCACTTCCGGCATGTTCGGATGGGAGGTTGCTCTCTTTTCTTTGTCGCCCAGTCGCCCGTTCCGCCAGCTTGAAAGGGCACGCAGAAGCGATACTGAGAAAGGTTAACGCTTTCCACGCAGAATGGAATCTACACCTTCGCAAAACAGACTCAGGATGTTGCCACCACTCATCGGCCTGCGAGCGCATACACAGGGGATGGCGACGATGGAGGCAGCAAAGCCTGGATCGCAGGACTTGTCATGGGAGTTCTTGCACTTGCTACACTGATAGGCTATGGATTCCGGTGGAGGCGGCGTCGTAGAAGGCGGCAGAGGCAGCAAGCAGTCTCAATGTCCTCAGAAAAGGTCGTGGATCCTGCAACAGTCCAGCCACGGGGTGGGGTGCAGCATGAGGCTGATGCGAGTGAGAGGATACATATGCTTTCATCTGGACACGAACGGCATGAACTTCGAGACCCTCAAGCGGAGGCGTCGCTACAGCATGAGATGGATGTACGTTAGATGTGCGCAGCATAGGCCGGACATCTGAGTGCGAACGATGCATCATTACGGAAACGATAAAGCGAAGTCACGCATAGGAGCGGTGTTCGGAACCACGTTGCAAGATGCCTTGTGCGAGGATAACCACAACCTTCAAGTCTTCGCACCTACATTGATCAGCTGACTCCCGAACCCACTCCCTTTGCCCCAGCTCCGATGTGCTTCTTGGATATCCCCCAGGTCCCACACCCTCTTGATCTTGACATCGATCTTTCCCTGGCCCAGCAGCTCGAACAGCGCTTCAACATCTGGCACAAAGGTTTTGTCATCGCGGGTGAAGTAGAAGAAACAGGTATGTCGATGGACCGCTGGACAGATAAAATTCCGCGACAACAACTTCAGAGTTGGCATCAGTACTCCCCTAGGAGCTTGGTTCTGAAGGGTCGCCAGGTTGCCGCCGTACCCGACCAGACATGCATCGTTGTGGGAGAGGATGCTGTAAGATTCGTCCCAGGACTCAAAACCTAACGGGTCGAACACGACGTCCGCTCCGCCCATGTCCTTCATGGCTTGCATCCACTTCTTGTCAGTATACACGAAGGGGATCCACCCCAAAGCCTCCAGTACTTTGTGATTACGCTCCGAGGCGGTGCCGTATACGGTCGCACCACGAAGCTGGCAGAGAACGGATGTAGCGTAGCCGACTGCGCCGCTCATGCCATGAACGAAGACCTTCTGGCCGGCATGAACCTTGCCAGGACGAGTCACCATACCATATGCTGTGATCCAGTCCACCATGAGCGCGCAGACCTTCTGTGGATCATGGCCATGGGGCACTCGAATGATGTATTTCTCCGGTTGATTGCACAGCTCGGCTTCTGCATCGTAGACGGTGAGGGCTGAGACCAAGTCGCCTGGTCGGAGGTTTGAAACGCATCCGGTACCAGACTTGACGACCGTGCCAACAAGACAGTAGCCTGGTGTCAATGGAGCGGCCTTTTGCATTGGGTAGCGGCCGAGACGCATGTTGATATCTGTCCCGCCGAAGCAAGAGTATAGGACGCGGACTTGGACGTGGTTCGCTGGCGGATCTTCGATGGCGCTGGTTACAATACTGATTTTCGATTCGTCGCCGAATTCGTGAATGACAGCTTTGCGGATTGTTGTTGACATTGTTGTGGTCTCGACGTGGGCCGTGAACTTGGGAAGTAGATTGTTGTTGCCCTCGCTGTGTTTAGGTTTGTTTCTTGATGCTGTGTTGTTCCTGAGAAGGTCTATCAATCATGGCGGCCTAGTGATGTTTCTTATATGCCTGCCTGGCATGGCTTCACAATAGCGGATCATTTCAGCTCGAGGTTCATTCAACCGCGCCAACACAGACCTGCTATCTTGTGGGTCAATCATCACGCCTGTTCGTGGCTGTGGATGAACAGTACAGCAAGTCGGGTCAAAACAACAGCAAGGTCGCTCCACGCATCGGACGCCGGATGATCTGTGTAGATCAGCCTCAGCCTTGGTCCGTAAGTTCTTCTCGACACCTTCATGAAGCCGGTGGGCGACTCGGAATGGCAATCTAACCAGCCGGCGCAATGCCCGCTCCAGGGATGGCAGCTGTGAGAAGGCTTGATTGTCTGCCTTGACCGAGGAAGTGACGTTCGGTCGGAGCTCCCCTCTTCGCTCTCGGGGAAGTTGGCTGTGGCATACGAGAGCGAAGTCGCAATGCCCGACTTCACTCCCATGGACGCTTCTCCTTCTGCAGGGGTGGGTTTACAAAAGCAGAAAGAATCATGGCATCAAAGGCACCCATCTATCGGCCGCAACCCGCTCAAGCTGTACCTGCGTCGTCGCCACTGGCAGCGCATCAGTCTACGGTCAATGGATTACAACATGAAGCGCCGACCAGGGAACCAGCTCCATCGAGCTCAACAGAAGGCTTCTTTCAAACACCTCCCGTGATACTGAACCAGCTCGAGGACGATGTGGCCCTTCAGAGAAGTCTCAGCTTGTTCCTACCAAAGTCGATCAGAGATGAGATCGTCCCCGAACTTCACACTTTTGGTGATAAAGTTCTGTCGAAACCTGTAATGACACTGATGGCGGATGCCGAACACAACCTGCCTTACGTTAAACCTTTCACCGCCTGGGGCAAACGGCAAGATGAACTCATCACGTCGGAAGGATGGCGGGGACTGTCTGCAATCGGCATTGAGGAAGGCATGGTATCGATCGGCTACGAGAACCAGTATGCACAGTACAGCCGGCCATGGCAGTTCTGTAAGTATTTGGTCTGGACGGGGAGCTCGTGCTGGGTCACTTGTCCGAGCTTGATGACCGATGGAGTCGCTGCTGCCTTGAGAAAGCATCTGTCTGATCCCAGCATTCAAGGACAGTCAAGAATGGCAATGACGAATGCCTACGAGAAGCTGGTCTCAAAGGACCCCGAACTCGCTTGGACGACTGGACAGTGGATGACTGAGCGCCAGGGCGGAAGCGATGTCAGTCAGACCGAAACACTGGCCAGGTATGCGCCCGAATTGTCGGAGTACGAAGCACAGTCTGCTGGAAGCGATGGCATGTCATTGGGACCTTGGCTCTGTAGCGGCTTTAAGTGGTTCTCCTCAGCCACCGACAGTCAGATGATGATGTTCCTCGCGCGGACACCGAAGGGCATCTCAACCTTTATGGCGCCCATGCGGCGCAAGATACCTGGTACAGAGGAGACGGAGCTCAACGGCATTCAGATCCAGAGATTGAAGAACAAGCTGGGCACGAAAGCCCTTCCCACCGCAGAGCTTGTGCTCAAGGACGTTCGAGCCTACCTCGTCGGCGCCGAGGGACAGGGCGTCAAGGAGATCGCTACTGTCTTGAACGTTGCCAGAGTGCACAATGCTGTCTCCGCCATTGGGTTCTGGGGCAGAGGACTTGGCATCGCTCGAGCCTTTGCTCGTGTCAGAAAGGTTGGCCTGAAGCCGTTGTCCAGCAAGGCGGCTTACGTGCGGTCGCTCGCGAAGATGCATGTTGAGTACAAAGCCAACGTGCTGCTTTGCATCTTCGTTGCCTCGCTGCTGGGAATTGTCGAGCAGCCGCAGATTGCTGCGTACAATGATGCAACAGGTCGGCCGCAGCAAAGGACCACTGTCGAAGGCACAGGAACGCTTCCGAAAGCTGCGGCGGCGGAGCACATCTTCCGTCTCCTCACCCCAGTGTTGAAGGGCCTGACAGCGAAGTCAGCCATCGCCGGGCTGGCAGAATGCATGGAGTGCATGGGTGGCATTGGCTACCTCGAGAACGACGATGCACAGTACAACATCGCTCGCCTATACCGTGATGTAAACGTCTGCAGCATCTGGGAAGGGACGACTGATATGATGGCCCACGATGTCCTGCGTGTGGTCTTCGGAAAGACTGGCAAGGAGGTAATGCCTGCCATGGACGAGTGGGTGAGCTCTGGACTGCAGCAGGCAACGTCTTCCTTGCGGAAGCCGGCTGAGCAGGTGATGACTCTGTGGGCGCAATGGAAGAAGGATATGACAAGCAAAGAACGAGGTGAGCTAGAGTTGAGATCAAGGGAGTTGATGGAGAGGTTAGGAGATGTAGTCATGAGCACCCTGATGATCTTAGACGCCAGCCAGGACATGGATGAGACTGCCGTGTGTGCTTTCTCTGCATGGATGGACTTCAAGGGCATTTCCGGACATGCAGATTCTGGGGACTGGCAGAAGCTTGTCGAAAGGAATCAAGTTGTTGTTTTCGGACCCCATGGACCGCAGGACGCTGGCGACACGAGAGCTAAACTCTAGTGAGAAGACCTACTTTGCAACTTTTACGAACCTTTGCTCCAACTGCTCTTTCCTGGGGGTCTGATGAATGAACGAAGCAAGAGTGTGAAGTCATCGCCTAGTCTTTGTACCCACTCGCGGAGGACACAACTCCAAAGCACGGCCCGCCACGTTCGAACATCGCCACGAGGTCCGCTGCCACAGCTGCAGGCTCTTCCAACGTAGCAAAGTGACCTCCACGAGAATGCTCACTCTCAAAGGACACGGGACCAAGCGTCTTCGCCCAGGAACTGGGGACGACGTGTATGTCCTTGGGAAAGTGTGCAATGCCCAATGGCACATGCGGAACCCACCCAGTGAGCGACTGGGTAGTCATGTTCAACTCAGACGAAGCGTGCGTGGCCTCGTAGTAGATCCGCACGCTTGTCGCGGGTCCAGCAGTGGAGAACCAGTAGATGCAGACCCAGGTCAGAATCTCATCGTCTGACCAGGCGTACGAGTCCGTCCAGTCGTGGAGCTTCTCGTAGACCCAGGCGAGAAGGGCGGCAGGGCTGTCGGCAAGTGCGAAGCCGATCGTTTGGGGCTTGGTCGATTGTAACAGGTTGTAGCCGTAGCTGTTGCGATAAAACCATTCGGTTCTAGCAAGTGCTGCCCTCTCCTGTGCAGTGTACGGCGTTACTGCATGCTGCAAAGCTTGTACGGGGTTGGTAATCCACTTTGGAGGTCCCACGAGAGCCATGTTGATATGAGATGCTTTGCAATGCTTGGGGTACAACGTTCCAATTGCACGGGTGACCGAGAATCCCCAGTCGCCTCCTTGTGTCACTTTTGGAAGCATCAGTCGAACGACCCCGAGCTTTGTGATTGCCAAACAGACTCACCGTACTCATGGTATCCTAGCTGAAGCATAAGTTTGTGGAATGTCTCAGCATACTGCGGCAGGCCGAAGCCGTGCTTTGTGACTCCACTGGAAAAACCAAAGTTTGGCAGAGAAGGAGCGACAACATGGAAGTGAGGACCATCGGGTTGCTTGTTGAGTTGTCGTAGTAGTTTGGTGACCTCGACGAACGACCCAGGCCCTATGCACGATCGGTATACGAGATTGCTGAATTTCTCAAGGCTCAGGAAGCATACAGCCGTGCGAAAAGAGCAGGGAGATTGCCCCTTGAACATTTCTCCTTTGATGCACAACTTTCGGACAGTCAGTAAGGCGATGCAGACTTCGAAAGGTTGTAACGTACAGTGGATGTCCAGATCTCCGAAACCATCGACGGTGGCCTTGGTGATGAAGTGTGGCAGTTGGTTCAGCTCTTCCTCCTGCTGCCTCCAGTTGAATCTATTCTTCCAGTGATCAAGCAATCGCCTCACCTCGCCCACTGGAACGCCGAATTGCCACTCATCCTTGCTCTCGAGCTGAGGTGGGAGCTTGGTCAGCCTCAGTCGCTGTTGCAGGTCTTCCAAGTTAGCGTCTGCAATAGAGATCTGGTAAGGCTTCGGGGTGGCCATGAATGGTATTCTCGTTGAATCCGCGTGGCTTCTGGGAGTAGTTCAACCCGCAGTCAAGACCAGGCGGGGAGGTAAGTTGTGACCTCGAAATGAAGGCCATCTTGACCTCCTGTTATATGCTCGTCGTTGGCTCAGGATGTTCTTGGACATCACACGAAGCAGCAGTCGCATCGCAACGCGCCGCCAGACCAGACGGGACGATCCTTGCCATCTGGAGTTGGCGGTGTTGCCCTGCTTTGTAAGAACGACTCTGCATCTCCCAACTTTTCATTGCTTCCTGTCCTGACAACAACACCGACTACGAGGATTTGTCGCATCGCCAGGAAATGAGCGGTGGGATGATGGACACCGGGCACCTGCTTGGTCATGGCAGGAATGGAGGAGATTCGCGTGAGATAGCGTGGGCTGATCTTCACGCCCTCACGTCACTGACAGGGACGCCCAACCAAGTTTCGCGGTAAGGCGACGTTGGCCAACTTGGACCCGCCAACGTGATACTTACAGTAGGTCTGTTCTTCATCTCACCTCTCTTCCCTTTCTTCTCCTCAACTCCACACGAAAATGGCCGCAGACACAGACCACAAGCGCCGCCGAATCAGCGGACTGTTGTCCCCCAGGGAAACAGGTCGCAACGGCAGACCGTCCCCAGTCCCAGCAGACTCTGGCTATGGCGGCTCCAACAGCGGGTAAGTCACAACGACAAGGGACAGGGCTTGGTGAAGAGAATGCATGATGCGGCGCCCCAAACCTTCCCCGGCTTGGCCATGGTACAGAGCCATCCTTCTGACACCACTTCAGGACAGTATCGAAGAACAGCTCAGACGTCAAGCCGATTGACAACAATGGGCAGGTGCCGGGGGTGGACTCACGCCGGAATCTCGCAGTCAACCAGCGCACCGGAGAGGTGGTGGACGACGACACGGGGGAGGTTGTATCAACTATCACTACAACGACTACGACCACGACGACTACTACAACGAGGCGAGCAAGAAGCAAATCGCCATTGCCACAGCAACAGACCAGCACCACAACTACCAGGGAGAATGTGGTACACGAGCCAGCGCGCCAACAACTGCTCGACCCTTCAAGTGCCGCCGTGCGCCCTACGACCGAAGCGGCAGAACTGCCCCCAGCTCTGCCACAAAGACCTCCCGACGAGCAACACCCTGCATTCAAGCACGGCACTGCCGGGCCCAGCAAGAGCAGCGGTCGAGACTACGCCTCGGAACAACATGCTCGCATGGCTCTCGATCAGAGCAGTCCCGCACGAAAATGGCAGAACCCAGGCTACCACGCCGCCCCTTCTCCAGTCCCGGAGCAGAGGCACAGCAGCTTTCAAAATCTCAAGGATGCCGCTGTAGGCCTTCAGGGCGTAGGTCAGACTCTGAGGGGGACCGTCGAGCAGCGTGACACCAAGCGTGACTCTGCGAGAGCAACGGCAACCAATCTGAAGAACCAAGCTGCCGGAGACTTCAACCGCTGGCAGGAGTCCCGAAGGCAGAAGACACCGGAAGCACCGCCATATGAGCCACCGCAGAACCAATATGCCCAGCAGTCCCAGCAGACCCAGCAGCCGCAGTACACGACGCCGCCGCCTCCGAACCAGAGCAGCTGGCAGGCTCCATGGACGGAACCACCTGTCCCGATGCCGTCCCCTCCGGCGGTGCCTACTCATCCTTACGACAACCTCCCAGACGGACTGAGAAAGCGGAAGAGCTTGAGCTCCATGCCTGCGACCTTCACGCCTGAAAGTACTGGCCAGGTGGAGGAGAAGAAGAAGCATGGCATGTTGGGGAGAATGATGGGCAAGTCGAAGAGTCCTGGGCCCGCATAGCACGCGTGTGCCTTGGTGTAATGCCCAATAGATTATACGTAGACATACTGCTGCCCGGCGGAGCAGTAGCTCACGCTGGTAGCGAAGTTCTACAAAGGTCGGGGCAGGCCCTGGCGCAGATATCAGTCCTGCAGCCAGGCAAAGTCAAACGCTCACTCGCAGAGATTTCTTCTCGTGTTCTTTTTCGTATCCAGGGGCACCATCTGACCCCTCTCGACGTGTTATGCACATCGTAACGTCTCCGATGACCGATTCTGTACTTCCTGCAGCACTGTGACGATAAGGTCATAGCTTGCTCAGCCACTGCTCCGCCCAGGCGTACTGCCCATCATCTGGCAGGAATCAGCCATGCTCATCGTCCCGCTCTCCATTGAAGACCGTCACCTTCGGCCCAGCTCCTTCAGCAGCCGGACGTGCTTCAAAACAAGTTGTAATCCGAGCAACAGAAAACCCAATGTTGCAACGCCTTCGTTTGTCCCATGGATTAAGTATATACATTACTACACAGGTCGTCAAGTGTATCCATGAAACAGCTCATCCAACTCCTCCCGCATGTACGCATCTTGCAAGTAGAGCCAATGTGTGCTCATATCGCCAACAAAGCCAACACTGCCGCCAGGAACCCAAAGCTGCTTCCCGCCGGGATCACGACATCCGCCGCGCCTGTTGATGAAGATGCCGCCGCCGAGGTCTGTGAAGCCGCCGCTCCTCCTCCCGTAGTAGTCTGTCCAGCTCCGGTGGACGAGGCAGACATCCCAGTGGTCTGACCCGCCCCTCCAGTGTGTCTGGTCGTCGTGCGCGTGCTCGTGCCGGCCATAGAAGACGAAGACATCGTCCCGTTCGATGCGCCTCCAGTCGGCAGCATAGACGGAGACGACCCGTTGACGGCAGCCGCTGATGAGGAGACGACCATGGACGCCGATGCCGATGCCGCGCCACTTGTCACAGGCCCGCCTTTGCCGACTGGCCGCGCCACGAGGTAGCACTCGGTGCACTGCCCAGCGTCGTTGTCGAGGTAGAGGTTGAAGAAGGTTCCGCTGAGACACTTGTACCAGGTAGCGTCGTTGCCGATGGCCAGGCTGCCGTTCGCGCAGACGCTGAAGCCGGCGGTGTAGATGGCTCCAGCTTGCGGCGGGTCGTCGAATTGAAACTGCGAGTTGGACGCGACGTATCCCTGGCGGCCGACGGGGTCTTTGAGGATGCCGTCTTCGAGGGTGATGCCGAGCTGTGTGTTTTGGCGCTGGAGTACTACTCAGTATGAAGTACCGTGGAAAATTGTGCTCTGTTTGAACCTACTGCTTCGAGGCTACGCTTTGTGTTGCTGTTCACCGGGATGACTTCAAACACGCCATTGTAGTTCGGAGAGCACGCCGCTTCTGGAGTGCCTGAGGGTGCGATAGCAGATGTGACGCCTTGCGGGATTGGGTCTGCGGCAGCGAGCACCGCAAAGGCGAGAGTGGCGAGCGTGAAGCGCATGGTGGGAGGTGGTGTTTGTGTTTTGTTGTGGTGCAAGTCGCGATACTCCCAAACAAACAGTCAGTACTCAAGCAAACGCCAAAGATGAAGTCGCAAAGATGAGCAGGCGCTGGCAAGGCAAGGGACGCTGAACCGCTTCAAGGGATGCAGTAGAAAATGCGTGGCAATGTTGGTATGCAAAAGGTGCAAGTTCTCAAGTGGCGGGTGAAGTCGAACTTGAGGTCGACGTGCAGCAGGGGGTGTATCAGAATGGACAGGGGTAGCACAAGGGCTGAGGCCGCTTTGGCATCCGAGCGTGACACGACCAAGATTGCAACGCGGCCGGTCTCGATACTCGTTTAAGCGACCTCACGAAACTTGATGGAGATGGCAACGAAACTCAGAACAACAACAAGCATTGGATGTGGTGGAGCTCCGACAGAGCAAAGGTAACACATCCAGTTCTGGGCGATTATACACATCCATACCAGTACCCGCCTTGCGGCTCGCTAATCGTCGCAGTGTTACTGTACAGCCACAGCGGCAAGCCAATCAACTTCCCCCAACGCCAATGCTCAACAAGAAGTACACGTAGGATTCCGAACTCCCCCCCTGTCAACAGGATCAACACGGCCCTTCAAAGCAGCAGTGTACATCACCGCGGCGTACTGTTCGCAGCGCCAACGACACCTCCACCTCCATTACTCGGCCCCTGTAACTGCACCCCCTGCTGTCCATGCGACGAAGGCGGTGGCAACGGTGGGAGCTGCTTCATCTCGTGGCCTTCGGGCGCAATGCTTCCATTCGCGCCTTTGGCAGTTGTGCCGTTCGTCCCTTGGACACTGTATCGGTTTCTCAAATCTTTCCTCCTCTCTTTCTTCGGCGCCGTATGTCCCAACCTCTGATCGCCCGCCTCATACCGCTTCTTAAACTGCATGTAGCTCGGCGGTCGCGGCCTGACGAGGACGCTGACCCAGTTCTGTACCAGCGTTGCTTGAGAGAACGGCCGATGCCGGTCCTTTTTTGGGAATTTGTGGGTGTTGAGATATTCCCTCGTCGTCTCGCCCCTCGCAATCAAGAACAAATGATACGCGAACAAGCTACCCGGATAAGGCAGCGCGAGCACGCAGTAGATGAACATTGCGAACGCCATCCGCTCCTGAGTGCGCCCGGCGAGCGAGGCGCGGAACGAGATGTCGTGTTGCTGGGCGTAGAGACCAACGTGGGTAAGAGAAAAGGCTAGTAGGAGGAAGGCTAGCAGGGTGGCGAATGCGACGTAGGAGAAGAAAAAGCGGTAGTTGCGCCGGCCGACACAGTTGTTGAGCCAGACGCAGTGGTGGTCCTGCGTCTCGATGCAGGCATCGCAGACACGGCAATGGTGAGCACGGGGCGGTCGCCAGATGGCGCATGATTTGCAGTATTTGGTTGGTACTTCCATGGCGGTTGATGGAGCAGCTGGTATCCCGTTCTCTGCTGCTGATGTAGCATCTCGAACGGGCAGAGGGACGCGGTTTGATGTGGTAGAAGGAAAAGTCTTGACCATGACCCATTCAGTGGTAGGAGGACCGACGGTCAGTGGATCGCGCTCTTCATCCGGATTTGGTGGATGAGGATGCATGTTTCGTGGCAGAATGCCTGGGTCGCTCAGAGCGGCATGGAGGAATGAAGATAGTGTGATGTAGAAGATGTAGGCGAAGATTATGGGTATCGCTGGACTGACGTGAAGCCAAAGCCATGGTGCCGAAAAGGCGAAGAAGAGTACCGCGGGCAGTACTGTGAGGAGGAAAGTGGCCACGTTGAGAGGCTTCGCTCGGGTGTTCAGACATCTTCCAGCAAGGAAGAAGAGGGTGTTGCTGGCGGCATATTCGTAGTTCTTGCCATTGCCTTTTGCTGACTGTTGTGGTTGGTGTGATGAAGGAAACGCTTTTTCATCGGAAAGCTGTCGCGGAGATGATGGATGAGATTCCAGCTTCTCATGCTGAGGCGTGGGTGAAACCCTTCGGTCCTGCTGTGAGTGCTTGCTCGCTCTCGATCCAATGCCGAGAGATGCTCTAAAAGAGCGGGATGGCGACTTGGGCGCTTTCTCGCCGTTTGGGGTAGTGCTTGCTCGAAGCCCGCTGACTTCCAGCCTGGGTGGGTTTGGATGTCTGTTGTTGTGTAGTGGTGTTGCGCTTGTCACGCTCGCAGCGGTGTTGTCCTCCGGTTGTCCATCAGTGCCTCTGCTCACAGGCAGAGGGGGGATATCCGCCTCATCCTCCTTCGGTGGTGGCGCATCTCGCAACGTGTTGAGACTGGCATTGCTGTACCTCCTCCTTCTCGCCTGTCGCTCGTCTTCCGCAGTCTCCACGTTCTGTCCCAATGCGCTCGCAGGTCGTTGATTGCGTTGCGCCTGCAGCTTCGAGCTGCTCATGGGCCGGAAGAATCCTTGCGCTGCAACACCGGGTACATGAGTTCTCCCTGTCGAGGCAGAAGTCGGCCTCGATCCAGCATCACTCCCGCCACCGCCTCTGCCCGCTGCGAACATGGCGAAGCCTCTCCTAGAGGTCGGCGCCTGCAAGCTCGAACGTTTGCCTCTCTGGGAGACCGACTGCGCGGTGGTGCTTGCTGTTGTTGGCCGACTCGGCGGAAGTCCTGGCTCGCCCACCGGCCCAGAGGGACCCGTCAGGGTGGTCATGTTGCTCTGTCTCTCCTTTGCGCTCTTGAAATCGTCGTTCGTTCCATACTCGGACGTCGCATCCGTCGCCGCCGAGGCGGATGAGGCAGGTCTCGCTGCGCCATCACGGCCGGAGGAAGGGTATGGGTCGCTGTCAAGGAAGGTGGGGAGGGCGGAGGTGGGAGCATTGCCGTCCTCGCTGTAGGCCGACATTGCTGTCGTCACCGTACGGAGGTGCTGCTCCTGCCCGTCAGACGTCTCGAGTCTGCCGCTGCGTGAGAGGGCCAGCCGAGATGCATAATAATCCAGACCTCCTCCTCGCGCTGTATACGTTGTATCTGTGTGCCGTCGTCGATTCTGTCCTGATCTGGATCTTGATTGTGCCACTCCCAGATCTGTCTTGTGCCTGCATGAGCCGAACTCCTGACGATGCACCGCATCCATCTTCATGTCCGCTCCCGACTGTCGCCGACAGTAGCCTAACGCTAACAGCGGCCCGTCCCGCCTGATGCTTCCAACGAACAGCTCCCAGATGAACGTCACCTCGACTTCTCCTACCAACAACATCAGACGACCAACATGGCAGCGATTGCACGACGAACGGCCGCTGTGGCCACCAGGAGCACACGAACCCCAGTCATCCGCCAGATTCAACCCACCCGCTCCTACGCCGCGCCCGCCGACCCCTCGAGTGCTAAACAGCCCGATGAACAGGCCAATGCCGACATCCTGCGCAAGGGCGCTCGCCGCGACCCTGAGCTTTACGTGCGACACCCTCATCCTTCTCTGAGCCTTATCACGCCACATCTGCTGACTGTGTCTTGAACAGACCCTCCTAGCAATCATGTCCGGTGCCTTCGGCCTCGCAGGCTGGCATTTCTCCCGCAACCCCACCTCGTCCAGCAGCGAGAACAAGGTCAGCATGGCGGCGGGCAGTGAGCCTTGGAACACCGGCGGCAATGCCAAATACCAGTACCACCCGGGTGGTGACCAGAGCAGGGGCAGGAAGGATGCGCCCAGCGCTTTGAACGAGGTCATCATTCCGAACGTGAATTTGCCAAAGGTGAGTAGAAAATACGAAGACACTGGGAGCGGGAAGATCATGGACCACGCGGCGAAGAGTGTAAGGGTCAGTGTATCGACGCTAACGTGGGCACAGGAACTGCACGAAAAGTACAACAAGTGGGGCAAGGAGGGCTACTAGAAGTAGTCCCTTTCGCTGAGTGAGGTGCTTCGATGCAGGCTGGGTAGATTGCGGACACAGACGATGGAGCATAGGATGCCTGCTCGCGGTGTTGAATGGCGATAGCATATATTCCACCACATTAAACCTGAGGACTAGCACTTCCATCCCCTCCCCCTTTCATGCATGGCTAAGGTACGAAGGAAGTGAAGTGTTTTTGAGAAGTCATGTTTTTCATTTCTGTTGGTGGGAGACCTCGCCATTGACCAGCCTATGCGAAGACCAGCGAGCCGCGTCCACTGCGCTTACCCAGCAAACATGCGAGCCCCCCATGTACCTTGCCCTTGCACTCATTATACGTGAATCGGCAAGCCAGGAGAGGAATTTCATCGTGCCCGTCCATGCGCAGAGCTCAACGGCACTCCCAGCCCACTGCCGTCTACACTCATCTCGTCTGCAGATCCCCTTCCATCTCCAATCACGGCGCCAACCTTCCCGGATCTCTCGGAAACAGACTCGCCAACCTTACGTTCGGCAAACCCAACCACAGCATGACGATCCTCTCCAGTCCGATGCCACCCCCAGCATGCGGCGGACACCCGTACCTGAAAGCATTGACATAATCCCTCAATCCCTCGCTCTTCGGGTCGACTGGTGTGACGTGCTCCTTCATCCTCTTCTCCAGGAAGCCCGCATCGTGAATTCGCTGCGCGCCGGACATAATCTCCTGTCCGCGCATGAAGAAGTCGTACGAGTTGGAGTAGCCGTCGTTGGGTTTGGAAGCATCGTACTTCGCCTGTGTTTCGGCAGAGGGCATGGTGTAGAAGGGCCGAATGGCGAGCGGATACTGGTCCAGGACGTAGAAGTCGGAGCCATACTTCTTGAGCACCAGCGCGCCAAGTCGCTTCTCATCGGGGGTGGACAGGTCGTCAAAGTCGCCAATCTCCACGCCGTCGTCGCGGAGCATTTGTATGCCTTCTGCGAACGTCAGTCTTGGTACGGACCCGGCTGCCGGCAAGGCGAAGTCCTCAACGTGGTAGATGGAGCGCACGAGGTCAGTCTCGAGCTTGTAGCGTGTGCGCAGGCCGTTGAAGATGAAGAGCATGAGTTCTTCGAGGAGAGTCACGACTTCGTGGTAGTCTTCTTCGAATGCCATCTCCAGATCCAGGCCAGTAAACTCAGTGAGATGGCGGGCGGTGTTGCTGTTCTCTGCGCGGAAGATGGGTCCGACTTCCATAACCTTCTCGAAGCGGGCGGCGATGAGCATTTGCTTGTAGAGCTGTGGTGACTGGGCGAGGAAGGCTTTTGTGGCGAAGTAGGAGACCTCGAAGACGCTTGCGCCGCCTTCTGAGGGTGCGCCGAGCAGGCGAGGTGTGTTGGCGCCGATGAAGCCTTTGCTGCGGAGATACTCCTGGAAGAGCAGAGTCACACCATCCTTGATCGTGAAGATTGCATGGTTGTGCTTACCCCGTAGATCGATCACGCGGTTGTTCAGCCTCGTATTGAGCGTCACGATCGGTCGTCCCTCATTCTCGACCTGCTCCTCTCCCTCACCCGGCAATGGCCTCTCCGCGTCTTCCACCTGCATAGGCAGCTGTGGCTCCGCCTTCGCGATGACGAAGAGCTGCTTCACGTGCACTTCCAGATGTTGTATCGTCGTGCTCTTGACTGCCTCCTTTGGCTTCTCCACCAGCGCGTGCACCAGCACCACGCTTTCCGACGGTATGCTGCCTGCGAACTTGACCATTTGCCTGCTCAGCTTGTCGCTCGCCGCGACCACGCCTTGAATCGTGCTGATGCCCTGGCGGAATACCACAAACGACAGCTTGGCCGCCTGATTGCGCGCATTTTCGACAATGGCCCGGAAGGTGACCTCTTTGCCGCTGACATCTTCGTTCTGTTGCGCGAGCTCGGTCAGGCTGATGCGCTTCGCAGAGTCGGCGTGGGGGACGTAAGGCTGTGAGCCGAGCATGGGCAGGTCGCCGTAGTCTTCTTTCGAGACATCGTTGGCATCGTCGGCGGCCTTCTTCGCTGCCTCTTCGGCCTGGCGTTTGGCAGCTTTCTCGGCCTGTGTCGTGTTGTTAGTGGTGTGGCATTGAGTGCGGGAGTGGGTAACCAACCTTTTCCTTCTCCTTGGCCGCCTTCTTCAGTGCGCTTTTCGATGGACCTTTCTCGCCTTCCTGCTCTTCCTTGGGCCGCTCGGGCAGCTCTTGCGAGTTGTTGCTTTGTTCCGCCATTGTGTGTTGTTCATGTCCAAAAGTTTTGGCGGGGATGGAAAGTGGGATGGTGACGCTGACTCGGGTCAAGAATTGTTGCACGAGCCGTGCCCAAACGACAGACCTGTCCTCTGGAAAGCACTACGAAGGAACATGAACGTTCTGTATACCGTATTCGAATAAAACTAGGAAGCTACATGTATTCTCCTCTACCCGGCCTTCTCCGCCTTACGCAACCCAAGCCACGAGGCGAGGATTACTACTACCATCGCCGCAAACATGATCCAGTATGCGACCCTGTACCCAGCTTGCAACGACTTGTCGGCGTCATGTGCTGTCACACTGGACGCTATCGCCGAAAGAACCGCAAGCCCTACGGAGTTGCCCAGTTGGCTGATCGTGTTGAACACTGCGCCCGCGAGACCTTGCGACTCGCCAGGATATGCCGCCGACACTACGAGGTTTGAGACCGTGAAGAGCACGTCTGGATGTAGTGGACTGAGGGTGATGGCGAAGAACGGACCAAGCCAATAGTTCCATGAAGGCTCACTGAAAGCCATGATGATTGGCGATGCTGTCGTAATTACTGCAGATGCTACCACGAGCGGTCGTACCCGAACTTTGTCGACCAGGAAGCCAGTCAGGATGTTCGTTGCAGCCCCGACAACCGCCATGGGTATGAAACGTATCGACGTCTGGAGCGCGGTGTTGTCCTGCACCAGTTGCAGATAGAGTGAGGTAAAGTACTGGAAAGCGTTGAAGACTCCCCAGCACAGGAAAACCACTCCGCAGATTGTCGAGAATATAGCGTTCTTCCACAGGCTGATGGGAACGATAGCCGGTCGCTGGCGTCTCTCCTGATATCTCATCCAGAACACGAAGACAGGGAACAGCGCGATCGAAAGGGCAAACAGCACTGCGGTCGCAACGTTACTCAAACCCTGGTAGCTTTGAGAGAGCCGTGCCAGAGCGTATGAAAGAAAGCCAAGGGATGCGCTTATGAGAACTGTGCCTGTCCAATCGATATCCTTGAGCAGTGCGACCCGGCGTGATTTCTTTTTTGGCCTTGGTGCCGGAAGTGCCCAGATTGCAATCGCGCATAGTGGTGCATTCAGAATCGCACTGATGTAGTATCCATACCGCCAGCCGATGGTATCAGCGAAAACACCGCCTAGTATCAGGCCGACAGAATATCCAAGGGGCTGACCCATGCCAATGCATGCGAAAGCTACATTACGCCATCTCCCAGGCCGAAAAGAGCCTGTTACAAGGCTTACGGCAGTCGGTAGGCACATGGCAATGGCGAGTCCTAGGACGGTGCGGAACGTAATCAGCTGGGCGGCAGTCTGTGATAGTCCGCAGGCCAGCGTGAACACTAGAAAGAGGAATGAGCCAAGGACCCATATCACCTTCGGACCAAATATGTCTCCGAGATTGCCGAAGAGCAAGAGCAGACAGCCTGCGGAAAGGGCATAGACAGAGGCAGGCCATAGCAACAAATCTTGCGGCAGGTCGAGATCTTTTGCCATCTTTGGAAGTGCAATGGTCAATATGCCGGACCCAAGGGTGTTGAGGCAGCTTACGCCGCATAGTGCGACGACAATACCGGTCGCTCTAGTAGTATTCGGTGCATCTTGCTTGTCTTCTGTGCTCGCAGAATCCGGGGCTTCGAGTGATGTGTTTGACGAGGCTGGTGGTCTGCCTGGCGCTGTCGAAGGCTCGAGCTCAATCTCAGTGGTCAGTCGCCCTTCGGTGGCGGGCGCGGAAGCAGTGACTGTAGAGACTGTTGCGGCCATTTGATCTCAAGATCGCTCCGAGGATAAGTTCAAGTTTATCAGAAAGGTGCACAGTCGTGGAAAGCTGTTGTTTGTGGGGCGGGTATAAGGTGTACAGCTCTCTAATAGATTGGGAAGGTGCTATCAAGTAGCACCGCGGCTACATAAGTACTTTGTACATAAGTTAAGGACTCGTGCTCATAAGGATTTCTCAGCGCGATAGAATTCCGCCCCAAAGGATGTACCCTGCGTCATCTAACAGTCAACACACATGCATGTTGCAATCGCGCACGGCACGGCACGGACATTTCGAAAATACATTTTAGTACACGCTTCCATTTGTCGGCGCTCAAAGAGCGGGTTGCCAGGCAATTTGGAGCAGTGGACACCTAGCCGTCCAGTTGAGACGAGTAAACGTGGCTTAAAATGGAACACGATCAAGTGGCAGTGTCCTTGTTGAATGGGACGGTAATGGATAGGGGGTCAATCCATTACTATCCACCTTGTTGAAGGCTTAGCCCATTGCCTTCCAATACATGAAGATCCCATCTAGTAACATCCCATCCAACAAGAAGACTGTCAAATGGAATAAGGTCGACACAGAATGTTTTGGTATCACGAAAGCTATCGAGGAACGACCAGACACACATGCTCGGGCCTACCCAAAGCTGTGAGCCGTATGCCACCCTGCAGACTTTGCAACGTAGAATATCAAGCGGGTGACAGTGAAAAGCGGGCAGCCAGGTCAAAGCGGGTCGTACGATGGGCCTTCTCAAAAACAATCACAACCTGCTGAGGAGAGGGATGTGGCCTTTTCGGTCAGAATTGATCTGAGAGAAGACCTCTAGATGTGTCTACTGGGCTGCTTTTACTGCCACTTGCTTGAACATCCATACAGCGCCATAGCTTAGTCCCACGACACCTAGCGTACAGGTTCCAAACAGAACTCTGCGCTGGCGCTCGCTCTTCGCCTTTGCGACTGAGTACCTTTCGCCGGAAAATGCCACTCGCCTGTACAATGTCTCCCATCCAAGTAAAGGGGCGTAAAGACTCATTCGCTCCTCGACCCACTTCCTGAACTTTACGGACGTCTGGTTGACCCCAACTTTCATGTCAGTATAATTCTCCAGCGCCAGGTCGTTGATTGTCCGTAGGTCCGGCTCACGGAACTCTGTGTAACTGTCCAAGATGGTCGGCTCTTTGAGGTCGGCATCTGACTTTGTCCAGTGTCTTTGGTCGATGAAGTCTTGGAACAGGATTTGAACATCTTCAAAGCCGGTATTCAGTCCCTGGCCGTAGAACGGCACCATTGCATGAGCGGCGTCGCCGATAATGACACAGCTGTCAGAATAGTTGTAGGGTGTACTAATAGATGGGAATGTTAGCTTATCTTCACACCTGTAATTTTATTGACAGCCTGACAGGGCACGTACCAACGCAGATCAAGTAAGGGCAAGTGTGGGTTCTGCACAAACATCTCCTGAAGCACATTTGGTTCAATCAAGTCAGGCACCACACCTGGGAAGGACTTCCGGAAGAGAGGTACTACCCTGTCCGGGTTTGCCTCAAGCTCAAGGAACAACGAACGTGGACCGAAAAGATTGCAGGTGAATGTCGAATTCTGCAAGCTGATCAGTACTAGACTGGCGGCGTTCTCACATCAGTACGTCCTACTCACCTGATCTGGAAGGGCAATGAACATGTAATCATCCTGAGGCCATATATGGAGATGCTTAGATGAAAGCCTGTGTTCACCATCCTTATTTGGACGAATCACGAACTCGCACCACATAACATCAATCCATGTCTGCTGGAGGTTGAGTCTTCCATATTTCGAGATGCATTGTCGGGTCATCGAGTATGCTCCATCTGAACCGATGAGCAAGTCGTATTGAACTGTCTTTGTATCAGAGAGTACCGGGCTAGCCGGCTCTGGAACCTCTGCAGGTAGATGCAATTCGGGAGGCCTGGGCTTGCTGACGACCGCATTGAAGACGGCTTCCTGGCGGTCGAGATTTGCCGACAACAGCTTGTGCTCGTAGAAGACTTTTACGTTCTCATGTTCATCCAGAGACTCTAGTAACCGGCGATTCAAGAATGCGCGGTCGACAACCCTCAAGTGCTAGTGAAGGTCAGTTGGAGCTGGCTGTAAGGATATGGTGTGGTCTCTTACTTCTCCATGGACGTCGTATGGCGCTGGTGTGCTGCATGGCTGGTCAGAGCTATCTAGACCGTGAACCATGCGAGCATGAACCGGCACAGTGTTTCGCACGACGTCCTCATATAGGCTGGAGTCATTGGCATGACGTAGACCTCGGAGTCCTCGCTCCGACATTGTAAGGTTGATGGACTTGGTAAAGTTCAAAGGTACTACGGTCTCTTTGCACAGGTCTGCAGCTTGATGTCAAATACAGCCAATGGAGGAGCGGGAGTGCAAAGCCATTTACCTTGTCGTCCCTCATAGATCTCGACATTGAAGCCTCTCTTCGCACAATACAGTGCAGCCAGCGCACCAACAGGGCCAGCACCAACAACAACAATCTTGGGAGGGCAACTCATGATGCCCACTGGCAAATTCTGAAAGGAATGAGCGCGCGTAAGACCAAAGAGCGAGATCCAGGTTCGGACATCTGTCAAATTGTCGGGGCGTCTTGGGGGTTTTAATATCCCCCTCGGGGCGCTTGCTATCTTCTAGCCATAGAGCGGGCGGGAAGTAGATGGTCTGGGTGGCACCTGCGGCCTCCACCGGCGGTACTTCGAGGTTGCGTATCGCAGGGGGCTCCCCTGGGAGCGGGAGCCAGCCGTCAGGCAGTAGTAGCGGTAGCGAATCCTTCAAATACTTCAGTTCCTGAAGAGGAAGGGCGCACGTATGATCACTAGTTGCGACTGCTTCTCCTCACTTCTGTACCTGCAGCACTCCCGTGCTCTCCATCGGATGCTGTGAATCATTAAGATGTCTTATGGTCTCTATTCAAGCGTATGAGACTTACCGCGCGCGCTGCTGCCTTTTCGGCAAGTATGTCGTTCTTCAAACTCGTTTTCGAAGTGACTAGAGCCTCCTCATCATCTGCCTTCGCAATATCTGTATCTTATAGGCTCCGAGCTTCTACAATACACTAAAGGCGAGCAATCTTGGCTGTACAGCATTACGGCTTCCGTTTTGCAGGTACAAGTGCAGTCCGTCTGTACCCTGAGTCTTCACCAGATAGTGCATGCTGTCTTCTTTCGCAAGCATCCCTCCCGATTGGATGTAGACGACATATCGACCGAATGAATCTAATGCAAATCGTACTTCCAGCCGCACTAGATGTTCGAATCTGTTTCTCCGTAGTTCGTGTTCGGAGTTGCGGAACGGCATGTACATGGAATGCGAGATGGTCGTTAGCAAGTGTTGGCCGGGATGGTAGTGTGTGTGTCCATGCAGGTTTCCCCAGGATGCATGCAAACGGGAAATTATACACAACAAGATCATTGGGACCAAGGTGAAGTCGATGCCAAGCCGGCTTGTTTGATCAGCCTTGGCACCGCTTTAGCATTAGCTCATCGAGATCTAAGCTAGGTGGGATCTTGGAAGGATCTTGAGGGTTGGCCCGGTCTGCGGGTCCCGGCTCATAAGCGTGATGCTGTTGCTGCATCCGAGGAATCCAATTCGTGCAAAGGGGACGCGGCGGGGCCGTCCCCGAGTGATGGATACTTGTACTGTACACCTCGTACAAACCTGCGTGTTCGAGTGAGGCTCCACCCTCCCGAGCCGCCTCCGACGGCTTGAGATCGACCAAGAGATCTCGTTCCGTGCGTCCCGTGTCCGTCCCGTGTCCGCTGTGATTGCTTGTCTGCAACATCATCCCAGTATCCGTGCTTTCGATTCCATTTACAGCCTTTGTAAGCGCTGTAATGCAATGGTTGAACGGATGTCCCTAAGGGTTTCTCATTCGATCGACAGCTCCTATGGGTCCACGTTGCAACGCTACGGCCCTGAATGTCGACCGCTCCACACGCTCCAACCCGGCGTCAATGCTTAGCGTGCAGTTGGGCAAGCCATTGTAAGTCTCCATCCCGAGCTCTGGCGTGGGTAGCATCTGACTGAGCACATGGCATTCACATTGGCACCGTCCCTGGAGATCAGCTCTACATTTCCAGTTCGAGCGCCCTCGAGAAAGTCTGCATGTAACCCACTCCAGGTGAGCTACAGTCATGCAGTACAGACCAGGTCTTGGTTGAAGGTATTGAGTATCAAGAGTCGCAAGCGTCACATTCGCAAGTCGACGACGGCGAGCTTGTGATCTCAGTGCTGTCCAGCTCATACAACAGCACCGGCATGCGTAACGCCTTGATTCAGACTGTAGCGCAGACGGCCAACACTTCGAGCTTGAACACTGGCGGCAGCAACTACCAGGAATATTGGTGAGACGAAACCACCAGGTGTTCGCCCGGTAATCATGAATGCGAACCCGGCGAGACCAACAACACGGCAACCTTTTGCAATGCTGCTCCTTTGGCTGGAACGCAGTATTACGACGGAGCCGGTAGCACGCTCTACATTGATGCTCTCTGGCAGTTTGAAAGGTTCTCCGGCGGTGAGTTTGTTTGTGCGGAGATTATCCATCTAATGAACGATATCCTTCTTCATCGCCCCGTGGCTTGCGGCAGAGGCGGAAGCTGTGATTGACGAGGGGCTGCTTCTGGCGACATGCAATGAGGTCCTGCAGATCGCCGGTGAGGGTGGTGGTCACTATGGCGACGTTTGTTGGAAGGGCTCGGTTGGAAGGCAGTGGAAGCAGGGTTAGGCAGAACACTCGTTGGGGGTATCGGGGCTGCGCATGATCTAGATTGAAAGGACGGCATCCGAAGCTGTGGTATTCTACACAGCTTGCGCCTCGCTGGACCAATCGAAGCCATCCCACTTTACCATAGGCCGCCGTCTTCCTTCCTCGCCGCTTGAGCTGCCTTAGCCGTTTTGTGGAACATGGTCAGCTCTACCCTCTTCGGCTTTGGGTGGGCGGTTTACAGTGTAGCCTCCGAGGATGCTTGGAAGTTGCATCCCAACGGGCACAGGTTAGGGTTAGGGTTAGGGTTAGGGT